GCCTAAGCCTAAGCCTAAGCCTAAGCCTAAGCTAAGCCTAAGCCTAAGCCTAAGCCTAAGCCTAAGCCTAAGCCTAAGCCTAAGCCTAAGCCTAAGCCTAAGCCTAAGCCTAAGCCTAAGCCTAAGCCTAAGCCTAAGCCTAAGCCTAAGCCTAAGCCTAAGCCTAAGCTAAGCCTAAGCCTAAGCCTAAGCCTAAGCCTAAGCCTAAGCCTAAGCCTAAGCCTAAGCCTAAGCCTAAGCCTAAGCCTAAGCCTAAGCCTAAGCTAAGCCTAAGCCTAAGCCTAAGCCTAAGCCTAAGCCTAAGCCTAAGCCTAAGCCTAAGCCTAAGCCTAAGCCTAAGCCTAAGCCTAAGCCTAAGCCTAAGCCTAAGCCTAAGCCTAAGCCTAAGCCTAAGCCTAAGCCTAAGCCTAAGCCTAAGCCTAAGCCTAAGCCTAAGCCTAAGCCTAAGCCTAAGCCTAAGCCTAAGCCTAAGCCTAAGCCTAAGCCTAAGCCTAAGCCTAAGCTAAGCCTAAGCCTAAGCCTAAGCCTAAGCCTAAGCCTAAGCCTAAGCCTAAGCCTAAGCCTAAGCCTAAGCCTAAGCCTAAGCCTAAGCCTAAGCCTAAGCCTAAGCCTAAGCCTAAGCCTAAGCCTAAGCCTAAGCCTAAGCCTAAGCCTAAGCTAAGCCTAAGCCTAAGCCTAAGCCTAAGCCTAAGCCTAAGCCTAAGCCTAAGCCTAAGCCTAAGCCTGAAAGCCTAAGCCTAAGCCTAAGCCTAAGCCTAAGCCTAAGCCTAAGCCTAAGCCTAAGCCTAAGCCTAAGCCTAAGCCTAAGCCTAAGCCTAAGCCTAAGCCTAAGCCTAAGCCTAAGCCTAAGCCTAAGCCTAAGCCTAAGCCTAAGCCTAAGCCTAAGCCTAAGCCTAAGCCTAAGCCTAAGCCTAAGCCTGAAAGCCTAAGCCTAAGCCTGAAAGCCTAAGCCTAAGCCTAAGCCTAAGCCTAAGCCTAAAGCCTAAGCCTAAGCCTAAGCCTAAGCCTAAGCCTAAGCCTAAGCCTAAGCCTAAGCCTAAGCCTAAGCCTAAGCCTAAGCCTAAGCCTAAGCCTAAGCCTAAGCCTAAGCCTAAGCCTAAGCCTAAGCCTAAGCCTAAGCCTAAGCCTAAGCCTAAGCCTAAGCCTAAGCCTAAGCCTAAGCCTAAGCCTAAGCCTAAGCCTAAGCCTAAGCCTAAGCCTAAGCCTAAGCCTAAGCCTAAGCCTAAGCCTAAGCCTAAGCCTAAGCCTAAGCCTAAGCCTAAGCCTAAGCCTAGCCTCCAAGCCTAAGCCTAAGCCTAAGCCTAAGCCTAAGCCTAAGCCTAAGCCTAAGCCTAAGCCTAAGCCTAAGCCTAAGCCTAAGCCTAAGCCTAAGCCTAAGCCTAAGCCTAAGCCTCAAGCCTAAGCCTAAGCCTAAGCCTAAGCCTAAGCCTAAGCCTAAGCCTAAGCCTAAGCCTAAGCCTAAGCCTAAGCCTAAGCCTAAGCCTAAGCCTAAGCCTAAGCCTAAGCCTAAGCCTAAGCCTAAGCCTAATTTTTTGAGCTCTATCGAATGATATATATTGAGCCTAGGTTTGGAGACATGACCCTCTCTAGCTCATACCAAATACGCAGGCTACGCCTGCGCCTAAGCCTAAGCCTAAGCCTAAGCCTAAGCCTAAGCCTAAGCCTAAGCCTAAGCCTAAGCCTAAGCCTAAGCCTAAGCCTAAGCCTAAGCCTAAGCCTAAGCCTAAGCCTAAGCCTAAGCCTAAGCCTAAGCCTAAGCCTAAGCCTAAGCCTAAGCCTAAGCCTGCCTAAGCCTAAGCCTAAGCCTAAGCCTAAGCCTAAGCCTAAGCCTAAGCCTAAGCCTAAGCCTAAGCCTCCAAGCCTAAGCCTGCCTAAGCCTAAGCCTAAGCCTAAGCCTCAAGCCTAAGCCTAAGCCTAAGCCTAAGCCTAAGCCCAAGCCTGCCTAAGCCTAAGCCTAAGCCTAAGCCTAAGCCTAAGCCTAAGCCTAAGCCTAAGCCTAAGCCTAAGCCTAAGCCTAAGCCTAAGCCTGCCTAAGCCTAAGCCTAAGCCTAAGCCTGCCTAAGCCTAAGCTTAAGCCTAAGCCTAAGCCTAAGCCTAAGCCTAAGCTTAAGCCTAAGCCTAAGCCTAAGCCTGCCTAAGCCTAAGCCTAAGCCTAAGCCTAAGCCTAAGCCTAAGCTTAAGCCTAAGCCTAAGCCTAAGCCTAAGCCTAAGCTTAAGCCTAAGCCTAAGCTTAAGCCTAAGCCTAAGCCTACGCCTAAGCCTAAGCCTAAGCCTAAGCCTAAGCCTACGCCTAAGCCTAAGCCTAAGCCTAAGCCTAAGCCTAAGCTTAAAAAACCTACGTCGAATAAGTCTTTTTCTTTCATATCCAGCAGTAACACATCGAATTTGTTGTAAGGAACAAATTTGGCATCTTCATCAGAGCTCTAAAAAGTTAAATTTATTTAGAAAAAGAGTTTTAACTCTACTAATATCATTTTGGAAGCTTATAATCTTTCTCAAATGATACACTTCGTTCTTTCATACTTGTTTGCCAGTACCTTCGAGAAGTTTCAGAGTGTGACCAAACTCGTCGAGTTCTCTCTCTCTCCTTCTGTTCTTTCCTTCACTAGGTGAATGTCTTTCAGATCCTTTGGTGTGACGTATAAAGGTCAGCAGTGTTCCCTTTCTCTTTGTGTGACCTTCTTTTCTCTTCCTCACTGTGACCGAGCTCAATCACACATTTGCCCCAGTTGAACTAGACACATGCGACGCAACACGCAAACGCGTTGGGCTAGAGTGGAAGGGAGAGACGTGTCTGTGGGCAGAGACGCAGAGGAAGGAGAAAGTCATGTCCAAGCCTTCTTTCCTTTTATTTTCTTTCACATTTTACCCAGGGCTGGGCCGGCCATGGCTGGCCAATGAAAAGCCCTGGCCGGGCTAGTTGCAAGCGCGCTCCACTGCAAAAAAGCCTTGGCCGGCCCGGGCCGGCCAAGGATGGCCAATGGTACGGTAAGCAATTCGGTTCACTGAGCGGTGTTTGCACACAAAGCATTTTAAATAAAGAAAAAAACGTGTTTTCGAAAGGGTTTTCTTTTTCTAAGTTTTTTCACTTCATGATCAAATATTTTCACAGAAAAATGCTCTATTCGATGAATTCGATTCATAACGTTGTTCCCATACATTTTTTTCTTTCGTTTCGTTCTCATGCATCTCGTTCTCGTTAATTCTGTCGTTTTCTTTTATTTTTCTCTTCACTTCTGCTAATTTTCGAAATTTGTCAGCTTTCATTTCATCGAAATTTAATTCACTTACTTTCTTTTCACCTTTTTTCTACTTTCAAGCATGTCTTCTTCTCATTTTAAAATAATTTCTTCGATTTTTTCTTTATTTAAAATGCTTTGTGTGCAAACACCGCTCTGTGAACCGAATCGCTTACCGTACCATTGGCCGGCCTTGGCCGGCCAGGGCCGGACAGGGCTTTTTTGCAGTGGAGCGCGCTTGCAACTAGCCCGGCCAAAGCCTTGGCCGACCGCTGGCCAGCCAAGGCCGGCCAATGTTTTGCCCAGCCCTGATTTTACCTTAAATTTATACTGTTAACTTTTAGTGATGCTAGGCTACCCTTTGCGCGGTGTTGTCCGTGATTTGAATCGTGTCGTTTTCAATGGCTGGAAAATAGCTTCAACCAGCATCTGTGCAAAGCGGTCGATCGGGGTGCGTTTTTCTGCTTTATAAGTTTTATTTAAATCTATTTACCATAATCAACTAGTACAGATACATGAAAGAAACTAAAGTAGAGCTAAATCGGAGTTCTTTTTTATTTAGAGCTTCCAAAATTCATTTCATTGGAACATATCGTTCTGATTCTATTTTCTATTTTTACTTTGTAAGCTTCCAGAATGATATTAGTAGAGTTAAAACTCTTTTTTCTAAATAAATTTAACTTTTTATAAGCTTCCAAAATGATATTAGTATGTAGAGTTAAAACTCTTTTTCTAAATAAATTTAACTTTTTAGAGCTCTGATGAAGATGCCAAATTTGTTCCTTACAACAAATTCGATGTGTTACTGCTGGATATGAAAGAAAAAGACTTATTCGACGTAGGTTTTTTAAGCTATTTTCATCTAATACTCTGTTTTTAGCTTGGAGATGCATTTCACATGAAACACTTGGCTCTTGGATCGTTTCCAAATTTTCCGTTTCCATCGCATGGCCGAATTCACGGAGTCCATCATCGTCTAATGATCCCTCTTGTATGCCAATATCCAGGTAGTGGTTATGATAACTTAGGTATAATAATGGAAACTTTCAGAAAGGTTGAATTCTAAACCTTACAACGTTTGGTTTATCGTTTATCCTGGTGCGCCGTATACGTATTTGAGCGTGAGATCATTGGAAACAATTGTTGGCACAGGATTCTCCCATAATATTCACACTTTATCAATACAAGTTTGTTTTCTTTAATTTAATTTAGTTTAATGACTAACTTTCAGGATCCATCGGTTCACATTGAATGCCGCACATCTCATGATCATTTCTTCGATTTCAATCTTTTGGGAATGGATGTAATTCGAGAATTTCAATTAAGTATTGATATGGATTGGAAACTGAAAACATTCAAGTTGATTCAGAAGTAAATTTTCATCTATGTTTAGGTACCGCAACGGGTTTCGCAAAACTCAAAATGTCTATAAAATTTTTGTTGGAATGTGTTCCCCTACTCTATATGAGTACGCTCCCAATTTTTTTTTCCAAAATTTTCGGTACATCCCGAGTTACACCCGTTCAAAGTTGCCCTGTTTTCTCCCGGGTCGGCGGCAAATTTACCGCCCACCGTCAATCGCGTTGAAAAGCTCGGTGTGCGCGGCCCCTTACAGGGGTGAAGTTAGTGCATTTTCGCGCTGAAATTCGAAACATATCTGACTGTAACTTTTTTCGGCAACGTGGAAAATTTTTATGCTAAACGGAATGTTGTTGAGAATTTCACGCAGAATCCGATTCCGTAAAAATTAGCCGTGTGAACGGTACCTGTGACCCTCAAATCCTCGAAAAACTAAAATTTCGGCTGAATAGGCTTTACTCAATCGAACACAAAAATGCTCCTAGGGTGTCTAGAGCTCTCAAAATTTATATTTGGGTTCTCAGAGAGTGTATCTATAGATTCCAAAAATAAAAAAAAAGGGGTCATCGCTGAAAATTTTCCGCTAACTTTTCTGGCAGTTTGAGGATCTGTAAAAAATTTCGGCAACGTGGAAATCTAAATTTTACTTCAAAAACGGATTCCCCATCCCTTAAACTATCGGAATCACTTGAAAATAGGCGTGTGATCCCATAAACTTGGCCACACAGGCTCTCAGACTGACTTCCATTTTCGTTTTCGCCGTTTTTTGGAAAAACGGTGCGTTTTCACGGGAAACTGAGTTGTTCATTGGATTCAGCATGGTCGATTACATAAAGTAAACCGTTTTGGGTATGGTACTTCATTTGGGGACATCGGTACAGACCGTCAAACACGCGCGCGCGAAAATCGGGAGAAAATTCGTCAGGCCACGCCCCCTTTGTTGCGCCCCCTATTTATAGGAGTCAAACAATGGAAAGATCACTCAGCTCCTGCAAAACTTGAAGATGAGAAAAGATTTGGTAAATTTTATTTCTTTTTATTCATTTTAAACAACTAAATTTTAGCTCGTGCAACTGAATGCACTATATAAGAAAAAATATGGAGAAGATCTTGCCGATGTTCTGGTCAGAAATAACTCAGGTAAAATTTCAAACTTTTCTTAGCTATTTTCAAACTTTTCCAGGCGCCACCTAAGAAATTCTTGGAAAAGTTTGAGAATTGCTTAGAAAAGTTTAAGAATTTCTGGAAAAAGTCTGAGAATTTCTTGAAAAAGTTTAAGAAAGGCTTAGAAAAGTTTTGGCATTTAATTCGGAGGGTACAAAAATTAGGGGGTACAACAGGGTACAAATGGTTTTGGGGTACAACTTTCATGGTTTTGGGGTACAAAAAGACGAGGGTACAAAAATTTACCGATTCAGTAGGCATTGATTAAGGGGTACAACTTCTATGATTTAAGGGTACAAATTTCACGATTTTGGGGTACAAAAGTTGCACGAAGCACATTTTCGAAGTTTTCATTCCAGTTTTGAATTTTTGAGAGCTCACGAGACACAGTCGTGTGTAGCCATGCTTTGTTTTATGCAGCATTTTGTGTCATTTCGAGAAACAAACTTTACTTGGGTAAATTTCACACACAACATCAGATGCTGAAATTCTGCTGTGAAATTGCAGAATTTAAAGGGGCCAAAACAGCAAAACAACTTGTAAGTAATATTATAGGGGCTCCGAATAGAAAGGACGCTCTGTTCGCAATCTGGCCGAATTTCTAGTCCGCGAAGTAATTTTCCACTGAAAACGTGGCCTAACTTTTCAAACTCGGCCCCGAGCTCACTCAATTTGCACTGCAAAAAAGTTTATTAATAGAGCGCCCTTTCTGTTCGGTGCCCCTATAATATATGTTATAACAAAGGGGTCGCCGTTTGAACCACTGTCTATCGGAAGCAAAACGCTTCGAAGGGTCATGAAATCTCATTTAAAAAACATCTCTGGAACTGATCAAGCGGTTCGGTGTACAAAACATTCACGGAGTAAAAAAATTTTGTGAAACAACTAAAAACATTCACTGAATTGATGCCCATGAAAAAAATGGGAAAAAATTGTTGTACCCCAAAATCGTGAAATTTGTACCCTTAAATCATAAAAGTTGTACCCCTTAATCAATGCCTACTGAATCGGTAAATTTTTGTACCTTAGAATCGAAAATTTTGTACCCTCGACTTTTTGTACCCCAAAACAATTTGTACCCTGTTGTACCCCCTAATTTTTGTACCCTCCGAATTAAATGCCAAAAGTTTTTAGTGCCTCAGAAAGTTTGAAAAGGTCTTGGAAAAGTTTTTTGTCTTGAGAAAGTTTGAGAATGTCTTCAGAAGAGCCAAGAAAAGTTTGAAATTTTACCTGAGAAGGATGAATTCAAAAAATTTCTTAGTATTAAGGTTATTTTTTGAATAAATGTTGATAACTATTGTATTGATAATATAAATATTGATCGAAATCATCTATCTATTTAATCGAGTCCAAATTTACAATTCCAACTTCTCTTGATATTATCTTGTCCGGTAAGGTATCTCGCATAAAAATGCCTCGAAAATTTCGAATTTTTAGTTGTTTTACATGGTTTAAGAGATCGATGTTGGTTAGTGCTTTCAGGTCTTTCTCTAGTTTCATCATTTATTTAGCGCATTATTTTTATTCACCGTTCTAGCGTATTTTTCTCGACCATCTCGACCACTGGATTTCGACCATATTTTTAATAACGCACTTTTCGACCATTTCCCCATTTTTGAAAATTGTTGAAAATGACACATTTTTGAAGTTAAGACTTGTTTATGTTAAAAATAAGCCTTAAAATGGCTCAAAATGTGTAAAAATTGAAGGTGGTCGAAAAGGTGCGCTAGAACGGCAAAATATCTATTATTTCTGTTATCATCCTACTTCTCTTTCTTCAATTCCTTGTGGTGGCAAAGTCGACAGTTACAGCTTTGTGGTTTATTACAAAGTTGTAGAGCTCGTCGAGATCTATCATTTTGGATTTTTCCAAAATTATTGATTCATTGCTGTTTGAATGCAACACGACTATAGAAAACAAAAAACACAAAAACATTTTTAAAAAATTTATACCAACAGTTACAGCTTTGTGATGTACTACAAAGTTGTAGAGCTCGTCGAGATCTATCACTTTTAATTTTCCCAAAATTATTGAGCCATTAGTGTTCGAATCGCCGGCGCGTCTGCAAAGTGGATCGATAACCGGAAAACACAAAAACATTTTTAAAAAATTTATACCAACAGTTACAGCTTTGCGATGTACTACAAAGTTGTAGAACTCGGCGAGTTACACCTGAAAACATTTTTTTCCGAATTATTGATCTATCATGAACCGGATGGCTAGGCCTGAAATGGTCCAAAACTTCAATGAATTTTTTCTCGAAAAAAAATCGGATAGTTTTTTTAATTTTTGATATGTTACTCACCAGATGGTCTACTTTTTTATGCATTTTAGTCTCGAATTACCTGTGCATCGCTAAGAGCACCTCAAAAACGGCAACGTGGGGCAAGCGTGTTTAGCGTTGAGCTAAAATTCTGAAAAAATTTGTGTAGATACATCTCGACGGGGTCTACAAATTTGTAGTTGACGACAAACGCGTAGTTCGTACGTGTGACGTCATAGAAAATTTTGAAAGTTAAACAAATTTTTTTCTTCCATATCCTTCGGGAAACATAGTCTGAAAAAAATTCACGTACTTCACCATCATGCCTAGTATACGCCCAAATTTTTTCAGAATAAACGTATAGATGGAAAAAAAGCTGCAGCGGGTCAAAATTTCAAACCGATATTGTCGGGTCGTGTGAAGTGGCAAAATTCCGGAAAAAATATGGGCGGATGCGCCTTCGTTGGCCACACCTACCATCGAAATCCGCTCGCTGACGGTTAAGTTTGAGCCGAGTTATGACGTTTTTGTGATTTCCAGATTTGTCTGAAAATGAGCATAACTCCCGAGCCGAGCCCGTTATCAAAAAATCTGGCAAAATGAAAAATCGTGAAATTTGACGAGCTTTCGAATGGTATATGATATGAGGGATTTTGGAGTTTTACTTTTTTGTCCTAAGACCAAATGACGAAGGCTTACGCCTTCGCCGAAGCCTAAGCCTAAGCCTAAAATTTCAAATTTTTACGTTTTTAATGGCCAGCATCCGCGTGATTTCCGGGTTTTTCTTGAACTTCGGACGCGGCAATGAACTGATTGGGACATTTTTTGGACAGTAAATTGTGGGACTATTCAATTGAGGTTTTTAAATTAGAGAGGCTACAACGAAGGCATTTAATTCGTTTAATTCTCCCCTGCACCCCGAGAACAAATCACCGTGTTAGAAGATATACATCTACAATAAATATCTAAAATTAAATATCACAATAATTTATTTAACAACTTTGAAAGTTAAATGCAACGAATAAAAAAGATTTGCAAATGTTCAATATTACCATTATCAAATGTATTATTACAAGTCAGTGTCATACCAATTGTGACGCATGGAATTGTTAAGTGCAATATTTATCGACTCAGCATGTCCGCCGTCATTGGTAGGATACATTTCGGCGAAAAGTTCTCTTTCCAATCCATCGCGTTGCCAATCGTTTCCACTACCAATATCATACTCATAAGCCTGAGAAATGTTTACGGGGTCCGAACAATTTTGAAGATGATTTGAATTTCCTGCCCGTGTTTTATCGCTGCGCACGGAACCGCAGCCTTCCAATCCGCGGAGCAATTTACGCGTCTCAAATGCAAAAAACGGTTTTTAAAAAGTTTTTTCTGTTTGAACTTTTTCAATTTTTCGAAACAAATCATGTTTTTCTCCAGATTCACACCTTCAAAAATGCTTTCCCTCTGGGAACATTACTTATTCTAAGGGTTCTTTCCACCAGGAAGGGAATTTGGAGACGCAACGACAAAACACAGGAGATCTCTTAGGCTTACATTCGTCAAATTTAGTCCATCTCTTTTCAGATTGTTTATCACTCCTATTGCATAGGTAGCAACTGCTTTATGCTGGGATCCACACGACTCAATCAGTATCATTGGAAACCCTGCATTTTCCACTGCTCGAGCACCATCTGGCCTTTTGCTTAGTTGATATAGAAGACCGAGAATTTCCCTTTCCAGAACTTCGTCCTCATTAGAAGCGACTTCTGGTCTGGCAAGCAGTCTGTGCAATAGGTCTAGAAAAGGCGGAAAGTCTGGATTTCCAGTTTGCCCCATATCATCGCAACAGGCACTTGCCACAGCTGGGTGATTCGCTAGCTGATGAAGTGTCGAGATAGACCCTTCGACCACTCCCCACATTGGGACTCCATCAACTTCAATGTTCGGATTCTCATCAATCGCAGTTATAGCGCGTCGTAAAATGTCCATAGTCAAAGACACTACAGTGTCCCCTGTCCCTGTTTGCTCTTGAGTCAATTCGATAAGATTTGCTTGAAGAAGGGCACAGTTCCGTATAACTCCTAAAGCAGCTTTGATGACAGGTGTTCGAAGGGTCGCCAATTGATCCAAAATAACCGGAAAAGCGTGGCACAACCGCAATTCGTTTTGAGCTTCTTCAGCCAGTGAATGTCTCGCGGTACAATGCCTCAAACCACACAATGCCGGTTCAGTGACATCTTCAACATCCTGGAATCTTCTGACTGCAGTCACGAGCGCTTCAATGCCTCCATGTGAGCATACTGTCTGTTTGTTCCGTGTGTTATTGCAAGTTAAATTACTGAGAGTTCCACACGCACATGCAGCCATACCATCACTGGCTGTTTGTAGTATCTCTAGCAACTTGATGATAAGTGGAGTTAAGTTTTCTTCGTTTGTCGCCGCATCCGATAAGTTACGCATTGCAACAAGAATTGCAGTCTGCGACCGTTCATCTTTTGCACAGCAATATTCGGTGTACAGGGCTGGTAGACAACCTGAATATGATGCTGATTAGAAGTACAATTCACAAAATTTATAAAGAAAAACGCTTCTTACCGAGACTGATCAGAGCCGATTTATTGCGTGGACACACGGACAATGAACGAATACACCTGACAACGGTATAAATAAGTTTACGATGACTTGAATACTCGCGAAGAATAGCGACAAGAATCTGTGGTCCAGATAATGATAAAAATAGCTCCTTCGAATGAACATCATCTGAAATGAACGCTCATTACAATACAGATAGTAAATTTCACCAATGAGTAGGAAATACAAGCTGTCAGCAACTTGAGCGAGTAATTTTGGATTGATTTTATGAAGGTGAGGCGTGAGCGCTTCGACAGCATTTAGAGCTCGAGCTTGTGCTTTCGAAGCTTCGACATGCATTAATAAGTTCCGAAGAGTGGTTACAGCATAATGCACGACACTCTGAATAATGATTTTATAAAGAATTTCTCCGATATTCTCACCTCCAACGAGTCATACAACATTCTGATTATTTCAGCTAGTCCACCACTCCGAAAAATGAGCATCGGCCCACCTCTTTGTTCGGATAAATTGCAGAGCGCTCCTATCGCATTACGACGAACATTCACATTTGAACTTCTGAAAAGAAATGACAAGTTATCGCGTTTTCTAAGGAATGTGCTATTAAAAGGCAATGTCTGAGAACCTCGAAATTCGCTAATTACACCAGGTCACTAAAAATTCAGAATGCTTCGATTTGTCCCATATTATACCCAATGGGTACTTACATAACAGTCATACATCAGACAAGTTTTGGTCCGGCTCCGTGGTCCCTAGTCCGATCACGATCCCAAAAGAGGTAAAAACTGTAACTAATTTCAAAAAAATTCTAGCGTCTCAGACTCAACACCATTCGATATCTCGCATCTTTTTAAGCATTTTTCATGTTGGCACCAAAAATTTAGCACCTCTCCTTCATGGAGAAAAATATTGTTTTATGACATTTTTCAGAACATTTTTCAGTTTTCTGCTCGTCCTGAAAAATTTTAACACTACATAGCCATGATTTTATTGCTGATTCTGAATCTAGACGTTATTGTGCTTCGGCAAAAAAAAAGTTCACCCCGATCCTGATTGACATCAAGGGGTTTTTAGGCCGAAGTTCACAAAATTTAGAGTACTTTTGCATGGAAAAATGTTCGCGAACTTGAGAAAAGTGCGTTTTCTCAATTTTCTAAGGGGTCTGATTGCGATTTTTGTTGTTTTCGTATACTTTTAGGCATTCTCGATTTTTTGGAAGCATTTTGAAAATTAATAAAAATTAGACCAAGTCGTCGACCCGGGGGTCATGACAAAATTTTCGAGAAAAAATTAATTTTCGAAATGCTTCAAAAAAATCAAGAATGCCTAAAAGTATACGAAAACAACAAATATCGCGATCAGGCCCCTTTGAAAATTGAGAAAACGCACTTTTCTCAAGTTCGCGAACATTTTTCCATGCAAAAGTACTCTAAATTTTGTGAATTTCGGCCAAAAAACCCCTTGATGTCAATCGAGATCGGGGTGAACTTTTTTTTTGCAGAAGCACAATAATGTCTAGATTCAGAATCAGCAATAAAATCATGGCTATGTAGTGTTAAAATTTTTCAGGACGAGCAGAAAACTGAAACATTTTCTGAAAAATGTCACAAACCAATTTTGTTCTCCATAAAGGAGAGGTGCCAAATTTTTGGTGCCAACATGAAATATACTCAAAAAGATGCGAAGAATCCAATGGCGTTGAGTCTGAGACGCTAGCATTTTTTTGAAATTAGTTACAGGTTTGACCTATTTTGTGACCGTGATCGGACTAGGGACTACGGAGCCGGACCAAAACTTGTCTGATGTATCACTGTTATGTAAGTACTCATTTGGTATAATATAGGACAAATTGAAGCATTCTGAATTTTTAGTGACCTGCAGTATTTGAACTTCTCAGACATTGCCTCTTAAATAGTTTTATTTGGATGATGATAAAATAATCCAACGGTATAAAATCAACACATTGTCATCTCAGGGAAATCGTTATTAATCTAGCATATATATAGCTAATTCGCGTTTATAACCGGCCCTAATTAGATTGCTAATTTACTGCTATAGCCTAATTTCAGGAAATTTTGGCTTTCGTCTGCAAACACCGAGGGGCAATAGTGAATTGAGTTTAACTAGCTTACAAACTACTGTTTGCCTGAGCAGACCCCGCTAGCTTTTTATTAAGTAAGAATGATGTTGATATTAGTACCTCAAAATTCTGAAAATGTCGTTTTCACGTAATTCCCGGGAATGATCTTTAGGTACAAAATTCAACACACAAATGAGTCACAATTGATAAACTTCCATCTCTTCTGAAAGGAACACGTGAAATTTCAGTTTCAGATGCACTTTTCGCGAATTCTAGTTTGCAAAAATGATTAACTGAACATTTGATCCCCTTGGCATATTATAGGGGCACCGCACAGAAATGGCGCTCTGTTGAGAAACTCCGTTTGCAGTGCAAATTGAGCGACCTCGGGGCCGAGTTTGAAAGTTAGGCCACATTTTCAGTGGAAAATTACTTCGCGGCCTAGAAATTCGGCCAGATTGCGAACAGCGTGCCCTTTCTGTCCAGTGCCCCTATAATAAGCTATCGAATCATTTATGTCACGACCCATAAGGCCAACTTACCTAAAGATCATTCCCTAGTTAGAAAGTTTTCGAATGTAAGGAGGTTGCGGCAGAAAATAATTTCACTACGATTAGATTCGAATTGATATGTCTGAGACGTTTGGAAGCGCTTTCGAGCGTTAGCTAAAACCGCGCAGCGGGCCCAGTTTTAGAAAGTCTTGCGTTTTTTTTTCATATAAATAAACATGTAGGGAGAGAAAAACGTAGAAATTCGCAGTAACAGAAGAATTTTCACGTAAATTCTTGAATACCTCGATGTATTAATTAAAGCTTCTATAAATGCACGATCGTTGCCAATTGTCGGGTCTTCTTTCGACAGTATATATGCGCGATGAACAGCTCTCGCGACGACCGACTCGTCGTGATCACACATAAGCTTCACTAAATCCGGCAACGCTAGCCCTGACATATCATTCGAGCCTTCATAAGTGAGAAGATCCATGACAGATTGTTTCAATTGTTGAGTTGGTAGTTGCATCTGTAAATTAAATTGTTTTGTAAAACTGGATACGGTAATTTACGATTGTTTGTGATTTTAATTTGGTCCACATATCAAATCAAGCAAAATCATTTCACATGCTCGTTGCCTAGCAAGAGGTGTTAGAAAAATTTTAATACTTTCCAGAAGAAATATCACAGGTGATTCACGATCGGTCTATTGAGAACGTGAACCTGTGATAGGCCTATAATATGCCTATCACGAAGAAAAAGTTCGCCGATGGACGCATTGTAGGCAGTGGGGCGCACCGTTCGCGATGGGCCTATGATGGACCTGTAATAGGCCCATCGCGAAAACCGAATTTGAAATGTTCGCCAAATTTTCGCCGTGCACGGATTTTGTTCAGAATTTTTATATTTTTAACGTGTTTACTATCATTTTAACAGCGTTTATTGTATTTCCAGTGGCATTTAATTCCGAGGGTACAATAATTTTGGGGCACAACAGGGTACAACCTATTTTGGGGTACAACTTTTTTAATTTTGGGGTACAACTTGCCCGATTTTAGGGAATAATTTCTGTCAAGTATTTTAGGGTACAATAATTTTAGGGTACAACACTTTTAGGGCACAACTAGCACATAATTTCAGGGCACAACTTCTTACAATTTTGGGGCACAACAACATGATTTTAGGGTACAACACTTTTTTTCTCATTTTTTTGTATTTTCTTGCATTTTACTACAAACCCATATTCTTTTTATATCAATATTTCGCTGATTTTTTTTATTTCAATGACTCATCTCTTGTAAGAGAACCAGTCTTTCGACTCGTGCTTTCTGCGGCAGTTCACACATTTAGTTTTCACCAAATCATGAGGTTATTCAAAACCTTTTATTGCAAAAAAGCATATGACAGTAACAAGTTGAGCACAAATGAACGGATCTGAAATAAAGAGTAGTTAATCTAGGTTTTAAATAGCTCTATTAATAAGGCGGGTTTATGAGAATCAACTTGTTACTGTCATATGCTTTTTTGCAATAAAAGGTTTTGAATAACCTCACGATTTGGTGAAAACAAAATGTGTGAACTGCCGCAGAAAGCACGAGTCGAAAGACTGGTTCTCTTACAAGAGATGAGTCATTGAAATAAAAAAATCAGCGAAATATTGATATAAAAAGAATATGGGTTTGTAGTAAAATGCAAGAAAATACAAAAAAATAAGAAAAAAAAGTGTTGTACCCTAAAATCATGTTGTTGTGCCCCAAAATTGTAAGAAGTTGTGCCCTGAAATTATGTGCTAGTTGTGCCCTAAAAGTGTTGTACCCTAAAATTATTGTACCCTAAAATACTTGACAGAAATTATTCCCTAAAATCGGGGAAGTTGTACCCCAAAATTAAAAAAGTTGTACCCCAAAATAGGTTGTACCCTGTTGTGCCCCAAAATTGTTGTACCCTCGGAATTAAATGCCATTTCCAGTTGCTTATTATAGGGGCACTGGACAGAAAGGGCGCGCTGTTCGCAATCTGGCCGAATTTCTAGGCCGCGAAGTAATTTTCCACTGAAAATGTGGCCTAACTTTCAAACTCGGCCCCGAGGTCGCTCAATTTGCACTGCAAACGGAGTTTCTCAACAGAGCGCCATTTCTGTGCGGTGCCCCTATAATAAATTAGCTTTTCATTTGTTTCAGTATTATTTTTCCGTGTTCTGTACATAGGTTTCTCTTTTTGCGTTAAGTCTATGAGGTATGTCTCGATCATTGTTGAATCATTTTTCTCAATTACAAAACTCAGAAGTGCGGCGTACTGCTAACTACTTTTCAGTCAAAATGGTAATAGCACTGAAATACTTACTTGTGAAAAGATAGCTATTTAGTGGAAAGTGTCCGAAAAGTGTGGTGGCAAAGTTCATACGCGTCTAAAAATATTACCGAACTGATTAATGAGATGTCTAGCTGTTTTCTTTTCAGCCGATTATCTTTTTGGAGCCGTCGCGATTTTGGAGTCGGCGGAGGACATGAGAGTGACGAGTACGACGATGACGCCGGACGCGGAGGAATGGATCAGGAAAATAACGATATCGTCGACTGTCTAACTAACTCAGCCTGTTTTTAATTAAAAATGTTTTCCCCGCCCCTAAATTTTTTCTTTTCCTCTTCTTCTACTTTACCTGTAACCCAGCATTTTCATCTAGTACTACTGTTTTTGTCAATACATTTTTGTAATAACTTTGCGTTATTTTCATTATACTCAATTCATCGCTATTTCCCCCTCGTTGTTTGCGTACTCAAGCCTAATTTTAGAAATTTTGGCTTGAGTCTGCAAACACCGAGGGGCAATAGCGATGAATTGAGTTTATAATCATAATCTCGATATCGACCGTTCGCGATTGGTCCACAATGGGCGTTCGCGATAGGTCTATAATGCGTGAAATTTTCGTGATCGGCCTATAATGTGCCTATTGAAGGACCTGCTCCGAGTTCTCTATAGACACATCCGCGAATCACCTGTGATATTAGAACAGAGCTAACAACTCATTTAGAAAAAGAAAGATTACTGTTCACTAGCTGCTATCACCTCAACGTTTGCTGAAAAGTTACAGAGGTTTACCGAATGTGGGGTTTGGGTCACAACTTGACTCACCATTTCAATTATGCTCGTATTCGACGTGGTTGCTTCAGCCGCCACTGAAATTTGAGGTACCCAGTCAGGAAACATTGCATCACGGATCCTGGATGTTCGAGTTTCGATCTCATGCTCTGAATGTTCAATTGAAAAGTGCACAACTAATGATTTTTTACCTGAGAACAGAACAAACGAGTTATTCGATGGCTGGAGTAGCATTCTAATCTGATGAACTAACTTTTTGAATACTATATTAAAACACGAACGCTCTTCCAATTTAGCACGGATTTTACGCTGAAAGATACCGGTTGCGTACCGATAAAACCGGCGGAGCACATGGGTGTTAATATTTGTAACAAAAAGATGTTTGAAATATAATTTTGTAAAATCGTGATACGCCGTATCCTGCTCAAATTAAACGACGCAGAATCCCAGTGCGTGTCGCTTTTATTAATTGAAATAGAAAGGTCGCTGACTCCGATGAATGAATGCATTATGCCGTATCCAACGCAAAAAATCAGTCAGTTTTAAAGGACCAGGGAACCCTCCGAGTTTATGTGTCTGATTGAATTGCTTCTTATTGCCACATTCACTGTCCGACCCCCAACTTTCAGAAATATCTGTGAATGGAACAGCACAGCGCTTAAGTTAGTCAAAGTTGTGGCCGTGGCCCAGAAAAGTTCTAAGCCTTGTGATCTTTTCCGGTTTTTTTGCGTTCGGCACAATCTTCATACGTTGCAAAACATTCACACAAATTAGCATCCATACTGTATGGACCATACATAGTGCAAGAGCATCAAACTGCTCACAGGGAAGAATTTTCACACCGGAGTTTCCTATGCCACGGCCACAACTTCAACTGCAAGCCGTTCCGTTCATTGGCATTTCTGAGTCAGCATTTCACCAGTGTATGAGGCAATAAGAGACAATTCAAACAGACACAAAAAATTTCACAAAAAAATCAAAAAAATTTGAGGGTTCCCTCAGGACTTCCCTGGTCTTTTAGTGTTTTCTAAAAAACCACATAACAATAAACCTACCCCTCTTCCAAAAACATAGATCATGGTAATTATGTTGGTAGAAACGACCAGCAATATGGAATCATTTCAAAAAAAATTCTGAGAACAAATTTATTCTTGCAAGGCGAATGTACCGACTCTTTAAACTCTGGGAACTCGATCGCAATCTAATTAGAAAACTTTGCAATCTAATACGAACTCGTTTGAAATAGAATTTGCTTCAATTAGATTGCAAAAACTTCTAATTAGATTACAATCACTGCAATGTTTTCTAATTAGATTGCAATGTTTTCTAATTAGATGCAATTTTTTCTAATTAGATTGCAATTTTTTCTTATTAGATTGCAAACTCTTCTAATTAGATAGCAATCGTGTTTCCAGAGGAGTCGGAGGATACTTAAATACAACAATGAAACAAAACAAAACACTTGAAAATTATCGTACAAAATCAGTTCGACACTATAGTTATAAGAAATCGAAGGTCGAGCAAAACAATAAAAATTGGCAGTAGCACACCCATGATTCGAAGAATAGAACACTGTTTTTCATGATAAACGGAATGGTACAAATCGCTCGCGATTTGGAAGGCGGGAGTTCAGCGAGAACGTTACAGTCTTAAATTAGGTATTTCAATCACCAAAGGGAAGTTTTCACGAAAGATGCAAGGGAGCTGAGCCATCCACTTTCATGCCCTCCACCATGATTTATCATGTCATTTGTTACAACACAGCTCATAGGATCCGTGACAGCTATTTCATCATCGAGGTAATCGGGTACGGTCAGTTTATCTCCCTGAAAAACGAACTTCAACTAATTTATTTAAAGATAGCCCAACTTTTTGAACGTTTGCTGCGTACATCTCGAACTTCTCTTCTTTATTCTCACTCTTCACAATTTGAGCAATATACTCCAATCCAACACTGAAAACCGCTTCGAATATTTCTTTGGCATCGATGGTTGGTGCAGTCCGCAAAACGGCCCTAGGGAATACATTGTCATCAGTAATGTACACACTAATAACTCCTTTCTTTTTCAATAGGACACGTTCAACATCGTTTCTTCTTATCTGAAAATAAATTCGTTACAATTAGAGGGATCATACGACAACAACCTCATTGAACTCTTCCGGATCGAACTCCAAGGTAATTTGCTTCGATTTCTTACAAACGAATTTTCGATGAATCGTACCACCTCGGTCAAGTTCTTTTGCTGCACTAGCGAGCGGATCCAAATAAGCAGAATCGTTCTTTCTAGCATCCAGTGAGTTTTTCACAGCCCGGAGACGACTAGATACGAGCATGAGATTATAGCCTACGCTTGGATTTTTTACACTTTCGCAAGCTGTTGATAACGCAGATAACAGATCGCTGGATTCGAGAAGACGTTCACTGTCATGAGACTGTTCTGTCAACAAAACCAAGATCTGAAAAAGTAATCTCCAAAAGCTGATGAGGCTTACAATTTAGAACTATAGGGGTTATTCAGCGTATGCTTGTTTTCCGTTTTTTTACATCGCTGAATTGGGTTTTTTGACGTAAAAAAACGGTTAAAAATCTTTTTTTTTCATACGCTGAATTAACCCCATAAAAAATTTGAAAGTGTGATTTTTCTAATGTATTAAATACTAAAGTTGTATTTCTGTTTGAAGTCCCATCTTAAACTAATGAGATTTAATCAAAAGGAGCACACGGAGTATGTGCCTCAAACCCAAATAAATCCCGGATTCGCTATCCACCTAAAAAGAAAAATCCGGAAAACATCGAAGCTTATTGATCAACCTAGCATCTCACTAGATACGGAACTCGGTTAAGATTACGAGATCTCCCAAGTAGACTGGAAACTATTATCCTGAGCATAGTGCAATTTATTGTTTGTACACTGATTACCTTAGATGTATACCGGATGACATCACAACTGTCGTCCTTTAGAAGTGTGGGAAGTGTTGTGAAGAAAAGCTTATCCTAAAAATGGTTATTGGAAAAAATGCCTTAAACGAAACTCACTCTGAGAACAGTTCCGCGATTTTGCTGAGTTTGACAAAGCTTATAGTAACCGCGAATTGTTTTGATTTTGTCAGCAGAGGACGTTTCATTTACAGAATATGACTCCGTCATTCTGAAATATTTCAAGAATTATGGAAAATTTCAAGAATTTTCGTCATGCGAACTGAATATTTGTTTTGAATTTTTGAAAAATAAACTCAGAAAAAAAAAATGTCAATTCGGCTCCAAAAACCGAAACGACGGCTCCACTTCGCCACAGGCGCATTTTCCGAATTCGAGAGAGACACACAAAATCGAAAAGGCGTCGGCGGCGACAATTCGGCTCAACTTCGGCGCAATCGCCGGCGCCTAGTACGCCAAGAAAATCATTACTGACTCGCAATTCTCTGGAGCTTTTCTTTTTCACTGTCACATTTTTTCATTTTTTTTTTCACAAGTCTTTTTCGCCTTGACAATTGATTTTTCTTGTTTAAACACTAGAGATTTACAGAGGAATAAAATTGAGACCGTGACAAAACGTCGGAAAATCAAAAAGGTCGGAAGCCAAAAGGTCGGAAAAAGTGCCAAAAGGCCGGAATCCAAAGATTGAAAAAAAATGCCAAAAGGTAGGAAAAAATGACTAAACGTAGGAAATAATGCCAAAAGGTCGGAAAATAATTTTTGCTGACTGTGTTTTCCCAAATTGAAAGCTGTACAACCGTTTATCTGCCTCGACTGTCTTCTATCAACCAATTGAGTGGCGGTGTTGCAAAGTACGGCGCGCTTTCAGCTTCGCCTTATTTTCCGACCTTTTGGCACTTTTTTCGACCTTTTCACATTCCGACCTTTTTGATTTTCCGATCTTTTGTCACGGTCTCATTAAATTACTTAAAAACAATCTCAACAAATCCTCGAACAAAAATAATATAGATAGCTGGATAGTCGGTGCGGCTTTGGTATAAGAAGTGTTTCGAATTGCATGGAAGTGTATAGCCGTAGAGCGCACTTGCATTTCTCACCCGGATTTTCGCATTCTCGGGACTAGGGTTGGCAATGGGGCGAGAAGAGGCGCCCCTTCGCCCCGCGGGTGAGGCGAGGGGGCGCCCCCTCGCCCCGCTATAAAATGTGTGTCTGATTTTTTTCGAACGTATTGTGAAAAAATTATACAAAAAACTTTATTAGTAAAAAAAGAAAAAATTTAAATCAAGAAATTATCGGAAGTTGTTCGTGTAGAAGTAAACGATCATGATCCTTTCGATGAGGGCGGGGCTGAGACGGTTGCGGTCTGTAGTGACAACGTTCTTGACGGCGCTGAAGCTCCTCTCGCAAATAGATTCAGAAGTGAACTCGGAGAAACAGCGGAGCGCCACCTTGCTCACAAGGTGGCGCTCCGTCTGTGTGGGAAACTTTGTCTGATTCTTGATAACATCGACATCCCTCTCCAGCAAATTAGAGTCTCCCCTTAGATTTTTCAGTAGAAGAGTCTTCCAAAGATGTAACATGCGGTTCTCCTCCTATAGCGACCGTCTCAGTCAATCTAATTCAAAATCGATACTCCACAGAAGGGTTCTTCTTATTCTCAGAACATTCCACAACATAATCTCGCACAAGTACCATTTCCCCTCCCTAAGCATGTTCCTCAAACCCGGCGTCTCCCCCCGTCACCCGTACCTTCTATCCTCCCTTGGCCTACCCCATGACTCTTTCTTACATACCCATCTTGCCCTTTGGAACCGAGTGGCCAAGTTGTTTCCCGAAAGACTATCCTCTGAGGCCTTCGCAGCGCGCATCGAGAAGATCCCCCCTAGCTTTTTGTATTCTAACTGACCTCTGGCTACTGCCGGCCAATGGTCATGTCAAGCCATTGTTCCTTCCCCCACCCACATTCCCCCTCTTTTTTATCTTCTTTCTTTTTGTTGTAATTTTATTCCTAGGTGGCTGAAGAGAATAAATGAGTTATTATTAACTCGGCTCTAGTGTGCATTTTTGAATGATAAAAAACGGGTTTTCCGAAAATTTTTGAAACTTTCAAAATTTCTCTGGGAACTCGATCGCAATCTAAGGAACTTCAATTAAATCTGATTATATTGCGAAATAGAGATTTTTCTTATTAGATTGCAAACTCTTCTAATTAGATTGCAATCGAGTTTCCAGAGGTACACACTGCGAGAATCATGATCCGTATTTTCTTGTTGTCTCTTTTCCTGTCGATTTGCACTTCTGTACTTTTACTTTTTCATCAATAAATTTGATTTTTGTAAACTTGTCTTCTCTCTAACATCGCTTAATAATTGTAAGATAATTATTATTCTGTCTAAGTCTCTGCTAAACATTTCATCAGGCCCAAGGCTAACGAAGCCTTTCGGGGTCGCCGTTTGGACCACTGTCAGCCGGAAGCTCAACACAAAGCTATGATTTAAAATTTTGGAAATTGTGGACTTCTATTGGAGAATATCTCTTGTACGAACTCCAAAACTTAGTCATTGTCTTTGGGATCTGTTAAAGTCAACAGAGCGCGTCGCCGAAAGTGTTTTGGATCGAGCTGAATTTTTGTTGAAAGTTTGCTGTATAAGCCTCTCTGATGCGTTATTCACCAAAATTTCTGAAAAATTATCAGAAAACAAAAAAAACCTTCAATCCAAGTCCAAGAAGCCTGCAAAGTTTTGGTCCGATCGGATCAATTGCGAGTTGATCGAAAGTGTCCAGGCCTCCGGAGGAGAATTCTGGCCAGAAACCTTGAAAAAGCTTGGGCTGAAATTTGCCCAGCCCTGCGTATCAGTAAAGTGAAAAATTGTGTATGACAAACGTCCGAATAACATACTAGAGAATCAAGTTTGCGATCAGTCAGATAACTGACCTGCGCAATATGTGACCTCTAACATTATGGCGCGTTGTTCGTTGACCGATTCATATCTCTTAAGTTCGTTTTAGATTATCAACGTCTTCGCAAAATTTTTAAGACATTAGTCTTCGCAACAATCTTCTATTGTATGAACAGAAGTAATTGATATGAAACCTCCCTTGATGCTGTAGTTAATAACATCAAATCTCCACTAAGTATGATTATTTTATATTGGATACAAATAGTATTTCAACTGAAAATAGCATTATCAGCACCATTTGAAAAGGATATAATATCGTCAGACTCAGATAGACGTGGCACTTTTCGTGTTTCGATAAGATCAGTCGGTATGCGGATACTAATTGTCTATTTCGGTCTTCATGAATTTTTAGTCAGAAAAAAAGGAGAGAGCGATATTTTTTATCCATCAATTTGTCCAACATCATGCGAACAAGACTTTGGAGCTCTGACTATACTACAAAACGAAACCGGAAGAAACTTGATTCAGGAACAGGTTTTAATGTGATCAACATTGAGTTGAAACGAATTTTTTAAATAGTGTTCGTGCAAGTGCCCTTTGATCTCGCCTGTCTTCCTCCCAACAAAAGCTGCTTGCGTAAACAACTTGAGTGAGTTTATGACAAAAGTACACTACACGGTAATTTTTAATTAGGGTTCCGCGGATTTTTCTGGCACAGTTGTCACGGGCCGGCTGTACCGTGAATAGTTTTCTACGGCTCAGTCAGTCAAGTCGTCTTCGGAACCCCGTTTTGTTTCATTGTGTTTACTGTGAATAGTTTCAGGAGTGCACGCTATCAATTCGAATTCAGAACAAGAGGCATGGCAAATTGAAACAAATTTCGTACTCACTGTGGTCATAATAGTCATAATCCTGGTGGTTGTCACATGTGTAACTTGGAACATTTGCTGGAGTATTAAAAAAAGGTACCAATTGTTCAAAATTTCTCATGCTTCAAAAAAGCGATATTATTTTACGACACGGTGATTTTTTATTGGGGGAAGTTCCTAATGGGGTTACTCAGGCTGTGAAAAAAATGATTTTTTTTTCCATTGTTTTCGTTTTTTTTACGTCAAAAAACCCTATTCAGCGGTGTAAAAAAAACGAAAAAAAAAACGGAAAAAATGGGGCTATTCAGCGTATGTCTGTTTTCCGTTTTTTTCGTTTTTTTACACCGCTGAATTGGGTTCTTTGACGTAAAAAAAACGAAAAAAAACGGAAAAAAATCATTTTTTCACAGCCTGAATAACCCCATAATCAAATTCTGAAAAAAAGTTTCCCGAATTTTTCTTCAAAAAAACTAGAAAGACCACGAGAAGTACAAGTATTATAGGGGCACCGGACAGAAAGGGCGCGCTGTTCGCAATCTGGCCGATTTTCTAGGCCGCGAAGTAATTTTCCACTGAAAACGTGGCCTAACTTTTCAAACTCGGCCCGAGGTCGCTCAATTTATAGGGGCACCGCACAGAAATGGCGCTCTGTTGAGAAACTCTTTTTGCAGTGCAAATTGAGCGTCCTCGGGCCGAGTTTGAAAAGTTAGGCCACGTTTTCAGTGGAAAATTACTTCGCGGCCTAGAAATTCTGCCTAATACACGACAGGTGGCGTTATCTACTCACTGCCGTGAAACAAATTTGGCATTTTAGGGGGTACAACAGGGTACAAACGTTTATGGGGGTACAACAGGGTACAAACGTTTATGGGGTACAAAAATTCGAGGGTACAACATTTTCGATTCTGGGGTACAAACATTTGACAATTCAGTAGACATTTGATTAAGGGGTACAAATTTCACGATTTTGGGATACAAAAATTTTTTTCCATTTTTTCATGGGGAGCAATTCAGTGAATGTTTTTTTAACAGTTTTTTCACAATTTTTTGACATCGCTGAGAAACTCCTTAGAGAGGTTTTGCAGCTCAACGCGAGGTTATGGAACTTATGGTTTTTAAATTTTGGAAGTTGCAAACTTCTATCAGAGGACAAGCCTGCTTCCCGGCTAACGTATTTGTTTGCCATTCAGTGCTTTCCGACAAAAGGAAGACAGGAAGACGTTAGCCAAAATTCTATTTGGTAGTCAAAAACCTATCTGGTAGCAGTGTTGAGCGGAATTCCGTCTGCCGTCTTCCGTCTTCCGTGGTTTTTTGTTCCGTATTCCGTCTGCCGTCTTCCGTCTGCCGTCTTCCGTCTTCCGTCTGCCGTCTCCCGGGAACAAGGTTTTCTTCCGTCTGCCGTATTCCGTAAAAAAAATTTTCTTCCGTCTGCTGTCTGCCGTCTTCAGTGAGAAAAATTTTCTTCCGTCTTACGTTTTCCGTATTCCGTAAAAAATTTTCTTCCGCCAGCCGTCTGCCGTCTTCCGGATTTCAAAATTCCATTTCCGCTCAACTCTCTCTGGTAGTCAACAATCCTAGTAGTCAAAAATCCAGGTAGTCGAAAAGTTTTGGAATCAAAAATATGGTAGTCATTCAGTGTTTGCCAAACTGGAATGAAAAGTTCTAAAATCTGCTTCTTGCAACTTTTGTACCCCAAAATCGTGAAATTTGTGCCCTGAACTCATAAAAGTTGTACCCCTTAATCAAATGCCTAGGTTAAATTTTTGTACCCCAGAATCGAAAATGTTGTACCCTCGAATTTTTGTACCCCATAAACATTTGTACCCTGTTGTACCCCCTAATTTTTGTACCCTCGGAATTAAATGCCAACAAATTTCTGCAAATACGACGTGTGCTTTTTAGAAAACTGATAAATGACTTTCAACTTCAGTATATTCAACAATATAGACATAACGAAAGCAACGTAAGTGCGCGCATTGGGCAAGAAATAACATAAAACAATCAGGCATCTGGATCGTCCCTAAATCAATTTACTCTTGAAGAAAGTTCAATAGGAGAACCTACATATCCTCCACTAATGAGTAAAAGGAGGCTGGTATTTAACTCAGGTTAGCTCGGCTGTCAGTATTGCAAAAGATTAACCGGCTCGCGGATTGGAAGGATGGGTTCCGTGCGGTTGTCTGTCGATTTTTTCGACACGGTTTTCGAAAGTGTTCCTTAGTAAAATAGTCTACTATCGAACCATTTCAAAGTAAATGCGCTCTACTGGGATATATGACTTTCTTTGAAATGCCCCGATAGTAAGACTGATTATGATCAGCTTCTTAGATTACTTCGATTACGAGCAGTTACTTTCTCCATCTCCATTGGCACTGCAATTTCTTTGCGATTTGAAGAATGCTGTCAGTATTGCAAAAGAACGAATCCGTCAACGACGGTTTCATCCTTCATTAGAAATCATAGCGGAAGAAAACGTTTACGATTGTGATAGATTAATTGATTCCCAACAAAACTCGATACAACAAGACCGAGAATTCCAAGCCCGTCAAGAATCACCACACAGCTTACCAAGATCTGTTGATAGCGGAAGAGAATCGCGAGAAGTCTCAGACGATGAGGACAAGAACGACAATGAATCAAAAACTGGATTCACCGTTTCTGAACTTGTGCAAAGTAAGTTGAAAAACTCGCTTTAAAAATTTTCGCCGTCTTTTTTTCTCATATCTAATTTTCACCTACTGCTCCATTATATCAACTTTAAAGAAATCGGAGGATCAGTGCCACGCCCTTCGCTCGTACCAATACTTCTGAATTCTTCAATGCGCCATAAAAGTGTACGAAAGTTGAAAATTTCTAACTCTGGTACAAATGCTATCAATAGTATTCATTCGAGTCATGAAATGTGCGGAACAGCGGAGCCTGTCAGCTACAGTAAGATATGCCTCCCGAAAGTAGTTTCGAGGACCAGGAGGTGAGATTTTCACTAGCAAACAAAGTTGTTTATTGGAAAATGGTCTTCACGTAAATTCCGATTTTTAGCAAAAAATTCCGACACAAATCTATAACTTTTTCAACTGCATTCATGAATTCGGGCAGTTTGCGTTCAAACCTTGAAAAATATAGCAAAGAGCAATTAATTAACGTTTCCAAAAAAGAAACGAGACAGAAATGCATTCTAAATTTTTCAGAATTGCGAAGATCTTGAGAGGGTGACAAAATAGCGGGAAAACAAAAAATAGCGGATACCAAAAAAGGGGAAAGTAACATGCACCTTTATATTTCAAACTTTGACCGTACTAAGTGACGTTGATGCACCGATTGGGGCATTTTTGAGACAATAAATTATGGGGCTATTCTATTAAGGTGTTCAAAATAGATAATATTGCAATTTAGTGGCCTAAAAATTAGGCTAAAATTAGAGCAAAACAGTTAGACAGAACGAAATAGGTGCGGGATGACATGTCAGAGCGGTGTTCTTCATTCATTCCAGAGCGGTGTTTTTCATTCATTCAAATCCCTTGCCGATTTTAGAAACGGTTACGACGTATTTCCTTCGGACGACACTTTTATCAGTTCACTACCAAGACGAAACAAACGGGTTTACAGTGGAGCGACGTGCCAAAAGACGAATCTCTAACTTTTACATTTATATTGTAATCGTATAGATGTACGCATTGTGTTATCACTTTTGTTAATCAGCTTCTTAGCTTGCTCAGACAATTCAATTCGAATCTAAAGAGGTTGCGTTAGAAACTAAGTTCACTACGATTATGATCGATTAGATTCGCAATTTGTCTAATTATTATAGGGGCACCGGACAGAAAGGGCGCGCTGTTAGCAATCTGGCCGAATTTCTAGGCCGCGAAGTAATTTTCCACTGAAAACGTGGCCTAACTTTTCAAACTCGGCCCCAAGGTCGCTCAATTTGCACTGCAAAAATAGTTTCTCAACAGAGCGCCATTTCTGTGCGGCGCCCCTATAATAGATGTGAAATTTTCATAATTAGACGAGGTTTTTTTGGCGAATCTAAAGAGGTTGCGTTAGAAACTAAAATTATCTAATTAGACGAGGTTTGTCTAATTTGTTCTAATTAGATTCGAATTGAGTCGTCTGAGTGAGTAATACCCTTCTCTGGACGTGATAAACTAGAATGATAACAAAATTATATTTCCTTCTTAGGCAGCCTTTGTCCGAATAGTCAATCCGTGCATGTCTTTTATCTCCTCGCGTAACAAGGAAGTAATCATTTTGTGTTGCGCAACTTTTGACAATCCTTTGAAACTCGTTGCTTCGACAAACACCTCGTACATGGATCCACAACCGTCTGAAAAAATATATAAAGCTCGAAAGAAAAACTTAAATTACTTGACACGTCGTGAACTACAACACGTGAGCAGCCTTCGATTCCGGATCGTAGTAACTTGTTGAGCTGCTGTTCTGCTTGAGAATGCTCATGAATACAGCAAGAACGGATTTGCATTTGCGGAGAAATTATAGGTCTCACAGTAAGAAAAACTTTTTTCATTTTTCTGAAATATGACAACAGTTAATTAATATCAAGAAAGCTTTCGCTTTTACTTTTGTGTCAAATCAAGAATAACCTCGAGGCACCCGCACAGCTGGCTCATTGTCTAAAAGACTCAAAGCTCTTATTACTATGGGGTTCATTCAACGCAGCGCGCCATTCCCACAATTATGGGCCCAAGTTGAGCGGCCCTTTTTGGAGTTGCAGGTCCAAATAGTTGTTTTCAAAATTTTATCAAGATAACTTCAACGGCAAGAATTACCAAAAACAATTACGATCAATTGTTTCAGCAACGAATAGTACAGGAAATAACACAATTATTTATTGATGAGGTGGGTACTGTTCGCACTTGACGGTATCAGAAAATACAAAGAAAAAGTTACATATAAACGAAACTTCCTAAATAATCCGCCGCCCTGCCTGTGTTCACAAAGCGGTACCGTAAATACCGTATCAGAGAAGCATATTATAGGGGCACTAGACAGAAAGGGCGCGCTGTTCGCAAACTGGCCGAATTTCTAGGCCGCGAAGTAATTTTCCACTGAAAACGTGGCCTCACTTTTCAAACTCGGCCCCGAGGTCGCTCAATTTGCACTGCAAAAAGAGTTTCTCAACAGAGCGCCATTTCTGTGCGGTGCCCCTATAATATTAAAGACAGTTGGAAAAGGGTTTGATTCCGATATGATTCTGGTATCGGTCGTTTCAACATTATTATAATTCAACGTTTACTTTGGACACCGGAAAATATAACCTACTATAGTAGTATACTACTTTTGAAAAAAGGCTCCGGGACATTTCGAATCCAGACATTTGGAAACCAAACATCTCGAAACCGCGACATTTAGAAACCGCGACATCTGGCAACCAGACATTTCGAAGCCGCGACATTTCGAAACCAATTCAGTACAAGTATTTAAAAATTCAGAAAACCGCCAAATTCGCAGTATGGACAGTAATTTTTCGTATTGCTCAGGTTAAAAATGTGTTCTTTTTCTGCTGGAAATAGATGTTCCACTGTCTATTCGGCTTTGTTCTGGGTTTTTGTCGAACACTCTTATCTAACTTTTCGATCGTTCTCTTTCCGCAGAATTCCGTTGTTTTCGGGAATAATTTTGTTAAGTTATACGTTTGTGTTAGTATAAATAGTCAGAAATCATAATTAATTGCTAAAATACACTTAACATGCATTTCTACCGCGAATTTAGCGGTGTTTTGAACTTTTAAATACTTGTACTGAATTGGTTTCGAAATGTCGCGGTTTCGAAATGTCCCGGAGCCCTATAACTGGTAAAACTTCAAACTTTCCTTAGCCATTTTCAAACTTTTAAACTTTCTCAAGACAAAAAATTTTTCTAAGAAATTCTTAAACTTTTTCAAGCATTTCTCAAACTTTTTCAGGCCTTTATCAAACTTTTCTAATGCCGCGTCCAAAGTCTCGGAAACCCCGCAAATCTCGCGGACTTTGCAGTCGGCAGAAATTTGCGGGAAATCCGGGGTGCGCACAGCTGAACAAGTGTTACCGTACACCATAAAACTACGGTATTTTTTGAAAATTTACCCAAGAAATTTGAAAAATTTAAAATATTCTCGAGAAATTTAAAATTTAAAAAAATACCGTTGTTTGAAATTTTACCAGAGAATAGTATTTACGGTAAGCTATTGACGCTCTGTCGCAATATCGCATGAAAACCCGGCCACGACCGCGACCTTTTACAACTGAATTTGAGAAGAGAGACCTGCCAGATTTCTGCGACCGCAATAATACATGTGAAAAAGAATCACGGCAAACATTTGTGAACATGCTCGGGACTGTTTTTATCGCTCCGTATCGCAAGCCATGTCCCTTTAGCACGCGGGTTCGTCGCTAAGCGGGACAAAATACGGGCGGGAAATCAAACCATGTTCACAAATCTCCGCCGTGAAGAAGCAAAAAAATCATCGTGACGAGGTTTTGCAGTGCGTTTTCCGTCGCTGCAATGGGTTTTGTGACGTAAAAACTAACAAACCAAAGACACCATTAGAATAACGTAATAAAAATACACAGAATAATTTCATAATTCTCTATATTCTCTAAAATCACTGGCGTAGCCTAAACTCGAGCTGTCTTCGCTTGCTATCACATTTTCATTATCTTTTGAAACTATTGATATTGTAGCTCCTTGAGCGGCTGGATTCTTTAAAATGGGGAGTGATTCGCAATCTGTGTTCAACCCGCAATGTCTTTTGAGGGACCATTGCATTGCCCAGATCGACAGTGGCCTCATGTATCCAATTGCCCGATAGAACCTGATAAGAGAAATGTTGAAGTTTCATTGGAATTTTGCGATACCTGGACTCATAAAGCGCTTCTGGTGTCTGGTACTGTAATCCGGCTCGTTCAAAGCAAGTTAAGTAGCTTCCGGAGGCAGTATGGAATGCCTTTTCCACCTCGCCTTGCTGGATTAATAAGGAAGCAACGGCATAAGTGACACCAGTCCACATCTCATCAGCTTGAATGTATTCTCTGTCTATGACTCCATTCGGTTTCATACCGTTGACCGCACCCATACTCCCGTTTCCAAATCGACACACGTTGAGGTTGTAAATGGTTTCCAGTGAAGATCGCACCATTTCGTTCGGCAAAACATCGTTTGCCATTTCTGGAGAAACTGACTGCAAAAACCAAAAGCCACACAATTGATCAGCCATGACTGTATCCCTGCTCCTCGACCTTTCGCAAAATCGAAAATATGCACCCGTCCACAGAGTATCTATGAATATTCGTTTTGCTTTCGATAGAGTGGCTTGAAACAAATTTCTCATCTCTGTGTCTTCTGTTAGCTTTGCCATTTCGAGAGAAACGCGAAGTGAAGCTAACCACAACGATCCACAGTATGCACTCACGCCTTCCATTTGCCAAGCATCATAAGTTTGGTCAGCTTTACCGAAATTTTCGATCATTCCGTCACCATCTTGATCCCAATTCTCAAGAGCTTCTAACATTAACGTTTTTACTGCAGGCCATGTATGAAACAGGAATTTAGAGTGCTTCTCGGAGAGTACAACATAATCCCTCCATGATATTAAGACGTATTTCATATTGAGATCCTTCCATTTTCCAGTGTCATGCATGACATAAGCATTAGTTGCAATCCATGGCTCATCAGCTGGATTTCCTAGATCGTGAGGAATTCGACTTGCTGTTTTTACGTTTGCCCAGTCTCCTTCCATGTGAAAACGCGTTGGCTTTTCTATGGAGTGATATACTTGATCGGCTGGAGTAAAATGATGAGAACTTTAATGGGAAAATTGGCAAAACATACTGAATTCAGATTGAATTGCTAATTCTAGTTGTGGCCATAACTCTGCTAAAGCGTAGGATGCATAAAAATGAACGTCATAGGTGTTGACCATCCGATATTCCCAAGCTAGAAATAGAATGGCCAGGTTTCTTACATGGAGCACACTCAACACTTTGCGCTCAAATTTTGCTGAGTTTGTTAAATAGGTGATATCCTTTTTTTTTAGATATTCAGGATTTCGAGAAAAATAGTTTGAAATGAACATTTGAACCGAGGAAAGCAATACATAAAGAACTAAAAAACAAGCCGGATTTCCTCAAACTATATACTGAAATACGTACGTATTCAACTATTAAATACAATACCTCGAACCTGGGCCCGTTTGAGCGGTAAATGGATTGCGATTTAATTAAGCTTGTTTGGAGTCTACTTAGGAATTCTAGAAGTTTGGAAAATAATTAGACACGTTTCGTGTTCAAATAGCATATAATTAGATTCCAATAGCCGAAGCAGCTATTTTTGAATCTAAGAGTTTGTGAATCTAATCCGAGAAAGTTTCACGCTTACTGTGTCATTATTAGATGCGAATGAGCTCTAATTAAATCGCAATCCATTTACCTGAGTTCGCGGTGAGAGCTGACGCTCGGAAGAGGCTTCGCCGTTTGTTTCCTTCTAAATAGTAACTGTTCGAAATTTTTCTGGTGGTCGAAGTGAATAAATGAGTTATTAACGTTAAAATTCACGTGTTCACCTTCTTAATTTCTCCGTAACAACTTCATTCGTGAAAAAAAGAAAACGTGTGCGGACAAACCAAGAAATAAATAAACAGAGGGACAGACCCCGTAAGCTTTTTATTAAATAAGATAAGACTGATGATGATTGATTTAATGTTTGTCCCGTTAAAAACACATTGTGACGTGGGAGAGTTGAAAATTCAAGTTTGTGCTTCTCGACTGTATCTCCGGAAATCCGGAATATTTAACAAAAACCGATCGTGGCGTATCACCTACACCTAACACACTCCTACTAAAAATGAGAATCTAAACGAGATCGGAGGGCAATAGTTTGGCAGTGTTCCTTGCTAATCTCTATCACTTACATTCCAAATAACCAAACCGTCCAATAGTTTTCATCCGTTGCTTTGTGTATTCGCTTAGATGCGTTTCATGTTCAGCCCAATGTTCGTCGAATTCAAACCATACTGTGCCTCCGTCAGTGATAAAGTAGAGCTCATTAAAAATTGCAGACTTATACCAATCAGGAAGCTTAGTATGCATAAGAACGGGATTTTGCCAGTCCTCGATTTTGGTTTCCCAGCTTTCTCTCATCCGAAGAGCGCGGACACACAGAGAATCTGCGACTGCTCCTGTTTCGGATGCTTGAAAAAAACGTGTGTACCGACTAGAATAGGAATAAATCAGATAATGCAGTTGAATGCCCAACACACCGATGATAACTACGTGCCACTGAGCCAAAGTGAACCTTCGGCATGTCCCAGCTCAACGCATAATTGTGCACTTTCTCATCAGACGGTCCTAATTTGAATCGATTACAAACGGCGACTGCCATTTCTCTGGAGTTTGGAGAGCACTCTTCATCCTCAAAAACGGTCATTTAAGATGATGAAGCGCACACTACCAAAATCACCTTCTCAGGAACATCCCCAGTTTGCTGGAGATGGCACCAAAATGAAGCACCACTTTTAGACGGATCGAAGCGTCTACAAATTGATAAATCACTTCCTTCTTTTCGTGATGTTGCTAGGCCGTATGTACACGGCATGGAAGCAATAGTATGTGAAAGTGTGACTCCAGATGATGTACCGTCCTCAGCTTCGAATTTCGATGAAGTGCATTGGGATTCTCGGTCCCATCGACGATTGCCGGTTCCGTTTCGAAAAGTGAATGCGACCGAGACTTCAAACTCACGATCGGCCGTACTATTCTTCACGTCAATCACAAACAAACATACTGGATATGCTGTGTCTTCGTAATTATGTGGGAAAACAGGAGAGATCTGACGAATAGTTACTGATATTCCGAGATCAGGAATTTGGAACAAAGTCCAGGAACGAGGGAACAGACCTCTGAAAGGAACAAGATAATGATATTGTTCTCAGCATTGACGACGTGCCTGTAAAACAGATTTCTTTTGGGAAACCCGAAATTCCACGATGACAGTTGCCCAGAAGTTCGTCGAACATCGGCTGCAGATAGTACTTGCTGATAGATACACTTATTGCTCTCTCGAACAGATAAAATAAACTGATCGGCAGCGACAACGTCAACTTTGTGTTCGACTAGTCCCGGCCGAAGACTGAATTTACAAAATCCACCGCGAAAATCTCGTCCAATAGCTCCACATCCAATACCTCCGCAAGGAACTCCTGGAAGGGGTGCTGCACTAAACAATATGAATATGAATGTCAAAAAATACCATAGTATGGTTTGTGTTTCAATGGTTGAAACGTGTTAATGAAGAGCTTCTCCTTGTCAAATGTATGTTTCATCCAATACATGAAATAACGTCTCACAAATGGAAGCGCTTCGTAAACCTGCAGAAACTTAACTTCATATGTACTTATGGGGCTGTTCAGGGGATGAAAAAATGATTGTTTTCCGTTTTTTCCCTATTCAGCGATGTCAAAAAATGGAAAAAAAACGGAAAGAAATGCATCGCTCGCAGGGTTTTTTTTCCGGCGGGTCTCGCAGCGATTTCCCGGATGCGAAGCATGCCGCTACTGTGAGAGACGTTTTATGAGTGGATTTACGAGAACGGGTGGATTTACGAAAAACTTTCTAATTTTTCAGCGAAATTGCCACGTTTCCCCGCTATTTTTAATCGATTTTCAACGGAATTTCAGTTCTTATTTATTTGTTATGATAACTGATGCAAAATTGCCACGTTTACCGCTATTTCCGACCGACTTCGCTTGAATTCTTTTTTTGGATAGTTTCGAGTGCCTCGTCATATCGTTCAAAACATTGAGCTTTTCGGTGAAAATCGGTTAAAAATAGCGGGAAAACGGGGCAATTTCGCTGAAAAATTAGAAAGTTTTTCGTAAATCCACCCGTTCTCGTAAATCCACTCATAAAACGTCTCTCACAGTAGCCGCATGCTTCGCGTCCGGGAAATCGCTGCGAGACCCGCCGGAAAAAACGCTGCGAGCGATGCATTTCTTTCCGTTTTTTTTCCATTTTTTGACATCGCTGAATAGGGAAAAAACGGAAAACAATCATTTTTTAATCCCCTGAATAGCCCCATTAGTTGCTGTGGTCGGGCACGAAAAAAACAGATTTTTTCCGCAAAAAAAAACTCGATTCGAAATAGGAAAAGAATAGAACAAAAAAGTAATACTCCTGTTTCACAGGTATGCTGAACACCGACTCACTGAACATTGGAACTTACCTGTTGCGGAGTCGGTCTATTGAAGGGAACTCGTTTTTCCTTGGGTTTACGATCACCGCGGGCTTTCCAGCCTGGACCGATTGTCGCCGATTGCATATCTTCATCTGCTGATGGTGTTATGCACTGTTTTTTTATAGAAATTTTAGAGCGGCGTCGGCGCATTACCTGAAAGCAGAACATTCAAAGCATGATTTTGAAAGCAAAACGTTGTTTGCTTTCATGCTGATCAGCATGAAAGCAAACAGCGTTCTGAGGGCTTCTCTGATATTCTTACCGAGCAGCATCTATATTTCATTTTTAAAATTCTCCGTGAAATGAAAAATCAGACCGAAATGCAGAGAATAATCTCTTATCGGTAAATGGAATGGAATTCACACGCATAGTTAACTCTCTTATCGGGATAACATTAGAGACTGATAATTTTTGTCTGCAGAGAATAAGTGGTTTTGAGAAACCGTGTCAGTCTGTGTGCTCAACCATTGTGCAAATTTAAAAACTAATACTCAATGACTTCCGGATCGTTAACTTTTAAAACTCAAGATTGGCCAATTTAGACTAGAATTTTTCCCGAATAAAACCGGCGTGCTTCCCGTTTTTCAACCGGTTCAGCACACACTGTCAGGCGGAAAGAACATTGGAATGCCCAGTAGCGACCCAGACTGATTCAGAGACAATATTGATACTGTCTCACAACAGTTAATCTTCGATAGTGCTTCTATTAGATCATCGCAAAGATTTATTGATGATGAAATCACAGTTGCCAATCATAAGAAATGTAAATGTTTTAACTAGGCTGGTCGAACAGGCGCCTGAAAAAACAGGCGCAGGCGCCTGTTTTCTCCTGTTCGACCAGCCTAGTTTTGACTCTTGAAATCCGAGTCTAGTGAATAAGCATAATGATAGACTAAGCAATCTCAGCATCATCTGTGATGCTGTTGACCTCACAATGAATAAATTATAAGAATCATATTGAAGCATTGATTACCATATGAACCATCAATGAAAAATCAAGGTATGAGGATGACTACAGTTTTTAACGAATTGTTCATAGAAACTTAATTGCGGACCCATATAGCTTGAGTCGAGATTAAAGCCCCGGAAAATCATTGACTACTCCGTCGGCAACAATTTCAGATCCGTCAACTATATAAGATACTTTTGTGCGCATGCGAGCCTGAAACAAACATTAGAAAAAAATAGAGTATGGCACCATTACCATTGCATTCGGAGACTTTCTTGTGATCGTGATATACTGAATCGTGTGTTCATTCGGCTGAATGTTAGGAGAAGATGCTGGTTCCAGAGCGATATCAAAAGCTTTTGGAACAGCAGCCAGAAAATTAAAGTTCGACAACGTTCGTGGGGTATAATTGTATGCGCTCATTTTCAGACGAGCTTTTTCATAGTTCCATGTTTCCAACACCTGAATTTGGATTTCAATTCCGTTCGAATTGATCGCGATAGCAGGCTGGTATAGATCCCTGAATATTATAGTTTCGTAGAATACAAGATAGAATACAAACGAACGTCGAAGCACCATGTACACCTTCCTGATTGAAGAACGCCCGAGCATTTGAAATGTTGCTGTCTCCGAAAATATCAAGTACATTGCTGTTTGGACCCCCCGCGCCAGTTTCACCAAAAAAACCACCAAGTTGGTCTGATTCAATGCTCAGATCGCCGAGTAGATCGGTATTTGTCGCATGCATTTCAGGTGTAGCTGTAAATCAATATGAATTACTTCGAAGACTATCTTTCAAGCATTACTCACAATCATTATCAGCCATAGACGGCGCGGCAGCATTCAGTGAATTATGAGTTATTACAGGCATTCTCTCAAGTAGTCCATCTCTGAAGAAATTGGAATAACTTTGAAATTCAAAGTAGCTTACTTCAGATCACCCAGTTTCAGTATGATATTGAACTCTACTGATCTTTGTTGTAGCTCTAATTGAATATGTGCTTGATTCATTCTAACGAGTGCCTCAATTCGATCCCCGGTTGAATGAAATCTTGTTGAGAGTTTTGCAAGAGCAGTGACGGAATAACATTTGGTCATCAGCGAAGTCAGGGCTGACGGCAAAATGCTTTCAAAGACGCAAATTACATCAAATTCAGAAATTGGAGTACTGTCAACGTCAGTCGGTTGCAACAACAAATCTCCGAATTCTCCCATTGTCCAAAAAGCTACTTGTAGGAGAGGCTGAGCGTTTATGGCATCTTTCTGAGCAGCATGGTACAGTTGTGACACAGCATAGCTTTGCAGTTGTTCGTTTGCAGAAATTAGTTGAATCATACATGACACAACTTCATCAGGAACATATTTACCAGCCTGAATATTGAATCGTTAATCGAATTATGTTAATTCAGTACGTACCAATCGTAGAACAGTGATCATAGTGTCAAGATGCCACTCGTGATTTGGAGAAAATCTTTCCGTTGCAATATACATCCTAGAGGCGCATTCTGATTTGAACTCAGCATCAGCAGTTTCCAGAAATATTAAAATTTCCTTTGTCATGATAGCAATATTGGTTTTGTTCATTAACGCAAAACATAACTCCATAGCTCGCTTTCTGATGGAAATATCCGGATCTTTGAGACACTCAACCACAACATTCCTATGGCGTTGCACAGCCTAGAAAAAGTGAGATGATTTTTTTTTAAATTTATTTACGTTTATTTTTAACGTGGAGAAGAGAGAGAGTGGAGAGAAAAAAGAAGGGAGAGGGGATGTGGGGGAGATGGGGGGAATAAATGGAGGATCTTCAGCTACTTGCCCGCGCAAAAGGAAAGAGATGATCATTTAACAGATGCCTGTGTCAGATTCATCTTTGATAAGACTGTGTGTAAAAAAGTTGTGTCTTAGCTTCGATTTTGGAGTCTTCCATCGGTAAACGTGACTCCGTCTAGTCCGTGTAGTGCTTAAGCGTAGGAAAAAGTCATCAGGATTGATGTCGACTTTGTTAGCTAACAATTTGATTAAAAACTTCTTATCTAAATGTGATCGGCGAGTTTCTAGTGATTCGAGGTTAAATTGACGGCGACGTTCGCTGGTGTTTATGTAGTTTGGCGAATCTCGAGGTACGAAAGCTCCTATTTTCCGCAACCAAAGTTTACGCGAGAAGTTACTCTGAACCTGTTCTGTTGCTCTTATCGTAGCTTTTTTAGAAGGACATGTGACAATAGTGCCGTATTCAAGTACGGGCCGTACGAATGTTCTGAATAAAAGGGTCATCAGGCGTGTGTTTGGAGAGTAAAAAAACTTGAAAAGGTTCGCTGTCATTTTGTTTGCTTTTTGAATGGTCTTCTTCCAGTGGTCAGCAAAATCTATATTTGACGAAATCGGAAATCCTAGGTCATATTGATTCTCTTTTTATCTCAGCTGTGTCGATATAATATTTGGTTATTGTGGGATTTCGACCTAGTGATATACAAACTGATTTAGAGAGATTAAGAGACAGCTTGTGATTCTTGGACCATTCAGAAATACGGTCAATTGCGATCTGGAGATCTTTGGAAGGGGATAACTTGGGGAAGTGTGTGTAGATCTTGAGATCGTCCGCATATTGTTTTGATTGTATCTGAGGCGGGAGGATCATGCTAATTTCGTTGACATAAATTTTCGTTGACAATTTCGTTGACATAAAGGAATTAGAAGAAATTCCAACCTGATAGTCCACATGAACAGTTTTGAGTAGGGTGTTCAAAGCAACATAGCGGATGTTCTTATCGGTGTTCAAAAGAAATCTTCCTAAAATATTAACGGCGAGAATGCGGAGACCGCTTTCGCTCTTAATCTCCATTATAGTCAGAACAGTTTCATACAAGATCGCATTCCCGACATTTTTTGCAGTTTCCGTATTCGTCGCCACCTGAAAATCTACGTCACTTTTAGAAGGTACAGTATCTGAAAAATTTTTTACCTGAGCTAAGATGTCATTCATCTCCTCTGTTACTCGGACGTCATCCTTTCCCAAGACACGCAAAAGTCTCAGAATCTTAACTTGAAGAAATGGGTCTGATATTCCTGTGACGTCGTGCTCCGGCGAATAACCACTCATCAAAAGATTTTTCAGAATACGAACCAAGTTGGGAACAAGCTTTTTGAAGTGGTTCAAGACATCAGGACTTTTCTCACACATTTCCGTCACCAGCGTTGTAGCTCCCATCAGAACCCCGTGATGCTTTTCTGACAGCAAAGATCGTGTACAGGGAATGAATACCTCCATAAGCTCCGGTACTTTTCGAACAATACGAAACGCACAAAGAGCAGCCTGAACGTGTTTTTGAGAAATATTTTAGAAAAAATTACAACACCTTTTTCTTCAAATAGGCATTATTTTGTTTTATGATTTTTTCAACTTCATTCGCTAAATCTCGGCACATTTCTGCAGAACAAATGGAACCCAAAGTGCACAGAGCCAATCCGCTAACAAACTGTGTAGAACACGTCAAGTCACTAAACATCGCAATTGTTAATGAAACATAGCAAGGTTAACTCACTTTTTTAACGAATTAGTTACCAGTAAATGAACTTCTGACCGCTCATCCAGTAAAAGCATTGCCCCAAGATAACCAATCCGTTTGTCTGTGAATCTTGGGTGCGCGACAAGTTTCATGCACTCCATCTAAGAAAAAAAGCACTTCGAAATATCGTTATACTCCTAAAAGATACCTGGCCGAAATGAGCTGGATATCCTAGCATATGGATATAAAGCAGTTTAGCTATATTCCTGCATTTCCACGGAGAGTCGTCGTCTCGAAAGCTTTCTCTGATGTTCGCGCTTTCTCTATCAACCACTGCTCTTTCTTCGGCCATCGTTCGGGCTGCTCGAACTTGTCTTATCAAATCTCGGAGGCGCATCGGCGTCCCAAGAGTTCTTAAATTGAAAATAGTTATTAAAATTAAGATAAAATAACCTACCTTCCAATTTTTGACTTGTATTCATCTATCTTCTCTATGGCTAGCTCAACAGCGGTCGCCATCTTTAATTGCCCGTGTTAGGAGGACACACCTGAAAAGAATTGTTCGCCACTCGTATGAAAAAATAAAACGAATTTAGAAAAAAACGAAACGTAAAAACACCGGAAGCGCCAATCGTAAAGGTATCAGCGAAATGAAATGTTTATAATCAGTCGTGGCAGTCAGCCTTATCGACATTTTAACCGAACTATTTGTGTATTTGCGCGTGATATTAAGCGCCAAGGAACAAAAATGCTAACAGTAGCCAATATAAATTTAAAATTAATTAAAAAAATATATTTTCAAATAGCCGAGGCCAAGTAAGAAACTAGGAGAAATTATGAAGGAAAAAATCGCTCTTTATCGAATAATATCAAAATAACGCTTAAAACACTTTTTAGGTCAAAACACATGCGCTGGGCCGGGCCGACGAAACCCTTTCTTTTCTTTTTGGAAATGAAAACTATCCGAATAAAACAAAAAAGAAAGAAATAGAGTATTCAGTGCATTTTTTTGTATGTAGAAGCGGTTAATTACTAAAAAAAAATGCAATGAATAACCGCAAAAGAAATGAAACGAATTTGTTAGATTTTTATTTAACAAAACTTTAGAACACGTGTACAGTAATGTAATTACAGATGAATAAAGATATAGAATTATCTGCAGCAGAAACTTCTACAGATTTACCTCTTCGAGCTGTACGGACTGGATTAGGAGCACTACTGGCAAATGTAGGTTATTATCTACATAAGACATATCTACATATCTACATAAGAAACACGTCTTCTTACAGCTTCGAGAAACCAGCTCAGGTGAAATTGGAAAGAAGCGGGAAGAGCTGCCCAAAACAGAAAAGGCAACGGATTCCTCAGAAAAAACAGAAAGTAGATTGTTAAACAGAAGAGAACGGCGAGCCCTCGATAAAAAATTAGGAACAGAGCATGATCGATCGCTGAAAGAGGAAAAAGAAACAAATGTTAGAAGCAAAGTTCCAACAACTCTGAAGACGGTTTTCTGGTACGTATCATTATGGGGCTATTCAGCGTATGTTTGTTTTCCGTTTTTTTCGTTTTTTTACATCGCTGAATTGGATTTTTTGACGTAAAAAAACGAAAAAAAACGGAAAACAATCATTTTTTTCACAGCCTGAATAACCCCATTACAAGACATTTAAAACCCGGGCCCGCTGCGCGCGCCGAGATAACGCTCGGAAGCGAGTTTCTTAATTTCTCCGTCACAACTTTTTCCGTTTTAGAAATGAAAAAATGGCCGGACAAACGGAGAAAGGATGAAAGAAAGATACGGACAGACCCCGCTAGCTTTTTATTAAATAAGAACAAGACTCAACTGGCGGATTTTGTGAAATGGGGTTATTCAGTGCATGTTTTTAAACGATTTTTTTACGTCAAAAAATTCAGTTCAGCGATTCAAAAAACGTTTTTAAACGAAAAAAACATCCGCTGAATAGCCCCAAAAAACTCGAAATTCTAAATTTTGAGTTTTGCGCTAAATTTTGTGTTTCGCGCCTCATGGGCCATGAGTCATGGCGGGAAAATACTGTCGCGTCGTCTTCAGAACCCTGTGATCGAATATTGAGTTTTACTAGTTGAACTCAATTCATCGCTATTGTCCCTCGGTGTTTGCAGACTCAAGCCTCATTTCTGAAATTAGGCTGGAGAACGCAAAATCCGAGCGGCAAGAGCAGTACGTTGTGAGTAACGAAATACCACTTTTCAGTGATCAGCTTTCTTATAATAGTCATGAGGCCACATTCGGATACAAATCGACGAGAACGAACAATTTCATTCATATTTCTATTCAAAACGAAAAATCGACGTCTGCCGTAACTGCCTCGCAAGATCGATGCCTCAGAGTCTACAAGATGGGACCAGACGTGAGATTTCAGAACTCCAATTATGTCCAACGATCATTGACTCACTCATCATTGACTCATGTGGTATCCACACAAAACATTTCAGCCTGATCGGAAACGAATCACGAGTTACAGATCCATTGACTTAATAATGATTGAGCAGAAAACTGTATAGGGAGTCGATGATAATGTAAGTGATTAGTGAGTCAAAGATCACATGAGTCAATGATTTTTATTTATTTATTTATTTACGTTTTATTTTAACGTGGACTGATTAGAGGAGAGAGAGAGGAGAATGGATGAGGGGGAGGGGATGATGAGTGAGTCAATGATCGTTGGCCTCCATTTATTCTTTCCTCAGAATACTGGTAAAGGCGCTATACCGCGATCTCACGTGCAAAACCGAGCGCCGCCGCGAGCTTTTCCAATTTAGAACTGAGTTTACGTTGAGCGAATGCGAATGCGTGCATGCGCGCGCGCTCCAAGAATAATTTTTACGTTTGGGATGCTTGAAGCGCATTCTTTGAAAAAATCTTGAAAGGCTGAATGTTTTTTTTAATTCGGAAGTAAATGTTTCAGAATCACAAATTCCATACCAGAAAATCGCTGAATATTTTTTCCACAATTTTTTTCAAAGAATACGGCTTAAGCACTAACCTTACTACCGAAACCCGGATCTGGGACCTGATATTGTGCATGTACGGGACCCTATATTGTGCTAATTATAAATAAAAAAAACATGCAATGATCGGAAAATTAGTAGATAAACACCCAGGTAGGTAATGAACGGTATGTCCGAAAAGGTAGGCAGTGAACTTAGTAGGCAATGAACGAAAGTCAAAATTTTGGTAGGCAATGATCTAGCAGGCAATGAACTTTGGTAGGCAAAAAAAAGAAGGTAAAGATCGTTTGCCCCAGGCGCGCTGGAGATCACAAGAGCGCATTCACTATGAAATGCCCGATAAAAATAATGATGATTATGTTCAGTTATTCAGGATGCAGAGCAAATATGGAAGCAGAACACAGGTGGGTTGATTCTAGACGTGATCTATGGACAGAACGAACAGGACATACTGACCACTTCAAAAATGCGACCTATTCAATTGTGGGATATTCAGACCGGACATATTGTAGGAACTTATAATGGAAAGGACGCTGGAGCAAGTTGAAGTACTTTCTAGCTTACCTTTTTCTTTTAAAATTCAGGATAACATCCAAGAAGCAATGTGCATTGGACAAACAGGAAACAAACTAGTTGGAGGTTTCAAAAATAATTTCCAAATGTGGGACATATCGATTCCGGGAAGAGCTATTTCTACTTTTAAATCATTTGACAGTGGTTGTAAGGGATTCGAGCATGTTCATTAAAAAATTATCCGACTCTCTTCTAGATAATACTGGAGTTACTGGTTTGCCTATGTCTATTCATGCCAATCCATTAATGGAAGACGTTTTTGCAGCAGCTGGAACTTCTTCACGCGGTTTAACTAGCTAACAAGAAAAACTCTTCAACGAATTGTTTTTTCAGTTGGTATATACTCAGTTCAATGGAAGTCCGCCGTATCTACAATGGAGGGATCAAATCGAGGATACACTAATATTAAGTTCTCGTCCAGCGGTCAGAAGCTGTACGCATCGGAAAGATCGGTAAGAAAAATCATAATTTCTAATAAAGGTTAAGTAACTGTTTAAGGGCGATATTCACTGTTTCGATACACGAATGAATGCGATAGTTCAAGTCCTAAAACGAAACATGCAAACATCACATCGCTCGAGATTCGATATTAGTGAAGACGACAAGCTTCTTTTCTCAGGAACTTCTACTGGTGATGTTGTAGTGTACGAACTACACAAACATGATGAATATCTGGAACCATGTTTTACCACCAATGTATCTTTAACCTGCATCCCATGTGTCAGCGTAAAAAACGGTCGAATCGTGCTCTGTTCAGGCCAAAGATTGTTTCCCGACGCCTTTTTCGACCATGAAGAGTACCGAAAAATGGATGGAAGCGAAGACGTTTATCAGGACAACTCCTTCCAAGTATTTGAAATTCATTAAAGGTTTTATGCAGTACAAAATGCACATATTTTTGAAATAAAGTTCAGTAAGAGATTTATGGTCCCAAAGTTCCGAATTCCGAAAAAAATATGCGGAAAAAATATTTTTTAGACAACAAAAAAAATGAGAAAGGAAAATAAAATTAAGGGCGCCCCACATCAGAACTGCCTCTAACCAGAACTATAGAAACCGCTAATCGGTTCTAATTTGGAAACGTTCTGATTTGGGATAGCCCTAAATAATCTGCTCGAAGTTAGTCGCAATATGCTCGTGATGCAGTTCCAATCTGATGTAATGGTAAAGGTGGCATTATTCCAGTAGCGTCGTGGTGAACGAAACGACTAGTGGCAGGCGACGAAAGCCTAAGAAAAAAACATCTCTGATTATCATATTGGGGTGATTCAGTGGATTCCTATTCCCCGTTTTATAACGCTTTTTACATATCGAACTGAGTTTGTTGACGTAAAAAACGTGAAAAAACATACATTGATTTTATGGGGTTATTCAGGCTGTGAAAAAAATGATTGTTTTCCGTATTTTTCGTGTTTTTACGTCAAAAAATCCAATTCAGCGATGTAAAAAAAACGGAAAACAAACATACTCTGAATAGCCCCATTAACATCAAAAGATCTACTCGAAAACGTACTGAGATTCACAATGTGGCCGATGCATCGGCTTTTGCTGACGATATGGCTGCCTCTGGCTGAAATAAAACTATAATTGGCATATTCAGTAGGGCCAATCCAAATTTTTGCTGCAAAAGTTCTTTTCAAAGAAACTTGTTTCGAATACGATTGTCTTCACGACTCATGGCGACCAAAATATGGGAAGAGGGCGTGGACCACGCTGATACGCGTTTTTAGAAAACTTCTACGATGTTTGTATTCATTGATATTTTAAACGGGACAAGCAGAAATCCCTTCTTAATTCGGATTCTACGCACCAAACCAAAGTGCGTCGATTTAATAAAAGCTGGAGTCGAAAGGGCCATGTTTTCCACGGTTGCGTTTTTTTCTACGGGACTAGAAAACTCCACGTCCACGGTCTCGCCCCGATCACCGCCTTGTTTTACTAGTACCCAGCTATTTTTTCAAAAATCAAAAAAAAAATCAAAAAATCCCGTTCTCATGCGCACTCTGAAATCCGATAAGCCATTAGCTATAACAATATATTGTTCAAAAACAAGTGTCGCAAAAGTAGGTCTCTGACCCAAATAAGTTTCTGTTCTCTTGTTCTCTTTTTCTGTACTCTTGATAAGTCTAGTCCCGCGATTTTTTTGAGAATCACTCGAAAACGAAGGCCTAAATGGAGAATCTGGCTCTCATGCGCACTCTGAAATTCGACGATCTAGAAGAAATTCGGAAAGTTACCTAAATAAGTTGTTTTTCGTTTACGTGGTCGGAGATTCGAGAAAATTTTTCACGCTGACCCCTAGTTGGCCCATGGAGAATTGGCCATATGGGAGTGAACTAATGTAATGTAAAATATCTTACCGATGTTTAGCATCACTTTTCCGTTTGGATTTTTTTTTGCGTTCCAGTTTCTTTTTGAAAAGATAAAGGAAGAAACCGCAAATGAATACAAAAATGCATCCACAAAAAACAGCTGCGATAACAACAGTCCGGTCGCCAGTTTTTTCTTTTAGTGAGCCTGAAGGTAAAAAAATGCTTCTGATTTCGAAAAAAGTATATCAGCTTACATTAATGGCTCATGCAACTCACTGCAACAAACAAAAGCAATAACCTGTCTGTCTTTATTGAAGAGCAAGCTGTTAGGAGTAGGGGTAATCGGTGAACTTTTTCGGGTAAAGCTGACCAGCCTACAGTTAAATGAAAGCAACTTCAAATAAGCTCAGATAAACAGAAATATCATCAACTCTTTTCTTTAGCAGAATCTCAAAACTTCACTGACAGTGTTGCTCATCAGTATCGTCTTGAACAGAATATCCACAATTGTCGAGGCCATTACAGCGCAGTTTAGAATCAATGCACAGTTTCGAATATGTACACAAGTACAAGGAATTTGACTTGCACACACTTTCGTCTTTCCCATTTAAATCCATTACTTCTGTCCATGATAGATTGAATCCCTTGAGACCATTCACTTTGTCCGGGGCAGTCAAGAAACTTGAAACGGTAGCGAATGTATAAAAAAATCTTGAATTAAGACCAACCTTATTCGAACCGAATTACTGGGAGAAAGATAGGATTCGAAAAACTCTCGCCTCGTACCACAGTACTCTGTGCGTGGAGCACCCTCGATGCGTATCACTGCCTATAAAAATATTTCAATGGATCAACTTCTTGGGACTTTCAATCATTGGCTCATTCATCATTAGCTAGAATTCATTGGCTCTCATGCTGACAGTCATTGACTCTCATCTTAATCTTTGACACAATCATCATTGGCTCCTATTGTCATCGACCGGATATACATTTTTTCAGAAACCTAATGAAAATAAACCTTTTGGCAGCTGGCACTATCAGAAGCCATCTCTCCTTCAACATCGATTGCCTCCATTTTCAGCAAAATTTGATAACCGCTTCGAACATTTATCTGCCAGTCACAGTGCACATCCTTGTTGTACTTAACAGGATAGTTTGGTGAAATGATCAATCCATTTGGTTTCTGAACAGTTGAATTGATGACCGAACCACATCTGAAAGCTCCGCGCCGTACGTGTGCTTCTAGAAAGAAAAGAATCACGGAGAACAAGGTGTGGATAAACCTCCTAACGGCACATCTTCCTTCCTAGCAGTGCGAATTTCAAATAGACCTTTGAATCCATTTGCTGTACCAACTGATTTAGATGAGAACACAACGCGCATCTCATGAGACCCAAATGCGGACACTGATGGTCCTGGGAAAGTGTCCGAGCAGTAACGTTCTGCACTAAACAATGCTTAATCTATTAAGTCATGAAATGAACCTTTTAGTCTGAGTTCTTCCTTTCCGTTTTTTAGAAAGACATCGTATACATCCAGCCAAGCTTGACATCCGTTCTCTTTATTACCGCTAAGAGCAAACTGCTCAAAGTGGAGCAATATTTCCTTTCCTGGTTGACCGACTATATAGTACGTGCAGTTGGTATCCAATGGATACTGCAAATCGTATTTTGGAAACGGACAAAACAGGACAACTTACGTTTGCCGGATATCTAGGACTGTTAAAAAAACCTGTTGACGAAGTGAATCGAAACTTGCATTCGTTTGAAGTCCCAAGAGAATCTCCTGTCACTCCAAAATCAGTCCTAAACTCGATGGTGGCCTTGAATCCGATCGGAGATATCTGATCATCTCTCGTGTCTGTACTTCCGAACTGCATGACCATTCGTGGACCTTCACTGATATATGGTCCCAACAATGAAGAATTTGGAGCAATCCTTTCGCAGAGAGTAACGTCGAAGATTGAATCATCAGTTGACGACATCACTGCTTTCATATTGCCTTCAGAGATAGCAATCCCTACCCACGCACTCGGACAAGCAATATCATCTATTGAAGGAGGAGCTGTAGCAGGTCTGATATTCAATCGAATTTTAATTTTACTTTTCAACTTTATCTCACGTTGTATCAAAACTTAGAACTGCGATTGAAACGAATGTAAGGATGACCTTTTCCAGATTTTGTTCGCCCTGTAGACCATGAATAATGTAAGTACAAGTAGTGTTGGCTGGATATACTTCAGGATACTGTAACACGTTTTTTTCAAATTGAAATTTTCGTATGCTTCCTAGTACATTCGGACTTGAGATTGAATGAGTGGTTTCTCTGTTGCTCTCCACTCTCACGTCACATTCTGTTCCTCGTATATGAGTTACACCTCGTTGTCCGTTCAACATCTTTTCAATATTAACGAATCTTGAAGAAAAATCGTAGTCCATTATAAAGCTTAAAAAATAGGAAAATTAAATCATTAGGAAAAAGATTAACTTGCCCTCTAGGGTCGGACTTGGATGGTTGCGTAGTGTTAAAGTGAATGAGTAGACTATTAGACATTGAATAAATTTCCATTCTTTGCTGAAGACCGCACACTTTTCTTATTATGGGTGATGAAGGAGTTGGCCCATCAAAAACAGTTATACTGTCGTATGGGCAGCTGAAATTTTCCATAGATAGATTGTTTTCACATGGTCGGCTAACTGTTCTCCACCGAAAAAAATATCAAAGTCTGTGAAAAAAATACGGATTCGTTCTCCATCAAAGCCATTGAGAAGGTAAGAACAATGCATATTCTAAAGAACGGATTTTTACGAACTAAGATTAATCATTAATGTTTCTTCCTACATGTGGATAAGTTCCAGGATAAGTTGGAGAGTATACAGTTCCCGTTTTCCGGACAGCCGAGTTGATAATATAGCTACACTTCTCTCCCGCTATTGGTTTCCCAGAGATGAATTTCTCTGAAATGTTTATTTTAAATTCCGTTAAGGTATTGGATCTGGAAAAGAATTTGAAACAAACATCTTTCATTTCCAGGAATAATTTCTCTCTAACAGGAATAATTTCTCTCTAACAATTGTTCCCCAATTTTTAGATAACATACGTGTTATAACATTTCCAAGACTTGCAATTTAGTGAGTTTTTTTTTTCCAAGACTTGCAATTTAGTGAGAAAAAAGTACGCTAGGCATGTTTTCATTGGTAGAAATCCTTCAGCCTTCCATCACTTTTTTAAATTCGAGTTTTGAGGTTTTGTGCATCTACCGTACTACCATAACCCGAGACTGTGAGCCAATATTGTACTCTTGGGATACCAGTTGCACCCCCTCATGTATGCCTACACAAAAATATTTTCCTAGAATACACGTTGGTTTAGTCTGGCAAAGAATGGGTTATATTTTCGTTCAGAATTTGGAAAAAATAAAAACTATGATTAAAAGCTTTTAGGCAGGGCTGGGCAAAACATTGGCCGGCCTTGGCTGGCCAGCGGTCGGCCAAGGCTTTGGCCGGGCTAGTTGCAAGCGCGCTCCACTGCAAAAAAGCCTTGGCCGGCCAATGGTACGGTAAGCAATTCGGTTCACTGAGCAGTGTTTGCACACACAGCATTTTAAATAAAGAACAAATCGAAGAAATTATTTTAAAATGAGAAGAAGACATGCTTGAAAGTAGAAAAAAGGTGAAAAGAAAGTAAGTGAGTTAAATTTCGATGAAATGAAAGCTGACAAATTTCGAAAATTAGCAGAAGTGAAGAGAAAAATAAAAGATAACGACAGAATTAATGAGAACGAGATGCATGAGAACGAAACGAAAGAAAAAAATGTATGGGAACAACGTTATGAATCGAATTCATCGAATTGAGCATTTTTCTGTGAAAATATTTGATCATGAAGTGAAAAAACTTGGAAAAAAAAGAAAACCCTTTTGAAAACACGTTTTTTTCTTTATTTAAAATGCTTTGTGTGCAAACACCGCTCCGTGAACCGAATTGCTTACCGTACCATTAGCCGGCCAAGGCTTTTTTGCAGTGGAGCGCGCTTGCAACTAGCCCGGCGAGGGCTTTTCATTGGCCAGCCCTGCTTTTAGGGCAAAGACATTTAAAAGAAGTTGTTGAGAATTCTGTCCCATGCATCTTTTAAGACATTCTTGTATGGCAAGCAATAATTTTTTCCCTATGAAAATTTTAAATTTAGCGGTTTTTAGCACATTTTTCTAAGTGCTTTCCGTTTCGTGAAAAATGTTTGCATCAAAATTCATATTATAGGGGCACCGCGCAGAAATGGCGCTCTGCTGAGAAACTATTTTTGCAGTGCAAATTGAGCGACCTCGGGGCCGAGTTTGAAAAGTTAGGCCACGTTCTCAGTGGAAAATTGCTTCGCGGCCTAGAAATTCGGCCAAATTGCGAACAGGCCCCTTTCTGTCCGGTGCCCCTATAATACTTTTTTTTAAAACTGGTTTTTATTACCCTCTGAAATAAAAGAGTATTTAGCCCTGAATCCGTGATTTTCTTCATGATTTGATGATCGAGAGTGGAGAACAAGTTTCATAACACGATGCAAGCTAATTCGAATGTGTGGAGCTACAGTACCACAGTACCGGCCGCCGAGAACCGATGAGAGAATATCATCTTCCACATTCTCTATTTCCGAATAAATATCTAAATACTCGATATCACAACTGAAAAATATTGGTTTACATAGCTATCATGTCTTCGGTTTTACTTTTCTGAACTACCCGACAGAAGAAAATGGTCGAATTCGAGAATCACACGCTGCCTCGGTCCCGCAACAAACGTGTATACACACTGTAAGAACGTTTCAGATAAATTTAAACAAATCAAGACGAGGAAATATTTTTCTAAAAACGATCGCGTACTTGCAAATTATACTGATGTTCTGGTTTTGTATTGTTAATTCCATGACTTAAAGCCAGTTTCTTCGGCAAGCTTGGAAAATCTATGATTCCTTCCGATTGCGAGCTATCGAAGTGCTGATCGCATTCTGTAAGCGACAAACCCCAGTTTTCTGAATACATGTTCGACCGTACGCGCGTGTATCGAAACGTGTGCTCCCTTATGTCAGTTAAAAAAAATCACTACACAAGACTTTTAAAACTTGGGCCCGCTGCGGCTTCGCCGCTTGTTTGTTTGAATCTTAGAATCGTTAGAAAGTTCACGTGTTCACTTCTTATGACGTGTCCAAAGTTTTATAAAATCTGTGAAAACTGTTGGACTTTGCTGTACTTTAAAAAATATACCCAAGCTTGCACAAGAAATTTAAATATTTTAAAATATTTTCAGAAAATACCGTAGTTTTCTGGTGTACGATAACATTCGTTCAACTGTGCACTTGAGGCTACGCCGATCAGAACTGTTCGAATCCGAACTGTCCCGGATCAGAGAGAGAAAACCAATTTGCACTGAAAATAGTTCTGATTCGAACAGTTCTGGTTCTGCGTAACCTCGTGCACTTTGAACTGCAGAATACGACAGATTTCACAGATTTTTTGAGCTTTAGGTTTCTAATGGGCCTATTCATGCGGGAAAAAACTCGATTCAAATCAGAAAAAAAAACTGTTTTGTTCCTGTTTTAAATCGAGGTTTTTACGGAAAAAATTTTCCCGAGTGAATTGGTCCATGAGAGAGGACCATCATTATGACTTACTCTTCGTATTGTAGAACGCCTTTCAGCCAGAACACCATAATCAAAACTAGCAGACAAGCGATTACGATGGTGAACAACAATGCGAATATAATGTCACAATCCAAAGCACGACACTTAGCACAGTCTTCTTTAGTTTCCTTTGAATCCCATTCGAGAAGCTCAATCCGGGTCTCTACTATTCTCTCCAGGCTTCGCATTCTGCACTATTTCCAGGAAGCAGGGAGGAATAGACAATACTATAAGTCAGGCTTTTGATTTAAACTTTAGGTTGCCAGAAAACAAGTCGATTTAGTGACGACAGAAATCAGCGTGAGAGCAGTGAGCAATTGGAAAGTAAATATTGAAAGTGCACAGGAGAGAGAGGAGTTTGCGAAAAGAAGAAGGATTCAAAATGAGTAAGGAAGGCAGAGAGGAAGATTAGAGTAGAGACCCCGCCATGGGAAGCGACTGGCGTGTCCCATGGGATTTAGGAATACTGATATTTATAGAAAACATTAGTGCCCTGCAAAACAATTATTAGCTTCTCATTCAATACTTTTTAAGCACCTCTTGAATATCACTTGTTGTAGTGGATGAGCACACTTTTGGATACACACGCAGGGAAAAAAATTGAGACTCACGGAAAATTGTCTTTCTTCCGGAACTAACCGCGTTGCCGACAATGACAAAAAGCAATCCGAAATACATTCCGTCATAAAAATTTTCCTTTCAAGATCGATGACATCTAAAACAAGACAGATATACAGACAGAGATACACGGATTGAATCAAACGAGTGCGAGCAAGGAAATACTTGGCGAGAGAATGGGATAATGTAATTTTGAAGGAGCCACTTGCATTGAAATAGTATCCTTTGCAAACGGGCAAAAAACAGACCATTTATTATAGGGGCACCGGACAGAAAGGGCGCGCTGTTCGCAATCTGGGCGAATTTCTAGGCCGCGAAGTAATTTTCCACTGAAAACGTGGCCTAACTTTTCAAACTCGGCCCCGAGGTCGCCCAATTTGCACTGCAAAAAGAATTTCGCAACAGAGCGCCATTTCTGTGCGGTGCCCCTATCGTATTAAAGAGTGGGAAAACAGACGAGAGTCCGCTGAAGAAGAAGAAGTTTCATATGGCTCAGCATGTGAAGAACGAGAAGAGGAATAGATTTTCATTATTATGGACGAGTCAGAGGGCAAGCACAATGCGCTAAACGAAAATAAATTAGAACAATTAGGTCTCTAAACGTAAATGGTTCATTTTCTCTGCGCATAGCTGCATTATGCATTTTAACGAAAAAGAAAAATGGGCGAATGATGTCTAATACTAGTTAAACCCTTGTACCAAGAAAATGTTGAATTACTTTCCTTGAGAATGTAAGTATTTCGGCGCCTATACGAATTATAGACAATAAATGACAAATTCAGTTCCTCTTTCTGATATATTGGCTATAGCGCAGACTGAGCAATTTCCAACAGACAGTTGCACAAAATTGTTTTCTAATTTTCGCCAAAATTGCATTTGTTCTGTTCGAAGGACGTTAAAGTTTGCTCACAAACTGCAAGGATTCTCAAGATACGCGTTGTAAAATCCTTCAAAGGGATCGTATAATGTTTTTAAAAAGTTGTCGAAAAAATAAAATACACAACCCCGCCCGTTTTTTTTAGAGATTTTAAAGCACTTTGAAGACTCGAATGACCTATTAAAAATTATTTCTAAAAGTTGTGACTGAACCTCGACATAATTTTTAACACTGAATCGAATGGTGTTACTTCCTCGATTACTATTTTTTGCAGAACAAATCAGGTTTGCTAATGAGGCGGAGAATGTTTTTGACATACGTTTCTTACGTACAACAATTCAAATCAGCGACGTGAGAATCGTTCTAAAATACATTTGCTGAATAATTTTCTCAACAGCTGCTTGCAGCTTCTCAAATTGCAGGTTACTGTAGGCTTAATATCAATAAGAAAGTAGCTTTACGAATCGCAAAATGACATTTTTTTAAATCTCGTTCCCAAACATTATCGATTTCAATCAGGAGTATTCACTGCCCCCGCAACAGAGAAATGTTGTTGTGTACAGCATTTGTGCTCCCCTGTTGTGTAATGCGTTTCATCTTCTCCTTTCCACCCAGCTGTCCAGCTTATCCGAGTAACACTCCCAGCCAACACATATTTCTTCATTCACCAATAATTTCTTCTACTTCGAGGTATGAATTTACTGTTTTGCCTGAATGATCTGACAATTTTTACCTAGATGACAATATCTCCGCTAACAAGCAATCAAAAACATCTTGAAAGTTACAACTGGACTAGTGAGAATCGGAGTAGTCAGCAACGAACTATTACTCCGTCCCTGCAAGGAGAAATCCGACTCACCGCTATTCCTGATCCTGTAGAACGACATGTAGCAAGGTGGAGAAGTGAAAGTCGTAATTCCAACAAAGACAAAGTGTTTCGCAATGACGAAGAGTTCAGCCAACGTCAGTAACTGTACCTTTGATATCAATTTATTTGTATCATACAACCATTATCATTTATAGAAGACGAGATCGTCACTGGAACAATAGTAGCTTTGAAGAATGACGTAGAGCAAACAACGGAGCTGATTCGTCGTAAACAAGAACAAATTGTAAATCAGGCTGAATAATGATGATTTGTTTGGTTTTCACTTCAGAAAATGGAACGGCGTCAGTTTCAAACGGAAATGGAAGTGAACGGAAGAATATCTGTTGACCCTGCTGATGACTGGCTGGCGGCTAGGCTGAAAGCTGTCAGCTCTGATGATATGAACCATCAACTTACAAAACTTAAAGCTGATCAAAGTATGTAAATGTTCAGAATATTAAAAATCAAAGTATTAAGGACAACATGCTGTAACCGATACTCTCGCCGCATTGGTGTACGATGTGAACGCCACTACCGAAGTTTTACGTCGAGGATCCAAGGGACGGGATGGATTAGAAAAAAATAAAAAGCAGAAAGAAGAAATCGAATACACTCTCCGTCTAACTCCTGCCCCCGAGGAGCCTATACGAGTGAAGTCTCGTAAGTAATGCCGCACTGAAATTTTATTGACGTTTGGTGTTCTAGCCGAGGATGATCATGTAGAGGTGAATGATTATTCGAGAGAGTATGGCATTCGACTGTCGGAAGAGACCGACAGTCTGAGACGCCGCCGTGCAAGAAGCACTACTCCCCGAAGAACTCTTCATATCTCTGGGTCCCCACCGCCACCTACTGTTGCCATCTGTGCCTACTGCAGTGAAGAAATCGATGGACCCATTCTGACGGCTTTGGCTCCAAATTCTGAAAGAGCACAGAAGTTTCACACTTATCATTTCATGTGCACATACTGCCAGAAAGCTCTGAATATGCACGGAACTTTCCGAGAGCACGATCGCAAGCCATACTGCCATGATTGCTTCTACAAACTGTATAATGGACTGCAATATGCCCCAGACGATCACCAAGCAACAATTGAAAAACTGATTTAATTTTTTCGTGTGTTTTTATTACTCCTGAGGAAGTCTTGAATAAACGTTCATATTGTCTGAATCATCGTCATCAAATGATTTACATATCCTCCTACCCTCCCTTGAAAACGACTCTATGCGGTGTTTGCGGTTGCTATGGATACAATTAATACTCGTTTGAAAGCGCAGTCGTTGCAAACACAACTCACCAAAAACCATTTTTTCAATGGATTCAGTGCATTTTTATGTGAGCAAATGGACTTTGCCAGTTCTGATGAAGGACTGTGAGATCTACTGTCCATCAACTTGCGTGACTCTTGGACCTTTATTTTCTGATGGTGATTCTAAACTGATTGTGGCACACGGAGGACATCGGGGACTCAACATGAAATTGAAAGTGTTTCAAGGTATTGAACCCCACTCCGAGAGTTCTCTAGCTGATATGCCAACGGCTATTGTTCACTTTGTAAATGAGATGGTAATTTTTGTTTATTTCATAATTTCATAAAACTTTTCTTAAGTCGTCAATACCATCGGTTGCTGTAGCAGCTGGACCGGCTTTGTTGATCTACAAAAATTTGAAACCATTCTATAAGGTTTCACTGCGCTTACTTGTGCCAATAGTTAGTTTTTGTTTCAGTTTACTGTACCCAGCTCACCGATCAATTCGACAGAACAAGATGCATGGAGCGCAGTCTCCAAAAAAAAAATCAGTCTCGAAACGCTTGCTACCGTTTTGCAGAAGTTGTCAGAAGATCTATCCTTTTCAAAGTTAGCACCAATGTCTCAAACTTTTCTCATCGCCAAGCCCGATGATAGATCATCAATAATCGAAAGATGTGGATCCAAAATTACAAATTCCGTGAGTCTTTTTAAACTTATAAAATAGTGTGAACCATTCTTCAGGGCACTATAACATGTGTAACAAAGATGGTCAAATCAGGAGCAGAACCACTTGATGTACTTGTCTTGGGCACTGAACATTGTCATCTATACATGGTAGATAGTCAGGCCTTCACTGTTTTGAGTTCTGTTGAACTTCAATCTGTTCCCGTTTCCATATGTACTTATGGTAGGCGAATCGGAATAGAAACTGCATGATGTGATAATTGTGATTCAATTTGAAGGTTACTTTGATGTTGATTATCGAGTTTTCGTGCAAACAAGAGATTCTTTGATATACTGTGTGAAAAGAAATGAATCCGAAAACAAAGTTATTATTATTTCCCAGAGTATGATAACTTCAATGACGTTGTTAAACAAAATGGTATACAGAGTAACTTTTGAAATTTGTTGTATCACGTCAATCCATTTTGTAGATTGTATTCTCCACTGCTGAGGACACAATAAGTTTTCATAACTTTAGAGGAAAAAAACTTAACACTGTGAAGTGTACGTCTAAAGTAGGGTGAATTCATTCAAAATGTACTATTATATTTGCAATACTAAATCAGATCAAAATGTTGGAGTCATTTTACTACGCACAGAAACAACTTTCCGCCGTTATCGCAGTGTTCGAAAAGGAAATTAGAATGTACAATGAAAGTTATCTACTCGATGTTTTGAAGTTCGAGAAAGCAGTATCATGGGTGAAATATGGCTGCTACGGTAGAGAGGACAGTACTTTACTGATATGTTTCAAAGGTTGTGAGTATCATAATAATGTTGTAATCAACGGTTTTGCAGATGGTACAATCGCCATCCAGATATTCCGAAGACATGCCAATTTCAAGGAGCGGATGGATTACAATGAGCATCGTCCAGCACATGCATTGAAATTACAGATACCAAAGAAAACTAAAATATTCATCGACCAGACATCCCGCGAGCTCGAGTTTGCTAATAAGATACATACGGTGAGCCATGAGGGATATTGCATAGAATATTATTTGAGTTGGTAGGCGTACCAGAAAGACCTTTTCAATTTACGCTTCAAAATTGCGGAAGTTTATCAACAGCTGACAGCAAGTGCATCTGCTACCGTTTCCACGACGTCTTCGCTCCCAGTAGAAATCGCTGTGGACATTCATGGTTTCGGTCCGAATTTTCGAATGGGCGTACACCTGCTCTCTTCTAGGTATCCAACACGAACTTTTTATTATAAGACGAAGTCTACAGCAGGAACAATTTATATAACTTGCATCTATCTATTATATCCTATCCAGAATTATATGAGTTCGACACTCCGCTCATACCGATCTGCTTGCTGTCTTCTGGTCAGACTTACTCTTTCACTACAATGGTTTTATGCAAAGATCCCGAAAAAGTTTGACGTTTTCTTTTTTCTTCGTTTTTTGAAATTTCAAACTTATCAGGCGGCACAATGCGAAATACGAGCTGTACTCGTGCAAGCTGAGCAAGGGTCACCAATCGTGACAGCAATTATAAAAATGCCGTTCAGTGAATTTCCATTGCTTTGATCAAAATCGACTTTCCATATACATACCCACTCTTAAATTAATGCTCTTGTCTCGTCAGTGTTTTGCTACATCTCTGAATTGAATTTGACGTAAACTCAATTCATCGCTATTGCCCCTCGGGAACATGAATGCCCTACTTTGAACTTCACTTTGAAAAATATTACTTTTTTCGTGCACGACACCTTTGACAATACTCGACAAATTCTCCGACGTACGGAGAAATTCCCCGAAAAAAGTCGGAGATCCGCTCTGTCCGTCTGTTTCTCTTACAGTCTGTCTATATAACTACTAAAACTCAACTAATAAACAAATTGGCTACATTTTGGCGGAAAATTGATGCAAACATCGTGCCATTGGTGGTGACAATCTGCCCATTCTCTTCTCCTTATCAATTTTGTTCCGTCCGATAATAAAATTGTGATTTTCTCATTCCTTGTTCTGTGTTTATCATGTTGACGGTAACAAGAACTGGTGAAGCCAAAAACGTGGCTTTAATTACTCTAACTAGAACGAATGCTCTAAATGCACTTTGTCGTGATCTGATGACAGAACTGTCCAACGAACTTATGAAGATAGATGAAGACCCATCGCTCAGTGTCATAGTCTTGACTGGTAGTGAAAGAGCATTTGCAGCCGGCGCAGATATCAAAGAGATGGCCAAACTGGAATTCCCTGATGTCTTTCAAAAAAGGTTTTTTCACTCTCCTCACGCAAACACTCGTGAACATGCTTTCAACTTCCCGCCCGTATTTTGTCGCTTCTGTATCGACTCAGTTGCGTGCTGAAGAGGAACGTTTTGGAGCGATAAAAACGGGCCCGAGCATGTTCACAAATGTTTGCCGTGCTCCTGTTTGCCGTGCTCCTGCTCCTAGAGTAATCATGTCTTCCATTTCAGCTTTTTTGCCAACTGGGATGCCCTGTCTCGTGTTTCTAAACCGACCATTGCTGCTGTAAATGGGTTTGCTTTAGGTGGAGGCACTGAACTGGCGTTGATGTGCGACATCGTCTACGCCGGAGAAAATGCGGTATTCGGACAACCAGAGGTCAATATTGGGACGATACCCGGGCTAGGTGGAACTCAGAGATGGCCTCGTTTCGTTAGCAAGTCGCTTGCTATGGAGGTACACAACAAGCTTGCAGAAAAATGAAAAATATTATTCATATCTAAATGTCTCTGGAAACTGTACAATTAAGAACGTCGGTCCTTTAATTTTTCGCGAACTGTTTTGCAGGGTTTTCCAGATGTCGTGACGTTTTCATAGAAGAAGACTTTTCTGAACATTTTTTGAAGATTTTCAAAGTGTTCTGGATAGGCTGGTCGAACAGGCGATTTCAGGCGCCTGCGCCCGTTTTTTCAGGCGCCTGTTTTCTCAACGCAGGGACGCGGCGGCCCGTTGAAAAAACAGGCGCCTGTTCGACCAGCCTAGTTCTGGAATTGAATTTATACAGTTCAAAGTTTTCTTTCACAATAAAAATTCCAACTTGTAAGAAATGCTCCTTACCGAGTGCGGAGGTACATGCTAATAGAATTAGGCGGAATAGAACTGATACAAAATAAAATAGAATTGTGTTATTAGCATCATCACAGGACTTTTGAAACCGGGCATTATAATTAGATTGAAAAAACACACTAGATTCAAACTTTATCTATTTGGAGACAACGTCGCCTGGTTATATTCAGAAATCTAACTAGATTGATAAAAGGGCCGGTTGGAAACTTGAGTAGAATTAGCTGGCACGGCGAAAATTTTTGGACATGCTTGCGCCCGTTTTTATTGCTCCGTATCGCAAGCCGTACCCTGTTAACACGTATTATAGGGGCACATCACAGAAATGGCGCTCTATTGAGAAACTCTTTTTGCAGTGCAAATTGAGCGACCTCGGGGCCGAGTTTGAAAAGTTAGGCCACATTTTCAGTGGAATTTTACTTTGCGGCCTAGAAATTCGGCCAGATTGCAAACAGCGCGCCCTTTCTGTCCGGTGACCCTATAATAAATTAGCCGATATTTCGGCTAATACGCAGCGACAAAATACGGGCGGGAAATTCAAACCATGTTCAAAAATGTTCGCTGTGGCGGACCTAGGCTCAAAAGTCTTGTACTTATATAATTGCAGATCTGCCTCACCGGTGATCGTATGAACGCTGATGAAGCCCAGAGGGCTGGTTTGATAAGCAAAATTTTCCCAGTTAGCCAGCTTGTCCAAGAAGCTGTCCGTCTTGCCGACCGGATTGCGAGAAACTCTCCTTTGATTGTTGGACTGATCAAGGTTAAGTCTTTTTGGGAACATGCAACGATTCTTTCAGACCAACAACTTAAGGCAGAGTTCATGTAACTCGTCAATTCCTTGTTCACTAGCCGCGGCGACCTGTCGAAAGTATTTCCGATCGTGCTGAAATTTTTTGTGTGTATACCCTATGGATCTCTAATCACAAAATCCGCATTAGGGGTGGCCAGGCTCATCGCGGCTTCGAGTCGGTTTGCGGAGGCCACTCGGAGCCGCAATATCCTCGGTAAAACTTCGCAACTTCTACGCTAAAGTAGGAACCATCGCAAAGTTTCCACAAACCTTAAAACCTCCGCAACTTTTGCGCAAACATTTCGCAAACTTCACGCTAATCTTACGCAACTTTGAAAAAGAAGTTGCGTAAGGTTTGCGCTGAAGTTGCGGAGTTTTATCGAGATTATTCCCTTCTAAAAACTTTACCGTGCGTGTTTTTAATTTTTACACTAAGTCGCATAAAATCAATTCAAAGTTTATGTTCCGAACCGACCGAGATAGGTCAGGCCAGACGAATTTTCGGCCCGGAATCTTGCAAGTCTGCAAAGGTTGATTTTTCTTTTAATAGTTGAAACTTCATTCAGAAATCAATCAACGGAGCATATGAAACGTCTCTGAAACAAGGTCTCAACCTGGAGAGTCAGCTTTTCCAATCAACATTCGCAACGGTATGTCCAATTTGTTAGTGTCGGTTGTTTTAGTCTACTCTTATTCAAGAACGACAGACGTGAAGGAATGTCTGCGTTCGTTGAGAAACGACTACCGAAATGGAGCGCAAGCTGATAACAGATAAAGATAGTTCAATATCACACAAAAGTTCATTAGCAATAAAGAACGTTTTTTTAATTGAATAAAAATTAATTCATTTTAAAAATTAAATGTGTCCATCATGTTGATGGGAGTGCCCGTGTCGAGAATTTTTTATCACAGTTCCACGATTGACCTAGAAATATTTTGCGAATTTCTCCTAGAAAAAAGTCTAGTACCGTATGACCTAGTTTGAATCCTGGGTACACCTGTTGAATCCTCTGAGTGAAATTTTTTTTCTCCACTTGAACAGTTGAGTATGTAGCTCCCGACTTTTTTAGAATATTAGCAACACGATATCTTATCATTTGAGCGTTGGCATCAGGACCGACTTGAACGTGCACACTTGCAACGTTTGTATCTGATTTTAACTGCCATATGTGAGCTTTCGAATACGATTCTACATTATCAATCTGTAAAAAAAATTGTTTCTCTCTGCTAAATCACAGAATCAGTCACATACATCTAATATTTCGCTGGTATGATAATCAAATTCATCTTCCTCGGGCACATCTTGCAACAAAGTACTAATTGAAGATACCAGAAGTGGGTAGACCGATCCAATAATTAGCAACGAAAGAACCAACGAACACAACGGATCCACCCAAACCCATCCAAACCATTGAATTAATAGTGTCGAAATTATCACGAACACTGATCCTAATGTATCGGCCAGTACATGCAGAAACACTCCTGAAAGTTCCTGATACAATGCGGCCAGTCAATGACAAGGTTCCAGGGAAAATTTATCGAACCTTGCATATTTGCGTTCCCATGAGAGTGCCCGTGGTTAGCTCCACCATGAGAGTGTCCATGACTGCTGCTTCCTCCGTGGGAATGCCCATGTTCACCCAGAGAGTACATTCCAAACAAATTAACAAGAAGCCCAGATACGGCCACAAAAAGTAGACGGTCAGTGTTGATATTTGGTGGATCAAACAGTCTCTCCATAGCTTCAATTAAAATGAAGAGAGCAATGACACACAAGAAAAGAGCGTTAATGAACCCAGATAGAACCTGAATCAACGAATTAGTTATTCATAAACAGCCGAATTTTACTTCTACTCTCCCGAATCCGAATGTGAAATGACGAGATGGCGGCCACCTCGCCATAACCGAAGCAACCAGTCCCATAACTAACGCACTACAATCGAACAACATGTGGAATCCATCGGAAATCAGCCCCAAACTGTTCGTCCAGAATCCATACAAAAACTCAACACCGCAAAAACCGACGTTCACACATAGAAACCAAAAAATTCTTCTCGAGTCACTGTTCATCAAAATCTCATTAAGAGTTTCCTGAAAACAATTACTTTTACGAGTTCAGCTGGATTATAAAATCACCTTCATAAATATCATCAATGATTTTGACGTCTTCTGAAGAAACGCTTCTCCGTACGTAAACAATGGGAGTCCTGTGTTCGATATTCCTACGAAATGCCCTCCGCGGTGTTTCGGTTGGTTTGAATGGGTTAACGAAATGGAGGCTGAAACAGCGGTTTGTTCCGAATTTTCTTTTTAAAGGTTTCGTGACGGGAAATGTCTCTTACGAATGAAAAAAATTTGTCTCGAATTTGACCCGTACTGCCAACTGGGAGCAGTGGCACTGTTATTATAGGGGCACCGGACAGAAAGGGCGCGCTGTTCGCAATCTGGCCGAATTTCTAGGCCGCGAAGTAATTTTCCACTGAAAACGTGGCCTAACTTTTCAAACTCGGCCCCGAGGTCGCTCAATTTGCACTGCAAAAAGAGTTTCTCAATAGAACGCCATTTAATCGCCTGTTCGACCAGCCTACAGTGCGCTGTGTACGATAAATTTTCCATCGCTTTTCGAGAAGTCTGCATTTTTAGCGAAAAACTAGTAGAAACTTTTCGGTGATGTACCGAATTATTTTTTTTAGGTCCCGTGGGGTACGGTAGGCTGGTCGAACAGGCGATTTCAGGCGCCTGTTTTCTCAACGCAGGGACGCGGCGGCCCGTTGAAAAAACAGGCGCCTGTTCGACCAGCCTAGGGTACGGTAGCCGTTGGTTCGGATTCGACCACCACATAGGAAAAAATATATATGCCAGAGACTGCCCGCAGTGGGGCCCGCACATAAATATGGTAAAAATTCTTGATCAAACTCTCAAAACGTACCGAATATAAAACAAAAGGTGGTGATTGCGACACCTCCGGTCAGTGAGTGATCTGGTAAGTTCTGACTACTGTACCAGATATATGCCAACCCAAAAGCACATGAAAACATGGTAACGGAAGACCACCGGGCAGCTGCCACAACTGGATCCTCGAGATGCTGAAAAAAAAGGCTGAGGAATTTATATGAGTATACTTACTTGAAAACAAGCCATTTCCGCATAGAAATCAAGGACAAATACAAAAACAGCGACAGCAACCACCAGCGCGGTCCACTCAAACCACCCAGTTGTAGTTGGTGGCTCAGAGAAAACCCACGAAAGAACAGCGACTGGAGTCAAACAAATAGCAGAGATGACCTGGAAAACCGACCTAATCGAGAAAAAACAGTGTGTCATACAGTAATGAGTGCGTGCAATTTTTTGTTGCCGCCGACTTCGACGGCTAAGTGACGGAAAGCAGTTTCGTAGATGGTTCGCAAAATCAAAGCAACCACGAGAATACACAAACCCCCTTTGTGATCCGCCATGCCAAACAAACCTGAAAGTTGATTTATATACAATCACCTCGAGTATAAGGTTTTTGAGACTGAATTTCGCCCATCGGGTTATTCAGCCAATGTTTTTTGGTCAGAAAATCTTCGGCCCGCCCGGAATGTTGCAAGTTTAATTTTATATGTATCGTTTTATAATCACACTCATACCCAAAATTCGAGGAACACTAACCGATGAGATGATAGAAGAGGTGATTCAAACCGCTATGATGAGCATGTGTGGTGTCTTGAAAATTTTCCTCACTATACAAAAAATGTATATAAGAACTCACTATGTGGATCTTCAACAGCCCCATCTTTATCCATCAGGAAAAGAGCTATAAATCCAACTATCAGCAATATAAATCCTCTTGTTTTTGTTGGCGTTGAGAGAGACCCTTTAAAGAACGAAGAAACAGCAGTCAGTAACACTGCTGTGCTCAGTTCAAATATCAGAACACTTCTAAAAATTAAGAAATTAATAATAGAAGACTTTTCCTTCCACACACCGTAATGGTCCGCACAAGGTGATGCCATAGAACCAAAGAATATCAATGGCACTGTTGATCATCGAAAGTTTGGCTATGCGCACAAGCAAAGACTTCCTCACGGGTTTCCCAGATGAAAACGGTTTTTGAAGAGGGAGAAGAATAAATGCACATCTGCGAAAATAATTGCGAATAAATTGTTTCATTGTATTTAACTAGCAAGCCTACGGCTCGCTGTGATTTTCTTACACCCGTGAAACATGTCTAAAAGTTTGGATAGCGCTGAGAACCATTGAATAAGCTTTTAGAACCCCCCCATATGGACCTTATCAGTCGGGAATCTAACATCGAAAATTATATAACAGTAACCAGCTCGCCAAGGTCTATCTGAATAAGTAACTTCGTTTTTTAAAAGTTCTTGACACTGCTCCGGAGCACTCCAAGGATTGTATAGACGTAAACTCAATTCATCGCTATTGCCCTTGGTGTTTGCAGACTCAAGCCAAAATTTCCTGAAATTAGTCTTGAGTCTGCAAACACCGAGGGGGCAAGAGCGGTAAATTGAGTATAAGTATGCCCCAACCCACTATGACCATCCTCAAATCTTAGGAGGGGTCTTATAATTTATTATTTTTTTTGGAAACTATAAAAATTCAGAACTTCTCGGTTTTTCAACTAAACACATATGAATATTATTGCGATTCAAAAGTTCGGTTCATTCAATACCCCCATGAACTTTTCATTATAAAACTCACATTAATTTACAGGTCCAGAGTAGATTTACTATATGAATGCTTTTCGCCAAAATGTCCACAAAAAACGTTCCAATACATCGAAGCACCTTCGCAAGCACAAGTACAAAAAAATAAAAAGCGGACCTGAGAATGAGTTTTTTCTAGTTAAAAAAAAGCGCAAAACCTGGAAGACTGGGTCGGAACGAAGTCTCTGTCATTCTTCTTCACTAAATCATGTGCGAGCATGGCCAATGACAATAACAATGATGCTTGAAAATAGATTTAATCGAAAGTTCGACCCATAATCGAAGAGCAGATCTGCTCCAATTAATACAAAAATCCAAATGTTCCAAAACTCGTACAGTATGCATTTTTGAGAAGCGATGTTCACGGACAAACACCAAATCCTACGACACTCGTCGGCTTTTTTTCCAAACTACTTAATAAGATAAGCAAAATTTCAAAACGAAAGGAGGGAGTCTCGTTTGTTTCTCCATTATTATAGGATGAAGACAATTACAAAAACAACAATTCTGTTTTTTGTATGTGCCGTCTCTGCTAGTTCAGAAAAGATCGACGACTCAATACACTACTATATATCGTTCACAAACGACGCGACAAGAATCAGAAGCACACCATCTCTAAAACTCGAAGATGATCACTCATTCGATGACTATGTCAAAATAATGTCCAAAAACAAAGAAAAATTCATATGCAAGCTGCCTTTGATTGACGTTGAAGAAAAACATACTACGGACTACTCTGGGCCGGCAGCCGGAAAGCTTTTGGAAGCAATGCTCTATAAAGACAAAATGTGCTCCTTCCTAATTGACGTGTATTGGACATATCAGGTAAATTTTTTTATGCAATTATTGTACACAACGATGTTCCAGGTATGTCACGGTAGATATGCGATGCAATATCACGAAGACAAGATTATGAGTTCACACATTAGTAGAACTGAGTTCTACCTTGGAAACTTTGACTATTCGATAACTCTTAGTAATGAATTTGCGAAACCAAGAACACGGCGTATCGAAAACGAAGATTATCCGTACTATGCGGTGTCGTATACACACGGAACAAACTGTGACGTGACTGGGAAACCGCGAAATACAGATGTTATATACATATGCGTCGAAAAAGTGCAACACAAAATACTATCTGTGACGGAAGTATCATCATGCCATTACGAGGTACCGTACCATAGTAGTAGTTATATATAGATGAAAAAGCAGACATGAGCACAAATCAGTTATTATGCCGCGTCCAAAGTCACCAAAATCTGCAAAATCAGTAGTGATTTCGCTGTCCAAAGCTCGCCGCAATTCTACAGAAAAAAAGGGGTGCGCACAGCTGAAACGAGTGTCACCGTATACCATAAACTACGGTATTTTTTGAAAATTTACCCAAGAAATTTGACTAATTTCAAATATTCTCACGAAATTTAAAATTTTTCAAAAAATACCGTAGTCTTATGGTATACGGTGACACTCGTTTCAGCTGTGCGCACCCCTTTTTTCTGTAGAATTGTGGCGATCTTGGGACAGCAAAACGCTACTGATTTCGCAGATTTTGGTGACTTTGAACGCGGAATTACTATTATCCAGATCGTTATTATGACGGACTTGCTCTGCAGTAATCCAAATTATCAACTGTCGGAAAAAAAAGATCACCAAATTCACTGCTGGAACGAAGACTCTACCGAAGAAAATGAAGCGAAGCCGAAAACTCTGCAGAGACTGGATGATTTCCACGATTCCACGTTCAAAAGGTGAAATGGTGACGATGGTGGATTGAAGCGAATACATTTACTTTCAGAGAATATACAACTATCGACGTAGAATCAGAAGACGATGGAAATGTTGTTGACGCTCTGGACTTGGAAAAACTTCGTGATGATCACCGGGATAGCTACGTTCTCTCTGGTGAGAAAAGGTATATTAAACAGGCCCTTTGGAACCTAGACATTATAAGAAGGCCTGTCACTAAAAATTAAGTGCTCAAGCTACTAATACCATTAGATGGAGGGGTTGCAGTAAAAATCACACTTGCAAAAATTTCCGTTTTCGGGCCGGCTGCTAACTCGCTTCGAAATCTAAGTTGTGAGTAGAACGACATATCAGATTCTAGATATTCGCCAATCCAATTAGAAAAGTTATCAGCCTAGTAACTAGTAACAGTAAATTAACAATCTAACTAGGTCCGGTTAGAAACGCGAATTAGCTAGCTAGATTAAAAACGATTTGCCCTGAGGAGCTGGTAATGTGGCGTGTTCTTCAATGCGGAAACCCAGGCCGGGTCAGGATCGAGTCGGCCCGTGCAAAATCTGTCGGGAAGAGTAATATCAACAATGTTTATGTTACAGGTTTCAAACCAGGGAGTCTCTGGCTAATAACCCAGCTGTAGTTCACCATACTGTTAATCGGATTCTTACCGGGGAAGACTGTATTGTCGGCGGAATCGGATGGTGGAAATACGAGTTTTGTTACGGAAAACACGTCATTCAATTTCACGAGGATACAAATGGAAATCGAGACGATATCCTACTCGGATCGTTTGACAAGATTATCCACATGGAATGGGTTAAGCAGGACAAAAGGACAAGAGGTCCACAAAAGGCGACTATCAAAAAAGTATGCTCTATTTCACAAACATTTTGAAACCCAGTTTTTGTAAAACTAACCGCGGTCAAAAAAACGTAGTTTTTAAAAAGGCGCCGTTGCCGATTTTGCGCCCTTTTGCTAGGAAACCGGGGTCGAAAATCGATTTTTGTTTTGCTACAAAAAACGTATAAGTCGAGAAAACGACAGTGTCTCGTACTCGCGAGTTCCGCTCGTTCACGTCGTCACTTCACTGTCATTAATGCACGACACGTCCTAGGCAAGCTTGCATTTTTCGCTGTTCTTTTTCGGTTCTTAAAATAGAAAAAAAAAATAATTAAAGCACGGATTAGATCTATTTATTAATACCTTTCCCGGTATCCAACGGTTGGCGCATCTTTTGTCATTTGCTGCTCCGAAAGTTGAATATCTCTCATTCCTGCAATCTTTCGAGTAAATGAGAGTAAATGAGAGCAAGGCAAAAAATGCTTGTAAACAAATGAGAGAACACGCCTCAACACTTTTAAAATTAAATTTTTCCAGTTTGAGGGCGATGATCAACTTATACAAGTTATACAAGTGAACCATCTATATTCAAAGGGCGACATTTGCGATGAAACTGGAGCGCACAGGTAAATTTTCTGATCCATTAGAAAAAAGTAGTGAGAGACTACAGAGATGTTGAAGTGAGGATCCGATGTGCCACTGCCGAACACAGCGCTCTCGCATTTTCAATGCTTCTTACGGAGCCTGCAACATGCCAATATGTTCTTACGATCGACAGCGAAAGGTTTGAAACCACCTAATACGCAGCTAGTTAAATTCGCACAGGTTCTGCGAACCGTTACAATATGCTGACGATACAGGACTTGTGCAAATTGCACGGACTCACGAAAACCGTGATTTTCAAGAAAACGATGGAGAAGTCGAACATAAGGAAGATGTTGAAGATACGAAAAAGGACACTGAAGTGATCGAATAAGTTTTCAAACAGATTTCTGATGTGATGCTGGTTTTTCTTGTGTTATTCCTGTTCTCGCGGTCTCTACAAATAAAAAAACGGTATTTATCTCGTCAAATTTCGACGGGAAATTTTTGTATAACTTGAGAAAGGGATGGACAGATGTGGTTTTATTATAGACTACGATTAATACGTATTAAATGTACATTTTCAAATTGTCTTCTTCCTGATTTTTCAGAGAATTATATTTTCACAACACTCCACTTTTAACTAATTGGAGCTCTCAAAAAATTGTAGCAAATTCTGAATTCTGATCAAATCTGTTTTGAAAGTCTTTTTTGAAATTGTTCGCTTGGTCATGGCCGCGCCTGCAGCACCTCGGCCTCCAAATTGACGACCCCCGCGTGTCTGCATCTCCCCCAAAAATCATTCTTCCGATATCGACTAGGTGCGAAGTCTTTGTTCGCTTTATCGCCGAACCGCTTTGCTTTTCCTATTTCATCTGAATTGTAAATTTTAAGCCGCTTTAAACATAAAATAATCTGTACATCAATTTTTCTAAACTAGCAAGAGATTTAAAATCCGGGACTGCTGCGCAGAACTGGTAAGCCGTTTTCGATATTATTAGACGTCTCGCACAACTAATAATGACGCATAAGCGTGAAACGTTATTGAATTGTATCCAAAAGCTTCCTACTAACTTTTTACTTTCTGCATGTCAAATTTCATAATTATCAATCTTATCATCATCACAAGAGTTTTGGAACCAGGGCCCGCTGAGCGGGCCGAGTTCGTGCTCGAAAGCGACATTGCCGCGCTTGTTTGATTCTGAGAAGCGTTCCGTTACAAGAAAATTTTGCAAGAACAATGATGATATATATAATGATTTCAGATCGAAAAAAAGTTCATAATACAGTCTTGTGCAGAAGGTATTCGGATATTATTAACCTCATGATGCGACGCACTGTTGAACGGTCACAAATATGCCCTTCAAAAAATACGGATAATGTAAAGAATACATAAATGCTTCATTGATTGTTTTCATCGGCCGTTTTCAGATTTGCCCACGAGAATTCAACCGCTGCTTAAGAAGGCTTTATCCGTCAATCAGGGAGAAAGAAGATGTAAGGAACACCAGCAAAATGTGCTGTGAAATCGGCGGAATAACACGGATTATTATTTTTTTAGAAAAATTTTTGATGGGTTTTTTATTTATTTTTTCAACTGACTTAAGGTATGCCACGGCGACCAAAAACGTATAGAGGGGCGTGGCCTAGCGTCCACGGTTTATCACCATTTTGCCGCGAAACACTTTTGGTCGCCGTGATATGCTCTATTCACGGTCTCCCAGGGCGCTAATGCTAAACACAGTGCGCTCGTAAATTGCGGAGTGTCGTTGTAACTTTTGAAAATTTACAGGTCTGAAAATGCAGTTCAATTCGAGTTTACGACCTTTATTTCTTTCTTTTTGACTTGAAAAACGTCTAGAAAACAATATTTTACTGATTGGAAACGTTCTTAACAGAATTTCGAGTTTTTCATGTTTTTCGAAATTCGTCAAAACTTCAAACCTTTATATTTCAGCTCATTTTGCATTTCATGAGCGCAACAAACGATAAAAATGTTCGCTGAATCTTTCTTCACAAAATTCAGGTTCCGGCGGTTTGTTTTCTTGAGCAGTTTTCGAAAACTATTCGAAAAACATCAAAATCCAGGCCAAAACCTTCAAATCGAAATGACTCGGCTAATTCTCAACAATGCGCGAGATTTCTGTTACCAAAACGTAGCTAGTGCTCTAATTATTCGACGTCAGGTTCCAGGCTTACAAAAAAGAGGTGTATTGTACAGAAAACATGGAAAGAACGCGAACTCCCGTTGAAAATTAATTAATCGGCCGCCGCGTAAATCGACACAGGCCGCCTGTTGCAAGTGCGCCCCATTGAAATCATTCGCCCTGTGGGAGACCGTGCTATTCATAAATCAAAAAAATTGTAGGCCTAACTTTCTGTACAAGCACTTTCAATTAAAATGCAAGTTATTCCGCCAACTATTCCACCAACTTATTCGGCTGATTGCGCCGGGCGGAATAACTTAGTTAAACATTTCTGTCAGCTGAACGTATTCCATCAAAAAATAAATAAAAAGTGATTCCGTGTCATTCCGCCTATCTTTTCCGCTCAACTCATTTAAATTTTCCCGATATATTTACAATGCTTTTCTTTTTTCTTCAAGATTGGAAACATAACCTTTTTAGAACATCAGCTTGCCAAGATGCTGGGACTCCAACCAAGCTTCATCATATTTGGAGTTAAGTCAGAATGGCCTGTCTGTTTCCTTCAAGAAAAGTAGTGTTTTCGATCCTCGACTTTGATTTGGGCTACTATAGTGAATTTCAGATGTCAGTCTACAGGGTGATAAAGATCCTTCTGGCGTTGTTCGCGCTGATGCACCCATTCCTTCTAGTATCGGTCTCTACTATTTTGAAGTTACTATTGTTCATGGCCACAGAGGATGCATGGGTGTTGGTTTGAGTAAAACAGGAGGCGAGCTGAATAGAATGCCTGGATGGGATTCTTCGTGTTACGGTTATCATGGTGACGATGGAAATTTTTTCTCTGCGTGCGGCCATGGCACTGCCTATGGACCGAAATTTGGAACAGGAGACGTTATCGGATGTGGCATTGATACGTTACTGAGAGAAATATTTTTTACGAAAAATGGAAAACATCTTGGAACTGCTCTGAAAGGAAACATTCCGTTTGAAGAACTGTATCCTACTGTCGGCTTGAAAACTCCGGGCGAGCAGATACACGTAAACTTTGGACAAGTGCCTTTTGTTTTTAACATTTCAAATTACAGCGCAGTAAGTTTTTAAGCTAGAACAAGTTTGAAATGTTTTCTTGAAGGTTTTGATCAAAAGAAAAATAGAAACACTAGAGTCTATTGCAATGCCTGAAGACGTAAGACAACATACTGACAGGTATTTGAAAAATGTGAGCATTATATTAAACTTAACATTGAAAGGATTGTTTCATCATTTCTTGGAGAATGTGGAGCCATGGATTCGCTGGAGAAGTTTGAAAACGTTGCGAAAATACAACAAAAAATGAATTATGAGTTTCTCAGAAAAAGAAAAGGTATTTTGAAAATGAAATCAATAAAAGATAGCTATTTATATTACAGAAATTATCGAAATGATACTGAATGCAGCACATGGATCATCCATTCAAGCAAATCTTGAAAACTATTTTCCAAATTGTTTGAGTGCCAATCCGAGAGTTCAATTGGTTCTACTATGTCTACGATATATCGACTTAGCCAACACACTACGAGAACCACCTGCCAGTTTTAAAAAGCCAATAAGTGAAGCAGGTAAAATTCGGATCATAATGTTTATAGAAATGTGATTTTCCAGGTCAGACTTCATCCCCATCGAACGTGCGAGTGGCAAATTCCAAGTTCAGAATAAATACTCGTCATAAGTCTTACAAAAGAACTCGCCATGGTAATCTTCAAGAGACGAATAACGAAGGGCGAGAGAGAGCGAAAAGCTACCAACTTTCAGATAGAAGTAGCTCGCCAATAAGTGTCTCGGCGTCTACAAGAAAATCAGCAGAGTAAAGCATTTCCACGTTTTATAAGTTCATCTAAGATTTCAGCTTACATGAAAGCTCGGTTGACGCGAAAAATGCGAGTACTGATTATTACAGTGATGATGATACTGGCGAGTGCATGATGACTATTGGTTAGTTTTCATTGGAGTTCGAAGCAGAAAAAAAGCAACCGCAAGCGTTTTATTTTTACTTCTTCCTATTACGTTGACGGTTCTTACCGAATTATACAGGATGCCGCGGCCCTGTCATCGACCGCCTTGGGGTTTCTATAAATCTTATCATCATCATTCTTATGTAATAAAAAGCTAACGGAGTCTGTCCATTTCTTTCTTTCTTTCTTTCTCCGTTTGTCCGGTCATTTTTTCATTTCTAAAACGGAAAAAGTTGTGACGAAGAAATTGAGAAATAATAACTAACGGCGAAGCCGCTTCCGAGCGTTAGCTCGGTCTGAGCCACGGGGAGGGATTAGCCGAAGGCGCCGATACAAGACTGACGGCGGCATTAGCCGCCAGTTGAGTCTTGTTTAATAAAAAGTCTTGAGGAGTCTGTCCCTCCTTTTATTTGTTTCTTGGTTTGTCCGCGCACGTTTTCATTTCTAAAACGGAAAAAGATGTAACGGGGAAATTAAGAAATAATCACGTGAACTTTCGAACGGTTAGAAGAAAATAACTAACGGCGAAGCCGCTTCCGAGCGTTAGCTCGGACCGCGCAGTGGGCCCACTCTCAAAGTCTTGTTGTTAAATAATAAGAATTAATGTTCATGTTTCAGATGGAATTTCAATTACCAAACGAATGTACACGGACTTATTAGTATCAAACGAGTAAAATATTTTAACCCGTCTAACAACACAATATTTTTCAGACTTGATAAGATGTGCTATATAATGAAAATGGGGCGTGAGATAATGAAGCTGTCAAAAGAATTCACACTGACGCAGAAAGAGAGACAGATACTGGAGGTGCTGGATAGCAATCTGAAATTTTTTTTCAAAATGTCGTTTTCAGATTGCGATGACCATGGTTCTGACGACAAGTCCTATAGAAAAGCATCCGCTCTCATCTGCACATAGGCGGTATATAGCTAACTTAGTCATGACTATGATTAATCATGAGCAGCACTTGTCAGGTGGTAAGTTTATGGGGCTATTCAGCGTATGTTTGTTTTCCGTTTTTTTTTTCGTTTTTTTACACCGCCGAATTGGGTTTTTTGACGTAAAAAAAACGGGAAAAAAATAATTTTTTTCACAGCCTGAATAACCCCATTAGATAGAGTTTTCTCTTTGTAGTAAAATCTGCATTCGGCAACCTTCAAACAACAAACAGTAAAACTTTACGGAAACATTTTCAAACCTTTTAAAAAGGTTTAATTAGATTGAGAAAACATAATGTGTGTTCTTTGTATCTGTTCTTTGTGAATCTAAACAGACACATTTTGCTTTGCCAATCCAATCAGACAAATTTTGCTTTGGATAATTAGAAAATATATCAGTCTAGCTAGAAAAATTTTTCAATCTAATCGTAGTAAAATAGTAATCTAATTAGGGCCGGTTATAAACGCGAATTAGATTAATAACGAGTTCCCTGAGGATTTGAAGTAGCCTCAGGCTATGCTCATCATGAGTAACTCATGTATGACGATTGCAGAAAATGGGACTTCCGGAAGTCATAGGATTCATGTTTACTCTGAATTACGAGGAATGTTCATGGGATGGCAAACTCTTCACACTGAGGCAATGTCTCAAGATCATCCGGTGGGCGCCATCTCATTTCTTAGAGATGTGGTATGTTTGTCCAAGTCACCGATAGACAACTACTATATATATGCCAGGCTGTCTATTCGAAAAAATTCGAAGAAGACGATGTGGACTATTCAGACGAGCCAATGGAAGAAGGCGCGGCAGATGACATTCAAACAGAAGGATAGCATATATGAAGCCCACTCGAAGCCGCTATCAACTCACCTCCAAATGTGGTTTTTGCGATTAAGGGTCTATCAGTTACGTAGACAGTGACTGAAAATCTCAAATTTTGTACACAGCCAACATTCATTTTCATAAATAAATTGCAATTGAAATACATTATTGTTACATTAGCCTTGACGTTATAGTATCACGTAGGTCATTTGAGATAGAGTTATCTTCGCCATGGCTAATGTAGCTCGACTGTATTGCCTGATCCAAAATGGGGTGACTGCTAAGGCTGAAATCACGGATCAGACACTTGCTAGCGATGTAGAGACGACGAGTTACTTCAGGCGAGCCCAGTTTTAGACGGAAACTGAAAGATATTATGCACAAATCTTGCGAAAGACTTTTGAACCTGGGTCCGCTGCACGGACAGAGCTTACGCTCCATAACTTACATAAAGTGGTCACACCCTTTGATAGCCAATTCTCGAAAATTCTCGGGCAGATCGTTTCTTGGAATGCTACTCAATACGTAAGCAATTTGTTCATCCAACAGTAACATCCCAACGTTACAATCAGCGAGCACTTCGCTGTACCTGGCTCGGATCTTCTCGAGCCAATCAAACTGCTCTCTTGTACAGGGAGAATACGACGGTTCATTCCCGAAAACAGTTTTCCTATCTCCATCATTCATATAACTGTTCACGTCTTCCGTGTGAAGTTTATCGAGAATAGAAATAAGCTTCGAAGTGCACTTTTCGACCTGGAAAATACTGCTAAAACGCGTTTTTAATGTGTCGTGTACCTCTTCATGGGCGATTGAAGATTTTCCTCCACATTTACCACAAATTGAATTTGTTACAACACCGAAACAATAGGGCTCTTGGCATCGAGAAGAAAGACCTATGAGATCGAGTTCTTCATTGAGACAAAGCTCGCAGTTACACGTCAAAAAGTGAACTTTGCGAATTGATTTCCGTCGTTCCGCTGTAGGAAGCATTCTTGAAACGTATGATATCGTCGTCTAAAGTTTTTAATCGATGAGTGTTTCAAAACGAAAACTCATACGGATGTAGAATAGTTATTTTCAGCTGAACGGAGAACTGCTTTGTTTCGTTCAAAGACGACGTGAGCAGTGGAAGCACAAGAGTGGTTGTGCATTGCAAGCCCCAAATATAATCCGGTACCAATAGGCTCCAACTTTTTTTCGCTAATGATGCTGAATGCATTGCACATTACTGTGCATATAACAGCGAGGAGTTTATCGTTGTCTAAATGCCTCGGGATTACTTCTGCAAAAGGGAAGTTTGTTACGTAGTTCCTTGTCGTTTCCGAGCTTTTAAGCCGCTCAATCCAACTTCATCATGGGGACGTAGCAGGATACATTGAAAATATTTTTTATATTAAAAAAAGTCTAACTGAGTCTGTCACTCTCATAAAGGAGTAGTGCAAGGTGATATCTTATTTATAAAAGTCTTCACGGGTTTGTCTGTCTGTTTGTTTATTTCTCTGTTTGTCCGTCCCCACTTCATTTCTAAAACGAAAATAGTTGTGACGGAGAAATTGAGAAATAAACACGTGAACTTCAACAGTTATGAGAAACAAGCATTAGCTCGGCTCGCGCAGCGGGCGCGGTTTTAAAATTCTCGTAAGCATATAAAAAGTGACTAACCTTGTCCCGTTGTCCTGATAATTGCCAAAATGTCAGAAATGAATTGATTGTGCTCACTACTGGATCGAAAATCAGTGTAATCTGTTAAAGAAACGGTAAAGATGTAAAAAAGACAATTGGAAGGCGAGGGTTCCGTGTTACGGTATATTTACTTACTCGATTCTAAATCATCAAGCTTTATTCTGTTGAAGCTTTCTGTTCCATAGCTTCTGAGACTTTGTAGCAACGTTCGTATACAAAGGCGCATGGTTACCGTCAGCTGATAACTTTCCTTCTGTGATCGCAGAATACCACATTCCGACTGAAAATAAATCTTTGGAAAATGCGCTAAACGGTTTGACCTGATGGACTGAATTCCAATCTTTTCGCTGGCATTTCAATGAGCAATAACATACATCCAAACAGTCATCACAAGTCAATACTTCGTAGTTCTTCTCGCTGAATGAGTATGTGTGTAGGTTCAATTCAAACGTTTCTAACCTTAACAAGGAAAAACACGTAGCGCAGTAAGTATGACGGTATTGCTTCGAAAGCACTGCCGCAAAAGGAAGCTCCTGAGCTGAAGCAAACATTAAAGAAGAGAGTACTATATCTGAAACGAACAAATTCATATTAACATTTAGGAAATGAACTAGTTTGAAAAAAGAAACGAGCAAAATCGATATGGTGTAAAACTCAATAGAACAACGCACTCGATCTATTGAATATACTTGGGTACCGCAACGGGTTTCACGAAACTCGGAATTTCTATAAAATTCTTGTTGTAATGTGTTCCCCTACTGTATATGAGTACGCTCCCAATTTTTTTTTCGAAAATTTTCGGTACATCCCGAGTTACACCACTCCAAAGTCGCCCTGTTTTCTTTCAGGTCGGCGGCCGAGGAGGGGGCGGAGTCTCACTAGCAAGTTTGCCGCACGCGTTTTTTATCCTTGTCTGGTGGACCAAACTAAAGAGTCAACATTTTGAATGAGCAGAAATGATGTTCTAAGAAAGCAAAATAACTTTCGAGGTCAAAATTTTCGAACCCGGCACCTTTAGATTGCCGAGTGAGCACTTTCCCACTGTGCCAGCCGGGCGAAGGCGCGCCGGCCGCCAATGGCATAGAAAAGCTGGCTGCGCGCGGTCCACTTCTAGGTCACTAATTTGTTTTTGCGTGCTCAAATCCAAAACTGTTACACTTTACATGTTTACAGTCACTTTTCAAAAACGGAAACTAGATAGATGGAAAAGTTCGACATGGATCGGTCGGAAATTTGATGCTGAATCCGATTTTGGGAAAATTAGCCGCGTGTAAGGTACCTGTGACCCTCAAAACCCCCAAAACCTATAATTTCGGCCAAACTGGCTCTACTAAAATGAACACAAATCTGGTCCTAGACTGTCTAGAGCTCTGAAAAGTTGTATTTGGGTTCTCAGAGAGTTTATCTATGGATTCCAAACATAAAAAAGTATGGTAATCGCTGAAATTTTTTCACAATTTTTTGTGCCAGTTTGAGGACCTGTAAAAAAAGGAAACTAGATTGTCTGATTCTGACTTAAAAAACGGATTCCCCATCCCTTAAACTGTCGGAATCACTTGAAAGTAGGCGCGTGTAGCCATAAATGTGGCCACACGGGCTCTCAGACTGACTTCCATTCTCGTTTTCGCCTTTTTTTGAGAAAATGGTGCGTTTTCGTGGGAAACGGAGTTGTTCATTAGATTCAGCATGGTCGATTACATAAAGTAAAACATTACGAGTATGGTACTTGGTCTGGGGACCTCGGTACAGGTCCTCAAACATGCGCGCGCTGAAATCAAGAGAAAATTCGTCAGGCCACGCCCCCTTCTGGGAATTCTGATTATCGTCACCTCTGACTGTGGACAGTTCTGATTCGAGAGCGTTATGAAAAAAGTAACCCTCCTTGAGTGTTGAGTATTGAGTATTGTGAGAGTGTCAGAGGCAGGATGCCCCTTTGGAGGAGATGCCCCTTTGGAGGAGATGCCCCTTTGGAGGAGATGCCCCTTTGGAGGAGATGCCCCTTTGGAGGAGATGCCCCTTTGGAGGAGATGCCCCTTTGGAGGAGATGCCCCTTTGGAGGAGATGCCCCTTTGGAGGAGATGCCCCTTTGGAGGAGATGCCCCCTCTGAGGTGACCCCTGGGAGGGTGGCAGGGATCAAAGGATGCCCCCTTTGAGGTGATGCCCCCTCTGAGGTGACCCCTGGGAGGGTTCGTCGGTTGCCCCCCGGTAGGGAACGGCTAGATGCCCCCTAAGAGTGATTGCCCCCTAGGAGAGGATGACCCCTGGGAGGGCGTTGCCCCCTACTTGGGTGCCCCCTCGGAGTATGGGCCTACTTTAGCTCACTTTGCCGAGCGCCCTTGTGTTAGAAATGCTCCTAAAAAATTGTGCTCTTATTAAGTATTTACGGTAACTGTTTTTTCACTATAGTGAACATGTATACAAGACAGTGTCGGTCTCACGAGCCGGCAAAGCATACGGAAGAGTGGAAATTGTGAAGCTGTAACTTCTCTCAGAAACCTTACATTTACCTCTGACCTGGCTCATTTTGAAGACCCAGTAAAATTATACTCTTATCAGGAAATTAGAGGTCCCTATGTTCGATTTCTGGAGATATATTGAAAAAACCGAAAGTCCTATGTATGAAAAGCCGGGCCGTGGGTCTAGGTTCACAAGACAATGGCCGTCTAAATCCTTACAGCAAGTGCGCTCTACCGATAATCCGTTTGATTCTCAGCGCACAACCAAATTCAAACTCATTCTTATTCAAACTGCGTTTTAGTTTTCTTTCCTTTCGCAGCCACGTGAAAAACAACCTTGAAAACGTTTCACTTAGAGAATATATTTTTTAAAATAATTTTTTTAAAACGTAGAAAAAAGCTTAGTACACAAAATACATCAATGTCAACGCGTAGTTGAAATACTTTTTTCGCAACGTTTTCGGATGCTCTAACTGTCGCTTTGTTTTGCACACATTTTTAAAGTGAAAAGTTTCATGATCGGCATCCGAACTATGGCCCTTCCTTCACGCAGAAGCATTAAATCTGCACTCATTTGCAGCCTTTTTCACTTTTGAAAACTTTGTGCCAAATTTTGCATGACATAGCAAATAAACAGCTTCGAAGTTGTAGATGAAAATACACGAACACAACGTGCACCAAGTTTCCATGTTTAAAAGCGAGACCTTGCGACTTCATTTATGCTTTTCGACTACGTCTTTTCTAGCGTTTTATTCGAACCATTACTAAACCGTAGATTGTTGCTGCACTGGGATAAAAGAATTATAACTTATCTTCACCAGTTTACGTACATTTCTTTTCTTTTTTTAAGTCTTAGCAATATAACAAATATGCCGACTATGGAAGAGCGCTACGCCGTCGAGCTGAGAGAACGCGATCCAACGACTGTGGACACATTGTTTTTGGACAATTCAGACGGCGGTCAAATAGCTGGAATTAACGATCAACTCACTAACCTGACGGTAAAAAAATCGTTCACTCTTTTTTTTCAACGCGTTCTTTTAAAAAGATGCTCAGTATGGTCAAATGTGGCTTGACGACTCTCGCTGGATTTCCAAAGCTATCCGGTCTCACTTACCTAGACATCAGCGATAACTACCTTGGAGATGATTCTTCCTTCGACATTCTAGTCAGAAATGGACCTGAACTGGAGAGAATCACTCTTGCTGGCAATAAGTGAGTTTACTATGAAGAAATTTGGTCCAATTGCGTTGATAACAAGGAGCTTGTAGTCAGGCTTAGGCTTGTTAAATACACAATACATTTTTTAGGAGTTGAAAAGTGGCCGGACAACGGTGTCACAAACCGAGAAAGAAAAAATAAACGGACATACTCTTTTAGCTTTTTATTAAGTAAGAACAAGACTTTCCGTCTTGGGCCCGCTGAAACAATAAAAATCAATGAAACGAAAACAGTGCATGCATGCATTGCTTTTAGAAATGAAACTGAGGACGGACAAAGTCGCTTATAAACATTGAAAAAATCTATTCGATTTTGCAGTTCAACGTTTGCAGCAATTTTACAGGACGCGCACAGGTTAGCGTACGCTAAACTAGAATATACGTATGCCAAAAAATTTAAAATATTTTCAAAAAAATATATCAGTTTACTGGTGTACGTTTAAATTCGTTCAGCTGTGCGCGTCCCTATTTTCCGTAAAATTGCCGACTTTTGAATTACTTTTTTCAGGCTTACATTGGAAAATCTCAGACCTTTGAAAATGTTGACAAAACTTTCCGAGCTTGACCTTACGAACAATACCGGACTTGGCCATGTCGAAGACTATCGCGTGAAAGTATTCGAAATGATCCCATCGTTGAAAATACTGGACGGATGTGACATTGACGGAGAAGAAGTCGAAGAAGAGTTCGCTGGAGAAGGGGGAGAAGATAGTGATGGCGGGGAAAGTGATGAGGACGGCCCTGGTCTCAGCTACCTAAACAAAAGTCAGTTCTCGGATGATGAAACCGACGACTACGTTCCAGAAGAGGTGAGCATTATATTCGCTTGCATTTCATCGATGTTGATTTACAGAGTGATGATGCACCTAGGGGAACCAAGAGATCTGCTTCAACTGAAAAAGATGGTGACGAGCCAACCGTCAAAAGATCGGCCGACAACGAGTAACAATCTGTAACAACAATCATCGAAATTTTTTTTGTTTTAACCATGCTTCGATATTTTTTTCATCATCTTATTTGATCTTATGTGCTGCACACTAACAATACGCCCGCATTGAGCGGAACGATCTGTGAAAACATCGTGATGTGCTCAGCGCAACCAATTTTAAAAGCCAATAAATACATCATGTCTAAACTTTTTTAAACATTGGAATGTGACTGACCTGATTCAGTTTCTTATCAGGTCCGACCCAAAATTAAAATATTTTTGGTTAACTTGGACTATTCTTACAGATGCTTGAAAGCAAAACAAGTGTTTACACTTCTGTAGTTCAAAATTTTCAAATCGCCAAATAAATGTTTTGTTATTAACGATTCATTTGAGACATGAAAACCTTATATATATATATATATAACAAGAGGCGTCTGTCTGTCTGTCTAAGGGAGAAGGACCGGTGCCAATCTTCGGGTTTAGAAGTTTTTACGGGATTGTCACACGCTTCACTGAAAGACATTGAAAAAGGAAAAATTGAAGCTAACAGCTGATTTTATATTTTAGAGTGCCAGTGAAAATGGGAAGGAAAAGAAAAAGCGGAAAGCAACTGAACGGAAAGTGAGTGAATTTTTAATGAATTTCAAAATAAAAATAGCTCGTTTCCTTTTCATAGCGGGAGATCAATTTTAATACTTCTTCGTTCTGTGGGACAAGCCGTTAAGCACCCGTTGCTAGTTTATGATTGCGAATCACGTAAGTAGAACGCGCTTCTGCTGTCAACTGAACTTTTTCATTCAGAATTGTGTAGAGACAACGGATCCATACGCCAGGAAGTTATGAAAATGATTTGTTTTGCCGGAATACCTGCCTGCTGTTTGTCCGCCAAAGGGTGCGGAATAGACAACCAGTAATATTTTCACTCATAATTCTTATACAAGACTGTTGAAGCCTGGATCCGCTGGGCGGGGCGAGCTGACGCTCGGAAGCGGCTTCGCCGCTTGTACCATAGATTCCTAGAACCGTTCTAAGGTTCACGTGTTCATTTCTCTAATTTTTCTGTCACAAGTATTTCGTTTTAGAAATAAAAAGGGGACGGACAAACAGAACTAACGCAGCGGGCCCAGGTTTAGAGACCTGTGAAATATACAAATGAACACGAAGTTTCTAACGGTTTTCGGAAAAAATTGGCGAAGTGATGAAAATTTGAAAAGTAAATTATTGTTAACTAAAATTAAATAGTTATCATGAATGAAACAGTTAAAGATTCCGGGTAGGGGGTTTGATCCAATTCTGAATCTAATCAGATTTAATTGAAGTTCCAGTAAAATCGTATTAGATTACAATATATTTCCTGAATTGCAATCTGATAAGAACAAATTGCAATCTAATTAGAAAACATTGCAATCTAATTAGAAAACATTGCAATCTAATTAGAAAAATTACAGTGATTGCAATCTAAATAGAAAAATTGCAGTGATTGCAATCTAATTAGAAGATTTTGCAATCTAATTGAAGCAAATTCTATTTCAAACGAGTTCGTATTAGATTGCAAAGTTTTCTAATTAGATTGCGATCGAGTTCCCAGGGATACTGTCCTTTTTACAGCCAGGCGGAGGAAGCAGCTGGACATGCAATGATTGACTTCTTCCGATGTGCTCTACCAAATAGTGCAATTACAACACTCTTAGTGAGTAGTGAAGACAACCTGCCACCGTCTAGCATTAATCAAATCGCTCCAATTTTCAAGGAATTCGAAAAAGCCATATCTTCAGATTTTTTACTCATCAATAGAGTTGGGAACTATAGAAATCACTGAAACGTTTTTTCATTCCAGTGTTCGCAATATGATATGACATCCGCTGCTTTGAATCGAGGTAAAGGAGTAAAGAAGCGTGTGTTAATGAACTTAACTAATCCGGATTTTGGTTTGTTAAAAGTTGCCACGACGATTTCAAATTATTTTTTTGCAGGTTACTCGAATTCAAGCCCACTAATGTCAAGAGATCAGCGCTCACACACAGACGCTCCTAATTCTTCAAATGCCAATTCAGAAATTTCTATCGACGGTGGAAGCTTAACAATTCTAGGAGATAACGCTATTGAGCAGCGCACGATCAGTCAGAGTCTGACTCAGAAAGAGCAAATTAATCTTACTGGTTCCGATGATGAAATTTTTTTTCTAGGAGAAGTAAGAAGCCAGCTCAACCTTTTGTCACCTTTTTCTTTCCAGAACAATATGAGAGATCGAGCGCTGTCTGAAAATCAACTGATGGGAATCGTGAAAATGAGAGAACTAGACGAAATTCGAAAAAAAACGGTTTCCGATCTAATTGCTGAACAGAACATGTGACAACTGCTTCTAGATAATAATTCAAAAGCATAGTTACAGAAATCGAAAAAAAAAAAATTGTTATGCCCACAAAGAAGTATATTTTGGCATTCCAAATATATCGCGATCAAAACCGCCAGAAGTTTTCTGCGCTGCCCCAAATGGTAGACATGATTTGTTATGGGGTTATTCAGATTATGTTTTCTAACGTAAATAGCAGTGTGTCTAAATCTATTCTAATGTCTACTCAGACGACTCAATTCGAATCTAATTAGAACAAATAAGACAAAACCTCGTTTAATTAGATAATTTTAGTTTCTAATGCAACCTCTTTAGATTCGCAATAAAACCAAGTCTATTTATACAGCTTTGGAATCTAATGCTAGTCTAATTAGAAAGACCTGGTCTAATTATGAAAATTTCACATCTAATTAGACAAATTGCGAATCTAATCGTAGTTAAATTAGTTTCTAACGCAACCTCTTTAGATTCTAATTGAGTTGTCTGAGTAGTTTAATAGAGACAGGATGTTACTGGGTTGATTCTAGAGAACACACTGGTCAATAGACTCAATCCAGCAATATAAAAAACAAAACAAAAACATTCTATGAATAACCCTTCACCCCTATTATTATAGGGGGACCGCACAGAAATGGCGCTCTGTTGAGAAACTTTTTGCAGTGCAAATTGAGCGACCTCGGGGCCGAGTTTGAAAAATTAAGCCACGTTTTCAGTGGAAAATTACTTCGCGGCCTAGAAATTCGGTCAGATTGCTAACAGCGCGCCCTTTCTGTCTGGTGCCCCTATAATAGATACCATAAAAAAATAATAGCTAATTTACAGTAGTTTCTTCATACACGGAAGCCTGTTCAAGTGATTCTGAAGACAGTGTTATAAAGAGGAAACTCTCTAAGACTGCTTCAAAATCTAACAAAAAAATGGAAATCAATTCAGACTTGGGCAATGTTATAGTACACGCTACATCCGGAAATAGTCTTACAATTAGGGACTCGAGCTTCACAAAAGGTAAGTACTCGGTAAACCTCTGCAACTCCTGATCAGACTTTGAGCCTCAAAGTTTGAGGTGATAGCAGCTTTTGGATAACAGTTCAGCACCTGTTGCTCTGGGAACTCGATCGCAATCTAATTAGAAAACTTTGCAATCTAATACGAACTCGTTTGAAATAGAATTTGCTTCAATTAGATTGCAAAATCTTCTAATTAGATTGCAATCACTGCAATTTTTCTAATTAGATTGCAATGTTTTCTAATTAGATTGCATTTTTTTCTTATTAGATTGCAATTCAGGAAAAATATATTGTAATCTAATACGATTTTACTGGAACTTCAATTAAATCTGATTAGATTGCGAAATAGAGCTTTTTCTTATTAGATTGCAAACTCTTCTAATTAGATTGCAATCGAGTTTCCAGAGTGACAACAGTGTTGAGCAAACTTTTGTGTAAGGATTTTTTGAACAAAACCTAAAAAAGCAACTTTTGAGCAAACGTTCAGCGACGTAAACTTTTAAACAACAGTTCAGCAGCTTTTGAGTAAACATTTTGGCGATAGGAACTTCTGCACAGAACATCAGCAGCTATTAAACAGAAGTTAGGTGAAAGTTCCCGAAGTTCTACTGAAAAGTTGCCCAGGTGTGATCACTTTTCTCCAAAAAATATATACTGTTCTAAATAATTCCCATTTTTATTTGAAATTCAATTTGAAATGTCATAGTCTTGACCTCCTTAAAATATATATCGACTTAAAAAATTGCATTCAACCTCCTGATTTCTACATTTCATACCTGCAAGTGTGCAATCAAAAGGGTTTCATTGAAATAGAGCTGCTTCGGAGCAGAACTCTTTTGAAATATAGTTTTTTCGAAGAATTGCTATTTCCGGATTTCTATTCTACTTCGAAGTAATTCCATTCCTAGTGTTATATTTCAAAGTCGCATCTCAAATAACATTCTGACCTCATTCACAAAAGCAAACATGCTACAGATTCCGATGAAGAATTAGGAGAGGTTGTTGATGAGTGGGCCGAAAGCGATGAGCACGAAGAAAAACGTAAAACCGAGTGGTCTCATAAAAACGGGACAACAGGAACAAGTGATCTCCAGGATTGTGAGTTTTTTCAATACATTTCACACTCTCGCTTGTCTTTTCAACTATTTGAATCCATTAGAAAACATGACAAATGAAATTCATTTAGATAAAAATTCGGTATATAAACCTAATCTCGATAATGAATTATCGATACGTCAGGAAAAGAGAATCGGAGTTGTTTCAAACAAAGTTTTGGTAAGTGTAAATGGGTCGCTCAATTGCCATTTTACGAAATTTAAAATAGGTAAGGAGAGTAGAATGGTTTATTACACTTGTTACGCAAAGATCCAGTCACTCGATTATGAATTTATCAAAACTCGCTTGGGATCAATATTTAAACAATCAGCAACCGGATGTGGTTTATGATCGGAAAATGAGAGCTAGACAGTTGTTATTCAACGAGATTCAAAAGGTTATTTGACCCTGAGATGGTTTAATTCAATCGAAAAACACTTCCAGCTATTCCCCGATAAATGCATTAGTCTCCAAGTAACTGGTTCAACTGTGAATGGGTGCGGATCTTACAACTCTGATACTGACATGTGTTTGTGTTATCCTACCTCAGGATATCGTGGGCAAAACTTTGATGATTTTCACGGCGAAAGAAGGTATAACTAAATTACCCGGAAGTTCTCCAATTAAATGCTTTACAGCTTTTCATCGAAAATTCTCCGAAAAATTGAAAAGACCTTTAGGCGACTTCCTGTCGGGCATCCATTCAAAAGACTGGTAAAGTGTTGTCAATTGATTCCTGCGAAGGTAGTTATTTCGAAATTTTTCTTGAAAACGTAAACTCTTTGTTGCATTTAAGGTACCGATTATCAAGCTGTTGCTTAATGGAGAATTCGATGGAATTGATATCGATATAAACGTCAATAACGTAGCAGGAATTTACAATTCGCACCTACTTCATTACTATTCAATGTAACGAAAACTCGTTAATTAAAAAGCGAAAAGTGTAATTGTAGGTTGGATGGTCGGGTTCCTGCCTTGGCGCTGTTAGTCAAGCACTGGGCGATGGTAGCTGGAGTTAACAATTCACAAGAAGGCTATTTGAACAGCTATAGTTTGATACTACTTGTAATTCATTTCTTGCAATGTGGAGTCCAACCTGCTCTCTTGCCGAATTTGCAACACATATTCCCACAAAAATTCGATAACAAAATACCCCTCGAAGAACTGCTGCTATTCGGAGATATTGCCAAACAAATGCCGTGTGCGTATTTAGAAGCCAAAATCTGTATTCGTGTTTCTCAAGCAACGCATTTTTCCAGCATATCCATCGAACACTTCGTCACTGGGCGAACTGACTATCGGCTTTTTTGAATATTACAGTCATTTTGACTTTGAAAACAACGCTATCTCTATCAGATCAGCACAAGTTTTTTCACGAAGCGTACTTCCGAAAAACATGTCTTATCATCCGATTTTTATAGAAGAACCTTTCGATGCTGTGAATACGGCTAGGTATTCTAAATATGGATGTTTGACCAAAAGGAGCTGACTATTGCAGAACTGTCCGAACAATCAATCACATGAACACCATCAGGGCAGCTTTCCGGCAGGCATCTTCCGTGTTTGAACAGCAATCTTTCAAAATGTCTGACCTCGGTGTTACAGTTGTCCCTAGAAATTGAAAATACTTGATTTCGTCAGTTTCCGATCTATCTGAAGCAAGTTTCTTTAATAGTTATTTTTGCGCACTTCCCCAATTTTGTTTTTTGAATTATTAACTACATGTTTCTCTGAACAAATGTACATTGAAAAAAACGAACAGCAGAAAAGTACCTTTTTGTATTTACAAGCTTTTGTTCATTGAAACTAACGACGCCCCACGGTCTCCAGCAGAGTTGAGCGGAAATGGAATTTTGAAATCCGGAAGCAGACGGCAGACGGAAGAAAAATTTTTTTACGGAACACGGAAAACGGAAGAAAATTTTTCTCACGGAAGACGGAAGATAACTTTTTTCCCGGAAGACGACAGACGGAATACGGAACAAAAAATCGTCAATGCAGAGCCTTTTTCTCCGGTTTTTTTTTTGAAAAAAATAACTAAAGCAACAAAAATTAACTAAAGCAACAAAAAAGATATCTTCTAATCCAGAACCTCCTGTGATTGTTGGAATTAGCTTACACTTCATGGTATTACAATCTTGGCATAACCCTTTTATCATAGAACGTTTTGAGCTTGTTTCAACATTAAATATATCAGTAGTATCAGGATATTTTCTACATTCGAAGCAGTATACTAATTCCATAATTTAGAAGTTAAAATTTTTTGACTACAAATATCTTATTTGATTTTGTGAAATGGGGGACGTTCAGTGAAAATGGATGTCTTCACTAGAAAGTGAATTCACTTCCACCTAGCCATCAGAGTTGAGCGGAATTTCGTCTGCCGTCTTCCGTCTTCCGTGGATTTTTTTGTTCCGTCTTCCGTCTGCCGTCTTCCGGGAAAACAGTTTTCTTCCGTCTTCCCTCTGCCGTCTTCCGTGAGAAAAATTTTCTTCCGTCTTCCGTTTTCCGTGTTCCGTAAAAAAAATTTTCTTCCGTCTGCTGTCTGCCGTCTTCCGGATTTCAAAATTCCATTTCCGCTCAACACTGCTAGCCATGAACCCCAAACATGGCTACCAGTGTTGAGCGGAATTCCGTCTTCCGTAAAAAAAATTTTTTCCGTTTGCCGTCTGCCGTCTTCCGGGATTTTTTCTTCTTTCCATAAAAGAGTAATAGCTTTTCAGAAGCCATTTACTAGTCCCGAAGAACGCGAATTTCCACGGGCAGTGACCCAGATCCAAAATTTTTGGGGCTTTAGTTATTTTTTTCAAAAAAAAAACCGGAGAAAAAGGCTCTGCATTGACGATTTTTTGTTCCATACTCCGTCTGTCGTCTTCCGGGAAAAAAGTTTTCTTCCGTCTTCCGTGAGAAAAATTTTCTTCCGTCTTCAACGGTATGAAACCGAATGGAGTCATAGACAGAGAATGACAGAGACAGAAGGCGAGGTAGAAAAGGCATTCCATACTGCCTCCGGAAGCTACTTAACTTGCTTTGAACGAGCCGGATTACAGGTATCGCAAAATTCCAATGAAACTTCAACATTTCTCTTATCAGGTTCTATCGGGCAATTGGATACATGAGGCCACTCTCGATCTGGGCAATGCAATGGTCCCTCAAAAGACATTGCGGGTAGAACACAGATCGCGAATCACTCCCTATTTTAAAGAATCCAGCCGCTCAAGGAGCTACAATATCAATAGTTTCAGAAGATAATGAAAATGTGATAGCAAGCGAAGACAGCTCGAGTTTAGGCTACGCCAGTGATTTTAGAGAATATAGAGAATAATGAAATTATTCTGTGTATTTTTATTACGTTATTCTAATGGTGTTTGTTGGTTTTTACGTCACAAAACCCATTGCAGCGACGGAAAACGCACTGCAAAACCTCGTCACGATGATTTTTTTGCTTCTTCACGGCGGAGATTTGTGAACATGGTTTGATTTCCTGCCCGTATTCCCGCTTAGCGACGAACCCGCAAAAAGAGCGTCTCTCACAAATAAACGTACAAAAGCCTTTCTAACCAAAACCAGAACTAAAAACTCCGTCTTAAAAAATGCCACGCAGCTCAAAGTTCACGCGTGTCCCAGAGAGCGTCTTTGCACTCGTTTGTGCGACTTCCTGGAAAGGGTTTGAGGGAACTGCCTTTGGCAACTGTATTCATGAGCATTCTCAAGCAGAACAGCAGCTCAACAAGTTACTACGATCCGGAATCGAAGGCTGCTCACGTGTTGTAGTTCACGACGTGTCAAGTAATTTAAGTTTTTCTTTCGAGCTTTATATATTTTTTCAGACGGTTGTGGATCCATGTACGAGGTGTTTGTCGAAGCAACGAGTTTCAAAGGATTGTCAAAAGTTGCGCAACACAAAATGATTACTTCCTTGTTACGCGAGGAGATAAAAGACATGCACGGATTGACTATTCGGACAAAGGCTGCCTAAGAAGGAAATATAATTTTGTTATCATTCTAGTTTATCACGTCCAGAGAAGGGTATTACTCACTCAGACGACTCAATTCGAATCTAATTAGAACAAATTAGACAAACCTCGTCTAATTAGATAATTTTAGTTTCTAACGCAACCTCTTTAGATTCGCCAAAAAAACTAAGTCTAATTATAAAATTTTCGAGTAATGCTAGTCTAATTAGAAAAACCTCGTCTAATTTTAGAATGCATTTCTGTCTCGTTTCTTTTTTGGAAACGTTAATTAATTGCTCTTTGCTATATTTTTCAGGGTTTGAACGCAAACTGCCCGAATTCGTGAATGCAGTTGAAAAAGTTATAGATTTGTGTCGGAATTTTTTGCTAAAAATCGGAATTTACGTGAAGACCATTTTCCAATAAACAACTTTGTTTGCTAGTGAAAATCTCACCTCCTGGTCCTCGAAACTACTTTCGGGAGGCATATCTTACTGTAGCTGACAGGCTCCGCTGTTCCGCACATTTCATGACTCGAATGAATACTATTGATAGCATTTGTACCAGAGTTAGAAATTTTCATCTTTCATACACTTTTATGGCGCATTGAAGAATTCAGAAGTATTGGTACGAGCGAAGGGCGTGGCACTTTCTATGAGCAGAGTTCACTTTGTTATACATTTCATCAGTTAATCACATTCCATGAAAAAATTTTCTAAAAAAGATAAAAATTCTTCCGTGTTCTTCCGTTGAGTTCTTCCGCTCAACTCTGGAAACCAGTAGCCTATTGATCTCATTATGTTGCTCTTCGGATAAATGAATAAATGAATTTCATTATTTTTAGATACACTTAATCCTGAACAGGAAATTATCCCATTTAGAAATTCTTGGTTCTCTTTAGTGAATTTATTTTTATTTTTATTAAGTTTTTGGTCTTTTAGTTGCAGTTTGGCTATTCTCATTTTTTAATATTTTTATTATCATTTTGTGACAATTTTAAACTCTGTTCGGAATCAGCTAATCGAGTCTAAATTTACAATACTCACTTCTCTTTCTTTAATTCCTTGTGGTGGCAAAGTGTCTCTTATAAAGACGCCTCGAAAATTCTTGATTTCCAATATGTCTACCAAAGCAAGGAGATCTAGATTTGTTAATGGCTTCAGGTCTTTCTCAAATCTCAGATTTCCAGATCCTCGGGATTTATCTAGTTTCACCATTTATTGAGCATTATTTTATTCAAAATTGTTAGCGCACTTTTCTCGACCATTTCGACCATGGATAAAGAAAGGTAAATTAAAGTATGGTAATTTATAACGTTGAAGTGAGGAAACAGCGGCGGAACGGGCTGCGGCGGAGCGCGCTTGCTTCGACGAATGCGTTTTATTGCTTTTTCTGCCTCATTTCTCGTAACTATCAATGGAAAATGATTTTAAAAATAGGTTTTTTATTTGAAAACAACATAACAATGAAAGAACATCATTAAAGCAAATTTTGGGAGGGGCAAGATAGAAAAATGATGAGAGAACAGGCAGAAAAGACGGGGAAAGGAATGGAAATAATAGAAGGGAGATAAACAAATGCGGGGGGAGGGGAATAAATGAATTTCTATAAAAAATTAGGAACAACAAAAACTCAGGGTAAAATTGAAAAACTTAGATAGATCATTCGAAAAGGGAGGGAGCGGGTCACTACGAAATTACTTTTGTGCGCCCTTTTTTGTCTCTTTGATAGTTTTGATCATGAACATATTCTCAGAAAATATTTTGGCTGTGACTGCTAGAAATTTTTGAAATTTTTTTCTTGTTGCTGCTTGTGAGTTTCAATTGTAATGAACACATTTCCGAAGAAAACGGTTAAAATAAAACCGAACTCTTCCGACGGAACGCATCTGAAGTCTCGCTGCAGCTCTGGAGCGCGCGCGCGGGCGGCGGCGCGCTCTACACGCTGCTTTTTGTCAAAAATTCGATTCTTCGGAAGAGTTGTGATTCGTTTTATCTGATTTCTCGGAAAGTGTCCGTTCTGATCAAAACTATCAAAGCGACACAAAAAGCGCGCACGAAAAGCTATTTTTTGAAAAGAAGCTATTTTCGTTGTGACCCCAACAGTTTTTTGCGAGTTTCTTGCTTTGTTATTTTAGATCACAATAAATTCATTTACGAAAAGAACGAGCAGAACGAATCAGCGGCACGCGTCTTCTCCGCTCCAAAATCTCCGAAAAAAAACTCACTGGAAATCTAGTTTCTTGCCTCATTTCCGTGCCTTTTCCTCGTCAGTCTCTCATCAAAGAATTACCGCGCAAGAAAAGAGAACAGAAAAAATTCAACGGGAAGGAAAAACGACCGTCCGATATTCCGTTGTCGCCTCCCTGTTTACTCTTTCGCCGCCGTTTCCTCAGAACACTGCGTTGTTTTCCGTTGAAACGGCGTTCCTCCGCTGTTTCGACAAAAGCGCCGCCGCTGTGGTCTCGCCACGATTTGAGCTTGGCGAAACAGAGGTCGACCGCTCAGTGCTCATTTTTCCCCGCGGTTAATGGGGCTATTCAGACTGTGAAAAAAATGATTGTTTTCCGTTTTTTTCGTTTTTTTACGTCAAAAAATCCAATTCAGCGATGTAAAAAAACGAAAAAAACGGAAAACAAACATACGCTGAATAGCCCCATAAGATCTATTTCGAAGTTGCACCAATTTTTTCTTCACCAGAATCGAAACAATTTGCTTTCCAAAAGTGCCTATCATATACTCAATTTACCGCTCTTGCCTACTCGGTGCTTGCAGACTCAAGCCTAATTTCAGCTGAAATTCCTGAATTCAGGAAATTTTAGCTAAAGTCTGCAAACACTGAGGGGCACTCTGGCATTTCGTTATTAATCTATTATAGGGGCACCGCACAGAAATGGCGCTCTGTTGAGAAACTCTTTTTGCAGTGCAAAGTGGGCGACCTCGGGGCCGAGTTTGAAAAGTTAGGCCACGTTTTCAGTGGAAAATTACTTCGCGGCCTAGAAATTCGGCCAGATTGCGAACAGCGCGCCCTTTCTGTCCGGTGCCCCTATAATAATCGTAGTCTACTCGAGTTATACGGCGGCCTAATAAGATTGATATGACACCTAATTAGATTAATAAATTGTCTAGCTAGATTAATAAATCTTCTAGCTAGATTAATAAGTGCTCAAATCAAGTTTCACGCCAACCGTCTGCTGGCTCAAATCTCGATTGCGCCAAGAAAAAACAGTCCAATCTAATTAGGTCGCGTTTAGATCAGTAACTTTCTAATTAGATTAATATCGAATTGCCAGAGCAAGATCGGTAAATCGACATTTTCTATTATGCCTTCCCGCCGTTTTTGCATTGTCTCATTGTGGAATTCGGCCATTTCCGTGGTTTATGTTTTTATTTTTCTTCAGTAATTACTTTTCAGATGAGTTTTCACCTAGAAAAGCAGAAATTGACTTGTGGAAACCTCAGTCGATCTACTCGGCTGCTTGCTGCCGATGAGAAAAGCGGAAAACTCGCTGTTTTGCGGAAACCAAAGTATGCGTCCATAATGAAATCCATAATTCGAATACTTTTAAGAAGTTCCGAAGCACACGACTACGTAGAGTTTTATAGCTTTCTCAGTGGATGGTTAGCTTTCCCAGAATTGACAGTTTGCCCCGAAAATGGTTCGATCGAACACATGATGTTTATCGAAAATGGTGAATTGATGACTTCTCATGCAAATGGATCTGTTTGCTTCATCGATCCTCACAACAATATGAGAGTCAAGCGCGTGCAAGTTTCCGCCTCGACGATCTGGTCTGCCTGCAAACATCCAAGTAGTGATAAAAGCAAGTCAACAGTCGCTCTAATATCGCATTCTTCTGTGCTTTATTTCTTTGACATCAATGCGAAGATTATAATATCGTCTATTTCTCTCGGAGTTGAGAGTAGACTCTTCGATTTATCAAGCAGTGGAAAATTAGTTGCTATCGGATCAATCGATGGAATAATCTTGGCTGGAAATGGGAAAGTTCAGCAAACTCTGAAGCTGGATCGTCAAAACCGACGAGACCCAACCGTTGCTTGGACTGTGCTATTCATAAAGCCATCTCTGTTAGCATGTGGAGATTCGCGAGGAACCATCACGTTCTGGAATCCAGATGTAGGAACATTGATTCAATCCGTTTCCTGCATGCAATCTCACATTCTGACATTGTGTTGGACAAATGAAATTCTATATGCTGCGGGAGTGGACCCTCGTATTATAGCTATGAAGGAAGTTACATGCGAAACCTACGAGGTTGTCAACCGCCAAATCGGGCCGTCGAAAGATGTGCGCTCACTTGTAGCATACGAAAATAAGGTTAGTTTCTTCAAAATTTCCAGACTTTATTCTTTGTAGATTTTTTCCGCCGGCGAAGATCATGATATTTACGTTTGCGAAAAATTCTGTCGCAAGCTTCAAGTTCAGCAACAGAAAAATATCATTGTGGCGGCTGATGTGGTGGCAAGCGCAGGGGAAAATTATATTGACATTTGGTGGAAGCAACACGGCGAAGACATGCCTTTTGAAGGATCTCATGTTCTCCATCAACATTATGAGATGATCCATTTGGCTAAGATCTATGCTCCCAGCAAAAGGATAATCACAAGCTGGTATGGTTTATGCGTCACCGCGTCTCATTTTCTATGGGTCTAGAAAACTCGAGAGCTCCCCGAATTGAAACTGGCTCGAAATGGAACATGCCCGAAATGGAATTGCCCGAAATGGAACTTCCACGCTATTTTCTGTGGGAGATCCATTTCGGGCAATTCCATTTCGGTACAGTTCCATTTCGGGCCAGTTCCATTTCGGGGTGCTCTCGAAAACTCCACGTCCGCGGCCTCACTTCGCCCATTGGACTGTGATTTTTTTTTCGAAAAATAGACAGAAATTCAAATGATACTGTCGCCGAATTATTTTTCTAAGTTGAAAACTTGGGCCCGCTGCGCGGGTCGAGCTGGCAAACAGGGATGCAGATCAGGCGCCTGTTTTGCCAAATCTTCACGTCAAAATTGCAAAACAGGCGCTTGTTCTGCATCCCTAGACAAACAAACATGAAGAGTTATATTAATAAGAAAAATTTTCGGAGATGACTTTTGCGCGAGTGTGATAAAAGGGTGGAAAACCGAAATCGCGTATTCTAAAAACGCGGATGCCAAGCGGTCGTAAAATAAACATTAGCGCATGCGCCTTTTAATATAAAATTGTGAGCGCGCTGGTTACTAATCCCATTATTTTTATAAATAACATTTCCGTTTCAGGATGTTATCCTCTTGTGGCGAACGTCTTGTGATCGGAACGAGCTCGGAAACGACATTGTATAAGATTGCTCCGACTGCCTCGAAATTAAACAAGAAAATTGTGAAGTTCGGAACTTTTCATGTCGCTGCAACAGCTTTTCATGTGACCGGAGAACGTTTTTTTGCGGCCAGAGGCGATTTTGAAGTTGTGGAGCTCCTTGTAACCGAGTCAAGCAAACAAATGAAATCTCTCGTAAATCAATGTGAGTCGGGAAAAGAGAATCAAGAGAACGCGGCATTTCAGTAAAAATTGTTTTCATACGACATTTTGACGTACTTCTTGTTGGGGGACGCAAGGAAAGGGTGACGTTTGCCGAAATTTCTCCCCTACGCGCGCATATCTGTGGTTACAAAGTGAAGTATTATAGGGGCACCGCGGTGCCGGTGCACCGGGCAGAAAGGGCGCGCTGTTCGCAATCTGGCAGAATTTCTAGGCCGCGAAGTAATTTTCCGCTGAAAACGTGGCCTAACTTTTCAAACTCGGCCCCGAGGTCGCTCAATTTGCACTGCAAAAAGAGTTTCTCAACAGAGCGCTATTTCTGTGCGGTGCCCTTATAATATCATCCTTCTTATTTAATAAAAAGCTAACTGAGTCTGTCCATTTCTTTCTTTTACACGCGTATAATTTGAAGGTTTACTGTTTAAGAGAGGGGGAATCCGTTTTTGGAGTGAGATTTGGAATTTTCAGCAATGACCCAAATTTTTTGATTTACGAACTCTGAGAACCGCAACGCGCTGTAAGCCGATACAATTAAATCAATTTTACAGCTGAATGCGGTGCCGCTGTGAAGATGATCGTTTCTCCGTGTGGAATTCACATCATCATTCTCACGACAAGGTCGCAATTGTTTTCCATAAATTCAGAGACGGGCGAATCACGCCTTGTCAAAATCGACATGTCAATCGATATCACGTGCAATTTTACGTCCTTATTTGTATTGACTGCGGCATCAGGATTTTCGGAAAGCACAGATTCAAAAAAAGTACTTTATGAAGTAGGATTGTCGAATGGTATCATAAAGCGATCAACTTTCTTGAATCAATTGCGAATGGCGTCAACCACACAGAACCGTGTATACCCAGAATTACCGATTTCATTGATGGATGTGGGCCACGGCCAACTTATGGTAACCTCTTACGGTGGAGGTTGGTCAATTGTAGATACGGTAGGTTTTGTAACACGATATCAATTCTTCGGCAAATTCAATAACTTTAGACTTTAAATGGAGTTGCTTATACAATGAATAAACCTCTGACGAACGAGAATGCTGGAGTTTGCGTTGTAAGCGCTCGAGCTCAAAAAAAATCAAACGGTGTTCGCATAATACAGCTCGAAGTTACTGGAGAAGCTCTACCAAAGGCTTGCGGATTCAAACTGAAGAAATTCGGCATGCAGTGAACTATTAATGTTCTCTGTCTTTGTTGTTGTTGTTGTTACTTCCTGCTGTTGATTTTTTCTTGTTCAGATTCGTTACAAAAATGAAGACCTTTTTTTTTAAAATATTATGTTAACAAGACTTGAAGCAATAAGCGTTTATTGAGATCATTAAAAAAGTTCGAAGTTTGCTCGTAGAACTAACCGCTTTTTCCACCAGTTCAAGCTCTGCTCTGGACAAAATCTCACTTCTCATCCTTGAGAACCTTTTGATCGGTGTTGCTCTGAAAGTTCTACGTTCTTCTATTTTTTTCACAACTGTAAGCCACCAAATTAATTCCTCTTGTTCCTCGCAAATTTCGCGCACTTTTTGAGATTCAACATCTGCTGAATAACCTCATAATTTAACAAGACTTTTGGAACCTGGCCCGCCAAGCAGGACGAGCTTACGCTGCTTTTCTTATTATTCTCAAAGTCATTTCAGAGTTCACGTGAGTTCAAGAATTCACTGCGGCGAGCTGAAGCGTATGTGCTGCACAAGTGCGCGAAACCTTCGGGGGACGCGGACGGGAGCGACGAAATGAAATCAACATACAGTTCCAACAGCAATTCGTTTCTTCTCGTCTTCACTAATACCCTGTGGGATAACATCAATCGAAAAATTTGATATCCTATTTCGCAGAAGCTTTTGACGCATAAACTGAAATGACAGCGTCTTACTACTAGTGTTTTCAGTTGAAAGGATAAATTATCCTTACCTGCTGAAGTAGGACCCTTTTACATCTTTGTTTTACAGCAAGAGCCAGATCCAGCCATGTCCAATTCTGCTCGTGATATTCACAAAGTGGGAAAACGAAATTGAATTGGTTAACGTCAATCAAGCTTTTATCCTTGTTTCCCTGAATTAACTCATTTTGTCTATTCAAAGTTTCAGGTTACAAACCTTGTAAGAAACAACGAAAGAAACTTCGGGTATCTTTATATACATGAAATGATTCACTTTGTCTGCCCTCTCTTTCATTCTATCGATGTCGTCTTTCTCAGAATGGGAATCCTTAAAAAACACACAAGATTCGGGGGCACGACAGGGCACGGTCTCCCACGGCGCGAATGATTTCAATGGGGCGCACTTGCAACTTTTAATTAACTTTCAACGGGAGTTCGCGTTCTTTCCATGTTTTCTGCACAATACACTTATTTTTTTGTGCGCCTGGAACCTGGATCCGAATAATTAGAGCACTAGCTACGTTTTGGTAACAGAAATCTCACATATCGTTGAGAATTAGCCGAGTTATTTCGATTTGAAGGTTTTGGCCTGGATTTTGGTGTTTTTAGAATAGTTTTCGAAAACTGCTCAAGAAAACTAACCGCCGGAACCTAAATTTTGTGAAGAAAGATTCAGCGAACATTTTTATCGTTCGTTGGGCTCATGAAATGCAAGATGAGCTGAAATATAAAGGTTTGAAGTTTTGACGAAATGCGAAAAAGACGCTAAAAACATGAAAAACTCTAAATTCTGTAAAGAACGGTTTCCAATCGGTAAAATATTGTTTTCTAGACGTTTTTCAAGTCAAAAAGAAAGAAATAAAGGTCGTAAACTAGAATTGAACTGCATTTTCAGACCTGCAAATTTTCAAAAGTTACAACGACACTCCGCAACTTACGAGCGCACTGTGTTTAGCATTAGCGCCCTGGGAGACCCTGCAGGGTACAATAATTTTTTGGGTACAACTTTTTTTTATTTTGCGTTATTCAGTGAAATTTGAGAAATGGTGTGGTAATTGAGAGCAAAGGAGTAATTGAGACAATATAGTATTTGGGGAAATATAGCGATTGAGAAAAAAAAATAGTTCAGCATGTAGCAATTCAGTTATTGCCAACAGTTGTGATACAGGGCAGTTCTGATTCGGGGTAAGCCCCACTCATTTGCAATGTACAAAAAATTCAAAAATCATCAAAAATCATATGGAACGTCCGAAAATCTACTTTTTTTGCGTTCAGTGAAATGTTGCAAAAGTCGTACTCTGAAATCTTAAAAGTTTATTATTATTATTGTTTATTACGTACGCAAGGTACGTGAAAGGAAAGAGTTCTATGGTTCATTTAACGTGTGCCAAATTCGATAAATCCGTGACAGCCTCCGTTCCTAAGTATGTTTTTTCCATTTCTTATTTCTACCGTTGCACGTGGATTTGTACGAGAGAAGGATTGGGGTGGCATGATGAGACGTTGTCAGGATCCGTTGGAACTTTGCCCCGTACTTCCTCAGATTGAGAACGAGCACTTGGAGTTGCATCCATTTCTGACTCCTAGACTTCCTCAACTTCTTCCGTTTGACAGTCCTTGCTTTTTTCCCAGTCCGTCTTCTGCTTCCTCACGTTTTCCTTTACTGCCTTCCTAGCCTTCCTCACTGATTTTGAAACATCTTCTACAAGCTTTTCAAATATGCGTTCTTCTATTACAATTCTCATAAATGAGGTCATAAACTTGTCTAGTATTTCCTCACGTCACGTTTCATAGGAATCCTCCACTGAAGGCTCCATTTTTGCCGATTCTGCGATTACTTCCTGATGATGAACGTGATTACGTCTGCCATGAGTGAAAAAAAAGTAGGAATGTTGGTAGGAAATATTGAAAGTAGGAAATAGGTTGTACCATAAAATCATGAAAGTTGTACCAGTCAAACGAATGCCATATTCTTGTACCCAAAAATTGAAAAGTTGTACCATCTTACTTTTGTACACCAAAATCAAAAAAGTTGTACCCTAAAAATTGTTGTACCCTGTTGTACCACCGAATCTTGTAGCAGTTTGGTCATGACTGACGGCGTAAAAAACCCATTACCTGTAGGACTATTTTGCCTGTTGCAGATCTGTTGCTTCTCATGCTAAGACTGCTCGCAATCTTTCTGGTAAACGAGAATTTCTGTAAAACTCCGATTGGCTAACTGAAGACGGTGCTGAATACCGAAGAATCGACTTCAGCCTCCAAACTATCGTTTGTGTGAATATTTCTTCCAGGAAAAAAGAAACGCATCATTTTATCGAAAAGCCTGTGGGTGATTGCTGCAACCATTGGAGCGATATTCAATTCGAAATGTTCTTTAACACTTATGCCGCCGACAGGAGGCATATCTCTCACGAACAACCTAATCGCAGGTTGTCGAGAATGTCGCGTTTCGTCCCGATGAAGAGCATTCTTATAAATTGAATCTGGCAGTAAATTCGCAATTCGAACACTTCCGACCTCAAACAAGTGGTCTCCACAGTTACTGTCTCTCACAGTCCTCGTGTACCTGAAGAAATAAATAGTTCGATTAGGGCTTGGTCATCCTACAAAAAGTTGCGGATCTGTGTTTGAGCTAATGCTATTTGTCCATCACTTTCGGTTAACTTCCATATGCAATCCTCGAAACAGACTTCGAATCGTCTGATCACTTCCACGCCCTTTTTCTCACTATGATCGTCGTAGTTCTTCATTTGATTTACTTGTCTTTGCTTATATGAGCTAATATAGGTGGCAAGCAGATCAGAGACGGATAGCATCCTCTGTTTAGTTTCTTCCGCTTCCAGAGATATTTGTTCTTCGGTGTACTCGACAGATTCGTGCTCTCCTTGGTTTATATAGAATAATTGACGCTCCAGAAACCGTCCAAGTGAAACAATTTCACGGAGCTCTGATTGATACTTCATGATTTTCGATCTGAGCTCTGATATGCTCATTAATTGACATTCAAACCGTTGTCTTCTTCTCTTATCGCCAATTTCCTTCTTATTTGGATCAACGAAAAGTGCCAAGTTGTTTATAATGTCCACAACCATTTCGTACTGAAAACGGAAACTGTATTGTTCAGTAGAATATTTTTACCTGTTCAGAGTTACTAGTAGCTTCTAGCATATTGTGTTTCAGTGTAAGTACATCTATCCCAGCCGAATCAGTGCTCAAAGACTGATGCGAGGGATCCAATTTGGGAGGTACGGAAATGTCTTCACTTGAATCGGTTTTCAACTCGTCCGAGAAGTAGCAGAAGTAAATTTGACAACTGCACCTCGAAACTATTCTCTGCAGCTGTATGTCTTCCTCGTAATCGAACTCTTAACGAAATTCCAAATATCGAACTCGTTCCGCGGAACGACTTCTTTTAAACTTTTAAACTAAATTCATCGCTATTTCCCCTCGGTGTTTACAGACTCAAGCCAAAATATCTGAAATTAGGCTTGAGTACGCAAACACCGAGGGGGCAAGAGCGGTAAAATGAGTACATGATCATGATTCTTAGTCTATAAAAAAACGAGAGCACCCCGAAATGGAACTCCCACAGAAAATACCGGAGTTTTTTTTTCATATTTTTTCCTCATTTGAATAGGGTTTTTTTTCGGTAATAAACTCGTTTTTTCCCGACTGAATAGGTCTATCAGGCGGCCGGCCGCCACCTCGGCAAAGGCGCGCCACTTTTGCGCAAACTTTAAGCGTCCTCGAAGCTTTTGCGCAAACTTTAAGGCATGTCGAAATTGTTATGGAAATTTTTCATTTTCAGTACTTTTCGCTTTTTCCAGCTTGTTTTTATGCGTTTTATTTGTTTTTTTTTTGCTTATCAAATTGAAACTACTTATCTTTTTCCGTATTTCCTCGGTTCGAGCGCATTTCAAGCAAAATTTCGGTCGGATTTCGTTTAGAAGCGAGTTTTATTGAAAATTTGAAATCACTTGAATTCGAGCTACTTCACAATTATTCAAGATTTTCGAACGACTCAGGTAAACCGTTTGTAATCTAGCTAGCTAATTCGCGTTTCTAAACGGACCTAATTAGATTGCTAATTTACTGCGATTAGATTGCAAATTCTTCTAACTGGACTGATAAATTTTCTAATTAGATTGGCGAAGCTAATTAGATTGCAAAAATACTGATATTAGATTCAAAACTTATCTAATTAGATTAAAATTTCGGGCAAACCTAGCTAGATTACGTTTAGATTGCAAAATCAGCTAGCTAGATTTAGAAATCGGTAGCAATCTAACTAGGTTCGGTTAGAAACGAGAATTAGCTAGTTAGATTAGAAACGATTTGCCTGAGGATTCACATGCTCGTAGACTCAATTCATCGCTATTGCCCCTCGGTGTTTGCAGACGCAAGCCAAAATTTCCTGAAATTAGGCTTGATCCTGCAAACACCGAGAGGGCAAGAGTGGTAAATTGAGTATACTTTTGTACTACATCACATTCTTTTCTGATTTAGATAGAACAAAAACCCCTGTGAAGAGAAAAACGGATCCGGACGAAACTATCGACTTCAGCCAAAAAGTGTCCAAGTCATTTGTATGAAAGTGACGAAGACTATACAATCACTGATCTCTAAATGGTACTTTTTTTCTGGTTTTTATACTATCCCAATAAAATAGTTTTTTTCATGCAGGAATGAAGTGGAAATAAACTGAACATTTTTAAGCAGCATTTGGGCAAACTTTTAAAACTGGCTTGCCGAAACTGGCGGCCCGGCTTTCCCGAGTCATTTTGATATGCTGGGTCGATTTCTGAAGAGACGGCCTGGAATTTGTCACGGTGGCCTACTAAAACAGGAAGCCGTAGCCCTGTTTTTTTGACAGCCTTGCCGAGGCCTCTCGAGGAAGCAAGAACGAGTAATTGGCAGTAATGGGGCTATTCAGCGTATGTCTGTTTTCCGTTTTTTTTTTCGTTTTTTTACATCGCTGAATTTGACGTAAAAAAACGAAAAACGAAAAAAAAAACGGAAAACAATCATTTTTTTTCACAGCCTGAATAAGCAGCCGCTGTTTACGGCCGGGTTTTCACGTGGGATTGCGGTAGAGCGACATTTTCAGAATTTTGAAATGCTGATACCTGGCTGAACAACTCCTCCAACAGCTTCTCCTGCTGCAGTGAACTTCTGCACAAAATCATCGGCGAAACCACTGACATCTTGGCATTTTTCGTCAATAACTTCTCGCGGAAGCCAACGGAATTTTTTTTTGTTCGTACCGGTGGCCGAGATAGGAGCGAAATACTGCATTCCTGAGAGTTTTGCACTCCACGACTTCTTACTGAGCAGTAGGCTTTTCTTCCATACATTTCGATGAAACTGTATTTGCGTATTCAGTGCAGAATCAATCGAGAATCTTACATTTTGCAACAGTTGAGATTTTGCGGCACAAACTATCAAGAAACCATCGCGTTCGCATCCTTTTAGAACGAGCTGACTATTGTACAGATCAACTGAAATTAAACGATGTCCATATAAATTGATCTTACTGTGCTAACTTTGCCAGTTTAGCAGTTTCACATCGTCCATTGTCGATTGTTGGACTCCAAGAAGAGAATCTATCGGCACGTCCGAAGCTTGCTCACAGTGCGCAACTAATTTTGTACCAACTTCATCAATCAGTTGACTGAGCATCCAAGGGTTCGCCTCCGTTACACTATATCCTCTTCTATGTGTCTTTTCTTTTCTACTTGATTGAGGCTCTTTTGGCTTTGCATCAACAGTGGGCTCCAAATGGATCTGAAAAAACAACGTCAAGTTCAAAGTCTCAGAAAATGAGTACATTCAACGTTTTCATAGCATCGTTACTGAGGATTCTTCGAAGCATATGAGCTCTATGAACTCCATCCGCAATCGTGAGGCAGGCATCTCTATTTTCCGAAGTCCATGCCATTTTCAAATCATACGCGGCCACTTTGTGTAAAGGCGTGTCTTTTCCGGGATAGATTTCTCGAGAATACTGAACTCTTCCGAAGCCTAGTAAAAATGTATCTTCCGAAGGAGAACCGTCTCTTGGAGGCTGGCTTTCTCCTCCGTACACATGGATTTGAGTCGCCCACCAAGTGCACGTCATGTGGTGAGTGTTCCAAGAATAAACTTTTCTCCGTTGAACATTCATGTCCTGAATAATTCGCGAAATTGCTAGAGTTTTGACGTCTTATTCCTACCCTGTTCGTTGACGAATGCTGAACGGTTTGCCTGAAGGATGCAGTCAGCTGCAGTCCATCCGAAAATACTCGGAACCCATATGATGATGAATGTGACATCCAGTAAGTGACCAGCACTTTTGGAAGAGAGAACGAGAATTGTAGCTTTCCAAAATGCTTACTCAATTGAGGTTTGATGAGTATTCGGTTTCCAAATATTTTTCCTCTGCGAACATTCCTGTTTTTTGTAGTCAACGATTTTAGGAATTGCTCTATCCATCGGAACGTATTCGAATAAAGTAATAAGTTAGGCATCTTTTCTGCTGATGTACAACTTCCCGTGGAGACGTCGAAGTTTAAAGTGACGTTCACGCAAGACGAACGGAACTGGCAAAACGTGTCGTGTTCTTCAGTCTGAGAAAACCTATGATTTCTTATTTGTTCCGTAACGAGCCTAATTCCTTCAAAGGACCTTTCCTGATGGATGTCACGGTAAAGGTTATAACAAGGAGAGTGACAAATTCGGTTTGCAGAGAGTTGGACATTTCTGTTTTACTGATCAGTAAAGGGAAACGTTTAACACCCAGACATTGATCCTATTTGAAGGTTCAGGACTCGAAACGTTCAAAAACATGTCCCCCTGTAGTGTCTATAAGCTCACGGATGAATAATGCGGCAATCGCGCAGGAGAACAAAGATGTACGGAGTGATGATCATGCGGATCACCAGCACATTCCCATCCTAGCAGTATTTTCAATCGAACATCAGGAAGTGACAACACTTGCGAATCATCATATCTCGAAGCTGTTCGCAGAAATATCCGAAGTCCTGACTTGATTCGAATTTCTCCGAGTGCCCAATCAAGGCCAAAGTCTTCCCAGCACATCTCCACTGTTTCCGTTTCATTGTAAGGATCATTTGAAGCTAGCATTGTGGTCATTATTCGTTCACTTGACCACAATAGTTTTCCGTGAAGCAAAAATCGCATTTTGTCCCAGAAAGGAAGTGGTTGTGAAGGGTCTTTGGACGGGGCTGATATATTATTCCAAACCAAAGATATCATCGAGAGGCATGGTTCCCAGCACGGTCCATATGTACAATTAAAATCTGTGCTAGCTGAAAACATATCATAAGATTGTAAAAACCGGTTTCACGCTCGAACCGCATTGAAGATCATAGTAGAATTTCAAAGGGGACATGTTCCGCTGAACCGTGAGAGTGGGATAAGGCTCTGGGAGTGGAACAGAACACTCTCGAAATGAGCGTCCCTCTTCTGAAACAATAACGACAGTTTGTGAGTTCAACCCGTGTTGTACGAAACCTGGAATACTTTCCGCGGCTACTAGGAAACCATAGAAGTGAAGATCTTTAATATCAAGGTACTTCATAGGGTAATCTTTGAAAGTTACACTCCATTCATCCACATCAAACTCAACGGCCCTAGCCCATAATGTTGAATACTCTTGTTCCGGAATTGGACTGTATAACTAAACAGGTCATTACGCAATTATCGTTATACCCACCTCAGTGGATCGAATGTTTTCATCAGACGCACGCACGTTTCTGTGCCATGAAGCGACATGTCTGCGAATGCTCGCATCTTCCATCCCTTCCAGGTGGAAAGGAAAAGTGGACTGTCGCTCACTTCTGACATCTTCCATCGCTCGATGTAAATTTCACTGTTTTTCATAATTAGAGTCTTCTTCATTGATTCTATCATTTCTTCTGTATCAAAAATATCTCTAAATTCATATGAACAGGGCTAGACTTACTGGACAAAAAAGGTACCGTTTTTTTTAAATTAGCCAATCGTTCATCCAGAAGTTGTTCTCTTCTTTCCGACTCATAAACTTCATCTTCTTTCAACTGTGCGCTGAGTTTCAATCTATTCTCAAACTCGTCATCTTCAAGCTCCAGGCAAACTTCCTCTAAGTTTATTTGCACATCACTAGGTAGAGCCGACTTCTCAGTAAACTCGTTCTTTCTTATGTTGTGTACGATTTTTATCCATTTGATAATATTTATGAACTCGTCGAAAACTCGTGCGAAGTTGAAGTCGAACGGAAGGTAAAATCGAAACTTGTCAGCAGTCCATATCCAGACTTTATTGGAGCGGGATTCTAAGGTCGCAAACACCAATCTCGACTCCGTCATACGCTGATCTTGGCTTCTGATATTCAAAGAAAAACACTGCAATTTTAGTTTTACACAATAGTACTGTCACAATTTGCCTGACCAAAACACTGATTATTTTCTTTTTATTCAGAATAACATCCAACATGCTAGTGCCCAGAATTGCTTGACTGTCAAAGAACTCCCACGAAAATTTCTCTCCTATCCATGAAATGCTGAAATAAAATGGGTAGTCAGTGGTCTTTAATCATTCTCTACCGGTGATTCCTCGCTAATTCCAATTGAACTTCAACTGTGGCGTCGAGCATTACCATTAGACGGTATTTTCGTGGCACTCTTCTAACTGTTTCCGATTCGCGATTAGCAAGTCTATAACTAGGCGCTTTGATGATTCATGTGAAGTAATGTACACTCACTTCTTAATGGATTGATAGCTATGAAATATAACCAAATGTAATTGGGGTGACCACGAAATGAAAACATCGGACGGTGTTAGTATTGCTATTTGGATTACAACACAAGAACTGGTATCGACTTGTATTTGTAAAGAATCAACAGACAGAAACTGTTCGTAGCCAGATGCTCCACTGTCTCCACATGGTTCTCCGGTTTCAATGGTTTCGGACTCTGGTAGATTCCATCTCCTTGTTGGCGAGTTGTTTCTTTCCACGATATCACAAGATTCAACTTTTCTAGAGTCCACTACAGTGGACAATGGAATAGCCTTATTATTGTCACGAGCACCATCAATAGCCCGGACGAACTTGAAGTCTACTTCAAATTTGTCTCTACTCTCAGCACAAATCCCGAACGTTGAACAATAGGCCGCAGCAAAACAACTACAGTCATCGATAAAAAAGGCGAATCTGAAATTACAGTAATTTTCTTCGACTTCTAAACTGACTAAGACAAACCTATTCACAGAAGTGTTCATCACAAAGTTTCTCTTCTTCGTCTGCTCAGATTTCTTATCCGTCTTTCTCAACAATGCATACAAAGCTGCTAATTGCTCCGCCAATCTGTCAGACCATTCGATTTTCATATCGTCGCAGCCTATTGTTATGTCGAGATCACTGGCTGAGTTCTTCCATTGAAGAATGAGAGCACCCAAAAACAAATGTTCCCCCCAGCTGTGGACTTCGAATTGTGATTCATCGGGGAGAGACCCGAATGAAAGAAATTCGATTCCAACTTCATACTGTTCATCTGTCGTTTCGAAACTCATGAAACTCATTCTGAATATGGACTTCTTGTAGTTAAAATCGACAATATCACAAAAGACATCGAACGTCTCCAAGTAGACATCAAACTTGGTGTCCGAGTTGTTGGTCTTCGGATTACTCATCCATTGAGAAATTTTGGTGAACGGTAAGCGCATACTATCCTCTTTCCACCATTGAACGTCAGGAAGTACCAGCTTTGAGTGGACTGAATCAATCGTTATGCGAATTTGTGACGTAGAGAAATGGGAATTTTCCTGGAACAGTTTATCGTATAAATTTTTTTCGGTGTGCGTATTGATCAGACTTGCAAAATCTGAGCCGGGCTCGTCGTTTCCTAGATTTTTCGATAAGCCCGACTCGGCCCGGCTCCTTGGTATTGCTCATATCATGTTCAAAAGGAAGCATAATATTAAGCAGAGCAACTCAAACTTACTGAAAACACCAGTTTAACTGAATCCATTCGAACTTCACTTCTTAAAAATTGATCAATAACAATGAAATTCACAAATGTTAAATTGGCATCATGATTAGAACGAATAGCAAGAATCTGTTTTATGCTGCAGGTTATATAACGATAGGAAGAACTGAAACAAAAAGCCGTCAGACCCCATGTATTCGTTGAAAGTAGTTGACAAGCTTACCTATCATTGCCACTATAAGAGGTGTATTTCGTGGATATTGACTTGATATCCAATTTAAATTGCAAGTTATTCAAATAATTTGGAATACTTGACCGTTGGTCGGTCGATTTAGTCAGCAATGTACCATTCGATGATGGAGCAAGGATGACCTGCTCGACAATAACAATGAAGTCTGAAAATTATTTCTCAAAACTATTTGAACCAACTGTTATCACTGTTTGTGAAGGCCAAGGATGGTGCTGACACTCGTAAAGAAACCGAGTTGATTGTCGACTTTTCTATATCCAGAGAAAGCTGGAATGGTAATGACAGCTCAGCTAGAAGACTGCCACTTTTCGCATTTCTCTTCAATAGTTTTCCTTGGATGAGCGTGCAGGATGCCTCGTACTGCCATCTAAACACAAACGAAAGGGGCTTCGTAATTCTTCGACAATGAACAAGACTGACCCTTCGCGACTTCGGAAAGTTTCAAGAGATAGTTCGTCTATGGTTATGTGCAGTAAACAATCCGGCACAATGTTCATAACAACAAAATGAACGCGATTAACTATAAGCTGACAGTACTGTAAAGAACTGTTGTGAGAAGATGCCGTCGTGGTTAGATAAGGAGGCTACCCTGAACCAGAACTGTCCACAATCAGAACTGTGCCCCGGATCAGAATTATCCCGAATCAAAACTTGTCACAACACGACTTTTCGTAATAAAAACGACCTGCAGATAGGTTCTGCTTTGGGACAGTTTTGATCCGGGCAGTTCTGATTCGAACAGCTCTGGTTCGGGGAAGCGTCTACATAAGTAGTACCTGAGCGATCCTCGTGAGGCGTTGGAAATTGCTATACGAAAAATTATCAGATCTGTTCAAATTCCTAAAATCATCACGAGGAAAGTTTTGTGATTTTTCTGCCTCTATTCGAGCATCATCGATCCGTAACACGAAAAATCGTCTGAAAAGTTGCGAGATTTCGAGATGAGAGTAACTATAACTTACGTCGGATGAGCTCTCTCTCTATGCAGAGATATTTCTTCAATATGAATCGACAAGCTACTTGCTGTCTTGATACTTATATCGCGAAGCATGAAAAATCCTATCCTCCCGACTCGTACTTCTGACTTGGTCAAAACAGAAAGTGTCCATGACAAAAGGACACCAAAGTAACTGAAGAAGAGTCTTGTGAAAAGACGTAATGGGTCTACGCAGAGTGCAGAAAAAGGGTTGCTTTCGTTTTTATTTTTCTCTAGGCAAGTTTAGCCATCGCTGCAGGACCATCGCAACAAACTTGTAATGCGCCTTTAATCAAGTGTGTCAACCACGAGGAGTACTGTGGGAGAATTCGAGGCTACCCCGAATCAAAACTGTCCCTTAGGGATGCAGAACAGGCGCCTGTTTTTCAACGCAAAACCGCCTGTTTTCGCAGGCGTCTGCAGGAGTCTGCAAAACAGGCGCGGGCGCTAGGCTGGTCGAACAGGCGCCTGAAAAAAACAGGCGCCTGTTTTCTCAACGCAGGGATGCAGCGGCGCGTTGAAAAAACAGGCGCCTGAAAAACAGGCGCCTGAAAAAACAGGCGCAGGCGCCTGTTTTCGCCTGTTCGACCAGCCTAGCGGGCGCTTAAAATCGCCTGTATTCCATCCCTACTGTCCCCAATAAGAGCCCGTCACCCCACTTGCAGATAGGTTCTGATTTGGGACAGTTCTGGTTCGGTGTAGCCTCGAATTCTCCCACAGTAGTCCTCGTGGTTCTAGCACAGGCATTTAATTCGGAGGGTACAAAAATTAGGGGGTACAACAGGGTACAAGTTGTTTTGGGGTACAAAAAGTCGAGGGTACAAAATTTTCGATTCTAGGGTACAAAATTTTCGATTCTAGGGTACAAAAATTTACCGATTCAGTAGGCATTGATTAAGGGGTACAACTTTTATGATTTAAGGGTACAAAATTTCACGATTTTGGGGTACAACAATTTTTTCCCATTTTTTCATGGGCATCAATTCAGTGAATGTTTTTAGTTGTTTCACAAAATTTTTTTACTCCGTGAATGTTTTGTACTCCGAACCGCTTGATCAGTTTCAGAGATGTTTTTTAAATGAGATTTCATGACCCTTCGAAGCGTTTTGCTTCCGATAGACAGTGGTTCAAACGGCGACCCCTTTGTTATTATAGGGGCACCGAACAGAAAGGGCGCTCTATTGATAAACTTTTTTGCAGTGCAAATTGAGTGAGCTCGGGGCCGAGTTTGAAAAAGTTAGGCCACGTCTTCAGTGGAAAAATTACTTCGCGGACTAGAAATTCGGCCAGATTGCGAACAGAACGCCCTTTCTATTCGGTGCCCCTATAATATTACTTACAAGTTGTTTTGCTGTTTTGGCCCCTTTAAATTCTGAAATTTCACAGCAGAATTTCAGCATCTGATGTTGTGTGTGAAATTTACCCAAGTAAAGTTTTTTTCTCGAAATTACACAAAAATACTGCATAAAAACAAAGCATGGCTACACACGACTGTGTCTCGTGAGCTCTCAAAAATTCAAAACTGGAATGAAAACTTCGAAAATGTGCTTCGTGCAACTTTTGTACCCCAAAATCGTGAAATTTGTACCCTTAAATCATAAAAGTTGTACCCCTTAATCAATGCCTACTGAATCGGTAAATTTTTGTACCCCAGAATCGAAAATTTTGTACCCTCGACTTTTTGTACCCCAAAACCATGAAAGTTGTACCCCAAAACCATTTGTACCCTGTTGTACCCCCTAATTTTTGTACCCTCCGAATTAAATGCCTCTAGCACAAAACTAATTTTATTGTGATGGTCCCCCTTGTCATTGAATGCCCCCGTTTTTTTTTCTTTTTGGCCGGTTTAAAAACGACGTGAGCTTGCTTGGCTGAGTCGGCTGAGTCGCTACGCTTAGAAAAACGAGGCTACCCCGAAGCAGAACTACGGGACAGTTCTGGTTCGGGGTAGCCTGGAAAGCCGGTCCTGCCTGGAAAGTTTTAACGAGTCAAAAATACTATCGGAAAAAAGGTTCGACATTAGAATCGGAGTTGGCAGCGAGCCAAGGACACGCCTCCCAAATAGTTTTTACTGCAACTGCCGCTCGCTATTTGCGGGGCGTGTCCTTGGCTCGCTGCCAACTCCGATTCTAATGTCGAACCTTTTTTCAACAGTACCCGCATTTTGAACGCTCTCCGTCGTTTAAAAATGTTCTGATTTGTGAGAATTTTCTCAAAGTGTTCTAAAACATTCCTTGTACAAGCTTATCAGGTCTAATGTCCTAGGAACTAATTCGTCTATTCTTATCTGTGCCTTGACTTTTGTTATCTTTCTGAACTAAATAAACGAATACATACATAATCAGTGACTATTCAGCAAGAATGGCTATACAAATTGAGAGAAACTTTACCATATCAACAAGAGAAAGCCGGTGAGCAGTGTGAGGAAGGCTATCATGTCGCAAGAGTGAACAATTTCTGAGGTACAGGATTATTTCCAAAACTTAAATCGGTTCTTCTCTATATTGTTGTCGTTTTGTTTAAAAATCGGTTTAATCGTCCAATATTGGCAGATTAAGACATATACTACCGAATATCGGGTCAACTTATACCAATAATTGTTTCATTGAAATTTGGTTCATTAATTTTTTAGTTTAAAACTCGAGCAATAATTACATTAAAGCAAGGAATGGCGGAAAGGAATGAAATGAAAGGAAGGCAACCTGAGAAATTATACGAAAATCAAATTGTGAGAATTATATCAAATGGCATCGGGGAAGACGAGTATGAACGCAACAACTAAGCCGAACCCGGCACAGATAAAAATCATTTTTAGAATTCTGTACTTGCCACCGTGCAACTCGTGCGGAATTACTTCGAACGTGGTTATATAGAGGAAAGTTCCGCAGGCAATGGCTTGCAACACAGAAGAAACGGCGGCAGCTAACGTTTCATCACCACGACTGATGAATCGCATCAGTCCTATTCCAGTTATTCCACCGATAAGCACCTGCACACTGAACAGGAACATAGAGAATGCGATCCACGGAACTGACAGTCTGGACTGAATTAGTCGAACACCAAGGCAGAAACCCATTATGCATTTATGAATAGCCAGTGCTCCGAAGATCTGTTAGATTTGAAGGGTCAAAATCGTGGTTGCGGTAAAAAGACAAACCTGGAGCAGTTGTGATGGATCAGTTGTGACTGCAAGTGAAAGTCCTTCGAAGAGAGCATGAATTGAAAGTGCACACACTAACATGGAAACTCGGAACCCAGATTGTCCACTGTCTTCTTCGTGATGTTCCGAATTTTCTCCTGTTGTGTTCACTTCGCCATGGCTGTGCACGTGATATCCGATTGCGCCGAAACTGCTTCTATCTCTAATAGTCTTTACGAGTTGATCCACGCTCAAAACTAGTAGAAAGCCGAGGGCAAAACAGAAAAATGGAATAGGGAAACTCGTAGTAATTTTTGCGTTTTCAAATGTTTCAATTGAGTCTGAAAACGTTTTCATTTTATGCTAGGCTGACAAAGGCACCTGGTAAAAGATCGAGAAGACATGCACCAAGGAAAACTCCGCCGCCAATACAAGAGAAGAATGATAAAATGTGACTGTTTGCCCATTCTCCTTGAAGAAAAGTAGCCAGCTGAAATTTAAAAAAAAATTCTCAATGCAAAATCACGGCCTAACAAGGGACTTTTTATTCGATTTTTCAAATACATACCATTCCTGCTCCAAATGTGAAAGCAAAAAGAAGGATAAGAAGGACGGCACGCAGAGCATCTTTTGGTTCCGCTCGGTCACTATTCTTAAGTCCTTCCACGAAGAGCTTGTTCACCATCTTTCCGTACATCTTTTTGTCTACCGTAATCCGTGAGGTCGCTTGAGTAATGGAAATCCTTTGGTTGTCTAGAATTCTTTAAAATCCTTTATTCTAGATTTAATCAATTGAGAAGTATTGTCTGCAGACACATCTAGTCAAACCGTTTCTAGAATTTTTACACTATATATACATGTAGCAAATTTGTAATAAGTAGAAATCTTAAACTCAATTTATCCCTATTGCCCCTCGGTGTTTGCAGACTCAAGCCAAAATTTCTGAAATTAGGCTTGAGTACGTAGATACGTCGATGTACACGTCTTCAGTAAACTCTTTTTTAGAAAATCCGTGTAACTTTGTGGAAAAATTTTCATGAAACCAGAAATGTTCAGACATTATATATATTGATTGGGGTTTTATCTGATTCGTACCTGCTTCAAAGGTGCGGAGCAATACTTGAATTCAGCAATTTTAGAAATGATTAAAATATAGGGTTACTGGATTATTCATCAATAAATGTTTTGTAATGCACAACTGCAGCTGCAATGTACTGCAGTACTGATGTGATTCGTAGTGAAATGAAGCAAGCGCGCTCCATCGTACAGAAACAGAGCTCGACGTTCAAACGAAAAGACGGGAACGGTGATTTCTCTTTGGGGTCTCGCGGAGGTTTCTAGTCCGCGACCCCGCGACCCCGGCCACAGGGTCACGCCGTTCTACTAGCTCTGGGAACTCGATTGCAATCTAATTAGAAGCGGTTGCAATCTAATTAGAAAACATTGCAGTGATTGTAATCTAATTAGAAGTTTTTGCAATCTAATTGAAGCAGATTCTATTTCAAACGAGTTCGTATTAGATTGCAAAGTTTTCTAATTAGATTGCAATCGAGTTCCCAGAGATAATGAAAGAATCATCTCACGTGAGATCTCACCTTGAGCCACATGAAAACTAGAACCAAAAAATGAGGCACGAAGAACCATTTTAAAGTAGACTTGTAATGCACACTGAAACAAACTCAGTAGAACGTTGATGAAAGCTAGTAGTACCTTTGTTGGTAATGTTGAGCGATTCTTTGGCGGTTTTGAAAGTCGTTCCCATCGGTACCCGAAGCTCGAATACCTCTTGATGACATTTGTTACCTGACACGTAAAGATTTCGAACAATTATTCGCGCGACAGATTCGAATTTAAACGGGTATGTATTTTTCGGTGAGTACTTTGTCAGCTCTAGAGACCGTGAATGAGTAGTATATAAAATGTTGTTTCTGGCGCACCTTTTTGCCCAAATGACGTTTTTGCAGATTTTCAGCCATTTAAAGACATTTTTGAAGTGAAAACATGCCTTCATTTTCTCAAAATGTGTCATTTTTGAAAAATGACCAAAAAATGACTGGTGCAGCTGTTGTCCATTTTGCCCAGCACCCCCTTTTTTCAAATTTCAGCTTTTCAGCATTTTCAAATAAAAATAACCTTAATAAATGACTTCTCTGAAGAAGGATCTGAAGCCTCTAACGAATGTAGACCTACAAGAGCTTGTTAAAATTTTAAAAGTAAAACATTTCCGAGGAATCTTTATGAGAGACACTTTACCACAAGGTATAAAATCAAAAGAAGTAGGTATTGTGAACTTGGATACTTCTTCTTCCCTATAATATTAAGCGTACAAGAACAATTACATTTGGGCAAGCTTGAACTCCTTATTTTGCCAGTCGACGATGATTGATAGCTTAAAATGTTGCATTGTATCTGCACCAAGGATGTTGACATCTGTGAAATGGGCTTTAGAGACTTCACATTCGATCTTAGTCGTTTGATCCTGAACATTTGAAATTAATCATAAAACTCCAGATAAAAGAGAAAACAAACCTGAATGACCACATCGAAGCGAGCATGAGTCACGTTGCCTTGGCCAAAGAGGCTTTCCAGCGATTTGACGCTAAGACAGGTGAAGGGCGATCCGGTATCCACCAAGAACCAGATAAATACGGCCTTCGAATTCGGCTTGCCTGAATTAGGAACCAAAAGATTCTCAAATTTTTTATCGAATTTTGCTTACCGGCACGTTGGCAAACTAAAGGAACCATGTATCGGAGGTTTCTGCCGTGAATCGCCCCCGTCACGGGAAAAGCGGGAGAAGGAAAAGTTCCGGAGCTGAGGTGTTCAATACCCTTGGTGAGCCCAATCTGAAAAACAAAACTTTTTCAAAAACTTCATTAGATACAATAGTAAAAATTAATCCTACCTCAACAAGTTCTCCATAGTTAATATCCGTGACCAAAACATCGAATTCCTCGTATGGCAGAGCGAGTTTCTGCCAAGACTCATCTGACGACGAACTCTAAAAAAGATAAATCAATTTAGAAACACATAAATCTATGCCTACCTGGTTGTGTTCACTCATGTTTGCCGACGATTCCTCGCTGAAAATAGAGAATGAATAGAAAAATCCTGGTGTAAAGTGCTGTGATATTCAAACTATTTCAGTATTATGCAAATAAAAGAACAACAGATATTTCTACCAAACCACAACAAGCGTGAATAGAGGGAGAAAGTGATGTTGACAGTTTCTCGCCTTCCTCTGCGTCTCTGCTCACAGACGCGTCACTCTCATCACCCTTTCACTCTAGCCCAACGCACGGGGCGGCAATTCATACAATGACCGAGAAAATTTTGCGCCTTGCGAAACTTCGGCCACGTGTGTTTTTTCAACACACGAACTGGATTAGCTGCTATAAAAGATTCTCTGGCACACGGTCTCCAGAGCTGACAATATGGGCGTGGCCTCGGCCAAATAGCGTTTTCATGAATTGAGCATGTTTTCTCTGATTTTTGTGGTCAAAGACGATGAAAAATGATTGTTCGACATGAAAACACACTAATTCTCAGAATTAATGACGTTTTGGCGCATTTTTCGCGGACTTTGCTTTTTCGCCTTCGCCGCCGATCGCCGCCTGAAAACCGCACTTCTCATTTTGCGCTTTCTTGACCGTTTTCAGACATTGCTGATTTACTGCGATTGCAAATTTTTCTAACTGGGCTGATAAATTTTCTAATTAGATTGGCGAAGCTAATTAGATTGCAAAAACACTAATATTAGATTCAAAATTTATCTAATTCGATTAAAATTTCGGGCAAACCTAGCTAGATTATGTTTAGATTGCAAAATCAGCTAGCTAGATTTAGAAATCGGTAGCAATCTAACTAGCGCTAGTACTAGGTCCGGTTAGAAACGAGAATTAGCTAGTTAGATTAGAAACGATTTGCCTGAGCACAGCCTTTTTCTCCGGTTTTTTTTTTGAGAAAAATAACTAAAGCAACAAAAATATTGGATCTGGGTCACTGCCCGTGAAAATTCGCGTTCTTCGGGACTAGTAAATGGCTTCTGAAAAGCTATTACTCTTTTACGGTAAGAAGAAAAAATCCCGGAAGACGGCAGACGGAAGAAACAATTTTTTCCGGAAGAAAACTTTTTTCCCGGAAGACGGCAGACGGCAGACGGAACAAAAAAATCCACGGAAGACGGCAGACGGAATTCCGCTCAACACTGTTTGACACCTTCTGTCTGCTTTCAAAAGTTCTATTCAACAATTCTAGTTGTATTTCCCTTGTTTTGAAGGCAAAATGTAAATTTAGTTGAAAAAGCACGCTTCATTGGATTTTCCGCGAAATCTGCCTAAAAACGGGTCAAATGCTCCGGTCCCACGATAGTTACGATGTTCAAGCGCCTTTTCGCACAATTCTACACAAACTACTTGTTGTCCTCGAAGGAAAGCCTATAATTTTATAGGCTATACATTTAGTTGCCCGCTTATAAAAAGGGGTAGTGGGTCCAATACAAGAAAACACAAGAAACAACGCGAAAGATTATCAAACAAAGGTTTATTGCTTGAGGAGCAACGAAAGAAACGAATCAACAAAGAAAAGTACAGAAAGAACACCAAAAAGAGTGTCTCTCACAAGCAAACGTACAAAAGCTTTTCTAACCAAAACCAGAACTAAAAACTCAGTCTTAAAAATGCCACGCAGCTCAAAGTTCACGCGTGTCCCATAGAGCGTCTTTGCACCCGTTTGTGCGACTTCCTGGAAAGGGTTTGAGGGAACTGCCTTTGGCAACTTCCCCCCCCCGTGGACAAAAAGCCGGACCCCGGGCCGGCTGAAGTACGAGCACCTGGGCGACTGACAGTCTGCTCCCGACACACGTGTCCCTCTGCTACGGACCCCGGTTCGGCCCCCAAGTTGCCCGCTTATAAAAAGGGGTAGTGGGTCCAATACAAGAAAACACAAGAAACAACGCGAAAGATTATCAAACGAAGGTTTATTGCTTGAGGAGCAACGAAAGAAACGAATCAACAAAGAAAAGTACAGAAAGAACACCAAAAAGAGTGTCTCTCACAATCAAACGTACAAAAGCTTTTCTAACCAAAACCAGAACTAAAAACTCAGTCTTAAAAATGCCACGCAGCTCAAAGTTCACGCGTGTCCCATAGAGCGTCTTTGCACCCGTTTGTGCGACTTCCTGGAAAGGGTTTGAGGGAACTGCCTTTGGCAACTATTTTATTACATTTTTTTCGAGAACACACTGCAACAAATTAAGCTGATCTGTCTCCATGACTTAAGTTTTCTCCTTACAGCACTCCGGAAGACCATCCTGTAAAAACTACCTAATTCCAAAGCCGCCGGTTGGCAGCATTTTTTGGCTATTATTTATCTACGATATTTCCCGGGGAGAAACAATAAATCTAGTGTGGGAAAACAAAAATCTAGTCAGCGCATTCCATTGCATACGCTCGTGAAAATCCGGCCACAAATATGAACTTTTTCAATTTATTACTGAATTAACTCAAAGAGAGAGCGCGATTCGCAGACTTCTGTCTCAGCAGTACCACAATAACTTACATATCAGATTGTTCATTGAATAAATAAGATTAAAAAGAGAGTATAACACATTGATAGAGTTGGTTTAAAGTTAACTGGATTAGATCATTCGACCGGGTTGTAAGCGATGTCTCTTCCAAGTTCGTCGGCGAACTCGTACCACAACTTGCTGACATCCATTGGAGGAAGACGAATTTTCTCCGTGGGAGTAATGTGGCACACTTCAACGAAGTTTTGTTCAAAGCCGAATAAAAATTATGCTTACAGTTACAAACACCGCCGGAGCCCGAGTCGCGGTAGGTTGCGTGCATGATGGCGCGAAGGCCCAGTTTTCTGGCTTCGTCGTCGGTCATTTTCGGCTTGTAGTGATTGTCAAGAATTCCGTATGCATTGAGAGATCCCGATCCAACCGAGCACACTTTCAGCGAGCAGCGATCACCATCACTATCTACTTTGAAGATTTGCGGTCCTTTCTTGTCATAGCCAGCGACCATCGATCCCTGAAACGTAAAATGTGCGACCTTTCTTTTTCAGATAAGAATTTCTTGAAATGTGCAACTTCAACAATTTAAGATCGATGGCAACAAGTATTGAATTATAAAAAGCCAAGACATTGCTCACAACAGACAGTCCTTGTCCTTTGTAGCCGTAGAGAACATTAGCAAAGTACTTGCTTGCAGCGCTGACAGTAATGGGAGTTTTTTCGCGGAGTTCGTACAGACTAAATTGAACTGTGAGATTAGTTAGAAATAAATCACTCTTACGTGCAGTACTTCGCGACAGTTCTTGTCCAAAACTGGCAATCGGCAGCTCCTCCGGCCATTGTGGCTACCATACGATCTCCGATATCCAGGATCTTCATAACCGACTTGGACGCTGTAAAAACAATACACTGATGGCTGATGGAAATCTCTATTCAACAAAAAAAAAAGAATTAACACCTTTTCCCGTTTGAATACTTTAAGGCGGAAGAACGTTTTTCTTTCTGAATAGACGCATGGTAAAACACATGGAAAACTCACAGATATATTCTCCACTTGAAGCTCTCGAATCGACGGCAACGATAATTCCTCCCTTGTCGTTAGGGGTCGCAGGATCATAAACAAAAGCCAAAGTGGTAGTTCCCTTGCGGAATTGCATAGACTTTCCGGCAGTAGCTCCGAAATGAGTCTTCATGAAATCCACGGGCTGAAATAGTTTACTCAATACTTTTCTAGTATAATTTGAATACCAACCTGGATTCCCAACGGCAAGCTCGGAAAAGTGAACTCTCCAGAAGTTAGACCGCTCAAGACGCTTTTTTCAGACAATCCAACCTCATTTTCTTCAAAGTCGTCAAAAGTTTCGCCCCACATTCTGAGAGGAAATACTTGAAGAGAATGCAGCAATAAAACGAAAAATATATATTAACGGACATTTCTGACCGATTACGAGAAAAAACTTAATGGTAAAAAACAATGTTTACGAATTGAAGAGCAGACACAACGTTATATAACAAAACGGTCCAACAAAATTAACGACGAAACTACCCAAAAACGTTCAATCTCGATGAACAGGAGCCCAGGCAGCGGCAAGGTTGTGCATGAAATACATCGAAAAGCCATGAATTTGCAGAGCGACAGCGAAGAAAATGTACCAAATTATGACCATTGGGAATATTCCCTGAAAATATTCATGTAACCCTGAATTTATACTTTATGGAGTGCTGATGTGTTCACTTGCACTCTGAAAGCAAAACAGGACGTTTGAATTTGAGCCTGCTGCGCGAGTTGTCGGATCATTTCAGAAGTCATTCACTTACCTTAAATGTGGGAGTGTTACTTCCTTCCATATCATTAACGTATTCTAAAAGTTCAGGAAGCTGGCTCCCAAGACCAATCATACATGGGAAAATTCCAACTAAAAACTCGGAGTAATAAGCGTAATGCAGAAATGTTAGCTGAAGATTGATGTTTGAAAAATCAGAACTATTGAACAAAATACCTGATTCCTTCTGAAAGAGTAAAGCGCCAAAAAAATAGAAATGATGGACAGGCACCAAACGTACTCCCATGGATATGCCGCTGGCATATCTAGTCTCTCGAAAAACGCGTTTCTCCATCCGAAATTTATTCTCAATGATTCAGATCCTACCTGGAATCATTATTTTGTGAAAGACAACCCGCTGCGCGGGCTGAGCTTGTCTAAGAAATGATCACGTGAACTTTCGAACGGTTATAAGAATCAAACAAGCAGCCAAGCCGTTTTTGAGCGTAAGCTCGGCCCATGAAGCGGGCTATTGTCTTAAAGGTTTTGTGCTAATGATAATGAAAGAATCATCTCACGTGAGATCTCACCTTGAGCCACATGAAAACTAGAACCAAAAAATGAGGCACGAAGAACCATTTTAAAGTAGACTTGTACTGCACACTGAAACAAACTCAGTAGAACGTTGATGAAAGCTAGTAGTACCTTTGTTGGTAATGTTGAGCGATTCTTTGGCGGTTTTGAAAGTCGTTCCCATCGGTACCCGAAGCTCGAATACCTCTTGATGACATTTGTTACCTGACACGTAAAGATTTCGAACAATTAATTATTCGCGCGGCAGATTTGAATTACAACGGGTATGTATTTTTCGGTGAGTAATTCCAAACGAAAGTATTCCGAACAGTAAACAGGTTATTCAATTCGAAAATCATTCAAAATTCAGAGTATGCAACCGAAGTGATGATAATCATGGAAGGTCCGCCCATTGCAAGGACTGCGCGCCGTTTTTGCAGAAGTAAGGCACAGTTTTTCCGAGATTCTAGTCCACGGCCATTTTTTGCTATTTTGAATATTGGAACGAGGCTACGCCGAGCCAGAACTGCTCGAATCAGAACTGTCCTGTATTAGAACTGTCACGAAGCAGAATCCGTCTCAACATGACTTTTCGTAACAAGAACCACCTGCAGATAGGTTGTGATCCGGGACAATTCTGATTCGGGGTAGCCTCATTGAAACGCGTTACTAAATACTCTAATGGGGCTCGGAACGGCTTTGCCGATTTGTGGAAAGTTCACATGTTTATTTCTTAGTTTGTCCGCCACACATATTTGTTAGAAATTGAAAAATATATATTTCTTGCTTACCCGTATTTAGGCCGTAGTTAATCACCGCACAGGTTGTCGCTGTGAAGCAACATGCGGAACACTGCCACATTTCCCATTTTCCGCTGACCGCCGTTCTCTAATTAGAATTCGTAGCCGTCTCCGTTTTCGAAACTGATCACAGCAAACCAAAATTAGCATGGCTAGCACTATTATTGAGAATCCACATGCCGCAGAAGTCACAATTTCTCGCGAATAACCTTAATTCTGAATTTCAGCAAAGCTTAGAACTTCCTTTCGTTACAATGCTGTTCGTCAGAAAAATCTCCTTCCACGCAATTATGAATTCCATCACATACCAAAGAATTGTGAATACAAAGGCGCGACCGAGACGCGCAAATGCCATGGCCCTACAATTCTCGTGTTGCTGTTTGAACGCAAAGGAGAAATACTACCTGATCCACGCAGACCTGACCGCCGTGGCACACGAACTGACCCTTGCACGATTGTGTCTCGCTTGTACTCGATGATTCGTCAATGATCCCGTTTTCGCCTATCAAGCCTTCCACTGCGGTCCAGACAATTTTGAAACCAATACGTTCTTCACCGATCATAGAAGATGCCGGTCCATCCTGAGTTATTAGTCTAACGACTATTCTGTTTGCACTTGAAAGATAGCTTTTCATTCCTTCCTCAGAGTAATAAAGCTGGCTGCCGCAAAACTTTGCTTCAGTAGATTCAATCTCCTTTCGATCGCTCAGGTTTTTTTCGTGCTTGTAACCGTCGATTATTGTCAGAGAAGCACGCTCACACTCGGCTAGAATAGGGGTTTGATTTGTAAATAAGTCGATCACTGATCACGAGGCAACTACCTATAGTTGGAGCAAGGTGAAGATAGACTATACGAATATAAATTCGTTGACGAGCTTCAACTCTTATAAGCCAATTGCAAGTAGAGTTTTTCGGATATGTCGCCGGATAACCAGGAGAATAGATCTCTCCTGAAAGCAGCATGGGTAAAGTGTTTGAAAGAATTGAATTAACCTGAAAGTTGTCCTGGAGTCGAATGACCACCACATCCTTGAAACAAACCCTCTCCCAGCGACGAAGGAGGCTCTTGTATTGCCGCTGAAAGTATAAGAATTAACAGAAAAGGTAAGCTCTAGCGACCTTCGGAAAGTATCCTGTACTGAATTCTAAACCCTCTATGGATTTGGTTGGCAGATGTAGTTACAAACTGCACTTGCATCCATGACTGCATTGTGTTGATAGCGTGTGGAGTTTGGCTCCCGCAAAGTCGTTCGCCTACATGATGTCGTCCATGTCTGTCCACGACCACTATTAACAGGTAGCTTTCCAAACACTGATCACTCAGTTGACTTTTCTCAGCTAGGTCGAACGACACAAATGATAGTTGAATGACATTGGTCGAAGCTGTGGTAATATTAAAAACACAATCTAGCGGTGCTGAGTATGGAGATGGATGACTAGGAGACTCGATAAATCCTAATAAAGCATTTTATAAACAAGAACACTTTATTTGACTCACCGGCAGTTGGTGTTGATGAGTGAATGTGTTTAATAGGGCAGTATGAGCAGAACACATTATTTTTGAGAAACAGTGAAAAAATGATAAACCTCGTCGCGATCGCGTACATTTCTAATGAATAGTCTTCTTCTTCTGTATTCCATAAGATGTAAATTTGTAAGATGAATCTCTAAATTTTTTTTAAATTTGTAAAAATAGAAACAGTTTCCCGTTTATATATGTATTTTTTCAATCGATGCATCATGAGCACATGCGTAAAGTTGCAAATTGAAAGCACTACTGTATCAACTTTGCCAATAATTCTCCAAAACACGCTAGTTTTGTTACTATTCTCTCAGAAATGAGGTTGTACGCAAGGAAAAAGGAGAATGTGCACATCTTCTCGCGCATCTCATTTAAGCGCGCTTCTCTGGGGGAGCAACGCGAAAATTGAGCGTCTGCGAAGAGAGATGAAGCGAAGACGATGTTGAGTTGGTTGAACGCTGAAGGTGTGTGTGTGTGCTCGTGTAGTCCTTCGAGAAAACAACAGGAAATTTATTAATGGGGCTATTCAGGGGATGAAAAAATGATTGTTTTCCGTTTTTTCCCTATTCAGCGATGTCAAAAAATGGAAAAAAACGGAAAGAAATGCATCGCTCGCAGCGTTTTTTTCCGGCGGGTCTCGCAGCGATTTCCCGGACGCGAAGCATGGCTACCGTATGAGTGGATTTACGAGAAGGGGGAATTTTTTTCTAATTTTTCAGCAAAATTGCCACGTTTTCCCGCTATTTTCAATCGATTTTCAACGGAATTTCAGTTCTTATTTATTTTTTATGATAACTGATGCAAAATTGCCACGTTTACCGCTATTTCCGACCGACTTCGCTTGAATTCTTTTTTTGGATAGTTTCGAGTGCCTCGTCATATCGTTCAAAACATTGAGCTTTTCGGTGAAAATCGGTTAAAAATAGCGGGAAAACGTGGCAATTTCGCTGAAAAATTAAAAAGTTTTTCTTAAATCCACCCGTTCTCGTAAATCCACTCATAAAACGTCTCTCACAGTAGCCGCATGCTTCGCGTCGGGGGAATCGCTGCGAGACCCGCCGGAAAAAAACGCTGCGAGCGATGCATTTCTTACCGTTTTTTTTTTCCATTTTTTGACATCGCTGAATAGGGAAAAAAAACGGAAAACAATCATTTTTTCATCCCCTGAATAGCCCCATAACAACAGGAACGAAGACCAAAAACAAAAAATGTCATTGAGAAGAGCAAACTTCGATTCAGTACAACTGGGAAACGGGACATGTAAAAGTTTCCAATAAAGAACAATGCAACATTGGATATAAGTGGAAGTGAAACTTTATTCCTCTTCCCAGTTTCCATCCAAGCGGCACCTGATATTCATTCCATGAAGAGCAGCAAGCGCAGCTACTTGCTCCGCCATCCTAACATTAGGTTGTCCCACTCCGGAACGGAATTTCTTGTCTTCCACGGAAACAGTGGCAACATATCTCTTGTCATCACGTCTGACCTGAATGAAAATAGACATGCCGCAGAAGTCTGACAATCTCACACTTCACGTAAATTGGGAAGTACAACTACTTCGAAAAATCGAGGCCGCGGCGGGGGTTTCACGTGGGATCGCAGTAGAACATCATTATGGGGCTATTCAGCGTATGCTTGTTTTCCGTTTTTTACATCGTTGAATTGGGTTTCTTGACGTAAAAAAACGGAGAAAATCATTTTTTCACACCCTGAATAATCCTTATTATGGGGTTATTGAGGCTGTGAAAAAATGATTTTCTTCTTTTTTTTTTTTCGAACATACGCTGAATAGCCCCATCAAATAAGAGTGATGATGATTTAAAAACAATTAAAAGGTACCAAGACTTTTGAAACCGGGGCCCGCTGCGCGGGCCGAGCTATAGCTGGAAAGTGGCTATCTCGGCAAAGGCGCGCCACTTTTGCGCAAACTTTAAGTGTTCTCGCAGGTTTTGCGCAAACTTTAAGTGTTTTTGCAGGTTTTGCGCAAACTTTAAGGCATGACGAAATTGTTGTGAAAACATTGCATTTTCAGTACTCTTTGCTTTTTTCAGCTTGTTTTCATGCGTCTTATTGCTTATCAAATTGAAACAACTTGTCTTTCGCTAACTTTGCGCAAAAGCTGCGTAAAGTTTGCGCAAAAGTGGCGTGCCTTTGCCGAGATGCCACTTTTTTCTTTCTTATAACCGTTTGGAACTATTGCCGCCGGCCAATGGTCATTTTAGTCATTATTGCCTCCTCCATGGAGGAGATATAAATAGTGGGTGGAGCTCCACCCACTATTTATATCTCCCTCTCTTCTTCTGTAAATTTTTCTGGTGGTCGATGCGAATAAATGAGTTATTATTACGGAAAAACGGAAAAAAATCTTTTTTTTTCACACCCTGAATCATCCTTATTAATATAACTCTTCAAGGGTTTGTCCCTCTGTTTGTTTGTCCCCTTGTTTATTTCTCTGTTTGTCCGTCCCCACTTTCATTTCTAAAAGGAAAATAGTTGTGACGGAGAAAGTGATAAATGAACACGTGCGCGTCACAGGGAAATCGTTATTAATCTAGCTAGTTATTATAGGGGCACCGCACAGAAATGGCGCTCTGTTGAGAAACTCTTTTTGCAGTGCAAAGTGGGCGACCTCGGGGCCGAGTTTGAAAAGTTAGGCCACGTTTTCAGTGGAAAATTACTTCGCGGCCTAGAAATTCGGCCAGATTGCGAACAGCGCGCCCTTTCTGTCCGGTGCCCCTATAATAATTCGCGTTTATAAGCGGCCCTAATTAGATTTCTAATTTACTGAGATTAGATTGTAAATTCTTCTAAATAAACTGATTTATTTTCTCATTAGATTAACGCTTTCGGTCAAAGTGTCAATCTAATTAGATGAATTATGAATTATGAATTAATTTAGATGAATTGTGAATCCCGTGAAGAGTTATATTAGTAAGAATGATTGTTCCACCTAATTTCGATCTTACCGATTCATATAAAGGCTTTGAGATTTTTTGCTCTACACAATATTCGTTCAGGATCATTTTTGGAGTTTGGAGGAATCCTTTTGAACTCTTCAGTTTTTTCCTGAATTTTTTAGTCAGCACAACTTCTAGCACATAAATCTCACAGTGGAAAAGAAACGTCGATGTTGTAGATTCCGTCTTCATCTATATGCGACCTTTTTAATCCTTGTTTCTTCTGTCGATCTTTTTTCCATGTCTGATGTAGAAGCTATGGAATAAGTTATTTGAGATAAAATTACTTCGTAGACGCTTTCCTTTCCGAATGCTCGACAAATTTCCAAGACACTTCCGGCTTCAACAGTGGCTTTTCCCCGAGGATCACGTTCCTGATCACCACCGAGCATCCTTTGAACAACATATTTCGTCATTGTGTAAGACTCATCGTAACGGCAAGCCTTGAAATAATTTTGCTTTCATGGGAAACATAGTGAAAGTAGTAAACCAGGTCAAGAAAATTCTCAATATCTTCGAACTTGGAGAGAATGCCTTGCTTTCGAAAGATTGAAGGTGTTGCCAATGCTTTTCTCGCTAGCATGATACTGCTTGCCTCTGTGGCTTTTCTCCATTTGTCAATATCATCGAAATGTTCTATGCCTCCCGAAAGCCCACTGAAAATTAAATAAACTGCGAATTTGGCATAGATGCTATCTAACTTTGCTATTACTGGGATATTTCGAATTGTGCGCACAACTTGTCGAATTTCATTGACACGACACTGATCTGGTTGACGTTCATCACGTCGTCTACCATGCACTCCTAAAGCTGAAACGCCACACTTTTCGATTTCTTGAACCAAATTTAATGTGTCAGATTCGGTATCGAGTACTCTGATTTTACAAGAAATAGGGACGGCGGCGGCTTCTTTTAGCGAAATCAGAATCTGTAAAATGTTCACGATTTAATCAATCTCCAACTTCAGGAAACCTCTTTAATTTTTTCAGTTTGTTTCAATAAGGCGGCTCCCATTCCACAGTGCACTGAAAACGGTTTTGGACAGCCCATATTTACGTCGATTCCAGCAACATCGTCACCACTGAGAAATTATGCAATTGAGAGAACACGTATTAAAAAAAATACTTACACTAGCCTCGCGATCTTAGCAGCATTCTCACCGTTGTTTGTTCCTATTTGCAAGATGCACTTCCCTTTTTCTTCGGGTGCTATTCGTAGAATGATATCATCGCCATTACGATAGTCAATTGTGCCCAATACATCTAAAATCGGCGGTACAAGATAATAGAACTGGGCAGAATAGAACCGCGACACAATAGAACCGTTTGGAGCGCCTTTTTGTAGAATAATCGTTTTCTGAAGTAAGATCGTTTTTGAAGCTTGCTATCGAATTATTGAATCGAAATATAGGCAATCGCTAACATTTAAAAACAAGATGCTAACGCGCACCACCGAAAAACAGTTATATTCTGCTTAGTTCTATTATGTTGTACCGCCCGAAAATCGGTATGGGGAAATTTACTATCGGCACTAGGGCTGCGCGTAATACATTTTTTTTACGGATCCGTAAAAACGTAAAAGTTTCAAGAGAGTTGAGACCGAAATGACTTTTCAACTTTTCCCTTTTACACGAGCACAATGTGATCATTTTGTAGCTATCGGTCATATGAACAAACGTCAGGCAAACGTTTTGAGGAAAAACTGTTCATACTCCCAAAAACTCGAAAAAACAGCGTTACCGGTTGAAAGACTGTTTTTCATTTGAATTCTGGAAGAATTTACTGTTTCTATTTGGCGTTGGCAATAGAGCGCATTCACTTTCAAATGCCCCGATAGTAATACATGTGTTCACTTATAGGCCTATTCAGTCGGGAAAAAAACCCAATTCAAAACAGGAAAAAAAGTTTTTTCCTTTTTTTTCTGATTTGAAATGAGTGTATCACGAGTGAATAGGCCCATTACTGTTCAGTATTCTGGTAGATCCTAGCAGTTTCTGATCAACGATTTCTTCGGTGTAACAGAGATCAGCACCATACTGCAAACATAAAAGTCTGTAATCAGATACATTCAAAACTCAAAGCGTTGTTATTTACCTCAGTGGCGTTCTTCCGGCTCTCACCATTGGTGCTAAAATCAATTTATCAAGGTATAAATCGGACATTTCAAAACCTGAAAATTGTTCTTCTAGGATAAGCAGAATAAGTCTTAACTCGACACGGTAAAACTAATCAGATGCGCTTGAAAGTACAGTAGTGAGTTTCCAGTTTAGCGACACTAATAGCCTGCGGACGGGAATACTAGATACTGCAGGAAAAAACGATATTAGATGCATAAGGAGGCTTTCACCTTTCTCAAGCTTATATGTGTATTTTTTTACAAGAATAGACAGTAAAAATTCATTGGTCATAAAAAAAGAAATAAATTATAACAAAAGGCAGAATGGATAGTGTTCAATCCGTGGGGGAATCGTAACGTTTGTGATCACTCGTAATTTAGTTGACTGGTTCTCTGTCGACAGCGAATGGGGTCTCAACGGCGATGTGTCCGGAAGAGGCAATGACGACGTCTTGTTTTGGACGATCTCCTGGAGACTTTTCAGTCTTCTCGATCTTGCGAACAACGTCCATTCCTTCAAGGACCTTTCCGAAAACAACATGACGTCCGTCGAGCCATGGAGTCTTAACGGTGGTAATGAAGAATTGAGATCCATTAGTGTCTTTTCCGGCATTAGCCATGGATAGCCATCCCGCTCCATAATGCTTCAGTTTGAAGTTCTCATCGGCAAACTTTTCTCCGTAGATAGAGCGACCGCCAGTTCCATCTCCACGGGTGAAATCACCTCCCTGAATCATGAAATCCTCGATGACACGGTGGAACTTGCTTCCAGTGTATCCTTCTCCCTTAAAGAATTACGTTAAATTTAGAATTCACTCAAACCAAAATCTTACCTTCGGCTTCTTTGCCAACTCGATAAAGTTAGTAGCCGTTTTTGGAACAGTTTTGCCGAAAAGTCCGATGACAATTCTTCCGAGTGGTTTTCCTCCTATTTCAATATCGAAGAACACCTTATCAGTGACCTTCGGACCCTTAGCATCATCTTGAGCGAACGCCCCGATTGCGATTACCGCGAGAAGAATGAGTTTCATCTAAAAATTGCAAGTTCAGTTCAAGGAGTTTACTAATTGTACACAAATTAGCGAAAGAGAACAAACAAATATTATTTTGAAAATCTTTAGTCTCTGTCTGTTCCAAGGTAAGAAAAGCGAGTGCGCAGTGCATAACGTGGAAGAAGGAACTGCAGGGAACAAACACGAATCAGTTTAACATTGGAGCGAACTTGCATACACTGTGCTGACGCGGTTCTTACTGCAGCCAATCGAGAGAAGAAATGTGTTCAGTTGAGTGGGCGGGTCGGACAAATTACTGTTGACCATTTAAACAGCTACATGAAGATATTAAAGAATATTCACAATCATGGTACATGTTCAAAGAGTTTTCGAAGACAATAACGTGGAATTCTCACTTGGTTGCATTCTTGAGATGTTGCGGAAAAAGAGTAGTTTATTCTTGAATAAGCCTATTAGCTGGTTTTAAGCCAAAATGGCTATTATGAAACATTTTCAGAACTGCCAAGATGGTCAGAAAAAGCTATTTCTTTAGTTCAGCTGTTCTGGAACTTCATAATTTCTTCTGATGGCACCACTGGAAAGCTTCCCCGGGAATGATTGGACTTTAAATTTTTTTAAAAATATACTCGCGTCACAGATCGAGCCGCCGAGAAGCATGGCATCAGTTCTCCGCAGCCAACTGTGTATCCTTTATCTTTCACTACTTTCTCTCTATTTCTCTCATACATACTCGAGAGCTAAGCTGAAGAAATAGATGTGGACTGCATGGTGGAGTCTGCTGCGCGCTTCAATAAATTGTTCTTTTTGTGTCGGAGTAGTTGAAAAGAGATACAAAGACTAAAAGAAAACAAGAGGGAAGAGGGCCCACTTTTTGGTGCCTCAATGCTCTTTTTGCCCCAATTCTCCTGGTCCCTTGCGGCATTCATAAGCGGTCTTGCTGTACCCTCAACTACATTTAACGTTTCCACTTTCACTCGTTTTCTTTTTATTCAACCGATACTTCGAATGTCCGATTATATGGAGACCGAAACTACCGTTTAAATCGAATCACTCACAATCTTCAGTTTCCTTCTCGATAAATTAGCTATGAATTACAGAGCCCACGGAATGGCCCCTTTAAAAGTTTACGTGGCGAGTGCAACTGCCAATCCTGAGGTAATAGTTTACTTACTTAACGAATACCTTTAACCTACAATAGTGAGTTGAGAAGATGAAGAGCGAATGCGTCTACGATTCTCTCTATTTGAAAAAAGTATTTCAGACGAAATATCGGGTGCAAAGAACGTTAATGATACTTGACGGATTAGGAATTCCTTTTGATGCCATCGATATTACAAAGCCAGAACATGCAGAAGAACGTGTGTTCATGAGGGAAAATGCTTCTAAAAAGGGAGCTAATGGATCTGTGCTTCCTCCTCAATTTTTCTACAACGATGAGTATCTCGGAGTATGTATTTCATTATCTTACTTGATCTAAATTTATCAGTATTCTAGGATTACGAAGATTTCGACATTTCCGTAGAAGCTGATACTATTACGGAATTTTTGAGATTACTACCAGACGTCATTGTGAGTTTTGCTCTTCAACTTCAGAGTGCCTCATTACATATTAATTACTTTTACAGGGAAAACGCATTCGTGTGAATGATGCTAACAAGTGTGTTGCTGAGTTGTTCAAAAAGACTCATAATAACGGTACTAACTTCTGTTTTCAAGTAATGGGGTTATTCAGGCTGTGAAAAAATAATTTTTTTCCGTTTTTTTACGTCAAAAAACCCAATTCAGCGGTGTAAAAAAACGAAAAAAAAACGGAAAACAAACATTCGCTGAATAGCCCCATAAACTATCTTACAAGATTTGATTCTCTTTTAACAAGACGATAACATCTCATCTGATTTTTCAAATATCACCGCTTTTCGCCACCAGGTAGATGTATTATAATTAACAAGATTTTTCGAAACTGACCCTCGACTCGAGGTCCTCGAGGCCCGCTCTGGCAATTCGATATTAATCTAATTAGAAAGTTACTGATCTAAACGCGACCTAATTATTTAGATTCGACTGTTTTTTCTTTGCGCAATCGAGATTTGAGCCAGCAGACGGTTGGCGTGAAACTTGATTTGAGCACTTATTAATCTAGCTAGAAGATTTATTAATCTAGCTAGACAATTTATTAATCTAATTAGGTGTCATATCAATCTTATTAGGCCGCCGTTAGATTAATAACGAAATGCCAGAGCGGTGCGTGCTCTGGGAACTCGATCGCAATCTAATTAGAAAACGTTGCAATCTAATACGAACTCGTTTGAAATAGAATTGGATTAAAATAGAATTTGCTTCAATTAGATTGCAAAATCTTCTAATTAGATTGCAATCACTGCAATTTTTCTAATTAGGTTGCAATATTTTCTAATTAGATTGCAATATTTTCTTATTAGATTGCAATTCAGGAAAAATATATTGTAATCTAATGCGATTTTACTGGAACTTCAATTAAATCTGATTAGATTGCGAAATAGAGCTTTTCCTTATTAGATTGCAAACTCTTCTAATTAGATTGCAAACTCTTCTAATTAGATTGCAATCGAGTTTCCAGAGAAATGAACATTTAAATTATTATCCGTTCTGATGGAACTTTCCACAATATCTCCAATACTTATCACAAGCAGCGTTTTACAAATGAAAGTGGCCGAACAAAAAAAAAGAAAGAATGAAATGAACAGACTTCGTCACTTGGCTTTTAATGACGATGGTGTTGATGACAACAAAAACTTTACAGGAGTCAAATGTCAACACTAACCCGGAAACTCAAGAAAATAGTGCAATTCAAGCGGCTAAACCCGAAGGAGAAGAAAAAACGGACGAGAACGAACTAGAGGGGGAGGATGAAGAATGGGATGAAGAGGACGAAGAATATGACGAAGAAGCAGCAGAAAGCGGAAGAGACAAACAACAGTCGGAGAAGAAGTTAGATGAGATTGAAAAAGAAAAACCTACAACGGAATCACCTGTAGCTGAGAAAGCAAACGATGATGAGGAACTTGAAGGCGAGGACGAAGAGTACGACGATGAAGATGAAGAGGATGAAGGGAAAGATGAAGGTAGCGCGGAATAATGACACCCTCATCTCCTCGGGTACTAGCTGCTAGAGGCAAATTGCACTCGTTTTCTTAGAAAATTTTTCTAATTACTTTGCTTAAACTAATATCCCTGTGAGGCCTGCTTGATCGCCGCTTTTAAAATTGTTTCGAGTCAATAAACAAAATCATTCAAAAGTTTTATGGAGAGAAGGTGATTTAAGCGAGCACTTAGAAACAATTGGGACGAGTCGAATAAGGCGCTGTCTCCCCTTCGGCGAAAAAAATTTTCGCGCGATTTTTTGCGTGCGGCTCTCAGTGTCGATTTACGGGATACGGTTTTTCAACTGAAAATGATGTTTTCCCGAGTTTTTGGGATCATGCACAGTTTTCCTTCAAAACTTTTGCCTCCTGTTTGTTCATATGACCGATAGCTACAAAACGATCACAGAGTGCTCGTGTAAAAGTGAAAATTCGAAGAGTAATTTCGTTTTTTAAATTTGGCCTGAAAAACCGAACTTTCGGAAGTTTTGAGAAAACAGTTGACAGAATCAAAAAACAGTTGCCTCAGGATTGTTCAGCAGACAAAGGCGGTCCTTTTGAGCACAGAGGCCCATAAAATGCAAAAATCACTGAGAAATTTCAGTTTTTGAGGATCCGGACTGAACATCACAGAAAAGTGTAATAATGCGCGCTTTCTTGTGGGCAAAACGCTAATTTGAGGTCACAGCTGTCATTAAAAATTTTGAAATTCTCTGTTTTACTTTATTCTTCTCATTTTTGGATGAAATTTCGGGTTTTCGGAAAAAAAATCCAGAAATTTCAGACCTGCTTTTGTCTTCAGCGACACTCCGTTTTAACGCGGCGCTCAATTTAGCATTAGCTATTGGGGAGACAGTGTAAGGTGCTGAGAGTCCGTGACAAAAGGTCGGAAAACCGAAAAGGTCGGAAAACCGAAAAGGTCGGAAAACCGAAAAGGTCGGAAAACCGAAAAGGTCGGAAAACCGAAAAGGTCGGAAAACCGAAAAGGTCGGAAAACCGAAAACGTCGGAAAACCGAAAAGGTTGGAAGACAAAAGGTCGGAAAGCCAAAAGGTCGGAAAAAAGTGACAAAAGGTCGGAAAAAAATGACAAAAGGTCGGAAAAAAGTGACAAAAGGTCGGAAAAAAGTGACAAAATGTCGGAAAAAATGCCAAAAGGTCGAAAAAAATGCCAAAAGGTCGGAAAAAATGCCAAAAGGTCGGAAAAAATGCCAAAAGGTCGGAAAAAAATTACAAAAAGCCATAAAACAGGTATTTTATGGGACTATTCAGACTGTGAAAAAAATGATTGTTTTCCGTTTTTTTCGTTTTTTACGTCAAAAAATCCAATTCAGCGATGTAAAAAAACGAAAAAAACGGAAAACAAACATACGCTGAATAGCCCCATTAGCAGTTTTTCCGATCTTTTGGCAATTTTTCCGACCTTTTGTCACTTTTTTCCTACCTTTTGCCATTTTTTTCCGACCTTTTGTCATTTTTTTCCGACCTTTTGTCATTTTTTTCCGACCTTTTGTCACTTTTTTCCGACCTTTTGGCTTTCCGACCTTTTGTCACGGACTCGGTGCTGAAGTTCGAATTTAATTCCGCGTACGCAAACACCGTGCGCATTTCTGAAGATAAATAACTTAAGATCATTCTTATGGGGCTATTCAGCGTATGCTTGTTTTCCGTTTTTTTTACATCGCTGAATTGGATTTTTTGACGTAAAAAAAACGAAAAAAAAAACATTTTTTCACAGCCTGAATAACTCCATTAGATTGCAATATTTTCTAATTAGATTGCAATTTTTTCTTATTAGATTGAAAAAAGTCTTGTATAAGATACGGTACTGTCTGGTTCGAGCTTATAAATTATAATTTGAAACGAAAGTAAAACGGGTACTAAAGAAAAATGTTTATATAAAAGTTTATGGAGAATGACAGAAAGATAATTCGCGATAACAAAAACATTATTCCTAAATCATATAACCAACAAGAAATGTGTCTTCCTAACCTACATTCGATTTTGCCACTTAACGTTTGCGGACTCGAACCTAATTATCTGAATGGTCATTTTTTTTATGTGGTGCAGTGTGGTAAAACGACTAAACGCAGCAAGCCACGAACAAGCGCGCAGAGATTTATACGGTTCCACGCGGTGATACGTTCGCCCCGGTCCCTCGTGGAAGACCGACTGCGTTCAAAAGCAGTTACATGGCGAACACTTTTTGCATATTGCTTGAATTTACCGCCTGTATTTTGTTTCGACTTATTTTCTACCACACATTGGAGGTACGGTATTTGATACGATTCGAATCAAACACGATCGAGCATGTTCAAAAACCGCGACACCCACATAAAAATCACCGTGTTCTGAAATTAGGGTAGAGTATGCAAACGCCGACGGGGCAGGAGCGATAAAATCGCATTAACTGAAGAAATAAATAGAATTTTTTACTTGCTCGATGTCGAGATCTCCGGGCTTTACCTTTGCAGTGAAAATATCCAAGAATCTCTCGTACTCTTTTGGTGGCAGTATCTTTTGAACTTTTGAAGTTAAATACGCGTGTTTGAACCATTCCGAGCACTGCTCAACAATTGGCTGTGAATGAAGGAATACAAACTGCTGACGACAAATCGCATTCATCTCATCGACCGATTTGGCATGCGTCCAAAAACAGTCATGAACTGCAGCGAATGTTATTCCTCTGAAGAATACAATCATTATGTTCCCATCTGGTAGTAGGTTCAAAAACAATCATTTTTGAAAACAGTAACATTACCGATTCGTGCAATTCAGTGAAGTCAGCATCATGTGTGTTGAGTCGAGAGAGTGTACAAAGTTAGGAGGGAACGCGTCGACTTGCTTCATCGGCACTGGCGCCAGGATCAGTTTCGACTTCCGTTCCACTAGCTTGCAGTACGGTTGCACAACTGGCAGCCCCAGCGGCGTCACCCACTCGACAGTTCGCATAAGATCACTGGCTCCTTTTGCAATCAAACGGAACCAATCTTTGAGAGCCATTGAACTTGTGAATGCATCATTTAAGCTGGCAAATGTTTTTCTGGCCAAATAACGGGCGAATTCAGCTGCCTGGATGAAAATAACTATAAGTTGAATCAGACTCAGATTACCTCTTCTCCTGGAATATCCAAAGCACGAAGTTGACGTTTAATTTGAAGAACTGCGCCGTACATCGTGACTCCATACACTGTTGTCATCACAGTTTGCTTGATCACTTTTCGAGGAACGCCTTGCGGGAGAGCTTGTCGAAGCTTTAGTGCCACGTCTCGATCTTCTCCGTTTGATGTTTCATCGTGTAACCGCTTCTGTTCAACTCTGCAACCTTCCGGAATATTCACAAAAATGGTTCATATCCAGATACTAACCTAAATGCCACATCAGAGTACACATCATTCGGCAGTTCACAATTGGTAAGGTTAACCTGAACGCCTCCTTCATTGTCTCTTCCCAGCGCGGCATAATGTTGTAGTCCGTTGCAACTGCCATCTTGATGAATTGGTAACTGGCTGGGGAATTGTTTGACGTCATGTCCATAACGAAGAGCATTTTCGATCTCCATGCATGCTGCTAAAGTCTGCCACGGTTCTTCCGACGCCATCCACCAGTTTTCTCCATTTAAAGGATTTCTGGCAGAGTCCAAAATTGTCGGAAGAAGATGGTTCACTTCTGCCATTCTATTGGCTATACTCGCTCGTTTCATCGTTCCAGTCAAATTGATGCAATGCAGTTTCAACCAATCCAATCCGTTCTCACCAAGCGGCTGACTTTTGGCAAACTTTAGAATGCTCCGATTCACATCGTCTCCCATGTGAGAGAGATACGGAGAAAGTGGATATACTCGGCCTCGGAAATCCATATTGTGGGGGAAGAAGAGAGTCTGTCCACAGAAATAATCAGCAAGAACAACACGGTAGAACATCCAGTACCACAACGAATTGCTTTCGTTTCTCATCTTTATCGCTTCTGCTTTTCGCTTCGCATAATCTCTAAACTTCTCCACGTCCACATCTTCTCTGTTGACACCAAAACCAAACTCAGTTGTAAACTGAGGAACTTCAAAAGTATCCTCTCTCATTGGGATTCCTAACTTTTCCAGAAGAGGCTTCGAACTTGCCGAGGAAGATTGTCCAAAGACATTCTTTAGCACGTTCAACATTTGTTCATTGATCACCCACGGAGTAGATCCTAACTGATTCAGCGCATCGAAAACAGGTCTCGCTTGTACAGGTGATCCTATTCTCTGTTTCATTTCAGTGTTCAACTGTACTGTTTTGAACTCCAACATGTTCCGGATGATGTCTTGACTTGTCGAATACAATGGCCCACCTTTTCCTTTGTCAATCCACGGTCGAGGTGGAACTGTCATGGGTAAGATGGAGGTAGAGAATATAATGTATTGGAATGGATTTTTTTCGAACACTCCTTTGAGTTTCAAGTTGATAGCCAGCATTCGAGATAGGGAAAGTCTCGCATCGGTCGACAGTTTGGATTCTTCCTCTAATGAAATGGAACGGTATGAGAATGCACGCTGCCACTTTACTGAAAATTGGAAACAATTGGTAGGCTGGGTATTCAAAAGTTTCGAAATTCGAATAGAAACTATAGAGAAAAATACCTGTTCCGCCTTTGGTCTCAACAGGAAAGACGCAGCCGTCAAAAATGGCATTTATAAACACGTTGCACACCTCGTTCCTCGTTTCAAGATCCATGTTTCCCATTTCAAATTGATAGTCGGGCGAAACACTGACTGACTTGCACGATTTCACCCACCATTCTCGATGCGTGTTATTTCGGGAAACTTCTGAGTCTTGAAATAAGTCGATGTAATTGTTAAAAACTTTTTTCCAAATCTGAAACAATTTTCATCAATGAAGATTCCTCGCTTTTCTTTGTAAACCTCGTTCTCATTGATTCCCATTTTCTTTTTGAAGACATTTCCCAGCTCTTTGAGAATAGGCTCGATCACGTCAAATTGAAACTGTGTGGCCCCGATCAGATTTTGACCTTGAGAACAAACAGCAAGTGCGGAAAAATGCAACGAATCGACGAGTTTGTCTCGGGGAATCAGCTCCAAGCAAGTGGATACTGAAATTCAAGAAATTAAAAAATGCAAGGAGCGAGTAGTCTTGGTTACCCAACGGATGTGTATCGTCTGGATCAATCATCTTCAGCTGATCACGAATACGTTTTTTCCAATCCCATTGGACAATAAGATCTTCTCCACTCATTCCTTTGGTTTTCACATGTGATACCGTATTTTTAACTTGGATCCACATCGAAGATTCCACTTCCAAGTGTTTGTCGAATAGCGCTTTGTATGCTTCCTGAAAAAACTTTGCGTCTATCATTCTTCCTTCATCTCCCTTAATTTTCTACGTTCACTACACGTTACCACCAGAGGTGATTCGCGATCGGTCTCACAGGTAATTCACGATCGGTCTATTACAAGTTCGCGGATGTGTCTATAGAGAACTCGGAAAATTTCGAATTCGGTTTTCGCGATCGGCCTATTACAGGTCCATCATAGGCCCATCGCGAACGGTGCGCCCCACTGCCTACAATGCGTCCATCGGCGAACATTTTCTTCGTGATAGGCATATTATAGGCCTATCACAGGTCCACGTTCTCAATAGACCGATCGCGAATCACCTGTGACTACATGCTATATTTACTTGCAACGGACTGGTCGGGGTGAATTAAAAACCTCCACAAGCCCGGAAAGCCTGGAAATCCGGAAAAACGAAGAAATTTGAGATTCGTTCAAAAATTCCATTCTAGTGCATTTTCAGATAAGATTCTCTCCTAGGGGCATTTTGAAATATAAAAGAACGGATTCAGAATATTTATGAAATTTCCCTTCCGAATCTTCAAGAAATTTCCCTTCCGAATCTTCAAGAAATTTCCCTTCCGAATCTTCAAGAAATTAACTTTCAGTTAGACATACTATTACTTAGTGTTGGGTAATTACATTCCGAAAGACAAAGTTACCTGAAGATCATTTGTTAATACAAACGATCATGTTCTGTAGTTCAACTACGAAAAATAACTTGCTTTGTTGAGCAGAACGAGCCATGAAAATAACGGGAAAATCAAAAAAAAAATGTTTGGCCCAGTTACTGTAGATGGCTAAGTTACTATCGAACCTTTTCGATATTGTCCACGCGAAATGGGTTGCTCCTATATTCTTCTTTGGGACAAGATGCCTGAAGAGGTGCAACCAGAGATAGTCCACTCTGATATCTTGTTGGCTCAGCTTTTCGTGGAATTGGCGGCGAAAACTTTATCAAGTGACCAATTTCCTTCTGAATTGTATTCCGATCTTCTGTACTCAATAGAACACTAAGATCATGAGCATGAACATCTTTCGCCAACGATATCATCTTCTTTTCCATGGAGTCAAACAAATCCGCAATTGTATTGCTCCTGGAATCAAAGGCTCGTTGATCTTTCCATTTCCGAATATTGTTGAAAAGAAGAAGGGCCATAATTTTAGTCGTGTTATTCTCCACAGGCTTCAAAGATCTCCACAAATCTCCGATTCCTGTGAACAGAGAAAGAGCTGCTGGCGACTGGATGGCCTCGACTTTCTTGAGCGTCTGTTCAACTTGTTTGTTGAGTGCCAATAAGCACAATGGAACTATCTTCAAGGATATTACACTGCTTCGAATCAACTATTATTCAGGAATCACCTCTGCCGTACCACGATGCCTTAACTGACTCCCTGTAAGTCGGATCAGAGACTGAGCATCATCTTTCAGAGTGAACCGAACAACGTCAGATACCACATTCTGTCTCATTCTTTCATAACGAACTATTCTTTTCTTGTACTTGTAGTCCGCCTCTAGAATTTTAAGAAGGTTCAATTTCCAGTCATTATGGTCTTCGATGGGCTTCTTGACCGCTGCTGATTCTGACGCTGAAATCAGTCTGTTCTGAACACCCAGACAAGTCGCGGAAAACTCACCATATCTACATTGTCTTTGCACTTTAACAAGTTTTTCTATCCGTCTCATCTGAAATGGTTAAACCATTATGGTTTAATGGCATTAAATTAATGCTCAATAAAGCCATAGATAAATTATTGAGCAAGAATCAAGAACAGAAAAACAAAAATAGGATATCGATAGACTTATTATTCGCATCATTACATTATCAGCATCATAATTGGTTAATGCATTACAATAACACGGAAAATGATGGGCACATAGGAAATCGATCTATACAAGGAAAAATTGGAAAGAAAAACTCGAGTACACAATCAAACCAGGTGGGAAATGGGTCAAACTCGTGGGTAGAAAGGAAAAGAAAACGAATTCACAAGTAGTGATGGCCGATGTATTTCAGGCACACCTGGTAGTATGAGAGAGAAAGTAGACTGCACAGACTTGTTGAGGAAAAGAACACGAATGTCCTAACTTCGATCAATCGTGAGCCTCGAATATTCTGACCGGATGCCTAATGCAGGAGGTACTAATAAGCTTATAAAAAAAGGTTACCACGTGACAGCCAGATACCGTGAAATGAACTAGACTAAAACGTGACGTCCGTTCAAAAAGAAAGAGAACACACAGCCAAAATGATGACGAAAACGGGGATGAAACAGAACACTGTTATTTAGAAAAAGAACGGGATGGGAGTGCAAATATACACAGAATCATAGAAAAAAATACTTACCAGGAATGGAATTTTAGGAAAGGGAATCGGAAAATGACCATATCAAAATATGAATTTGAATCAAAACAAGGGAATTTTACATCAAGGATGCATAGTCACTTTTTCAGCTTCTTCGTCTCGGTTTTGGTGGCCAGACTGGCGAGAATAGGGGACCATTCACTGTTCTGTGACGGAGTTGATGGGCTGAAAATATAAAATTTGAATAAATGAGAGGAAGAAGAGGCTGGACGGACACGCCTCTTCCAGACCAGACAACTAAAAAAAAACACTTAATTTTTGTTTTGTTAAAAAAAGCAGTCAATTGCAAGTACTTATTACACAAAAGACATGGTTATAACGCGTGTTAGATTGACAATACTTTAAACCATTACTGTTCATACTTAGCTACACATAAACTTCTTTAAACCTACCATGACAGCCGCATCCGTCTCGAGCCTAAATAAATTAGTAAATTCTTCGATCATACCTAACTGATTAATGGCGTCTCTCTCTCCAAAAACTTACGTTTTGTAGATAGGAGACGAGATTTGAGACGAATGGGATGAAGACGATCGAGTGTGCTGTGGAGTCGGAGGAGCTGATTGCTCGGTGGAGCGCGTTTGCAGAGCAGCCCACTTGGACTGGATTTCTTGCTCCTGAGCTTCTATAATTTTCTGCTTCTCGAGCAATTCTTCTCGTTCAGCTAGCATCTGTCTCTGCATTTCACGGATCTCTTTCTCCTTTTTCCGCAACATCTCCATCGACTCATCGACTGCCGTAGCCGTCGAGCTCATCATTGCTCCGCCACGGACTCTTTCCAAAAGAGCACATCGAGACTTGGTCCTGAAACAAAATGGCATCAGTATAAACAGAATGAAACTTTCATACAGAGCGTTATCATTGCGAAGAAGATGGTTTTCTCGTCGGAGCCCAATAACCTCTTTGATAAGCTTAGTGGAAGCACGTCTAGCTCTCATGGTCTGTCTAATAGAAAGATCAGATACCATCTCTCCGTAAGCTTTTCTATCGTGTTCCGATTCGTTGCGCCCTCTTAAGGTCTGTGCATCTTCCTCGTCAACGTCGTCGTCAATTACAACACGATCGGTGGATGTGGACCCTCCATCACTGTTCATCCGCGGAACTGTGGTGTGACGACGTATGCCAGTATTTTCTAAAAAAAAAGTGAGATCATCATGGAATTCCGTTAAACTTACTAGCTTCGATAAGGCCATTCGATCCGGGTTGGGAAGTTCCATGGAAGGTTTGGATTCGTCTTGGCTTGGCTCTTAGCCCTCCATTGGTCGCAGAATCTCCCGAATTCGAAGAATCGTCTGATAGATCACTCGACTTCTCCAAAACATCGGAAGAGTCCGCTTTTTCGTCAAAATACGACCAGAGATCAGCATCACGTGATTCGCTCATTCGTTCGACAACTGAAACAGAATTTTCAACTTGATTATGTAGGCGAAACCATACGTCTGTTCAATGGAATCACTCGAACCCGCCTTAGTTCTCGGAACCTTCCTTTGACAGCTTCTCTGATTCGATTCGAGATGTCATTTCGGTTCTTGAATGGTAGTTTAGCCATATGGGCGCGAACGTCATCGAAGAACAGGAGACGTGTTTCCAGATAATTGCTGAGAACTTCCTCTTCAGCGTATCTGGTATCTGAATGTTTTGAAATAAAAAAAATTGATAACGAAAACTTACGGAACAGTTCTTCTAGCTCCTTCATCCATTTGTCCTCCATTTCTTGCTGAGCAATAACTCGATCTCTGATCACTCCGTCCGCGTCTCCAGATGACAATCGAATACCCTCTGATGGTACGTTTTTAGGAGCCGCTTCCAGATGCATCACCCATTTCTTCCGGTCGGTTGAGGTTTGGAATGAAATCTCGAAAAGCACTGGTTTTGCACCAGAGATCAACATTATCGAGTGTCCTCGAGCCGATGTTCGGGTGAGCAGAGACTGAACTGGTATGGCACCTTGATCCTGCATGAAGAGAAGTCTGGTTCCTTTACGACACAGAATCACGATTATATCATCAAATAAAACGAGAAAAATTGGAGTTTTATCCAATTTTCCGGACGATGACGAATGCGTTCCTCCGCTCGTTGCCATATTTGGCAGCTTGATGAAAGCTTCTCCAAGATGAACTAACTTTCGATTGGAGGCGGCGTTCAGTGACTCAAGCTGAAAAACGCAAATAAACAGCGCCTATTGAGCAATCACTCACGTCAAAGGTGTATCGTATAGTACTGTGCGGGACAGACGGATCTGATATGTAGAGATTCGTGGAAGAGGTAGAATCGATCTGCATTTTTATTTCTTCCCACTTCATGGACATGTGTGCCATTGAAAGATTCTCATCAATCTTGTGAGCGAACTTGCGAGCAGTTTCCAAAGCCGTCTTTGTCATATCATGATGTTCACTGAACGGTTGCTCATTTTTCAGAATCGTCTCCAGGAGCAACGAATACTTCGTGGCTCTTCCAATTATCTTCGTGATGAGCGGACGGAAATCGTATTGCTTGTAGAACGGTTCCTCATTATAAGTTCGCTTGAAAAACTCTGCGAACTTGACACTCTTGTTCATCAAATGATGATACAACACATCCGATCTCTCCTTTGCCACTCCGAAGTCGGTGTAAGCGTCACAACACAGCTTCGTGTGTTGGCCTCCATCAATCGCCAGCTCTTCTGCGATAATGTCTGATATGGTTCCAACCTCATAACTGTCTTTCATTCGTGCAGTTATACGTTCCAGAACGTTCAGATGAAAGATCAACAAGGGTTCGAGTACGTCGGGTATGAGTACATCCATGTCTTGTCTGCTTATTATGTTCTCCTCTAGCATTCGTCGTCTGTATCCTTGCAGAAGAAAGGCAATATTGGCACAGTGCCGCTTTTCCATTAGAAATAGTTCTCAAAAATGTAAGTTTTTCTTGATTCTCAACCATATGTACATACCATAAATCGCATCTTGCTTCTTGACCTGTTTTGTAGAGAGGGTGTTGTGACGATATTTCTCGTGCCACGACTGGTATTCTTCTTGTGCGAAAAGATCATATTTCCCCCAGAGACGGTCGCTGAAACAAAAAATTAATAAAATAACTGAAAAGAGATGTTCTGCACTTACAGCTGAACATATAACGGGGTTGAAGAGCCAGCATTACTGGAAGAAGCACTGTTGTTATCAGCGGGTGAGACCATACGCGAAATATGGTCAGGAAGACCTGAAAACTTTGTTTAAATTGCTGAATCCGGTTGCTAGTCATGCTTTCGTCTGCATCAATGAAATCTATGCGTCCCTCCCCAGTGCACTGTTCGAAATTATGCCAAAATGATGGCGAAGCAGCACTCTCTTCCATTTCTAAAGCACCTTCGACAATTCTGGTAACCACTTCTGTGATTCTTAATTCATGAACAATAAAATTTGTAATTCGATTACCATCATCATCTAAATCAACAATAAGCCCGTATTTATCAACTATTGCGCGACATTCTGCTCGATAGAATGTTTCAGGAATGAATAGGTCCAGGAGTTGGGACTCCGAATGAAACCAGCTTTTCCGTTTTAATTCATAATTCGATCCAGATATGTCAGTGGTTAGTGAGCAGTTTCTGGAGCATCCACCGTTCTGAGCGTCTTTTTTCTTTCGACCAGTTGCTTTGGATAATGTTCGAGAAAGAATGGAAACTACATTGCTCGTCTCATTAGAACCCTTTTCTCCAAGGATCCCGTTGATTTTCCGGCTGAACCACGCCGAAAAATCGGAGGTTTTTCCAAAACTTCGGGGTGACAATGAAATCGTGTCCGAATCCGCTTCACTTTTCATTGTTGATAGAGAATGACTCGACGGAATCGTTGGGATGACAGGGAATGAAACTCGACGAGTTGTCAGACTTTTGCCATGAAATGCAAAAATCGATTGGCTCAATTCAGCGGGGGAAGCACTCGAAACATTTGGCGCGGCAACAACGACCAGTGATGACGACGAAGGCATCGCATTTGCATCCGATTTCGAGGACGACGCGCATCCGAACTCTGCCGTCGCCGTCGTCGCTCCACTATTTTCGTCCACTTTTCATTCAGACCCATCTGCTTCTTAATCGTACAAGAGAAAGAATAAGTGAAAACAAGTCGGCTTTTCGGGTTTCAGCACATAATCACCGCCTTTCTCGTGTGAGATGGCTGAAAATACAAAAACAAACTCCTACGAAATGAGACAAGGACGGAGAATCAGGGACAACATTATAAAGAGAAGAGTAAGGGGAAATGCAGAAAACTCCCGCGAAAAAAGTTCCGGTTCGCTTATAAGTTGAGCTGAGAGGCAACTGATAGGTCAAAATGTCAGGAGAGATAGTCACACCATTGCAAATACGCTTTACATACGTTATTATTTTGTTTTCGAGTTGAGTGTGAATTTGCATTACAGAATAGCATTTCCTAAGCGATCAAAAACATTCCTCTATTAGGAATGATACATTGTGCAATTTTTCCGCACTCAATTATTTACGAAGGATTGATCTTCATTGAAAAGAACCAGGTGCGAGATAGAGTATTACAAGTTAGGAGTTCCGGAAGGAGTTCACCTTCCACTACTGTCAATAGATAAAGGTGTGCGAAACGCGCGATATTGGTGCTCACGGAACTAAGCACTGCTCATGAGGTGTTAGGTGGGAACTGGTTGACTTTCAACAATCAAATTTCGGTTCAAAAAAGTGCATGCAGAGTTCAAGATATCAGACATCATACGAAGAAAACAGCCAACGACTTGTGCTGATCACTGGTCAGATCCATGTGACCATTAATTACTGAATGCTCGCTTTCCCTTTTGCCAAATAGCATGTTTCCGACCGATTCACCACGAGTTACGTGACTCACTATTTCTGCGATCTCTTGTGGTGCAAATAATAAGATGAGGAGTGAATATGTTTTGATAGAATGTCTGCGTGCGATAGGAGAAACTTCCAGATCCTGTAGAACTCACATCCATCGAGAAATTCCGATGAATGCGTCGACATGCGGCTTCAGAGCCCATTCGAAAAATTTAGAGCGGTTTGACAGAAAACTAGATGCATCAGCAATACATTCAGTCAAGGAATATTGCTACGAAGAATGGGAGGAGTTCGGGAGGAGGGAAATGTCGAATACAATGCAACTTGATTCATCATCAGTTTCCGTTACGTCATTCAATCATGATGCCAGAATTAGGAGCCCCCAGTTTTCTTTTAAATGAAAACAAACCGTCTAGGGATGTGGACTCGGCAGTTGTGGCGTCGCTCATCGGAAAAGTTGTAGCCGATGTGCTGCGTCTCTGAAATTTTGAAAATTCTGATAGGAACAAACACAAAAACGCCTTCAGAAAGTACAAAGAGTGTAGCACGCTAACAGGATCTGCCGATAAATCATTTTTCTCTGTCTCGCACTGTGCTGTACATTCCTCAACCACCGAAATCATGAGGCTTTTGGAAAAAAATTCGGGCAGAAGGAAAACAATTTTCGTCGTACAGAAAAAACTAATTCTTGAATCGGCAGAACAAACCTAGAATTATCAAACAGCGGACAATATTTTCATTCAAATATATCATTATTTTCCTAAACTTTCTAGCACCTACATTTCCAGTTGCTGTGACCGAGCTGCCAGCCATCATTGTTTTATTCGGTGTGGATCTCTGATTCAGATCTGATATGATTTCTTCAAGGTTGGCGCGACTTGATGGCTGAAAGTAGAATGTCCATAAAGAAAGTACATACAAACGATTATACCTTTTTTCGGAAAAGGCCTCCAAATGTAAATGTATCAGATCCTGACTTCTCTTTTTTGTTGGGTTTTCCTAGTCTGAAACATTTTTTAATTTAAACAGGCTTCTTGAAAAATCTGACATGGCTTCACAGGTGCCTCTGATTTTAAGATTAGTGACTCCAAGAAGTGTTATAATTGATTAGGCGTTCACCACACCCACACATGCTATACTCACGAAGAAAAAAGGATGCTGACGAAACAGAGGAAAGGTACGCTCCATCCCCTTCAGAGGAATCGTTTAGCAAGGAAAACGTGCACATCCAATCAGCACTGATTCTGTATGTGAAGGGATTGGAAATAAATGTTTTAATAGAAAAGAAAGGATTTCATGCAACAAAATTTTTTGAGTGAGGTGTGCTTTCTGTTCTAAAAAATGTGCGTACAACATTTTTAACGAGTCAGAAACTCTGCCGAATTTTTTTGTCTCCCGCGAAGCGAAGAAGAATTCAAAAATACGAAATACAAACCTCTGCTTTTTCAAGCTCTTCGTCCGGGGTTTTAGATGGGCTTGAGCGGATGCAAAAAACGAAGACGATGCGTTCGAAGCTCTTCTTTTCAAAGAACTGTTACGCAATCCCTCATACTGCTCGCCGATAGCCGACGAAGACACGCTGCCACGCTTCATAATTTTGCGCAAACTACGACGTACGAAGGAATTGTTTGCGGAGCCGTTCTGACTTTTTGGTGGAGACGATTGATCCGTTTGGATCGAAGATGATATCGAGAAACGTTGTTGGTTGCAGATTTCAGAGAGTGGCATGAGATCATCAGTAAGTTCGGCTAACAGCGCTGATGGTGAAGACATGGAGATATCCGAAAAGCATCCATTGCAGAAAAGTGGTTGGGAAGGAGAAGATTCTTTGCCGTCCGGACACGTCACTTCGGTCCCGATCGAGATTAGTGAGTGCGGTCTGAAAACGGACGAAACTGGGCATAACAAAGGAGACAGAGAGGTGCCCTAAACCCTTTCCAAACAGAATTAAAGCAATACACAAAAAAAAGCATTCCAAAAGAGGACACGGCAGGTTAATAATAGACAGCTAAAACTACAAACCTCTGCGATCCAGCTCCACTGATCGTGCCGGCTCCGTCGAATGGGGAACGAGGCACTGCATCTCGGGTGGGAAGAGACTGCGGGGAGAACATCTGCAAGATTTATTTGCTTAACTTTTTTCGGTCAGTGAATTCATTTGAACTATAGATACTAATCACATTACAACAGCTGTTACTCACGTCCGCATTAGATCATATTCTACTTTTTGTCGTTTGCAGGACCTGATTTTTATTCGCTCGAACTCCCGTATTTTTTCTTTACTTACAGTATGTCCAGTCATGGCAAAAGGTGGCATTTTATCTTTCCATGACTGCTCTGAAGCTGACTTGGAAGAAGTTGGGCGAGTTGATGCAGCTGACACCTTCCGGGAGAGCAGGACTGGTGGAGGTTTATCGGAGATCGATGATTTAGTTGAATCTGAAGACAATATTTTTACAACACTGCATTAAATTCCCGTTTTACACTTCTGGGAGTACGTTATAGGAAATGAAATCATAGAAAGCATACAATCTGGGGAGCGAGATGGAAAATGTTGCAGGTGATCGGAAAACACAACATCTAAGCGGGCCGTAAGAATGTGCGTATTGAATATAGCTGTGGTGGTCAAGCAAATAACGGAGTCACCAGGTGTTATAAGACAATATTGGAAGACGCCTCACGTTTTCCGAAATACAACGGCGGTTCTGTTTTCGACCCAGCTGCATTGATTCCTTTGTCGCTTATCAACATTTCATTATCCTTTGAGTCCCTAGCATAATCATCTTCATCGTCTGTACTTGGATGTTTGTCTGGGTCTCCTTGGAACACCAGCATAGCACTCTTGCATCTTCCTTTTTTTATCTTTTCGAACTGCAATCTCGAATATAGGGAACCATGGACTAAAATATTTACCGAAATTCGTCCAATCTTGTCCATATTCTCGATCTCCTCACTACGCTTCAGACGATTAACTTCAGTTACATCGTCACTGACCACTCGCCGATGAGCAAAATTGCTATTGAGAGCAGAATTGGCAAACGACGAATTAGATGGGGCACTGTTACAGTGGACCATCGGGTAGGTGTGCTCAATAACTTCCCGATCTTGTGGAGTCACTGACGAAGCGTGCTGTTGATAATATGGAATGTGCGTGGACTGCTCGTGCTCCATTTCCTCTGAAATTGCCGGCAGCTCGGGATGCTTCCGATCGTCACTGGGAGTGCGATTGGTTTCGAGGAAATTGAAGTTTTCTGTAAAATTCCCGTATATAGTGCACTTTTATCAGTAGAAAAAAAAGGTTTAGGTCATTGAAATGGTCGACACGCGAGAAATGGGAACAGTGGATGCTACTATGAGTCACTGCTTTCATCTGTTATCCAGAATCGCGCCAAGTTTTTTGTGACCGAAAAATGGGAAAAGCGAACGATGGGAATATCGAGTGATGGCAATGAGAAAGTGGTGAAGAAAATGTGTTCTACTGTCATGCAAATAGGTGGTTTTCATCAATGTACACAACAATAGGGGTGCGGGCACACACGCAATGCAGCTGCACTCTGAATGTGCCCTTGTATCCCCCCACATGCACTGCACACTCGAGCTTTCATTCGAACTAACACTTCATCTAGCTCATAAACCATCAAATACCAACATATTGGAAAAGTATTTGGTTGATAAGTCATCTTCCGTTTTATTCATTCTTGCAAAATTAAACTCACCATTTGAGAACCCTCCCCCGACAGGATCATAAGAAGCGAACGAGACGGCCGGGTACAAAAATGAGTCGGGCGACGAAACAATATCCTAAATATCTGATCGTATTATCTATATCTCTCTGCAGTAAAAATGAGAGAAACGGAACGAACCGTCGGAATTCGGTCAGGCGAAGGATTCTCGTCTCTCATCAGGCCCGCACCAATTCCGCTGTCTGTTAGCTGACCCTTTGAGACCTAAACAAGGGAATTGATTTCGAAAGTCATCGTAATAAAAAATTCTGACTAGTGTGTCATAGCTTCCATTCCGCGGATTTGAATCGTTGCTTGTGGCCGTCAATAAATCGCCTGAAAGATTACATTTACTTTATAGCGGCAATCATTTCTATCACCTAGACTTCGACTGCGATCACTTGACGAATTCGCATTCACAAAGTCATTGCGATGATGTTGAGCGCATTCGGAAAGTGAATCGAGAGAGTTGGCAATGCTCCGAGGAGTCACCGGTCGGGCGAGTTTCACCTCTTCAACAATCATTGGTTGTGTCTGCGGTCTCGAATCTTTCCATGAGCTTGAAGATTCTACAAAAAATGTTGAAAATTAACTGAAAGGACACGTCGGGTGGAAATTACCTTGAAAAATGGATTCGAGATAATTAGTTTGATTATCCGGTATGAGAGGGATACCTGGCGAACCTGATAAGACAAAGGTTGAAAAAAAACAAAAAAAAACAATTATGGGGCTATTCAGGCTGTGAAAAAAATGATTGTTTTCCGTTTTTTTTCGTTTTTTTACGTCAAAAAATCCAATTCAGCGATGTAAAAAAACGAAAAAAACGGAAAACAAACATACGCTGAATAGCCCCATTAAAAATGATTGTAACAAATTTGGAGATGAAAGAAATTTTAATTTACTGAGATATTGAGGCGATTCTTCGGATGAATAACTGAAGTGTGTTTGTTCGGTTCGACGTTCTCCCAAGTTATGTATTTCTAAAATTATGCAGTAAGGTAACGGGAAAAATATCTTTGTCAGCAGAAATTGAATTGGAAACTGGAATTGAAGCCGAGTGAGAACATTTCGAATTTTGAAAACGCGGTAGCTTGGGCCGCGGCCGAGGAAACTCCAACAGCACGGCCAGACTCGGAGATTTTTCCAAACCGTAATCCTTACATTTCAAAAACATTTGAAAGCTCACCTCTTCTTTCCAAATCCTCGTAGATTCCGTAGCTAGCTGGAGAATCGCTGAAACACAAGTATTTTCTTAATTTCTTCAAGAAAAGTTTAACAAACAGCAAAACAGGTACAAAACCGGCAGATTTTTTCCAAATTAAAATTTTGGACTATAAACTAATCGAGGCTTCACGACGTTTCGAAACCCGACATTTCGAAACTGGGACACTTCGCAACACGGCCCGGCTTTTCGTACATGCGACTAGCGGTTTTTTTTCAATTTATCTCCTAAAATCGAACATAGACCCCTACTAAAAGTTCAATTGTAGTGTGTTCTTCAAAATGAGCCAGGTTAGAGGTGTATGTAAGGTTTCTGTGGGAGGTTACAGCTTCACAATTTTCTCTCCCCCGTAGGCTTTGCCGGCCCGTGCGCAACAAACGTGAACTACTTATAAATTGCACTGCCAAAGTATATGTGGATCGCGTTTTTTGAAACGTCGATTTGCGGAACGTCGGGCCCAAATCGATGCCAAAAATGAACAGTGAAATTAAAAGAAAGAACATTACGAAGGACATGATCCGTCATAACGCTCTCCGAGGCGGAAGCTAAACTAGAAACCAAGTTCTGAATTACGAAGAAGTAGGGAAAAGCAAGGTTTACGAGCGAGAGGCGAAAACGAGGAGCAGCTGGCAGGGCTGCTGAGGGAAAAGAGTTAAAAGTTATTAGTAGTCCTCTCAAAGTGTGAACTTCCGAAGAAATTTTTTAAAACAAACGTCTTAGTTAGATGCTTTCTTGAGAAGTAAGTTTGCTTTTCCTTATTTGGCAGACCATGAGTAGAGGAATAAAAAGCAAACTTTGGAAGCTGTTCTGTTAATAATTTCCAACGCAAGCTGCATATGTCTGAGACAAGAAGTTTAATAATTTTAAATTCAATTCTAACAAAAAACGATGGCGTCCTTCTCATGATGCGGAGGAAAAAGAGAACAATCAAGGAAAATGTGCGCCAAGACAGACATCAGTGTCCTCCCTAGTCACTCGCTCTTTCTTTTCTGTACGTTTGCTGGTTTTATGCGCGCCGCACCGGGCATACTGTTCCCTTTTTCTCAACCTTTTCTAATTTGAACAAGATGGCAAAGTGAGAATGACAAAGCGAAAAAATAAAAGTTTAAAACTGATTAGTCCCAGGATTTCGTAAGAAAAAGGAGGAAAGTGTATACACAGAAGAAGGAAAGAGATAAGAAGAGGAAGAACGGGTTGGATGGACATGCTGAAGTACGGGCAAGTATGGAGACGCAGGAGGTCAGACGAAGATGCCGGGAGATTGAACACATACGCAGTCGCCTGTGGAAGGAGGAAGGGGATGACCTTATTACCAACAAGCTGCCCTTTCTCACTAAGAAAGGGGCACAGTTTGAGTTATTATAGGGGCACCGCACAGAAATGGCGCTCTGTTGAGAAACTCTTTTTGCAGTGCAAATTGAGCGACCTCGAGGCCGAGTTTGAAAAGTTAGGCCACATTTTCAGTGGAAAATTACTTCGCGGCCTAGAAATTCGGCCAGATTGCGAACAGCGTGCCCTTTCTGTCCGGTGCCCTTATAATATGCATGGTAATTTGTGGAATAACTCCGTCTGAGAGAACATAAGGCTTCTGTATACATCCTACATTCTTGATACTGTAAGAGTTTCTATGAACTATGTTCTCTACAATTGTTTTTTACCTCCTTCGAAAATGCCGAACACTTCTAATTGATTGCTAGAATAAAAGAAACTAGAAGACGCGGGAGTGTTGTCGTCCCCTTAATGAGAGTGGTGGGAGACTATGTACGAGGAGAGAGTTTTGTGACGTAGGCATTATTACGTGGAAGCATGAAGATGAGCGCATGTCAACTAAACCAGATTTTCGAAGACCCGCAAAACAAAAGTTAGAAGCACGTTAATGTAGTAGTAATAATAGTGGTAGTGTTGAGAGAAGGGCAAGCCTACCCGGCCCCCTTACTCGCATTCCTATTTGTTTGCCGATTAGCATGTGTTTGCAATCGGTTGTGCACCTGAAGGCCGCGCCAGAGCCACCCGACCCGGCCGGGCCAACCGTTTTTCCTAGTTCTCGCATGACAGTTGCCGGCAAGAGACTGTCAGAGAACGACCGGATTGCACTAAGACAGCTGTGGCGTGTGAAATGAACGGCATTTGCCGAGGAGGAGAATGGGTAGACGAGCAGAGAGGAAGAGGAGGAGGATAGAAAGGGATCCGACTCATGGACCTACGTGTTCAATGAAAACGTGACAGTCCGAATCTGCTCTGCACTTTGAGGCCGGGACTCTGGTTCCGGTGGTGGACTCGACGGCAGTGGTGGCTTCTCATCTGCCGTGTACATCCTGAAAAAATTGTTTTCAGTGCGCAATCATTCTATAATCATCTGAAACGGACACAGTTAACAATGAGGGAAGTTGGTAGACGTCGAGTAAAGGCGATAGAGCCCAATGAGCAGACACAGCGCTGATATTCAGTGATAAGCGTTTGCGTATGGGGTGTATGTGCGAGCGTTTGATAAGTTGAGACCTCAATGCGTCACCGATCGATCTTCAGAAAAGGGTCAGGGGAGCAGTTGATTCTAGAACTTTCGAAACAACAAATGACAGAAAGCGGACAAGCTGTGATATCTAACGACATGATATCGAATTCGAGAGGAAAACAAAAGATATGGAAGCAAATACCGGCTGCTTTATGATCTTCGAAGAATCAAATTTGGCCGATTTGAAAGGAAGAAACAAGGATTGAGGATAAGGGGAAGGGGGTGGCGAAAAACTGTCAATCGCTCCGTCACTCTGTGTTTGTTTTTCGTCTTGTTCCCATGCGTCGGGCTTCTATTTCTTTTTCATTTTTTCAGGAATCTTCAACAAAAAAAGAAAAAAAGAAAGGGCTCGCCATGTCCAAGAAGTGTGTTTATTTTTAATGTCCAATATCATGCTAAAATCCACCTGGAGATTCTGGGCGTTTTTGCTCCGGATACGGTTGATAGTGTTTCTTTATCAACAATGTTCATGTGTTTTCAATCAAGTTTTATTATCCGAGAAAACTGCCGACTCTTGTCAAATGTTTTGAAGCAAAGTTGCACATAAAAGAGAAAAAGAAATTGAATGGTATTAGGAAAATATCAATTGACCTTCTCTTCATCTAATGGAGAATTGGTACAGTGAAGGCGATTTGAAAAAAACGGAGAAAGGGACCAAAGCGGAACGAAGAGAGGCTAAAATGGGTGGAAAAGAGGGGGGCGAATAAAAAATACAAGTAGGCATGAAAGAGGAGGAACGGACGCCATTGGGGATGTCAGATGATTTAATATCCGGAGAGCTCTTGGAAGGTGGAGTCGAGTTCCTCGGAGATGGCCTTGTAGCGTTCCTTCTCGTGCACCAATTCGTCTGAAAAAACAAATGTTAACCAAGAATTTACAGTTGGGAAAACAGGCTGTTAGATGGGAATGTCAACATCGAACTCACATAGATATAATTTCAGGCATCACCTCACAGCAGAAGAAGTTAAGGAACATTGACATAGGAACGATAGTTTATACACACATTTTTGTTGTTGGCAGGTTGAGAAGGAAGACATTCAAACTGAGTTGAGCTCTTGGACCATATGGTCGAGCTCTTCTTGCAATTGGCGAGCTTTGCGGACTTCCGCATCGCGATCTTCTGAAACGAGAGATTAGTCAAACCATTACACGTCAAGAATATCATTATCGTACACGTAACTCTGACAAATCATGCTGTTCATACTTCTGATCTATTTCATTTCATGCAACATTCATTCACGTCTACCGTACTCTTTAGGATCCTTGGATCTCTTGGACAGTCTGTTCGATCTCTTCGGTCAAGTTTCGCACACGCTCCTTCTCGAGAAGCAGTTCATCTGTGACATAGACGTAGAACAAATATACATTCGACATGGACTATAAGACTCAAAAGACCCTGTACAATTACAAAAAAAAACCAACAAGAACGACAAATCTACAATATTCTACCGTACTCTTACCTTCGAGTCTGTCGACCTCTTTTTGGAGCTTCTGGACGGAGCGTTCAGCGAACTCAGCGCGGGTCTCAGCCTGAAAAGCAATTATTTTTTTACGAATGAACAATTTTACGTAGCACGATACAGATCACATATTAATGACAGGCCACGTGACTACAAAGACACAGAAGAAACAAGTGAGTGACCTCCTTCAGTCTGGATGAGACGGTGCGGATCTGCTCTTCGTACGAATCCTCGCGTTGAAGGGCCTTCTCCTCGGACACCTCAAGCGACTTCAAGTTGTTACCGACGACACGAAGCTCCTCCTCGAGCTCGACGATCTTGCTGAAAATCAGAGGACGACACTATGGGGAAAAGTCTATCACAATGATAAGGGAATATGAATATTCAATTTGGTTAGCGAGAGTGCAAGCATGCGAACAAGTAAGGGCAGGGCAACCTCCTGGCGGAATTCTACAGCTGATCTTAGGATGGCGCTGGATTGTTGATCTCTTTGGTTCAACTGCTCGATACACTCTTCCGCGTCGCGCAGATTGACAGCTAGGCCGCGCATTTCTGACTCGGCGCTACGAGATTTCCTGCAAGGTGTTAGTCTTCTCACGCAAACTATCTAGTATTTTGGTATTTGAATCGAAATGAAGGTAAACAAAGTTTGAAGCGTTTTAGGTAATAAGCGATGGGATTAGAGCAAGTTCAAAAGGTTTCCATAAGGTTGGGGTGTATTGAAGTCGATTGTGGACGCATGGACTCGTCTATACCTCCTTCAGTCTGAAATCGAGCTGACGGATCTGCTCGGCGAAGATGTCCTCCTTTTCAAGAGCCTTTTCCTCAGAAAGCTCAAGAGATTTCAGGTTATTTCCGACGACGCGCAACTCCTCTTCGAGTTCAACGATTTTGCTGTGAGTGTAGGTGTAAAGAAATACTAAGCGGTTTAGGTTAGAAAGGTTAGGAAGCGTGAAATAAATGAAAACAGGAAGATGATGGGGTAATTGTGGTTGAGAGAAAATAAAGAAATACTCACTTCTCTCCGGCCTCGGCACGCTCCTCGGCTCTCTCGAGATCAGCCTCAACCATAGCGAGCTTACGAGCGACCTGAAAGATTCAAGAGTGAGAACTTCTTCTACAGATAAAAGTTATTAGACGGCATTCTTTTAGTATAAAAATTATATGCAGAAAAGACAGTTAGTGATTGCACCATCATTCATTTAACCTCGTCGTATTTGCGGTCAGCCTCCTCAGCGAGGAGCTGGGCCTCCTTGAGTTGAGCCTCAACGGTGTTGGCTCTCTCTTCATCTTGAAGGGAGCGATTCTCCATCACCTTGCGCACACTGGAACGATTTTATCTTGGATCCCGGACACTCTAAATTCGCCTGAGCTTTGCCACCAATAACTTCCAGTGTGTGAATGAATCGAAGGACAGAGGCACGGACAGGAACAATTACAAAGCAAACCGAAGATTGGGAACTTATTTTAAGAGATAAAATAATTTGTGTATAGTGGTTAATAAAAGTTAAAACAAAAACACTACCTCATCTGCTTTGTTTTCAGTCTCATGCAAAAGCGACTGACACTCTCTCAGCTTTCTTTCCAGTTCTGCGCACCGATCATCGTCAAGCTCAATCTGGTTGCTCAACGCTTTTCTCGATCTATAAACGGATTAGATTTCTTTCAAAACGTCAAACGTATTAGGAGGGGTACAACGTTCAAGACACAAGACAAGACATAAAGCACGCGCAGTTTTCATGCTAGTTCCTCAGAGACCTCTTCGTATTTGCGATCAGCATCTTCGGCAATAACTTTGGCTTCGTCCACCTGGGTCTCGAGGAAGTTGGCACGCTCCTCATCTTGCTGCGAGCGGGTCTCCATCGACTTGCGCGCGCTGAGAAAAGGATAATATGGAGACGAGGACAAGAACGTCACAACATGAAAAATTTTGGACACTTCGACACGACTGGCAGTATTTCGGTAGACAAAGAGCTCGATGGCGTCACTTTGCCTACCGCTCGGACTCGTCGACGTTGTGCGTGGCCTCTTCGAGCTTCTCAGTGGCGATCTTAAGACGCTCCTCGGCTCTCTCGAGCTCTTCCTCTAGGAGGGTCATGCGTCTGTTCAAGGAGGCGACCTCAGCCTCAGCCTGAAAAGGACACCAATGCAAAAAATAATTGAACTAACCGATCAGCTTCATCGGCTGCTTTCGTTGCTTGTTCAAGTTTCGATGTGGCAACTTTCAGGCGGTCTTCGGTTCTTTCCAAATCTTCCTCCACAAGCACAATACGACGGTTCAAGGCAGCGACCTCAGCTTCAGCCTAGAACATTCTTAACTTAGCAGTTACCCCTAGAGCCTAAGACATTTCGAGTAGTGATCGACGACAAATACAAAGCTACCGTACTTCCAAGAAGCCACTTTATGAATTGTTGACTTAGTGCCGCCGGGGCCTCGACGCACTCTTGTTTCATAAAGAATAATGAGATTCGCGTGGACTTCCCGGAGGCATAATAGATAGTTTTGAAAGAATACAGTAAGGAAAAGCCTACATCTTCGCGCTTCTTGCGCTCTTCCTCGAGCTGTCTCTTGACCTCATCGGCCTCGTCCTTGGCGGCCTCGGCCTCCTCGCGGGCCTGCCGCATCTTCTTCTTGAGGACATCGAGCAGCGAGGTCTGCTGAGCTCCTTCCTTGTTAACCTTCGACATTCTGAAGACACCGACGACTAGTTTCAGAGCAAGAAAGGTTGTGGAGAGGAAACGGAACGGGTAGGAAAACAAGTGAATTCCTCAAAGCAAGAAGAAAGGCGTATAAATAGGAACGATCAGAAATTAGGTTACCATACACACTACTCGCAGAGCTGTGAGTCAACTCTGACAGGCGAAGTGCGTGAGTGAGTGTGCAATGAAGGTCTATCGAGATGACTGAGGGCGCCACAGCCAGCGCCCCCACTTGCTCGACAAACAGAAGAAAAAACTCGGAGGAGGAGAAGGGCGGAGTGGCGGTGGGCGAGTGCGATACAAAGAGGTCGAGACGATAAAGAGCATGGAGATACCATGCAAGGCGGAAGAGCGAGGCAGTGCTGACAGTACTTTAGTGTGGATGGGAAGAGAGAAGCTAGAGACTTTTGCTGCGAGAAGATGATGAAGAAGAAGAACACACTAACTGTGAGGAAGCAAACATCGTTACTTTCTTCTCTTGCCACATTGAAACTGGAACACCAAGGTTCTATTGAATACCTATCGAAAACTATTAGGTCAACATTCTCGAAAAATGGATTGCATTTATCTTGGATGTTTGGTTCTGCTCGGACAGAAGGGACACATCTGGAGCTTGAGTTGCTACCATCTAAAATCTATTTGCAAGGACCAAAGTAATTTAATACTACGCTTCTCTACAACGACTAGTATGAAGGAGAAGAAACGAGAAAAAGCAGAAAGAAAAGGAAAAGGCGCCCTCCCAGACTCACTTAGTTGTATGAGGATGTGCATAAACCGCAAGCACCCAGAGAAGGAAAGAAAGAACCATTTGACATATCCCTCTTGGCATGTGGGTTGGTGGATTGCCATTGGCATCTCATTTTGCGAAAGAGACAAAAGCGAAATGTCGGAATTCGATTGAAACACCTATTCGGAGATGATGATCTCGAAATTTTTCATTCTACAATTCGTTTCTCGCTCTCCGCACTCAGATAGTCATCTCAAGTGTTTTGGGTGACCGGAAGGACAACAAGAACAAGAAGAAGTCCGGGTAAGTCAGCAGACGGCGTTCCTTCCAACAATAGAGACACATAGTATTTACCCGAATTACATGTTCTCCGTCCCTCTTCCGTATGTGCGCATTGACAGAACCGGCCCGGGACACGGTATTGTCCGCACGTGCCTCGGAGGTGCCTAATTGGTAGGGAGCCTACTTTCTTTGCTGCCCTAACATTATTTTACACGACATTTCAATGCCGTCGGTTTTCCCTCTTCTTCGCTGCCGGCCTTGCCTTGCCACTCTTTCCCTTCTTTCTTAACTTGCCGAGGGCTCCCGAGAAATGCGGGGGAGGGAAGCGCTCGAAGAAGAAGCTGCTGCTCAGTGAGTCGCTCTCTCGCCCGCGGGAGCACGAGAGGAAATATTGTTGTAAAGCAAACAGCTCTCGTTGTAATCAGTTGGCGGAGGTAGCTCACCGAAGGCTAGAGACTCAGACACTAGAGATTTTGAATGGCGCGGCACACACTCGAATTTTATCTTCTTCTTCCTTTCCCTCAACATTCACGCTGGATAGCTAGAGAAAAAGCGCATCAGGTTGGGATCTACTTTAAAACCTCAGGAAGAACGTCCAACTTTTGAAAAAATCAGATTAATATGATTGTGATGAAAAAATAAAGGAGTTCTCAGATGAACTTTCGCTGAACGAGTTTCCTATCAAAAACTACAGTAGTCGACAACGGCATTTGAAAATAACACTATGCGTTTTCGTTATATCAGTGTAAAGAACATACGATAGAGGATCAAAAGATATCTAGTTTTGGAGGGCGAAGCAAGGGGGAGGTTTGCGTCAAAGCCGGAACCTACGGGTGAATCCAAGAATTTTTTAAGTTCTTAATCAATTCAGTGCGCCCGTTCGTCTGGACGTCCTACTGTAGTGAGAAGCAGTGGGCGGTTGCCCAGGCTTACTGTGTTTGATGATTCACTTCGAATGTATACATGTATCGGAATACAAAATAAAATAAGAGCGCAACAAAAACAATGGCAGGGAATGGAAGAAAAGGACGGAGGAAAACCGCGGATGGATCATCATCGTCAATGTGAGGAAAGATGTGGAATGAAATGAAAGGACACAGAACTAGCTGGTGGGTATGCCTCGATCTCACTTTCTATTCTGACTAATTAACGGATTAATTGACTTGTTTGAATCCCAATCCCCATGGAATACCATCCAAAAAAGAACTACGTTTCTGTATACATATGACAAACCTTTCACTTTTCATGAACCGTACGTACTGTGTTGGTGGAAAAAGACCTGAATGCTGTATTAGAACCGAAGAATTTTTGAAAGTTGGTAATCACAAAGCAAAAACGAACAACTTGAAATTAAAAGAGATTTACCTCCTGAACGGTCTTCTCCTTCTCCTCGAGCTTGGACGTGGCAGCAGAGAGGTCCTCCTGTAAAGCCAGTGAATACGGTACACTTTCTGAACTTTAACCGTACCTGAGCCTTGTCCAAATCGTCTCCGGTCTGCGTCATCTTCTTCTGGGTGTCTCTGAGCTCCTCCTCAACTCTCTCGAGCTTCTCAGTGATCTGACGAACCTTCTCCTCAGCAGCATCGGCCCGATCGAGAGCGTTGTCCTGAAGAAGAATTTGTTACTGTAGTCATTAGAAGGAGAATATGTTATGGAAAAAAAGCAAATGCAAAATTCGTATTACACTAGTTAGTTGTTGTCCCCCGCTAAATTGTAAGCTAGAATGAGCCAAAATCTTTACACAAGCCTATGAGGATATGATGTTTTTTATCTTTTCTACGCTCAGTTTCTCATTGAGATCACTAGATGCTTACGAGCACAATACTTACGAGCACTAGATATTAAATCTCATATAATTTATATTACGGTACATAAGAATCTTTCTCTATAAGTTATTTCGATATGGCAGCAAGGTGGCGCAATGTACAGAACAAGTGAAGAACTTGAACGGATACCTTCTCGATCTTCATGGCCTGCATCTTCTTCTTGATGGCGTCCATTTTTGGTAGTTTGCTTTGTGTTCTTGAAACACACGAGACGACGATTCAAATTGAAAGGGGAAGAATGATTCGTGTTGGCCACGGCGCTTCCAGGTTCCCGTCGTCTGAAGCCCCGCCCCCTCTCGCCCGAGCTCCCCCGCTTCTTCCCGTTGTCTCCAACGTCTCTTCCGATGAGACACTGTCTCGCGACCTCGTCACCTCATTCCAGGCATAGTGGGGGTGTCGTAGAGAGAAGAAATAGTGGCAGAATTCAAGAGAGATGAGATCGACGAGATGGATCCCTTCCACCCACCCCGGGAAGAAAGCACAACACATTACAGCAGGGAAGTCGATGGGAAATGAGGAAAGGATCTGTGGCCCTGGTCTAGAAAGAGGTCTTTAATATGAAAAAAAGGACAATCAGAAAAAAGAGTAGAGGTTTTCGAAATGCTTCCAAAGTTTTAAAAGTGTGATAATCTGAAATACTGAAAGACCTAGAAACTCTCCAGCACCTGCATTTCTGCGAATAATTATTGAGTAGATTAGTCAGGTCCAATGTATAAGACCGAATTGAGCTTTTTCAGTATCCCCTAAAGAATAATTCGTGAAAATGCCTGATTCCAATAGTATCGAGATTTCCACGTTCTTTCATGCGAACGAGCAAGTTTTGAAATAAACGCGAGTTTTGGTAGTTCCGCCATTCGTTCATTCGTTACAAAAGCTGATCCCTTTGTTTTTTCCTGCATTGCTCTAACGACGTTCATATGTTTTTCACTTGTACACATTTCTCATCTGCTTCAGCTTCCACTAGTGCACACCTCATTCTTGCTTAGAGAAGCTTCCGTGAGCTCTAGTTCTTCTCCTTCTGGCGTCGGCAACCTTTGTGTAATGCTGGGGGAGCATATTGTCGTCGGGAGCTCGGTTCTGCCGCAGATCTCGTTAGAGAATCAGAGATTGACGGCCCCGAAACTAAAAGCAAAACGCGGAGGAGTTGGAAGGGCACAAAGTGCTTACGATACGTTGTCAGCTGTTCCACGTTTCTTTTGCCACATCATCGCTACTGTAAAGTTGGATGACGAATTGATATTGCATTGTCGAGCAGTTTTCGCCCAATCATAGCATGGATGACACATTTTGTCGATATGACAAAAGCAATATCTTTTGTTTCTATATTTCAATACGTTAGTCACTTTTTCTTTCGGATGGGAAACAATAAAGGAAGAAGCAGACGATGTTTTCTGTTGTATAGATCCCAAAAGATGCAAGACGAGGGGAAGTTCTAAGATACATAGCCTCAAAGGTCTGTCAATCGCGCGCTAGCGCTCTCCACACGAATTCAGTACTAAATTGGAAACGGTTACGTCCGTGGCCGGCTTTTCGCGTGGGACTGTGGTAGAGCGACATTGCCAGAGCTTTTAAATCCGAATAGTTTATACATGAGCTACTTCTTCGTCGTCTTTGGTCAACGCGTTATCGTCATCTGATTCATCTGCGTATGGGGCTAAACTGGGGAACTGTTCAATTAGCCGAATTAATTCACCTTCTTCTCCGTAGAGAATACGGTCACACACTGGTAACACCTGAAATAAAAATATATTGTCTGGGAAATGTAAACGCTGACAATACTTGGGTTAGAATGAAAGTTGTTGAGTAGGCGAAAACAGCTCCGTCGCGGATATTATCGGCTAGATGCTTCAAATACATCTTCCAGAGCTCATCGGCGTATACTTCGCAAAGTACTTGAATGGGAGACAGTCTCAATGGAGCTAGATCCTTTGACAGCGTATGCGCCACCTTCGCGAAGTGAACAACGTTTTGTGAGACATTCAGTGAACTTCGTGACTCGTCATTCGCAGAAATCGCCCATTCCACGTTTATTCCCACATCAGACAGCTCTTCAACGAGGCGATTCAATGCAGACTCAGATTCAAGAACATAGGGACGCCATTTCTCCTCCGAAATTCTCATTTTGATAGCATCACAAATGTTCTCGAAATTTCCTTGTAACGCCTTTTCCAAAGGTGTGCTCAGCAGTCGATTAACTTCGAAGTTGAGATGAACGCCAATTGCTGTCAAGTCATCCATAGTGTGCATGACGTGTTTCCACGTGTAAGCTATCACTGCGATGGCTGGCGCCACCTCTATGACGTGTCTCCGAATTAATGTCAGCAGTGTGCTCAGTTCGCACGAACACCATTGGAGAACCTGGCAGTAGAACTGTGGCATCGACCGGTACTCGTTTGCAATGTCGGACACTGCACTTCCATATATATTGCAAAGCTGTCGAACATAGGATATAGGTTCTTCTGAAACAGTGACATCTCGCATCGCATTTCTTTGCATAGCACTTCTACGACGCAAGTAAACGTCGGTTGCGTATGTACCACATCCCAATAGAGTCAGAAGTGTTCTCGCCTTTTTCATGGCTCTCGGGCCGCCGTGAACAGCTCCGGGTCGACTGACATCTTCACAAAGAAGTTGTACAATCTAAAAATATGACTTCTCCCATCTTATATTCGAGAATCGAATCGAATCGAGATGAATGTTTTTCACCTGGTTTTCTCTCATTTGCAACTGAATGTCAAGAACAGTATCTTTCGTAGAACATTGTTTCCATTCATGAATCAGCTCAACAGCCTGTTCTAAATCACGATGAGCAATGCAATCGTCCAATTCTGCTGGAAGTTCTGAGAGCCACACAATATCGTTGTCATCTGAACATAGGAGGTTTAGATGGAAAACTGCAAACAAAAACAAACTCTTCTCTTGAATTTTCTCCTCTTCTTCTTCGTGGAATACAGTTTTCTGCTCTTCAATAACTGCCGCCGTTTTGAAGCGATCTTTAACGGTCTGCCGCTTTCCACGAATAGTTGCTTGTCGGACGAGACTTCCTTTATGCAAGATCTCACGTTTGGCCTGCTCGAGTTCATCAAACCACAGCTTTCGAATTCGAGCGCTTTCGCACAGGTAACAACGCGATTCTGGGAATATCAACAGCTTCAGCACTTTTCCAGCATTCGCAGCTCCTGATGCTCGATCCTTCACATTTACAGGTGCTACTGAGTTCAGGGAGAGAGTGGATTCCATTCTGAAGACGATCAGATCATTCACGTATAGGTGCAACAATAGACTTACACGTATTTCCCTACCGCGTTGATGTTTCCAATGATAAGTCTGTGCGAAAGAAGTATAAGCATACATTTTTGAACTGGCTTCTTAGTTTCTCCATCAAATTGTTCCATTTCTCCATACAATATCACTTTTTCAGAAGTAGACATATTATTCAGAATACCCTAAAGATAGTTTTTATCACTTAATTTTTCTATTTGAAGGTTTTACCCCAATTCCTTCCATTTTTTGCATTAGAATCTGGATCGGATTAGTAGTAGATGCAGCTGTTGAGTGGCTCGAAACAGTGTGGATGGAGTTTTTGTCGTCTCCAGTCATCATTACCAAATTTTCTATGACTTGCTTTTGCTCCATCAGGTGATGAGTTAGTTGGTAGATTTCGCGCTCCAAGACTGAACGATCACTAGTGGAATAGCATCAAAATATTTCCGATCGAGCAATTTCAATTATACTCAATTTACCGCTCTTGCCCCCTCGGTGTTTGCGTACTCGAGCCTTATTTCAGAAATTTTGGCTTGAGTCTGCAAACACCGAGGGGCAATAGCGATGAATTGAATTTACTATAATACAACTTACGAGAAATTTTTTTGGAAGCGTCGATAAATTGTTGATAGTTCCGGAAAACATTGTTTTTGAGCGTTTCTTGAGAAGCATGATTCAGAGCACTCATTTCTGAACGAAACTGACGAAGTTTTCGAGTTTCATCGCCCACTTTGACTCCTTTCAATCGATCTCTAATATCTGCAATTAGCCAAAAATTGTTTTGTGATCCGCTGAGTCATTCTTACAATCAGAAGGTGAAAATCCGTCTGCCTGGAGTAATTTTTCTTCGTTGGTGCTCATTTTGATGCTGAAAACGATTCGAGGTAAACATTTGCAAAAAGTTATTGTGTTATTGAGCGTATATTTGTTTCCCGTTTTTTTCGTTTTTTACATTGGTGAATTGAGTTTTTTGCCGAAAAAAAACGTTTAAAAAATCATTGCTGAATAAATCCATCAGAGAGGAAACCCGTTATTCGGTGCGACCAAGGCAGGCAAAAACAAGTATCTGTTGATGGCCGTGGCCGAACGTTCTCCTGGCCGCTGCACCCTGAATGGCCGAAGTGTACGTTTTCTCATGGCACGTATTATCAGTTTCGCTAACTGCCAGCACATTCATATCTACTTTTAATTCATTATCTAAATACAAGAATATTTTACGTTCAATGGCTGATTCTGCGAGAATAGTCGAGGTACCGTAATCTATAGTAAATACCGTTTAGTAAATGTCATCTACAGCTTATCGTTGGTCATTCTTCGACCCGGCTCAGTGAAAATCGAGAAGACGGTCATACACATCAGTGGACACTCTTTGTAAAACCCGCGAATAAGGAATATGATAACTTTGTTGACAACAAACTTATTCACAAAGTGAAGTTCCACATTCATGAGTCTTTTCGCAATCCTGTTCGATATGTGTGTAAGCCTCCCTTCAAGGTAATATTAACATTTCAAAGTTTGCAACAGAAAACCATTTTCAGATAACTGAAACAGGATTCGCATCCTTTTCTACATATGTAACAATCTATTTGAATTTGCCAAATCAGAAGCCGCATATTATTCCATACGAACTAAATTTGTTCACGGGAGACCAAGATGTCCAAGAAGAAGTTCAGAAATTAGTCATTCGTGGAGACGTCATCGATTCTTCATTTATTGAACAAGTCAGGAAGTTCTGCAAAACCAAGAAGCGAAAATCCTCTGTTATTTTCTCGCATGAAGAAAAGTCCCCACCTGAGCCTAAAAAGCAGAAGCGTATAAAAAAGGAAGACAAGTCTCCATCGAATCTGAAAAAAGAATCGGAGAAGCATCGATCCTACTCAAAGTCAAAAAAGCCAAAAGAGTCATCACCTGAAAAATCTATTGTTATCCCCAAAATTGAGATTGAAACGCCACACGACTCTCCGGACAAGCGAAAAGACATTCCATCAACATCAGAAACAAAGAGGAAAGCATTAAAATCGCCAACTCGCTCAGAGTCTAGGGAATCAACAAAAAAACCGAAGAGCGCTGAAGAGATTACAAAAAAGCTGAACGAATTAACAGATCCTTATTTGATTTACAAGTAAGTTGGCTGAAATTTCAATTGTGATTTTTATGCTAATCGGGTTTTCAGAGCGAGTGAATATCTGTTGACATTACCAAACACTACACTATCCAGCACAACACTCCGATTAAATTTCGATCTATCTAATTGCAGTTCCGAGGTATTGTCTGAAATTTCAAGAATTCTGAAAACTGCTAAAAAGTCTAAAAAATCGTCATAATGTGATATTTTTTGTTAGATCAATTGTGAAGTTGGCCATTTGTTTCAATAGCATTCCCTGTTTTTTCCTATGTTGTTTTTCGCCTTACCGGAGTATCCTAGTTATTTCGATCTCTGAAGTGATTGCTTCATTGCTGTTAATTATGTTTCTCCTAATAATAAATGTCATCTCACTCAAAATCAGACTCAAACAAAAGTACTTTATTTTGTTTCGCAGGTTGAAAGTCACCTTAAATATATATTTCAACGCTTAGCCCCTTAGAAAAAGTTCTGAAGCGTAAGAGCTCCCGCCGATTGCTGGTCGAAGATTTGGTCTTGGCGCGACAGAGAGGTGCGAGAAAGTCGACAGAGTGATGAGACGCAGACAACTCAATAATCAATACGCAGTCGCCACCGAGTATCCGCTTCTCCCGAACACTTGTGTTGTTCTCCGAGTGTTGCATAGTGTACCTCCAGTTTTCTAGTAAAAAAAATTTGTTTTGACACATTTTCCGCTTTAGCGATTCATTTAAGCGCAAAACGAGCTTTTGTCCGATGCAACCTTATCTCCGACTTCATTTTTATAAATGTACTGTTCCGCCTGACTTACGACGCATAGCATATTTAGGTTGAATTAATTTTAATTGTTTCAGAATTAAATCTAATGTCTGATCGCAATATAGCGGATGTACGGTTGGACCACAACTACTTAATTTCGAAACCGTCATGTTCTAGACGACAGTCTTCCAGTTTGCATAACAACGAGTGTATGACTAACGTTGAGTCGGTTGTGCTTACACAGAGATGGACTGTGAGTTTTATATTTATATTTCAAAACCAGATGTTTTTTAGGTGAGCAATTTCGATAGTCTTTTGAAGTTGAGCCAGCCCGGAAGTTGCCTCCGCAGCACAGTGTTCAAGTTCGTACTGAAAGAGTCTTCAAAATGTAATTTTAATGTTTTCAGGGATGATGCGGTTCCTGAGGCTTGCTGGCAGTTGTGCCTTTATCCAGGTGGAAAGAGAGAAGAGAATGCGAATAACGTATCGTTGTTCCTAAAGATGTCAGCGACGTCGCCTTCAAAGGAAGTATGGTTGAAATATTTTTGGCTTTGTGAAAACTCGTCTTTTCAGGTTGTTCTGAAAGCCGAGTATCGATTTTATTTCTTAGACGACAAAGAAGAACCAAAGTTCAGCAATGTAAATGTTGGCGAATTTCATGCTAAACCTCCAAAAGGAGGTCATTCTTGGGGGCTCCGCAATATTCCAACTACGAAAGTGCAAAACAGTATTCGTCACGACAAATCATTGGTTATCTCCTGTCATATTGAACTCATCCCGGACGTTTCGAAAGTACCATGCAAAAGAGTGCCATTAGTGCCGTCAATCAAAATGCCATTTTCACAGGTACCGACTTCATATGTTGACAGAGGTGAGTAGTTTTTGACTAAAATATTTTTCTAATTCTAGTTAATCCAGAACTAGTAATGCTTGCTAGTGGAGAAGGAACGGATATGACTATTGTTGCTGGACCAGAAGATGGGGAACGTGAGAGTTTCCGCGTTCACGCTTACAAACTTCGAGCGCATTCTGACGTTTTCCAAATGATGCTCAGTCATCAACAAATGAGGGAGAATCAGGAAAAGAAAATTGAAATTCTTGATTTTTCGCCTGTTTCTGTTCGAGCGATGGTCGAATTCATATATGCAGGAGTGATTAAAACAGAGATCGACGTGGTTGAAGCTGTCGATGTCATGCAAATCGCGGAAAAGTATCAGATTTTGGCTTTAAAAATGACTTGCGAGCAACACCTCTTGGACAAACTCAACATTAACAATGTTTTGGACTGTATCATTCATGCCGAGCGTTACAACACGGACGTTCTCTTCGATGCGTGTGTTGAATACGTAAGAGTAAAAACAAATAAAGAAAAAACATTATATCTTTGTTACAGGCGGTTCATAATCGTCAAATGATCATGGCACTTCCTGCCTGGAGAAGCTTCATCGTTGAGGAACCGATGTTGGCTAATAATCTTCTCGAAAAAATGGTCAATGCAAATGATGTGTCTCCGCCTACTAAAAAATCTCGAGTTTAACCAGTCTGCTATTTTCGAACACAAAAGCTTTGTTTTTTTCAAATTGAGAGAATTTCAAGTTCTCTCGCTTTATAATCATTGTTATATTACTCGAGGAAACTTATTTTTACTTCTTTCGACATTTTTGAATGCATTAGATACTCCTCTTAGTCATAGTAGGAATGAATTCTTAAATTGAACTCTTCCGTCTCCCTGAAACAGCATCGCAACTAAGTACTCGGATTGTTACATAAAGTCTCCTGGTTTCTGTGATTTCTTCCCCCATATACTTCTAAACACTTCGTTTTATTTTTTACAATTCGTTTTCATATTCTCTCTCTCTCTCTCTCTCTCTCTCTCTCCCTCTCCTCTCGGAAAGAGGTCGTGCGCCAGTTTCCAGTGCGCCCGGTGCCGTATCCTATACTTCTGTCTCCGTTCACAGTTCTCTGTAAAATTTAAAAAATTTTCACAATCAGTTGCAAAACCGTCTCATTTCATTACTCGAGCAGGTAATTGTAAGTTCCCACTTTCCAATTATGCCATCATTTGTGAATGATTTCTAAATGAAGTTGTGGTTGGGTTTTATTATACATTTTATTATTAAACAGTTACTTTTTGTGTATCTGTAGCTATTTTTCCCTTTCATTGTTCTCTGATTCATTTTTTCCACCCAGATGGGTCGTATGAATGTTTCAATGATGAGATACTTGGAAGGAGATCACTTCCGAGTTCTCATCGCTGTTGAAATGGGAATGAAGAATCACGAAGTCGTTCCGTTGCCTTTGGTTTCTTCCATCGCTGGAATTCATCGAGGAGGAGTCGTGAGAATCCTTAACGATTTGTGCAAGCATCAGTTGGTTGCTTTTGAAAGAAGCAAAAAATGTTAGTTTTCCGAATACTTCAATAGAGTACGAATCTGTATTCATTTTCAGTTGACGGTTATCGTCTGACCATCCGAGGATACGATTATCTTGCTCTCCGTGCTCTCTGCTCCAGAGAAGTTGTTGGAAGCGTGGGAAATCAGATTGGAATTGGCAAAGAATCTGATGTTTATGTGGGCGGTGATCCCGATTTGAACGACTTGTGTCTGAAGTTTCATCGTCTAGGACGAACATCGTTCAGAAAAATCAAGGAAAAGCGAGACTATCACAAAAAAAGGAAGAGTGCTTCGTGGCTTTACCTGAGTCGTTTGGCTGCTGCGAAAGAGTTCGCTTTCTTGAAAGCTCTCCAAGAACGTGGATTCCCCGTGCCAAAAGCAGTGGATGTGTGCAGACATTTGGTTGTCATGCAGCTTGTCATCGGTCAAACACTGTGCAACGTGGCCCACGTTGAAGACCCTGCAGCTCTTTATGATCGACTGATGGCCCTTATTGTTAAATTGGCGAGACACGGAGTCATTCATGGTGACTTCAACGAATTCAATCTCATCATGTTGGAAGACGAAAAGGTTGTCATGATTGACTTCCCACAGATGGTGTCAATCGATCACATGAATGCTGAATACTACTTTGACCGTGATGTCACATGTGTTCGTACTTTTATCAAAAAACGTTTCGGCTATGAAAGTGAAGACTGGCCCAAATTCGACGAAATTGAGAGAAAAGGAAACATGGACGTTCTTCTTGAGGCTTCTGGCTTCACAAAGAAAATGGCACTTGATTTAAACAGAGCTTACGATGAAGGTAACTTCTTGGCTCACTGTGAGTCAGAATTAAGAAACACGGAAGCGGCCCAAGAAGTAGACAATGGAGACGAAAGTGAAGAAGGAGAGGATATGAATGTTATCGAAGAAGAACCGGACGACGTGGACGAAGAAGAACTAAACGAGCAGTTGAACTCAGTAAAACAACAAATAATTGTTCTTTCTCAATCGACACGCTTCAATGATTGGCTTTCTGAAGCTACAATTCAGTTAGATTCCGTGGATTTGAACTGCGTCAAAAGAGAATATGAGTATGATGACAGCGATCTTCCAGTCAAACTTGTGAGTTTCAAGAATCGTTGACGTCTAAATATGTTCTGTACTTAGATCCATCCTCGTGGTGCAACTGCTAATAAAGCTGATAGTTCCACTTCTGATAGTGATAACGAAGAGGGAAATGAAGAGCACATCGCTGTTGAAGATCAAGTGGCAAAGGTGGTGAAGAAGAGGCAGGCCGGCGGCGCTGCAGGTGCCGCAAGTGTGGCGAGCAGTGCTGCGACGTTCACCGCTGAAGAGATCAAAAGAAAGCTGGCTTTGGAGAAATTGCGCAATAAGGAGAAGGTCAGTTTTCAGCAGACTCTCGATTGGACGTGTTTAAATCAAAAATCGCACTTTTAATCGTTTGCAGATTCGTTTGAAGGTCAAAGGAAAACAGAGTGCGGTGAGCCGTAACCGTAAGGACAACAAGAACATTATTTCGGAGTATGCCGGCTGGATTTGAGTGCCAATTTCCTATAATCATTGTGTCGCATGACTGATTTTTAAATTCATATTCTCCACCAGTGTGTATTCTCGAAAAAATTTATTCGAGAAATTTCACGAAAAATGCCGTTTCTCCAGAAATGTTTTAAATGTGAATGATTCTTATAAGTACAACGCTGGGAAGTGTCATGGGCTTATTTGGTTGGGTTAAAAACCAGTGAAACCTGATTTCTATGGGAGAAACCCTGCCACTCTGTTTGTATCTTTGTTTGTTTGCTTTTTGAATGAGCCCATGACATCTCCTCGAGTAACACTTATAACAATCATATTTGAAACAAACTTCTGAAAACAGATTTCTCGAATTTTTCAAGAAATTTCTCGAAAATTTTCTCGAGAAAACATACTGTTCTCCACCCAATCTATCCCTGATTGTTTTATTTCCATTTCCTAGATTTTCACCTGTTAACTTGCTGTGTTCTCTTGTTTTGTTCTGCTGATATTATAAATCGTGTTCTTCTAAATATTGGCAACATTTGATACATTCTCGTCAAACGTTGACATGTTCTCACATTTCATCGCTATCGCTATTTTATTGATAAGGCACGCTAAGCACTCTGGACGATAAAAAGAAGAGACAGAAAGATACTGCGTACATCTAACAGTTTACATTCTATCATTTAGTACTTTCCTCGTTCGGAAAGATGTCCCCAACTCGCGCTGTTATTCCCGATGATTTCGAGGTAGTATTTCCCACCTAATAATTTTTCTTGTGAATGTCGTTTCAGCTCCCCGTGGACGCTTTCGACATTCCATTGTGCTATCAAGGAGATTTGTCAGGAGTCGTCATTACCGAAGGTCTTGTGAGAGATCGAGTGAGACGACTTGCGAAAGGTAACCGTTTCTAATGATGCTTCTTACACGTCCAGCTAGCTTCTAGATATTCATGCCGAGATAGGAAACAAGCCAATTTCTCTGCTCTGTGTCCTCAAGGGCTCCTACAAGTTCTTCACGGCTCTTGTCGAGGAGTTGACAAATGCCCGTTCTTCATGTCCTGAGCCAATGACCGTAGATTTCATTCGTGTGAAGAGCTACGAGGACCAAAACAGTACTGGACAAGTAAAAATAAAGTTCATACATTTTCATTTAACGCTTAAAACTTCAGATCCAAATCATGGGGCTGTCCAACTTGGATGAGCTGAAAGGAAAGAATGTTCTAGTTGTGGACGACATTTCCGATACTGGTAGAACTCTCGCTAAACTTCTCAGCACACTAGATGACATCGGAGTGAAGGCTGTCTGGACTGCTCTGCTTTTATCGAAGCGTGTAAAGCGCGACGTGGATGTCCCTGAAAACTTTGTCGCTTTCGAAATTCCGGACAAGGTATTTAAATTTCGTTTTCAATTTGTTCCTAATACAATATTATTTTCTAGTTCATTGTTGGCTATGGGCTGGACTACAATCAAAAGTTCCGCGATCTCGGACACATTTGCGTCATGAGCCCGGCTGGAATCGAAAAGTACAAATCGCACTAACTTTTCTTTCTAACGTGTTAAATGGAATTGGATTTATGAACTTTGTTACGAACTAAATAATTGCCAGCGGTTTTTGCCAGATGTTTTCTATTTTCTTTATAGCCACTATCGTGGTATATCGGGGCATTTCAAAGTGAATGCGTTCTGTTGGAATTGTGATCTCCAGTCCGGCGCCAATAAAAAACTCTCGCATGGAACGAAATTGTTCGAGCTGGCGACGCGCGCTGGAGTTCTGCATGAACAGAACAGTTGTGACAGAAAGCCGTTCATAATCGTTTTTATTGTCTGCAAAATCAGAAAAAAGGGAACATCGTAATCTACCGTATCCGCCTCAAAGTTAATGGGCAGAACTCCATCGCGCGTCGCTATGCACAATTAACCGCTCTTGCCCCCTCGGTGTTTGCGTACTCGAGCCTAATTTCAGAAATGTTGGTTTGAGTCTGCAAACACCGAGAGGCAATAGCGATGAATTGATTTTACTTTAATAATAAGGTTCCGCATAAAAAATTATTGACCGACGCTGCACCAAGTTTTGACGCTTTTCTTCAATTCATTTCTCACTGGAGGAGTCATTTAAATCTAACATCCCGGGAAACTCAAAACAACTCAATAAACTCATTTAAATTTCCACGCGAGAGGCAAAAAGGCTCATAACGCTTGGAATGAGTTTCTTGTGAGGCTTTTCAGCGTATGTTTGTTTTCCGTTTTTTTCGTTTTTTTACACCGCTGAATTGGGTTTTTTTACGTCAAAAAAAACGGAAAAAAATCATTTTTTCCGAGCCTGAATAACCCCATTACTCTTGAAACTTTTAGAAACTACTGATTATCAAAAGGTAGTTTTATCTCTAATTTCTTAGAACGATTGTTTTATCCATAATTCTTTTATATATCGCTCTATTGGGCGGGGCGCACTTGCGCCAGAGAATTGCGAGTCAGTAATGATTTTCTTGGCGTACTAGGCGCCGGCGATGACGCCGAAGTTGAGCCGAATTGTCGCCTTTTCGATTTTGTGTCTCTCTCGAATTCGAAAAATGCGCCTGTGGCGAAGTGGAGCCGAATTGTCGCCGAGCGACGCCGCCGGCGCCGTTTCGGTTTTTGGAGCCGAATTGACGCTTTTTTTTGCCTGAGCATAGATTTTTTAATAATCTTTTTTGCGGCCCACAAAAATGACATAACTTTTAAGATCAAATGGATAAGAAAAATGAGCAGCATTCTAGACAAAAGTTTATCGAGGAGCAACTCGCGGCACTTAGACAGGTGCCCTAAACCGCATTTTTTCAACATTACAACATTTTAGGAAGAGAAGGCTTTGAACGACGTGCGACTGACTCTCCTGAATCAGCGCTGGCAAGTTCAATCGGAAAACGAACAAATAAAAAAAATGAGTCTCCAACCACGAAAGGAGCAACATCAGAAGCAATAACCAATTCAATAACACCCCATTTATTGATATTTTTTATTGAATTCTGTTGAGTTTTCATAAAATTGTACATTTGTGCAACGTATCGTTAGGCACTTGTTGTCAATGGAGCGCCCTTACTCCAGCACATATATTTGCTCGTCGGCTGTTCGGCAGTCGGCACTGACCACCATTCTCAGGCTTTTACGAATAATTTCCGTGCGAAATTTAACTTTTTTGTCAATACTTTCTCAAAGTATCGATTAATCCGTAAAGTTCAGCGTTTCAGCGGTCATTATGATTCTCAGGGGAAGGTTTGATTTTTTAATTTTTCTGAAAATAAACAATCAAAGCAGAACTTTGGGACCGGTTCTCGCTTCTGCGTTTCCGCGCCGCTGTTGTCTCAAAAATTCTATGCGCACAGGCCGCGCCTCCAATGCCCGCGGCTATGACAGAAATACCGGAGGAAACGGCCTTGTTCCCGCCGATGTACTCCATCAATCTGTCGATCCTGTTGTTTTCTACACTATTTCGTATGTGTTCATAGAGACCTTTTTCTATGCTTGAAACTCCATGAACGCTGGGAAATGTTTCTAGCGTGACGTTTCTTTACGTGACCACCGTTTTTTTTTGCACATTTTCTCTGCTCTCAATTTACAATCTAGAATTCATAAGATCCCTATCGATTTCCAGATGAGGGAACCTTTATTGTTAGTGGTATTAGCGTTGCTCATAATGCTTGCCGGCTCCCAATTCGAAACTGGTCGCCTCTGTTTCTGTAAAAGCGATGAGGCTGTGGAGCCGTGTGATTGTCGTGAACCAAAAAATATTGATATCCTTAATAAATTGATTCACGAAAAGTTGCAAAAGCTTCTCAAGAAGGATTTCTTCCGGTTTTACAAGGTAATATTCTTCAAATATTATTAGTTTAACGTTTTGCGAGTTTCAGGTCAACCTTGATAAAACATGCCCTTTCTGGGCAGATGATCGTCAATGCGGCACTAGTCAATGCGGAATTGCATTCTGTGATGACGAAGTGCCAGCCGGTCTGCGAAAACGAAATATCATCAACATGGTACGGAGACGAGTGAAAGATCAGAATCATAATGACCGCTGGAACGACACCACGAGGATCTCCCTTGTTCAGGAAGAAGAGTCAGGAGAAACAGCTCTCGAAGAATGCACAGATGCAGGCAACAAAATCGACCCAATGGATCGGACGCTTCATGATTATGAGAAACGACAGTTGGATGCCATGGATCATCATGACGATGGGCTCGAAGACAAGTTCTGTGAGATTGAAGGTACTTTGTCCTTTTCAATTAAAAATACGAAGCGTTTTTCTGCACTCAATATTTCTTTCGTTTGGTCACCTGCTTCACATTCGTTTATTTGATTCCACTAGTGTCATTCAATTCCTAGGAATAGAATGACCGTTATTGTTTGTAAACATTGAATGGCAATGCAGACTATTTTATTTTCATGGCCAGGGACCCAAATAACATTTTCAGACGACGACTCAAGTGAGATGCACTACGTGGATCTGTCGAAAAATCCTGAAAGGTACACAGGATATGCAGGAAAGTCGCCACAGCGAGTTTGGAAGTGTATCTATGAGGAAAATTGCTTCAAGTATCATTAGTAAAATAATTTTTTCTCACTCCAGATGTTTTTAGACCGGATCCGAAGTTCGATAAGAATTTCCTGACGAATCCTAGCAACTTTGGTTAGTTTTAAAGTTTTTCACATAATGTCCGAACTAGGCTGGTCGAACAGGCTCCTGAAAAAACAGGCGCAGGCGCCTGAAATCGCCTGTTCGACGAGCCTAGTCCGAAAATTTTGTAAAACCCAAATGGCTTCGTTCTAAAACATTCACGGCTAGAAGTAACATTAGCCTTATAACTTTACAACCTTCTAACATGGCCAACACCATATAACTTATTCAGAAGGTACGTTTGGCGTTGAATGCACGGCTGTAACAGACAGGGGACATTGAATATTGGTGAATCAGTTCATTTTTTACCGTGTGTAATGTCCATGTATGTCACAAATAGCAGAACTTACAAATTTTTTTCAGTCAAACTAACTTATTCCATCTGCTAGCATGCCCGTTTTTATTGCTTATCACACCCTTCCGACTGTTTTGGGGGCTTCCACTTTTTTCGCCCCGAGCTTTAAACTTTCTCTACATTTCCCACTGTCTTTTCCAGAAGGGCTTTTCATTATATCCGATTACGAGCTTCAAATTAAAAAAGAAAACAATACGTTTACAGGAATGTGCCTGGAGAAGCGTGTATTCTACAGGCTCATTTCCGGTTTGCACTCTGCCATCACAATTTCCATTGCTGCCTACAACTACAAACCTCGTAAGTCGATGAAAAAACATGCTTATACAAAATAGCCATCTCCAGCCCCAGCGAGTCTTGGCCAATTCGGCTCTCAGGTGCAAGGAACCTGGTTCAGAAATACAGAGATGTTTGTCGGTCGGTTTGGAACTAAATGGTCTTGGGAAGGACCACAGAGACTTCGAAATGTATACTTTGTCTACCTTCTCGAGCTCCGAGCTCTATTGAAAGCATCACCTTACCTTCAAAATGAATTGTTTTACACTGGAAACGAAAAGGAAGACGCAGAGACCAGGAAGGCGGTCGAGGAACTACTGGAGGAAATTCGTACCTACTCTGACCACTTTGATGAGTCCGAGATGTTCACCGGAGTTGAATCGCACGCTAGAGCGCTACGAGAAGAATTCCGATCACATTTCGTCAACATATCCAGAATCATGGATTGTGTTGAATGCGACAAGTGTAGATTGTGGGGAAAGGTAACCAAACTGTCACGACTAATACAATTAGAAGTTTTTACGGGAAAATTCAAGAAAAGCCCCCCAGATTATAAACAACCTTAGAAAAACCCCCCATCTGTACAAAAAAGGTGGGGGCTTTTTCCTGGGGCTATTGTTTAAGAACTAGGTATTCTTAAAGAAAAGTCCCCATCCCCCTCCTTTTCAGCAGAGGATATATTCAATATTAGTCCCCCACCATTCAAATACAGCCCCACACTTATTATAGGGGCACCGGACAGAAAGGGCGCGCTGTTCGCAATCTGGCCGAATTTCTAGTCCGCGAAGTAATTTTCCACTGAAAATGTGGCCTAACTTTTCAAACTCGGCCCCGAGGTCGCTCAATTTGCACTGCAAAAAGATTTTATCAACAGAGCGCCATTTCTGTGCGGTGCCCCTATAATAGAAAAGCCCCCCACTCGTGTGAAACATATTAAATATCGGCCCCCACCATTCAATAATAGCTCCCCACCATTCAATAATAGCCCCCCGTTTGAGATGATTTTATCAACAGAGCGCCATTTCTGTGCGGTTTGCTTTTCAGTGCAGCCTTTCAAAAATAACCTCTACTGAATTCATTTATACCACCCCACTTCATTCAATAACAGCCCCCGCCCCCCTGGTGGGGGTCTTTCTTAAGATGATATTAGGGAGCTTTTTTTCAATTAGGGGGGACTTTATTTGAATATACCCGTTTTTACTTCAGGTTCAAACGCACGGAATGGGAACCGCTCTGAAAATCTTGTTCTCCGACTTGCCCCACTCTCATTATAAACACGACTCGTCTAAATTCCAACTTACAAGGTAGCAGCGCACTGCGTGCTTAATGTAAAGATATTGGGATTTCAGAAATGAAGTAGTAGCTCTACTTCAAAGTTTCGGTCGATACTCGTCTAGTATTCTGGAGGTCGATAACTTCCGAAGAGACATTTATCCTGAAGAACTTTCGGATGTACAGACAGAACGAACAACAGAACAAGATGAACTTTAGTAATTTAAATAGGTTTTATTGCATGTTATCATTGTTCACTTCACGGCACACCAGCTGGTTTTTCTCTGTTTGCCGTTAGAAAATGTGTTTTGTTATGGGTCTTTTTCACTATTGGTTGTACATAATACCGTTTCTGGGTTATTATTATAATTTTTCTTTTTTAATCTCTGTTTAATAAATTTGATGCACTTGATCTCTCATGTCTAAACCGATACTGGAAACGGGAAGCATTACGATAATTATCGCGATAACTTAAAGTCAGGGGAATCGAGGGATAAACACTTCACAATTTTACGATTTCGAATTTAAATATTGATCAGTTCGAGCAGATCATGCTTAGTGAACATGCTGTACTATTCTAGAAGTCAGCCAAAAAGTTCACTCATGGGAAATATTACTCGTGCGCGTCCATGGGACTTTTTTCCTAATACTTTCCTAACTAAAGTAAAACATCGTTTTTCAAATCTCAACTTCACGTGACCTAACCCGGAAAAAAACTTCCGAACTTTCTTCATTTCCGAGTTCAATTGGTTGATATAAAAACAATTTTTTTTGGCATCTTCTGTCGTTTGAACGAATGAATATTATCCGATCTGTCAGATCTCGTCCCTTTTTAGCTATTATTATCTAAAATCCCTCCTAAGAGAAAGAGATGTTTTGTACGAGGGAGGGCGTCTTCTGTCCAAATTGCCATTTTTGGCCATCTTCTTCCTCTCTGATCAGTGCGCTCTCTCATCTCGGCGCGCGTTCCGCAAATGTTTGCTAAACGGCGACGCGGCGATTGCTGGCTGCAGGCTGACCTCGGCCACTTTGCGCACACATCGACACACAGTTCCATCCTGCCCACAGCTAGCTATCCATCCGTCCGACCAAAAACAGAACAAGTGTGCTCTTCCTGCCCTATGGGGTCTTGCATGGGCAAAGAAGATTCCGGAGGCGGCGGAGTAGCCACGTCATCTGTGAATGCCAACGTAGCCACGTCAACCCTTGGGCGGGACAGAGACTCACTGCCGTCACACCCACGAATATCATCCACATCCCTAACTCCCACATCCGGAATTGTGGATAAAAATCAGAATATATCGAGCACATCGAATGCGTTCGTGGCGCTGTTTCAGTACGATGCGAGAACTGATGATGATCTCAGCTTTAAGAAAGATGACGTGAGTAGAACGCTTTCAAACGATCCTTAATTTGAAAAAATAGTGTTTTCAACGATAAACTTGTCGAATATGTGATCTTTCAGATTCTCGAAATTCTGAATGACACACAAGGTGACTGGTGGTTTGCCCGACATAAAGCCACCGGACGTACTGGATACATCCCGTCGAACTATGTGGCCAGGGAAAAGAGCATCGAATCACAACCGTACGTTTTTCTATTCGCCATGAGTTCTGAACCTACACTAATCATGTGGCAGAGCGACCAAACTAATTTTTTCAGATGGTACTTTGGCAAACTGCGAAGGATTGAGGCTGAAAAGTGTCTTCTTCAGATTCTGAACGAACATGGTGCTTTCTTGGTACGCGATTCAGAGAGTCGACAGCATGATTTATCATTATCAGGTAAGCACTCTTATTGAATTCTTAATTTAGACTTCTACTTATTTTCAGTGCGAGAAAATGATAGTGTGAAGCACTACCGTATCCGGCAGCTCGACCACGGAGGTTATTTCATTGCTCGAAGACGTCCTTTCGCAACACTTCACGACCTTATTGCACATTATCAACGAGAAGCGGACGGTCTCTGCGTGAGTCTCGGAAAACCATGTGCAAAATCCGAAGCTCCGCAAACCACAACATTCACTTACGGTTAGTGTCTGATATTTGGCAGTTTGTCATTAAATCTTCAGACGACCAATGGGAAGTGGATCGACGATCCATCCGTCTTATTCGCCAAATCGGAGCTGGCCAGTTTGGAGAGGTAATAACCTAATTGATGTGGCGAAGAGAGGGCCTTGATGTTGGAGAAAAAGACAGACAGTATTTGTGTTAATGATTTCACGGAGAAGTTGACTCATCCCTTTCCGGCTTTGTTTTGATTATTGGAAATAGTTTTAAGCCAGCTAGAAATATGTAAACACTCCAAACTTTCTGTTGAATATGAGAAACTTGTTAGTCTATTAGAAATTATATTTCATCCACGCTAATTTCGCTGTTTTCCAACCAATTCGACAACACGAATTGAATTCGTTCTCCAGTAATTATTTTTTGTCAGAAACGTGTGGCAAAAACAGCAAAATTAGCACGAAAATCGATCTGACAGCCGAATCGGCAATTTTTCGAGGTGGAGGGGACGTGGCTTGGTAGTTACTGTTGACAACGGTGGTCCGCAAACACCATGACGTACGAAAAATACCGCGACAGTAGTATCTGTTAAAGTGGTGACAGTAAACACTTTGAGAGTCTCCTGATAGAACTGAAAACAATGTTCATATATTTTTCTGCTACTGTATGTTCTGCCAGAACTAGATCAGCGAGTGATCATCGTTGTTAACGATCTGTCCTGCGCCGTCAAAAATTCTTCCTTCCCTCCGAATGTTTGTGCTCTTGGCTGTGTGCTCTCTCCCTCCTTTTTCCCGAAAATTTTCCGTTTCAACACGAGGATCTATTTCATTCCGGTCATTTATCCGCTAAATGAGGCACCTATCTAGATTGACACATAAAACACAAAAACATATAATAAACATTCCAGGTGTGGGAGGGACGATGGAATGCGAATGTGCCAGTGGCAGTGAAAAAGTTGAAGGCGGGAACGGCGGATCCCACGGACTTTTTGACAGAAGCGCAGATTATGAAGAAGTTGAGGTATTATTGAAGCCTTCTCAAAAATATGTCCAAGTTCTCTTTTTTTACAGACATCCAAAATTACTGTCGCTGTATGCTGTTTGCACACGAGATGAACCAATTCTGATCGTGACTGAATTGATGCAAGAGAATCTTCTAACCTTCTTGCAAAGAAGAGGACGACAATGTCAGATGCCACAGTTGGTCGAAATTGCGGCTCAAGTGAGTTTCTTTCGTAAACAAGACTTTTAGACTTGGAACCGCTGCCTGGGCCTAGCTTACGCTCCGAATCAGCGGGTTTGCCGCATGTTTTAACGTTCCGTGATCATTTCTTCATTTCTTCCTTACAAGTATTCTGTTAGAAATGAAAAATGTAGTGATGGAAAAACCTAGAAAAAACATACAAACCCCCTCCCCTCAAGAGTTATATTAATAAGAAAGATGATAGAGTAACCCATAACCGACCTTTAATTCAAAACCTCAGGTCGCCGCTGGAATGGCATATCTGGAAGAAATGAACTTCATTCACCGAGATCTGGCGGCTAGAAACATTCTGATAAACAATTCACTCTCGGTGAAAATAGCTGATTTCGGTTTAGCTAGAATTCTAATGAAAGAAAACGAGTACGAAGCGAGAACGGGAGCGAGATTCCCAATAAAGTGGACAGCCCCAGAAGCAGCGAATTACAATAGATTCACCACCAAATCCGATGTCTGGAGCTTTGGAATTCTGCTTACAGAGATTGTAACGTTTGGACGGCTTCCTTATCCAGGTCAGTCTGATTTGCCCTATCCATCAAAATACATACCTTTCAGGCATGACGAACGCGGAAGTACTGCAGCAAGTAGACGCTGGCTACCGCATGCCGTGCCCTCCGAATTGTCCACAAGCCCTCTATGATATTATGCAACAGTGCTGGCGTAGTGATCCCGACAAACGACCCACTTTCGAGACGTTACAATGGAAACTGGAAGATTTATTCAATCTGGACTCGTCTGAATATAAGGAAGCCAGTGTGAACTTCTAACTCTTTTTGTCTTTTTTACGGGTTCCAATCGTTGTGTTTTCCAATCCCATTCTTTCTCCACTTCGCTCAAAGTCTCTCAAACTTCTTTAATACGCCTACCTGAGTTAATTTGTATTTAAAAAAATAAACATTACTGTTTATATGAGTGAGCAAAGAGATCAGTCTCAGAATATCCTGGTGAGTAATACGATCGCACTTCAAACAATTCTTATGATCAGCAAACATTATATGAACTGAACAAAAGAAGTTGAAGATGGAAATTGTTCAATCATGAGCAAACGTCGTATCCGTCAGAAGTCGTCGAACCTACAGAAGCCTGATTCCTGAATCGGCAGGCTCACAACTTTTCAACAAAACCTGAACTTTTGACTCAGTCCGTCACATTTTAGCTGCTTGTTCTTCAACCATCGGCTTGTCTCGGCTCTTCGTCTATTTAACAAGAGAATTAAAAACGTTTGTGCTCCTTTCCCTATCGCTCAAACAGTGAAAAAAGTGGAAAGAGAGCTACTAGCTTTTTCAAAAACGCTTGTTTTTTCTTGTTTTCTGATAAACATTGCTATACTATTCAGAACTGATTAGACCTTGTCGATGTGATCCATGAACGCAACACCTTCGCTAACACCAAATTCGAATATGCTTTACGAACAAGGAGAGACTCATGACGGACTCAGTGAGTTCGCCAAAAATACTCGGCTTTTTGTTGAGTTTATGATTGTTCAGCAGTCTGGTCACCGAGTCAAAGATACTCTCGAAGATCATCATACACTTGTAAGCGGATCTGCTTCCTATCTGTTTTCGCCATTCTCATTTTTTTCCTGGGAATGTCAGTCGGAGCATTCCTACATGCTTCCGTGCTTCCCGACAGTTTTTCGCCTCTCATCCGGATCCCGGCTTTCCTTCGGTCTTCATATGATAGAGAACTGAACACCACAATTGAAGAAATAAACGAAAATGAATTGAAAAACGAAGAACATGCTGATCTGGAATATCAGAAAACTTCAACGGAGGATGAGGATTCTGAGCGAGACGATCAAGTGGAAAGTTCTGAAAGTTCAAGTTCCGAGGAGAAAAAAAAGAAGACAAAGAGTAAGAAAAAGATTATAGAACGAGGCTCAGTGATCGAAAAGGAGAAGCCGACTGAAGCAGAAGAAAAAAAGAAAAGGAAAGACGAAGAAGAAGAAGAAAAAGGTTTTCTGGAATCCAACAGAGAAGTAATATAACATTGGGATATTCGAAATTACAGTGTTTTTACAGTGTTCTAACATCAGCTGGTTCTCTTCCCGGCTTCCTCTCGATGTGATTCCTACTGAATATGAGTTGACTTTACACCCTAATCTCTCTACTGGAGTCGTCAAAGCCGAAGTGATTATCAAAGCGGAAGTACGTTAATATGACTGTACAGTTAAGAAGTCTCACCCATTTCAGGTACGAAACCGAACCAGACTCCTTGTTCTGAATGCAGAAAACTTGAACCTGTTGAGTTTCCAAATAAAGAAGAATGATGTCAAACAGAAGGCTGAATTTGTAACGACTATTCTGCATTCTGAGTGATTCAATTGGATTTGTTCAGGTCAAGTGTGAAGTAATGACGCAATGGGCGTGGAAGCTGAAACATATGCTGCTCGAAGGGGATACGGTGGATATTTCTGTAAAGTATGAACTGGGAGTGAGTAACGTGTTATCAGAAGAGAAATAATATAACTGTTCAGATGAAACCAGATCTACAAGGATTATACTTGAGCACTCACGTTTCACCGGTCGGCGAAAAAACGTGAGCTCAGCACACGAACTGAAATTGTGACTGTGCTCATATTTAGAAGATCAGCTGCAACTCAGTTTGAACCTACATTTGCCCGAAAAATGTTGCCTTGTTTCGACGAACCCAATTTCAAAGCCACGTTTCAGGTGTCCATTATAAGGTATCTTGTGTGCTTTTCTAAACTAGAACAAGAATTCAATTGTTTAGAGATCCTAATCATGTGGCTAGAAGTAACATGAACTTATTGGTTTCAAAGGAGATCAATAATAGTCTAATCAAGGATGATTTTGAAAAGTCTGTGAAAATGTCCACATATTTGCTGGCTATTGCTGTTCTTGACGGATACGATTATGTGCGGCGTTTGACCAGAAATACGACCAGAGCCATCGAAGTACGTCTTTATGCTCCTAGTGATATGATTAAGGGACAATCTGAATTCGGACTTGACACTGCCATCCGAGCACTTGAATTCTTTGAACACTATTTCAATATCAGCTATCCACTGGACAAGATTGGTGATCATACAGTAACATTTCTAACTCAAACTAAAATTATCTAGACTTGCTTGCACTTGATGACTTTAGTGAAGGAGCAATGGAAAACTGGGGTCTGGTCACATTCAGAGACTCTGCTCTTCTTTTCAACGAGGAAAAGGCAAGTGCTTCAGCCAAAGAGCACATTGCTTTGATCATTTGTCACGAGATTGCCCACCAGTGGTTTGGAAACTTGGTGACAATGGACTGGTGGGATGAGATTTTCTTAAACGAAGGATTTGCTAATTATATGGAATACAAGTGTGTCGAAGAGTTGTTTCCGGATTGGCATATTGTATGTTCACCGGAATATCTCACTCGAATTACGTGCTCCTTTCAGATGACACGTTTCTACGCAGAAAACGTGGCTTTCAGTCAAGAGCCTGACGGATTTCTGAGTTCTCGAGCTATAGAATCAGACGATAAAGAAAGCTTATTGAATCTTTTCGATGCGATCAACTACCATAAGGCAGCTGCGATAATCCACATGGTAGCTGAAATGGTTGGACAACACAACTTCCAGAAAGCTTTGATTGAATACCTGAAAAAGTACGAGTACTCTAATGCAAAAGGAGTGGATTTGTGGACGATTGTTGGAAAGGTAAACGAGTTAGAGGTAATCTTACTTTGTCAAAACACAAAATGCATTTCAGCATGCTAATCTTCATGGTGTCGTCTCTATTCCCGAACTAGCTAGGGCTTACACTACACAAGTAGGATATCCATTGGTCAGTGTAGAAAGGAATGGCAATACCATCAAAATTCATAATCAAACCCGATTCCTTTTCGCTGAGGGCGACGACTTGGAAAAAGAAAGAGGGAATGCGAAGTGGCCGATTCCAATTAGCTACAAGTATTCGCTATTGAAATTAAAATCTAAAAATTGTTTAAATTCAGAGTCAAAGACGAAGCGAGTCCAAAGCTGCACTGGCTTCAGAAAGACGATGAGAATGGTTGGAGGGAGTTGGATCACTTTTACAAACATTATTTCAGTTGAATGGGAAACCACGTCAGATGAGTGGATGATCCTAAATACCGGAGGAATCGGTTACTTCAAAGTCATTTATGACGACGAAACTTATAGGAAACTGATCGAGCAATTCGCAAAAAATCATACTGTATAATAACTACGACACGGTACCAAAAGTACGATTAAACATTTTCAGCAAATTTCTCCGACTGACAGATCGATGATATTAGTGGATTCGTATGATATTGCTAGAACTTCTCTTCTGAACATTAGTGTTTACTTTGACCTTGTAGAATATGCGGACAGTATGTTTTCTCGATCAAAATGAATTTTCGAAGAAATCTATTCGTTTAGAAGAGGGAGATAAAATGGTATGGTCAATCATAAGTAAACAACTGCGGATCATTGAGTCGCTGATCGAAGATGCCGACTATATTGATTTGTTCAGAGATTTCCAGAGAACTCTCATCATGCGACTTTATGAAACTTTGAAATGGGATGAGAAAGGAGCAACGCCCAACCAGAAAAGAATGCAGGTATTCTAAAATTGCCAAACCATACACTTCACACATCACTTCTGTCTCCAACCGGGGAAAACTGCAGAGTTTGCCTGTATTAAAGACAGCAGGTACCACAAGAGATCGCGGGAAATGGAGATGTTTTCATTTGGGTAATATCGAAAAAGTTAAGATTGACGTCCTCGAGATGGCTTGTCGTCTGAGAATTAGAGACTGCACAAAACAAGCGTATCAGCGATACTTGATCTGGATCACAAACGGAACTCGGTTTGTCATCGACTCGACTCCTCGCATAAATACACTTTGTTCAGGAACCCGGAGCATCATTTGATTGCCCTAGCAGAAGGCATCAAGCAGGGTGGAACCACAGCCTGGCAACGCGTAAATTGAGACCATTATTCGCTCTTGGAATCAGTTGTTCTATTTTCAGATTTGGAGTTCTTACAGATCTGCAGTTAGTCCTTCAGAAAGGAATAATATCATTGGTGCTCTCACTTCGACCAGAGATGTTTCGCTTGTGAACAGGTTTTATTGAGATTGATTAAAATACAAATCTAGCGTTTAAAGAATTCTGAAATACTGTCTGGAAGGAAAAATCAAGCCGAACCTTATTCCACGTGTCTTCGCAGGCTTCGCACTGGATCAAGTTGGTCGAAACGCGGCATGGAAGTTTTTCAAGGATCACTACTCGCAGTTTCATTCATTGTTTGTTCTAAGCCTATGCGAAGAGAACATTGAACATGTAATTTCAGAATGGGAAAAGGCTCAACTTTGCTTGGCAGTTGTGTGAAATGCTTGGCTGAATCGCTTGGCACTGATAGAGAGCTGAATGAACTCAAAGAGTTCTTGCGGATCAAAAAGGTGATCACACGATCAAACCTACTAAACCTTTCGTTTTTTATCAGTTCGAATACGGCCAAATCAAAATGGAAATGACCTATGAGCAAATAAAACTGAACATTCAATGGCGGAAGTTGAACGAAGAGCAACTTGGAATTTGGATGAACAGCTGGGACGAGCGTAGGAGATCGTTGTACAGGAGGAAGAGGCACAGACACAATCATGAAACCTATCATCGTTTTTGAAAGTCATCTAGATTGATAAAGCTGCTTCTCTGATTTAAATGATAGTAATTTGAATCTTTGTCTTCTTAGTTCTTAGTTTTTTGTTTCGTATTCAGCAAGAAACACAGTATACAAGCGTGTGGTGTCCCGGGCCATTTGTCAAAATTTGATCGTTCGGAAAAAACTCGTATCGAAAAATACACAGAAAAAGGTGAACGAAATCGAGCAAAACAAACAACGGGCAAGACGCGAGGAGACAGCAAGAGCATCTCCTCTATTTGAGCATCCAACTGTTCTTTCTCTAATTTCACCTCATGATTTTTTGTGGGCTCCTTGTTTAGGTGTTTTGTGGTCAAACCTCATTCCCTCTCGGTAGACTAATTGCTCCACGATTTTGTTTGTTCCGTCAGTTGGTTCTACTTGAGTGGACTTTTCCACTCGGTCCGGAAAATTTTTAACTTGCCACTGTCACACAGTATCTGAACTGCAGGATTTCATCAAAAAACTTAGAATAATATTGACATTCGTCAATCCCTTTTTTACTGTTTTTTTATTCTTCTTGTTTGAAAAGGAGAATAACTTTTTGTTAACCTCAAAGAATCACACGAAATTAAAGTTGCATTTCTGTCTGTTGTCACAATTTTTCGCCAACAGACCAATATGGATCCCGGATTTATTTTCCGTTTCATTCCCAAATAAAAATTTCACTTTTTTGTGTCTCATTCAGTACAACAATTGTGCAAAATGTGGTTACGCCCCTGTACAAATGTGGTTGATAATACGTTCCACACCACACTTTTCGATTACCATAACCAGCCAACTTGCATAGATTTCCATCAACAACACAAAAAGGTGTTTGTCGAAAGACAGAAAAATGTGCTGATTTTATCGGTCGCCAGTCCAGTTTTCGCAGATTTCTCACTTCTAAATTTCTACCGTCTTTGTGTTTGGCCCACTTGTTAATTTCTTTCGGTTAGTTACATGGTCAAACGGTTATGTATGAAGAACAATCTCGGAATTCCATCTCATGTGGCGTTGTAAAGATAACGCGAAGGTGGCCGATCCCGACCTGACCATAAACAGAAATGGATGGGTGGATCCAGTTCTCGAAAATTGAAGCTCAGAAACAAACGCACATTACTTTTCTTAGAGGTGTTCTGTTCGAAAGCTCAGTTTTTGCGCTCTTGTACGCATCGCTTTGTTTGAACAACTTATTATCCGGCAGCTTACACTTCTAACCGTCGCGCTTTGTTTCATGCCTTCACACGATTCATGGCCAATCTCGAGTGACCAGAATTACCCATTGCGCCGGTTGCTTATTTTCTTGTACAAATCGATTTGTTGCGATGAGAATTGAAGTTTTCACTTTCTAATTAGTTTTCACTGCACTCTAATTTATTTGAATCCAGCTGAATAGTGACGCCAAAAACATGTTTTGTGTGCGTTTGCGCGTGGCCGTGTTCACGGACTGGTGGGACCAAATTTTGTGATTCAAATTTTTAAATTTATCTCACTTCACTCTCTAATTTCTCTGTTCTTCTGTCAATCTCTCGTCAACTTATGACGAATGCGTCAAAAGGATTCCTGTTTTAGAATGACGGTTGCGGGAGGAGAGAAAGGGAGCGACGTCGCCGTCATCGCACGCATACTATTATGAATAAATCGCATCGTAAACCGTTTGCGCGTTTCGTTTCCGATTACACGAAGACTTTCTCCCACATCTCTCTCCGACACATTTTTATGATTCTATTATATGTACATGTTTTTATCTCTCAGACTTGTGGCATTGTACTTGTCAGGTGTATCTAATTACAAAACGCTATTTTCTACTCGCACCTTTTTCTTTCTACCTCTTCTATTTCGAGCTGTTTTTCTTTCACTTCATCATGTTGCAGATGGCGGACGCTTACCAACCGCAGTCCAATGGAGACTCTCAGTCGAAGCCACTCTTGGAATTGTATGTCAAAGCATCTGGAATAGATGCCAGACGTATTGGAGCCGATTTGTTCTGTCAGGAATTTTGGATGGAGTTGTATGCTCTCTACGAGATTGGAGTTGCTAGAGTTGAGGTCAAAACGGTGAATGTGAATTCAGAAGCGTTCAAGAAAAATTTCTTGGGAGCTCAGCCACCGATCATGATTGAAGAAGAAAAGGAAGTCACTTACACTGACAACCGAGAAATCGAAGGAAGAATCTTCCATCTTGCCAAGGAATTCAACGTTCCTCTCTTCGAGAAGGATCCGTCTGTTGAGAAAAGAATAGAGAATCTGTACAGAGTGAGTTGAAGGATAGAATCTTATGGGGCTATTCAGCGTATGTTTGTTTTCCGTTTTTTTTTCGTTTTTTTACGTCAAAAAATCCAATTCAGCGATGTAAAAAAACGAAAAAAACGGAAAACAAACATACGCTGAATAGCCCCATTAGAAATTATGCATAACTATTGCGTTTTCAGAACTTCAAGCTTTTCCTCAGAGCCAAAGTGGAGTTCGACAAAGGAAAGAAGGTGCCTTCCGCAGTGGAAGAGTTGCCACCACAGATCAAAGTTCATTACAACCGCGTGTGTGAACAACTTTCGAACATTGACCAGGTTTGCCATTGATTTCATAAAGCAGGTGATTTCGAATTGAAATTTCAGTTGCTTGCTGAGCGGAAGTCCCGCTATCTGCTGGGTAATAGCATGACAGAGTACGATTGCGAACTTATGCCACGGCTCCATCACATCCGCATTATTGGGCTGTCACTTCTTGGATTTGATATCCCTCACAATTTCACTCACTTGTGGAATTACGTTCTAACCGCTTATCGGACTGCTGCATTCATCGAGAGCTGCCCCGCTGATCAAGATATCATTCATCATTACAAAGTGATAATACTTTCAAAACATGATGAAAATTAACTGAATAAATTTCAGGAGCAATTGAGTTTGTTCACAAATCAGCGTGAGACTCTTCAATCGCCGACGAAGACCCACACGATCCCGGAAAAGGTTCTTTCCGATATCCGTATCAAAGGGCTCGCACCAGACGTAAATGTGCACTAAGTGCGTCTATCTGCTCGTCTATTTCTCCCATCCACACCGCTCTCTCACGTTATCATTCATTTGCGTTCTCTTATGTTTTCATTCCGGCTTCGCTATCTTCTAATTCTCTTTAGAACAATTGTTCATAATAATTAACGTATAATTGTGTAATCACTGATGTGAAAAAACCGTTTTGCTCAATCCCAAGTTTGACGCAGAATTGCAAAGAAACATCCGTTTTGAGTTATCTTGCCATTCGAATTATTATCCTGTTGAATGAAGACAACCTGACAATTTTTGGGGATTATCTTACTAACACAGGGTTTATTTTAACCGTCATGAATATTTCACTGCAACCGCAAGGACCTCTTTAAAAACAAGCAATTTGAGAATGGCTCCACCGCGAAGAAAATCAAGGCGATATACCGATTCTGGTCAATTACTAGAGGAAATTAAAACGGAGAAAATAGTAAAAGAAGAATCAGAAGACGAAGAAGAGTTTCAGTTTTCTTTCTGTGAAGAAAGTATGACAGCCAAACAATGCGCCGAAAAAATGAAAAGTTTCAAGGTGAATATTATTAATGGCTAACGTCTGAATGTGAACATTTTCAGTCGAAAGAAGAGTATATGACTGCAATTCCATCAGAAGAAATTCAGCGATTTACTTCGAAAGCGATTCTCGGTCGTAAAGGGCATCCTCTGAAGTGCTTTAACTGTGAACGAGTGTATGCCTCTGCTACCGGATTCCTCTCTCATTTACGGAAATGCGATGTTAGTTCAAATCGAACTTGACTGAACTTTTTAGTTTATTACAATCTCAGATCAAAACGACTGAAGAAATTGATGCCGATGCGCTGATGTATCGTGCGACACCGAGTTCTTGGTTGAAAATAGAAAAGAAGGACCAAAAGGCCGTTTTAGAGAAAATCGTTGGAAAAAACTATGAATGCTTCTCACCGGGATGCTCAAAGAAGTGCACTTCTCTGCAATCTTTGATTGATCATCTAGACACGTGTGTGAAACCTCTCTACTTTTCGTTAAGTGCCCAAGAATTCCGAAGCTTAGACAAGAAGGAAAAGTCTAGAGCTGTTCGAGATGGACTGAAACTGGGATCACTACCATGTCTCGTTTGCGGTCGACTGTATTCGCATCACTTCGGTCTCATATATCACGTGGAAAGATGCCAACTAAAAGCATCGGTAAATAGAAAGCTCACTATTGCAAAAAGTTAATTTTTTCCAGGAGCAGCCATGGAAATGTTGGCGCTGCGGATTCGAGGCAAAAGCAATTGATAAAAGCGCGCATTTAGCAGAGTGTACGAGAGTTGCTGCAGAAGCTGTGGAAAAGAAGGTGGAATCATTGTTGCTGGAACCAAGACTGGAAGAAGAGCAGCCGAGCGCGAAACGGAGGAGGCAAAATGGAGCTCCAAGGGCAACTTCGAGAAAAGACGGATCTATTCTATATCGATATCGTAAATCCACAGTAACCAGGGAATTCAACGGATTAGTCACTATTCGTGATCAGCAAAAGTATGAACAAGCTTGCTCTTCAGTTTACGATAGTTGGAAAGACGCGTCAGCAGAAGTCGCATTCTGTGATCGTTTGGCTCAAATTCAAAAGTCAGAATTGGAAACTACAGCTCTAGAAGAAGCGAATCAGTTTCATGGAATCCTCACACGACAATCAGTCACTCTGCTCTCTCGCAAACTAGAAGGATTACAAGAAAGCGTTCCATCCGGAGTCAGGGTCAATGCTCGAGAAAGTACGACGATTAGCAATGATCAAAATGTGAAAACGACGGTTGCTTTCTGTGGAGCGCCGATAAATGCAGTGAAAGTAGCGCCGGGGCAGACGCTGAATGGTGATGACGTCATTTGCGTGTCAACTTTTGCCAACGAAACTAACCTGGAATCCGACTCCAGTCTTGTTCAGTTTTGGAGACATCGAGTCGACAAAAACAGAAGCGAATTGGAATTGTGGTTTCTACTTTATCTTCCCAATCGTGGAACAGTCTTATCCATGACCTGGCTTCAAAAATACTCTGCACCTGAAGAAGGTCTCATCGGCTTTGCTGCTTTCTCAACTACCCGCGGAGAGGTTCTGATCTACAGAATCGATTCACCTAGTGTCACTCCGAAATCCAATGGATTGCAAGTAGTTGTTCTGGAGCCGCACCTAATTCTGAAGCTTCAAAAAAGAAACGATAAGCAACAACACACCAATCTAAAATCTACGATTAAAACTGAAGGAGATAGCGACGAACCCGCGTTGCCTGAAATTGACGAATCTGTTGTTCCCATTATCAAAATCAGCTGGTGTGCTCAGGACGGAGGAAAAAGTCTTGTTGGCATCAGTGCACTCGGCGAAGTCATTTTGTGGGATTTGAACGGGGATCTGGAGAATCCAGTGCACAAAGTTGACGAGGAATGGCAGTCTCCTCCATCAGATATCGCTTTCCTGAATTCCAAACACATTGTCGTGAGCTTTCGAGAGAAATTGATCAAAGTGCTGAATTTAGACGATTGGGGAGTTAAGTTGGAAGAAAACACCATGAAGACTGCAGGTTTGATTCGACAAATTTCGTTTTGAATTGAATCTCAAGGCTTTCAATTTTAGGTTCACGTGTTCACACTGATGCGAGAATTGTGAGTAGCTTCTTCACATTTCAAAGCGAATACACGGGCTTCCCATACCCTAATGCTACCAGTGTCGCCTATATTAACATGGAAGTCGACTCACCATTTCTAGTCCTGATACCCACTGGAAATACGTAAGTTCTCTAGTTTCCTAAATATAAAACCTAATCACAAAAAATGCTTCCCGGTTTACCAAACGGTCACGTGGGAATACAACGCTTTTTGAAATTACCCAAAAAAAACCTGTCCACTTTAGGCATCAGCTAATGACGTGGGATGTTGCGATAAATCCTGCGACAGGAACATTGATGTCTTCGGGAGTTGACGGCAGACTTTTTGCCTCTGCGAGTGGACGACTGCTGAAAGAAGGAAAGCTGCCTTTCTTCGCTAATCGAAGTTTGATGACGTTGAAGAAGAGATACGTGCACAATGATCCCAAAACGGTTGCAGAATTATTGAACTCCGTTAAGACCGAAGAAGTATCTTGAAATAGGAGAACTCCAAACTGATTCAACCCATTTTCAGAATGCGTCAGAATCCTCGAAACTGAACGAAAAGAGAAAAGAGCCGTTAGAGGAAAGTATTTTGATGCATGACGATGTCTGCAAAAAGATGTGGCTTGAGGTCGTATTTGATGAGCCATTCGAGCCCGGACGTCCAGAGTTGTCATGCCGAGATCAGCGCATCGAGTCCCTGAACTGCGTGGATACAAACACGAACAAGAAGTTTCCAGTTGCTTTTGTTGGCGGCGAGGCTGGCTTATTGTTCGCGGTTTCGAGCAACCTAATCATTCAAGAATTGGATCTTTAATTGAAAGCTTTTAATTTGTTGATTTTACCTTTTACGTTACACTTTGCTCTTATAAACGTATCTGCTTCTATTACGTTCTGATAGTGGTCCAGTTTGGAGGCCCTGGTTCCCCATCTGATTTTTATTTCTCACGTTGAAAATGAATCGGCTATTTTCTCGTTTTTTCACACTCCTGACGTGGTACCCGCGAAATGTTTCCGACACTTTCATTCCGCGCCAAGTGCAAATAGTAATGCATGTGCGCTCTGTCGCAGCTAACGAGAAATTGGAGGCTTTGAGAGACTTCTCAGCCGATGTATCACACTTTCAGGCTGATCGTGAACAATGTTCGCATGCTGGGTACTAATCAGAAGTAAGAGTACGTATGTCACTTCGCCTATTTTCTATGCAAATGCAGGTTTTCATTTCACGTTTGAACTATGTTTCGCAATATTACATGTTCTCAGATCCGCACATCGGCCACGCCTACACTGCCGTTCTATGCGATACAGCACATCGATGGAATCAGCTGAAAAATCCAAGCTCTTCTGCTTTTTTCTCAATCGGAACGGATGAACATGGAAGTAAGGTACTTTTGGCTGAAAAACAGTAACTTATTCACAAAATTGAAGATTTTCCGCGCTTCCCAAAAAGCAAACAAGTCACCGCAGGAGTTTTGTGATCAAGTTTCGTCAAAGTTTTCCAATTTATTCGATAAGTTAAATATTTCTCATACGAATTTCATCAGAACCACTGACTTGGCGCATAAAGAAGCTGTGCAACAGTTTTGGGTGAGAATGTCGTCTCTTTGATGAAAAGAATGTTCAATTATCAGATGAAACTTTATGACAAAGGCTTCATTTACAAAAGCACGTATTCCGGATATTATAGTATCACCGACGAATGCTTCGTTCCGGATACTGATGTAGAACTGAAGAACATGGATGGAAATGAAGTTCATGTTGGTTTTACTCGTGTAGTTTTTGTAACAAATACAATTACAGGTCATGAAAAAGACAGCAACTCCAGTCGAATACATCGAGGAAGAAAATTACATGTTTCGGCTGTCCCAATTTCGCGATGGTGTGAGAGAATGGATAGAGAACAAGAATGTCGTTAAACCAACAAAATACACATCTCTCGCTCTTGACAGTTTGGAAATGCAGGACGATCTGTCAGTTTCAAGAACTAGAAGCAGACTGTCGTGGGGTATTCCAGTGCCAAATGATGAATCCCAAACTGTAATATAGCTAAAATAAACGACATGATAGTACGATGTTTTCAGATCTACGTCTGGCTGGATGCACTCGTCAATTATTTGACTGTCTCCGGATACCCAAAGGAACAATCTGTGTGGCCGCCTACGTGTCAAGTAATTGGAAAAGACATCATAAAGTAAATCAAAATTAATCGACCAACTGTTCAAACAACATTCCAGGTTTCATTTGTATTACTGGCCTGCATTCCTGATGGCTGCTGGTTTTCCTCTCCCGGAAAAGATCTTTATTCACGGTCATTGGCTCGTTGACAATGTGAAAATGTCGAAAAGCTTGGGGAATGTGATTGATCCGAACGAGGCAATAGAAAATCTTACTTCGGAAGGTCTTCGTTATTTTCTACTGAAACAAGGAAATCCCAGTTACGATTGTAGTAAGTTACAATACAATTGCCGAAATTAAAGAGTGTTGTTCCAGGTTTCAATTGGAATAGCTGTCTGGAGACTATAAACAGTGATATCGTCAACAACGTGGGAAATCTTCTGAACAGAAGCACAGTGGCGAAAATCAACAAAGACATAGGATATCCAAAGATGTCGTTAGAAGACATGGACACAGAAGTGAAACATAATGCGGAGAGACTCATCGGAATGCTTCAAGAAGCAAATGGTTCCACTAAAACTTCCAATTGGATCACAAATGAGTTTTGCAGAAATCTGCGTGGAACTCTACGAAAGTATGTACTACTACAAGGTCATCGAGCATCTCATGCTGATCATGAAAGAAGCGAACCGAGTTTTCCAACTCAGTCAGCCCTGGAAAGAAAAAGATGAGCAGAAGCTGAAAAGTGTCCTCTTCGTCACGTACGAATCACTGCGGATTATTTCCATTCTTTTGCGACCAGTGACTCCCACACTGTCAGCATTCTGCTTAGATAGGTAAAAATATACTTAATTTGTAAAATTGTCATTAACCAATTCACAGGTTAGGAATAGAAAAAAATCAACGAGGCATCAGTAACACGCCACTTGGCTGCTTCTCAGGTGGAAATCTTGGTCGAGATCAAGGCGTTTTCATAGATAGAATTCAGAAATAATGTTCTCAACGGCTGTAGAAATTTCTTGACTTCCTTTTTATTGTTTCCATGTTTTTGTTTTTGTTTTTGAAAAACTGTTTCTTACTACAACGTCGCTCGCTTTATTTTTGATTTTGTTTATTTCAATACTGCATATCTACAAGTTGTGTTTTCTAAAACACATTCCTCAATTTATAAATTGTTCAGAACTCTGGGAAATAATGAGTGCTGATGCTCCGAAAGTTGAGGAATGTTCCGAAGAAGTGCTGCGGCGAAGAGAACTTATTCTGCGCAATCTGCAGGTATCCTGCTCATTCTGTTTAATCTTTTATCGATGTTTCAGGAGTCGCTCGGAGTCGACAAACTGACGAAGCAGCTCTCAACTGATGGAAAAGTTCCTCATTTGTACTGGGGAACTGCGACTACCGGAAAGCCTCATGTGGGATACCTCGTGCCGATGCGCAAAATTGCCGATTTCCTCCAAGCTGGGCTCAACGTGACCATTCTGTTTGCTGATCTCCATGCTTTTCTGGATAACATGAAAAGCACGTGGGAACTTCTGGAAAATCGTGTGATCTACTACCAATGTGTTATCAAAGCATTGCTGCAGTCATTGGATGTCCCGATCGACAGACTGCATTTCGTCAAAGGAACAGAATACCAACTATCTAGAGCTTACACTGATGATGTTCTTCGTTTGAGTGCTCAAGTTTCGCAACGTGATGCTCTGAAAGCTGGAGCTGAGGTGGTCAAACAAGTCGCTTCTCCACTCCTTTCCGGTCTTCTTTACCCTCTCCTACAAGCACTCGACGAACAGTATTTGAAAGTTGACGGACAGTTCGGCGGAGTTGATCAACGGAAAATCTTTATCTTGGCCGAAGAGCAGCTGCCAAAGCTGAAACTCGGAAAACGATGGCATCTGATGAATCCAATGGTTCCAGGGTTGACTGGAACCAAAATGAGCAGCTCTGAGGAAGATTCAAAGATAGACGTTCTCGACGATCCAGCAAAGGTTTTGGCGAAGATCGAAGGAGCAGCCTGCTCACGGAACGAACCAGACAATGGAGTTCTTGCTTTCTACAACTTTGTCCTCTTTCCCATCGTCTCGCCAGATGCCATTGAAATCTCGAATCAAGAGTTCTTTAATTTTGAATCTCTGTTGGCCGCGTTCTTGGAGGGAAAACTCGACGCTGAAGCCTTGAAGAAGTATCTGGGAGAATTCCTCGGATCTCTTCTGAACAAAGTGCGTACGCGTTGTGATACTGACGAAGTGAAGAGCGCCATTCAAAAAGGATATCATGTGACTGCCAGCTCCGAATCGGCCACCGAGACCGTCTCAAAAGTTCTTCCGACACTGAACAGCGAGCAAAAGTCGTGGAAGGAGTTCCTTATCCGAGGAAACGATATTTTCAATGACGAAAATCTAGACGAGACGCTCGCCAACGTTTCAACAGACAAACCTCTTCGTGTGGCTTTTGTAGCTCACGCGAAAGGAAAGTTTCATCTCGGTTTCGTAGCGCCACTTCTTAGAATTAAAAAGCTGGTGGAGGATGGGGTTCCAATCACTGCCATAGTTTTGGTGTCAGATATTGAAGCCTATTTGGATAATGAGAAAGTCTCCTGGGGAGCAATTGAAGCGAGAGCGATCTACTGCAGAGAAGTGTTCACTTCGCTCATCAGGGAACTGAAATTGGAGACTGTCGTTGCAGTCAGCATTGCAGCGGAAATCGACGGATACTTCTCAAGGTGCTTGTAATTTCTACAGTTTATTGAATGTCTGTTGTATTTCAGTGACTACGTGCTAGATTTTTACAAAATGGCGTCGGCAGTTACTCGCGATGAGACCACCATTTGTGAAGGAACTGCTCTTTCTGGAAATCTCGTCCCTCTTCTCTACACTCTGAACACTCGCCTTGTCTCTCCAGATGTAGTCATAATAGGAAGTGATGCCACAAATTATGCGACTCTTTCCGCAAAACTTCTTCGCTTCTTGGGACAGCGCCCTGTTGCTCACCTATCTGTTCCCACTATTCCCGGATGCAATGGATCGAAGATGAGCTGCTCGAGTCCCGATTTCTTGTTAGATCCGCTAGACACTGCGAAGCAAACGAAAACGAAGATTGCTAGGTGGGACTGGTCTTTTAATAAATAATTTCAAAACGTATTTCTTTTCAGAAGCTTCTGTGAGCCCGGAAACTTGGATGGAAATGTTACAATGATGCTGGCGGAGCAGGTCATCTTCCCCCTTCTGAGCGGATCCTCTTTCAACATTTATCGTGCTGCTGACAATGGTGGAGACGTTGCTGTGAACAACTACCAGGAATTGGAACATGAATTCGTGACCGGATCCAACCCTGATTTCCCGCTTCATCCTGGAGATTTGAAGAACGCCGTTGTGAACATTGTGAATGGGTATGACATACTTTAAAACGCTACTTTTCAAATTTGCTATTTTCAGACTTTTCGATGGAATTCGCAAAGATTTCGTTGACAAAGCTCGACTGAAGATAGTCGCTGATGCATTTTCCACATCGAAGGGAAAGAAAAAGTAAAACATGCCAGGATTATTAATGTTTTTTTGTTGATTTCTAAGTATATCAAGTCTTTATTTATTTATGCCTATTGTGTTTTTATAATTGAGGTGTCCAGCTTTGTACGAATGAACTTTTTTCTGAACTAAGAAGCCGCGTCCAAGAAGAACAGTCTATTACACAGTCGACAGCTGTTATTATAGGGGCACCGGACAGAAAGGGCGCCCCCTTCATAGGCCCATCGCGAACGGTGCGCCCCACTGCCTACAATGCGTTCATCGGCGAACTTTTTCTTCGTGATAGGCATATTATAGGCCTGTCACAGGTCCACGTTCTCAATAGACCGATCGCGAATCACCTGTGCTGGAACTTCAATTAAATCTTATTAGATTGCGAAATAGAGTCTTTTCTTATTATATTGCAAACTCTTATAATTACTCAGGCAAATCGTTTGTAATCTAGTTAGGAGGTTTCGTAATCTAAACCGAGTTCCGAATCTAGCCACCTTTTGTCACGGACTCTGCTATTGATGAGAAAAGTTCCATTGCTGCATGCCAGGTCGCTGCAAAGCTGCGCGCGGCAGTTGCAAAAAGGGGCGGAGCGCGGTGCGACTTCGAAATAGACTTTGTCCGCGTTTGCACCTGTTACCGGGAAAAATCTGTCAAACAGGGAAATCGCAAAATTTATAACATCTTCCATCTCTGCAGCTAATTCAGGTGAACAACACGAAAAAAACAGCAAAAAATTGAAAATCCCGGTAACAGGTACAAGCGGATGTATTGCAACTGCTGTATTTCGAAACAGTTCTATTTCGGAACATTTGTGTTTCGGAACACATGTATTTCGAGTCGAAGTCTATTCCGTGCTGCTGATTTCCGAAACAAGTCCCATTTCGAAGAACGTTTATTTCGAGACAGTCTATTTCGAAGTCGCACCACGACTTTTCGTAGATGTTTTTTGTATTCAGTTATTCCTCGCTAGAGTTCGAATTCTCTGCGTTCTTTCTGAAGAATTACCCTAAAATTTTTTTTGTTGCAAACCATATTCATTGCCCGATTCCCACTATTTTTATATTTCCAGGTAAAAAATGACGGATATTGAATCGGAAGTCGACTACGGAGATGCTGACAAGTACATCAACGACGAGTCTATCGAGATGGCGTGGGCCATCAAAGCTGGAGAGCGCTCCGAAGTGCACATGAATCTCATAATGCGTTGTGACACAAAGATTCTGCGGCTCAACAAACATCAAGACCAGATTTTGACCGCATTCCGCAAAGAGTTCCCTGACTTGAACGTTGAAGAAGTCACCCCCTCCGATTTGAAAGACAATGGTGCCAAAGAGAAATGGAGGGTTTTTTGTGAGCAGTTCAAAGAGGTTTTTTTTTGAAATTTGTATCCTCTTGTTACCACAAAATAAAAATTTGCAGACTGTGGACGACTATTCAATGGGAACACTGATGAGAATACACGCTTCGAAGGCCTACAGTCCTGATAATACGGTTGTCGTCCCAAGAGTGAGTTTGGGCGAGCGAAAAAACTCCACAGGTGATTCGTGGTGGGTCTATTGAGAACTCAGAGCGAGTTCTTCAATAGACGCATGATGGACCGATCACGAAAATTTCATGTTTAGTGGACCTATCGCGAGAACTTTTCAGGGTAAATAGGCCTATGATATATATTTATCATATGCGAATTCGAAAATTTTCGCGATAGACGTATTGTAGGCAATTTTTCTTCGCGATTGGTTCATGATAGGCATATCATTGGCCTACGTTCTCAATTGACCTATCGCGAATCACCTGTGTCGTTGCAGTAATTGTCGTTCAGATAATCTATTTGGCTGTCGAGATGGCTCGCAACGTGGAGGGAATCAACGAGAGAAACAAGGGTGCTTACATCGCTCATCGTGAAACTCTTCAATCTCTCTGATTCCTCATTTTCATCGCATTCATTCACATTTCCTTGTTTTCCGTGTTTTCCAGTTTGTGTTCTCCATTTACTGTTTCTTTTTGTCGTAGAAATAAACTTTCCAATGCTGTTCCATCTTTTTCACAGATATTAAGGCGAAGTGTCAATTTGAAATATCACTCTTATTTGAATAAAAATATGCATGCCATTTAAAATTTTGCTTATCCTATTTCCAGATGTCACTTTTCGGATCATCCACCACGAGTACTCCCCTTTTCGGCACCACCACGTCAACAGCCGCTAAACCTTTGTTCGGATCGACTCCGGCCACCACCACAATTGCGGCCACGGCACCAAAACCAGGCGGTCTTTTCGGATATACTGCTCCCGCGACGTCAGCGACTGTTCCATTGTTCGGCTCTATGACAACTACCACTACATCTGCCACTCCATCGTAAAATACACATTTTAAAAGTTTTTCAGTTACGAAAATTATTTTCAGGCTCGGAGGAGGATTGTTCGGCGCGACCTCTACTGCTGGCACAACTTCCACTACGGCGTTCGGAAGTGCAGCTACCCCAGCCACTCCATCCCGTAAGTTTATTTTTCAGTCCAGCAACATACAATATTCTGTTTTCAGTTGGTCTCGGAGGTGTTCAGCAGAACAAGAATGTGACGGATGCATCCGGATCGACTGTCAATTCTCTCACGGGAGGTGACAAGGACACTTCGAAAGATGCCGAACTTCAAGCTGCCAATTTCATCCGCGAAATGCTCCCATTGATTGAAGACAAACTGAAAAAGAATCGCGACATGATGGAAGAAGTGGAGAACATGCCAGTCGACAACCTATCAGTTGATGAAATGATTGACAAGACTCGCGGATGGATAAATGAAATCCGCCGGAATGTGGGAAGTGCCACGGAGACCTCGCATTACTTGGCACAGTTTGTTTCTCAAGACAAGGCTCTTCTGGAAACTGCCAGACGTGGCCAGGAACAAGCTGCGACAGCCAATCAGACCGCTCACGCACAAAGCATCAAGAAGTTAGCGTATTTAGTGAAAATTTCAACTATTCCACTTTTTCAGACACTTGGCCGATCGGACCAACGTATACGACCTGGAAATGCGTGAATTGCAAGCTCGTGTTAACCATCTGATGGTCCGTTTCGAAAAGCTTCTGAAAGGAGAGGCCTCGCTCACAATGTCCGAGCTTGACGAATACTTTCATCGCAGTGATCGAATGATTACCGGCGCGAAAGATCAGATACTCGAGCTCGGGAGAGAGATCGAGCAGATCAAGAACTTGCTGATTGAACAAGGTTACACTCATCTTCGAAGAAACTATCCGACGTACTCTGTCAATGCACATACCGCAAACGAAGGAGCAGTGTTTTTCCCTTCACAGTCAAGTCTCGCAATCATTGGAAGTTCGTTGAGAGCTCCAGCAGCCGCGGTGCCTGCAACTCGCACGCTGGGATTAGGCGGTGGATCCAGCTTGTTCGGATCAAACACAGGTCGTTCTCTTTATTTAAGAAGTTACAAATAAAATTCAATTTTTCAGGCGGTTCATCGCTTTTCGGAACAACGACGGCGCCGAAACCAGCATTTACCGGAGGGTCATTGTTCGGCAACTTGAGCACAACTCCAGCTACTTCAACCACAACCACAGCCGCATCTACTTCACTGTTTGGATCCCGTCCAGCCACAACTTTCGCTTCTACAGTCAACAATAACTCCAGTGGAACTCTGTTCACATCTAAGAAATAAAAGGGACTGACCGTTCAAAAAAGTCAAATGATCTGAAACCAAATCTTCTCAATTATGACATTTTATAATTTTTTTTTTGAAATTCAAGTTTGATAAATTAACGTTCTGTTGGCTTTATTCTGTGAGAACAAAAAATGAAGATGAAATTCTTCGTCAAAAACTGAGAAACCTGTATTGTGAAACATGGAATCGGGATGTCGGAACAAAATAATATGTACAAAAAAGAGATGTTCTACCATTTTATCAATCTAACAAGCTTATTTTTAGGGAAGTTTCGGATGAAATACTTTCTCATTTCATTAAATGTGAGCAAATAGAGACCGACTATTGGGGCAATGGCCCAGACATGGGCGGGTGGAGTGTGAATGTCCATTATATATTGGAAGACTGGAGTGTACACGAACATGAGCAGAAGAAGCACCTGTAAGAGTGACCGTAGTTTTATATAGGTGGATTAAACTGGGTAACCAACTTCAATAAGGACTGCGAAAACGCTGACGATGTTTGTGAGACCGTGCCTGAAGACGGACACTCGTCGTGTTGTGCAATTGTAAAGATGGAACACTTGAGACATGACAAGAGTGATTTGCCACGCGGCAGCGGCCTGTCCTTTGATGAACAACTGCTGTTGCTCATCGAACGTCAACCCTTGACTCGTCGTGAAATTCCGGGCTCCGATCTTCCAGTGATGTTCAGCAGTGAACAGAATATCACTGATCGGAATGTTGTGGTAGCTGAACTTGATTAGTATTAATTGAGACTTATAAAGTTTTCTACACAAACCAATAAACACTCAAATATGCGGCAATACATCCAATGGTAATACCAAAGCCGGCCAGGATGTACGCGTAAACCAGAAGACTTTTCGAAAGTAGTCTAGCCGTTCGAGATCGTGGAGGAGTGTGCATTATGTCATTTTCAGGCTGTTCATAGGCCAATGATATTGCTGGAGGCATTTCAGACGCAAGATCGACGGAAAGAATCTGAAAAGAAGAGGAACTTCGGAGAATTGCGGAGCATTACTCACTTGAAGAGGCGATAACCCGTGTGGAAGACCGAGCATAAACGACATCATTATGGGGAAGACTTCAGGCCACAGATGGGCAAATGTGTAGGCGAGGGAAAGTCTGAAGAGGAACAGTTCAAAAAGATTATTCTCTTGCGTCTTACCTCAAGTTATCGAACAAAAGCCTTCCTTCCTCGATTCCCATCACAATCGAGGCAAAGTTATCATCTAACAGAACAATATCGGCAGTCTGTTTGGCAATATCACTTCCTACAAAATTTCCATTTATTTGACCTCAGTTCTCAGACTTCTCAGTCGCAATTCTAACCAGTCTGTCCCATCGCAATTCCAACATTCGCATGAGCCAGAGCAGGAGCATCGTCGACTCCTCCGCCGGTCACAGCTACAGTCTCTCCACGTCGTTGCACTTCCTGCACAATCTCCAACTTCTGCTCAGTATTCGTTCTCGCGAAGACAATATTGTTGTTCTTCAGAAGCTGATTCCAGTCTTGTTTTTTATAGTTCTTCAGCTGATCGCCAGTCACAACGGCCCAAGAGTTCCGCGGTTTTTCGACGTCTTCCTACAATTTTTGTACGTGAACTACTAACATAGAAAAGAAAAGTTGAGGGGCAACATTCTTCAAATTTGAATTTTTCGGTTTCAAAACACGTGTCAATATGCGAGTTTTTGTCCTTCTACGATCCCTATTCTTCCTCGTCCTCCTGACCGCTATCTCCATATTTATTGCTCACCGACGACTGTGCATCAACTATGCTCCACACGATTTGGAGGTTTGGATTCGTAAGAGAGTCATGGAATAAAAGTTTTCTAAGGGAATCATGGAGCGTTGTTCTGGCTCGCTTCACACGATTTCTCAAGTCAACCCGGCTCCTCTGAACGATACAAATGCTGCTAATGCCTCCGTCGATACCGCCCATCGCAGATTCAAACGAAATAGCTCTGCCGAAGAGGAGTTGATTGAGCAATGGCGTCGTCTGCCGCATGATACGGAGTCTATCCGGCTCAACGTCAGAACGTGCTTTGATGTGGGAAAAGAGCTTTAAATCTTTCAAAAAATAGTTTTTTTCAGTTTTCCATCAATGACATTCTGACGGATTCGGTGAAGAAGTACTCGACGATCGTGTCTCCCCTCCGACTCACTCTCATTCTCGTCGTAACTTCCTTTTTACTCGCAGTTATCGATTTGAGCTCCAGAATCATCATCCACGACGTTTCCATTGTGAGTTAAATTTAACTCATCCAAAATATTTAGAGATGACTTTCAGATTCAGTGTCTGGCCCACAGTTTTGTACAAGTATCCCTTTGGGGATACACCTTGGTGAATATGGAGATGTACAGGTTGTATTGGAGCTCTGTTAATTTTTCAAATGGATCAAACTTTCAGAAGATCATGGACTCAAACTTGGCTGGAAACCGAGATTGACAAGTCTGACGTGCCGATGTACCCAATTGAATGGATGGCTTTCGAACTGCACGCTTTCATCATCATCATGCTTTCGATTCTCGACGTAGTTCTCTTCAAGTTCCTCCCTCTTCGTATCCGTCTGCTCAACAGTCAAGGCGTCTACAGATGCATTCAAACAGATGCCAAGTACAAAAACAAAGATCTCCCAGAATAACAAATGAAGTTTTCCTTGTCTTTCTTATTCTCTTCTCTTACCGAATTTGAGGAAGAGCCAATGAGTCCGATCTGTCTGGCGATGGCAGTAGCCGTGGTTGGGTGATCTCCAGTGATCATGAAGACTTTTACTCCAGCCTGTTTGCATTGTTCGATGGCTGCTGCGGTCTCCGGTCTCGGAGGGTCCATTATGGCAGCCATTCCCAGGAACACAAGTTCTCCACTGTATTCTTGTCCTCCGAACTTTGCATTTTCGTCTGCGTTGAAGTTCTTCTCAGCAAAGGCGATGACTCGTCGTCCCTCGTTTCCTAGCATTTCCCAGGCCTCCTGAATTAGACATTTTGGGACTTGAAGCTATGATATTCTTACTTGACACTCTTTACGATACTTCTCATCAATATCCCGGAGGTCTTTCCCGTGTCGTACTTTTGAACACTTTCCGAGAATAACTTCAGGAGCGCCTTTTGTGAAAATAACGAAACGAGATTGACCCTGAATGCTTCTAAATGAGCATCATTTCGTTGGAATGTTTCGACTCACTTCTTTTGGAGGTGCCACGCATTCTGCGGTGACCGGGAAATCACTGGCGAGACATTTTGAAATGACCATTTGGCAACGGCGGGTTGAGTTGAACGGAATTTCGAAGACAGTCTAAATAAAACCAGGTTTGGAAACTACCGAACGTGACTGATACCTGATATCTCTGTCTGATTCCTTCCACACTAGCACTCAATTCCACGTATTTTATCAGTGCCACGTCAGAAGGAACTCCGAAAATATCATTCTTCTTCGTTTTATTCGCGTGCTTTCTTGCGCGACTCCCACTCTCCGGAGTGTTATCCGATGCCTGATTTGTCTTTTCTTTGCACACACCTCCGGCCTCGGAGACTTGTCCGGTTCTGGTGTCACTGAAATTTTTTAGCATTAGCAACTTACACAATATGACTTAAATCTTACACAATCGTGAACTTCTTTTTCATGTGAGCACTCAGCATCGCTTCCGATGCGCTTTTCTGCATTGCTCTCATCGTTGACACCCTTCGCATTGACCTTCTTACATGCTCAAACTGGCCGTTATTGCAAACGGACATTACTGTTAATATGTCCGGGAGAGGTTCTTCAAGGCGTTCCGGACTTTTCATCGACGTTTTCATTGCCCGTAGATGTGGATGTTTCAGGTCAACAGCCGCGCCAGTAACCAGCCGGGAGTTAAACCAAAGATCAGTGACGACCATTTGGTTCATTGTTAAAGTTCCCGACTTGTCAGCACAAATGACAGTGGCCGCGCCGAGCTCATCTGGAACAGGAACTACAGTAATCCTGCTGAAGCCTTGAACTTACCAATCAACTCTAGCTTCTTGATGAGAATATTCTTTTGGGCCATTCGTCGGGCAATTATTCTGAGTTGTGACATGACTGTTGCCGGCAATCCTTGAGGCACGTTCGCTACAATAATCACCACGAATCCAACAATGAAATGATCTAGAATATTCTCGAATCGAGCGACAAAACATCCAACGAAAAAAACGGCAGTAGCCATGGAAATGGCCACGATTGAGATAAAAGTTGAGAAGTTCTGGAGTTCAGTCTGAAGACGTCCGCTCGGGGGAGGGATGTGATGGTGCTGATGAGCCAGGGCGCCCATGACCTGGATTTGATTGTATTCCAAATAAAACACGAAATGACCTACCGTGAACTTTCCAGTTCTTATCACAATACCGATTCCCTCCCCTTCAGTACAGTAGGATCCCATGAATGCCACGTTGCAAGCATCGAATACACTGATTTCGATCGGCACTGGATCCACTTTATATTCACGGGGCAGCAGGTGTCCAGTGATCTCATTGCTGGCGATCATGAGACTGTTCGACTGAAGTATCCGCATATCAGCCGGCACTTTATAGCCAGCTCTGTAATTTAAGGAGAACTGTCAGCGCTCGAAAGTTCGCAGCAAACCTAAGGTAGACGAGATCACCGACGACGACCTCCTCGGCCTTTATTTCCTGTTCTTCGCAGTCCCGTATCACGTACGACATGGCAGGCATCATTTGACGGTTCTCTTGTAACACCTAAACATCAATAAACAGTCTTTGATTCTCGTCTTGCTCACTTTTTTAGCTTTCGACTGCTGCCAGTAGGATAATATCCCCATAAAGATGACGACTGCGATCAGAATAACCGCGCAATACATGTTTAGAGGTTCATTGAACCCACGTGCCATATGAATGAAATAGGTCATTACGGACAGAATGGCAGCCCCTATCAAGAGGATCCAGAATTTGAAATGGAATTGGGAGAGGAAGAAACGAGAGAGGTTGGGTTCATGGGCCGGATCGATTTGATTCAATCCACCGTCCTTGAGGCGCTTTCTGAAATCGCAACGATTTCACAAAAAGACAGTTGTCCAAGAGACTCACTTGGCTTCATCGGAATGCAAGCCGTCACTTCGTTCGGCTACTTGAGGAAACACGTACGAATCCGGATAGAGATCTTTAATCTGGTCCACAGTCAAACTGTGTTCCACAAACGAGCTGGCAATTATATCAATCAGGGACATTGGCTCCTCTTCCGTTTCTTTCTCCTTTTTTGCCTTTTTTGTGAAACTATCTGCTGAAGACAGTGTAGACGGAACACTCTCGACGCATTCGAGCACCGGACCATTCTTCGTTTTGCAATTTGTTGGTTCTGAAGTTGATAATCTTTCAACGTTTACAAAATTCTCAAAAAAAGTTTTTTTCAAAAAAGTGCAAACTCACTCCGAGTCATACAGTAATCCAAATCTGGTAGCCTTTAAACTTTCACAGACTCCTGGAATTGTTTGGAAAGATTCTGAAGGAAATGAAAATTTGAAAGATAATGATAACCCAAAATGGAAACATAAAAGAAGAAGACAAAATCAATTTCATCTCAAAAAGAGAAAAGGAAGAAGACGTACAAAGAGACAGCGTCGTGTCTCGGGGAAGGCACCCGTCGGAGAAACATTTTGTGATGAAAGTGGCGAAGGCGCAGAGAAGACATGATGATACTGTATCAATACAGATATTTTGATGTACAATCAAGGAGACAACTGGAGAGGACACGAAGAAAGGAGACGGAAAAGTTTACAGTGTGTGCGGCATTTTGGGGACCGAGAGGAAGAAGAACCGCTCTGATCGATGATTAACAATGTTTTGGTATTGAAGTTTGAAGAACAAGTTGCCAACGCCTTAAAAAAGTATTCTGGAAACTGGAGAATGTGTCGAATGCGTTGGAATTCCGAATTCTGAATTCCACAAAAACACTAATCCAATAGTCCTTCACCCCTTCTTCGAAAAGGATTACTGTAGGAAAAATAGAATGCAAAAAAGGAAGAAGAATAACATTTTGAACTTGATCACGTCGGTCAGTCTTCCCACAAAAAGGGGATGGACCGATGGCATAATGACATCATCCTTGTCAGGGACAAACAAGAATTGTATATATAAAAAAGATGTAACCAACCATAAATATTGGCGGGGTTACTTACTATTTAGTTCGGGTGTAAAAATATCGAAAACCTCTGAAAGACTTTAAAGGGAAACTAGAGACGTCCATTGGATGAGATTTTGATAATTTTCCAGTAATTTATCAGAATGCTATCAACCTTGATCAAAAATGATCTTAAAGTTCTGCATGTAATGTTTTCTATTCGGATGAAAACATCTGATTGGTTTTCAGGCCTATTCGAGTTGAATTTTCTCGAACATTAACGGGCTCCAATGGGTACCATTGTGTTTTTGCCATTCAGAGGAACGGTAGAATCATTTTGAAGAAGAATTAGCGAACATTTTTCTCAAGAAACTTCTTCCAGCTTCCCCATTGTATTTTTTCCACCTAGAACAACAATAGAACCGGATTGAAGCAAAATTAGCAAAGCGAAACTTTTCACAAAAATTTTGATTCATGCTTTGAACGAATTTTTCAAAATTCTCAAACAAAAAAGTAGGTGTGATGTATGTCTATCCACCTCCGAATTTCCTTTTTTGGCCTTAGAATGTTTGGTCTTTACAACTTTTGTCTGTTCGATGTTCCTAGCAATTCAATAAGTCTAAAATCAACGCAGCAGAACCATTCACACTCGGATCAAAGTGTCACGAGAGATCATCGGATCGGAAGGAAAGAAACAGAGCTTGAACAGAGCTTGTTCACAGACTTTATTGAACTGAAACGTCACAATAAAAGGAGGGGATGAAACGATAAAAAAAGAGAAGACGTAGACGCATTTGCCAATGATATCACTGTTTCTAATCACATGACGAGGAAAGACCGAAAGTGGACGGGAATCTCTCTTGTTTCTTCGTATTTTAGCTTCTCTCTCTTCCTTCACACCATTTCTTGGACGGTGGAGGCGATTCGTCACCGGACGTATCTTCAGCAGGATTCTGTGTAATCGGAAGGGCCTCAGCGTTATTCTGAAGAGTTGTAACCAGTTATTTCTGTGTTTTTTGTTTTTCAGAATAAAAACCCACCAATTTGCGCCCCAGTTTCTCTGCCATCACTCTCGCATCTTTGATGTTTCTCTCGACGGTCAGGAGACGTTGATTCGCCTGGTGACCGTTCTCAAATACTATCACACTGGACAGTACTCCCTTCGCATTCTCTTTTGATGTCTGCAATAGTACAGTTCTGAAAACGGCGAATTTCTACAGTATCTTTTCGTTCCCGCCGAGAGAACATATTCGGGCAACATTTTGGAGTTTTCACGTTAACGTTAACAAAGTGTACTGTAGTTTGCCTTCTCACCTCAATTACCGCGAGCACTTCTTCTGTGACCACGTCGGCAAACTGGAAGCACAAGTACGACCAGCTGCAGAGAATATCGAGACGATCTAGTTCGTAGGTCTTCCACAGTTGGGTGGCTGCTGCCCATAGGTAACTGGAAAACTGAACACTATTGGCTCCGACATTCCGGAGGTCAAACCTGAAACTGTGCGTAATCCTAGTCCACGTGTCCTGGCGGATCTGTTGGTGCGTTGGCTTTCGTGGCATCCGCTCCTGTACTCTACAAATTGTGTGATACGCATAATAGATGCTCAATTGAGAGCTGGAAATGGCGCGAGTGTCCACTGTCCGAGGTGTCCTCTCGATCGCCTCGATCCATTCCCAACACACCTAAACCGAGGATATCTTCAAATGATCGGGTTGTTATGGAAGTTACCTCAATAAGAGATTCATCGTAGTGAGAGGTGTTTAGAATGCACGAATACACGTGATCGATTAGTTCCAGTTGTTCGACGGAAAACGGATGATTCGATGAGCCGAGAACTTGGCGGATAACGGCAACTGCTCTGAACGACGATAGTGTAAAGCCGGCTCAGGGAGCGCATTTTCAATCGAAAATCGATATCTTTCATTCACAAGTGGCCTTCAGAGAACGGTACAACTCAAATCTACAATAATATTCACGCTGTTCGCAATCTGGCACAATTTCTAGGCCGCGAAGTAATTTTCCACTGAAAACGTGGCCTAACTTTTCAAACTCGGCCCCGAGGTCGCTCAATTTGCACTGCAAAAGGAGTTTCTCAACAGAGCGCCATTTCTGTGCGGTGCCCCTATAATAATTTAATCCTCTCTTCATTTTCAAGCAGATATGAAGAAAGGTCACGTTGAATTAATCAATAAATCGAGTCTAGATACTGTAGGGGAACGACGATTTCGTGGATGAACAATATTTGTTCAACGGAACAACTTTATTTCACCTACTTTTCGTAGTCACGTGAAACAGTAGCATTAAAAGCTTCTCCTAATATATCCTTGGACATATCGTTCCTAAATTCATTACAGTTTTAAGAGAATCATCAAAAAAGGGAAATATATTCAAAAGGAAAAGCAAAAACATATTGTTGGAAATGGAAAAGAAGACGTCTCTTATCGGATTGCATCTCTGCGTCGTTCACATCCGCAAAACTGGAACCAGAAGCCGTCATTTTTGTGTATTTTCTTTCTTTTCTCTGCGCCGCACCATTCGACAGCAGAAAAAAAATGAAAAGTCGTCGTTGCGATCGTGTGTATGTGGCGGTAACCGCGCGGCTTGGAACAAGTAGGTCAGCGGGGCACTCGTGGTGAAAGTGAAAAGTACTCTTTTTCGCTTTTCCTCTTTTAGGAAATTCAACATTCAATGCAGTACAGTTCCTTCAGAAAAAAATGTTTGACATAATAATAATAGACCAGAACTCCAGTTGGGGACGAGACACGCAAGAGAATAGTGAGGCTTGAGGGATAACCGTAAAATTTGAAATATGGTTAGGGGGATGAGAATACAGAGGGAAGTAAAAAAATTTCGAAAAAATGTTTAGTGGTTGTTTACGAACATTCCGGCCAATCCTTTGACGTCCATGCCGTCGAAGTCGGTAGCGTTGACGCGTCTGAAAGCGAAGAATAACGAAAGTTTTTTGGGATTTCTCTAATGGACCTATTCAGTCGGGAAAAAAACTAGTTTTTTACGGAAAAAAAACCTATTCAAATGAGGAAAAAACTGGTAAAAAACTCCGGGAAAATACGTTTTTTTCTGCTGTTTGTTGCGAGACCCGTGCTATAAAGGCATGCGCTTTTAAATAATTCAAATGTCCTCCAGAAAATAGTTAGCTTTGGGGGCGGTCATTTAAATTGTTTAAAGGCGCATGCCTTTATAGCGCGGGTCTGGCAACGGACAGCAGGAAAAAAACCTATTTTCTCGCAGTTTTTTACCAGTTTTTCGGTAAAAAACTAGTTTTTTCCCGACTTAATAGATCCATAAAAAGTTTGAGCGAATTTCCGTAAATTCTTACTTGATATCTCTGGAACTGTTCTGATTGTTCTTCTGATACTGTTCCATCTTGGAGAAGTCAATGACGTACGACCTGCCACAAATAGTCAATTCGGTGATCGGCATGCCGTTGGTGAACGCCTCTTCGATGTCCTTCTCGTTTCGCAAATCGAAACGCCACCATCCTTGGTTTCTTCCACGATACAACCAGTATTTCTTCTCTTCTGGTGCATTAGCGAGTGCGGCATTCAGTGCCCCGACATCTGACTTCACGTCCTCTTCAGTCTTCACAACTCTGGGAACTTCAAAGAGAACGTTATTTCAAAGAGAACGTTACAATACTGAATCTTACGTGAATTGTTTGTGGTACTTGGAGAACCGGGTATGTCCATTTTGAGGTCCAGATGTTGAACTGGTTTCTTGAACAGATTCGTATCGATCGGTCCGCGACATAACGGACAGCCTCCCATGTTGGCCAAGCTAACGCCTTTAACACAGGTGAAACAGAACTTGTGTCCACATGACGGAACTGTGAATGGCAATATCATGTCACATTGGCAGACCGGACACTCCTTTTCTATAGCAGCGTTCAATGCTTGCGCTTTACTACTGGAGGAAGACATTCTAAGATTGAAAAATTTCTGTGTTATCCTTGATTTTCGGTTTTTGAATTCAGCGCAGTATGCAATGGTACAAACCTTCGATGTTCAAATAAACACATTAAACTTAAAAGTTTTATGAAAAACTTTCAACACAACAAATCAAAACCATAAGGAGCAGCAACAAACAAGGTAAAAGATAGAAGTTGTGATGAACGTCCGGCTGTTACCCGTCCGTGGCCGCGCCAAATCGCTTAGTCGGCTCTGGTGACCTCGATGTCGACTCCTGGCTCGATAGAGATCGAGGTGATTTGGCGCAGGACCTCAGCCGGAGCGTGAAGGTTGATGAGACGCTTGTGGATGCGCATCTGAAATGAAAAGTGTGCTTCAGAGATTCGACTCAAACATTTCACAATTGGGTGTGGAACACATATAGGAGCACCGCACAGAAATGACGCTCTGTTGAGAAACTCTTTTGCAGTGCAGTGCAAATGCAGTGCAAATTGAGCGACCTCGAGTTTGAAAAGTTAGGCCACGTTTTCAGTGGAAAATTACTTCGCGGCCTAGAAATTCGGCCAGATTGCGAACAGAGCGCTATTTCTGCGAGATGCTCCTAAAAATACAATATCTCAAATGGTTTTCGTACTATCAAATTAATCTTCTTGCCTCCGGCGTGCGGCCGCAACGCGACCCAAGAATATTAACTTAATAGTACTAAGAAGCCTTGTTTACGTTTCAAAATACACAATTTACCTGGAAGCGATCCCAGGTCTTGGATCCCTCTCCGCATGGGGTCTTGCGGGTGGTGATGCGGAGAACCTTAGTCGGCATGCGGATTGGTCCCTTGACGATGAGGTGCTCGTTCTTGGCTCCTTCGATGAGCTGAGCGCAAACTGAAAATCGGATTTCAGAAACTCCGACGTCAATGTTGAGAAATACTCACCCTTCTCAAGCGGCTTGACGTTCTGGGAAGTCAGGGTCAAACGAATGCGGTGCTCCGAGTTGTCATTGAGGGCCTTCTCGTTCTTGTACGCGACAGCCTGAATGGGTAGAAAAATTTTAAAGATGCTGCACAGAGGTTCGTCAAAACCCGGACAACGCCACGTCGGCATCTCTAAAAACGAAAAAACTCACCATGGTTGATTTGAAGTAAATTTAAGAGCTTTGAAGGGACTGCTATCTTTTGATTTTAGCCTTTCTGTGCTCTATTTCCAGTTTGAGTTCTGAAAAAAATAAGATTTGCGGGAATAAATGAAGAACACAGTTCGGAACGGCGGATGAAACACGTAGAAATGCAAAACTGAAACCAACACTTTGCACAGCAGATACACGTGTGTTTCTATATAAATTCGTTCAAAAAAGCTGAAAAGTGTTCAAAAAATTGCAAAAATCAGCAATTTCCTAAAACCCTACAATGTATAAACGTTGGATACTCAGCTAACAACTACCGTAATTCAGCAAACCTGCGAATCAAATAGCAAAATTTGGTTTGCGCTATGGAGCACACTTGCAACAAACCCTCTTTAAATTTTTTGGCAGAATTTTTATCTTATTGGAAGTTGTACTCAGAAGGGTAGGTTTGAAATGTTTTTGCAATGTAAAACAATTTTTATTTTGTAACATTATTCAGCATCTCACGCAGATTTTCGAAAAGCATTGAACTGAATCTCTGTAATCTTATCGATTTCCCGTCCCCTTTCCGGGAAAATCATATTTCAACGTAAAATTTCCAGCACAAAAATGATTGGGGATGTGCAACATATTCTGCAAGGATCCGAAAAGACACCAGACGCCTCGAAAGATAATGCAACCCCGGGATCATTGTCTAATCGTGGAATCAAAAAGGTTTGAAATCGGTTATTCGTCTGTAAACTTTTTGATTCGTTTAGCCGTCCAAATCCACAGATCGAGGTTATAGAAAACCCGAAGGAATGAAGCGAGAACTGTACAATCTGATTTCCGGAAAGGATATAACCTCCGTGATCCCAACCGATGTAAAGAAAAGCTACAAGCAAAAGTTTCAGGTTGGTTTTTTAAAGATGACGGGTTTTGACAATCAGTCTTTTTCAGACAGGCTTCCGATCAGTCCGGAAGTATAAATGGACGCCATTCACAAATGAAGCCAGAACTGACGGTCTCATGCTTCACCACTGGGCAAGAACGGATAAAATTGATCCTAACCAGCCATATCCTTTTTCTAAGTTTAATAAGGTAAATTTTTCTATTAGTAATTCCTAGCAAAATACTCATTGTTTAGGTTATTGACATTCCGACGTACACCGACGAGGAATACGATAATCACTTGAAATGTGCTAAATGGTCTCGTGACGAAACCGATTACCTTTTCGACAAATGTCGACAGTTTGATATCAGATGGCCGATCGTATATGACAGATATGATTGCAAGAAGCATGGCGTGAACAGATCGGTTGAGGATCTCAAAGATCGGTTTTACTCGATTCTTCACGAAATTACACTTCTCAGAGTAAGAACGTTAGGAGTTTCAATGAAAACATTCCATTTCTAGGATCCAAATGCAAGCCCCATTGCCTATGATTCGGATCACGAGCGTCGTCGAAAAGAACAGCTCGGGAAGCAATGGAATCGTACGAAAGAGCAGTTGCAGGAGGAAGAAGACTTGACTGCTGAGTTGCGTCGCATTGAGCTGCGAAAGAAAGAGCGCGAAAAGAAGGCGCATGACCTCCAGAAGCTCATCAACATGGTCGAGCAACCAGCCAGTCCATCTACCGCTGGAATGAACGGAGCAGCGAGTGCGAAGAGAAAGAACGCCTTCCGAACGAAGACTGGTTCGGTTTCTACAGCAGCTCCTACCTTCTTTAATCCAGTGAGTTTTCAAATAAGTACCGATACCAACTCCTGGCAGCGTTTACAGTTGGACATATCTGTCACTGCTCTGCGTTTCTCCGAATTCAAGTCATCCGGTGCTCATCTTCGTTGTCAGGAAATGAAGCTTCCGACAAACATTGGACAGAAAAAACTGAAGAACATAGAAGTGGTTCTTGAAAAATGCAAAATGGGTTAGTTTTAGCTAGTTTTGAACCAACAGTTCTCGTTAATTGCCATTATTGTTTTGCAGAACTGAACCCAGTCGCTTCCGAGTCGATTATGAAGACGTACAATGATTTCCGCTCGCAGATAATGTTGCTTCAAGAACTCAAAACGGCGCTTCAAACTTCTGAATTCGAATTGGAGAGCCTGCGCACGCGAATGCAGGAGAACGGAAAGGATTTCGAAATCGTGTCCCGTTTCCGTATATCTAATCTAGTGGAAGGCGGCCTAGACGAGGATCAGGTTGGCGGTGAAGGAATGGCGACGACGAGTAGAAGGATCACCTCCTACATCGATGGAAACCTCAAAGATCTCACAGCGGTAATAACTTTCCATCAGTCTCTTTCCACAACTTTTGTCAGTATCAGATCGCCTCTCGCAAGCGCAAGGTTCCCACTGCAGCAGCTGCTCCCGCAGCCACCCCTTCACCGGTCGTACCCGTGGATCCGAAACGGTCAAGAAAAGTTATTTAAAAATCTTCATGATCTCGTAACTATGTATGAATCTCTTTATCTTTTATCCTTTTCTCCAAACATCTTGTTTTCTCTCTATGAATCAGCACAACCGAGACGATAAGTAGCAAGAAAAACGCTGAAAGTTTTGGAATTTCATCAGCCAATCGCAGAAGATTACTAACCAGCTATGGCAATACCCCAGTAGATGGTCGTGTTGTGAACTTTCTGAGCATCGTTGCGCCTCCTCAAATTTACAAATACAATCCGGACTTTCTTCTCGTCATTCAGAATGAGATCAATTTTGAGATCGAAGGATGCAAAGTCCAATATCAGGACTTCATCGTTTCGCATCACGATACCTTGCAGAAGACACGGACGCGCCTTGTCGTACTTTTTTGGTTTTCGGAGGTTCACTCGCCACCTTGCCTAAAATTACTGTAGCTTATGAGAAACTACTGTAGTTGTAGCACAACCTTGGTTTTGTTCACGTTGTGCACTTCCGGGTCGATGCGAATTCGCAAGTTTTCGTGGTCGGTCACTCTGAGATGCCCGAAACTTTGAAGAACTTCTTGTAGAATTTGTAAAACTCACGTCACTTTCATTGGCTCAACTCCAACTAGCACGTCAACGAATTGCACTTGATTGCAAGAGTCCGTGGCCAACTGAGCATCTTCTGAGTTTATTCCGATCTTAAATTCAGGGATAATTTGCGGCTGAGAACGGCTGAGAGCTCACCAAAGAAATGTTGTGGCATTGGGCCCACTGGGAGCAGTCCGTCTTCTGAATGTTCGACTTGCAGGATTCCGTATCCACAAACATTCCAGATGAGAACTTGTAGCCAGAAGCATTGTTGGCGTTTAGCAAAATTGGAAATAGGCTATCTTTGATCTCTTGCACCGGACGCTTCAGATTCCGAAAACTGGTAAAAAGGGATGAGAAGATCGGAACGCCCTTCTGAGTGTACGGAGGCAGCGAGAGCAGTTCCGATATGGCCTTTGAATACGTTTTCAGAGTTATTGACTTAGAGTTGTTCAGTTTTCTAATGGAAAGATGTCCGATACGCGAGCGAGCCGAAAAGACGTTTTCGCTGAAATTAAGAGAACATTCACAAGGCTCACAGATGAGACTAACCAATCAGAAGACGTCTGGAATTCGTGGCCACAGATGGCTGGAGGACAACAGCACGCGGAGCAACATCCCCATTCGTTCCAGGAAACAAAAAGCTCCAAATTGAAAGCGTCGTGCTTTACAGCTTCTACTGGAACGGGCAGGCTTTCGTAGCTGCTGTAGGCGAACGATGGTTCTGAAAACTTTTAATTTCAGACTTATTTCTGGTAGTATCTAAACTTGATCCTGATAGATCGGTTACAACGTCGCTGTTCACGAACACATTGCTACTGATCACTTCTTCGTTCAGTTCCATCCCACACATTGTCGTGAAACCGTCGGGGATTCTCGAGTGAATCTGAAAATGTTACTCGTTTAACAAAATCTGGACATGTCCACAGAGAGTTCTCCATCGGGAGCGCCCAGAACTTCTCGATCCTCTTCTGTAGTTGCGTGTTCTCCATTCCATCTGTGCCATTCACCGAACTGAATATCTAAGGTCTTTTCTGATTTCTGACACCTCTCGATTGACCCAGTTACCATTGACTCGTAAGAAATCCTGAAAGTTGGTCACACGTGGATTCTGTTCGCAGTCATTCGTTTCACAAAACGTAATGTTGTTCTCCACAACTCTAGAGCCAATCGACAGTTTTGTGATCGCTTGAGTGAAGTCTCTCTCCGGATAGAGATAATATAAACTGTTGAGTCCGCCGATTATCGGATGACACGTGGCACACTTCACTTGATATGGTAGTCCGAACTCCCGGTACATTTGATGGATTCGAAAGCCGATTTTGAAGAAATCCCTCGATTTGCACCATTCCGACGAAACGTGTGTGGTGCGGAGAGCCGGATTTGAAATGAGATACGGTAGTTTGTGTCGAATCGTCTGCCGCCCGTTCGACCACCCCCAACCGTCGAATTCGATCACTTCGCCCTTATCAAGCGTTTCGATGACCGGCGGAAAAGAGCCGTACTCCACAAACAACTCGGTCTCTTTTGATAATGGAAGTTGCGAGTAGAACGAGTGGAGCCGGAGCCGACTTGTTACAGTTGGCAACTCTCGAGGTTCTGCAAAAGGCAGGAACTCGAAATTTTAGTTAAGACAAAGTCATTCATGATCCGAAAACTCGTGAGCTAACCTTCAGGCTTCTTGGCCTCTGCATACTGATCTGTGCACTTTGTGATTGCTGCGAACACGATGAACATTTGTAACACATGCGTCTTCATTTTCGACGAATTTTTAAGAAATGAAAATAAACGTTAGTGTTTTTAACATTTCCTCAATTTACGTGCAACCGCCGAAGAATTAATGCAGTCCGCTTCGCCATCGTCTACAGTGTCTCTATTTGTATGTGCATGCAGTGTTTGCGCACTAGCCGGCTCCCGCTTACCCCTCTCCTTCTCCTTCTCAAAATTCTTTGTGACGCAAGGAGTGGGATGGATGTAGAAATGTAGCAACCGAGCCGTTGCTACGACCTCTCCGAGAGAGCCAATTTCCTTTTTAGGGATTCACTCTTCCAATCCAATTCGGCGCCTTATATTGCCTTGGTTACCGACTGCCCGCATATTTGCATTTCCCCTTGCAATTTGTGACCTACTCTTCTAGTCTGTGACTTGTTTCCTATAGATACTTCTTGAAGTGCTCTTTGAACATTGAATAGGAGGTAGGAACCAAGGAATCCGTTACATCTTTGAAACTTTCGCATAGATCACGGATAGTTCTTTCGGGCGAATGTCTGCCGTTTCTGTGCTCTTGCTGTACGAGAGAGCAAACAAAATTCGTGTCAATCGGCCTCGTCATCCCCCAACTGATTCACCCTACCCATTCAGTTCTTATCAATTTTTTAATGTGTTCTCTCTAACATGTTTTGTGCCTTTCCTTACTCTCTCTGCATCTGAGTCACTCTAGAACTCGTCATTTCGTAATCGAACTCTTCTTTTCTCTTGATTTCTGTCCTTCTCTTTAGTTGTCATTCCAGATCTTTCACAGATCTTCCAAATAATGGGTCAATCAGTAAGCCGAGATGATTTTATATGGACACTAACGGAACAGCCGCACATGAGCCGGAGGGAAGCAATTGTGAAAAAGTATCCGGAAGTTAAAAAGGTATTCCACTAAATACTGCCACCGATCCAAAAGTACATTTGCCCGTTTAGCTGTTCGGCGTGGATCCCTCTTTGAAATATGTCGTCTCCAGTCTGGTCGTATTTCAAATAGTAATGTGTTGGCTTCTTCAAGACGCCGATTGGCTTCTGATATTTCTTCAAGCCTATTTTTGTGGCGGAGTCATCAATCACGCACTGACTCTGGCGATTCACGACATATCCCACAACACTGCATTTGGAAACAAGTTTCCCATCAAGAACAGATTCTTCGGAATGTTTGCAAATCTTCCGATCGCTGTTCCAATATCTGTTTCGTTCAAAAAGTACCACGTAGAGCATCATCGGTACCTGGGGGAGGATGGTCTGGATACCGATGTCCCGACTGCTTTTGAAGCGGAATTCTTCACAAACACCCCGAAAAAGCTGTTGTGGCTGGCTCTCCAGCCATTTTTCTACGCTTTCCGACCGCTGATTATCTACAAGAAGGCTCCAACCGATATGGAAATTGTGAATGCGATCACTCAGATTTCATTTGACCTACTTATTCTACACTATTTCGGCTTAAAATCTTTACTGTACTTGTTCTCCGGAACTATAATCAGTATGGGGCTGCATCCGAGTGCTGGACACTTTATTGCGGAGCATTATGCATTCAAGGAAGATCAGGAGACTTTCAGGTAATTGAAATTCACGAGGAACTTTATCTGTAAACAAACGATTTCAGCTATTATGGTTTGTGGAACTTGTGCACTTTCAACGTTGGCTATCACGTGGAACATCACGACTTCCCGTACATCCCAGGGAGAGATTTGCCCAAACTGAGAGCATTGGCTCCTGATTTCTACGAAAATCTCTATCAGCACACATCGATGATGGAGATTCTCCGAGATTTCGTTTTTAATCCGGCAATGGGACCGTATGCCAGGTTGAAGAGGAAGCCGAGAGTTCCCCAGGAGTTCTACGGCAACTATCAGTTATTCGAATATGTGGAAGGAGTGAGTTTTCTAAATGTTTTCCGTTAGATAATTGAGACGTCAACTGAATTTCTCCTGGATTTCACGTCACTTACGAAAAGCTGGTAGCACAACCCAATATTACTTCATTACTGAAAAAGTTGACTCTAAATTTTGCGTGGGTAGTTCTAGTTTTTGCGTGACCCTCTTGATAGTTGTCAAAACACGTGACGCATGACGTGACCTTGCCTCGAACTTTGACCCACATCTCAGAGCTCTCGCATCTGTTTTCAATCTCATTTCATTTCATTTTTTGCAGTTCCTTCATCACATTGGAATTTATCGACTCAAGCAATATGCGGGAAATGTGTTCGATCTCAACAATAATAATGACAAAAAACTCAACTAGTCCGCCCCTTTCTCATTCTCATTCTACTTCTTCTTCTTCTTCTAAACATTTGCATAACGCTCGATGTTGATGTCATTGTTGATGCCTGAAAATTTCTATAAATGTTTTGACGCCTTCTCGACTTCCTGCTTCTTTTTTCAGTGCTGTAAAGATGGGAAAAGATTCTTTTACTCTTTTCACTTTCGTTCCAGTGTACCTTTAATCGAATTGAATGGAATGGATGGGTGGAATGGATGGAACAATCAAAATTCTCGATCTTTTGACTGTTTTCAGTTTTCAGTTTCCCCCTTTTCTGAAAGTCTTCGCCAGTTCAAGTGTGTCTACAAGTGTCCAGTGTGCAGAGAGACAGAACCAGTCCTCCGGAAAAAAGTGAACCGTTTCAATTATAGAAATCATCAAAAAATGTTCTATAAAATTGTCTTCTCACTTCTTCACGTCTGTCCGTCCAACCCAATCCAAGTAATCCGTCTGGTTTCTTTCACTTGTTGGTGGTGGTTCATCTGTCGACCTATCGTCTCGTTCACACCCTCCCCCACCCAACCAACTTTTTGATTTCTTGTGCAAACTTGTACTTACTTATGTTTGTCGATTGTCTTTATTATTTGTGTGTGTGTATGCGGGAGTGACTCTCAGTCTGTGGGTGTCTTTTCCTCGTTCCAACTTGCTGCCTGATAAATGATTCCGACCCACTTTCACCCTTTCGCGAGGCGCCCTATTTATCTCTCCGGCGTTCTTTCCGCGCTTCCTTCGCTTCCTTATCACCTCTTTTTATTCTCCGAAATTTGCAAATAAACTAGAGAAACTTTTCAAAGTTCAAAACTTCAGGATGCTAAAAGCATGGGTTCTACTCCACTTCCTCCTTTCTATTTCTCCGATTTCCACTCTTCTCCACGTTCAACGCAATGAGATTAGAACTTTTGATTCTCTGGACGGGCTCTGGACGTTCGTGAGCGAACCGTCTAATGGAGGAGACATTGGCATAGCCAATCTATGGAATACGCTCGAATTGGACAAGTTTCAAGTTAGTTCCAACTACGATTCATCAGCTAAATCAAAACACGTTTCCAGAATGCTACAGTAATGCCAGTTCCCTGCGCTTATAACGATATTGGAACTTCGAGTGAACTCAGGGATCATATCGGATGGGTTTGGTACGAGAAGAAAGAGTTCGTTCCTCTTCGTGATAGGAATATGAGACATGTTCTTCGGTTCGGAAGTGTCAACTACTTTTCTGTAGTGGTAAGTTTCTGAGGATCGTACCCGCGACGATCATTTCCATTTCAGTACGTAAACTCGGCGAAAGTGACCTCGCACACCGGTGGTCATCTACCTTTTGAAGTGGATGTGAGCTCACAAATAAAGTTCGGAGCAGAGAACAAGTTCACTGTGGCTGTCAACAACACGCTCTCCTGGTCAACGATTCCGCAAGGAGACTTCAACTATCAGAAGCTCGCGCCGAGGAACATCAGTGGAAGGATCGTAAGTCATTTGTTTTCTAGAATCGCTTGTCACTCTGATTATCTCAATTTTCAGATAAACCGTCTGCCAGAAGGAGCAGTCAAGAACGTCGGAAACTTTGACTTCTTCAACTACGCCGGCATTCTTCGAAGCGTCCAGCTGGTCAAAATCCCGTCCGTATACATTCAGAACATCAACATTGTGGCCGATCACACGGGCTCATTCTACTTTGAGACGGCCGTCAGCTCATTGGAGGGAACACAAGTTGAGGTCAAAATGTTTGATTCGTCCGATGGATCCGTTGTTTATACGACGAACGAGACAAAAGCGGAGGGCCAATTGGAGAGTGCAAAACTGTGGTGGCCACGTGGAATGGGGGATGCCAATCTGTACACTCTCGAAGTGTCTCTGCTGAGCGATGGAGAACTCGTAGATGTCTACAGAGAGACGTTCGGATTCAGAACAGTCAGCTGGACAGACAAGCAGATATTCATAAATGCGAAGCCGTTCTACTGTCTTGGATTCGGAATGCACGAGGACTTTGAGCTCATCGGACGAGGCTTCAATCAGGCGGTCATGACAAAGGATCTCAATCTTTTGGAGTGGATGGGCGGAAATTGCTACCGTACCACCCATTATCCGTACTCGGAAGAGCGAATGTTCGAGAATGATCGACGAGGGATAGCGGTGATTGTGGAGACTCCAGCCGTTGGACTCAAGTAAGTCACATAAGTGTCCGGGAGGATCAGTCAAAGTTTTCAGAGGGTTCTCAAAGGCTAACAACAATTTGCATGTGAAAATGCTCACCGACATGATCGATAGGGACAAGAATCATCCATCCGTGATCGCGTGGTCTCTTGCCAATGAGCCAGTAACCAGCAAAAAGGAGAGCAGGAACTATTTCAAGTTCGTATAATTGTTTGTAAGTCGATTAAAATATCTTCTCAATTACAGAACGCTCGTGGAAAGTGCTCACGGAATTGACCGTACCCGTCCAGTCACAACCGTCTACGGTCCTACGAACTTTGACAACGAACAGACGGCCGATCTGATGGACTTTATCTGTGTGAATCGGTACTACGGATGGTACATAGACATGGGATACATTCAATGGATCAACCAGAGTGTCTACTGGGATATTTCACTTTGGAGAGAGACTTTCAACAAGCCAATTATGGTGACCGAGTACGGAGCCGACAGTATTCCGGGAATGAATCAGGAGCCGTCGGTCGACTTCTCCGAACAGTATCAGAATGAGGTCATCCAGCAGACGCATCACGCATTCGACGCGTTGCGCAAGGATCAGACGATTACCGGGGAGATGATTTGGAATTTTGCCGATTTTATGACCGGAATGAGTGAGTTTGATATGAGAGACCGATATCTTTTCACGAAATTGAAAAACTTTGATTTTTTACGTGACCTTTTCTAAAAGTCACACTCTGCATAAAAATGAACAATATTTCCATTTCAGCTACAACACGGGCGGTTGGAAATCACAAAGGTGTGTTCACGCGATCCAGACAGGCCAAAATGGCCGCTTACACACTTCGAACGCGCTATCTCGGCCTGTTCAACCAAACCGATCTTCCTCTTTGGACTTGACCTTTTTGTCTTCGCCACTTCCATTCTTCTCTCACAGCTTTACATCGCTTTTTGCAAAAAACGGGATGCTCGCAATAAAAGCATAGCAATTTTTATTACGTTAAAACAAAAACAAAGAATGTGTGAAGATCATCCAGGTATTGAAATTACAGTAAAATGCGGAGAGAACAAGCGTATTGTGACCGATGGGGATAAAACTGCAAAAACTTCGCGGGAAATTGTGACTATTGACGAAAAAGTACCAGTGTAATGAATAATGCTGTGAACGTTGTAGGACAGAATTAGGTAATAACAAATTGTGAAAGGTAAAACGAGTTTTTGGGACTAGAAGTGATTAATCGGGACTGTGAGGAACTGATCCTGATTGGCATTCGCCTGCTGCTCAATTTCCATGTGCTTCCACTCTCCGCCCTCTCCCGTCTTCAGAGAGAACGACCATTGACCGTCCGAGTCGCTGTTTATCGCTCCCGTGTGTGGCATTCGGAGCTCGCATTGCTTCTCGAATTTGAGGCCTGGAAAGGTAAAACGTTTACATCAAGCTTCTAGGCGGCAAAAGGGTTCCGCATCATTTCAAATGTTAGAAGGAAACAGAATTAAAAAATGAGGTGACACACTTTTTTAGTGATTACCTTGTGGTCCGCACATGACGAGTGGCGACAGGAGAGTTTCCCCTTTGGATCTGTCGATCGGCGACGATTCTCCTTCTCGACACACCTTGACGTAAATCTCGTGCTGTTCTCCTTCCCGAATGGCTCCCGCGGGTATCCTCAGCTCGACGTTCGAGTGCTCACATCGGATCACTCCTCCTTGACTTCCAACCAGCGCAGTACTCTCCTCCACCACAGTCGGCTCCTCTTCTTCCGTCGGTTTTCCGTTCTCGTTCTCATCCAGTCTTGGCGTCGGCGACTTCGAAGATCCGTTCGGAACATTCGAAACGGTCAATGAGATACTGCTGGCGTTCGCCGGAGAAGCGCTCCCGTTCGTTCTTGCCGGAACTGCGGGCGGTTCGTCGTTTTCCCCTCTCGCATCCACCAATCCACTATCATTCCACTTGTTTCTGATGTAACTGTGGGTGTACGGATTCGGTGCGAGAGCTGGACGTGGGGGCGGGGTTTGAGTCTGAGTTTGATGCACTGTTCGAGAAGCGCCGGATGAGGATGACGTCATGCTGGATGGGGTGAGCGGATGATATCTATTGGAAGGATTCGACGCGGTTCCGTTGGTTGGTACTGAAATTCAGGAATTAACAGAAGAACAGAAGACAATCTAAAACAAACTGACAGTGAGGGAAGTCAAAGTTGCTTGGAGTCGTGTTGTCGAGACGGTGAGGCAGAGTGGATGGTGACTGCTGAAAATCATCATATTGTTCATTCCAATTCGACATTCTTGAATTCTGAATGCATGCAATGTAAAACAATACAACACCTCGATTCTTTGCCGCCGTTCCTCGCGAAGTTTTGCCTCTTCTCTCAGTCGTGCATTCGCGATTTCATTCGCCAAACGTGCATCTTGATAGAGCGAGTCATCGTCGAGAAGCTGAACGATACGGTACTAGACAATACTCAGGCGGTACATGCAGCCTTTCACTATTACTATCAATGCTCACCTGTTTGACATGATAATATCCGTGCGGTGTCGTTGTTCTTGATGGAGGCTGCCCTGATTCATCTCGAGCCGGAGTAGTTATTGGCCTTGCGGAGGAGGGCGTAGTCACAAAAGTGGAAACGTTTTGTGAATTGGAATGGGTCGATCCTCTATTGCTGCTAGGTTGCTCCAGATGATTCTGTTGACGTGGCATGGTTGAGAAGTCACGTGGCTCGCCAGGGGCCTCAGGAGGAAGAGGTCCGATGGAAGAAGCGATGCTGCTGTCCCAGTTAAACTTGGTCTTTTCCGGCTTCCTTGGCAAACTGTCATTGTATTCGACATACTCACTCTTCAGCGAATCCACATCACCATCATACTTGGGAAGAGGGAAGAGCAGCACGTCTTCCAATGGCAGATTCGGTGGGAACTCAGGCATCCAGAGTCTTCGCTGTTGCAGATGGACAATGAGCTCACGTAGAGCATCAAACCATCCGGACTCGTGGGTCGCATCAATGGTAGCCGAGAGCAAGTGAGAATGATGCTTCTTGATCTGGTTCGCGTGTTCAGCCAGCTTCCTCGACGAGAGATGTGGAGCATTGCACTTCTTCCGAATCTCTCGGATCTTCGATCTTCCATCCACATCGAGGAACACAACGATCGGTGCGTATTGTGCCAGTTGAAGTCGTTCCACAGATTCAATGCTTATATCCAAAACGCAGTGCTTCATTGAGGCGATCACATGATCTACAGAACTCAAACGTATGACTCCTCCATCGCTTTCCGGAGCAGCAAACCGTGCAGAGAACTGGGTGAGCATCTGATGGCGAGCAATATCAGCCAGAGGACCGAAGAGCACGACGGGTCGATGGAAGGAAGGGGTGTTCAGGGACACTCTTTCGTAGGCCGGTAGCGGGATATTAGCAGACAGCTCTGTCGGATCGCAGATCATATTCTTCGGAAGACTCTTCGTCCGCCTCGACTCGAACTTTCTCCTCAAAAGTGTTCCACTTCCACTGCTCTTCGCTTGTTTGGCTTCCATGTAGAGCCGGAATTCTTTGGCAATCTGCTCTGCTGTTGCCTGATTAGGAATCACTCCTTTCATCGGTTCTCCCTTGTTTTCAGAAGCCGAGTAGACTCTCGCTGCTTGCCACAATCCAACAGTTCCTCCGAAAAGTGTGTCGGTGACGTGGAATATGTCTCCTTCGTTGATTGTCAATTCTAACGGACTGTTCTTCTTTTCCCTTGAGAAGTGAGTTCTGATGTAGAAATTGTCTCCCAGTTGGTTAGCCCGCACGTGCTCGAAATCGTTTCTGGCATGCTCCAACTTCAGCGAAACCCTATCATCCAGTCCGAGAAGTAGTTGAACAGCCGATTCGCGAGTCACTCCTCTCATATTCCGTCCGTTCACCTCCAGAATACGATCTCCACAACCGACTCCGTGGATGGCTGCGGGCGAGTCGGCGGCTACAGCTGACACGAATATTCCGACATCGTTTCCTCCGATCACACGTACTCCGACGCTTCCGCCAACTTTTCTAAACATCACATTGGCCACTCCATTCGCGTCGATAGATCGGGACGGTTGTCGGGCATAACAGTCATACTCTTGTTGACTTCCATAGGCAGTTATTTGGGAAGAAGCCATTCCAAAGTTGGAGAGCTGTGAGTTGGCGGGCGAGGACACTCTTCTCTCCACACTTCCATCTGAGCGGTGTCTCGGAGAGTTGACGTATTCGTGAGAGTTTCTGTGCGTGATGGGCATGTGTGGGAGCATCGGACTGGGCGAGTGACGTGGCGTGGCGGCCACACTTCCCACCCGTTCGTACACTGTATTTTGTGATGGCCATCTTGAAGTTCCTCGTCGAACGTCCCTTTGAATGACGAGGCACAGTTTGTCCCTCGACCTCTCGAGCCATTTATTGACTTCCTCCAAAGATGCTCCATCCAGGCTTTGTCCATTGATTCTCAGCACAGAATCGCCCTCTCTCAACCCTGGATCCTTCTCCGCCAGCTTAGGATTTCGGATCTCTTTGATGTAGAACTTGCATCCGACCACAATCCCAAAGTCGTCTTTCTTCCGCGACTTGGAAAGCGTGAACTTGAGAGTCCTCTGTTCGTACTCGAGCATCGGGACTGCCACTCGTCTCTTCACTATCATATCAATGTGATCTCTGTTCTTGATGATATCCACCGCGCTGTTGTAGTCAATGTTTTCGAATGAGACGTTGTTCGCCGACAAAATCCTATCATTGACTCTGAAAACTTTCAAAGGCAATTATAGAGCCAAGAGGGAATTGGCCTTACTGGAGTAGTCCCCAAGCTGGCCCGTTAGACACCACGTCGGAAATGACAACGACCGGATCGCCGGATGTGAAGTGCGGATTGTCGCGACCGCCGGATATCGCGATGCCGAACCCAAGGTTTGCAGCCTGAAAAGAAAAAAGTGTACGTTTTGTTTGAGATCAAATCAGTTGGTCAAAAAGAGCCGAAAGGGTCGCGGAACAAAACACTTTGTAGATCCGGTCTGTCTCGGAACACAAACCCTGCTCGGCACACACTCTCCCCCTTTCGCCCTCTCCGGCCGCCCCGGCTACATTTCGGGAAGGGTGATATGCAAAACTTGTGCGAGGAGAGAGCAGGGCACCCAAGAGGACACCCAATTCCCCAGCAGCCAATTCATCGTTTTTCTCATAGTTTCATAAGCCATCCATTGTTGTGGTGGCGTGTTGCATCGCCTCTCCTTCTCCTTCTTCTTCTTCTTTTTCGTGTCTTACAACGACTACTACTCGAGAGAGAAAGGAATCACCAATTTTTGAACGATGACACATTCGCGGCATGAGTTTTTCTCGGAAAGATAAGAAGAAGGAGAGGAGGACTATTTGGTCGCGGGAAAGGAAGAAAAAAAATGAATCGACAAGATGTGGGCAAACTTCGGGCATTTATGATTTATATGCTTTGTTCGCATGCGGAGAGGAGAGGAGAAGCCAGACCGCATTGATAATTTTTATATCAACAAAAATCGAGTGATCGTGGAGAGGGGGAGACGCAAATCTTGCTTATGACAGGATTTCCGGGCAAAAGATCTTGACCTACTGAATCAGCATAGAGAAGTTTCGAGAGAGAAGGACCATTCTCTCAGAATGTTCTAGTTGGAAACGTTTTGTATCTATACTAAAAACGCGAACTAAGTCATCAATTGAATAGGAGGAGTTGTGAAAGATAGCGAGGCAGAAGGAGACGGGTCGCTCTTTCACTCGGTGCACACGATGTGTAGTAAGATGGATACTGCTCCCGGAGCTCTGAACGATGAGGAGGTAGCAGCTGTTCTCGCGGGACGAGAGCCATTGGCTCTTTCCCGCTCTGTTTCCGCAAGAATCACCTCGAAAACAGCGGTGATTCTATCAAATCAACCTATGGAGGTTCTCATAATGAGAAGACAGACGGAGAAACGAGGGGAGGAGCCGTGAGAATGGGACACACACTTTTTCGCCAGATATCACTCATTTTCACTGAGGCTGCTGCTGCTACTGCCGTGATCTTTTGGGGGTGATGGAGGAAAGAAGGGAAGAAGGAAGGAAGAAAGGAAGGAAAAGAAATATAACGGTTTTCGTAATGTAGGTACACAATACTTGTCATAAATCATTTTAGAAGAACAGGTTTGGAACGAAAAACGGCACGGAAACATTGTGTGAAACTATTCCGTATACGACACATCTTTATCTTTTCTTGAAGAAAATAAACGTTAGACATGTTTCTAAAACCTTGCCTTCGGTAATTTTATGACGTAAATTCAGACGCCCGTGCCGTTATTCGGACTTTCAACGAAAAAGAAGAGAAAAGACACGTACCCTGTGAAGAGAGACGGAAAGCAGTTGCCACGTGCATCCACTCGGATTGTACATCTGTAATATAAACATTCTTCTTCAGACAAATCCTTATTTTGTAAATTCAAGTTCGCATTTTCCCAGTGCTGAAAACGTGGAAGGGAAAGTGGTTATTTTTCAAAACTATAAGCGACTTTGTGACACCAAAAAGTGGCCAAAGTCTACGCGCATGATATCAACGTTTAGACGTCGGAGCTCCGAGCCCCGGGAGGCCCCGAGGGAAGAGCACATTTCTCATTTACACTCTGTTGAAAAAGAGAAAAGAAGAGGAGCACAACGGGAGAATTAGGTCTCCACCATTTTCTTTGCATCTTTTTCTCATTTTTCTTTTTGGTCTCATCTTTTTTTGCTCTTGACCTGGACGACAGATTGGTGTTATTAGGAAAATGGCATACTTTTTGACAAATGGTTCGCTCTCGGCATTTTGCATTTTTCTTTTGAACAAAAAATGAATGAGTGTACCTCTTCGTCATCTTCCTCGACGGGCTCGTGTTCTTCCTCAATGCAGGACGTTGTGCTTGACATTGAACTCTTTTGGGACCACAACGACCGCTCATCGGACGAGTTCATTCTGTAAAAAGGGAATGGAATAATGTGATTGAATGGATAATTAGAGTTTCTCAACGATGCACTCGGGAAAATTAGAACTACAAATAAAGTGCAAAATAATAAAATTACCTTGAATTATGCAATTTTTTTGCTCAAAACCGGAATTTATTGACTAAACAGTAGTTAAACTTGTTTTTCACAGAGCCAATTGTAAAAAATCCGCAGTTTGTCGTGTACTTTGCGCATTATACGCAGGCATCACACCTGACGACACATTTGATAACTTCCTTTTCTTCACAATGAATCCCAAATTTACGACAGATCTCAACGGGAAAAAGTGTGTAAAATGTGATTTAGAAGCACACTTCACTGGTGAGGACTTAATTTGAACATGGAAAAAATAAATTCTTCAGGCGTTGATCCAAAAAAAGCCTGGTACTGCAAGGAGTGCTTCATTCAGATGGTTAGAAACAAGTTCAGATCGGCGCTCAGTAAAAAGAAGATTTTTAAGGTTTGAACTTGTCTTGTTTGTAAAAGTAACAATGATTATTAGGATGCAGAAGCTCGAGACACGCTCGTGGTCTACGACGGAAGCCCGTCTGCGACATTCCTTCTGAATCAAATCAACGATGCAGTGAACCAAATCACGTACAAACGGCTTATGATCCAGCCAACAGTAATAAAGTTAATCGAATCAGAAACGAATTCGGAATTTTTATAGATTCTTGTTCTGGTCTCAGTCACCGACGATGATGCCATCCAGATGGTCATGAACAGAGTCCAGGAGATCAAAAAAGAGCTTGTGACCAAAGCTCGATGGATTGTGGCCCACGTGGCATACTGCATGTACTCCGGCTCGAGCAAAGAGCTTTCAGTACTAGAAGACTCTGTTTGCAACGGATTGGAAAATATCGGCGATTACACAAGCCTCCTCGGTTCTTGCTCGGTTCCGACGTATCGCAAAGAGCTTGAAAGGATTTTGAAAGAGAAATGTTTGTTAAAAATTGGAAGTTCGCTTGGAATATCAAAGTGCATGGTTCCGGACGATGCCGATGACCTCGGACGGCTGGCACTCAATCAGTTATGTCTCGGCAGGGGTAAGTAGCGGCGTCGTTCAAGGTTGAAAAAGGAAATGGAAAAATCTTAGGAGGTTCCCTGTCGAAATTGGTGTCGGCTGTGGACAAAAGGACGAATTGCATGTTCATCCGACCGCTGCTTGATGTTTCGAAAAAGGAAATTGCCGTCTACAACTATTTGTGCGAAGTTGACAAGTTTTGTGTGCAACTCAAGGAAAGGAACGAGCCGAAATCGGTTCAGACCCTCACTGACAACTTCATTCGTACTCTGGAAGCTGAGAAGTTCTATGTAGGTGCAAAAACTGGGAGCTTAGCTTAGAAATCCCGTGTTTCAGTCCACCATCAACACGGTTATGAGCACAGCGGCCAAGATTCACAGCAATGGAGCGGACGGAACTCCTTCAAGGTGTTCTTTGTGCCACGTGGAATCGGAGCCCTTATGCGCTACTTGTTCAGCAATTCGAAATGTATGTAACAGTGAATTAATACGCGAGTTTGTTCCAAAAAGTTGCTAAATTGTTGAGAAGTGTTGATAAATTGTTGTTGATTTGAGAAAGTGATCTCAAGAATTCTGCGCCGTGGATGAGACGAAACTAATGTGGCGAAACGTTTCAGATGGAGAGCTTGTTCTCGCTTTAGGAAAAGCGATAAAACTTTACTGGACCATTCAATAAATAAGAGTTCAATGAATTATGATTAGAGAGGAAAGCATGCGATAAAAGTATTATAAATTAAAAGCAGTTTGGTTAATATCCAGCGGTTCCAAACAGATTGTACGCCTGATCGGGCGAGGTTCCAATGGCGAATGTGCGGAAGCCAATGTCGCGCAACGCATTCTGATCCAGAATGAGGCGTCCGTCGAAGATTGCGGCTGGATGTTGCATGTTATCGTGGATCTTCTTGTAGTCCAAATTCTGAAAATATTACTATCATAGGAAAACCATCTATAGCCGACACATACAACAAACTCATCCCACTCGGTAAGCACAACAATGGCATGAGCTCCACGAGCGGCCGTGAACGGATCTGATTCCACAGTGACCAGTCTTTCGACGTCTTGTGCGCTTGTCACAGTAGCAAGATCGTTTAGCATCTGAGACTTTTGCACCTTTGGATCATAGACGGAAAGCTTCGCGTGCTCCTCCATCAGATGCTTGATGACGTAGATAGCCGAAGATTCTCTCGTGTCGCCCGTGTTCTTCTTGAAAGCGAATCCAAATATGGCGATCTTCTTGTCGGTGACCGTGTTGAACAGCTCGGCGATAATCTTATCAGCAAAACGACGACGCTGCCAGTTGTTGATGTTGATCACTCCTTGCCAGTAATCCGCCACTTGCGGGAGATTGAGTGACTCGCAAAGGTAGACAAGTGAAAGAACGTCCTTCTGGAAGCAACTGCCTCCGAATCCGACGGAAGCTTGCAGGAATCTGCTTCCGATTCTCGTATCGTATCCGACGGCATGTGCCACTTCGCTGATATCGGCTCCTGTGGCTTCACAGACTGCAGAAATTGAGTTGATAGAAGAAATGCGCTGAGCAAGGAATGCGTTGGCCACGAGCTTCGAAAGCTCACTGCTCCACGTGTTCGTTGTGATGATACGGTCTCTTGGGACCCAGTTCTCGTAGATACGGACAAGTTCAGCAACGGCTTGCGCGCCTTCCGGAGAGGACTCTCCTCCGATCAGCACCCTGTCCGGGTTGGCCAGATCTTTCATGGCGGTTCCTTCGGCCAGGAATTCTGGATTAGAGAGAACTTGGAACTTGAGGTTCGGATTGTTCTTCTGGGCCTCTCGCAGGATACACCCGATACTCTCGGCAGCCTTCACCGGCACCGTACTCTTCTCCACCACAATCTTGGGCCCACCGGCGTACTGTGCAATGGTCCGGGACACCGATTCCACGTACTTCAGGTCCGGAGCCATTCCTTTGCCACGTCCGTACATCTTGGTCGGTGTGTTGACCGAGATGAAGATGAGATCTGCCTCTGAGATGGCTTTTGGGATATCCGAAGAGAAGAAGAGGTTGACGTTACGTGCTTTGAAGACGATCTCATCGAGTCCCGGCTGAAAAGAGACGAATTGGTTGAACGGTAGTCGAACAAAGTCTGGTACCTCATAAATAGGCAGTTTATCCGAATTCCACTCGGCAATCTTCGCCGCATTCATGTCGACCACAGTGACGGTGAGGTTCGGGCATTTGTGGGCGATCATTGCGCACGTCGGACCTCCGACATAGCCGGCGCCCACGCACACTATCTTCGACACTTTTCCGAACACAATTTCGTTCGACATCTTTGCTCGGGAAGTGGCGAAAAGCGACCTCTATAAATTCAAATGAAATAATTGAAGGTTGACCATGATCATTGTGTGAACCGTCATGAATATTCAACACAAATTTAGCATGAACCAAATGAGATGGGCATAAAAAACGAATGGAATGGATAGAAACGACACGCACAGTGGGAGACGAAGCGAAGTGAAAGCGGCGAGAAAAGTGGGAAAGAACGATGGATCGCAAAATGAAGAAATGGACGGATGCGCACGAGATAACAGCGGAAAACTGTTTATCAGGAGGAAGCGATTTATGTGGGCATGGAAACAATGGAAACAGGCTGAAAAGTTAGCGGGGAGGAGCACGGAATAATGCGATTTTAACGTGAAAATAATAGGATGATGTATTTCAAGAAACATTGCGCGCGCACATTATAGAACCAATAAGATCAAGCAGAAATTTGAGTGGTGTAGACGGATTTTGTTCCTGACTGACTAAAAATAAATTAACGAAACAAATATCTAGAACATTTTCGACTTATGATCAGCAACACCCTTACTAAAAATATGCTTTCACGTCGTTTTATCATTACAAAAATGATAACAATTCAGCTGTTAAGACATCACTGTTTACTCAGCGCCCCACCCCTCAGTTCTGGACGGAAAGAGAGGTCAACTGGATTGAACTGCAAGGGCACATTTGTAATTATAACGCATTGAGAGAGAAACCAGATGTGGAGGACGGGCGACCTTCAGAGATAAATAAATAAATGGAAAACGGGGCCACTTGACTCATACTTTTATTAGTGAAACGGAGTTATATTAGTTCTTAGTCGTCAATGTATTCAGGCAAATCTTCCTCAATTCGGACGTTAACCGACAGAAGACTACTATTGTCGAAGAAGTAGAGACGGGCGTCGAGAGGATTGTAGTGGAGCATTGTGAGCCCTTGGTACGGATTGTACCATTCGACCTGGCCGGGAATTGTGTCGTTTCTGCAAAAAACAGAGTCCTTGCCGCTTAGTTTTTGTGTGATGTTTGTTCAAACGGACACCAATTCACGCGGATGCTTATTGAGCTTTGGTTGCGCAAACATTCACGGATTTGATCTAGAAGCGTAAAAAGTACCTGTACAAATCGAACGCGTGTGTGATCTGGGTCTGCAGATTATGTGCACTTTTCAGGCCGTACCAGACGCCACACATGATGAACGAGTCTGCCACGTCAGTTGTGTTCACTTCCACATCCCATTTTCCGACGACATACAAGTCGTTCTCAATCTTTGCAATCCGAATGGTTTCCGCGTCCGAATTCGAGTAAATCACCCACAATCCGTTCTCATCAATCGCAAAATCCACGTAATTGTGTGGTCTGTCGTACAGCCACACGTGTCGATCCGTGGTATTGCACTCTTCAAATGTATGATCTGGCAGGCGTCCACAATCCACAAAGGACATTTCTGGATCCAACTGTGATTCGATTTGAACTCCAGACTCCAGTTCATATCGGACTAAATGAGTTGTTCCATGTTTGTGATAGTAGTACGATCCATTGTAGACAACGTTTCCGGTTCCAGATGCCAGATAATCCACGTAGTACTTAATCTTCTGAACCTTATCCAGCAACTGCCGCTCGTCTTCGTATTCATAAAGCACTGGACTCGCGAATCCGTCGGTTACCCATCGTCTCTTCGCGCTTTTCGCAGAAGCCGGAAGCGCATCTCTCATCCACGATCCGACGCGGCCGTACTGTGATTCGGCGTGTAGAACTGGAATTCCGACGGCAGCCAGAATGCATTCTTTTCGGTTGTAGCCCAATGTCGGCGGTCCCATGTACGGAGTGGGGGTGCTGATATTCAGATCTTGAAGTGTTTCGTTGAAGGTTATGTTTCTTTCTGCAAGGCGATTCAGATATTATTGGAGAAAACCAAGATCCGATCACCTGTGGGGAACACGTGAATCGGTGGTTGTGTGGTCTTTCTTCGCGGAGTCGGAGGTGGCCGGATAGTCGAATATCTTGGAAGCTTTCTCGTTCTTCCTGGGTTGGGCATTCCTGGAGCCCATCCCGGTGGCGGTCCAAATCCTGGAGGCGTTGGTTCGAAGGGCACAAGCTTCGTCACTTCGATTTCTTTAACTACAACTACCGGAACCGGCACCATCTTTTCTTCGATTTTGATAACGGGAGGCCCGGGAATCGGAACTCTTTGCACATACATATCGGGGAACGGACAGTTACACTTCCCGTCTCTTCCAGGTTCTCCAATGCTTCCGTGCTCTCCGACAAGCCCAATCGGCCCGACAATCCCCATCGGTCCGCGTCTTCCGGGCGGTCCCACTGGTCCTGACGGTCCAGGTTGTCCCTGCGCACCTGGAGATCCGGTCAGTCGCATGCTCTTCTCAGAGCAATACTGGTGAACTTGAGAGCAAGAACGATCCAAAACATTTTTCTAAAAATCATTTTTTTGTGGGAAATCGTGAGGAGTATAGAAGCACCGGAATGATAGTATCTTGTCCAATGATAATTGTGTAGTCTTCTAAATCTACCGGAAATTGTTTTGTATCTCGTTTCACTCTAACTGAATACGCTGATTGATTCGAGAGCTCACATTTGAGAGACTGAAAATTAAATTTTGAGTTCATTCCCTCGAAAAATCTCACATTGAGCCAAAGATATGCGTGCAGATAGAGAGCTCCGATCAGAATGACATTTCCTATTTCTCCAGCGATAATCAATCTGAAAGAAGATTCTAGAATTAAGAATCAGATGTAATTCACCTTCTACCACGTCTCCAACTCGCAACTTCAATCGGCTGGGACGCCATTGTGCGGGAGAGAAACGATAATGTTTCATTTGTTCGATTCTGTATAGCTGAAATTCAATACTACCGGTTGCGGGAAAATGGGCGCAAATTATAAACAAAACTGCTCAAAAGTTTATTGTTTTTGCAAACTTGGTCAAAAATGTTTGTCCCCCGCTTGAAAGTTGCAAGTGCGCTCTATTGTCATTTAAAAAATGCGGAAAGTTTGAAAAATTGTTTTCCAGTTGAAAAGTTAAGAAATGTCGGCCAATAAAATCGAAAGGATATCAAAAGACGTGGCAGAACGATTAACAACTGCTCAGGTAACATTCCGCGATAAAAACACGCACCTGCTTCTCGGATTCAGGTCGTGGTCAGCTTATCAAGTGCTTTGCGTCAGCTGATTGACAATTCAATTGATGCCGGATCGACGATTATCGGTATCACAAATATCAATTGCTCATCGGTTGTGCTTTTCTAGATATCCGGGTTAAAAACAATGGTTTCGACAGTATCGAAGTTCAAGATAATGGTTGTGGAATCGAAACGCTAAACTTTGATGCTCTCTGCAAGCCACATTCAACATCCAAACTAACCCAATTATCGGATTTTGACAAGTTAGCAACACTGGGATTCAGAGGAGAAGCACTGAATGCTCTTTGTACTGTCAGGTACATATTCTTTTGAAATTTAAGCGAATTTTTCGTACTTACAGTAACGTAATCATTTTCACTCGTGCAGCTGATTCTGAAATTGGACACCGTCTAGTATTCGATCATCACGGCAGCATCACGCAAAGAACGATTGCTGCCCGCGAGTTCGGAACCACAATTATAGTCGAGAAGCTGTTCGAGACACTTCCAGTTCGACGAAAAGAGCTGGAGCGCAGCTCGAAGCGAGAATTCGTAAAACTTCTGACGGCAGTCCAGTCATTCGCTCTCCTCTGTCCGCATATTAAAATGTTGTGTACAAATACAGTGGCTGGCAAGAAAATCAACGTTATCTGCACCCCGGGAGGAACTTCTTCAATTGGAGACGTCGTCAGAAATCTCTTTGGCGCTTCCAAAAATACCGATTCTGATTCGTTGGTCGAAATCAAGAAAGATCAGCCGAATGAGGAAATAATGACTTTGTATTCGATTCCGAGCGAGGAGAGTGACATTTTTGACCTATTCAATCTACGTGGATTCGTGAGCAGTTGTGAGCATGGCAGCGGTCGAGGCACTTCCGATCGGCAGTTTGTTTATATCAACAACAGACCAGTGGACTACACTCGTGTGAGTTTGTGGAAACACCAACTACAGTATAAAAAACAAAAAATTTCACGTGACCTTTCGTAACGTTCATTTCAGGCAGTGTTGGCATTCTGCAACCCTACTGCCTGTAATGAACTTCACAAAAGGCCACAAAAACATTTTTGCTTTTAAAAAGCAAAAGCCCCAAAACTTTGCTGTCCATTTCAGGTGACCAGTACTATCAACGAAGTCTACAAACAGTTCAACAAGTCGCAATATCCGGTCATCGTTCTTTTCATCGACGTTCCGCCCGGAAAGATCGACGTGAATGTGACGCCCGATAAGAAAACAGTAATGCTCGAAAAAGAGAGGCATTTTTTGGCCATCTTGAGAGCTTCGATGCTCCGAACTTATCTGAATGTTGTCGGCTCCCACTCGACAATGAAGAGCAGTGTGGAAGATCGTCGGAAGCTTCATGTTCAAGTACAACTATCCGATTCGCCTCTCTCGGAACCGCCAAGTCCAACCATGTCTTGCGATGATTCTGCGCTCAACTCGACTATTGATAGTACAGATGCGGACGACACCGACAGGTTGATGAATATGGAAGATCTATTGAAGCAAAAGTCTCCCCCAGCCAAGAGAATGTGCTCAATGTTCCGACGGCCCACAACGAATAGCAACAAGCTGGAGAAGTATTCGTTCACAATGGAACCGAAAGTCTTCATTTCGAAGCCGAAAGAGCCACAAAAAGATTGTCCGACTTCTGAAAAAGCACCCAAAACGTGGGGATTCCCCAAAGAAAATGTCTCTTCTTATTTGGAAGAAGAGCAAAAAAAAGAAGAAGAAGTAGAAGAAGGAGAGAACACGATTGACGATATAGAAACGATTGATGATTCTCAGGAAGATCTGATTTCTGAAGACTCTCAGAATCTGCTGCGACCGCAACAAAAAATCATGTTTTCCATGAAAACTCTTCGAGATGTCTACCGTAAACGAAACAACCAGAAGGTTGAGCACGAAGAAAGTGGTCTCCAGAATGATGCTCTGAATGAGCTGACGACGGAAATTCGAAAAGAAGAAGACGCTGAAGCAGAACGGCAACTTTCCCGATCATTACAGTATGTTCAAGTGTTCCATAAAACAATAGAATCAGGTTTTCAGAAAGAACGACTTCTTGGACATGAAAATCGTTGGACAATTCAACAAAGGATTTATCATTTGCAGTCTCCGATTTCATCTTTTCATCGTCGATCAGCACGCGAGTGACGAAAAGTACAATTTTGAGAAGCTGCAGAAAAGCGCAAAACTGACGAAACAACCGTTGTTCACGTACTGATAATTTTCTTCTGGAAGCTTCTTTAAATTTAATTTAAATTTCAGACCGACGCCTCTCAGCTTCGGAAGTGTTCAGGAGATGATCATCCGAGAGAATCTGAACATTTTCCAATCCAATGGCTTCGATTTTGACTTCAGGGAGAACGACGGCTGTCTGAAGACGTTCCTGACGGCGAGGCCGGAGATTCTCAGCCAGCATCTGACAAACAACGATCTGGAGGAAATCGTGGCAGTTGTGTCCGAGTATCCGTATCAAATGTATCGTCCCGCCCGAGTTCGCAGCATTTTTGCGTCAAGAGCCTGTCGTAAGTCGGTGATGATCGGAAAATCGTTGGATCAAAGGGAGATGATACGAATCATCAGACATTTGGCGAAGCTGGAGCAGCCATGGGTATAAGAGAATTGAGTGGAAAACATTAAGAAAAGGGAAGTTTTTTCCAGAACTGCCCGCACGGCCGGCCGACAATTCGACACCTAGTGTCATTGAGGAATATCTTGGATGAGTAGCATTCATTTCGAAAAATGAATTTGTGAAATTTGAATTTAAAGCGATATGTGTCGACTGTTGGCGAGTTGAAGAGAGTTTCCGTTTCGAAAGGCTGGACCAATACGAGTTCCGGCTGAAATTCATTTGTCCTTACACTTCCATTATTTTAATGAGAACTGAGAACTCACAAGACATCGAACGAGTCACAGACGAATTCTCCATCGCCTCTTGTCTCAAGATGTCGATCTGTTGATCTCTCCGCAGCATTGGCCTCATTTCTGTCGCCGTTTCGTCCACTTTGCTGTAGATGACTGCGCTCGATCTGTCAAAGTGCGGCTCTTTTCGCATGTTGGCCATGAAAAAGCAGAATGCGGTGAGCAGGATTCCTAGGAATATTCCGACGAAAAGTAGGAGAGTGACCAGAAGAACAGGAAATTCATTGGGCTTGAAGGACGAGTTTTCGGGCTGATTTTAAAGCGTTTTGTTTCATAAAGAAATTGGACTAGATGGCTTACTGTCGAAGTACGTTGTTTTGTGGCGGGCGGAGGTGGGATAGAAGCCGACATGGCTCGTTCCGCACCTCCCGGTTCTACAGCCTTCCAGTAGAACTCCTTATTGCTAATCTTTTCCTAAATGCTAGTTTTCTCTGTTGATAGCTGAGCGCCCACTCCAACCTTTAGTCTGGGATCCGCGTCTTTTCCCATACTCTGAATGATCTCTGCCGCCAACTTTGGAGTCATTTCTTTTCCGCCCCTTATCTCATAGTAATTCGTGCCATATTCGTTGTTTTGCACAGCCTGACAATAAGACAAATGTTCAGTATGACGTCCTGTCAATTTAACAAATAACCTTGTAAGTTGTATTCTCAGGTTCTTCATCCTCTGGTTTCTGCGACAATCGAACTCGGAACACGTGAACCGAACAATCTAAATCTAGTTTAGAATCTCGGAATCAACCTGAAAAGGCTCACCGTTTGGAGGTTGACACTGTGGAATGACAACTGAAAGGGCGGACAAAACTATGGTGAATAGGAACAAGAGCATGTTGAGAGCTTTCCTCATCGCCGGCACAACCACCTCATTTCGGTTGTTCGTTAGGTACAGAAGTAGTCAAGAATAAAATAGAAAGATTTGAAAAAAAATTCGCTGACGAAGCTGGAAAGTTTTCCAAAATTCAAGATAACAAAAAAATCTGTTTCTGTTTCGCAACACGCCTGATTGTCAATTGATAAGGAATATGAGAAGAAGACGATGGGGAAAAGAGACGGCGAAACAGAGAGACATCAGATCTCCAGACTGTTCACGGTAGTCGATCGATAGTGTAGAAGTTGCGTGTTTCTTCGAGTGATCAAGATCAGCGTGATGTCTGTCTGTGTGACGACTGATAAGGAAACGAGCGGGAGTCGAAACAATAACAAAACTCTTCGATTGTTTATTGCATTCTCTAGACATTTTCGTACAGAATTTGTTCGTGCTCTTAGTCGTCCAATATTTGGACCCATTCGGCGATAGTCGAGTTGGTTGACAACGGCGTCGGCACGATTCCGTCGTATTCGTCGAGCGGCAAATCGAGAGTCAGACGAGCAGCGTGAACGGCACTTCCGTAGCCGAGAGTGAAGCCGTTTCCTCCGTGACCGTAGTTATGCACCACTGTGAACTGTTTATTGCCATAGGCTGAACGGAGCTGCTTCTCAACGCGAACTTGCTTGCGGCCCGGACGGTATCCGACGAACGAGGAGAGCATGTGAACCCTCTGAAAAACAAGAGTTACGGTATTTGTTTCTGAAAGTCCAAGTACCTTGAAAGAAGGTTGAAGTTTCACATAACGACCGGTGATGTCCTGGATATCACTGAAAGTGATGTCTTGTGGACCGAAGGCGCCCTCCTGCTTTACAGTTCCCATGTAAACTGAATCAATCCTGGAATGCAACGCATCGTTTAGAAAACAATCTCAAGAGGCTTACACAGGAATGGTGATGGTATCAAAGTCGCGGTAAAGGAAGTGTTTGTGCCACGGGGCGTCCACCTTGATGAGCACTCCTCTGATCGGAGTCATGTTTCCACTGTCGTCTCCGGCGAGCACTCCTCCGTACAATCCGGCCGCGTTGACGACCACATCGAATTCGGCGCCCAGCTCCTCGAGATTATTGATCTTTCTCTGCGTGAACCGCACTCCTTTCGCGATCAGCTCTTTCTTCAGGAACGGACAATAACGGAGTCCTTCGGAAGTGTACGCCGTGTAGTGAATGCCATGAGTGCTCGTGTTGCGCGGAAGATCGAACAGAGACGTGGGTCCGAACAGTTCGGCTTCTGTCAAGTCGCGATAATTGTAGACGAGACTGCCGTAGCTGACACGTTGTGTATCCAACTTGGCCTTCGAATCCGAGAGGATGTGTCCGGAGACGAGCTGCACGCCGCTTAGTCCTCCGTATTCCCTCCACAACGTCGCCAACTTTTCGAACGTGTCATATCCGTACTTTTTGTTGATCTCCGATCCGCTGTCGATGCGGAACAGTCCGGCAATGTGACGGCTCAGAATGCGCTCAAAGGGCTTGTGATGGAAAATTTGGAGCTCCTAAATGGAATTTCTAGCAGAAATATGATACTTCATCACAAACCACATCAGAAATATTCTCCTTTTCGGCCAAATCGAGGATCGCAGTCGCTGTGCTCAGTCCGATCACACCTTCGCCGACAACAGCGATTCTCAGCGAAGTCACTAAAAAATACTGGTACAAAAAGGCCTAAAAAAATTCTGGCAGTCGCGGAAAACTGGAACTTACCCGAAATAACGACTCCAGCAAGGAGCAGAAGACGAAATCCCAGCATTTGCCGAGAAAAACGCGGAATGATTTGCCCGGCCTGACGAGAATAATTGGAATTTTAATCTGAGGGGAACACGCGCGCGCGAAAACCAACACAAAAAAGAACATAAAAATAGATGATCAAAATGGGTCAAAAATTCGGCGGTCTCTTATTTTCTTGCTGAGAAGTCAAATAAGAGAGTACATTTATTATTTACATCTTCCGGGGTTTCAGTGTGAATAGATATACGAAAACATTTTTGACAAAAAGAAACTCGCTTATGGCAGGGAAACGGTGGGTTGGAAATAATTGAATGGATTCGGGGGCAGACAGGGTGTGCGGGAAAAAAGTTATTGGATGGCAGGCGAAGGGGGCGCCGACGGGGGAGGAGAATGGGATCACGTACTCCGTAGTTCATTGTGTTGTTCACACGCTGTCGTCTGAAAACAGGAGTGTTTAGGTAACGGCTAGGACGGGCAGGATTCGTGGGAAAACTAACCATGGAACCACCACCGAGTCTTGCTCGGATTCTTATTGCATGTGCGTACGTAGATGGCGTCGTCGATCGGATGCTTCTGAAATTATCATTTTTAAGCAGGCTCTGAAAATTATAGGCTATTACCTTCTCTCTTGCTGATGAGAGCATTGAAAGAATGGAGAGACAGACTGATTGTACGCTGAGAGCCGGCGTCCAGTCGTCCGAGAGGATCGAGAGACAGATGTGACCGTTTGAGTAGATGTGCGGATGCGCTGGGATCGTATCACCGACGAACATCACTTCCGGCGAGTTGAACGGATATTGTGGCCCGAAAGTGAACTGAAGGGTGAAGACGTCGCCAGCGTACAGAGTACCTTCCGCTCCGACGACACCGATCTTCCATTGCCTGAAAAGATGTTTTTTTATGCTTTTCACTGCATTTTTTCTAGGTTCTTACTTCAAGTCGTTACTCGTCGATGTTTTGTCCACTAGGATGCCTTCCGGAGCTTCTTGTTGTAGCTGACTCAGCTCTTTCATCAACCGGCGTTGACTTGCATCTGACATCTGAATTTTATATTTGAAACTCAAATTGAAAATTAGAAAGATCAACTCAGTATGGAGAGAGATAAATTATGCGGTAAAACGCGAAGTAATCAAGAGAAAACTGAACAAGAAATTGACACTAAAATAATTTATAAATACAACATGACATCAATTATTTTTTTTCAAACACACTTCAGCAAGTTGTCGAGTGAGTAAGTTAACTACAGTAGGAGGACCTCCCTCATTCGAAATGTACTTTCTGGTTACTGGCTCGTCATTTTCTTCAACCTCCGGCTTCTCCTCCATCTCGTCCTCTTCGATTACTCTTTCGATTACTGTATGCAGCACGCCTTCCTGCATCATAACTCTCGTCTGCTCAATCGGCTCTGGCGGCTTAGGAATTTTGTTGTTAATGGTCGTGAACTCGTCTTCAATGGCATCTCTCCCTTGACCCAGATATGTTCTGAATTAGATGTAAATGAAAAATCAGGGACAAAGAACAGTAACTCACCGGAACTGATCACACATCAAGGATAACTCCCCAATTTGTCGTTCTTGAAGTATCCGCACACTATCACGCGCCTGAAATCGATTTTTCTTTTTTTGAAAAGACACGCCGCATGACTCACTTGCACGGGACGGAATTCGTTGATCAAGTGGTGCATATTGATGAAAATGGTGTGCAAATCATTCAATTTCTCCTCACGAAACGGGTGATCCGGGGAGCGGATGAGGACTTCGACAAGATCGAAAAACGCGACGATTGCACTCCTGGAAATGTAATTTTTCCAGATTTGAGCAAAAATGTTTGTCGTGTTGAAATTTTGAAAAGCATTAGGAGCACTTACGGCTCCAGAAACTTTTTCAAAGACTTAACGACAAACTACTCACCGGTTCAACTTTTTCATCTCTGCCTTCCAATTGTTTTTGTTGGCATACAACTCGCGGACGCCGGCATTCGACAGCGGGCTTAATATGAATGAATTTGACACTTTCAGAAGAATAGGATGAATTCGAAATGAATTCTTGTTACTCACGCGACGACGTCATCTTCCAATCGATACTCTTCACCGAAGACGCAGAACTCGGTGAGTGGATAAGGAGGTGGAGGAGCAGAACCTGAAACATGTGACTTTTGGAAAAACAAGACATAACAACTGGCGAGTCTCACCATTATCGATTCGGTCGCTTGTGTACTGTTGTGCGTACTCGGGTGGATTCGGAAATGGACTCACTGTCTGTGCAGCTAATCCGGGAAGCATTTTCTAAAAGGAGAACACCTACGAAGACACCTCAAGTGACACCGAAATATTGGCAAACTGAATTGTATCGCAATGGAGCGCACTTACAACACTGCACTGAAAAACCAGAATCATTTTTTTTCAAACATTTTTCAATTAATTTTGAATTCTTACGCTGTTGTGAATAAAAAGTGTCGTAATATATCAAAAAATACAACGTGAAGCTTCCTTTGTTTAAAATCTTTCTTCATTTGATTAATGTCTGTAAAACTTCTAGTTTTTTTCAGATAACATAATTCTCGCTTGAATGAACGACCTAGCAACATCCCCTCTTCTCCAAGAACACCTCATTCAATGTGAACTTTTTAAGAATAAAGTTTTATTAGAAAAGCAAGTAATAACGTGTGCAAAATACGATCAAAAGTATGCACAATCATCGAGAAGACATCGATTAGAAGAAGTTTTTCCGGAACATATCATTGGTTGCAAATTTTTGCCCAAGGAGAAGGTAAGTAAAATGTTTCAAAAAGTCTTCAAAAGTTCACTCAAATTTTTCAGGCAATAGTGACTGTAACATCAAGAAATACTTTAAAGATCCAGAAATCGTCGAACTCAGCAATTGAGAAGACTATCCAATGCGAATATTTTGCCACGTCGTAAGCTTTGACTGACTCATAGTCAAGGGAAAAGTTCTAAAAATTTCCAGAATTTGTTCCCTAATTCTCGGCGAATCCGTCAAGGATCTGAGAGTGTTCTTTGGAAGTGTGATTGGTGATTTGATCGATTGGGAACCGAGTGTTCAAGCGGAGCCTATCAAACGAGCCGGTCATAAAGGAATGATCTTTTCAATTGTCAGTGATTCCTCTCGAGTTTTCACAATTTCCGACGATCGGACAATCCGGATGTGGTCTTTGAAATCCAGAGATAGTGAGCCTATTTTGTAAGTTACCCATAACCTGCAATAGTCAAAATCACCGGTACTCTTTTAGCACGGTCTTCGGCCATACAGCCCGCCCGTTTACCATTTGCGTGGATCCCCACAAAAACCTGATTTACACGGGCGGCATCGAGCAGACCCTCTTCTGCTGGAAGTACGACGAGGAAAAGATTAAACTCGTGAAGAAAACTGTGCTTTCGATTGGAGTCATCCGGAAGATTACTCAGGAAGATGAGTCCACTCTGATAATCAGCTCCCAAGACGGAGATATCATGAAGATTGACTCGTCAGTTGAAGCGGAGTCTCCAACTGTTTTGACCGAGAATATTGTGAATTTCGCGCACGTCAAGGATTATCTATTGATTTTGAGTGAGAGAAACGAACTGATTGTGTACGAGAACGACGGAATGGAGAGAATTGTGTTTCGATGTGCCGGCATCAAGCACATGAGCTCTTGCGATCAGTCGGCTGTAGTGTGGAATCAGAGTGTGTTCGTGTTCCTCAATGGATCACATGGTAATTCTTTTACTCAAATTGTGTTCAAAGTCCAATATTCAGTGCATAGGATACAATTGTCGGTGAACATCATTTCGGCGGCGTGTGACGCTTCCTGCGTAGCTGTGAAGACCATCGATGGATTCATAGTACGCTGATTCTTTAGACTTAAATTGCTGAGTTTTTTTAGAACGTGTACAATCTCGAAGATCCGGTCAATGTGAAGCTTCTAAAGCAGTTCCGGCCATCCAATCCGGCAATGATTCCGTCAGTTTTTGCATTAATCGGAGACAGCCTCGTGCTGGGATCAACTCACGGAGAGCTTTTTCATGGATTTTTGAGCGACGAGATTTCGCCGAGTTTGAGCCGGAAGGACTCATTCCAGTTGTTCGGAGGGAAAGAAGTCACTTGTATCGAGCCGATCCCGGGAACATCTGCATTTATGACTCTCGGAAAGACTGGAGTGTGGACAACTTTCAACATTTCTGAGGAAAACGAAGTAAAAATTTTGAATTCGAGAAACTTTTCCGCGAGTAGTCGAGTGGCATGGCCTTCCAAGTTTATCGATATGGACGGCAATCGAGTTATCGTGGGATTTTATGGGGTAAGTGATTTGCTTATGAAAGCTTGGGCCGACGAGAATGAAAATAGATCTTTCGTAACCTTTTCAAATAGAACATGCCACTTGAAACCCGCCTCAAAAATGTTATGTCAAATTAAATTCGTTTTTCTGACGTGGCCTGTCGGGTTTGTGGAAATGAAAGGCAATGAACCTAGTAGATCGGTGTAATTTTAGACATCGCTGATACTGTGGAACTCAACAACCGGGAATCCAGTATTCGAGACGTACTGCGGAGGCGGGCATCGTGTTTGGCAAATCTGCGAATCTGTTGATCCTTTGGTTCTACATTTCAATTTCATTCGAGACGGAGATCTGTGTCGTCAAAAGATTTGCCTTCGCTCGAAGCAGCATCTCGTCACAACTCCCCACTCTTCTCCGATCGTTGCTACTGCCGGCTCTCGGAACTACCTGGTTACCGTATCCCTGGACGGACACATTTCGATTGCCACTCCGGAAGCCAAAACTCTTCTGACAATGTTCGCAGGGGAGAACTTGCTATGTACGGATATCAAAGAATACGGTGACGACGCGTACGTGACTACAGGAGGCGGAAAGTCGAAAATGTCAGTGTGGAAGTTCCGGAGATCGTCCTCAGATCTTCAGAATAACACATTCTGGCTGCGTCACGCGTGCCGTGCCGACGAAGGCCGCATTGTGAGCACGAGCGTAGCGAAAGTACGTGGGAGCATCTTCTTTATCGCGTCATATTCTTCGGGAACAATAGAAGTATTCAAAAACGGCGAGGATTCTCTGGACTCTGTATTCACAATTGAAATCGAGGATTTGCTGGGAATCGGAACAAAAATGACCGCTTTGGAGCAGAAGCTGTTTGTGGGAACGAGTGGCAGCTATCTGCTCACTTTTGATCTGGCAGAAAACGGAACACTGGAAAAATCTTCAAGAACAAAGCTCAAGGACAGAAGTGGAGTGACGGCTATTGCTGCAGCGTCTGGTGCACAAAATATTATTGTTGGCTGTGATTCGGGTCACGTCTTCAACGTGGATTCCAATGGCCACGCAGAAATTATTCATTCACATCTTTCAACCGTCGTCGGAATCGTCGCAGAGCAGCCGGATCTCGCGCACTCCGTTTCTCTCGATTGTACAGTGATCACTTCCACGTCATCAGGATTTTCGAAGAAAGCAACAATCGTGGATATGCCCGGCGGAATGGTGAAGACTGGAGACCGTTCCTTGGCAGTTGTTGGCGATGGGATTCAATTGTTCTTGTTGTAATAATTGTTGACATTTTTTAATGGTTGAAACAAATTGTTTATTCCAAGAAGTTTAGAGACATTTGAACTCGGCGGTCGGGGGCAAATGATTGATAAAACTGGGAAAGTGAATGGGCGGGATGAACCAGTCAATAGATATATTATGCTTTTTCTTCTAGAACGGAACGATGAAGAGATCAGTGATGTGACTTGAATGTTGGAGGGGATTCTTATAAAAGCGGGGGGCATCTAGTGTTATTACAGGGTGGAATCAAGGCAATGAGAATCTCTTATAATCTCTACAAAGCGAGTTTTTCGTAAGTGGGAGGAAATACACGTATTGGCAAGGAAAAGCAGAAGAGGAAAAGGCACCGAGAAAGACCGGGAAAACTAAAGGGCGAAGAACTAGAGATACACCTTCTTGACTTTGTAATCTCTCGGCAAAGTGTTCTGGTTGATCGACGTCACAATTGCATTCTTATCCCGCGATGGAGTGTTTATGCCGGAGCCGTGCTGGCTCATCGACATTGCGTGCGTCGCATTCATCGACATCACCAGTGACGTGGCATCCATACTCTGAAATAAACGGTAGTTTCGTAAATTTTCTTTGAAATCTCACTTGTTTCGATTGTGGCACGAAACCATGATCCACTTTGGCTGCAGTTGTCAATGAGTCATGTCTCGTCAGTCTGGCACGTCCGAAGCTGTCGTAATCTGAGCCACTGGTCGAGCTGGCCGATCGATGAGGTTCCGAAGTGACAGCCCAGCGATTTATGCGGATTCCAATCTAAAAAGCATTGACAATGAGCACAAGTGCAGCCACGAAATCTCACAAATGCTCCGACAATAAGTGAAATCAGCGAAGCCACAGCGGCGACAAGGATCACGGTCATTGTCGAGTGTTCTTTGGCATTTATGCTTCTCGAAACAGCTTCCGGTTGTGCTTCACTGTCTGAAATGGAATAATTGGGGCAAATTTGGCTAATAGTGACCACTTACCATTGTCGTCGAACACTTCTCGCACAACAATGCCTTCTGGGCATTGTTCCGATTGCCCGAACACCATGTTTTGAATAAACTGATCGCCAGTCCAGGCGCCGCCGTGTACACATCTGAAAACTGAGTAATAGTGGCGACTTCCGCACTTTCACTGGTTTACCTGGCAATACTGGAATCCCAGGCACAGTGCGGATCTTGTAGCTGTACACATTTGGAGCAGCTAGTTTGTTGAGCACAGTTGTGGACTGGCAACGAGGCGATCTCATCGGAAGACACTATGACGACGTTGTCCTTTGTCGTCAACAAATTGACAATTGGCACTCCTTTTTGGAAAACTGAAGCGGATTGGATGACGGTCGCATTTCCATCCACCTCCACCACTTTCAACACTTTTCCATCGGAAGTTCCAATGAACAGAATGTCGTAGTGTTGTCCGCTGACTGATTTCACACGTGGCAACACTGTTATCTGGGTCAAGTCGGCCTTCTCGGCGCCTTCGACGAGCAAAGGAGGGCCAAGAGCGGCGATCGAACGGTGAAGTAGCGGATGATGAAGAACGAAGGATACGGTATTCTCCGGAAGTTTTGTGGAATCAAGGGTGCACGAACCAGGTCGTGGCTTCGGAACTTCATTTCTATTGAACGCCATCCACATCGACTGAGCGTTCGACTGATGTTTGAAGGTTCCGGTGTCGAACTCTTCCCGAATCTTTTTCATCGAGAACTTGCACACCGCGCTCATTCGGACATCAGAATCTGGTGTAGAGAACACTGTGTAAACCACGTGATCGTTGTTTCCGGCATCGATCGGATCCGAAACGGCTTTTAGTTCATTGAAGTAGAACGGAGAGGATCCGGATGGAAGTGAGCAGTTGAGCCTCGCTTTCAGATAAGTCGTCCATCGTTCGTTCGACGGACGGGCTCCTCCCTTATCGTTTTTACAGACTCTCGCGACTCGGGCGTAGATCTGGAAGTCTCGAACTATCGGGAATGGAAGAATTCCGATGAATAAGGTGTACCTGCGATTCTTCATTGTTATCAATGGCTTCACTGGCAACTTCTCGGAACCAGAAGTACACGTGCTCTTTGTAGACGAAGGAAGAGACAAAGTTGGGTGCTGAAAGAGGATAATTTCGATACGGAAAGTTCAGAATGTCCCTTACCACTCAACACTCTTGCGTCATAACTTTGCGTCCGAATGTTCGAAGATTTGATCTCGCCATCAATTGTCTTCCTAAACAACAATTACTTACACAGTTAACAAAGAGGCCAACACTCCATTAGAATGCGAATGCACTTACCGATAAATGAGTGCGTCATTGCCAACAAAGTCGGTGACGGTGGCGGCGTAAAGTTGATTAGTCTCCGGAATGTATAAGGCACTCGAGTTGTGCCGCGGGTCGTAGGGGGAGATGCCCTGTCCGTCGAACTGGCGCGTGTTCCGCACACCGTAATCGGTTATTGTGTACTCGCGGCATTTGGGTGAGAAGGCGTGAGTCCCGCAGACGAGCGAAACGCCGGCGCTCTTCCGGGCGAGCACTCGGATGTAATTCTGGCAGTCCGTCTTCGATTTGCCCTTCATTATGCACTCTTCGATGTGCTCGGCCGGCGGTTTCCAGTCGATCTTCTGGAAAATTATTGGATTTGATTGAATGACCCTCAAGACTGCGATTGAAATATAGCTATTCTCGAGAATCTGAGCAGTATGGGAAGAAAAGTCCTTACATGATTGACCGAAAGTGTCGAGAGGGACAGATTGTAGACAGCATTTCTGAAATTTTTTATTTAGGTTCCCCAATTCTTTTTTCTGTGAAACGGTTTTTTCCGAGACATTGCGCCTAGATCATTATCTACCGTACACAGACCGTGAATGACATTGCAATTGTTTGACAGGTAACTTCTCAAGCCAAACAGGTTCTTCTCAAAAACCATACCTAGCTCCAACAAGCAGCGAGTCTCCATCAGCAGCCAGTAGTTTGAAGTGGTCCGATTCGTCAGAGTTCGTGCCGATCCCTCCGAATCTGTCGCCGATGCCAACTGAAACAATTTCAAGATTTAGTAACAGAATCTTGTCTCGTAAATAACACGGAAGCATTTTTCACGTGACCTTCATCTAGGAAATGGAATGAGCTGCAGTCATCCGAATCAGAAAAGAAAAGGTCACGCGAAATTGAAATTGAAGCTAATGGCATCGACTTGACAAGTCGCGGATACTGTAGCTACCTTTCTCGTGAACTCATAATACCCGTTCCTCCTTTTTCCCAATCACTTCAAGTGCGTTCTTCCAAAAGAAGACGATCTCACCGGCGGGAGGTATCCCATTTCAAACACACGTAGAACACCCAAAACGATCCCTTTACAGGGCGGCAACCCCCTTTGAACGCAAAATACGATGAATTCGCATTCAAGGACGACATGCTTATTACCCGTTCACATTTCATTTCTTTTGAGGGTCACTACTCTCGTCCCATTTTTTTCACCTCCAAGATGTTTGTTCGGGGAAGGAAGCCTGCACTTGGTCGAGGCGTGGATTTGAGAGCGATAACGCGATTATATGTATGACAAGAGGGGTGCCGATTGTGAGCGTGCCCTCGGGGGACCACTAAAAGTTGACATGGACGGACTCTTCTTCGCGCAATCATATACTTCTCGTGTGTTCTACACGAATAATCGCCTGTCCCCGGGGAGACCGGACATCGCAAAAACGTTCAACTTTCTTCTTCCATTTGCCACTAATGTGAGTGAAGTTTTGAAGAAGAAGTTGTGACGAGATGAACGAGACGGATGAAGAAAGTAGGGTAATCCGTGAATTGTGAACTTTTCCCAGGTAGTTTGTGAATGACATGAGTAAGAAATGTTTTGCTTTTGAGATCTTTCGCCGACCCACTTCTTCGTTTTTGGCGATCTCCGTTAGGTTGGCCCTTTTGTCCTCATCTTGACACATCTTTCTCGACGCCACCGCCTGCTTCTGTGGTCACACAATATGTAGAACACAGATTGACACTGAGTGGGCGCAGATGGAGTTATGCAAATCAAATGAAATTCTGAGGAGGTGACAGTGACACCTCGCCCTTCATTTATCACACTTTATTAGAAATCTGGTGTCAGCTAGCTTAGGACAGCGATGTGGTGACGGAGACAATGATTGATTGTGGGCATAAATATCAGCGTGTTTATGCAGGTGCTTCATATTCGTATTCATATTCATCTCAGAAGATTTTATGACGCAATCAATCCCGCGCATAATTTCCCCCTTCGCCAGCGCGCTTAGATTTCTTTTTGAGCTAGCCGTCAAGAGTGCTCGCCTTTCTCGCGAACAATGTAGCCGACACGGCGTGTTTGCAAAGAACCCAACCTCCCCCCTCCAACCGGATGATGCCGACAATACAACCATATGTCGGAAATTGAGAAGGAGCTCCCGGAGGCCAGTCGAAATGGCGTTGATTGCGCAACGAAAGGACATTAATGGAGCGTTGAGCACAAGCCGTGGAGCGAGGGAAAAGAGAGCACATGCTCCAAATTCGACTGCTTCTTGTAATTCGTGTGCAAAGATCCTTTCATGTTGGGGTGACCCGACCCTCACAATGAATGGGATGAAAAACGATCCAAGAGGAAACGGCGACGCAAACAACTTTTTGTTCTTTTCCCTTCGTCCCGAAATATAAATACTTAATCGAGTGTGTGAGAAGAAGCTACTCCGAATGGATTTGACAGCAGTCTTCGTTTCAGAAGCAGTAGCCGCCTACGCGTTCTTTGCAGAAGTGTTCATGGCTGACCTCGTCAAAAGTCGCCACGCCAATCTTGAGAAGAATCAAGAGTAGATCAGATCCGCGAATCTTACGCCTCGATCTACCAGTGACAGTATCTCGTCGTGTTGCCACTTCACTCTTCTTCTACTTCCTTCCCGTCCCGCCTAGTTGTCTCCGCAGCTTATCTCACCTTCTGTGGAACGTATTTACGGCACAATGTTTGGTTTAGAGGGTAGAAGAGTATGTTCGCGCGAGTAAACAGTATTGCTTCGAGTTGAAAGTGACACTGTGGGGGAAAACAGTGTGTCTACTAAGTATATTGTAGATCAAAAGAAATACTCACCCGAGTTGACACATTGTTTCGCTCGCAGATTGACAGAGCCAGAAGCCGTCGAAGAAGATGCGTTGTGGAGAAGGAGTAAAAGTACAAAAGTTAGTAGACGGTTAGTGACGAGACGACGCATTTATCGCATTGGGGTAGGGTGCCTGCAACACGGGAATCGATGATAACTATTCTTTTTTTTAAATATCAATATCAAAACTGTGAATGAAAGAACGAATGAAGAAGATAGCGGGGCTGTAAAAGTTAGACGCGTGGGAGGCGAGAACAACAACAAGTATGATGTGCGAAAAAATAGACTCGCTTTCAGGTGATTAAATTGATTAAATCACAAATCAATTCGAGAATCAGGAATTGAAATCGAATGATGAAGGAGAGACCGATGAAGATGTAGCAGCAGAAGAATAAGAAAGTGTGTAAAGTTACACTCATTTGAGTAGAGTGCTAGGTGGAGTGGTGGAGTGGGGGAGAAAGAGAGAAGAGAACACATCAACAGACATAAACAGTTAGAGAATAAATGGGCTGAATGAGAGGGAGATAAAATTCAGTCGAAAAGTTGTGGATGATGATGAGGGTGATATTGCCGCACATGGGTGCGGAATGGAGCACTAAAGGGACAGCCCTCGTTGCAATTGTCAGAATGAGATCGTGAAAAACGTGCAAGGAGTGAACATAAATCTTTCAGCTTAGAATGAGTTTTGAGAGCCTGGTTACATTAAAACATTCGAGAAATGAGAGAGAAATAGCATGAGAATAGTGAGAAGTAGAGGAAACGAGTAAAAAGACACTGTTGTGTGTATGGTCAGAGAGGGGCGCTAGCTAGCCACTACCGCTACAATAAACGATGTCTGGACCTCTATGGGAGCCGCACTCTCTCGCCTTCGCACCTTAACCACACCTTTCTGCCTCCCAAATGAGTAATACACTAAAACTATTGTGGTTTTGATTGCTTCTTCGCCCTTTTTGCAGATGTTTCCTCAGAAGGTGGACACAGAAACTTAGTAAGCGGTGTGGCAGGGATCTTTAATGGGAAAGGGGGGGAGGTCTTCGAAGGCGCTAGCTTTGAGGGGACAGTGTCGAATGCGAGGGACGCGCGAGGAGGCGACCGAGGAAAGGGAGGGGGACGAGATGATGGAGGCCGCCAGGCGGTCGACCGAAGAATGGGCGGGACTTGGACAACGGCCAACGGACAGTCGGTTGCAAGTAGCACAAAGGAAGCGGACAGAGAGGTCAGCAGAGCGAAAGGATGAGGCGGCTTAATCCCCGGATAGCAGACTACGAAGAGCTGATGGCATTTGTTTGGAGAACTGTTGCTTAACACATATCGAGAATAGTACACTGAACATCTGCCAGCAGATGCCACATTTGGCGCCCTCCGAAATGACCTAATGCCACGTAACCTTGAGGTGATGAATAACTTCCGGAACGGTCAACGCGGGGTCAAGGTGTCCAGGAGTGGGGAAGAGTATGTTTTTGAATAGAGTACCGACTGTTATTTTGTTTTGTTCTTCTTTGTGGAAAAAAGTAATGAATAGGTCTGGGGCATCCAGGATACGGTTGCAATGTTGCACTAAGTTTATAGAAGTTGAACGACCTAGTCTAGAAAATATACTCAACTTATTATAAGGGCACCGCACAGAAATGGCGCTCTGTTGAGAAACTCTTTCATAGCATTCATGGCTACAAAAGCGTAATTTCTTCGAGAATATGGATTACAAAGGTGACCGCTCGGAAAGAGAAAAAGGTTTGCAAAGGTTTTCATAGAAGAGAAAGAATGGCAGAAGATAAGATAAGCCGGGGACAATAGGAAACTTATCTTTTGGTTCATAAAAAATGAACGGAATTGCAATCAACATGACGGCTCTTTCAAGGGATCATTGTTTTTGCAGTAAGAGATCAAATCCGATCGGCCGTTCCGTTCCGCATATGTGGACTTTGACAGATCCGATGGAAAAGTGAGAAAGAGCACGGAATACCAGCACTCTAAGCGCTCCTCGACAAATAGTCCGCGTCTGTTTGCAAGCTCTCACTTATCATATCCATTGCACTACTCTCTACTCGTCGCAACGACTCTGATAATAGTTTTCGGCCAACGAGCCCTAGATTACTTATTGCCAATACAAACAGTTCGGAACAATACTCGAGGGTGTTTTCATTGTTAAGCTATTAATAGAGAAATGTACCGTTTTCTCAAATGTTTCACGCTCACTTCAGTTAGAAGTTTCGTCTGATTTATATCGTGAAAAACACTCTGAAGCGTGAAACACAAAAACCCATCACATTTGGATACGCTTCACAAACTCGGGTATTGTTTCCTCGCTTCCGAACCGAACCGAACACAAAAGTGATTTGTTTCACACACTAAACACTAATTCACTTGAAAGTTTTGATGGCACGAAAAGGTCTAGTGCCAGTTGACTAGAAAGAGAAACTAATTGCCAAAAGTGGTGGGAGGATGGCAGCAAAAAAGAAAGACGGCGCCGGCGACACGATGGAGATAAAGAATTCTCAAGGAACCAACTAGTTTGTTAGAACACAGAAACGATTTGGGAATCGTTTAGGGAGGACTGGAAGCTGAATACGAGGTGTCCGGATTGCACTAGTCTTGTAAAATAAGATTCAGACAACTTTAGGGAGAAATTTGCTACATGTGCAGCGGGAATTGAAACTTTAAAGCTTTAATTTTGCCAGAGAAGCAAGAAAATACGTTTTGGCTGAAAAAAAGTTTTAGAGTAGTACTGTTATAAAGTAGCAACAGAGCGCATTTGCAACAACGAAGTTTGCGGTCTAATCTTATTCTCAAAAAGCATATTTTCGCGCGTTTCGTACAAAGACTACTCGTAATAAACTAATTTCTCGCTGGAAGAAAGCTTTTACTAATTTAAAATTTTCACATACACGACGCCTCATTTTCGTCGCGAAACTGTTGAATAATGTATGAATTGAGAGGCTGTGTAATTTAATACAACACCCTCTTCACTCGCTAGAAAGTACCCACGCCTAATTGATAACGGAGAGAGGAGGTGCTTCGGGAGCTTCTTTCTTTCTCAAGAGACGAGTCAATCGAGCGCGAATGTGTGAGCATTAAACCGGCGTATCGCAAACTTCTGCGCGCGCGATTATTTACACCTAATGTCCACAATACGGCTAGCACCTAATGGTCAACAGTACCGCCACGTCTTGTCATTTTTTTGCGAATGGAATGAGAAAACTGATTACTTTATCACAATTCTATTCAATAAGGCACGTTTTGTACAATTTAAGTATACACTAGTACTAGCTAGTCAATTCGAATCACAAGATTTCCGCGAGCTCCGTTGTTATTGAGAATATCTTTGTGAGCGTCTCCGACTTCCTCAATCGGATATTCCTTGTTAATCACTGGCCGCGAAGAAGTCTCTTTCAGGAATGCTGCGATGCTCGCTCCAAAATCGGACAGTTGAGCTTCGGTAGAAAAGCCAAGGGCCACACCTGTAATGAGGTGATTTTAATAGTCTTTGTTTTGTTTGACTAACCAAAAACAGCTCCTTCAGTGGCCATAAGTTGTCTTGCGTTGATTGTGGTCTCGGCTCTATTTCCGATCACTGCTACTTTACCATGTGGAGCCAGCAATCCTAGATCGGTGTTCAAGTTTGTGTGAGCCGCCATTTCGAAGATGTAGTTGAAACCATTAGGATAGTCGGTCTTTAACTCGACCACATAATCCTTTTTCGAGTGATTGTAAACTTTTTGAGCGCCAAGAGTCTTCACGAACTCGATCCCTGCCGGAGAGCCTGCGGTGCCAACTGCGTCAATTCCTTTCCAAGCGGCCAGCTGCATCAGGGCACTGCCCACTCCGCCAGATGCTCCGTGCACGAGTATGACATCCCCGGCCTGCAGTCAAACGATGGATATATCCTATGTTCCACACTGCCATCTGGCCCCTTCTCTTTCTCCCTTTTGGACTGACATCTGTTCGTGTTCCGACTAGGGAAAGAGCTCACAGTTAACTAGGGGGAACGATCTCACAGTGTCATTTGAGAAATGCTTACATTTTTCCCTCTGTTTATTTGCACTCTTTTTATGTATGCTTGTTCACTATTCATGTGTTCTACATCTATTTCCCGATGCCCTTTTACCTTGGCTCCAGCGAGGAAGAATAGAGCTCGATAGGCGGTGAGGTATGGAACTCCCAGAGAGGCTCCTTCCGCGAAAGAAATTCCTAAACAAAATTTTTATAATTAAAAATCTATATTAGCCTACCATCCGGCAGTTGAAACGGACGATTGACTGCAGTGTACTGAGCAGTACTGTTCGCTTCACATCCGTACCACACTCTGTCGCCCACTTTCACATTCTTGACGTTAGCGCCAATTTTCTCAACAACTCCTGCTCCGTCCTTTCCAGGCGAGTACGGTAGCTGAGGGAGCTTTGCATATTGACCGGCTCTGATGTAGGTGTCGACTGGATTCACTCCGGCAGCGTGGTTTCGAACAAGAACCTTAAAAAAAGTAATTGATGATAAACTAGCATTTTTTGTTTTCTCAAAATGAAAAAAAAATCATTTCTTCATTTTTCACCTGATCCGGACGAATTTCCGGAATGGCAGTACTCAGCAGCTCAATGGCTTCAGGGCCGCCAAACGAGCGAATAATTGCGGCACGCATGTTGATTTTCTGAGAAATTAATATTCTTCTAACATCACCAGAGCGAGAAAAAACAAAAAAAAAATAAATGGAAGAAAACTATTCACAACAAGATAGAGTGGCGAATCTAATTGTTTTTATAGGTCGTAAGCAAAATTTTGTCATCATTTTTTGTCATGTTAGCGACGTAGTTGCAAACTTGTTCTGTGTCGGGTTCAAAGTTGTTTTCCGTATCGACCCTGTCATTATCTTTTCGGACTTGCAACTGTGACCACTCGAACTAAGTATTAGTTGCAAACGCGCTCCACCGCACGCGAACGCGAGAGCGGCAACTGGTTGCGGCATTCATCGATTTCGTTGCGTTTCCGCTCTGATTTGTCTCAAGTCTTCGCCTTTTTTCTCAACCAGTCATTAAGAACAATTTTTCAGTGTCGGAGGTTTATATTTTCTCCGCGGACACTAGCATGGGTACGTTTCTTACTGCCAATTTCACCTGCAAAAATACATTTTTTAGTTGATGTTCCGAGAAATTTCCGTCTGCTAGAGGAGCTGGAGGAGGGCCAGAAGGGAAAAGGAGACGGAAACATCTCGTGGGGACTTGAGGATGACAGCGACATGACTCTCACCAGATGGACTGCTTCGATTATCGGCCCGCCAAGAGTAAGCCCTTCAATTAGTCTTCTAACTTCATTTCGGTCATAAAATTGATAGTTTAGACTACGCTGTTTCATTCTTATTGATTTTCCATATTTCAGACTCCATACGAATCTCGCATCTACAATCTGCAAATCCAGTGTGGACCGAACTATCCGAGAGAGCCGCCAACTGTCCGTTTCTCCACCAAAGTTCATATGGTCGGCGTCAATCAGAGCAACGGAACGGTGAGAAGAAGATTTCGAATAGTTTTCAGCTGAAATGTTTACTTCAGATCGAGAAAAGAAATCTGGCGACGCTGCGGAACTGGAGCAACAATTACATGATTAAGAACGTCCTCGAGGACATCCGCAAGAACATGATGCTGGCCAAGGAGAACCTGAAGCTGCAGCAGCCAGCCGAGGGTGCCTTGTACTAAGATCTGCCTGAACTTCTCCACTTCTTTCTTCAATCAAAACCATAAAAACCTCGAAACTTCAACATTAAATGGGGTTACGTCTATTTATTATTACTATCGCTTATCTTATTCTATTTTATTGATTAGAACACTTCTCCTCTCTCGTTTGTGGTGACATGCTTTCCCCAGTGTTTCATTTCTTCCCGTTAGCACCCAATTGCTCCCCCGTCCGTTCCATGTATTCCACTGCGTTTTTTGGCACTTTTCGATCCCTTATTACACTCTTTATATTCATAGCGAGTAAACGTTGTGTCCTTTTTCTTATAACATATATTTCTTGCAAGAGTTTGATACTCTGACTTACTATCTATTTTAATCGTTACTTTTTTCATTTTTCAACCTATTGTTCTTATTTCAGAGACAATCCGATGTCCTATGCAGATTTGAAACCAGGTGATTCAGTAGTTTAAAAGAAAGCTTTGATTATAAATGACTGACTGTTTCAGTAAAATTCGAAGAGTACGCCAACGGATTGCCGGACAGCTCTTATCAAAATGATCCCTATTATCAACCGTATCCGGTCGCAACCGAAATCCTCGAGTACACCCAGCCCTATCAACTTCAAATGGATCAACATTCCATACATCACCCCGAGCAGCCACAGTCTCAACTTCATTACTTTATAAGTCATGAGAACGAGGTGTGCGGTGCTCCTGTTCCTGCCCCTGCTCCTGCACCTGTTCCCGCCTCCACTCCCGCTCCAGCCACTGTGATCTTCCGAAAACCGAATGGATCACCGACAAAACGAAGATCCGAACGCGTCGATAGGGATATCACGTCTTCCTCAGAAATAAGCGAAGAACTTCAGAATCATTGGATGCCGATGACGTGGATTGAACGCTCTTCTGACGATCCGCAAGGTTAGCCTAATAAAATCCGAAACGTTTTGAGAACTTCAAAATTTAGTCTTCAACTTTGTGTGTCTTTGGGATCAATGTGTGTCTGTCTCGTCGAGTAAGGACGAGTTTGTGCAGCACCTTTATAGCCATGTCAGCACCCTCGAGTCGCATATCGAGCTTAGACAAGCTGACAAAATTGTGTGCAAGGTGCGAGGATGCGGAAAGCATCTTGAAGCCATCGCTGATCTCGGTCGGCACATGTCCATGCACATATTCCAGGTAAACCTGACTCTTCAGATTGTTTCTGGAGCTCTACATTTCAGGCCGATTGCCAGCAGAAAGGGTCGGAGACTCTGATAGAAAAAGAAGAGTACTCTGAGATTGAAAGCTGTGGATTTGATCCATGCACCAACATAAATTACGATGGGGAAGAGCTGGTCTGTATGTGGGAATCTTGCGGACAACCGTTCACCTCTCTGACTGATCTTTTTGATCATGTTGGTCAGCACATCGACTCCGTAAGCGATATTGACCGGATTGAGCACGACGGAAACAGTAAGCACGAGTTTGGCTCGGTTGCAAGCTAAATATGTAAAATTTTCAGAAGGAGACAAGAAAAATGTATATTTGTGCAAATGGACAGGCTGCACGACAGTCAGTGATTCGAAATCGAATCTCCGTCGTCACGCACGTCATCACAGCGGCGAGAAAGTTCTGGCTTGCCCGTTCTGTGCGCGCTTCTTCTCCCGACGTGATAAACTCTACGATCATTGCGTTCGTCGTACCATTCTTATGAACGACAGCGAAGATCCGTTCCTCTGTAAACTGTGTCACAAGCGATTCGGGACTGAGAAGGCGTTGTGCATGCACGTGAGCCGGCATCTGGCTGGACACACCTGTGGACTCTGCGGTTTGGCTGCTGGCTCTCGAGCTGATATTCATCGACACCTCATGTTGAAGCATTCTCGACGCTCGAAGGACTTCAAATGTGACGTGTGCAGCAAGTGGTTCTTCACAGAAGTGAGTTGCAATCAACCAGAGACTGTCGAGCATTGTACTTTTTCAGTCTGAATTGAGTCGTCACGCCGTATTCCATTCGGATGTCATGTACAGTTGCAAGCATTGCGATGAGAAGTTCAAGTGGAAGAAACAACTTCTGAAGCACATGAAAGAACACGAAGAGGTAAATTTAATTATAAATTTAGCCATCTAATAAAAAGAAAGGGTCAGAATTTCAATCCGACGCCGTACATGTGCCATATCTGCGAGCGGTCCTACACAACCGGCTTCGCACTCGGACGCCATCTGACGAAACAACATCGACTCGACGTGCCGTACGGCTTCAGTAGGTTCACTTACAAGAAGTGCGCCGACGGACTGATGCGTCTACAAACCAAGAAACTGCTGCGCGGTGAATCAACGGAAGAGCACCATACTCTTCCCTACAACCACAATTACTAGTCAACGACCACAACAAAACAAGTCAATTTTACTCACATTGCATTCCAATTATTTATACCGATCTCATATATTCCTCAAATGTTGCATGCTTCTCACACAGCTTGATCTCTCGATTATTACAGTCGCTCCAATTCACTTTCGTACGTCGATAACGTGTTTTCCGAACAATCTTTGCTCTCAATTCGCAAAACAATATTTTCATAAATTAATGCCTTGTTTGCTATAAAGTTGTATAATTGTGCCTCAAGATAAAGTGCGCTTTGATTGGATTGTTCAATGGTTTTCTTAGGAAATAGTCGGTTCAAAACCAAGATTGCTCTATTGTTAATTCGAACTCTTGTGACGTCGAGGAATAGGAAGACAATTCGCGTGACCTTTCACGGCACTTTTTGACAAGTTGATCTCCTGGATACTGTAGAATTCCAAGAACTAACTTCAAGCAGTTCAGATGCTCTCAAAGCACGTCTTCCGATGTGCCGTCCGGCATCTCTCCAAAACGACGCCCAATCGGGTGCTTTCGGCGAATTTCGCACTGGAAAAGGAGTGGTCAGCGCGGCACATTGATCTCGGAAAGCTAGGTCTCGGCGGAGATTACGAGTGGATCAGTGCCGTACAGAAGAAGTTCATCGGCGGCGGATACGCGAGTGCCGTCGACGTGGACGCTGCTGTGTGCATCGCCGAGCAAAAGGATCAGGTGGACGACACGATCGAGTTGCTTTACAAGCTGCGACACAGTGTGAAGGCTGCCGAGAAGTGTGATTCGAGCGAGTACGCCCTTGTCCGACTCCTGCTCAAGTATCAGCCGGAAACCATCCTTACTTTCGCCAATGACCCCGTCAGTTATCGCAACTCATATAACCCATACAAAACTGTTTTTTAGATCAACTACGGAGTTTTCCTAAATGCACATCTCGCATGCATCGTCATCGATCACTTCGTAAAAGTGAAAGACATTCAGGCGGCCGCTAGAATTGTGACGTGGATGATGCAGCAGGAAGAGCTCGAGAACGAACTGCTCAACGTACTTGGCTTGTACGTTTGTGCCAAATGGACCGAATTGCCAGCCGAGGAGCAGACTTTGACTTTGGGAGAAGCGGAAGATGAAGAAGAAGTGAATGACGATGATATTGTTGGTTTAAAGCATGTCACGGTATGTAAACACTCGAAATTTTTTTCCAGAGAACCTTCAAATTCCCGTATCTGAAAAATGAGAGCTTTGACGAGCATTTCGATCTCACAAACGCTCATCATTTGGTCGGAAAGTCGCTGATTTGGTTGGCCAGAGAGACGAGCTCAATGAGCCCTGAACTGAAGAAAAGTGCACAATTTCTGGGAGCTGTTCTTTTTAACAAGTGGTCAGAGGCTGCTGCCCTCGCTTCACCGAAGATCCATACTGGGGTTCGAGCAATTGTGAACGAGCGATTGGGCAAGACTGAAGAGCCGACGGAAGAGGCGAAGAAGGTGTTGGAAAGCATCGGAGAGACGGTTTCCGGAGAGGAAAAGACACTGCTCAGCGACGCGCTTCTCGAACATCTTCAGAAGATACAGGTGAAAGAGGAGGAAAAACTGTGCGAAGAGCAGAAGAAACTGCTCGTTGAATGGAATGAACGGCGACGAGTACTCGCGAAATCTCAGGCTCAAAAGGTGTTGGTCAAGCTGCGACAAGACGAGATTCATTCGGAACTGAAAAAGTTGGATCAGGTGGAGGAGCAGATGACCTTCTTCAAGAATCGCTTGATTTGGGAGAAGAGGGCCAACGAGAACACGCAAATCGACGACGAGGCCCGAGAACGGCACAAGAAAATAGAGGCGTCCGCTTGAAATGTCTCTTTTTTAATTTTTAGGGTATTCCGAATGACTAGCGTTCTTTTCTTTTTGTTTTCGCTTCTTTACCCCCCATTGTTTTTCTCCCTTGTTTTGCAATAAGTATCTTTAAAAAGTGTGTCATTGTTCATTTAAAGTTGGTTTCTTGATCCAATGACTTATTTTCTCTCATATTTTGACCTATCTTTAGATTATTTTATCATCGTTGATATCAGTTTCAGTAAAGAATGCAAAACAATTCCGCACAGAATAGGACAAAAGAGATAGAGAGCAGATCGAGAATTAGTGAGTCAAGTTCTATTTTCGGGAAGTATTTTTACTTTTCCAGTTGCGGAAAGAATAAGCGACAGTGTTCGTTTGCTGGACAATGAACCGTCGTTAGCACTCTATCGGCTTCAGGAGCACGCATTCAGAAGCCTTCCCGGACTTGTCAATCGGCGAATTTTGCTAACCCAACAGTCTGCCACACTTTCTGGAGCACAGTTTGATCTGGAAAACACTCTCGAGTACGTTCAAATGTTTCCTTTCTCCTTTTTAGTTAAAATAGTTTCCTATATTTCCAGCACAACAGCAAACATGCAAAAAGCGACGACGTCGTTCGATAATTGCATAGAAATGCTCAGAAATTGCATGTTCTACAAACAGCAATTGGATTTTGATTCGTCACGAAAAGCGTCTGATATGAGTGTGAAAGGGCGCAGCAAGTCGCTGCACAATGTGGCAACGAGAGCCAACTCGGATGCGGATTCTTGAAATCTTTCCTGCCCAACCTGGTGCTGATGATCTCATTTATGGCATGCGATTCTAGCAGAAACTGTAAATATCACAAAGAATATGACTAAATTATAATGGCTGACAAATATAAAAAATTTAATAAGTTAAACAATTTCCGAATCCTTGACTCCGTACTTGCGCAATTTCTCGTGAGCTCTTTTGTGAATTGCAGCGTCATCAGATGTGACTACGGCCATTTTGAACGCCTGCTTGAAATGGGTAAGCGCCTCCTCCTTCTCGCCCATTTGTTCGTACACTTCTCCGATGTAGTAGATGTTAGTACTGTAGAATCCCGGCTGGAAAGTGGCGATTTTCGGGAACTCGGGCGAATTTTATGGTCTTACAGAAATCTGTTCAGCTTTCAGAAAGTAATGAAGAGCATTCTGGTATGTGGAGGAGGGCGGCGTCGCGAAGATTGCCTTCGCCACCATTCGAGTAGCGTATCCCATGTTGGCAAAGGAGAAGTGCCACAATCCTAAAAAAGTAGGATTTGGTGGTGTGCCGAGCGGTTTTTTCCATGTCAACCGGAAAAGAGCCTAAAATCACGCGCAATCAGTGAAGGTCAAGGCGCCGGATAAATTGATGATACAACGTGATCGATAATAACCAACCTAGTATATGCCACGTGGTTGGATCATCCTCGAAAATCGAAAGTGCCTTTTCCAGGTGCTCTCGGACTTCGAACGACTTTTCGATTCTCGATTTGTTTCCCTCGATCTCTCCCACGTAGTCCAGCAGAATGGCATACCATTTGTGAGCTCCGAAGCTTCCTTCCTTCGGCTCGTGCGCCAGCGCCTTCTTCACAATCTCAAATGCCTCCAGAATCAGAGCTTTGCGCTGATTTGCATCTTTTGACAGTTTTCCTTGCTCACACGTCACACGGGCCAGTCTCCAGAGCAATTCGGAGCAGTCGGATGACTCAAATCTGATATTATTGAATTTCAACGTCGATAAGCATAGAAAAAGACCCACTTTTTGAGAATATTATAGCAGTTATCAATAAGATAGTTGTCGTACAGCTCATCGGCGTTTCTGACAATGATGTCAAAGTTTTTGGGTTTTTCCTGTTTGAATTGGTCTTGAGCAACTGCCTTCTCCTCTTTCTTTGAAAAAATTGCGATTCCGAATGACGTGCCGACGCTTCCGACAAATGCTACTTTCGGAATTTGCTTGGAAGAAACGCTGAGAAGTCGTGCTGCCGACGTGAATGCTCTTCTATACATTTTGGTGCCGAAATTCTATAAAATGATGAAAATTGAAATAATTTCAATTATCAGTGAAAAAAAGAGAATAACGTATAAAAAAGAGAATAACGTATAGGGTCAAGGTACACATTTAAAGTGTAGTCAACAAACTGCATTCCACTGCGGCCTAGAGGCCAACTTCAACGAGTTAGGCCACACAATTGAACACTAATTGCGGATAAGAATTCGAATTTTATTCACAGACATGCATTGAAAATAGAAAATACTCGTCTTAAATCGCAAATCACCCAGGGTAAATGATATCAATCAATACGGATAAAACCTATGAAATACTATTGATCTTCTTCGCTTTTTGGCGGCGACGTCGCCGCAATTTTCCCGAGAATAAAATCTCGAAAATCGGCGTTGAAGCTTTTGAAATTGTTGTACGACTTGAGCTGATCACGGATCCATTTTGAAAGCCTCGCAGAAGACGGCCCTCCGAGCGTCTTGTCGGCTTGTCGAACGAGCCGCTCATCCAGCATAATCATGGCTCCCCAATCGTTTTTGTGACGGAGACACCTTCCGAGAGCCTGATTCAATGCTCGGTAGGCTTGTGTCGTGTACCACTGGTCTCCATTCAGAATACCGAGCTGCTTGGAATGCATATTGTTGTACGCCTTCTTCGCCTTCACCTGATCGTCGGCAGAGTTCGGGAACGGAATTCCAACGGAAATGACAACTCTGGCGCGATCGTCCGCAAAATCAATGCCTTCGGAAACCTTTCCCCGGAAAACTGCGAACATTAAAGCTCCGGTGATGTCATCTCCGAACTTCTTCGGATTGCTGATCGCATCTTCGTACTCATCCATTACACCCGAGAGTAGAGATGATTTCCTCGGTTCAAATAAAACCCGCTTCTTCATTTCGATTTGTCGCATCACGGACTCCTTTTCCATGCGCGTTTTGAGTTGTTCCAGAACACGATAGCTCGGTACAAAGCACAGAATTCCGGATGGAACGTTCAGACAGACGTGTCTGCAAAATTGAAAGATTTTCAGTTTAGCTAACTGATAACATACTTGATGACAGCGCCGACTTCGGAATAGAATGCAGAGTGGGGATCGTTCGTGTTATCGTACGTGGCCAGAAGCCGATTTCCATATGGGCCCACTGGAAGAACGGCGGCGAAGATGTTTTCTGTCGGAATCACTTGTCCGCCTTCCACTTCGTATTTGAATTCCATTCCGAGCTCTGTTTTGAGCGTATCCATAGGGCAGAGAGTTCCTGACGCGAGTAGCACTGCTCGGGATTCGTGGAAGGCGTCGGTGAACGTCTGAAGGAAAATCATTTTCAGAAGCAAAAGAAACGGAGGAAGCGTACAATAGCAGGGCTCATGCACCACATGTTGATCGTCGTCTTGCAGCCAGCAGCAATCGGCTCTTGACCCATCGCCGAGATGGATGGGTCCACGTATTGATTGCCGTCATCAGCATCTACCCTAAAACGTAAGTTTTACAAAAACTCTAGTTTTTACTGAATTTACCATTCGTTAGGTTCCTGTTTGACTTGAGTTATATTCAAATCGTCTTGGTATCGCTGATTTCTCGGCCCGGCAGATTTCCTCCGGCCGTGAAACTGTGTCAGATTTCCATCGAACGTCGTGTTCATAGTATTGTAGATCAACGGCTCGATAGTCATGTTCAATCTGAAGGTTTTGTATGATTTCAAAAACCTTTAACTGAAAGTTACCGATAAGTGGGCTGATACTTTTCCTGTCCGAAGAACGATTGGAAGTACAACCACTTTTCGATACAAACAATAGCCGTGGCGTTCGGTTTGAACTGATCGAAATACTGCATTTCCGGCTCGTTGTGTCTCGTGATTGATGCAAACGCTGCGCTGATCTCCTTGTGCTTGGGAGTGTCGGGCGGGTTGTACAGGTCGATTCCTTGCTCGACATTCGTCAGCGACGAGAGAAGCATCCAGGAGGGAAGTGTGCACGCTCTGTACGTCTTCATCACATCTCTCACTTCGGACGCGTGACGTGCCACCGTTCTGATCCATTTTATGATTTCCAGAATCAGGTTCTCGATGCACAATAGATATCCGCGCACTTGTCTCAATACGGTTATTCGATCGACTGGCTGTGAAATCTCGCACTCTCGATCCGTTTTGTTCATCTCTACATCGCATTGCATTTCTGAATACAGGTCAATCATTTTATTTCAGAGTTGCTCTGTCAAACTTCTCTGATTCAGCGACAAAAGCGAGTCGTCAAGCTCTTTTTCGGTGAACGAGAAGCTTGCGGACGCCCTGCAGACGTCTTCAATATTGTGCGCTTCGTCGAGAATGATGATCGACTCCTTGAGAATCACGTCGGAAGAGTGGCGGATCAGAGGATCGACAAGGTACGAAAATGGACAAAAAATAAGGTCGGCGTCCTGGGTGAGCACACGATTTGTGCAGAAATATGGGCAGAGCTGAGGGGATGATAGGGCAAGAGTCTCGACGGCTTGCTCAATGTCAAACACGACTGTTCCGTTCATTTCGAGGTGATCGCGAAGTGCACGTGCCTTCTCGAAGCGAGGCTTCATGGCAGTTTTGAATGAACATCCGATCTAAAATTTAAAAAGTTCATTGCGAAATTGAAAAACTGTTGAACATACCCCGTGAGCACTGTTCACCTCCTTACAGTATCCAGCAATATCCTGCTGTCTTCTGGCGGTTGGGTTGATGCAGGACTGCTCTCGACTCGCCAGAATCGTGTGCTTGATGATGTTGGCGTATGGCAGACGAGAAAATTCCTTGACAACTTGCGCAATCTGCTTGTGAGTTCGTGTTCCGTAGTAAATGCGAGTACGTGGCAAACAAGTGCATTGTGGCTCCTTCTTCACTTCAACTAGCTCTTTTTTCAGTTCACATGGCTCTTGTTTGGGCTCCACTGGCTCTTTCTTGACTGGAATGCTGCCTGAAGAATGTGGAACAAAGTCGTCGACCCACTCATTCTCGACTGTAATAAAATTTGATCGGATTTAAAAAAGCTAAATACTCACAAATATCTTCAGACTTAAGAGTTATCTGCGGCTTCACATCTGACACGGTCTCATCCGCGTCTTCGGCTTCTTCTCCTTCACTTTCCTCTTTCACTCTTCCATTCGACATCCTGCCATGTATTTCGCATTTTTCCCTCGAATCTCTCCTCTCGTCCATGAACTTCCTGAGCCATGCACACGAGGAAGAGAGCAGCGCCATCGTCTTCCCGCTTCCAGTCGGGCTTTCGGCGAGCACATTCAGATTGCCTTCGAGCGCTTGCAGAACACGTAGACTTATCAGTCTTTGGGAAGTGTACATCTGGAGTCCGAGCGGCACACGGACTTCAATCTGCTGCATGAAGAACTTTGAAAACTCATCGTTCTTGATAACTGCTCTTTTTCGCTTCTTAGGTTTTTTTCTGTTCTCTTTTCCGTTAGTTTCTGATGAGAATTTTGATTTCGATGTGACCAGGGCAACTTCCTCTTCTCTGTAAGCAAAAATTTTTGAAACATTTAAATAGAAAAACTTTAAACATTATGTATTTTCGAAAAACCGTACACTTTTGACACATTTTGCGGATCTTCTTCCGTCTTCGGCGTTGCCTTAAAGTACCTTTTCCAGAAGCTTTTGCCAAATCCTTTGTCTGTCATTTAGAACTATAGGTGAAATAATGAATAGGGTCTAATAGACTCTAGAAGAGTTTTCAACAGGAAATTGCAAATTGATTTGAATAAGCGCCCTTGAATTTGAAATATCTGCAACTTCGCGTAATGGTGTTTGCAGTGAAAGCAGTTTTTAGGCACAACGACTTCGAAAGAGATCTTGTCTCAAAATAGAATTGCTTCGAAATAAATACAACTGTTCCAAAAAAGAAATTTTCATTTTAAGGAAATTGAAAGTTGTCTTCGAACACTTTCCGACGAACGTTTCCAGTTCTTCTCAGCTTCCGCTGGCTCTCATGTTGTTGTTCGGTATCTCAGGGAACATTAAAATCATTTGGAAGAAGATTTGGAGAACTTTTCATTTTGAGGAAATTGAACGTTTTCGCACACTTCAGAGGGAGGAAGAGAAAGAGAGCTGACTTCTTGCGTTGCAATAACGTCAAATCAGAGTAAGAGCACCCCATGGGTTACTTACTTACTCAGTTACTTAGTCGATCCGTTCCTCGCTCACGTTGTGTGGGCGCGGATCACAGCACACCACGCCTTCCGATCTTTGGCAATGGTGCTCCATGGTACCACTCGGTTTCCTTGTCGGATGGTGACTTCTTTGTTGAGGGCGTCGATCCATCTTATCGGCGGTCTGCCGACCGGTCGCTTTGTGTCTCTTGGGATCCATTCTTGCGTCAGAGTGGTCCACCGGTTGTCTGTCCTTCGTGCCACGTGTCCGGCCCAGCCGAACTTCCTCTTTTTGACGTGGAGTAGAGGTACTCGCACTCTTTCAGCCAGTGCCTTCGTAAAGGTCCAGGTTTCTGAGCCGTAGGCGAGCGCCGGGAGGACTATCGAGTCGAAGAGTCTGGCACGGATTTTGGGGCAGGTGAGGGCATCCGTGGTGTCCTTGATTCCGTTAAATGCCGCCCACGCTGCTCGTCGTCTTCTATGGAGCTCCGGCTCCAATTCGTTCCGTGTGTTGAGTAGTCTACCTAAGTAGATGTACTCGTTGACATCGTCGATGGCGGTGGTGGTGGTTGCTCCACTTTTGATGCAGGCCGGATGGTCGGTGGCAAATGTGTTTCGCAACACTTTGGTTTTATTAGTATTTATTTGGAGACCTACTTTTGCACACCTTTTCACTAGTTCCTGGATCATCTCGCTGGCAGTATTTGGATGATTTGCCGCTAGGACAATACCATCTGCAAATCTTAGATGCGTTAGATCTAACCTAACAAATCGATTTCTGCCGTTGATTCTGATTCCAGGGTTTGTCGGGTGGTCCTCGTCGTGCCCTTTCAGATGGTTCCAGGACATTTCGCTGAAGACTAGTTCTAGGCAGGCCGAGAACAAGTTTGGCGAGATAGGATCGCCTTGCCGCACTCCTCTCGTGATTGGGACCGTCACAGGTCGGTGGAAGGGTGTGAATGTTGTGCTGCAGTTGGTATAGCACTCTTTGAGTAGGTTGATGTAGGCCGAATCTATCCCTTGCCTTCGGAGACTTTCCCAGATAGCCCCTGGCTCAACACTGTCGAATGCCTTGTGGAAGTCTATGAAGACAAGTGTGAGTGGGATCTGGTACTCGCGACCAACCTCGAGTAGACGCTGGACCCCATGGGTTACTTACTTACTTAGTTACTTAGTCGATCCTTTCCTCGCTCACGTTGTGTGGGCGCGGATCACAGCACACCACGCCTTCCGATCTTTGGCAATGGTGCTCCATGGTACCGCTCGGTTTCCCCGGATCAGAGTAAGAGCACCCCATGGGTAGAAATGAAAAAAACGAGATGGCAACAGATAAAATGACAATTTCTGCCTTTATATACCCCTGTGGGCGTGACCATTCTAATTAGTGGGCGTGGCCACTGCACCAGGTTTTTCCTTCTTCCTGTTGTGGGCGTGGTATGCTTTCCCATCACAGGCCTTTGTCGGCATTCTTATCACTAATCTCCGCCGGTAATTAAGCCGGAGGTGTGGGAATGTGAGCTTCAAGCGGATTTGCGGCAAGGTTCAAAGAAGCCGACTTAATTACCGTTGGAGATTAGTGATAAGGACGCCGACAAAGGGATTAGTGACGGTCTGAAGAGCAGCAAACCTGAACGAGCAGATCCCTCACTTTTACGGTGAGCTTGGATCAGAAATAAAACAACAATACGCGAAAAAATAGAACCAAATGAAATAGATGAAATCTCCCAAAACTCGTTGTTTTTCGTCAATTTCAATATTATAAAACCGTAAAGAAGGACGAATTTATGTGTGTATTCCAAAATAGATTGATGCGATGGAAGTGAGGAATTTTGTGGTCCGTCGGTTCGTTTCCTGCATTGAAAGCGAGTTCGGCACGTTCTTGTTGGCCGCCAGGGTGCATCCGCCGGCGTACTGAAAAGCTTAATGGTTTCGTACTAAAAGTAGAACTCTATCAAACCAAAGTCTCGACGCTTTTCTCCATCCGATTCCCGTGATAGTGTTGGCTGAGCAGCTCGATCGCCGCCACGTCGGTAATGAATTCGGCACAATTTGCGCCGACGTCCCGTGTCTCGTTGATCCGCAGCAATTCCATGGCCTTCGGATAGATATCATCCGTCTGATAGAAAGCTTTGATGAGCTGACACGTCAGCATCGACATTGTCAGGTATCCGGAATGTGCGAGACAGATACGCAGCTGTTGGAGCGGCAGATCGGAGGCAAACTTCGGATCGGACAAGTTGAGCCGAAGGAACGGCGAGATGGCCGTGTAATATTCCATGTACTTTTCTCCGGCGCCTTGGAAATCCTTTTCGCTGAACAGAAAATCCGCGTACGTTCGGATAGTGTACGGATCGGTGCGCGAGACGGAGTACGCGTTTTCGCACATCATTCGCAGCAGCTGCAGCACGTCCTCGCACTTTTCGATTTCGAGTTTCGGACTGAAACTGGGTAGTGGTTAGTACTAGAACGCATCTAGACAGCTCCGAGGCTAATAAATTGTTAAAAAGAAACTTACGCAGGCAATTCTGAATACAAATCGGACAATTTCGCGTAGATCAACACCGGCTCCTTTTCTCTTTCGTATTTCAGCACTAGTTTGTTGCGAAGCGTGACTGCGCAGGCGAGAATGAAATCGAGAAGACGTGGCTCACGAATCAATCCCAACAAATGTAAAAGCAAATGCATTTCTCGGGCAGCGGTAGCGCTCGCTTCTGCGTCGGTGGGCACCCGGGACGGACGATGAACGTCGATGAATTTGGTGCTGAGCGTCCTCCAGAATCCATCCGCACACTTCTTCCGAGCACCATCATCTTCGAAGTTGGACTGATATGCGCCGAGGATTCGAGCTACGGGCACGCACTTGAACTTTTCGATATTCAGCCTAGATTGGGTTAAACTTGGAGAAAATTAGAATTTTAAATATGCAACTTGCTTTCCTCCCTCGTCCAGCACAGTTTCGCCGTCGCCCAAGTTCAACATGAGCGCGAAACACTGATTGATCATCTTGGCGCAGCTGTCCGTCTGATGGAATTCTGGTTTGAAGATCAGCGACGTCTGATGGGCAATCGTCTCGTCTATTAGTTTCCTTTCGAACGGCAAATGGCATTGCAGATTCAGTATGTACGCGGTGACGTGGATGGACTCGTAAGTGGCCCTAAAATGCATATCTTCGTGTCCTCCGACCACAAATTCCGGGAAATATTCGTTGAGTCTCGCCAGGAAGCCATGATAATTCCTCATTCGCTTCAGTTGCTCTAATTTTGCGAGAAGGAGGCGTTGGGTGGTATGTCTCGGAGTATTGACGTTCGTGAGAAGGATGTCCTGAAGAAAGTCTGACGTCGGCATTGTGTTCGGGAACCAAAACGGTCCGAGCTCCGTCAGAGCTTCTTTCAATTTCGGAAGATTGAATGCGGTCATGAGGACCCAAAATGGATCGTTGCACTCGACCATATCTGCAACAACTGAAATATTACAAAACTTTTTTTTTTTTGATTTCTGTCATTGTTCAAATATTTCTTCCATAATTTTTCAAAAGGTTGGCCGAAGACTAGTCTGAATTGTGTTGGTGTGGCGATCGCACTCAGACGAAAGTGTTGCTAGCCGAGGCCGTTTCCAAACCCTTGGCAGGGGAACCTTTCTTCTACGGCCTCCCCTCTATTAGGACACGGGGGGATCTCCTGGATCCCACTGGGGCTATCTCTCAGACCTTCCCGGGAGTTTGGAGAGGTCAAGACGACCTTTGAGTTTCTCCCATCCGCCTTCTTTCGGCCAACCGCCCAACACCCGCCTGCGTGCGGCGTTAAATAGTCGAAGCGTTCTAAGCAGCCGACGCCTCGCGGGTTCCGATGTCCACTATGTTTAGAGAGGAGTGGAGAGGCGAGACAGCGCGCGCAGGGAGAACGCGCAGAGTGTTCTAACACTCTGACCGTTTTTAATTGGGTCAAAAAGTTCGAAAGATGCAAAAATTGAATGATTCCGAGATGTAAGTGAACTACTCACTTTGTATCAGACTTTGAGATATTACTTTTTACAAAGTTTGGTATGAAAAGAATTTTGACGTGAACTTTGATACTTATATTTTTGAAAAAAAAAGAAAAGAAATCCTACTGGATAGTTGTTCCATTGTGGGAGCGGTTGTCAAATCAATATTCGGCGAAGGGACCACGTAGGTTCTAAGCTCAGTCACATCGATTCCTCCGCTTCCGAGCATTCCGCGAATGTCTGCGATGGAAGCACACAAATATTGCATATGTGCGCCGATCGTTCGCATTTTCTTCTTGTTCCACTTGACTCCTCCGTCCAACAGCTTCTTCAGCACCTTCACAAATCGCTCCATTTGCGCTTTACTCTCCAATTTGTCTCTAATGCAGTCGGGATTGCACTCCACGACGGACATGGCTGCATTTTCAGCCTGATAGACTTGTTTCAGCTGTCCGGACGTCTCCAAAGCGCCTCGATATCGGAAGTATTCGCTTTTTCGCCATACAGAAGTCTCGTCCGCCAGCACTTTTTGATCGAATACGAATTGCTTGATGACGGTGCTTCCATTCGACGGAATGAAGGCTCCTTTGACACTCAGCGCCATGCTGTACGCCTTGAAAAGCTCTTCGTCAATGGCCACAATCGGATGCGAAACTGTCGGTTTGACGACTTTGTGCAGTATTTTCCGGGCTTCAGGTAGGTCTCCACAGGTGAACAGAAAGACGACGAGCTCGGAGAGACACTTGTTCGCCACGTCGGCAGCCGGAAGAACTGATTTTTCCACGTCAAAATCGGCGCTCGGATTCTCAATGAGCACGTTGCGATCTCCGATTAAAGCCGCTGTCATTGCCCTGAAGCACAAATTTGCAGTTTACTCTGTTTGAGGAAAAAGTGACTTACTTGGGCGCGAGCTCTTTGAACGGCTTTAGAAAACACTGGATTCCGGGAGCAATCACATCACGCGGATCTTCGGCGAGTTCGGTTATAAACGCGCGCGCTTTGAGCACATGCTCCCGCAGTTCCATTATCATTCTCTGCACTTTCTCGTGTCTCACAAGCGCCGGGTCGTTGGACATCAGTTGTCCGTTGCTGAACGTGGTCGGAACTGTCGCACTAGGCGCCGGCGGCGGTAGTCGATTCCTTCGGTCTATGGAGAGCACAAAACGGTAGAAGAGCCAGTTGCCGAACGTCGCGTCCAGATTCTTCTCGTTGTATATTTTGTAAAAGTTGTCGGCGAGCACTCGAAGTGTCAGAAGCTCGTTACGACTGATGCTGAGATCAAGAAAATTGGGATTTATCTTACAAATTCTTAGAAAACTTACTTGTCAATAATGAAATCTATGTCATAGTCAAGCGCAGCAAAGATGGCCATGGCGCACAATCGCATGCTCGCTGCTTTCCGTTCGAACAGCATTAATTCCTCAATCGCCAACTTTCCTTTGTCCTTCTCTTTCTCCGCGAGAAATCCTTTTTCTGTGAATTGAATACATAACCTTGGCAACTCTAAAATACAATTTTTACCAAATTTTCCATTTAAAATTATGATTTACGCTTTCTCTTTTCCAGATCGTTAATCGCTTTTGACACAACAGTCGGATCGACAAAGCATTCGAGCCAAGAGAGCTCGGAAGACATCTCCGCGTAATCCATTCTCGATCTGTGTTTTTTTTTTTCAATTTTTTGAAAATGCAAAAATGTTGTCCACAAGGAATACACAGCCGGCGCGGACTAGGAAACATGAGCGCTTACTAGGTCATCTCTTGTTTTGAAAAAATATTTTCAGTTTCAATGATGTTCCTTGCAATATCCGCAAGGATTTCCAGTATTTTTCTGTTACACTCAGTTTAAACTTATAAATTTTTAGATGTCAGAAGAAGAAATCAAAAGTGGAGAGAGGATTGAAATGCAAAGGGAGATAATCGAAGACGTAATCGAGCAGGAGGCGATTGAAGTGGAACAATGCGAATGGATGGGCGAAGGAGTGGTTCTGGAAGACCAGGTCAGTACGAAAATTCAAATTAAAAAAATTATTCGAATTTTCAGGGAGCTCCCGCCTACTTCAACGAACTGATAGACCATCAATTGGTGGAGTTCGACGAATCGGACCAATTCCAAGCGCTTTTGCCAGTTCGCAACGGAGTGCCTGTTCTTTCCTTGAATCTACCGGATCTTCTGAGCAAACCGATAAATTTTTCGGAAAACGAACGAATGATTATGTGCTTCAACAAAAAATGTCAACGCCAACTGGCTTTCGCCGGTTTCCTCTACACAATCAAAGACTACGTGCTTGAGACGGAGTGGAATAACTGGAGATGCGTGAATTCGCACTGTTTCGGAGAGATTCGCACGACGCCGTCGCTGAGCGAAGTGCGAATTTGTCACGAACACGTGCGCGGATGTCCCCAGGACGATCTTCAAATCCGCATTCGCATCGCCGTCTACGACGCCCGGCTCATGGCCGAATTCACCGACGCTCCACTAGAGACCCTCTACGCCGGAGCTCAGGGACGAATCAAGGAAGATTTCCCTGATGCCAGCTGCCTTTTGCCGTCTTTCCAGAACCTCAAATCCACGTTGGAAGACCATCGAATTAATAAAATCTACCGTAAACGATTCGAGATGCAAAACTTGAGGGATAAGCAGAAGAAGATGGGAATGACGCCCGATGAGGTCGTTTTTACGGAAAACGCCTCGGGACTCATCAAGTTCAGAAGGACGAAGCCGTTTCCGCCGGTGAGAAAAACAGAGAAAAGATTATTTTTAAAAAACAGTATTTTTTTAGTCAATGTGTTCCGAGTGCAATGAGCAGCTGATCAGCAATAGCATGCCATCGCAAGACAATCTGATCGCCCATTACATGTACAATCACGGCAGACGCATGACGATTGAGCGATTCGAATTCAAAGACGTCAATCTTTTCGATGTAAATTTGCGAAAACTTGTGAAATCATAATAATACTACTAACCATTCTCAGCAATATCTCCGCGAGCTCAATCTTCTGAGCCGTCACAAGCTGAAGCGGATGGGATTAGCCGACGAGAACATGTACTATTTGTGCACGCAGGACGACCGCCTCGCCAAGACCGGAGTGGGCCGGGCGACTCGATTGCAGGAGCAGAACTGTCATTGCACCGCGTTCATCCGCGTCTTCGACTGGAGAATCGTCTCGAAGCAGGAAGGATCTCGGATCACTATCGACTATTGTCTGGAGCATCAGCAGCATCCGCAAGAGCCCTCCAGCCCGAATCCGTCCAAAGAGGAATACGATTATTACACTCCGGAAGTGTTCATACGCGATATTGAGGAGCGAAGACGGCGGACGGTGAAGCTGCTCGGCGACGTGGATTCTGGGAAAAAGCGCACGCTGGAACCCAGGACTTATGTGCCGCCCGGAAGAGCCCGTCCGTGCTCCGGTACCAGAGCTCTGGCGCCGCCCCTTGCTGCTCAACTGGCCGCCGGAACAACTTCTCCGTTTGTGGATCTCTACGCGGAACAGAGTTCTATCAATAGCCGCCCACGCCCGAAATTCCGTCAGAACATTCGTACCGCCTATCCGAAAGTGGAAGAGGAGCCGAACACGTCTTCTTCGACGGCTACGACGGCTACGACTTCCACCGTGCCTCCGCCACGTATTTATATATCACAAAAACCGTATTCACGTCTCACGGAACGTGAGCATTTCAAGGTACTGTCAAACGGTGTTCACGTCGAAAACAACATGAGCTTTCAGGATATTTACACGTTCAACGCGGTGTGCAAGGTGGAAGACACCTGTCAGAACCTTCTCAATCGCTTGCAGAGTTGCCAAAGCGCGCGCGTCGGTCTGGCGTACCGCGAAAAAGTGAATGCGCTGTTGCGACAAGCGAACGTGGATCCGGCGCTCTCCGAAGGAGCGTCACTAGAGGATACGGAGAAGTCGTGGGTGCTCCAGAAGCCGTTGAGAGGACGTCCGTCGAAAAAGCGAAAGTTGGAAGAGGGCGAAGAGGACGGAGAGACGGGTGAGGACGAGGAGGACGAGGATGTAGATGTCGAAATTGAGAAGATGACGGAGGAAGAAGAAGAAGAAGCCGGAGGGAATGACACGATGATCACGACGGAAGAGGATGAGGAGCGTTCGAAGGAAGAGCACAAGAGCTCGAAGATTGAGCCGAACACGTTAGTATCAATAGCCTACTAAAATGAATTCTATATTCTATTGTAGACGTGAAGATGTTCCGAAAAAGGTCCACGCGAAAAGGGATCGAAAAGAAGAGCCGCCACATCTTCAGCAGACGGATAGCATGACGAGAAGCGGGCGACAGAGGAAAGTACCGGCTAGACTTGCACAATGAACCAAAAACATTTTCACTCAATTGTACTACGTTATAAGCAAATCCTTTATTCTTTTTGATAAATGCTGATAAGGATGTGAAGCCTTCCAACACCAGAAATATAGAGAGAGAAACATACAATAATTGAATTTAAAAAATGAAAAAGGAAAGTTTTAAAGCGACCAGGAATGTTCTCATTGAGCTCTTGTGGAAGAGCGCAATTTTCACATCTTCAGGGGGAAAGGCTGTGTTAAGATGATGCATATTTTTTTACAATGTTAAATCAGAGAAGAAGAGTGTTACGCACGCGTGGTACGGGGTAGACAGCCAATTAAAATCAGGGCGGCGCTGAGAACGACCACCTATAAAAACGAGGAAGAAAGGGTTAACACGTGGGCGGGGATTTGCGCGATGTTGGACGGCTCGAAAGCCTGGGATTCGTCGTATAAAATCAGTGATATCTTAGTGATTTGAACGTGGTTCGGGTAGATGTAATGTCTTTTTTAAGCCTTGTCTTTACGGAACTCAAATTGAGGAAAGTCAGGAAAAGCAAAACTGAGACAGTCAAATTTAGAGTGTGTCAGAAGTGAGATACAGAAGCTTCGAATGTTTTTACTCAAAATTCTAGAGGAAGCAATAGCAATAGCACAACACGGCGGCGTGGCCATGTTCCGTTAGCTTTCGTTCAATTCACGTAACTTTCAAATACAATTCTTGTTCTCGAGATGATTGTGAAATTTCAGAGTATTTGCACGGGCATCACTCGATTCAATCGAAAGTCTAAACTAAGACACAACTTCTTCACTCACAGAGTCTTATCTAAAATGAATCCGGCACTAGCATCTGTGAAATGATGATCTTTTTTCTTTTTCGTTGGCAAGTAAACCCAATTCATCGCTATTGCCCCTCGGTGATTGCAGACGCAAGCCAAAATTTCCTGAAATTAGGTTTGAGTCTGCAAACACCGAGGGGGCAAGAGCGGTAAATTGAGTATAGCTGAAGATTCCCCATTTATTCCCCTCATCCATTATTCACCGTAAAAGCGTGGATGGCATTCAGATTTGTGGGGCAGTGAAGACTATGTGCTAGTATATCTTTAACGTCTAGTGTCCCGCTTTCTTTGAGGGTGTTGTCCCGCAAATTGAGGAAAGTCAGGAAAAGCAAAGAATTATCTGGAGATGAGTATGTAATTTCCTAAAATACTATTACGTTTTTTTTGAGCACATGCTCCCGCAGTTCCATTATCATTCTCTGCACTTTCTCGTGTCTCACAAGCGCCGGGTCGTTGGACATCAGTTGTCCGTTGCTGAACGTGGTCGGAACTGTCGCACTCGGCGCCTGCGGCGGTAGTTGATTCCTTCGGTCTATAGGGAGCACAAAACGGTAGAAGAGCCAGTTGCCAAACGTCGCGTCCAGATTCTTCTCGTTGTATATTTTGTAAAAGTTGTCGGCGAGCACTCGAAGTGTGAGAAGCTCGTTACGACTGATGCTGAGTATAAGAAAATTGGGATTTATTTTACCAATTTTTAGAAAACTTACTTGTCAATAATAAAATCTATGTCATAGTCAAGAGCAGCAAAGATGGCCATGGCGCACAATCGCATGCTCGCTGTATCCGTTCCAGCAGCATTAATTCCTCAATCGCCAACTTTCCTTTGTCCTTCTCTTTCTCCGCGAGAAATCCTATTTCTGTGAATTGAATACATAACCTTGGCAACTCTAAAATACAATTTTTATCAAATTTTCCATTTAAAATTATGATTTACGCTTTCTCTTTTCCAGATCGTTAATCGCTTTTGACACAACAGTCGGATCGACAAAGCATTCGAGCCAAGAGAGCTCGGAAGACATCTCCGCGTAATCCATTCTCGATCTGTGTTTTTTTTTCAATTTTTTGAAAATGCAAAAATGTTGTCCACAAGGAATACACAGCCGGCGCGGACTAGGAAACACGAGCGCTTACTAGATCATCCTTTGTTTTGAAAAAATATTTTCAGTTTCAATGATGTTCCTTGCAATATCCGCAAGGATTTCCAGTATTTTTCTGTTTCACTCAGTTTAAACTTATAAATTTTTAGATGTCAGAAGAAGAAATCAAAAGTGGAGAGAGGATTGAAATGCAAGGGGAGATAATCGAAGACGTAATCGAGCAGGAAGCGATTGAAGTGGAACAATGCGAATGGATGGGCGAAGGAGTGGTTCTGGAAGACCAGGTCAGTACGAAAATTCAAATTAAAAAAATTATTCGAATTTTCAGGGAGCTCCCGCCTACTTTAACGAACTGATAGACCATCAAATGGTGGAGTTCGACGAATCGGACCAATTCCAAGCGCTTTTGCCAGTTCGCAACGGAGTGCCTGTTCTTTCCTTGAATCTACCGGATCTTCTGAGCAAACCGATCAATTTTTCGGAAAACGAACGAATGATTATGTGCTTCAACAAAAAATGTCAACGCCAACTGGCTTTCGCCGGTTTCCTCTACACAATCAAAGACTACGTGCTTGAGACGGAGTGGAATAACTGGAGATGCGTGAATTCGCACTGTTTCGGAGAGATTCGCACGACGCCGTCGCTGAGCGAAGTGCGAATTTGTCACGAACACGCGCGCGGATGTCCCCAGGACGATCTTCAAATCCGCATTCGCATCGCCGTCTACGACGCCCGGCTCATGGCCGAATTCACCGACGCTCCACTAGAGACCCTCTACGCCGGAGCTCAGGGTCGAATCAAGGAAGATTTCCCTGATGCCAGCTGCCTTTTGCCGTCTTTCCAGAACCTCAAATCCACGTTGGAAGACCATCGAATTAATAAAATCTACCGTAAACGATTCGAGATGCAAAACTTGAGGGATAAGCAGAAGAAGATGGGAATGACGCCCGATGAGGTCGTTTTTACGGAAAACGCGTCGGGACTCATCAAGTTCAGAAGGACGAAGCCGTTTCCGCCGGTGAGAAAAACAGAGAAAAGATTATTTTTAAAAAACAGTATTTTTTAGTCAATGTGTTCCGAGTGCAATGAGCAGCTGATCAGCAATAGCATGCCATCGCAAGACAATCTGATCGCCCATTACATGTACAATCACGGCAGACGCATGACGATTGAGCGATTCGAATTCAAAGACGTCAATCTTTTCGATGTAAATTTGCGAAAACTTGTAAAATCATAATAATACTACTAACCATTCTCAGCAATATCTCCGCGAGCTCAATCTTCTGAGCCGTCACAAGCTGAAGCGGATGGGATTAGCCGACGAGAACATGTACTATTTGTGCACGCAAGACGACCGCCTCGCCAAGACCGGAGTGGGCCGGGCGACTCGAATGCAGGAGCAGAACTGTCATTGCACCGCGTTCATCCGCGTCTTCGACTGGAGAATCGTCTCGAAGCAGGAAGGATCTCGGATCACTATCGACTATTGTCTGGAGCATCAGCAGCATCCGCAAGAGCCCTCCAGCCCGAATCCGTCCAAAGAGGAATACGATTATTACACTCCGGAAGTGTTCATATGCGACATTGAGGAGCGAAGACGGCGGACGGTGAAGCTGCTCGGCGACGTGGATTCTGGGAAAAAGCGCACGCTGGAACCCAGGACTTATGTGCCGCCCGGAAGAGCCCGTCCGTGCTTCGGTACCAGAGCTCTGGCGCCGCCCCTTGCTGCTCAGCTGGCCGCCGGAACAACTTCTCCGTTTGTGGATCTCTACGCGGAACAGAGTTCTATCAATAGCCGCCCACGCCCGAAATTCCGTCAGAACATTCGTACCGCCTATCCGAAAGTGGAAGAGGAGCCGAGCACGTCTTCTTCGACGGCTACGACTTCCACCGTGCCTCCGCCACGTATTTATATATCACAAAAACCGTATTCACGTCTCACGAAACGTCAGCATTTCAAGGTACTGTCAAACGGTGTTCACGTTGAAAACAACATGAGCTTTCAGGATATTCACACGTTCAACGCGGTGTGCAAGGTGGAAGACACCTGTCTGAACCTTCTCAATCGCTTGCAGAGTTGCCAAAGCGCGCGCGTCGGTCTGGCGTACCGCGAAAAAGTGAATGCGCTGTTGCGACAAGCGAACGTGGATCCGGCGCTCTCCGATGGAGCGTCACTAGAGGATACGGAGAAGTCGTGGGTGCACCAGAAGCCGTTGAGAGGACGTCCGTCGAAAAAGCGAAAGTTGGAAGAGGGCGAAGAGGACGGAGAGTCGGGTGAGGACGAGGAGGACGAGGATGTAGATGTCGAAATTGAGAAGATGACGGAGGAAGAAGAAGAAGAAGCCGGAGGAAATGACACGACGATCACGACGGAAGAGGATGAGGAGCGTTCGAAGGAAGAGCACAAGAGCTCGAAGATTGAGCCGAACACGTTAGTATCAATAGCCTACTAAAATGAATTCTATATTCTATTGTAGACGTGAAGATGTTCCGAAAAAGGTCCACGCGAAAAGGGATCGAAAAGAAGAGCCGCCACATCTTCAGCAGACGGACAGCACGACGAGAAGCGGGCGACAGAGGAAAGTACCGGCTAGACTTGCACAATGAACCAAAAACATTTTCACTCAATTGTACTACGTTATAAGCAAATCCTTTATTCTTTTTGATAAATGCTGATAAGAATGTGAAGCCTTCCAACACCAGAAATATAGAGAGAGAAACATACAATAATTGAATTTAAAAAATGAAGAAGAGGAAAGTTTTAAAGCGGCCAAGAATGTTCTCATTGAGCTCTTGTGGAAGAGCGCAATTTTCACATTTTCAGGGGGAAAGGCTGTGTTAAGGTGATGCATATTTCTTTACAAAAAGCGGGGAAAAATGTTAAATCAGAGAAGGAGAGTGTTACGCACGCGTGGTACGGGGTAGACAGCCAATTAAAATGAGGGTGGCGCAGAAAGACCACCTATAGAAACGAGGAAAAAAGGGTTAACACATAGACGGGGATTTGCGCGAAGTTGGACGGCTCGAAAGCCTGGGATTCGTCGTTGAAAAATGGTGATGATGATGTAAGGGGGTCGTTCGCATTTAAATTACAGCATGAAATAAAACTCAGAACATCATCACTAAGTTTACGCACACATTTAGTCATTCTTTCCAATATTGTATAGTTCGTAGAGCATTTGGTGGGGGACAACAACAAAAAACACCATTTAGAGAGGAATGAGAGGGAAAATCTCGTGTTTGGAAAAAAAATTGAGAAAAAAGAAGTGGAAGGGAGTTATTGGGTCGTCTCCTGACGGACCTCGATTTTCTCGACCACCATATCCGGGTTCATTTGGGTCGCCTCGAGAATCGCTTGCGACAGCTCCTGAAAACGGTATTCTAAAAAATTTTCAACCGATTTCAAGCTTACCGCATCGTGATCAATGTCTCCATCGGAGTGGATGGTGACTCGATGTTCGACGTGCGTCTCGATCACTCCGTCCTTCTCCGTCTTGTACGTGATCGTCTCGATCGTTCGATTGCCCTGAGTGACACTCTTTGAAGAGACGTACTCGCCGAGTCCCTGAAATATCATTAATTGTTGAAGAAGGCCTTTCCTTAGTGTGCTCACTTGTTCAGCCCATCCGGGCGGAGCGGCATTCTCGCCGCCTTGAGCCTCGTAGGTCATCGTACGCGTCTGAGTCTCCACAATTCCGTCGCCGTTCTGTTGGCCGGAAGAAGAAGAAGCTTGCTGTCCGAGCGGAGTCAACTGCTCACGGCTTCGCTCGACGTCGACGACTCCGACCGGCACCTGGTCGCCGTCCACAATGTAGTTCTGGAAGGATTGCGTCTGCACAGTGTGTTTCACCTGCGACGACTTGACAGTTCTTCTGAAAAACATAGGGATTCGGGGGATAAATAAATTGATTGTTTGAGGCGTACGTGATCTGTCGTCCGTTCTCGTCCGTATAAACTTCAACTTGTTCCGGAAGATCGCTCGTTTCTTGCCACGTCGACACCGTCGTGTAAGGTTGGCCGCTCTCCTAAAATGCGGGTTTTAGATGAGGTTTTTTTGTTGTAGAAATTGGAAATGATGAAATGAGGCAAGAACTGAGAAAGAGCGGCTCTGATTCGGCAAATTACAACTGAATAAAATTGGTGAAAATCTGGGTGTTGAGGGTAAATTCTGATGGGATTCCTGATTTTTCCAAACTTTTTCCAGTACGTACTTTGCAAATAAAAGTAAGGTTGGAGCGAAAAATAGCGAAAATCAGAGAACAGAGGGCTCTTTTCCAGTATTGTCGACTCATCATTTCTCCACATGAGGTAATTTCACAATATTTGTTGAGCAGAAGAAGCATCACTCAGACACTCATAGATCAGGAAATCCACACGCTTTTCAGAGGTTAGAAGAGGGTCAGAATAGTGTGCAGGTGCAAAAGTGAAGGAAGACTTCAGAAGAAGGACATCACGACGATCACGGTACCGAACGAACGAACACAATAATCACTCAGAACATAGGAAATCGGAAGAACGGAGAACACTGAATAGACAACGAATCGGGCGAAAACGCGGGGGCGGAGAGGTGGGTGAGTAGAAAGCGGCGACGATGAAAACGACGAGACAGACTGATAGGAAGTCAAATTAGGATAGAAATAAGGAAGAGGACTCAGAATGTGTGCTCTCAGCAGCAGCATCAGCAGTTTTCGGGCATTTCACAGTCAGTGTGAGACTAAGAAGAGTACCTCGAAAGAGACCGGTAGGGGCGCGTTTGCGCGCACAGTGAAAGTGCGCTCGGCGTGTTCCAACCGTGGCGAGCTTGCGTTCAGACGTTCCGCACGTTGAATCGTTGCCATCAGCGACTACAAAATCCACAGGATCCTATCAAAAATAGAAAAGGAGAAGGAAAGAACAAGGGGATCAGAAAACTAAAGGATTGCCCAATCGGATCAAAAAATGAGAGAAAGAGACACTGAAACCTATTATGTAAAAGGAATCATTAAGAATAAAGACAGAAAAAAGAAGAGAGAGAGAAGAGGTGCGTCATTTGAGTGTGTGGGAGGATTGAGTGCAAAAACTGAGCAAATTCAAAAAAGGGAACACACGCACGAGGGGGATTTGATTGGCGAGATTTTGGTGGTGGACCTTTTGCTCCTCTGCAATTCGCATTTGATCATTTTCTCTTGGCTGATAGATTCTTCAGATCCACCACCCGAATCATTCCGTCTCAAACCCCCTCCAACTTCTCATGCACCCTCCCTCTTCCCCCCATTTTCTTCTTCTTCCTTTCCTCTTTCCTTCTATTCCGTATCCATCCCACACCAACCGGATCGTTCGGATTGAAGCCGGACGTGTAGCCGTCGCCAGTGAGTCGGAACTGCTGCTCGCGCGTCTCGTGCCGCACCTCCTTCGTGGCGCCCAGCTCGGCGGGAAGCGTCTCTCCACCCGTAACGACCACCGTCACCTCGTTCATCGGCTCGTCCGTCCGTCTGCCCGGACTTTTGTGCGTTCGATGCTCTGGCTTCTTCGGACCTTCCTGCTTTTGCGGGGGCGGCGCCTCCTCATGCTTCAAGTGTGCGTTGTGAATAAAAGAGAACCGAGAACCAACGAGAAACCCCCAGAATGTGTGAAATTTAATCTATTGTGTGAATCCTACACTAATGAGACATGCAAATTTCAATCAATCCACCGCAACACTTGACCTGCAACGTTTCCTGGAAATGAAAAAGTGGGAACGTACCGGCTGGAATTCAACAACGGCGAACTCGCGCTTCTCTTCATGCTCGCTGTCCGACGTCTCCGACGACTCGTTCTCCTTTTTGCCCTTTTTGTCCTTCTTGTCCTTCTTCTTGTCGCGCTGAAAATTTCAAACGTTCATCATCATCATTAGCTTTTTCTATCTGAAGGAGTTTAGCAAACAGGAGCCAAGGTCAATTGACACACACGCACACAAAAAATCATATCGCGCGGCTTTTCACACAAACGTTTCGCTAAGAATGTGTCAACAGACCCCTCATTGGGTGGAATGGAACTTTCGAAGGAAATCCGATTGTGGTGGGAGGAGGGGAAAACAAAAAAACGTCTCCTTCGTCCCTCGTCTTTTTTCTCTTCCTTCTTCTTCTGCTTCCGATGTATATTCCCAATGTCCCAGAGGGGAGCTCATCACAACACACACACGCACACACGAAGACACTGGTGGCTCACAAAAGAGCCCGAGCACAGAAAATGGGGGCACAGCAGTGTATTATGTAGAGAAGAAGGAAGCAATGAGCACCAGCCGAGCAGCCAATCTCTCTTTTATTTTAACCACCACCAAAAAGATAGCGGGAAGAAGCACACAACATCCACACAGCCACACACAACTTTCCTTCGAGCTACTAGGACAAACAAACCTTGAAACCGAGTCGAGCCAAGAAAGACGGTCTTTCCGGCGGCGACATGTTTAGTGGAGTGGTGGAGAAGTGCAGTCCGGTTTCGTCTTCCGACACCGAACCGACGAATGGCACCACCGAGTGTCTGGTAGTCGCGGAGCCGCCCGCAGTAGAGCTGGAGGCGCCAGAGAAATAAGCAGTCGCTGTCGAGAGGTAGGCGTGGCTTCGAGTCGTTTCGCGCAGCACATACACTGGCTCCAACTGCACTTCGGCTCGCCGCTCCAGGCGCACTTCCACGTAGCCGTGACCGTCGTCGGTGTAGCCTTCGATACGCGCGGCACGTGGTTCGTATTGGAGCGAGGAGGGGAAGTAGTTGACGGTGTTCTCGACGACCAAAGCGCTGTTACGGGCCGTTGAGGTAGATGGTCCGATGAGATCGGTCAATGCGCGTGGCTCCAACTCGGCACTGCGAGTTAGGGGCTCCGCGATAATCTTTACATCGTCAGAAACGACACCTTCGGACTCTTTCGGCAGACTCTTCTTCATTGGCAGAACTCGAGCGATCAGCTTGACGTCAGCTTTCGGTTCTTGGTAGACACCACTGGTAGAAGTTCTCTTGTTGAGCTTTCCAATAATTGCATCCCGAATGCGAGCACCGGAATATCCTGAATGATAGACAGAAGAGTGCTCCTGAATTGGACATTCTTCGACCTCTGCCTGCAGTGGAGTCTCCTCGACGTTTCCAGATTGGGTCCAAGCGGGGAATGAATAAAACACAGGATGCAGTTTGCTCTTTTCGACCTCGTCCTCGTCTCCGTCATGCAGGATTCGTGCGATCAGGCGATACTTCCGGTCGGCTTCCGTTGAAAGTTCGGCGGGTTTTCTCGGACTATACTTCGGAATAGTGCCGCTGTGCTCGAATGGGATTGTCTCCAAATCGAGATTTCTGTCAGTGACATCCAATGGGCCGGTGTAGTTTTCGAAAGTGGACGGGTAGGAGGTGCCGCGTGTGGAGCGGCTCGGCTTGACTCCTCGCAAGAAATTGAATCGTTGCGTCTTCTCGGACGACTTTGGCGGGACATTCTCCTGATTCTCTTGAACTTCCGGCTGTTGCTCAATTTCCGTAGACACTATGACCTTCTCCTTCGCGGGAAACTCCTTTCTCCAGAATTCAACATGCTCCAAAGGTTGGCTTCGTTCGGTTACTTCGAGAGGACCTTCATAAGTCGTAGAAGTCTCAGGATATCCAGTCTTTGTTCCGGCTCCTTTGTTGGATAAGCTGAAGAATCGGAAACGGAATGGCTTGTTCTCCTTATCATCTTTTCGTGGTGACTTCTCATCCGAAGATTCGGACGGCTCTTGTCCTTGAGGAAGAACTCGAGCAACCAAGCGGACATCACTTCCTTCCGGCTCTTCCTTCACCTTCTTCTTCGTTTTCTTTTCGGGCGCAGCTGCGGCAACATCATCGTTTCTCCATGATTCTCCATGATGATAGACGGTGGAGTGATCTTCGATCGGAGTCTGATAGATTTCAGACTCACGAGAGATCTCTTCCAACGGTCCATCATATGAAGTGGGGGCGAATCCGTAGGCGGCTGGCTTCTCAACGATGTCCTCGTCTCCTTCGTGACGGAATCTGGCAAACATTCCGGTGGCCTTCTTCTTCTCCAGCTTCTCCGGCGACTTCACAGCTCGAACGGCTTTCGGAGAGTACCTTGGCACTTGTCCATGCAAGTACGGCGTCTTCTCAAATTCGTCGGCAGGACTCGTTACATCAAGTGGTCCTTCGTAGATTGGAGACGATTCCGGATATGAGGATTCAGCATTCTTCTTGTTAAGACTGAAGAATCGGAGACGGAACGGTCTCGAGGAGTCCTCCTTCTCTACCACATCGCCAGCTTCTGGCTCTTCCGACTTGACCTTGGCCAGCAGTTTCACTTCGTGCTTCTCTGGTTCTACCGGCTCCTGGCTCTTCTCCTTCTTCGGCGGCTTTACCTTCTTCTGCTTCTTCTCCAACGAAGAAACTGGAGATGAAACGTCCTTTCTCCAGGATTCTCCGTGGTGATAGACAGTCGAATGATCTCCAATCGGTGATTGTTCAATCTCAGATTGCTTAGAGATCTCGTCCAGGGGACCATCGTAAACAGTGGAGACGAAAGCGTAGGCGCTCGGATTCTCGACGACATCTTCTTCACCTTCATAGCGGAATCGTGTGAATAGACGATAGATTCGGCTTTCGTGATGAGCTGCCGGCTCAGCAGTGTCCAAGTTCTTCGGTGTATACTCGGGAATGTCTCCAGACTTAAATTGCGCCTTCTCAACTTCACGAGAAAGGCCAGTCACATCGAGATCTCCGTCGTACACTGCAGATGGTTCTGGATATCCAGTCGGTTTGGAGTGACGGTGGAAGATGTTGAATGAAGACAATCGTTGTTCCTTGACTGGAGACGCCTTCTCTTCAACAACAGGTTCTTCATCTTCGTGACTCAGCGGTTGAATGCGAGCGACGAGACGAACTTCACGGGATTCCTCTGGCTCTGGAGTCGGTTCCTTAGCAGCCTTGACCTTCTTTTGTTTCATTTCAGCAACAGGTGACACTGGTTTTTCATTTTTCCACGACTCTCCATGATGGTAGACAGTAGCGAAGTCGGCGATTGGAATCTGGTCGATGTCACGGTTCAGAGATGTTTCGTCGAGTGGTCCTTCGTTGAGATCAGAAGCAAACGCATACGCACCTGGCTTCTCGACCTCATCTTCGTCTCCATCGTGGCGGAATCTGGCGAACCAACGGAATCGCTTCTTCTCCTCGTGAACGACTGGCTCAGACGGCACATCAGAGAGTTCTTCGGTCTTGTGGATCGGAACTTCGAAATGATCGAATGGAATATTTTCCAGTTCATGAGAGCGAGTAGTGGAGTCGAGTGGTCCTTGGTAGACTGGTTCAGCTAAGACTTCAGTCTTCTCGGAGTTGGTGGGCCGACTGAATAAGCCAAATTTGGAGCCCTCCTTCTTCGGCTTTTTCTCCTTCTTCAGAAGTTCTCCGGAACTTGGTTCTTCCTGTTGTGAAGTTGGAACACGAGCAATCAAGCGGACTGCTCGCGTCTCAGGTTCAACTGGCTCCGGAGCAGTCTCCTTCTTGGTCTTGGCCTTCTTCTCTTTCTTTTTCTTCTTTTCGACAGTCCATTTAGCTGCAATTGGCTCAGTTCGGCGGGAATCTCCTTGATGGTAGACGGTCGAGTGCTCAGAAAGTGGATACTGCTCCAATTCAGGATGACGCGTAGTCTCATCTAGCGGACCTTGGTGAACGGTTTCAGCGAATCCATACGGATCTGGTATTTCGACCTCATCTTCGTCTCCTTCATGACGAAATCTGGCAATCAGGCGGTAACGCTTCTTTTCAGGTTGAGCGTGTTCTTCCGGAGATTCTTCAGCAGCACGTTTCTTGGGGGAGTAAACAGGAATCTCTCCATGTTCGAATGAAACACCTTCCAGGTCGTGACTGCGGTCGGTAGTATCGAGTTCTCCAGTGAACTGCTCCGAAGATCCGGGATATCCAATTGTCTTGGTCGTTTTGGTGGTACGGCTGAAGAATCCGAGCTTGAATCCCTCCTTCTTCGGCTTCTTCTCCTTGACAACTTGCTCCTCTTCTGGCTCAGATCGAACTCGGGCAATCAAACGAATTTCTTTGGTATCCGGTTCAACTTGTTCTGGCAGCTTCTCCTTATTTGGCGACTTGACCTTCTTCGCCTTCTTCTCGACAGTAGCCACAGGTGACACTGGCTGCTCCTTTTTCCAGGATTCACCGTGATGGTAGACATTTGAATGGTCGCTGATTGGAAGAGTTTCAATGTCTGATTGGAGTTGAATGTCCTCGAGTGGCCCGTCGTAAGAAATAGAGGCAAACACATAAGGATCTGGCTTCTCGACCTCATCTTCATCTCCTTCGTGACGGAAACGAGCAATCAGATGATAGCGCTTCTTTTCTGGCACGGCTCCTGCAGTCGACGGTTCTTCCTCGGATGCAACAATCTTCTTTGGAGAGTAGGCCGGGATGTCTCCGTGCTCGAATGGAACACCTTCCAGGTCGTGACTGCGGTCGGTAGTGTCCAAATCTCCTGTGAACTGCTCAGAAGTCTCCGGATATCCAGTAGCTTTGGTCGTCTTGGTGGTGCGACTGAAGAATCCGAGCTTGGATCCCTCCTTCTTCGGCTTCTTCTCCTTGACAACTGACTCAGCAACTTGCTTCTCTTCTGGATCAGATTGAACACGAGCGATCAGACGAACTTCCTTGGTCTCCGGCTCAACTGGTTCTGGCAGCTTCGCCTTCTTCAGCGACTTGACCTTCTTCGGCTTCTTTTCAAGAGTAGCCACAGGTGACACTGGCCTCTCCTTTCTCCACGATTCTCCATGATGGTAAACGGTGGCGTAGTCAGCAATTGGAGTCTGATCCAATTCATCTTGACGACGAACATCTTCTAGGTGCCCGTCGTAAGAAGTTGAAGCGAACGCATACGGATCTGGCTTCTCGACAACGTCCTCATCACCATCGTGTCGGTAGCGAGCGATAAGACGGTAGCGCTTCTTCACCACGTGCTCAGTTGGTTCTGCAGACGATTTGACAGCAGTTGTCGTCTTCGCAGAATATGATGGAACTTCACCATGCTCGAACGGCGCGGACTCCAAATCATGAACACGATCAGTGGTGTCAACGGGTCCAGTGTATCCATCAGAAGTCGCCGGGTGAGAAGTAGAAGGAGTCTGAGTACGGTGGAAGAATCCGAAAGATGGAATTCTCGATTTCGATCCCTCCTTCTTCGGCTTCTTCTCTTTGACAACCGGCTCGGCAACTTGCTCGTCTTCTGGCTCAGATCGAACTCGCGCAATTAGACGAATTTCCCTGGTTTCCGGCTCAACTGGTTCTGGCAGCTCAGCCTTCTTCAGCGACTTGACCTTTTTCGCCTTCTTTTCGAGAGTAGCCACAGGTGACACTGGCTTCTCTTTTCTCCAGGATTCACCGTGGTGGTAGACAAAAGCGTGATCGCCGATTGGAGCCTGATCGAGTTCTTCTTGGCGATGAATGTCTTCCAGAGGTCCTTCGTACAAAGTAGAAGCGAAAGCGTAGGAATCTGGCTTTTCGACCTCATCTTCATCTCCTTCGTGACGGAAACGAGCAAACAGACGGTAGCGCTTCTTCTCTGGTACGGCTGGTCCAGACGACGGATCTTCCTCGGATGCAACGATCTTCATTGGAGAGTAGGCCGGGATGTCTCCGTGCTCGAATGGAACACCTTCCAGGTCGTGACTGCGGTCGGTAGTGTCCAAATCTCCTGTGAACTGCTCAGAAGTCTCCGGATATCCAGTAGTTTTGGTCGTCTTGGTGGTACGACTGAAGAATCCGAGCTTGGATCCCTCCTTCTTCGGCTTCTTCTCTTTGACAACTGGCTCGGCAACTTGCTCGTCTTCTGGCTCAGATCGAACTCGGGCAATCAGACGAACTTCCTTGGTCTCTGGCTCAACTGGTTCTGGCAGCTTCGCCTTCTTCAGCGACTTGACCTTCTTCGGCTTCTTTTCAAGAGTAGCCACAGGTGACACTGGCCTCTCCTTTCTCCACGATTCTCCATGATGGTAAACGGTGGCGTAGTCAGCAATTGGAGTCTGATCCAATTCATCTTGACGACGAACATCTTCTAGGTGCCCGTCGTAAGAAGTTGAAGCGAACGCATACGGATCTGGCTTCTCGACAACGTCCTCATCACCATCGTGTCGGTAGCGAGCGATAAGACGGTAGCGCTTCTTCACCACGTGCTCAGTTGGTTCTGCAGACGATTTGACAGCAGTTGTCGTCTTCGCAGAATATGATGGAACTTCACCATGCTCGAACGGCGCGGACTCCAAATCATGAACACGATCAGTGGTGTCAACGGGTCCAGTGTATCCATCAGAAGTCGCCGGGTGAGAAGTAGAAGGAGTCTGAGTACGGTGGAAGAATCCGAAAGATGGAATTCTCGATTTCGATCCCTCCTTCTTCGGCTTCTTCTCTTTGACAACCGGCTCGGCAACTTGCTCGTCTTCTGGCTCAGATCGAACTCGCGCAATTAGACGAATTTCCCTGGTTTCCGGCTCAACTGGTTCTGGCAGCTCAGCCTTCTTCAGCGACTTTACCTTTTTCGCCTTCTTTTCGAGAGTAGCCACAAGTGACACTGGCTTCTCTTTTCTCCAGGATTCGCCGTGATGGTAGACAGTAGAGTGATCGCCGATTGGAGCCTGATCGAGTTCTTCTTGGCGATGAATGTCTTCCAGAGGTCCTTCGTACAAAGTAGAAGCGAAAGCGTAGGAATCTGGCTTTTCGACCTCATCTTCATCTCCTTCGTGACGGAAACGAGCAATCAGACGGTAGCGCTTCTTCTCTGGTACGGCTGGTCCAGACGACGGATCTTCCTCGGATGCAACAGTCTTCATTGGAGAGTAGGCCGGGATGTCTCCGTGCTCGAATGGAACACCTTCCAGATCGTGACTGCGGTCGGTAGTGTCCAAATCTCCTGTGAACTGCTCAGAAGTCTCCGGATATCCAGTAGTTTTGGTCGTCTTGGTGGTACGACTGAAGAATCCGAGCTTGGATCCCTCCTTCTTCGGCTTCTTCTCTTTGACAACTGGCTCGGCAACTTGCTCGTCTTCTGGCTCAGATCGAACTCGCGCAATTAGACGAATTTCCCTGGTTTCCGGCTCAACTGGTTCTGGCAGCTCAGCCTTCTTCAGCGACTTTACCTTTTTCGCCTTCTTTTCGAGAGTAGCCACAGGTGACACTGGCTTCTCTTTTCTCCAGGATTCGCCGTGATGGTAGACAGTAGAGTGATCGCCGATTGGAGCCTGATCGAGTTCTGCTTGGCGATGAATGTCTTCCAGAGGTCCTTCGTACAAAGTAGAAGCGAAAGCGTAGGAATCTGGCTTTTCGACCTCATCTTCATCTCCTTCGTGACGGAAACGAGCAATCAGACGGTAGCGCTTCTTCTCTGGTACGGCTGGTCCAGACGACGGATCTTCCTCGGATGCAACAGTCTTCATTGGAGAGTAGGCCGGGATGTCTCCGTGCTCGAATGGAACACCTTCCAGGTCGTGACTGCGGTCGGTAGTGTCCAAATCTCCTGTGAACTGCTCAGAAGTCTCCGGATATCCAGTAGTTTTGGTCGTCTTGGTGGTACGACTGAAGAATCCGAGCTTGGATCCCTCCTTCTTCGGCTTCTTCTCTTTGACAACCGGCTCGGCAACTTGCTCGTCTTCTGGCTCAGATCGAACTCGCGCAATTAGACGAATTTCCCTGGTTTCCGGCTCAACTGGTTCTGGCAGCTCAGCCTTCTTCAGCGACTTTACCTTTTTCGCCTTCTTTTCGAGAGTAGCCACAGGTGACACTGGCTTCTCTTTTCTCCAGGATTCGCCGTGATGGTAGACAGTAGAGTGATCGCCGATTGGAGCCTGATCGAGTTCTGCTTGGCGATGAATGTCTTCCAGAGGTCCTTCGTACAAAGTAGAAGCGAAAGCGTAGGAATCTGGCTTTTCGACCTCATCTTCATCTCCTTCGTGACGGAAACGAGCAATCAGACGGTAGCGCTTCTTCTCTGGTACGGCTGGTCCAGACGACGGATCTTCCTCGGATGCAACGATCTTCATTGGAGAGTAGGCCGGGATGTCTCCGTGCTCGAATGGAACACCTTCCAGATCGTGACTGCGGTCGGTAGTGTCCAAATCTCCTGTGAACTGCTCCGAAGTCTCCGGATATCCAGTAGTTTTGGTCGTCTTGGCGGTGCGACTGAAGAATCCGAGCTTGGATCCCTCCTTCTTCGGCTTCTTCTCCTTGACAACTGACTCAGCAACTTGCTTCTCTTCTGGATCAGATTGAACACGAGCGATCAGACGAACTTCCTTGGTCTCTGGCTCAACTGGTTCTGGCAGCTTCGCCTTCTTCAGCGACTTGACCTTCTTCGGCTTCTTTTCAAGAGTAGCCACAGGTGACACTGGCCTCTCCTTTCTCCACGATTCTCCATGATGGTAAACGGTGGCGTAGTCAGCAATTGGAGTCTGATCCAATTCATCTTGACGACGAACATCTTCTAGGTGCCCGTCGTAAGAAGTTGAAGCGAACGCATACGGATCTGGCTTCTCGACAACGTCCTCATCACCATCGTGTCGGTAGCGAGCGATAAGACGGTAGCGCTTCTTCACCACGTGCTCAGTTGGTTCTGCAGACGATTTGACAGCAGTTGTCGTCTTCGCAGAATATGATGGAACTTCACCATGCTCGAACGGCGCGGACTCCAAATCATGAACACGATCAGTGGTGTCAACGGGTCCAGTGTATCCATCAGAAGTCGCCGGGTGAGAAGTAGAAGGAGTCTGAGTACGGTGGAAGAATCCGAAAGATGGAATTTTCGATTTCGATCCCTCCTTCTTCGGCTTCTTCTCTTTGACAACTGGCTCGGCAACTTGCTCGTCTTCTGGCTCAGATCGAACTCGCGCAATTAGACGAATTTCCCTGGTTTCCGGCTCAACTGGTTCTGGCAGCTCAGCCTTCTTTAGCGACTTGACCTTTTTCGCCTTCTTTTCGAGAGTAGCCACAGGTGACACTGGCTTCTCATTTCTCCAGGATTCGCCGTGATGGTAGACAGTAGAGTGATCGCCGATTGGAGCCTGATCGAGTTCTTCTTGGCGATGAATGTCTTCCAGAGGTCCTTCGTACAAAGTAGAAGCGAAAGCGTAGGAATCTGGCTTTTCGACCTCATCTTCATCTCCTTCGTGACGGAAACGAGCAATCAGACGGTAGCGCTTCTTCTCTGGTACGGCTGGTCCAGACGACGGATCTTCCTCGGATGCAACAGTCTTCATTGGAGAGTAGGCCGGGATGTCTCCGTGCTCGAATGGAACACCTTCCAGATCGTGACTGCGGTCGGTAGTGTCCAAATCTCCTGTGAACTGCTCGGAAGTCTCCGGATATCCAGTAGTTTTGGTCGTCTTGGTGGTGCGACTGAAGAATCCGAGCTTGGATCCCTCCTTCTTCGGCTTCTTCTCTTTGACAACTGGCTCGGCAACTTGCTCGTCTTCTGGCTCAGATCGAACTCGGGCAATCAGACGAACTTCTTTGGTTTCCGGTTCCACGAGTTCTGGCAGCTCCTCCTTCTTTGGTGACTTGACCTTCTTGGCCTTCTTCTCAAGAGTAGCCACAGGTGACACTGGCTGCTCCTTTCTCCACGATTCTCCATGATGGTAAACTGTAGAATGATCGGAAAGAGGAACCTGCTCGAGCTCATAACTACGAGAAGTTTCGTCGAGCGCTCCTTCGTAAGCTTCCGGTGGAAAACTGTAGAACTCCGGCTTCTCAACGATGTCCTCGTCGCCTTCATGGCGTAAACGAGCAATCAGACGATATCTCTTCTTTTCCGGAACTTGCACTTCAGTTAGTGTAGCAGCTTCAACGGAGAGATTCCTCGGTAAGTAGGCTGGAATGTCCGTACGTTCGAACACAGAGCTCTCCAGGTCGTGACTGCGGTCGGTAGTGTCCAAATCTCCTGTAAACTGCTCCGAAGTCTCCGGATATCCAGTAGTTTTGGTCGTCTTGGTGGTACGACTGAAGAATCCGAGCTTGGATCCCTCCTTCTTCGGCTTCTTCTCTTTGACAACTGGCTCGGCAACTTGCTCGTCTTCTGGCTCAGATCGAACTCGGGCAATCAGACGAACTTCCTTGGTCTCCGGTTCAACTGGTTCTGACAGCTTCTCCTTCTTTGCTGACTTGACCTTATTCGCCTTCTTTTCAATAGTAGCCACAGGTGTCACTGGCTTCTCCTTTCTCCAGGATTCGCCGTGATGGTAGACAGTAGAGTGCTCATGCAGCGGAAATTTCTGAACTTCGTCACTTCGAGCAGTTTCATTGAGTGGCCCTTCATAACGATCAGTAGCAAAATCATAGGTATCTGGCTTCTCGATCTCATCTTCATCTCCTTCGTGACGGAATCTAGCGATCAGGTATCGTTTCTTTTCGTGCTGCACAACTGGATCTTCTGCCGATATTATTCGCGTCGTGTAGACTGGTACTTCTCCATGCTCAAACGGAACAGTATCCAGATCCTGCATGCGAGAGATTGCTTCCAGTGAGCCAGTGTATCCTTCCGATTGTCCTGGATACGACGACGACTTCGATGTTCTCGCAGTTTTCTTGAAGAAACCAAATGTGCTTTTCGACGAGGAATCCTTCAATGGCTTCGATGCTTCCGTTTGCTCTTCTTCTTCATCCGGGAGGATGCGCGCAATTAGACGTATATTGGATTTTTCCGGTTGATCAGACACTGCTTCTATCGGCTTCTTCGCAGATTTCACCTTTTTCACCTTCTTTTCCAGTGTTGCTACAGGTAAGGCAGGCTGCTTTCCAGTTCTCCAGTATTCTCCGTGATGATAGACAGTAGAATGATCACCAAGATTAGAATATTCAACATCCCTTTCCAAGTTTGTTTCTTCCAGGGGACCATCGTAAGAAGTGGAAGCGAATCCATAGGCTTCTGGACGAATCTTCGTATTCTCAACCTCATCCTCGTCGCCTTCGTGGCGGAATCGAGCAATAAGTCGATAATGCTTTTTTTCGACATGAGAACTGCTAGTCTCGGATAGTTTGTAGGCTTCAGATTTCTTTGGAGAGTATGCTGGATTCTCTCGGTGCTCGAATGATGACCCTTCCAAGTCGTGACTGCGGTCGGTCGTATCGAGTTCGCCAGTGAACTGCTCTGAAGTCTCCGGATATCCAGTTGTCTTGGTCGTCTTGGTGGCACGACTTAAGAATCCGAACTTGGATCCTTCCTTTTCCGGCTTCTTCTCCTTGACAACTGGCTCGGCAACATACTCCTCTTCTGGCTCAGATCGAACTCGCGCAATTAGGCGAATTTCCCTGGTCTCCGGCTCAACTGGATCTGGAAGCTTCGCCTTCTTTGGCGACTTGACCTTCTTTGTTTTTTTTTCAAAGGTAGCTATAGGTGAAGCAGTCTCCTCCTTTCTCCAGGATTCACCGTGATTGTAGACAGCAGAATGATCGCCGATTGGAGCCTGATCCAGTTCCTCTTGACGATGAATGTCTTCCAGAGGTCCATCGTACAAAGTAGAAGCGAAAGCGTAGGAATCTGGCTTTTCGACCTCATCCTCATCTCCTTCGTGACGGAAGCGAGCAATCAGACGGTAGCGGTTCTTCTCTGACACGGATGGTGCAACCAATGATCCTTCCTCGGTAGCAGCGATCTTCTTCGGAGAGTAGGCAGGAATATCTCTGTGATCTAATGGAGAGTTTTCCAGGTCTTGACGGCGATCAGTGACGTCGAGTTCACCAGAGTATTGCTCGGAAGTCTCTGGATATCCAGTAGTCTTGGTCGTCTTGGTGGTACGGCTAAATAATCCGAACTTGGACCCATTCTTCTTCGGCTTCTTCTCCTTGACAACAGGCTCGGCTATTTGCTCCTCATCTGGATCAGATCGAACACGAGCAATCAAACGAACTTCACGAGTTTCTGGCTCAGCGGGTTCGGACAGCTTCTCCTTCTTCGGGGACTTCACAGGCGCAGCTTTTGTTTTATTTTCTTTTTTCTGCTTCTTCGACTTTTCAGTAGGAACAGATGGCGATGAGGCTTTGTCGATTCTCCAGGATTCTCCGTGATGATAAATGGATGAGTGCTCGCCGATCGGAGTCTGATCCAATTCATCATGACGATGAATTTCTTCCAGTGGCCCATCGTAAGAAGTAGATGCGATGATGTATGGATCTGGTTTCTCAACGACGTCTTCATCTCCATCATGACGGAATCGAGCAATCAAACGGTAGCGTTTCTTCTCCTGCACGAATGGAGCAGATTCTGTTGTCACAGTCGCCTTCTGTCGAGAGGATGGCGGTGTCTGCATATGCTCGAATGGAGAGCTCTCAAGTTCGTAACTACGATCGGTGGTATCGAGATCTCCAGTAAAGTGATCAGAAGTCTGCGGGTACTCAGAAGTCTTGGTCGTCTTGGTGGTACGGCTGAAGAATCCGAGCTTGGATCCCTCCTTCTTCGGCTTCTTCTCTTTGACAACTGGCTCGGCAACTTGTTCTTCCTCAGGTTCAGATTTCACACGCGCAACGAGACGAACTTCTCGAGTTTTCTGGTCGGCTATTTGCGGGATCTTTGGTCTCTTTGTCTTCTTCGTCGGCTCAACCACAGTCGTAGAAGTTGTGACTTCAGCTGTCGAGGATCTAGCCATATCTTCAGTCGTATCAGTCACATTCCCACTGCGATCGACACTTGCAGACAAACGAACTCTCCGATCTGCATCTGGTGACTCTCTCCGCACTCTCGTCGATGCGGCATGTTCTCTCTGCGAGATTGTCGCATTCACATTCGACGAAGACTGCTGGCCGTTCCGAGCGTCCCTCTGATGGCTGACAACAAGTGGCTGGACATGGGTGACAAGTCGGTACTGTGGAGTGCTGGTCGATGGCTCGTTCAGCGTCTGAGAGTCTCCGTGATGATAGCGTCGAGAGTACTGCTGAATGTTCGCCGCCTGCACGTCTCTCGCCAATTCGGTCCGGTGCAGAGCGTCGCTTGTGGAAGCAGGAGCAAAGTCGTAGTCTTTCGGATCGATCTTCTCCTTCACGTCCTCCTTTCCAGGGTGCGAGATGCGCTTGGCCGGATCTCGTCGACTGGCGCCAGAATGACGAACGTCGACAAAGAAACGAATGGGCTGCTGATCCATCTCACCGTGCGGCTCGAGACGGTCCACGTGGCTCACTCCGTTGCGTGGCGTGTAGACACCGAATCCGTAGGGCAGCTGCTCGCGACGAGGGCTCAAGCGATCGTAGTGGCCCTCGTGGTAGACGTGCACTATGCGTTCGATCGGAATCTCTGGCAGCTCGTTCACCGGATACGTGTTAGGAATCGGCTGCTCCGGATCGACGGGCTCATGGAACGAGACGAGCCGAACGCTATCGCGGGAAGTGTCGGAAGCTCGTCCGAACAGATTGCGGCGAGCACCTCTCGCCGCCGATGACGTGGGAGCGGTGGTCTGCTGACGCATTTGCACATGATACTCTCCACGATGCTGGCCTTCGAAGTAGTAGGGACTGTCCGCGGTGGGACTCTGAATGGCAGAAGCGGACGAGGAGGCGGCATACTCGGACGGTGGATAGTAAGCCGAGGACGGGGTGCGCAGTGAGGATCGCTCCGACATGTAGTAGGCGGCGGACGATAGATTCGAGTCATCGAGGCCACGTGGCGAATAGGACAGGTCATGGTCGTGTGGTGGCGCATTGGCGGAAGTTGTGGAGACAATCAGCGTCGACGGACGGGACGAATACTTGGCAAACGTGGCAGAGGAGATCGCATCGTCGTCGCGGGTGTACGACTTGGGAGTAAGCGCGCGTCGGTACCTCTGTAAGAAGTGGCAATTGGTTTGGTTGTCGAAAGCTGTGACACACTACCAGGCGACTACCATGAAACCAAGTAGGGAGAACGCAACTATGTAAAAACAACACACGTGGCCGACGTCGTTTCAAAAAGCTTCCGTTCTCCGCAGATATAGTACTCAAGAGTCTCCAGAACACGACGACGACTGTGACGATGACGATGACGAGTCAACGAATGAGAACGAAGAGATTACGACATGGTGCGATGCTTTTTCGAGAAGGGGGTTAGAGATAGAGATTTTGGAGAGAAAAGCACTGTCAAACAACTACAACACATCGAGAATCGCTGTTTTTGTGTGGGAAGGAAGGTACATTTTGGGGGAAAACTGATAAGATTCCATGAAAAACGGGGACCTTCTCCTCACTCGATATCATCATCAACCCCCTCTCACACCGGTACAATAATTGGACTGATACTGTTGAGACCTCAGCCTAAATTTACAATTTAATCCACGAACAGGGAGCGAAAAAGGATAGGGCTAAATTACGAGGGAATTACATTACAACGAATTCGTAGGTTTTTCAGTTCAAGAGGGGTTTTAGACTGAAAAACATACGTGTGTGGGTGTGATGTGTGGCATGTGTTTGATATTTATTCTCGACAAAAAGAAAAAGGGTGCGGTGTGAGTATGAAAGTAACACGTAAAGCTGAATTAACTGAATATTACAACTGAAAGAGAGCATGCAAACATTGACAAAAAGCAACAATCTACAGCAAAAAAGAAAATGGGAACTAACCTCAAAGTTACGCTGCTCGAGCTCAGTGTCCGTCAGATTCAGGGTGTTCAGCTTCTGCTCCTCGGTCGCTGAAATAAGGACAGGTTCATTGTGAACTGTTATCCAATCACGGTCAAAAATCCACATCAGATCGAGTCAGAGATTGCGAATTATAAAAAATAAAGGTTTTGAAGAATACTCAAACTCACAAGTGATCGGTTGTGACATGGACGACGGCGCTCTGTCCACATTTGCCGGACGATCAAACATTTGCGAGGCCATCTTGGTCTGGAACTGAGTGCGTCCCTGATAACTGAAACGTTGTGAGCCAAAGTTGAAGAACGACTTCGGGGGCTTGTCCTCCGGCTGTATGAGTCTGAAGAAGGTGTGATGCTCGACCGCACACTTCCACGTTCTCTTCGACGCCAGATGCGTCGGCAGCTTGTACTCCAGAGTCTTCTCGTCTTTCTTGTCTTTTCCAATGACTCCCGCCTTGATTTTGATCGAGAAATGACTGCGTTTGTAGCCAATCTTAACGATCGATTGCCACGGGAACGTGTGGAGCTTCTTTCCGTCCTGGTAGATGTTAATGCCGACGGCGCCCACTCCAATGTCCACTGGCTTCTTGTCCTTATCCTGTAAAACAGTAATTATTTTAGAATTTTCGCAAAATACACGTACCGTTGCCTTGAACAAGTGAATTCCATAAAGAGCCAGATGCTTGCAGTTGTCTAAGAACTGCGTCTCGGCCTCCGATGTGGTCTGTCCGCGGAGCTCTCTGTGCAAATCGGCAATCTTCTTGAACTCTTCCGAATTGGCTTGCTCCGTCGGCACGAGCTTCGAGTTTACAATAAACTGTTCATATTCGTCGGATATTTGGCTCGGCGCGTCTCCGAACTCCATCTGAGCAACGAAAGAGCCGAGCAGGGCGTGGGTGTCGGCAGTGGCGGGGAGGCGACCCGTGAGGATGTCGCGGCGGAGCTGCAGGAACAGGTAATATCTCGCGTGATCGTCGACGAGTGTAGTCGGGGTGGTCGGGTAGAACTTGACCTCGAACGAGAACTCCCATGGAAGACCTGGAATTAAGAATTGTAGCAAAACAGGAAAAGTGGAGCAAAAACCTTTGAGTTGTCTCAAAATTTTCTTGTCGTTGTACAGCCAGTGGCGTGTGCCTTCGTCTTTATCGTAGAAGCACAACGAAAAATAGCCTCGCTCTTCGATCGACAAGTCACGAGTGACCATCTGAAACAGGGCGTCGCCTTCGGAGCTGCGCTGCAAAATGTTTTGATTATTTTCGGAGAAGTTGATGGAAAAGTGGTTGAAAAAATATAATCCACTCACATTAACTTCGAACTCTTTGTAGACACCGTCGGGAAGACGGACGCGAGTGGCCTGCATCTTTGGATCTTTCGGATGACTTCCGTGTGGCGCTGGTGATGGCGCGGTTGGCTGCGGTGTGGTTGGTGGGTGCTGTTGTTGGTCTCCGGGATCTCTGTCCTTACCCATTTGCTCTGAAACATTCATCAAATCAGTATGAGAAGTAGAAAACGTGAATTGAGAAGTGGGAGAAAAGAAATTGGAAAGCGAAACGAGAAAAGGACACAAGTTGTGGGTTTAAATCAGCGGAATGTGCTGTCCGGCGGTCTTCGGGACGGGCGGCAATAAATTTGAGTGAAGACCAATAAAAAATTACACACACTTTCCTAGCAGAAAGATAAAAATTTATCGGAAAAAAGCGGAGAAGCCTCCACATATGAATTTCTCCCAGATGGCCGATCTATTCACGATGTGGGAAAACCTCGGCCATTAGGGGGCACGAGGTGATACATGCACAGCTTTTCAGGACGATTGAGGGAAATTTCACTACTTCGGAGCATCTCTTGGAACGAAAAAGATACGGAGAAGAGTGTCAGATTCTCCAAACATCTTGTCGTTTCTCGTACAACTTGGAAGAACAACTGTCGCCTATTTGCTATTTGTTGCCTAGAGAGAATAAGAGAAATGAGAGAAAGCCGCCGCTAGAAAACAAAAAATGTTTACACCGTCCTCCAAGCCCGCGCCGTGGTCGGAGGAGGGATGCGGTGATGATGAGGAGTAGGAGGAGGAATCGCAGAGTGTGTCGCAACAATCGGCACAAACACAGTTTTTATTGAACCAGCTTGCCTCAGGCTTTTTGATGACTAAACGGGGCAGATGTGTGAGAAAAATGAATGAGAATCGGAGAGGGCAGGGAAGCCAGCCCGGCCAGTAAATTCATACAAATTGGAGGCAATTAAGCCGAGGAAACAGGTCTCCTCGGCGAGTGGACTTTTGAAATTTCGACGAAACTCTTTAGTACACGTGTCAATTGAAGAGCGTCTCGGCAGGTAAGAGATGCATTCAAGACTATTTGACTTAACAAAAAAAGAGAACACCTTGTTCTGGTGGCGATACTCCACAAAGGAAAGGCTTCAAGCGGATATCATCACTTCACCGCTCCTGCCCCCTGAGAGAAGCCCGCGAAGTTCAAATCCCCTTCAGCGTTTAATTCTTGCAAGTAGCGCGCGGAGTTTTCGCAACGGTGCCGCACGCATTTTTCTCTTCAGTTCGACAGTGAAAGAACAAGTGAAAAAACATTCGTTGTCGGTTTTTTGTGTTTTCTTTCTGAGAAGAAGATGCAACAAGGCGAAAGAATAGGTTTTGATAACAAAAAAATAATTGTCTGCTTTAATTACAAAGAATTCGGTGTTCAGAACAATGTGTGCGGCAGCGTTGCGAAAATTTCGCGCGCCACTTGCAAGAATTAAACGCTGAAGGGGAAGGGGCGGGGCAATATTTGAACTCCGCGGGCTTTTCTCAGGGGGCAGGAGCGGTGAAGTGATGATAGTAGTAATTGTGTTTCGACCTCGAATTTCGAAATTCAACCGCAACTTCTTTCTCTCTCCTTCTCCCTGTCCACCACAAGATGGGGTCGGCACAACAAACAGATGGTTCGTCGTGTCCTTGGCGAATCATAAAGAGCATTAAAAAAGAAAGGTGAGAGCGTGTCGGACGGCGGATACGAAGACGACAACAACTGCGGAGAGTGTGACCGGCAGGGCGCCGGTCCCCGTCCGATCGGAGCGATTTGAATGAGCGGAGGGGACGACTGACTGACGGACGGACGGCCGAACTGACTGGTTGCGATTGGTTTCTGGTAGGGCGCTGGCGCGAGGTGAGAGAAAAATGGGCGGCACGCGACTATTTCGGGGTCGGAAAGCGAGAGAAAGAGAAAGAAAGCGAGGAACAAAGGGAGGGAGAAATGCCACGTCGCTCGACACCATGCCAGCTTAATAATTTTCCACTCTTTTTGTCACCTATTTGTCCAGGTTTCAAATTTCAAAGCGATTCCGCCGGAAAAAGGAGAAACTTTAACTTCCAACTCGTCGATTTTATTTGCATAAACCAGTCGGACGGATAAAAGTAGTACTCTTCAAAACGAGGCCAAATATATTCTACTCACCTGGGTTCTCTATCATTTTTGTCGCTTTTCAGCAATAGAGAATATTTTCGAGAGAGAATTCCGGGAGATGCCAGTGAAGAAACTGTGAAGAGAATGATCGGCGGAAAATGGGAATATATGAAGGGGATGGAATGGGCGGAGCTGATGGGATGATGATTGTTATGTGAATTGTGAAATGACTTTTGCTGGAATTCTCGTTTCGAATCCCATGGATGACTCAGACCGTCAAATGGAAACGGAAAACAGCGGGAGGCGAAAATAGATTCGATTTGTTGCAGAGTTTGCAGAAAATCACGAGATCTCGGGGCTAGTTACTTGCGAAAAATCAAGATCGTTGAGTTTTCATGGAAAAACAAACTGCATGAGTCATTTGGACCACTAGATCCTCTCCGTGCAGAACCGGACGAAAAACTGGGGGAAAGTCCATTCGAACTGGCAGCACAACAGCGACGGATGCAGAAGAGGAAGCACATCAATCACCGGGTGATGGACCCATTTCCTCTCAATTTTTGACACCCCAACGAACGATCGATTCAGAAAACTTTCGGCAGAATTGAAACGCGCAACGACGACGCAATTTAAAAAAGTGGGTGGGGAAAAAGGGAAAGTGTGTGTGCGTTGGCAGAAAGCAGCCAGCAAACAACAATAACACCGGGGCGGAAGCAGTGGAAACGATGGCGAGAGAAGGGGTACTGACGCGGAATGAATAAGTGCGTTGTGCCGAAAAAAGGGAGATTTTGTTGCATTTTTTCTGCATTCAGAGAATGAAATCTAATTATTTGGAAATGAGAGAACTCTACTGCAACATGCTATTTATTGCAAAAGTTTCCGAGTCATGAATATATTGTGTGAGGGAAACCGGTGCCGCAATTGTATGAATATTTATGAACTCTCCACATTTCACCGCACTTCTGCCAAACTATGTTGTATGTACACCAGCAACAATATTAGGAGGAAGTTTATGAAATTCAGGGGGGATCATGTCCTTAAAATGTTCACTTGTTCGATTTCGATAGTTGCAAACACAAATACGAACAAGTAAGTGGGCGTCTGTGTTTCTGTTGACTTATCGCTCGCTGTCACTCTTTGTGGCAAACATACCCAAGTATTGTGAAAGGGATAGCTGCAGAAGGAGAAATTGAAAAGAGGAGGGGGTCTAACAGAAAGACAGAGTTGTTACTTCCGCGCGCCAGTTGACAGAGAAAGGGTGTGGTATTCGAGAAATCGTTAGGCCATGTTTGGGAAATTTTTTTCGAAAACGTGAAGCACTGGGGAACTGGGGAACACGTCCAGACACCGTTAAACTGTCGATAAAAGTTGCACACCCATCCGATTATAATAGAAGGTGGATGCTAAAAGCTTTAAAAATTGCTCAAAAAGCGCATTATTTTGCAGTCATTTAATTCTGGTAAAAAATCCGAGATAAGCCAAAATCACACGCATGATCCTTTCGGCTCTTGAGGCGTTATTCCACTTGAAGAAAGGGGAAAAGTGACGAGACTAGGAAGGAGAAAAAATAAGCGATGACGGGAAAAACAAGGCGAACACAAAAACACACGAGTGTTTTCGAATTGGCCACCGAGTATTAACGGCCGTGTTATTGTGATCAAGTCAAGTTTTTGGGGATGGTTGAATTTTCCAAATATGGAAAGGAAATCTTGAAAAAAATTGGGAGAAAACTGTGAGTTTCCAAATTTTTATGGGATTTCCCACAGAAGATACGGCACGATCGCCCGATCTTTGTGCTCAACAGTGTTGGGAAAAGGACCTGCGTCGTAGGCGTGCAAACATGTATACTAGTGTCCGAAAAGCTCCGCGGAGTCCTCTCCGCATGCTCACTTTCTCTGTCTCCGTCTCGCCAATCTCTCGTTCGCCAGGAAAAAGTAATGGAAAGAGAGTGTGTGGGCGAGGGGGGAAATCATTAGAAATTCGAAGAAGAGAATGATGAGTCTCAGAATACACACGTATTGAGCAGCTGGACGAGACGGGGAAAAGTACTGGGCAAACAAATATTGTTGGTTTTCTTCGGTCATTTGACTTGATTGCGTCGCGCAGAGGTCACACAGAATTTCGCGCTTTTAGGGAAATATTTTCAGAAAATTCCGAGTTTTCGCCAGCGAAAATCCAATCAAAAAACCAATTGAAAGAAGAGAAAATGGCCTCCAGGGACATGACATTTTGCAACATTTTTGTTGCGGGGGTCGCCAGTGACTGCCTGATAACAAAATTGATAAGAGATGAGAGAAACATGGGGAACCAACGATTTGGTTAGTTTCGGTTCGTCACATAGCTCTGTGTCCTACCGATCCGGCGTGGAAATCCGAGACTGCGAAAACCAACAAGAACAACACTTTGAGGAATGCGATTAGCAGAAGAGGGAACGCTTCTAATGCTAATGGAACGGTCCGCTGATGAGATTAGATTTGATTAGCAATGGGGGAAAATAGCTTTGCTTACAACAACTTTTAGGTATAAACACTCACATTTTTTGTGCTTTTTATGGGAAAGTTTAACAGACAACAGAATAACAACAACAATGACAACAAAGGAAAAAAGAAACAAAGAAATGAGTGAGGGAATTACTGTGAAATTGGAGCGAGCGGAATTTATCAAAATTATTGCAAAAGTTATACGAGTTGGTCCTAGGCTCCTAGAAGGTCACTTGGTTTAAAAAAAAACGTGAGAAAATTCTGGAAAATTAGGCGAATCCGGTGACGATGAGTTGGATCGGAAGGGAGAAGACGAGTCCAGCGACGATGCCGGCGATAAGGAAGAAGGCGGCGATCATTCCGGCCATTCTTTGGATCTTCGGCTCGGCGTGCGATCTCGGCGCGTACATCATGATCAGCGAGGAGAGATATCCGGAGGAAAAAGCCAGGGCGAAGACGTTGAAGACAAAGAACCACGTGGAATGGAAGATGACCGGGTAGACGCGCGGCTTCTCTGGCTGGTAATTAGCGGCCGGGAAGTAGAACATGAACCAGAAGCGAGCGAGCACCAGAATCCAGATCGTCTTTGGTCCCGGCTGGAAAAATAGGATTACGGTACTGCCACGTATAATTGAAACGAACCACTCTGATCCAGTTGGCGGCAAGACTTCCGAGAAATGCAAAAAGATTGAAGTTCAGGAAGGTGGTGACGTCCATGAAGTAATTCTCTGAACATTTTTGATAGAATCAGTAAAGCCGATTAATGTCAAACCTGGAACCACAAAGCTATACGGCTGCTCGTCCTGAACGAACATGCAAATATTCGGGAAGAGTGAGAGGGTGACGAAGAAAAGGAGGAAGACGTTGGCGAACTGCATCTTGCTCTGAAAACATAATTGTTGAGCTTTTTAGGTTTTGATGAATGGTTACCTTGGAGAACGCTTTTCTGATATCTTGCATAACCGTGCTAGTTTCTCCGGAACTCTTGGAATCATTCGAACTACCGACCAACTCTCCGTACTTCTTGTAGAACTTGAACTTCTTCACGACACTGAGCAGAACATAACATGTGACGATGACGATGGAAGAGATGCTGAAGAAGAGCATGGCTCGCATCTGAACGTCGTCGGAAATGGCTTTAGTGACCATCGCGAGCGCGGTGACGGCAATTCCGCAAAAATTTTGTCCAATGAGAATGGCGTTCGTGTATTTGAATGGGAATGGAGAGGCGAGTCCGAAAAGACTGTTCTGGAACAATCCATTCGAAGCGTTCAGCACGATGATGGTGACGTTGGTGACGACGAAGAAAGCAGTGATCCCTTCAAAGGAAATTGATCATATCAGAAGAAATCTGTTTGTAAAATAAACGAACAAGTGCTGGTGTCAATGTAGATGCAGATGATCGTGAAAAGAACCGCCGCCTGGACGACGCCGAGGCAGATCTTCATGCGACCAGTCAGATCGCCTTTGGTAGCGAAAAAGATGCTCGCAATGCTGAATATCAAATTCGGAATCTGCGCGGAGATGGTCATCGCATGCTGGAAGTTTCTCGATTCCCAAGTGCTGCTACCGTTGTTGTCACGGAGTTTGGACATGGTGTAGTACTGAAACATGTTCATCTCAGGTGAACGCTAAGAATGATAAGACGTACGTCGAACGAGATGTTGAGGAACATGTTCCACGGAAGGAGCGCACCTAATCCGAACATCATGAAGATCGTGAAGACAGAGTTCTTCGTGTCCTGAACTCTATCGAGATGGCTCGGGCGGCAGCTCTCCACCACGAGAAGAGGCTCCACTTGTCCAGCGTTGGTGATTTTCGCTTGGACAGTCTGAAAATTAATGATCGTATGAAATAAGGTTCCGAATGAAAAATTTTTTGACCGGAGCTGCACCAAGTTTTGACGCTTTTCTCCGATTCATTTCTCACTGGAAGAGTCATTTCTAATATCCCGGGAAACTCATTTTTGGAATTTGCAAATACAACTGGAAATTGTTTACCGTGGTGACGAGTCCGTGTTCATCCACAGTGGTCTCTCTGGGCGAGATGAAGCGGAACGGGTACCAAGGTTTACGCATTTTCTGGCTGAAAACATTCAGATCAGAGTTGAGCGGAATAGATGTTTTGAAAAAGCGGAAAGCGGAAAGCGGAGGCGGAATAAAAATTTTTTTGGCGGAAGGCGGAAACCGGAGGCGGAATGAAAAAAGCGGCCGAAAGCGCAAGGCGGAAGACGGAATTCCGCTCAACTCTGGTTCAGATTGAAATAAAGGTAGAAGATCTGATCAACGGCGGAATGTGAATGTGTATTGTGATCAAAACGAGTACAATAAAGATAAGAGGACGAGAACAGTGCACATTTCGATGATTAGTGGCCAGCGATAGCACTTTGATAATGTGAAAATCATATAATTCTACGAAAAAATTGGAATTTTATGTGCCAAGTGCGTAACGCGGCGACTCGGAAAACTGAGACGACGGGGAGAAAATTATAGTGAAAGTTGACAAAATTTTAACCGAACTTCGAGAAACAGAACATTTCAGACGTGTTTTCAGTGAAAACTTTTCACAAGTTTTCAGCTAAAAAATGAATGAAAGCTTTTCAATGGGAGAAATAAAGCAATTTTCAAACTGAGAGTGCCGCGACGCAACCGCAGCGCCCACGGTGACTGCAACCGTAACCTTGAAAGCTTTTTTTTTCACAAAAAAAGCCGGTGTGATTTCCAAGAAACGAACGAGAATTTGAAGAGAAAAATGAGAAAACATTTTGCCTTAAATTGTAATTCGATAGAACAGTTTTTAAAGGTGTTTGTGAAGTTTTCTTAGAAGCGCTTCGCTACAAGAGTGCTCAAGGCAGAGTAGAAATTCTAATCTTTCTGTGTTCTCAACGGCAATGCGGTCGCGCAGACAGTGGACAATAAAGAAGAAAAAAGCAAGATCGTTCTGCCGAATAACGAGGAAAACAACTGAATGTCGATTGTTCCGCGGTGCGCGCTGCTCGAAAATGAGGGCCGCGAAAATCGCCGTTAGTCGGAGGACAGACAGAGAACTTATGAAACGCGTTCCGTTGCACTTGGAAAATGATTCCAAAGACTCTAATGTTCTCGTTTTTTGACAATTTTCTTCTGACACTTCACTTTTTTCAGTAATTCGAAAGTTTAACAAAAAAAACCACACATTTATTCAAATTTTAGACTTCTCAAATTTTTTGCTAGCAAACTCATATACATGTCGGATAATTTCGAGGCTGTCCAAGTGCCGATCCAGCATGTCCTTCATCGTGAGGTTCGCCATCAGATTGAATTGCGGAAGACGTCCGAGCACACCGATCGCCACGACGATGCACATCAGAGCGGTCACTCCGTACGTCGCCGGCGCGTCTTCGAACTGAAAACGACATCTGAGATTGGCAACTTATTTCGAAGCATCATGCCTGGAAAACATGAACCATGTAGACATCATCAATTGCGAAGGTCGAGTGATGAGTTTCTTCTAGAAACTTTGATAGTGGCATCCAGAATATACGTTCGACTTCATCCACACTCAGCTGAATGTCAGGGGCTCTCCTAAAGCATCAACAAAAGTTAAATTGTCTTTAGAGTCTACCAACTTTACAAGGGCAACTGTGGGATGTATGAGAATTCCGAAGCGGGCTCGGAAAGCGGGTAAATTGCCGAGAACGACATAATCGTCCGCCTCTTTGACACCGACTTCCTGCAAATATAAATATTATATCTCCTCCTCGAAAAGTGGAAGGGTCGTATGGTGGTGTCCTTCTTCTTCTCCGTGCCCATTTGTCCTCGCCGTACGCACTCGCCTCCGTTTCCTCGCCCGCCGCGCTTTTTCGCTCGAACACTACTCTTTTGCCTCATTCTTATTCTCATCCGATGCCTTTCTGTCCCTTCTTCTTCTTCTTCTTCGATTACTCAATTCAATTTTCCACTTTTCACCCCATTGAACCGTTCGATTTCCTCGGCCACAACATGTCATTCTGCATTTTCGCTCACTTGCGTTTGTTTTTCGTGCTATTGCAAGAAACGACAAATCCGAAAATTAGTCACTCTGTGTGTCAACTTATACCAGTTTCTGCCGTAAATTGTACGGGTAGATGCATGCCACGTCACTTTTTTCCTTTACACGTCAAAAGTTTGTGTGACAGATGAGATGAAGCAGTTTGAGAAGTTTTGCGCTTTTGCCAGATCTACCGTAACCCACAAGTATTCAATAAGACTGATTTTTCACGTCTGCGCACCAGGTCACGTGATATTATAATTTTGTTTTTGTTTTTTCCACGCGACTTCCAGAATAGCAAGATTTGAAATTCCCTGCGGATCTCGTCATTTTGATTGTCACTTCCAGCGCCGCCAGAAGAAGCGACTATCTCCCCGCACACTTCATTCTCAGCCACTTTTCACATCATTTCGCTCTCAAGAGGCACGGGCGGTAACACGCTGAGAAAGGATGTGGCTAGGCCCCCCCCGCGAATGAAGATAATCTCAAATGGCCACTTTTCGTCCGTTTAACCACCTCGTAAGCTTCTCGAATCGCCGCCCTTCGCACGTTGCCCCGGTCCTCGGCGTCCATCATTCCGCCCGGGAAACATACCTGGAACATCAACTATTGTATATGACTCTGTAAAAATTTCTAGAGCGTGACCGACCTCTCCCGGATGCCGTCTTAAATGTCGGCTTCTGACACACAGCAGAACTTTGATGTCGTCCGAACCGTCGTCATGCAACAAGATTAGCACGCCGGCGTCCTAGAAAACATTTTGACATCACGACTTTTTACTTTGGTATTTTTTTTTTGACGAGAATGTGCTGCTCTACTACAAAAATTTAGAGTAGAAAGTTATTTAAAATCTTGCAATAAAGCTGAGATCCACAAAGGCAAAAATTTCGCAATACCTGCTCTCCCTGGGGCTCAGTCGGCTTCTCGTCCAACTCGAGCTTCCTCTTCAGCTCTTCGGCTCGGCTCAAAACGCACTTCATACTCGTATTTATCCGCTCTGAAATCATTCGGTTTTGAATCGCTCCGGCCCCAAACGGAAAGAAGATTCCTAAACAAATCTTATCGCCAATCTCTATCTTTGGCGTCCTTTCTTTCTCGTCTTCTCGCGCATTCAAATTCCCAACATGGCGAGAAACTTTTGGCGGAACTCAATGTCGAAATCAAAATCAGAAACTCTTGCCAATGGCACCCACTTACTTTTACACTCACATACTTTTTCCCTCCTTCAAATATTTGCTCTAACTACTAATACAAGTGTTCCGCTCGCTCTTTTGCCCTCTAATGAGTCAGTTCCACCTGTCCACGGGAATTTTTGTTCCTAGCCAGTTTCTTCTTTTTTTTTCGCAGTTGTCTCACTGCTTACTCTCACTCGCCACCCGACCGCCAATTGGCCGATCCGATTGACATTCGTGTTAATGAGCTGTTACTCCTTCATTACATCTTTTGACATGACTTAGTGGCCCTGTGAGGCCTAGGAGCCACAAGAGTCTTATTAGATTCGAAGCGAGAAAGTTAAGTGTCTAGCTAAGTTTCAACTTGACCCAACGTTTTCAGCTTAAGACTACGAAAACTTAGTTTTCACAAGCTTGAGCTCAAGGATCAGTTGGAAGGTCAAAAAGCGTATGTTCTGGAAAGATTAAACTTCACAATGATCAATTTTTACACTAGAAAGTTTGCAAAATTTTGACAAACTCTGTTTTCCTCCTGAAGTTTCTTCTGGTACCGATTATAGAATGAACGAAAGCTCACTATGAGAGTTTAAAGGCAACAGCTGAAGAGTATTTGCCCTTTATTACAACTTGTGACCTACAAAACGCTCGCAATGCCCAAGAGTCCACTCTCTCCTGCTCCCTCTTTCCCATGCTCGTAACCATTTTCATAGCTCGCAGCCAGTGTACTACCCAAAGCCCATTGAACCGAAAGAAAACCATAACACATGTCGATAAGCGTTTCTCTCTTTCTTTCTTTCTTTCTCTCGATGATGATGGGCCCGGCAGATGTTGTGAACTGAACGGACCGCCTCTCCCCGGGTTGGAAGAAGGACAGCTGGTGTACACGTGGCCCCGTCCAACAATTTGTCCGTCCACGCTCAAACAATCCCTTCCGAGAGAGAGAAAGAGAGAGACCATTCCCTTTCTCTTCGGTTGATTCCAATGTTTATTCAATGATGACAGGACCCTCCTGTCCAATTGGAGACAGAGATCGACACTGATTGATTGTCCTACAGTTTGACAATTTATTTCCGTTCCATTTCAATGTCTGATTCACACGCTATTCCGGTTTGAAACGCTGTTAGGCCAACTATGACTAATTAACTATTTGCAACTCGTCCAGTTGCAAAATGTCTTCCTTCTCTCTCTTCCCAATTTTTTTCTCTCGCCCAGATCACGTTACATGCTCCTTCGTGACCCTCCGGATCTTCCATTCTGCCATAAATTACACCCTTTGTGCCGCCACCACACACTCATCCATAAATTAAAGAGGAAACCTTGGATACGATAGGCCCGTCAGTGATACGCTCTTGTTTCCCCGCTCGACCTGTTCTACGGTGCGAACTTGTACTTGAGTAGTTCAAGGATCACGGCTGACATGATCACATTCTGGTTCTTCTCTCCGGAGGTATCAGTGTGTTGTCGAGTGGTGAGCCAACAGTGTCTCTCGCGCTCTCCGCCTCGCTCATTTGCATAATCTAGTCGTGGTTCTGGCGCCTTGGTTGCGCAACAACGCCCTTGGAAATTGAGGAAGAGGGGAGGGGCACTTGAAATTGTCAATTGACACGAAAGCCAAATCCAAATCGTGTTATCACACCCTCCTCTTGGCCGCATTCTCTGCCACCTTCTACTATCCAATTCCGAGAAATAATTTCAAATGCATACCCAAGTCCCAACGCCACTTTTGCTCATAAAAAATGAAACGGGCACATGTACACACACACAGGCTCTCCGGCTAGAGGCAAAAGAAAGAAAAGAGCAATGTTTTGGTGGGCCGGCGCTCTTTGTCCGCCCCCTCCTTTCGCCTAATTCTTCTGTGTTACGTTCTTGCGTTCTCATTTTTCTTGCTTTTTATTGTCAATTCCAGACATTATTTGTCTTACACACTCGTTAGCTTGGGGTTCTACAGTACCCTTCAACGCTTTGAGCGTTTGAAAAGTGTGAAACTTTGCGCATAAATTTGGCATCCGTTTCTTCAAACATAAATTGCACACAATCGTTTCGGATCCTTCAATTCCCAAACGTCCATGCCACGTGGCACCTTCTATCTGCGTCTTCACATATTCCACTCTCTAATCAGCTCTCCTGTCAGCCTTTTGTCTTCCGCCGCTCCTACCCGATCCATCATTTCGAAGCCTTTCTCCTTCTTCTTCCCTCCCCTCCTGTGCTCTTCTTCCACCACTGCCCAATCCTTTTGTCATTAGTGAGCATACTTCTCTCCGTCTCTTGCTCCCTTTCTCCCACTCCGACAGCCCGAAGGCACACCGAATTAACGTCGTTTCAAACCGCAATTTAATCTGCGTCTGCGCATCTCTGTCCTTCCTCTATCTCTCTTCTATTTTAAAGAGTGAGAGAGAGAGAGAGAGGACGACTCCTTTCGGAGACCACCACAACTGGCAGCTTTTTGCATCGCCAACCGACAACATAATCCGTTTTCCTTACTTTTTCTAGTGGGTTTCTTACTTTGATTTTTTAAAATTGCTCTACCCCGAATAATTGGTTTCTAGAATTGTACCTCTTCAAGCAGATCTACAGTACTTTGAACTAACTATTGTTTGTTGAGGTATCACGTATTCAATAGAACGCACAAAAATGTCAAATCTCATTTTCGACTCTGTCCAAACCTGTGGTTGACACTAAACAAAACTTTTTGAAATGCATTTGTCACGTCACGCAGAAAAATTCTCCATTTGTGAAATTCTTACGTGAAACTGACCTTTCTTAATTTGAGAACCTGCTCGAAAGTTCCTTTTTTCTTACCGCGTACCAACGGGTCACGTAGAAAAACGCGCGAGCTTCACGCTACTGTATCTCAAGGTTCTTAAACACGCGTATATACATCTGCCACGTGGATAATAGTAACATAAACTGAATACACCAAAACACTTGAAACTGGTCATTGTGCTAAAGAGTCTCGCCTTCTCCTTTCCCTCCGCGCATAATAAACACACACTCAAATTACTGGTCTTACCAACCAGAAGATCGTATTTCTCTCTCACTCTCACTCTCTTCTCTAGAATTCCCACCGAAGAACTTGTACAACTTCCTCATTTCCAGAGCATGAACAAGCAGCAATGATGATGACGGCAGAACTATCATCGGAAGAGCACTACGACACGCCGTGGGAGTTCCTGGCGAGACCCAATTCGGTGCGGCTTTCCAGCGCCCTCGACGCGTCTCGCTTCTCGACCGCCAACGCGGATTCGCGCGTGCTCGTCTCTCCGCATGGCTCACCTTCGATGTGCTCCAGCTCGTCGTTCGTCAACCAACTCGTGCAGATCGGCAACTCGGCAGTGGACAGACGAAAACAACGCGACGAGAGCAAGAGACGGAGACCTGTAAGATTATGAGCATCAAGAAGTTGTACAAACATTGTATCATTTTCAGAGCGACGAGATTTACTTGGAGCAGAACATGAACAGAGTTGAGGCCGAAAAGAAGCTGGAGCACCGACAACTCGGGGATTATCTTTTAAGGTCGAGGGGCGAGGGAAGTGCCGCTCTATCGCTGAGAGCCACCAAAGGAGTCGTGCACATCAAAATTGAGTGGAACGGCGAGAAATGGGTTATTGGTGAGTCGGTTTAAAAAAATTAAAGCGTTGTTACAAAACTGAGAAATGCCAGACAAAAGATTTTGACACATTTGCATAACTACTTATCATTGGAGCGATTCTAAATCTGCCAATTGCAGGCGAAGGCCCTCTGTTCCGCTCGATCAACTCTGCGATCTCCTTCTACCGCCGCCACCCGCTGCCGATCCGTGGAGCCGACCATCTCGTGCTCAAGCATCAGCTCAAACCCTTCTAAAGATGCCTTCAAACCGCCTGTGCTTGCTTCGAAAACCTCAATTTCTTTAAATCCGGTTTCTGTTTCTCACATTTTCTTCTATCGCTCTCTCTCTGCGCCTCTCCCCTACTCTCTCTCTCTCTCACTCGTTATGTACATTTGTGACGCTCTACGTGTATTTTCCTCCGTATTTTGTTTTAAATGTTTGTTAGAAGTTAATAAAAATGCAATTAGAAAAAAGGGCAATTGAGTGAAGAGGAGAACTGATGATCCTCCGCATGGCAAGACACTACGCGTGTGTTTATCAGACACTGACTAGAATGTAGCCCGACTTATGATTGTTCAAAGTTTATTTGACAAAAATCCCATTGGGATCAAATAAACGACATTTTACAAGAAATAAACAGTCTACAATGTGCTTCAGATTTTATAGTGCCGTCAGGGTCTTGGCGTGATGATCAAAGTGGTCTCCGATGAAGCTGGAGATGAAGTAGTAGGAATGGTCGAATTCCGGCTGCATTCGAACGGTAACGCTCGCTTTCGCAGTCGAAACCAAAGTTTCGGGTCTCAGTTGAGCAAGAAAGTTGTCGGCGGCTCCTTGATCCACCAGAATAACTCGCTTCGGTCCTCTGTAATTTTTGAGCACTTCCGATGCGTCGTATACTGTCCACGTGGATTCATCAGCTCCCAGGTAGCCAGTGAGAGCCTTTTGGCCCCAAGGAACAGTGATCGGATGGGAGATCGGAGCGAACGCGGAGATTGATTGGAACTTTTCCGGGTTGCGCAGTCCGATGACAAGAGCGCCATGACCGCCCATTGAGTGGCCGAAGATACCTGCAAAGGAGGTCACATTCACTTTTAGTTGAATATAATCTACCAATTTTTCCGGCATCAATCGGCGCCACAGTCGCCGCCACCTCGAGCAATTCCTTCGAAACGTAATCGTACATCCGATAGTGTTTTGCCCATTTCGCCTCGGTAGCATTCACATAGAATCCGGCGCCCTTTCCGAAATCCCAGCTCTCCGAATCTCCCTCGATGTCGACTCCGCGCGGAGAAGTGTCTGGATGAACAACGACGAATCGATGTTTGGAAGCGAACTGCTGGAAGCCGGACTTCTCCATAAAGTTGGCGTGGGTGCACGTGAGTCCGGACAAATAGAGGAGCGTGGGCAACTTTTCGCCCTCCGTGTGCTCTGGCACGTATACTCCGAACGTCATGTCGCAGTTCACAGTTGAACTGAAAAATTGTTTGTCTGTTTTCATTTCGCTGAAAATGATTTACCTGGTGTGCTTGTAGACATATTGACGTCCTTTGAAGCTTTTGTTGCTTGAAACCACGGTGGCAGCCATTTTACGCAGAATTCTGAAAGATTTCCGAGTGAAAACAGACAAGTACAATCAATTCCAACAAGAGATAACCGAATGACCATTCTGGTCAACAGACAACTGATAAGAGAATGGGCGGTTAATAGGGTGTTTCGAATTGAACAATTTTCGGTTCACGCTATTTTGATGGGGTTAGAAAGTAGAATGATGATGAAAACTGGCCAAAAACAAGTACTTCTACAAGTTGAAAAATTGAAAAACAAAAAATATTTACGTGGCCTAACTTCTTCAACGGGTAAAATCATCTAGGCCACTAGGCCGCCGTCCTCAAAAAAGTCACGGTCTCCTGCACGAGAAAAGCGCAAGCAATTACGCGTGCTCTCTGCGTCGCCGGCAGCATTTTCCTTGTCTCGCACTCTCTCGCTTGCCTACTGTCGCTCGAGAAGCGAAATGAGAGTTGGCGTGGCGCTCGGAACGCCGCCGGAAGAATACTGATTTACCTTTCCGTTTTTCTTCATGAACGTGTTTATCATGAGCAAAACTTGCAAAGAGCAACAAAAAATTCTGAAAAACATGCCGGCGTCAGTACGAAATTTGCATTTTTCGTGTTGCGGTTGATTATGCGTGCTACAAGTGAGAATCAAAATCATCTTCCGTTATTTCGTGATGAAAACGTTGCCCGAGGGTTTTTCATGACCACATCATCAAAAATTTAACGGAATTAATCGTGTAAGCCACACTGGGAGCACCGATTTCACACTTCGGTGGCCAACGAAGTTTCATCGGAGACTTCAGATGCGTGCTCTCGGAAGAGTACTGATTCATTTTTCCCGCTTTCTACGGGAATATGTTGAATATGATCAATACTTCGAAGCAGCAACAAAAAACTTGAAAAAATATTCTGGAGTGTCCACGGAGACGGCTTCTGAAAGAGCGACAGTTTTCTGCTGACTTCAGATGCGTGCTCTCGGAAGAGTACTGATTCATTTTTCCCGCTTTCTACGGGAATATGTTGAATATGATCAGTACTTCGAAGCAGCAACAAGAAACTTGAAAAAATATTCTGAAGTGTCCACGGAGACGTCTTCTGAAAGAGCGACAGTTTTCTGCTGACTTCAGATGCGTGCTCTCGGAAGAGTACTGATTCATTTTTCCCGCTTTCTACGGGAATATGTTGAATATGATCAGTACTTCGAAGCAGCAACAAGAAACTTGAAAAAATATTCTGGAGTGTCCACGGAGACGTCTTCTGAAAGAGCGACAGTTTTCTGCTGACTTCAGGTGCGTGCTCTCGGAAGAGTACTGATTCATCTTCTCATTTTTCTTTATGAACGTGTTCATTAAGACCGCTACTTACAAACAGCAACAAAAAAACTTGAAAAAATTCGAAGTGACTACGAATACGTCGACGGGAATAACTACAGTCTTCCGTCGGCTTCTTTAGAAGCGTGCTGTCGGAGAACGAAAAACGATTTTCGACTTATTTCAACTTCAATGTGTTTTATATGCGTTCTTAAAACAAACAGCAATCAAAAATCCGGACATTTCGCGATTCTGGAGTACGGAATTATGATGCTATATTCACAACGTCTTTTACTAGACGGAAGAGTCAGAATACACCAATTCTTTGAAATATATGTCAGAAAAGTCATAAAGACTCGTAAAATTACAAGTTAAATGATAGTCGAGTGAGAATGAACGTTGCCGCCGTCGGTGGGCCTGTGAGAATCTGATCTACCGTAAGCTTTAGCTCGAGTCGGTCTACTTCAAATCTACGTTTCTCGCTTCAATCTCAACCAATCTGCTCGTTAGAGGTCGCAAAAGAAAGCTTATGAAATTTGGAATCGCTTGTAGGCGTTCGTTTTTTTGAGAATTTCTGTCTAGCTCTCGATTTTTTTCGAGAAAAACACAAAAAAGCCACTACTTTTTACAACTGAAAAACTTGAAATGTACGTATCTCCGTTCAAAGTGCATATTTTTTTCTTGGTCAAAAATCGCAAATTGTAGTCCTTCCCGATGTCTAAAAACTTGTAGGTCTCACATTTTTTTCGAAAAAAACATTTTCTGATTTTTTTTAAGTGACCGAAACGTTTTTTTCTTCTGTAGTTTACTTGATCCCATTTAGTCAACCCGCTTTTTATTATACAGATTTCTTGTGTCCAATAGTTAAATCTAATCGTGTATTAACAAAAAAAGTATCAAAATGGTTGAGAAAGCTGGGTTGTACCTGCCCCTTGACAATTTTTTTAAACCCACGTTTCGAGAAAAACTGGCTCTCTTCAACACGCACGAATTTTTTGATCAGCTAATTGCAGAAAAATGTTTCTAATTTTTGTCCTTGCTTGTTCTGATTTTTTGAAATTTTATTTTTTGTGTTAACCATGTCGCCGACAACTTCTTTTGTTTTCATCAAGAAATTTTTCGATTGATAATGCAAGCGCGCTCTACGGTCACGCGTTAGAGATAAGAGACGGCTGAGTATGCGCATTTCGCGATCTAGCTGGCACATTTTTCGATCAGGAGACCGTGTAAGTGTTTTCTCTTTTTCCCTCACTTTCTCTACTCAAATTCAGTGTTCGCAGCTTTTCCTTTTTGAAAATTTAGAAGAAAGCGCGCCCCATCGAAGTGGAACTCTGTCGCACACTATTTCGTCCATCTGCCCAGAGAAGCAGAATCAATAAAGCGTCCAGCTTTGCAACGACGAAGCGTCTGCCTCTAACCGGTCACTCTGCGTCGCCCGATTCCCGTGGTGCCTCTATATGATCGCTCACTTCTGCCCCAATCATATGTTCACTTCCACGCGCGTACTTTCGCTCTTTCTTGTTGGCAACATCCGTTTCCGTCTCGTTTTTGCTTCAATTTCTTCCAGAAATTCTCGCTTTTCCTGTGAAAACCTGTTTTCCAGCCTGTTTTATTCTACTTTTTAGCCATGGCTTCGATTGAAATGCACTCGTTCACGCGCGATATGCAGCCGCTAATGGATGAGGCTGCGAGCAATCTGACCGAGGAAAAAGTGAGCACCGCGTTCGGACAGGTCAAAGTGTCGATTTACGGAAATCCGAAGGACCCGAAGAAGGTGCCGATGATCACTTTCCATGATCTTGGACTTGACTGTGAGTCATGCTTTACACTAATTGCGAAATAATCCCATCTAACTTTAGCAGAGAGCAACTTCCAAAATTTCTTCCAATTCGTCTCGATAGCAGAGTTTGCCGACAAGTTTTGCATTTACAATGTGAATGCTCCAGGACAAGAGATGGACGCTCAGGCTCTTCCGGAAAAGTAGCACAATATGGTGAATTCCATAACATTTCCAATAATTTCAGTTTCGAGTACCCCACAATGGACGGAATCGCTAAGACGATCGAGTCGGTGGCCGAGCACTTCAAACTCAATGAGTTCATTTGCTTCGGCGTGGGCGTCGGAGCCAACGTTCTTTTGAGATACGCCGCTCAGAATCAGAACCGTGTCATCGCTCTGATCCTCGTCAATTGTTCCTCCGGAAAATCTGGATGGGTTGAGTGGGGTTACGAAAAGGTCAGTTTCAAATCAGTTCCGTCTTTTTTCTCATCAAAAACTTTCCAGTGGAGCGCATCGTACTTGCGTAAAGTGGGAATGACCAAGTTCACCGTCGACTATCTCATGTGGCACCACTTTGGCAGAAACTACGACCGTTGCAGTCCGGACATTGTCCGCCAGTACCGTGTTTTCTTCCAACATCTCCCGAATCCGGGAAGTCTCGCCTCCTTCATCGACGCCTACATCAACCGTACCCCTCTGCCGATTTCTCGTGACGGAACCACCGGAGTTCAGCTTAAAGTGCCAGTTCTACAGCTGGTTGGAGCCGGAAGCGCCCACGTGGAGGATACGGTCGAAGTGAACACGAAACTGGATCCCGCTCATTCGGATTGGATCAAAATATCCGACTCGTGCGGTTTGATTCTCGACGACCGACCGGATGCGGTGACCGAGAGCATGATGCTGTTCCTGCAGGGATTGGGCTATTTTCCGACGCTCAACGTGATGAAGATGACGAAGAAGATGCAGGAGGCGCAGAACGGCGGCGGATTCTCGGCAGTCACGTCCAACACGAACGAATTCTAACTTTGTGCCTAATAATCGCATATGCATTCCAATTACCACTAATAAAAACCATTTTATGTCAGGCTATGCATGTGATCCCCCTAATTCCTGTTACCTTTCTTCTTGATGATGCCTAGCTTTAGCCGTTCGATTTCCTCTTTGTGCCCTCTCATTTTTCTACGCATCCATTTCATTTGTCTTGTAACTTTTTTTTCGCTTTTAGAGCCGTTCCTGGAACTGTTTTGCATTTAATAAATACATATACAAATTTATGGAATGAAAAGGGAGGGATTAGATGTCGGAAACTGGAAGGCATAGGGTCTTACGGACCAGCGAGTCGGCGATTCTCTCAAACTGAGTACGATCCTCGCGCCACATCTTGGCGGCGCTCACATTTGCAGGCGATTCGTCATTCGGCTCTGAACAATGAAATTTTTAAATTTCCGCTTCGATCACGCCGAAATTTTTAAATTTTCAAAAATTAGCGTCGGGTCACGCGAAAAATATGGAAAGCAATTAAATTTACAAGTACCTGCCAACATGCTGACGACACTCAGCAGAATCTTTTCGATCGACTGCACCGGACTCCAGCGCTCGTTCGACAATTCGTAGCCGGTCGGATCGTCGCCCGGCGCGTGAAGAATCGAGATGCATACGCGGCCGTCCGCGTAAATGTTCGGGTGGAAAATGCCGCAGGTGAAGCGCATTTTGGGCGGCGACAACGGATAATCCTGCGGGAACGTGATGCGAGCCGGGAAGACTCCGTTGGCGAAGCACGTTTCTTCGGGGCCCGTGATCAGACATTCCCACTCGAAAAAGTTGTCCTCGTCGACGGGCGCCGCGATGATTCCCTCTGGCGGACGTGTCGTCAGTTCTAGAATAGTGTTTCTGTAAAGCAACCACGCTTCACTGATAATCGATTACCTTTGTATTCTGTCATCAACCTTTTCAGCGCGTATCCAGCCATTTTTCTGCAAACTACGGGTTTCTAAGTTGAAATTCTGCGAAGAATAAATATGTTCAGGGTAATTCCACCCATTGCGTCAGAAAGCATTAGAAAAGCCGGTGCCGAAATGACCGAAACTCTTTATATATTACAATGGGGTGCAGAAATACTGTAAAACGATTCTAAATATCTATTACAAGCTGAGAAGGAGTGAACGGTGAACCTAAGTGCACAGGGGACTAGAAAATGCAGAGAAAAAGTTTTAATTTGTGAAAAAGGAGGAGATTTATGCCGAGTGTTGCTTGATGAATGCGATGAGTCCGTTGGTGGAGGCGTCGTGCGAGGTGACGGTGTCCATCGAAGCCAGCTCCGGTTGGATCACCTTCGCCAGCTGCTTTCCGAGCTCCACACTGAAAAATCAAAGATTATGCGGGACAGGCTTCGTTTCCAACTGACCCCCATTGATCGAAACTGCAAATGTCCCAAATGATGCCCTGCACGAAGATCTTGTGCTCGTAGAAAGCGATGAGAGACCCCAAAGTGAACGGAGTGACGACTGGGAGCACGATGGATGTGGTCGGCTTGTTGCCCTCGAACACCTTGTGCGGCAGGATCTGGGCAATGTTCTCGGCCGAAAGTCCGGAGGCCTTCAGCTCGGCTTCCGCCTCAGCCGACGTCTTTCCCTTCATCAACGCCTCGGTTTGGGCGAGGAAGTTGGCGAGCAGGATCTGATGATGCAATCCCTCACGGATCGGGTTCAGCGTGCGAACGGGCGCGATGAAATCAGACGGAATGAGTCGGGTTCCCTGATGGATAAGCTGGTAGAAGGCGTGCTGTCCGTTGGTTCCCGGCTCTCCCCACACGATCGGACCGGTCGAGTAGTCGACGCGAGTTCCGTGGCGAGTCACGAACTTTCCGTTGCTCTCCATGTCTCCCTGCTGGAAGTAGGCGGCGAAACGGTGCATGTACTGATCGTACGGGAGGAGAGCGTGCGTCTCGGCTCCGTAGACATTGTTGTAGAGGACACCGATCAGCGCGAGGATCACTGGGATCTGAAAATTCGAGATTTGTTTCTCGACGTCCCCTAGTAATTTCGCTTACATTCTGCTCCAATGGCGTGTTGACAAAGTGCTTATCGACAGCGAATGCTCCATCGAGAAGCTTCTCGAAGTTGTCGAATCCGATGTGGACGGCGATGGAGAGTCCGATGGCGGACCACAGGGAATAGCGTCCGCCGACCCAGTCCCAGAACTCGAACATGTTCTTCGCGTCGATTCCGAACTCGACAGCCTTCGGCACATTCGTCGAGAGCGCTACAAAGTGTTTGGCAACCGCCGCCTGATCCTTGGCGTGCGAAAGGAACCATTCCTTGGCGGTTTCCGCGTTGGTGATCGTCTCCTGAGTGGTGAACGTCTTCGAGGCGATGATGAACAGAGTGGTCTCTGGATTCAGGCGGCTCGTCACCTCAGCCACATGGGTTCCGTCGACGTTCGAGATGAAGTGGACGTTCGGTCCGACCTGATAGTGTTTCAGCGATTCGGTGACCATGAACGGTCCCAAATCGGATCCTCCGATGCCAATGTTCACAACATCCGTGATCTTCTTTCCGGTGAATCCGGTCCACGAGCCCGAAATGATTTCGGCGCAGAACTCCTTGATATGAGCCAGGACGCGGTTCACATCCGGCATCACGTCCTTTCCGTCGACGAGAATCGGACGGTTGGCTCGGTTGCGGAGAGCGATGTGAAGGACGGCACGATTCTCGGTGAAGTTGATCTTCTCGGCCGAGAACATTGCGTTGCGCGACTCCTCAATGCCACGCGACCGGGCCAATTTGATGAGAAGCTCGAACGAGGCATCGGTGATGCGATTCTTCGAGAAATCGAACAGGAATTCGCCGTCCGGGGTGGCAAAGTGACGACTGAAATCGAAAGAAATGACGATAAGCGTTTTTATTCGGTAGGGCGCGATTGCATTCACTCACGTGAACTTTTGGAAGCGTCCCGGGTCTTGCCTGAACCAATCGAGCAGTTGGGTGTTTTTCTCGTTCGCCTCCACGTGGCTTTTCAGCTCCTGAAATACCGGATCCTGGGTCAGAGACATGCCTGCAATGATGACGTAATCGAAAGATTCGCAGAGACGGGATTGTTTTAGAGTTTCGGGGGTTTAGAAGATAAAAAGAGCTGAGAACGTTTGCTGAGAAGCGGTTATTGAGAAAAGCAATGGGAAAATCAGAACACTGCGATGTTATCATGAGATTTTTCTAGACTTTCATAGTTTCTCATCGGAGGAAAGTTCCAATAAAGTTTTCAAAGTTCCCAGTGATAAACACAAACACTTCGGCGGCTTTGGCTCTCCCCGAATACGTGACAAATGCAAAGAAGTGCCTCGAAGCGTGGAGAGAGGGGCGGAGAGAAATCGATAAGGGCCAAACGAGATGAGCAGAGAAGACAGAGACATACACAACGGGTTCGCCTTTTTTTTAGAGGAAAAGTGCGAAGCGAAATGAAATGTTTGTTTTTTGCCTGTCGCAGGCCTTGTTTTTGATGATGACAATGACAATTTGTTCGGGCGAAGAGGAAAGACATTAGAATCATCAAAAAAAAATTTACCTGCATTCTTCGACTCATCGACGAAAAGTTTGCCCATCAAATCGGTCAGGTAGCCGAGCATTTTGACGTTCGAAATGGAGAAAATGGCGAGTCAAATTCGGTTTTTTGGATTCATTTTGTAAATTTACTCATTCGCGCCATTTCGGTTACTGTGAAAAATTTTAAGGCGCATGATGAAATTACAACAAACTGTGGGAGGTTTTGAGTAAAAATCGGAAAACTTTGAGGTTTTTGAGGAGAAAAATGATAAACTTGATTAGAATATCACTGAAAAATCGAATGGCGTGGTTGAACACGCCACTTGGAATCGCACAAATAAACATAATAGTTCTATGAACGTTTTCTAGTCTACAAAGACGATAATTGTATATACGAAAAGCGAGGCAAAATGAGGACAATTCTGTATTGTGTGTTTATGTAGTCAATGTGTGTCATTCGATAAACTGGTGTGTGATGGCGGCAAAAAACGACAAGAAAACAATGATTAAACGCATGTGATCAGTGAACAATCGAAGAACTTTTACTCGATTCCTTCGCCCTCTTCGTTTCCAAACATTCTCATCAAACTTTCAAATCGACCCGAATCCATGAACGGCATTCCGAATGCGGATTCGGCGCGGACGACGAGCATGAGGAGCTGCTTGATGCTCACTTTGTGCAGCGATTTCATCGGATACAATTGACAGAGCTCGCAAATTAACTGAATTTGTTGGTCTAAATACAGTTGGTGGCCGAGCATTTCTTGCGCTTTATTCGGATTGGCACACAAGATCTGAAAATTTAGAATGTTTTTGAATTGCGCTCTGATGCGGAAATCGACCTCCTTGGGCGATATAATCCTGTACTTGTTATTCTTCATTTTCACCCGAATATTCGGCTGCAAAACCATCACCCGATCTTCTGTATTCAAGAAACAGGGCGTCAGAATTCTCTCCGACGGCTTCAGGTATTCACACTTGTCGTTACGTTTGCTGTAGTCTTGTGAGGACACAAACACAGCTTCTCTCTGGAAAACCAACAATTTTAAAAGTGCGATCAGCGAGAAAAGACGAACCTTATCAGCCATATCGGCCATCACTCTGAACCATATTCCCTTGTCTTTGATCCCTCGGAATTCAATGAATTTCAGATCGACAAGCTTTCGGAAAGCCACGAGGTCGTCCACTTTTGAAATTCCGCCTCTGGTGACCGGGTTTTTGTAATGGTCTGGCAGGAAAACGGTAATTTTGTGGCCTCGGATCAGAAATCCCATCACAATATCGAAGATCGGTTTAACGGAGAGATTCAGCGCCTGATTGTGCAAATTCCGTCTCCAAGGCGGTTGTAGGACCTGTCGGCCCCTGAACGGACGGAATGTACTGCCACTGGCGGCGTACTGGACTGCAACGCCATCTGAAAAGGGAATCTGTTGGACAATTTCTTTGCGGAAGAGTTCATACCCACAACTACGGGCCTTAGAAGAACGGTATCGTCTTGGTTGTTCAAGTTCAGATTCCGCCACGACAACCCAGGCGGGAAGACGTCGAAATCGATAATAACCGAAAGAGCTCCGTCGCGGAAAGCACTTTCATTGTGGAAAAGAATGAATTCGTCGATTTTATGCAGAATTTCCATCTCGATCGGGCTCCAGTCCAAATCTCCAAACTGTCGTGAATAGACGAATTTGAGGATTTCGTAATTGGATCGCGCGATTTCCAGCTGCTCTTTTTCGCTTCTTTCCTCATTCACAATCACGTATCCGTGATATTTATCGTCGTAAAATTTGACCGTTTCTTTGGCGAGCAAACGATTTTTGAACTCGTCTCTCGGCAGAATCACTCCAGAAGAACTTCGATTTTGACGAATGTCATCCGCCAATTCGTCCATTTGAGCTATCACTTTATCCAACACTTTTTGAGACAGTGGCTTCTGATTTCCTCCCGAACGCTTTTTTCTGCGATTTTCTCGATTTTTAGATTCCTCGGTGACTCTGAATTAATAAATTACAGCTTTCTGATTAAACGATGGCGTAAATACTCTTCTGGCTCGAATTCTGGCTCTTTCAGCAGTTCCGGAAACGGCTGCTCCAAGTTGAACGCAACTTGTCCCTGCTCCGGCGCAAAAAACAAACTCTCCGGCGGATAGGGCTGTGGCTGATACGGGGGTTGGCTCGACGATGCTCGGTTCACATCTCGACAGAGCCGTAAAACATCCTCAACTCGGAATATCGATTGAGTTTCGACATTTGGCGGCGGTTCCTGTGAGGTGGACGGCTGACAGCGCCTTCTTGCCCCGAGCCCCGGGAATATTTGCGCGTGGTTCGAGGTGATCATTTCATCCGGCCGGAGCACTGATCGCGGGTTCGTATTCATCTGAAATTGTGACGCAGAAGAAATTGAGAACTTATTGTGAAAAATGTGAACAAATAGAAGCGAACTTACGATGCTCCAATGTTGACGCTTGCACGCTGTTTATTTCGAATTTTTCTCAAACAAAATATCGTTTTTGGAGTGAAAACCGCTCTAAAATTATGAAAAATCGACAATCTCACTCATAAATAGACTTTTATTAAATACATTCGCAATTTACAGGTGAAAATGAACAGAGTGAGCGGAGTTACAGAAAAATTTTAAAAAAAGATGATTGCCGTTTCGTCCACACACTCCAGGAGTACACCTTCAGGACGGCATCGCGAGTTTGCCGTGTATTCCTGGCCATGGTGCCTGGCGTACTTCATACCGTAGAGTCCGATATAATCGAAGAAGAATCGCTTTCCTTCCCAGAAATAGAACTTCTGTGAGCGGACGTTGTAGTTGTCGTCATTATCGGTCATTGGTTCGGTGTCCAGTAAGATTGCCCGGATGCACACTTCCTGTCCTTTGCGGAGACCAGTCAGTACTCGACATCGCAAAGTATATTCTTTCAGCCGGAATGTGAGAAGTCCTGACTTCGGTGTACTTTTTCGAGAAGAGATATCTTCCGGTTTTGTCCCAAGCCTCACTTCATCCAATCAGCAAAGTCTCACTTCCATGCAAGGTGCGCAGAATTCGTCCGTTCAGATCGTCCACCAAATCGTTCAGTGGAGCCAGAATCACCAGTTTTTCGAACTCCTGCGGATCCACCATGTCCTTGAACGTCTCCTCGATCAATTCATCCTCGCTGTATCTGAAAGTGAAGATGAGAATAGTCATGAGAGAAACTCAGTACATTACCATTGTTCTCCTTTCTCGGACGAACTCTCGATGCTCGGTTTTGATCTTCAACGTTACTTTTTCGAATTTCGTCAAAATTTCCGTAAATTATCGCTTGCCGCCGCAACAAAGAAAAGCGCTCCGCTGCACTCATTGGTTTCATGCGAGGCAGGAGGCCGAGCGAGTACATATGCGAGCTGAGCGAGCAAGCCTGAAATCCTTCAATTCAGAGTATTTGCCTAAAATCCGACATAATAGAAGAATCGTAAAATCGAAGAATTATGAACAAAAACGAACAATAAAAATACTGTTGACGAAAGTCCTCTCAACAGAGCGCGTTTAAAACATTATCGATTGATTCTACAGCCAAGGCAACGGAAACCTTCACTAGTACAAACAAAAGATCATCGACACTGCTGCAATACATATATTTCTATTCAACTTTTGTTTTATTTCAATGTCCGCGGCGCAGGTGAATGGGTACAGAAAAAAGATAATCAAAGACGGAATCGACAAAATTCTGGCGCACGATAGAATCGATGAGCCGTGTTACAAGACGTTGAAGAAAAGATGCCAACAGACACTTGGTATCCGGATAGAAAACATTTATATCTACTCGATAAGTATTTTAGAAAATGTGAAAAGAAACGAAGTGAACGAAATTGACAACTGTATTTCACCATTCGAACTGGCGGGATTAACAAAAGATTCGCGTCTCAAGTACATCGGATTGGACACTATTTACAATCTTATTCAAAATGACGAAATTCCGATTTCAACTCAAAAAGACGTGTTTCGAATTGCTGATTCTGTTTGTAGTTCGGTCGCAAGTGGAACTTCCTATCCACAAGTTTTATTGGAAAAAAGAGAAATGGCGGTGCAGATGATATATTGTTCATATTATGTACACGGAAACTCACTTATCGCTCTGATTCGCTCGTGCTTCTCTTTTGCCGAGATAAAGTTTTGGGGTAGAGTAGCCCAATCACATATCGACGCGGTACGTTTTCCTGCTTTTCTGTTCTGTTGAAGTGTTTGCAGATTGCCGGTCACGTTCATAAACGATTGAAAGAGTTTGGGACTCAGAAGGAGGAGGTAACTAGAGCAGGAATTACAGTTTTCCACTATATATGCGAACAATTCAGGATGTTGATAACGAAGAATCTGTAGAAGAATCTCTGGAGAAGAATCTCAAGAATGTGTGGCAGTGGGACGCCTTCTTAGTTGCTCGAGAGCTCAAAGAAATTACCACAATGCACCCTTCTTGCCCGGAGAACTACTAGTCAGTAATTCATATTTTCGATATTCATCCTCCATTCATCTATTCAGTTGGCCAGAATTCATCGAAACGTTGTCTGAGCACACCCGGATTCTGCTGGAAGATCTGCAAGAGACGGGAGTTCCTCGTGAACTTCTCATGGTTGGACTGAACGACAAAAATGTTCAATGCAACGAGGATTAGTAAGTGTTCCGTTGCACACTCAGACGGAATAAGAGAAAGCGGGAATGGGAAGACTGCGTTCTCACCAATTTCGCAACTCATACAAACGCAACTCATACAAAAAAAAAACTGGTCACGCTGGCTTGATTCTAGTTCGCTGCAGGCCGACTTTTGTCACTCTTCTCTTTATAATTTTGCAGTACCGATCAGAGGACTTCTGAAGGAGTTCAATACAAATATCTTCGAGAATACTGACAGTTAATTTCCATTAATTTTGGTTTTATTTCAAGTTCAATGTCCGCGATGCAGCTGAATGGAGAAAGGAAAAAAATAATCAAAGACGGAATCGACAAAATTCTGGCGCACGAGAGAATCGATGAGCCGTGTTACAAGAAGTTGAAGGAAAGATGCCAACAGACACTTGGTATCCGGATAGAAAACATTTATAGCCATTTGATAGGTATTTTAGAGAATGTGAAAAGAAACGAAGTGAACGAAATTGACAACTGTATTTCACCATTCGAACTGGCGGGATTAACAAAAGATTCACGTCTCACGTACATCGGATTGTACACTATTCACAATCTTATCCAATTTGACGAAATTCCGATTTCAAGTCAAAAAGATGTTGTTCGAATTGTTGATTCTGTTTGTGGTTCGGTATCAAGGATAACTTCCGATATACATGCACAGAATGAATTTTTATTCGTAAGAAGAGAAGGAATCAATCAATCTTTAATAGTTCACATTTAGGCGGTGGAAATGATTAATCGTTACTATTATGTACACGGAAACTCACTGATCGTTCTGATTCGCTCGTGCTTCTCTTTTGCCAAGATAAAGTGTCGGGGTAGTGTAGCCCGAAAAAATATCAACGTGGTACGTTTTCGTGCTTTTCTGTTCTGTTGAAGTGTTTGCAGATTGCCGATCACGTTCATAAACGATTGAAAGAGTTTGGTACTCAGAAGAAGAAGAAGAAGAAGGTAACTAGAGCAGGAATTCCAGTTTTCCACTGAATATGCGAACAATTCAGAATGTTGATAATGAAGAATCTGGAGAAGAATCTCTGGAGAAGAATCTCAAGAATGTGTGGCAGTGGGACGCCTTCTTAGTTGCTCGAGAGCTCAAAGAAATTACCACAATGAACCCTTCTTGCCCGGAGGAGTCCCGGTCAGCAATTCATATTTTGGATATTCAACCTCCATTCATCTATTCAGTTGGCCAGAATTCATCAAAAACTTGTCTGAGCACACCCGGATTCTGCTGGAAGATCTGCAAGAGACGGGAGTTCCTCGTGAACTTCTCATGGTTGGACTGAACGACAAAAATGTTCAATGCAACGAGGATTAGTAAGTGTTCCGTTGCACACTCAGACGGAATAAGAGAAAGCGGGAATGGGAAGACTGCGTTCTCACCAATTTCGCAACTCTAACGTTTCGCAACCCGGTCGCGAAACGTAAAAACTTTTTCCAGTAATAGCCATGGAAAAGTGTGATTTGATCTGGTCACGCTGGTTTGATTCAAGTTCGCTGCAGGCCGACTTTTGTCACTCTTCTCTTTTTAATTTTGCAGTACCGATCAGAGGACTTCTGAAAGAGTTCAATAAAAATACCTTCGAGAATACTGACAGTTAATTTCCATTAATTTTTCTATTATTTCCAGTTCAACGCCCGCGATGCAGCTGAATGGAAAAAGGAAAGAAATAATCAGACACGGAATCGACAAAATTCTGGCTCACAAAAGAATCGACAAACCGTGTTACAAGACGTTGAAGGAAAGATGCCAACAGACACTTGGTATCCGGATAGAAAACATTTATATCTACTCAATAAGTATTTTAGAAAATGTGAAAAGAAACGAAGTGAACCAAATTGACAACTGTATTTCATCATTCGAACTGGCGGGATTAACAAAAGATTCACGTCTCAAGTACATCGGATTGAGCACTTTTCACGAACTGATTAAAAACGAAACAATTCCGATTTCATGTCAAAAAGATGTTATTCGAGTTGTAGATTCTGTTTGTAGCTCGGTAGCAAGTGGAACGTCCAATATACAAGTACAGTTTGAATTTTTAATGGTAAGAAGAGCTGGAATCAATTAATTTGCAACAGTGCACATTTAGGCGGTGCAGATGATATACTGTTACTATTATGTACACAGAGACTCACTGATCGTTCTGATCCGCACGTGCTTCTCTTTTGCTAAGACAAAATGTTGGGGTTGTCTAGCCCAATCACATATCAACCAGGTATGTTTTCCTGACTTTCTGTGCTGTTGAAGTGTTTGCAGATTGCCGATCAGGTTCATACACGATTGAAAGAGTTTGGGACTCGGAAGAAGAAGGTAACTAGAGCAGGAATTACAGTTTTCCACTGAATATGCGAACAATTCAGAATGTTGATAATGAAGAATCTGGAGAAGAATCTCTGGAGAAGAATCTCAAGAATGTGTGGCAGTGGGACGCCTTCTTAGTTGCTCGAGAGCTCAATGAAATTACCACAATGCACCCTTCTTGCCCGGAGGAGTCCCTGTCAGTAATTCAAATTTCGGTTATTGAACCTCCATTCATCTATTCAGTTGGCCAGAATTCATCGAAAAAGCGTCTGAGAACACCCGGATTCTGCTGGAAGATCTGCAAGAGACGGGAGTTCCCCGTGAACTGCTCATCGATGGATTCGAAAACAAAAATGTTAATTCCAAATAACAACTTTTACTTTGCACACACGTAAATACCGAATTCAAACACTTGCTATATAAAATGAACAAAATTATCATATATAAATACGAGGAAACACTGATAAACGGGGAGGAAAACAATACATTTAGACAGAAAAAAGGGAAGGCAACTAATCGAGAGCCTTCAGCTGGGAAATCGCAGCGGTCATATTGTCAATCTCCTTCTCCAGCGACGTCTTCTTCTCCTGATCGCGAACACGGATTCCGGACGGGACTTTTGTTTCATAGTCGGCGCTGGCTTGCAATTCAGTGATCTCCTTCACTGAAATCTCGTTCTTTTGCAGCTTGGCGCCGCGCTTTTCGATCTGAAATTGTTAACTTAGAGTTTCCAAAACAGCAAAAAGTATTATACCTCCTTGGTGATGTCAATGATCCCAGTGAGGTTAATGTAGACTTGGCACCTGCCTCCACACGCAATGTGGGCCTATCCCTTCTCCACTTGGCTCTTCTCATTCTGTCCGAGGATCGCGACCTGAAAAAGAAGAAAATTCAGTTGAATTGACACGAAGACATGTGCTTTTGCTTACACTCTTGCTCCATGTCAACGTGAAAACGCACGGCCCGGCTTTTCATACATGGGACTTTCGGTTTTTTCAAGTTATCTCCAGAAATCGAACATTCACGCAGTTTAAGACAAAAAACTTCTAACGGATTAATCTCAATTTCGAATTGACAGAATTTCACGATCTTGAGCTAAAAAAATAGTTCTGACCTATTCAATTGTTTTATAGAATGACAAGAAATTCCGAATTTTTCTTGACTAATGTTGCGAAAAATACGAAAGTTGCGTTTAAAATTCGAATTTCGCTATAAAATGTCGCTTTGTGCGGCGGAGCGCGCTTGCTCCTATTGTAATCTTAGGAGAAAGTGTAAAAGTTTGACAAAAAAAATACTATTTATTAATTTCAAAAAATTAGAAAAAAAATTGCATGTGAAGGTGAAAAAGTGAGAATCTGAACATTGACAAGGGAACCTTTTAAGTGATTAAAGGAACCATCCTAAACTAACGACACAGTTCGAGAGAGGGACTTTCAAAACCAATATTCCAGTTTTCAAAAGCCCCCGCTGAGCTAACCACTGAGCGTGCTTCAATTTTGCCGCAAAAATTGAAGCGAACTGCTCGGAAAGGTCGATCAAGATTAGCAAAATAAAAAGAACAACATTTATTATTTTCAAAATGTAAGAAAAATCAGAATTTAATGTCAAGGTGTGAACGTGAGAGAGAATCTGAGCATTGAGGAAGGTTAGTAATGAGGCATCTTTGAGAACAGAAAAGCTATACATGAAACGGAGCAAAAAGTAAAAGTCAGTTCAAGGAGCACTCGAGAAGCAGACCGCCCGGACGGCATCGCGTCTCGGCCGTGTACTGTTGTCCGTAGTGGAGGGCGGCCTGCATCTCGTACAAGCCGACGACATCGAAGAACTGTCCTTGTGACTGATCAATGGTCATCGCGAACTCGAGCTGGATCGGATACTGCCTTCGGCGAACGACGAACTTCACCTTCCCTTGGTACATCGGCCCGGAATCTAGCTCCATTGGACGGACAAACACTTCTGTTCCGCGACGAAGACCCGTCAGGACTTTGCATTTCAGCACATCTCCGTTTTTCTCGAGGAAGATCAGACGTGTTCCTTTCGGGAATCCTTCTTGAGCCCTCATCAGAGCGACAATCGCATTCGGCTTCAGCGCGAGCTTATCGTCCGGTAGTTTCCGATTCACCACTTCAGTGTATTCCGTGCCGTTCAGTATTTTGCCGTCCTTCTTCCACGCTTTGCTCCGACCAGTCAACACGAGTTCCTGACCGGGATATCGCTTCAGAATCGCCTTGTTCAAAGTGTCAACGTAATGGTTCATCGGCGAAAGAATCACGCGCCGCTCGAACTCTTGCGGATCCGTCATTTCTCCGAACGTGTTCGTGATTAGTTGATCCACGCTGGTGCTGAAGACTGAGAGATGTTAGAGAGAGCAATAAAAGATCACTAGACTCACACAATATTCATCTTCGTCTCCGGGATATTCTCAGACTGCTTGCCCAGCGTGACTTTCTTGAAACCCGACAATATTTCCGCTTCCCTGAGGCTCTCCTCTTCCCGTTTCACGAATCCTTCCGTGTAGGGCAAAAGTTGCTCAAAGTCCGCGGCGATGATGATCCTCTTCCCACCGAACGGCGTCGGAATGCCGCAAACGGAGCGGAGCATCTCATCCAGCGCCCCAAGCGTCGATTTCGGAATGAGATTTCCGTGGTCGATGAAGATGACGTCGTAGCTCGACGGATGACGTTTGTCCATTAAATCTTTGAACGGAATTCCCTCGTGGTATTGGGCGGCCAGTTGAGGAGTGCCGGCGGTGCACACTACACGCGTTTCTTCTGCTGAAAATTAGAAAAAATCATAAACTTTTAAAAGAGCGCACGTCAAGTTCAATTACCTTTCATGTTCTCGGCTATTAAAATCATGAGCGTCGTCTTTCCATTTCCTGCTTGTCCTTTGACGAGGAACGAACTCTTTGTGTCCGACATGATCGTCTTGTAGAGCTCTTCCTGCGCTTTTGATGCACAAAAGTCCTGCGGGCACCATTTCAGACAGGGCTGCAGAAGCTTCTCGAGATCGATGCCCTTCTCCAAAAGTCTCGCTCCAATTACGTCCTTCAACTTGGCGTTGGCTTCGTCGGCGGAGAGTCCTGGAACAAAAAAAGGGATGACTGATTAGTGTGAACAATATGTGTTCTAGAACTACCTTCTTCGAGATAATCCGCAATCATCTTCTCCTCGAATTCTCCAAATCGTTTCTTGAAATGTTTCGCCATCTCGGCAGTTATTTGGCTGACAAACTCCTTGCGGAGCTCGTCTCCAAACTGTTGCTCCATCTGAAGTATCGATTGAGTAAGGTAAAACATCGGAAAATCAGCAGAAATATAGAAAAAATTCGGATGAAAACCGAGTGGTAACGGTACTTAGTTAGAGCAATGCAAAGTAAAGAATATTTATGAGAACGATTTGTGAGGATCTTTTCTGGAGAAATGAAAAGGAGAACAAGAATATGGCAATTTCAGATCAAACTATTATCTATTCTATTCTGGATAACCTCTTTCCGAGATAGAATACACAGGTTCCTCAGATCCTTCGTGTCGGGACACCGCCGCGTACACCATCCCGTGGTCGAAGGCCTCTCCGAGCTTCCAGCATCCGACCTTCTCGAACCGCCTTCCTTGCGATCCGTGGATCGTCATGGCAAAGGCGAGAGTCACTGGGAAGTGCATCACCCACTGCTGGGTATCGGTGGATTGTGCGGCGAGTTTTCTCTGCACACGCCCGACGTCGATAGACTCGCCAGCACGCGGGCCGTCCAGGATCCGGCAGACCAGATGGTTCTTGAAATTATCGTTGTACTGCAGCCTTGTGCCGATCGGAAGTCCTCCGAATTGCTCTTCGAGGACTAGGATCGACTCCTCCTGAAAACTCATATTCGTTAGATAATTTCAGTGGAACAGGAGTACCTTCAGATGTAGCACGTGGAGATTTAGATCCGAGCGGATGACGTAGCCATCAAAGACCGCTTCGAACGATCTTTCCGGCCCCGAGATCCTCTTGAACACTTCCTTGTTCAGCATCTCCACGTCGGCCTTTCTCGGGGCCAAAATCACAGCGTTCGGGTTGACGGGCTCGTCGAACATGTCCCCGAAGACGTTATCGATGAGAGCGTCGAGATTGTTCCTGAAACACAGCTACCACAATTTTTGAATCAGAAAACTGTGAACTTACACCATGATCTCTTTGGGGATCGTCACTCTCGGCTCCCTTCTGAGTTTCTGTAGTCATTCGTTGAGCGGGCCTTCCGGATCGGGAAGTCTGAACTTCTTGAACACCTTCAGCACCGGCTTTATCGATCCATCTCCGCTCTTCTTGTCCTTCACAAAGGGCAGGCACTGATCGAAGTCCGCAAACAGGACGATTTCCTTTAGTCCGAACGGCTGCGCTTCTCCGACTGATTCATGAGGAGACTGAGCTTCGAGTCAAGCTCCGTCCACAAGCTTCTCGGGATCTGCTTTCCGGTGTCGATCAGAAGGAGGTCCGTGTACACCAGAGTGTCCTGTTGGTCCGCGATCAGATTTGTGATACTTTTTTTGGGACGGAGAGTCACGAGAAATGACGGACACGGTCGCTTCTTGGAAACCAACATCTGCAAACTTGATGTTCATGAAAATTTGGAATTTTATTTTATTTCCTACAGAAAACGGATAATTTTATGTCAAAAATGTTCGCACGGTTATCCGAACGTAGAAAATGTTCCGTGTGAACTTTGGTCTACTTTCACTTGCCCAAGGAGACAGGTGATTTGTCTTATAGGTGGGCGCCGGCCTACTCAGTTTCTTTGAAGACGTCTGCCGGTCTGAAAAGTGATTTTCATACTCATGTCCAAGAGAATCTTTTCCGTGAAATTCTACGTCGATTGATGTAAAAATATCGGCATTTTGGAAATAAAATTTTTTGCAACACGCCCCTTTTTTTTACAAAGTAATCGAAACAAACTAACTAATCAGTAGCTTGCTGAGCGACCTTATCAAGTGCGACTTTCCGGATCCGCACGGGCTTTTTCTGCAAAGAAACGCGCAAACTTTGATGAAAAACTGAAAAAAACAAGAGAAAACAAAGCAAACTCACTGAATTGCTGGGAGTCCTGCTCGGCGAGCAACCTCTGCACCTCCTCGAGCTCTTTGCAGTGGGGACAGTGTTCGCACGGCATTTTCGGGCGGAAATTGGACTGAAATGGCACATTTTATGAAAAAGTAGCAAAATACGAGGTTATTGCGGTAAAATGCGGAATACCAGTTCCGAGATGTTGCCAATTATTATAGGGGCACCGCACAGAAATGGCGCTCTGTTGAGAAACTCTTTTTGCAGTGCAAATTGAGCGACCTCGGGGCCGAGTTTGAAAAGTTAGGCCACATTTTCAGTGGAAAATTACTTCGCGGCCTAGAAATTCGGCCAGATTGCGAACAGCGCGCCCTTTCTGTCCGGTGCCCCAATAATAACATACGCGGAGAGGGTGTAGCGAAATAGAAGAGAGCGAGGGTGAAAAAGGAATGCGAGGGGAACACTCTCGGCGCAACTTTAAAAAAAACATCTTTAAAAAATTCGTTTTCCGTCTTTTTTACATCACTGAATTGGATTTTTTGACGTAAAAAAACGAAAAAAAAACGGAAAAAAATCATTTTTTTTTTCACACCCCATCAGTAGGCAATCAGTGCATTTTTGGAACTCTCGGGCACGGAAATTTGAAAAAGGGAGAGAGGTCGAGTGTAACAAGAAGGAGAAGAAGTAGGAATGGTAGAGGAGTGAGTAAGGGAGCACAGTGTGTAATAGTTGTTGGGAGGAGCGAGACGGTGTAAAGTACAGTATCCCTGTGCTAGGTGTACTATGAATCAAAGCAAACAAGAGAAGAAAATTTCTGCCTGAAATGATCTTTCTGCTCATTTAAAGCGTGAAAATGTTAAGTTCATTTCAAGATTTTCAAGCTTGCATCTCCAACTCGAAAAGTAAGATCGCTTTGGTTAATGTTCTCTAGTTTATTGTTTTTAGGTTAAGAAGTGGGTAGCAGATCAGAGAATATCAGGTTAAAAAGGGAGCGCATTCCTATGAATAAACAAAACAAAAATTGGCCAAAAAGGCACCGAATGTTATGCAATTCTCTTTGTATGCTACCCACCGCGGAACGGCCCTCGGCAATTGTGCAACTCGAGAACTATGATTGAAAGCGATTCTTTTATGCGATTAAATATAAAGAAGACATAGAAAAAGAAAAAGAAAAAAGATGTACACGAGAACGCGTAGATTGATAGAATTGATTGATGAAGGGAGCGGATTTGGGGGGAGGGAGCACAAGAATTATTGAATGTTTTTATTACAATTTTTGGTATCGCATCTACAATCTACACATTCCTTCTAGAGAAAAGGAGGGACGGAAAGGGGCGATGATGAAAAGAATCTAGAAAACAAAAGGGAAATTAAGAGAAGTTTGGGGTTGGGGATAACAAAACGAGTGGGGAGCACAGGGAAAGAACATGAAAGAGGGTGTAGGTGGGAGAGCTTAGAAGTCAGAGGCACGGGCGCGCGATGGCGATCTGATGACGGCGGCCGACGCGGAGCTCTGAAGTCCTGGCGCCACGGAAGCGGACGAACGGGACTTGGCGCGCATCTTGGAGAGCGAATTCTCGGCCTGATCGGCACGCTCCTCGGCGTCCTCGAGCTGGTGCGTCAGCTGCTTGTACTTCTGCAGGTTGAGATTGGCGAGCTCCTCCTACAAAATGGCACAAATATTGTCGGTTTCGGAAGGAGGGGGGGGAAACGGGGAACTTACAGCCTCTTCGACTTGCTTCTTTTGGGTCTTGAGCTTCTGCTGGAGTTTGTCTATCAGGTCCTGGAGACGTTCGAAGTTCTTCTTGTCCTCGTCGACCTGGAACTGAAGCTCGCGGACGCGTCTGTCCGCTCTTCCGAGGTTCTTGTTCGCGTCTTGGTATCTGCGCTGCTCTCCGTCCAACTCGGACTCGAGCTCGCGGACACGCTGCTCGAGCTTGGCGATGACCTGAATTCGACTTATTTAGAATCTGAAGCCTTCTCCTTCGGCGGCGTACCTTCTTTCCTCCCTTGAGGGCGGCGGCTTCAGCCTCGTCAAGACGGACTTGGATCTCCTTGAGCTGCTGCTCAAGTCCCTTGCGAAGACGGTCGACGTGCTGCGAGTGCTCTTGCTCTTGTCTGAGCTCCTCGGCGAGTCTCGTCGCGTCGGCGACGGCCTTCTTCGAGCGCTCCTCGGCGGCCTTGTACTCGTTGAGGGTCTCATCGAGGTCGGCCTGAAAAAGATTGAGATATATGCGGAAAAGTGTGGTTGAGAACTCACGTGGATGGCCTGGATCTCTCCCTCGAGCTTTCTCTTGGCGGACGTAAGGCTGCTGACTTGCGCGTTGGCCTCGTTGGCCTGGTCGCGGGCGTCGGCGGCCTCGTACTCGGCCTGCTTACGGGCTCTCTCGGCGGCCTCGTTGGCGACGAGAAGCTCCTCCTTCTCGGATTGCAGAAGGGTGGCGCGCTTCTCGGCGTTGAAGAACTGCTCGCGGGTGTCGGCTCCGTTGCGCTGCTCCTCCTCGACCTGCAATTGCAGCTCGCGGATTTGCTCCTGGTATCTCTTCAAGTTCTTCTGCGCGTCAGCGTTGGCCTTGTTGGCGTGGTCCAAAGCGATCTCGAGCTCGTTGATGTCGGCCTCGAGCTTCTTCTTGACGCGGAGGAGTTCGGCCTTTCCTTTGGCTTCGGTCTCAAGCGAGGCCTGCATCGATTCGAGGGCGCGGGCGTGGTTCTTGCGGGTGTTCTCAAACTCTTCCTCCTTCTCCTGGATGCGCTTCTCGATCTCGGAACGGATTTGCGAGACCTCGACCTGGGCGCGGAGAACCTTGCTCTCCTCAGCCTCAAGGGCAGCCTCGGCCTCGTCGAGAGCGTGCTGAAGTTCCTCCTTCTCGATCTCAAGTCTGCGGATGATCTTCTGCATCTCGTGGACGGAGCGACCTCCCTCTCCGAGCTGGTCGGTCAGGTCCTTGATCTCCTGGCTCAAGCTCTTGTTCTCGCGGCGGAGTCCCTCGACGACCTCGGCGAGCTCCTCTTGGGCGTTCTTCGCCTTGAAGAGGTCGGTGGAGGTGTTGCGGAGGTCTCTCTGGGCTCCGTCGAGCTCAGCGGCCAAGTCGTCGGTCTTCTTTCTCCATTCGTCGATGATCTTGTCGAAGCCCTTCTGCTTCTTCTCGAGAGCAGAAGCGACTCCGTTAGCTCTCTCGACATCGACCTGGGCGTCGTCCAAGTCTCCGACGAGGCGGGACTTGGTCTTCTCAAGCGATTGGATCTTGGAGTTGGCGGCGTCAAGAGCCTCCTGGAGCTCGTTGATCTTCTGGGCCTGGCGTCTCTTGGCATCCTCGAGCTCGTCGGCCTTGAGGAGTCCCTCTCCCTCGAAGCGGGCCTTCCATTGCTGAATGTCGGCGTTCGACTTGGAGAGTTGTCTGAGGATCTCGTTCTTTCCTTCGATCTCCTCTTCGAGCGACTCCTGAAGCTGCTCGACTTCGTGCTGGTAGTTCTTGGCCTGTGCAGCGACGGTCTGGCGCTCGCGGGCTTCCTCGTCGGCGGTGCGGCGGGCTTCCTCGAGTTGGGAGGTGAGCTGAGCCTTCAGTCTGGTCAGCTGGCCGACCTGAGACTCAGCGTCCTCGAGCTGGCGGACGAGATCTCCGTTCTCGCTGTGAAGACGTCCCTTGAGGGAGGTGAAGTCCTGGAGCTGGCGAGACTGCTCGTCGGCCTTGGACTGGAGCTCGGTGAGTTGGAGCTCGAACTGCTTGGCGAGCTTCTCGTTGTTGAGCTTGGCGGAGGTTTCCTGGTCGAGCTGGGCGGCGAGGTCCTCGGCGTCGTGGACGGCCTGCGACTTGTCCTTCTCAACCTTGGCCTTAGCCTTCTGGAGCTGGTCGAGCTGGTCGGTGAGCTCGGCGACGGCGTCGGTGTGCTTCTTGCGGAGTCCGGCGAGCTGGTTCTCGTGATTCATGTTGGCCTCCTCCAAGTCGCGGCGGAGCTTGGCGAGCTCAGCCTCACGCTTCTTGTTGACCTCAACCTGGGCGGCGGTGGCTCCTCCTTGCTCGTCGAGCTTCTCGCCGAGCTCCTCCAACTCGCGCTGAAGGTCGCTCTTGGAGCGGTCGGCCTTGGAGCGCGACTGGCGTTCGTTCTCGAGTTCCTCCTCGAGCTCAGACACGCGGGACTGTCCGTCCTTGATCTGGCGCTGGAGTTTCGAGACGAGGGCTTGTTCGTCCTCAAGTCTGGAGGAGACAGAGTGCAACTCGCTCTCCTTCTTCTTCAGGTTGTTCTCGAGATCGTGGCGTTGGCGGCCTCCCTCGTCGATGTTCTCCTGGGCAATCTTGAGCTCTCCCTCGACCTTTCTCTTCTGCTTGTCGAGATCGGCGCGGGATCTCTTCTCGCGCTCAAGCGAATCCTCAAGATCGTCGAGCGTCTGCTCGAGCTTGGCCTTCACCTTGTTCTGGTGGTTGCCCTTGTCCTCTTCGGCCTGGAGATCCTCCATCAGTTTTCGGTTAATCTCCTCCTGATGCTTCTTCTCCTTGTTCAACTTGGCGATAGCCTCGTCCTGCTGCTGCATCTCGTCCTGAAGGGATCTGATCTGGTGGTCCTTGGACTGCTTCTCGGATTCCGCCTTGCGGAGGCTCATCTCCAGATCCTGGATCTGCTTCTTGAGGGCCTCAAGCTCGGCCTCGACCTTCTTCTTGGCGCGCTGAACGTCAGCCGTGCGGTCTTCGTTGTCGGCGAGCTGGTCGTTGAGCTCGGAGAGCTGCTTGGAGGCGTCCTTCTGTTGCGATTCCAACTTGGCGAGTCTCTCCTCGGCGTCGGAGAGCTGTCCCTTGGCCGACTCAAGGTTGGTGAAGAGCTGAGTCTTCTCCTCGACGAGCTTGGCGGACGACTCCTCGAGCTCCTTGCGAAGTTTCTCCTCCTTAGCGAGACTCTCCTCGAGCGCCTTCACCTTGTCGTTGATCTTCTCAAGCTCCTCGGCCTCCTTTCCGGCCTTGAGCATCGGCTTGACCTTTCCGTACAGCTTGAACCACTCCCAGGTGCGGAGGGTGCACCACGAGCGAACGTTGCGCTGGACAATGAGAAGTCCGGCGCGCTGTTCCATGCGGCGCTTGCGATCCTTGAGGGCCAAGTGCCATCTGATCTGGGACTGGAATCCGGTAAGGATTCTGCCGAGCTTCTCGTCACGGATGTCTTCGAGATGGGCGAGAACTCCGGCTTTGAAGAAGACCTTGGTGAGACCGATACGGAACATTTCCTCGTTGAGGGCTCCCTCGTTGACAAGGCGGGACATGATCGCCTCGGTGCACTTCTTCTTATCCTCGTCGATCTTGGACTCGGCGGCGGCAAGGATGGCGTAACGCTGGACAAAGTCGGCGTGGAGGGTTCTGTTCGGGAATCCCTTTCTGCAAATTCTGATTCCTTCCAACACTCCGTTGCAGGTGAGCTGGTTGAGAACGAGCGCGGCGTCGATGACTCCGGAGGCCTTCTTCTCGTTGGGGATGATGCAACGGATGAAGTGCGGGTGAGTCTTGTTGAGCATGGTCATCAGGTTGTTGAGGGACTCTCTGTAGAGCATAGAGACAGTCATGAACGATCCCGACTTTCCCTTCTTCTTTCCACCGCCACCGCCCTCCTTGGCCTTAGCGGCGGCCTCCTCCTGGGTGGTGTAGTCTTGCCAGATCTCGACGAGAAGATCGTTGCCCTTGGACTGCTTCATGCACGAGACAAGCGTATCGTTGAGGGGGTCCTTGTTCTTCTCGAGCCAGTTGAGCACGTTGTAGCGCACAGTTCCGGCGTAGTGACGCATGGCGAAGTGAGCATCTCCCTGCTTTCCCTTTGGCGGCTTCGGTTTCTCAAAGTTCGGGTGCTTGCCGAGATGTTGGTCGACGAGCTTCTGGGCCAGGGTCAGATCGGTGGCCTTTGGCACGATGCACTCCTCATCAAGCATAGAGATGATACCGAGTGGCTGGAAAAAAAGATTGAGAATATATAATAGGTTTCAGATAAGCTACCTTCTCGATGAGTTCGATACAGGCTTGCAAGTCAAGACCGAAATCGATGAAGACCCATTGGATACCCTCGCGGGCGTACTCTTCCTGCTCGAGAACGAACATGTGGTGGTTGAAGAACTGTTGGAGCTTCTCGTTGACGAAGTTGATCCACAACTGCTCGAAGGAGTTGAAGTCGAAGATCTCGAAACCGGCAATGTCGAGCACTCCGATGAAGTAGTCACGGTCGATTCCCTTCTGGTCAAGGGTGAGGTTACACTTCTTGACGAGCCAGTTGAAGACACGCGAGTAGAGACCCTTGGCCATGGCTCCGACGGCCCAGATGACCTGCTCGCAGTTCTGTCCCTTGGACACCCACTCGGTTCCGACCTTGACACGTGGCTTGGTGAGCGCTTTGAGGAACTCCTCCGAGCCGAGTCCGTACATGGAGGCGGCCTTGTCGGCGTCGTCGGTACCGTCCGGCTCGGCCTGCTCTTCACGTGGACGCTGCTTGAACTTCATGTTACCCATGTGCATGAGGGCTCCCATGAGACGGTAGCAGTCGACCTTCTCAGTAGCCGAGAAGTTGAGGATGTCGAAGGCCTCGTCGGTGAGTTGGAACTCTTCGGTATCGTTGATTCCGTCGATGGTCAACTCGGCCTGCGCGACGAACCAGTAGTCCTTGAGTGGTTTGTCGAGCAGAAGAGTCTTCTTGAGCTCCGGCTTGAAGTCGGAGAAGATTTGGTAGAAGATGTGGTAGCAACGCTCTCCCGGTGCTTGACGGATGACACGAGACTTTTCGAGGAGATCTGTAATACGAAATGGAATGAAATTAAGTGATGAGGTGGCGGTACAACTCACAGTGCTCAATGTCGCAAGACGCGAGACGTCCGTGTTTCGAGAAGTGGATACGGATGAACTTTCCGAAACGAGAAGAGTTGTTGTTACGCACGGTCTTGGCGTTTCCGAAGGCTTCGAGGACCGGGTTGGTCTGGACGATCTGGTCCTCGAGGGTGACCTTCTTTCCTTCGGTCGGCGCAGTTCCGGCGGCTTCCTGTTGAGAGGCTCCGACGGCGGCGAAGTAGGCAATAACCTTCTTGGTGTTCTCGGTCTTTCCGGCTCCCGATTCTCCGGTAATCAGCATGGACTGGTTCTCGTGGTCCTGAAGCATGTTACGGTAGGCCTGGTCAGAGACGGCGAACAAGTGCGGCGGCATTTCGGTACGGCGCTTGCCCATGAACATGCGCGCGACCGAGTCGGTGTAGATCGGCAGACGCTTGTACGGGTTGATGACGACGCAGAAAAGTCCCGAGTAGGTCTGAAAATGTCCCAATGCGGAGATTATCCATAAGATCGTGCTCCTAGGCTCAAAATCAAAATCTTCTCCCCCCATCACTTTTTGTTCCTTCCTTCTTTTTGCTTCCTGCTCTCGTCCGCACAGCATGTGCTGCTCTTCTCTCCGGAGGTATACGATACAAATTTCCGAGAAAAATCTCTCTTCTCATCTTCATCTCGCTCGCGCTCCGACTCCTGCCAAGCGGCAGCTCCCACTGTGTAAAGTGCGAGAGAGAGAGCGAGAGCGAGAGAGAGAGAGAGGGAGAGAAACGGAGAGAATCAGAGAACTCCCACTCAATTGATGAGATGAAGTCGCCGAGAAAGATCAAGAAGAAGCGAGAGAGAGAGAGAAGGTGTTCGTGACGTGGCAACAAAAAATGATGAGGTGAAGTATTGAGACTTGAGATATTGTATGTCCAACTCACGTAGATAAGCATGGCGGCGTAACGAGCACGCAAGTTGTGAAGCACAGAGGCGTCGTTGAGGAAAGTCAAGTTGGACATGTCCTCGGTCTTCTCGAACTTTGGCGGGTTCATTTCCTGGACGAGCTCCTTCTTGAGGTTAACCTAAAAAAAAGCAAACAATGTCAGAATGCAGAAAGCAGAAGAATGTTTACCTCATTTCCACGGGCGGTGACAATGGTGACCTGGTCGCCCTTGGTGGCGGTGATCTCTCCGGCCAGGTATCCGTCCTCTGGATCTGGGATCCAGCAGTTCTTTTTCGAGTCATACGGCTTGGATTGGTCCTAGAAGAAGAGCCAAATAAGTTGAGTATAGAAGAGGAATAGTCAAAAACACTTGAAGACAAGTGAGAAAAGAAGGCCAAAAAAAAAAGGGTAAAAAGAGAAAGAGATTACCTCCAAAATTTGCTCTCTCGAGCGACGGAGGTATTGCCATCCTGGATCCTTCTCGTGCTCCATGTTTTCGCTTCGTCCTCACTATGTGTGCTCCCTAGTCGAGGTGTGCGATGCGATGGTGAGTGTCGAGTTGTTGGGTCCGTCCTTCGGCAGGCGGCCGCTGCCGCATCCCTTCGGCACTTCACGCCCCGCCTCCTTTTTACGTGCTGTAAAGCGAAGAATCCTGGGAAAAAGGGACGGCGAGAGACGCCTACGCTGACGTGGTGGCCGGCGGAGAGCGGCAGAGAAACGGGATGGAATGAGCAGAAAGTTATGGGGAAAGAGATGACGGCACAAAAAAAAACGGAGAGATAATGATATGAAGGTGTTGGAGAGGGGGGCATGAGCAGCTCAGGCCGAGATCGAAGTTCCGGTAGAAAAGTACACTCGACATTTGGAAATGGCTGGAAAACGGATGACAATTGCAACGAAATTTGGTGTTTTTTTGATCTACAAATTTCCAGATCTACAGATCAAATAATTGCAGAATTGTCTCAAACTTTTCCGTTTTCAGGAATTAGAAACTAAACAGCTTCTTCTATGAAATATTTATAAAAGTTTATTTTCCAACCGTTTGCACTCTTCAGATGTACATTTTCAGGCAGTTCCCCTTCTTGTGACGTGTAATTCTGTAAACCTTTCCTACTTGTTTTTCAGATTAATTATTAATTTCAGATACTCTCCTTTCCAGAATCGCTCTAACGCTCTCAGTGTAAATTCAGATTCCACGTGGGATTCGCACGCGCATTCTGCCCTTGTTCTCTCAGAATCTCTATGTAAACTGTCAAAGTGGTGCTGCCCTGATGCTCATAAATCATGAATGATGATAGTATGTAACTGGATCGTCCTCCTTCCTCTTCTTCTTCTTCTTCTTCTTCTTACTCTTTGCTTCTTCTTCTTCTTCTTCTTGCTCCTCAGGCGCATCGGCCGTCTCAAAAAGATGTGATAGTGGTGGTGCTGCGTGTGTGTGTGTGTGTCTCTCTTGGATCTCGTCAACGAAAACAATCTTGGCTATCCATCGCTCTCGCTTCCCGTGCCGCCGAATGCTGTAAGGCTCTTCGGAACCCGCGGCGTCGCGAAGCACACACAGATTGCACAGATCCGCGAGACGCAGCAGCCAGAAACTCGTCGGGCGCTCTCGTTTTGCCAAAGTAACAACTGCCTGTGGAGTCCTCCTCCTCCTCCTCAGCCGTCGGGATCCCGGCGGCATCTCTCTGCGGCTCCGTGGATCCGGTGCTCTTGGGTCGGGCGGTCGCATGTGGGAAAGATATGTGCTCGGGTACAAGCCGACAGGGAAGAAGAAGAAGAAGAAGAAGAAGAAGTTGGGTTCGGGGTTGATTCGAATTGTAATGTATTAACACACCGAAACACTTGGTCAAAATACATTGATCAGTTTCGTATGTGTTGTTCTCGAAGATCCAACAGATTATCTATCACTGGAGCGCGGAAACATATCATGGATTCTGATCCTCCCAGCTATTTATCGCTTCCAGATGCTCTCCTCCTCCTCGTCCACCCATTAAAACTTTCTCTAGAAAAATGAAGACAACACGAAACTACTACTCGCATCTCTATAATATCTTACGCTTCTTGTCTTCTGCCTTCTCGCCGCAAAACCTCTTGTGTAACACAACAACTCAGAGCTCGGCAGACTTTGGCAGCTGCTTCACACTCGCCGCGGGGAGCATCGGAATGTGTCGTGCAAGACTGGTAACTATTTGTTTATGGAAAAAAAAGTAATTGTTCGCCGTAGAATTCGCATCCGCTGGGCAACATTTTAGCCTAAAAGCCAAGCCTTTTTCAGGGCTCTCTGCGACTAGTTTGAGTTGAATTTTCGCGAAAAACAAAACGTTTCAGAAGGTCCCATCGTGTTTTCTGACATCTACAGACACAGTAGAAGCATTCTAGAGCAAATTGAGCAAAACACATTTTTCAGGGAATGTTAAAAGGCGAAAATTTCAGATTTTCAGATGTATGCTAGCTAGTTTTCAGTTCCTGACAAAAACAGCACGCTTCATGGATTTTACAGATCTCACGGAATTTAAGGATTTTACGTCTTCTTGAAACCGTAAGTTTGCGTTTTTCCGGATCCGTAAAAATAATATTTTACGCCCCGCCCTGACGGTGATCACAAACAGTTGGCCACGCCCACAATGTCGGATCTGCCGTGGCGGAAAGCCACGCCCACGAAGGTTTATAAGGTCGTCGAAGCATGACATTTGCACCGTCGCGTACGGTCTTGAGAGAGAGAGCCCTGAAAAAGGCTAGGAAGCAGAGTTGAGCGGAAATGGAATTTTGAAATCAGGAAGACGGAAGACGGAAGAAAATGTTTTTACGGAACACGGAAGACGGAAGAAAATTTTTCTCATGGAAGACGGAAGACGGAAGATAACTTTTTTCCCGGAAGACGGAACAAAAAATCTTCAATGCAGAACCTTTTTCTCCGGTTAAAAAAAATAATAATAACAAAACAACAAAAAATTTGAATCTGGGTCACTGCCTTCGGGGCTAGTAAATGGCTTCTGAAAAGCTATTACTCTTTTACGGTAAGAATTTTTTACGGAAGACGGCTGACGGAAGACGGAACAAAAATTTTTTCCCGGAAGACGGCAGGCGGAAGACGGAACAAAAAAAATCCACGGAAGACGGAAGACGGAATTCCGCTCAACTCTGCTAGGAAGGTTGTCCTGAAGAAATGGATTATCTTATCTGGTTTACCATATATGGTCGCTTCTCTATACCTTTTTTTTCTGACCGTCTCGTTTCTCTGCATCTCGCGTTTTTTTCGCACCTAGACCCCCCCCCCCCCCTTAACTCTTTTCCGTTTTCCTTATCGCTTCGGTCTCACCCTGTCATTTGGCAGAAATTCCTCTAATCAATAGTATAAATGGAATTCGGTCATTTCGTTTACATTCTTCTACTTCTTGGGGTAAACGCCGCCGACGACGACTATGAAGACGGGCAGTTTCTGGCGAGAATCACTTCGATCGATGAGCACGACGCCAGAAAGATCGGAAGACGTTACGGATTTGAGACGGAACGCAAAGTGAGAAAGAAAGGCGAAAGTGGAAGTGTGGTCTAATTAGAATTTCAGCTACAATCCTATGATGATGTGTACATTGGCAGACGGATAAGTAAAAGAAAGAAGCGGGGGATTGAAGATGAGATTGTGGCCGAGATGATGTTGAGCCAACAGGTTCAGCTCATCGAACGTCTTCACGGATTCAGAAGATACAAACGAGCACCGTTTCTTTCTTCTTCTCAAGCTCCAGTTCACGTGGTAAGCAAGTGTGCTCTTCTGAGAAACTGGTGAATTTAGTGGAATCTGAAACCGTCTATGAAAATCAAGGAGGCGTGGGCGGCCGGCTTCAACGCAAGTCAGGTTACTGTCGCCGTTGTGGACGATGGTGTCGATGTGGAACACGTGGATTTGAGGAGCGCCTTCTCGCCACAAGTCTCGTTTGACTTTGTTCGATTTCAGAGTCTTCCGCTGCCCAAAAAATCGAAGGAAACACAGTTGGCTGCACTTTCAGGAGTTTATAACCGCTCGTTTTTTCAGGCACGGTACCCAGTGTGCTGGACTCGTGTCGATGGAGGGGAATCGGTGTGGTCTGGGCGTCGGACACGCAGCCAATCTCGGAGCAATTCGGCTGCTCGGCCAAGATTTCCTGAACGACGCTCTCGAGGGCGATGCTCTCGCTTTTCAAAAGCAACTGGTAATGGTATTATAGGGGCACCGCGCAGAAATGGCGCTCTGTTGAGAAACTCCTTTTGCAGTGCAAATTGAGCGACCTCGGGGCCGAGTTTGAAAAGTTAGGCCACGTTTTCAGTGGAAAATTACTTCGCGGCCTAGAAATTCGGCCAGATTGCGAACAGCGCGCCCTTTCTGCCCGGTGCCCCAATAATAATTTCTTTTCTGCCCCTGTTATCACTAAATTCCCTGTCAGATCGACGTGTACTCGGTGAGTTGGGGACCCAAAGACGACGGGAAAACGGTTGACAAGCCGGCGGCGTTCACACAAGAAGCCATCCAAATCGGAGCCACGGAGGGAAGGAGCGGAAAGGGAAATGTGTTTGTGTGGGCGAGCGGAAACGGAGGAACCAACGGCGACAATTGTGCTCTGGATGGATACGTCAGCAACGAGTTCACGGTGTGTTTTCCTTGCGCCACGTGAACTTTAAAGTTGCTCATTTCTGCCTGAAAGGGCACAAAAAGGACGCCGCGCGAGGTCACTTGAAATTCAAATTTTTCCAGATAAGTTTCGGAGTTGTCGATTCGAACGGTGTGCCAGCCAATTACGCGGAGGGCTGCTCGGCGGTACTCGCCGCTGTTTCTGGCGGTGATTCGATGGTTGTGAGTTTGCATGATGACTGTTTGGTAGAGCGCAAATTTTAAATTTCTGAATATTTCAGCAAACAACCGGACTGGAATCGACGTGTTCTTCCATTTCCGGCTCTTCCGCGTCCGCCGCGATTTCTTCCGGAATCATCGCTCTCGTCTTGCAGGCAAAGTACTCGCATTCAAATGCACTATTACTGGAAACGCGTCCTTTTGCAGCCCCTCGCTGACTCAAAGAGACATTCAACACTTGATCGTCCACTCGTCGAACGCCTCCGCAATCACTTCCGTCCCTTTGACCACAAACGGAGCGGGCCTCCGATTCCATCCGAACGTCGGATTCGGCCTTCTCGACGCCTTTAAAATGGTCAAAAAGGCGACCACGTGGAAGAACGTGGTAGAACAGAAGATCTGTGAGAAGAGCAAATTAGCCAGCGGAGACGTCGATTACAGCGATTGCTACGAAGTGTCCAAAGTGGAACGAATTGTGATCCGTGCTTCCATTTTCCATCCGAATCGCGGTCAACTGCAAGTGAAACTGACGTCTCCGCAAGGAACCACATCCGAACTTCTGCCCATTCGAGCCTCCGATTCCAGTCCGAATCTGCTTGATTGGGACTTTGTCTCTGTCCACTTCTTCGGAGAGAATCCACGTGGAATCTGGCGACTCAACATCTCCAGCCAAGAAGACGTTCCAGAGTTTCGCGTTCAAGTGAAGAGCTTCCGAGTGACAGGAACATAAAATATGCGCCTTTATTATACATGATCTTGTTCGGGAGCTGGGGGAAGAGAGCTGCGGGGGAAGGATGCGGGGTGAATGAATACAATAAGTTACGCCAATAAAATTATGTTACATAAATAGAGGGGTCAATAGAATTAAGTTAATTATTCACAGGAACAATAGGAGTTATCTTTTTCTTCTCCTACTCCAAAGCGATTCGCGCCAACTCGTATTCGACGGCGCCGGCTTCCGAGCTGACGGTGGTTCTCTGCTTCTCAACGGGAACGGCCAGCGACAGATGGACCGTCTGGAAATTGGGCTCGTGCTTCTGACGGAATTCGAGCAGCATCGGCGACGTGTGAGTGGGAATTATGGTGCACGGATGAGCTGGAAATTAGATAAATATCAAAATGAAGTATATAAAAATGGACTAACCACTCTCACACCAGGTCTGCTTTCCGGTCATGATGGAGCTGAGCTGGTCCGATGAGATATCCTTGGATGGAAGGACGAGATTGCGAGCGCGCACCTTCGAGACGAACTCGTGCAGACCGTCTTCGTTGAGAGTGGTCTCGAGCTTCGCGTTGTGCGGCACAGTCACCACGTCGAAATAGTATGGACGAGCGAATTTGACAGGCTTTGCGAATGGGACTCCTGTAGCAGCCGGCATGAAGAGCGGCAGCGTGTTTACAGTCTTCGGAGTGTTCGGAGTGCTGGCTGCATCCACCTTCTCACTTTCAATGGCGCACGCGGCGAGAATTTCGTCGATCGCTGGATCCGCCTTCTCGTAGTCGACTGCAGCGCCGTTCTCGATGATGCTGGAGCGCGACTGCATCAAGTCGTGCTTCGAAGTGTCTTTCGGGTCTTCGGCAGTTCCGTTTCCGTTGGTACCAAAGTCGAGAAGTGGCTTCTCCGAATCCGGCTTCACTGCGATCACATCTCCACCGACAATGCTGCTGGCAAGAGCACTGGTGAACGGCAGAGTCGCGTCCTCGATCATCTGATTGCTGATTTTTCGCACGTACTCTTCAGTCTTGTCGTCGAGACCCAGATTCTGGAACTCAGAAGAAATCCAAGTGATTTCTCCGACTGGCGCAGAGATGTCCACATCAGTGCCCGTCTTGTCCGTATCCATGCTGATCTCCTTCTTCTGCGAGACTTCCTCGCTGCAATCAGCGAGCGTACCATCCTCGCGCGGGGCTTGTGGAATCAAGGGCTCCTGAAACAGAATTTTCTTGAAATCACATTTATGCTTTAACCGCTGTTGCATTTGTTCCCGAGAAAGGTAGAGGAAATGGACGTGCGAGGGGAGTGTTTTCATGCGCCAGAAATGAGATTACCTCGAATCCAGGTGCCACATGCTGCACATCGTCATCCAGAGCAATGAGTCCATCGTCCTTGCCGCCCGGAACGTGCGGAACGAATGGAACGGCAACGGCAACATCCGGAAGGGTAGGATCATCCGTGGCAATGGTAACGTGATCAGCCGGAATGACTGGAGCAGACGGCTCCGGATGAGCTGGCTGAATCGGATCGACGTCGATGAGCGACGGCGCCAGAGTAACGTCATCCAGAGTCGGATAGACTGGAGCTGGCTTCTCATGAGCCTTTGGACTGGCCGGCTCTTTCGGCTTTTCAATTTCAGGAGCAACTGGCTCTGGCTCCACAGAACCGGAAGAGGCTGGCTCTGGCTCTGGCTTCGGCTTCTTGAACGCATCAACTGGCGGCGGAATCTCTGGCTCCACGTCCACGACTGGCTGCTGAAAAGATACCACTACCATCACGAACCACAACATTTATAGAAAGAAATGCGACACAGAAAGCAGTGGACAAGTGGATTTATAACATCTAAGTTACCTTGGGCTCCTCTTCCGTCGTGAAGACTTCTTCGCTGCGTGGCGGCTCCGGAGTCGGCGGAATGACGACGATATCGAACGGTTTATTGGAACCAGAACTTTCCTGGTTCAAATCCGACAAGCATATCACTGAATCGTCCAGATCGACGACGACTTTTGGAGCGACGACAGCAGCAGCAGCTGGAGCAGAGTCCACCGATGATGGCGGAGATTGCTTCTACAAAATCGACACAACACTGCTAAGAAAGCAAAAAACGGCGAAACATAAAAGGCTTAAGCTCACAAAAAACAGCACAAACCTTGTGAGGAGCAGCGGCGACCGGAGCCTTTTTGGCAGCAGCAGCCTTTGATGGAGCAGCTCCTTGAGCCTTTCCGACAGTCTTCACGGCTGCGATCGGCTCATGAGAAGAAGCCGATGGAGCAGCACGAGTCGTCGGAGCAACCGTTTTACGGGCAGGAGCTCCATTGGAAGCAGGAGCCGGACGAGTTCTGGCAGGCGCGGGAGCTGGAGCCTTGGCAGTCGGTCCCGAGCGAATTGCTCTTGCAGCGCCGGTGGATGCTGGACGGATCGGGGCACGTACTGGAGCAGGAGCCGGTCGGTTTGCGGAAGAAGTCGGCTTCACCAGAGGCTTACTCGGCGCAGTAGCGCGAGGGACGGCTGGAGCCGGAATCTCGTTAAGAGCATCCTTTGACTTGACGACTGGAGCGTTGAGGAATGGAAGAAACTTGGCGGCCCTGTCGAGCGATTGTTGAATGCGAGCCACCGAGCTGGTCCCTAAAGAAACACGTATAATTTAGAAATTCTTCTGGTGCCATTCATTCATTCAGAACAATTTCGCAATACGGCTAGTTGTGGCCTCATGAGAAATCGAGAATATTGCGAAACACTCACCCGAAATGAGCACGCGAACCGCTGGTTGGTCTCCCTGAGCCGGGCGCCACAACAAGACTGCGATAGTTCCATGCACGGCAGCGGCCTTCTCAACTTCTCCCTCGTTTCCAGAAGCCAACGCCTTCGTGATCGCTTCTCCGTCTTTGGAATCTCCGGCGAGAACGTAGAGCGAGAGAACGCCTTTAGCCGCCGACTGGTAGATGATTTGTGGCTGGTATTTTGGGGAGAAGAGCGGCGGTGGGACGGAGAGCAACTTAGAGTTGGCCTCCTGAATCAGCTTCACCTGCTCCCCACTGGTTCCCGATTGAGCGCTCTTCAACGGCTTTGTGTTCGTGAACACGGGCAGCGGCTTGTCCTGCAACTATACCTCGGTTAGAACCACATTTAGAAGCATTTTTGTTTTGAAGAGATTTAAGCCCTCTAAGAGTCATAAATCGTCGTGGAAACCAGCGATTATACGGATACGCACCTGCTCTAGCAGCGCCGACGTCGTGCCCAAATTATTTTTGGTCGGAGCGGAGAGAAGGACGGCGCTGACATTTCGCACGTGAGCCACGAATCCGGTGGCCTTCTCGGCGAATCCTCCGTCCAGAATGTAGACGCCGTCAAAGTCGTACAGCGCGGCAACGTTGGCCGATCCACCCAAGACGTAGACGCACGCCTTCGACGACATGATGTACTCCTCCGGCATCTGGAAACGACGAATAATAGTTTGGAAAAGACGATGGGCGGAAAACGAGAACAATTTTAGTGTTCGGAATACGACGGCGAGGGCGCCAACAGAATGGGGGAGCCAGCGAGTGAGCGTGAGCGGAATGGAGAGTGAAAGTGTGAGTGTTTGTGAGCGCGCCCGAAATGAGTGGGAAGAGGAGCGGAGTGTAGGTGGCAGAGACGACCCGCCCGAAAAACACAAAATATCAACAACCTGTCTGTGTCTCTCCCACCACACAATTCTTGACGTTCCGACGCCATATGGAGGGAAAACAGAATGCGTGTACATTTCGTCGTGTTTAGCATAGAATTTATTATAATCCCAACCGTTGCTGGTGTGCGAGTGCATGCAAGACAAGAGCGACGCGAATGAAAACCTTTGAGGCGGAGAACGAGAACGAAAAAGACGGAATGTCAATCAAAAATCGGAGCCAATTTGGTGGTGGTGGTGGTGGAAGGGGCAGATGGCCACTCTTCTCTGCGAGAAGACCTTGAGTTGAATCGCAAAAGAGTCTATAATTAGTGGAAGAAAAACGAATTGGCTGTGCATTTCGGTTAATGAGAACGATTACGAAATTTGAGTCAAAGCGAAGTCAAAGCGACAAAACCTTAGCTATGGATAAGCAGAATAGGATGACTGAGGGTTCGTCCTCAGAGGTTTAGATCAAAACTATAGATCAATAGACATAGATCATAAATAATTATCATACGTCTACACGACATAACAGACGGGATGATCACATCATCATCATGACACTAATTATAATGGGAAGCCTACGCGCGACACGGCGGCAGCCACGACGACGGCGACAGATTGAGAACACCGCCGCCGGCGACTCTTCGTTTTTCACTCTATTTCTCAAGGTGATCGGAGAGGAGAATGGCGAATTGAAAAGGCGGAATTGTATGTGTGTGTGTGTGTGCAAGTTGCTGGTTTTGATTGATGGATTCATAAATGTACTACGCATTATTACACAAATCACACTCGCGACGAAACGAAAACGAAAAAGCAGCTCAATCGATTCAGAACACGGTAGGGGACGGAAAAGAGATATTTGTTAGTGTAGTGGCCAGAAAGTGGAAGAAAGGGCGCCGCACGGCTATTTACTCTTGGTATTTCCTCCTCCAAAACGGTGTTCTCCCAACTGATTTCTTTCGAGTGATCGTATCTGTTTGACCATGTCTTTCGCAATGCGACAATGTTGCGACCGACAAAAATGCAAGGCAAAAAAACTGAATTCGACGGAAAATGAGCGAAAATGAGAAATGAAAAGCGGCTGAGTCATCTGCAACTTGTTTTCACCATCTAAAATTGGCGCCAGCGCGCCGGGAAAACGGTATTTCGCGTGGCGAGACCCGGGAGTTTGAAACATGGAACCGCGAAGCGCGAATTTTCTGCAATTTCCAATAACTCACGGATTTTTCTGAGTTTTAAAATTGAAAATGCTCGCAAAAAGGTTTTGTATCAGAAAATGCTGTTTTCACGGCACTTTGTTCAGCAAAAAATTTCTAAAATGCTTCGTACTCCTTCTTCCAATTCTAAATGGGGTCCGTTTTTCGAGAAAGCAATAAAATAGACGTGGAAAGCCGTTTTAGAATGGGTTAGGTGGAAAAAAATGTTTTAAAAAAGGAAAGAAAAAGAACGAGTATGCAGGAAAAGGCTTGTTCTTTCCTCGAAAAGCCGAGCACAAACGGATAGAGTTCCGGGAGTGAGCGAAACGGCGGAGCAGCTGTGCTCAATGGGCACCCGCCCGGCCTAAGCCTCCTCCTGCTTCTTCAAACTGCTCTTCCCTATCGGATATCATTCTCGAGTACGCCTCCTCCGTTGAGCTAATAAATTGGAAAGAGTTGTCAGGGCAACGGATTTCGAAGAGACATGTCAGAATGAAACAGAACGGAAAACTCGATAGCAACGAGAGATATGGAGAAAAGTGGAAATAGAAAACAAATTGTAATGAGGGAAAAGCGGGGATGATTCATCCAACAAAAATGCAACAGCAACAGCAACAACAGGGGCGAATGAGAAACAGCTGGGCAAATCTATTGTAAATCTACACTAAACAATCAGAAGTCGAAGGCAGTCAAATCAATTATCAACGTCGAATATTCCTGAAGATGTGACGGTTCGGAGACTGATCGGAAGGACATCTCCGTCACGACGGCCGCGCACCTGGAAAAATTAATTTTATCAAAGGAATTTTAAGAATCTTCTTACCGCACTGTACATATCTCCGTGCTTTTTCGAAAGCGTTAACCGTTGAATTCCACGAAATGAGGTGCAAGTGTCGCACGTTACATGACCGCCCAACTTCCGGTTCTTCAGAATTCGATTTGTATGCTCATTGATTTTTCTTTCCCCTTTTTCGAGAATCACAAAGCTAAATTTGGCGACTTCTGTGCCATCCGACTCTTTTTCCGATCTTCTTCCATCGGCGCGGATCGGCTGGAATCGCGTGGAGAATGTGCACGAACTGTGCGCATTCAGCGGACATCCCAAGTCGTGCGGACACGGAGCCATGACGGTCGCCGTCGGCAGAAGAGTCGGGACGGATTCTCCGGGCGGCACCGCTTCTTTGAGCATCACAAACTTTTCGTAGTCGCTCAAATTAAAATCCTCCACAATTCTGACCACTTTCGGCGACAGCGTCACTTTCTCCTCGAGTGTTCGCAGCAATTGCCGATAGTCGACAGTGGTTCCCTGAGTGAGCAAAAAGTCTCGAGCCTCCAGAATGCCGCCGAAAGCTCCGGATTGTGCAGATTCGATGAGGAGCAGAAATCGATTTGTACGCTTCCACAAGGATTCAATTAGTTGTAGGCGAGTCTCGGAAGAGCCGATTTCACAGAGAATACGGTGAGCAATCACGAGATCGTAGGTTGTCTGAAATTTGAAATAATTTAGTTTGTTTTGAAAATTAGTAACGAACATTGAGAGAGGGAAGTAAATGGCGTCGAAAATGGACATTATCGTGGACAAACGGTCTTCCCGCGGGTCCGCCCGTATTCGGATCCGGCCTCAGCGAGTCCATTGCAAACTTTGTCATCGCGTCCGACATGTCTACCATCGTCACTTCTTTTGTGTTCGGCCAGCGACTAGTGGCGGCCCAGAAGCCTGCCCCACTTCCACTTCCGTAATCAAGAATAGTTTCCGGCTGAAAGTCTTGAAACTCTTCAAGACATCTGGCGATTTCCGCGTAGTTCGGAGCCATTCTGGCCAGAGAATAAGCGCCAGCCGCTTCTTTTGTCGTGATTTCCAGCGGCTTCCAATTGAACGACGCCTTCTTCATAATCTTATCCACCTCGTTTCGCAACTCGTACTGCTGTGCTTCCTGAACTTTTCCTCCCAACGCTTCCTTGTCAAACTCGGAGATTTCGTCCTTCTTTCCTTGCTTCAATTTCCTCTTCACTTCATCTCTCACTTTTTTCAGATTCTCCGGCGATTCTGGAAATCGTCGTTGTTCCAGTCTGTTTGCCAACTGATCTGCTTCGTTTTGCAACTGTTTCGCCGGCCGTTCACACGTGACAATGGCATTCCTGAGGCCGTCAATAGCTTCACGCGGCAAATTGAATTCTCGTCTGTAAATTGGTCGTGTTATCGATTAATTTTGAACAAATCTTTTAGATACCTGAATCGTTTGCCTGCTCTGTCTTTTGGAGTGATTTGAACGATGGAGCGAGCGTTTGTGAGTGCGTTGACTGCAGTGATTGCGTGTTTTCGTGGCTCCTTGAAGACATTTAATTATTTTTCTGATGATTTTAAAGCAAAAACTAACTTTAACGTCTTCTGCTGATGACGTTGCAGCTCTGGCCACTGATAAATGGCGCAGAAATACCCGATTTTGCAGCATTTTTGTCGGAAAATGGCAAAATATTTTTAGTACGATGCTCCGAAATTACGCAGAAAAAGCGTGGTATTATAGGGGTACCGGACAGAAAGGGCGCGCTGTTCGCAATCTGGCCGAATTTCTAGGCCGCGAAGTAATTTCCCACTGAAAATGTGGCCTAATTTTTCAAACTCGGCCCCGAGGTCGCTCAATTTGCACTGCAAAAAGAGTTTCTCATCAGAGCGCCATTTCTGTTCGGTGCCCCTATAATAGTTAAAATTTTGCAACTCAGAACTGTCGTTATTAGCGTTTTTTTTTGGACAGTTGCAGGAGAATTCATTGAAAAAAAATCTGAGAAAGAATCTCGCTTCTAAAATATAAATTTTTCAGGTTATCAAATATATGGAATCTGAAAAACTGAAAAAAAAACCTCCTGACTATTTGATAAAAGACCGCATACCACTTAACACTAGCAGAAAGAGGTTATCCGTGCGGGCTGGGCAGGGCCGGCCCGGCCCGTGACAACTATGGCCCCACTGCACTCATTCAGACTCTTGCCGATTTTCTTTTCTGTCGCCGAATGTCACCATTTTTCTATGTTTTCTGTTCTCTGCGCTGAGTGTTGAGTCCAGCGGAGCTCGTTTACGTTCCGTACCATCATCCTTTTTTACTCACTTTTCACCCCAAATCCGCACTTCGACCCTTTTCTCATGACATATCCGTAGAACGAGTTGAGGATGCACTTATGCGCCAACTGCAGTGACTCGTAAAAAACCATTTTCAATTTTGCCGTCAGCATCGTCCTCAGATCGCTGCCCGCCTGCGCCGTACCGAATCGCACGTTCGCCTTTGTGAGCATGTCGTTGTAATAATAATAATAATTCACATTTGTTCCGAAACATATTGCGACGAGTAACACACTTCCTGCTATCTCTCTCTCTCTCTCTCTTTCATTTTCGTATTCTTCGCGCACGAACACTTGTCACTGTCAGCTCTAACGATAATGTGTTTTGGCACAGCAGCGAGGAGTAGCGACGACAGCCGGAGGAGCCGAGAATTTGCGAATTTCGGAACTAATTTATGCAAAAGCAGCTGACAAGACGACCCATCTATTTGTCACCGCTTTTACCCACACCGATCCATGTTTTCCCGAGCCGACTGCGACTTTTCTTCCTTCCGATCGGACTGCGGATGATGATGGATCGGTACGCTGGCGAGGTGTCATTTAGATAAATTCTCCGCCGTCTTGCGGAAATGTATGTCTCGCTTATCTTGTGCATATGGGTCACAAATCATCGATGCGACTCGCAAATTAACATAACTTTTCGACACGCTTACCACGTGTCTCTTCTTGTTTCGAAAGAATGCACGTGGATTGAGAAATTCGTACTAGCCCTCCACGCCACATCACATACCTTAGACACCTGGGCTTCCAAAGGAACCGTGGGAACAAAAATTACGAAATCGCGCGCACGGGGCTTACATGTTTCACAGAGCTAATCGCGGCTAACCGCCATGTGCAGTACATGAACTATAGTCAATTAGTATGCAAATGAGGCGTATACAATTGGAAGACCTCCCCCCCACTCGGCCATTTCCTTTCACTTTTCCCACATATCATTGACAATAGGGCGACATCGTCGTATAGAAGAGGGATGAAAAGGTAAAGGCTCTTTCATACTCTACGCACTCGTTCGGCCATTCCATTCACAAGCGGTAATCGGATTTTCAGCGCCGAAGCAACAAGGTCCTTTTTTAGTGGTGGAGGCGGAGAGAATGGGAAAAGTTAGTTATAAAGGAGGAGGAGGAGCCAGTTTGCGGAAAAGGACGAAGCTGACGATGACAAGCTGTCAAAACTAAATATTCCTGCAAAAAACTGCGTAAAACGTCACATGACACTTTTTGAGCCGTCCTAAATTCCGCTCGTTTCCAGTCATGATAGCGCCAAACTAATAATGCGCACACACGTGGCATTATGTACTGCTCCTCCTCTTCTCGTCAAATCTTGTTCGTGTTTGATCCAATTGCCACCTGCATCATTCGGAGCCCCTATTTACATCGATTGCACACTCACATACACACTCCCGCCACTTCCTCGCCCCTCCCCATCGCCCGGCGACCATCTGTTGCCAAATCATTTCTCTTCTCCGTCTTCGCGGATATCATCTTGCCACCTCCTGGCCCAATTGACACTCCGAGCACAAAAACTGCTAGGTATTAAGTACTCTTATGTGCTGCCCGCCGACGGATGGCCATTCGAGATGGGCGGGACGGAGGGAAGTGAAGCTCCGCCCCCGTCGTGTCCCTCTCTGGCTTGTGTCCCTCCCCGAACGAACAAGTGTTTTGACGACACCCTTTGCTTCTCACGTCGGCTCATTTAACCCAAATTTTTCATCTTTTAAAACCTATTTAACTTGTTTAGAAGTCCATGTGAAGAAAATGAAGCCATTATTTCTCCCTCTACTCCTTCTACTTTCCTACGTTGATGGTAAAATCAAGAACGGATTCGGCGGCGACAAGTCGAGTCCGATTGAAGGTGAGAATCTCATTCTTAAGCCCGAACGTAACCTTCCTTTGATGGCAATGACATCGTCAAACGGTCCCATTCATCACTCATCACGCACGAATTCGTTCGGCGCGGCCCGCAAATCATGGCCTAATCGTCATATATATATATCTCACACCTTCCGGAACCTTTTTTCGATATTATTTGTTTCCAACGGAAAACCTCCATTTCCCCGCGCAAAAAAGGACTAAATCAGGCTCCCTGGGCAACCAGCAACCACTATAGAAGGGCAGCCGTCTCCTTTCCTTTCCGCTCAGGCTCATAATTGTATAAATTCGCCGAACCCGAACCCCCCTTCGCCGGCTTTTGAGCAGAGCAGACCACCCGGATGCATTGAGAGTAGGCAGAAGGCGCAATAAGCGTCATTAAGTGCGATGTATAAACAAATGGCTTGTCTTCGGCCAGGACGGATAAGAGCGATATGTATAAACATTTTTGGACACGTGAGTGGTCATCTGTCATTTTACAGTATCCTTCAAAGATTGGATTCGAGGGCCGACAATTGATGGCAAGCCAAACACAAAGTCACGCTCGATTTTTAAAAAAATAAATTTCAATAATTCCCACGTGAAACCTTTTCGAGTTGAGGTTCTTCTTTCACCTCATCTCACGACGATCCTAAAAAATTTCGTAAAGTTGTCATCGCGGTTGTGACATTGGCATTTCGACCCGCCGATCCGTCTTGTTTTTTGAGCCTCCCTCCCCCTCCGACCAGCTCTCCGAGCAATTGCCACACGGCCATTAGCGATCTTGCATGACCGGCGCTCCCCCGTAAACCCGTGTCTTCTTCATCTCTCGCCCTCCTTTCTACTGCTCGGTGAGCCCACAAATTCTTACACTTGCGTGTACTCGACACGCAAAAAATTGAGGAGCTCGGCGGAAGAGCAGTTTTGCTACAAAATGTGGAAAATGGAAAATGGAATGGGTGAAAAGCGGTTCGAGAAGCCACTTTTCTTTTTTTTAAACCAATAACATCAACAACGACAGCAACAATAAAACGAACGACATGTCCACGAGAGAAATTTTTGCAATTTTTGGCTCTTTTTTGAGAAACCATCCATTTTTCTGCAATCAGAAAGTTTCTCTGACTATCTTATGACAAGTTTTGATCAAAATCTGCAGTGAAAGCGTCCAAATTGTGATTTTTGCCTGAAACAAATTTTGCAAAGTTTTGTCATTCTGTGCATTTCGACGTCGCCGTGTTTGCAGAATCTCAGACTCTACCGCTTTCAGAAAAAAAAAATGCGACAAAAAGAATGCCAATTTCTTCAAATTTAGCAAGATGTCACACAATATTTGTGAGAAGCTGTTCCTTGCCGATTTCCTTTTCTCATGTACAGCTCAATGAGCAGGTGCGCTCTCACGCAACGGCATTCTCTGGACCGAGCCGAAGCATAAGAATATGCACTTTCAATTTCCGGAGGCAAATATTGTGTGGTCTCAAATTTCTTGAACTTACTTCTTTGCATTCTAAATTGTTTTAGTATTTTTGCACACTCCGCGCGGGGACTTACCGCATTAATCACTTTGCTCATTAGAGAATTCTGGATGTACTCGTACACGCGTTTATATTGATGTAAGCTCATCACATATTCAATTTTCTTCGCTTCTTTTTCCGGCGCATAAATTAGGCGAGCGCGGTATCGCAGAAATTATTTTCAGCCGCCCATCTTGTGCAAGCCCGTCTCGGTAGGTTCGCATGGCGATAATTGGATCCGTGTGCGCAGATTTTTGCTGACTGCTGGCAGAAACCAGATTGCGCCTTAGCTAATTACTGGCTGATTGGACCGGAAAGCATGTGATGAATGGCTTGGGAAACACATACCGTACTCGGAACTTTTTCTCGAAAGTTCCCACTCCGAAATTTGATGGAGGTCAACAACGCCCGGGCGGTGTCACGAGAAAGGGGGTCATAAAATGGACCCCATAAAGTGTGGCCCGACGACTCTTTTTCGCTTTTTTTACGTTTCGCAGCTAGGAAAAGAGTACGCCTAGTGTGAACGGCTTCGCATAAATAAAGAAAAGGGAACAGAACACCTGGAGGCGGGCCGGAAACGGAAAAAGAACCGATTGAATTGCAGGTATTCTGAAGGAGTCGTTGCGATCGAACAGGGTTCAAGCGTGCGACGGAGAGAGGATCACGTTGAGCTGCCCCAGGAACACGCAGATTTCAGTGCAGACTGGGTAATTGATTGACGTCTTTGAAAACTTTCCACAATTCACAAACTGTTTGGGAGGCGTGTCCTTGGCTCGCTGCCAACTCCGATTCTAATGTCGAACTTTTTTTTTCAACAATTTGTATTTTTTTTTATCTCGAAGAAGATTACGTGATCAAGTTGATGAAATGTTGTGAAATCCCAAAGTTTTCAGATTCTACGGAAGAGTGGTGCCTGAAAGCGAACTTTGTCCACCACAGTCCGCACGGAAGTTGAGTGCACTGTCCTCGCTCCATCACTCGAATGTTTGTGACGTCATCCAGGCGCACACGGTAGGTGTAATCGGATATCCGAAGAGATGATGGATTGCGAAACTGGGTCACCATGACACATTTCAGCGAATCTCGGAGCTCTGTGACAAGCGTCGAAAGTGTGCACTGGTGGTCGACTCGAACACCTTCGAGGACGACCCGTGCCCGACGACGTCGAAATATCTCCAGATGGCCTACGGATGCATGCCAGTGTCATTTGAGGAAGAGACGTTCTGCACGCCGAAACCGAAAGATCCGCCACGCCCGGAAGTTCATCTCGAGTGCCGGGAAGGACGTCGTTTGGCTGTCTACTCGGCTGAAATGCGAACCGCGCAGCAATGCGATCCGGAAATTGAGATCAGACACGGTACAGTAATCCCACTACAAACTCGCGCTCAAGTATTTGTGCTCATCTCATGCGGAAGTGTCACCACTTTCTTATTCTGTTGTCCCTTTCCTCTATTCTCGTGTTCAGCGCTCTCATTTCATTTCATTCGGGGGGAGGCAATTGTAAGTATGTCTACGTCCCGCCTAACCACGCACTTTCTCGTCTTTCTCATCTCATTGTGCAGAAAGGGAGAGAAGCTAATTGGATGTCTCTCTGTGCGTGTGTCATCTTCCGACCCGAAACAATTCGGGCCCAGTGAGTCGCGAAAATAAGTGGCTCACTTTTCAGAATGCGCATCCGACGTGCTGCCTCACGTACTCCGACAGTGCCACTCAAAGGAGAGTTGCACGCTGAAAACGGAAGATGTGAAAGGACACTGTCGCCACGGACATCTTCATATCGTCTACGTGTGCGTCAACGAAGAAATCTTTTCGGAAGAGGCGATCAAAGGCGAATTGGTCTCACTGGAAGCGTATCTCAAGGTAAGCAATCGTCATAGGTGCGGAATGTTTGAGAAACGCGAAAAAGATTTTTCGGCCTGCCAGTCGGATGCAACTTGACAGCCTGTTACGGTCCGAGTAAATTGGGCCCCTCCCACTCGCATGTCCCGAACTGCCGGCGCTCAACTCAAAACACGAGAGAAATTATAAATTCAGGAAGCCGACGCTAAACAACGAGAAGAAGATAGACAATTCTTCAAGGATGTGAACGATAGATCGGAATATGAACGGGTGGTGGATGCTACTCCGGTCAAGGATCCAGTTGTCCACCAGATTGCCAATGATGGTATTAATAAATGAACATAAGTTGAAGTGGCAGATCTTGACGCGAATCTTTTTAGCCAGCTACGTCACACACGACGAATATAAAATGGCACACCAGGATCCGCCGCCGATTACGGAAAGAGTCGAGCCGAATCTGGTTGGCTTGGGGCATGACCTCATGCAAGTTTATCAGTTTTTGAAAGGTAGTTCTAATTCATTCCTACTTGGAAATCAATACTTTTTTAGAAAACAAAGAAAAAGCTCTGATGTGTATTATCCTCGCGGTGAGCATGGCCGCAATTGTAGTGCTCTCCGCGTGCATCGTCACCAGATTGTGCTCGTCTCCAAAAGATTCGAGAAGCAGAAACAGCTCGCGGAGCCGGAGATCTTTTGAGACTAGCAAATTGGTCTCATCGAATTGTAAGCCTGTTACGGATAGAACTAACGTCGTTATAATATTCATTTTCAGACGGAAGCTCGATCACACCGCACATGCAGGACATCGAGGACGAGCAGTTCCTGCGCTTCTCGATGGGATCCTCAAAGCCTAGCTCAACCTACAATCACTACGATTTCTGATTTTCCTTCTGTTTTCTCTGTTCCAACTTTATCCCACTGTTACGGGTTTTATGAATCACTTTGCCAATATATTAAGGTTCCGAATGAAAAATTTTTAACCGACGCTGCGGCGGTCCAACATAATAGAACTGAGCAGAATAGAACAGCGACATAATAGAACTACGCAAAATAGAACTTCGCAGAATAGAACCGCGACACAATAGAACTGTTTTTCTGTATTTATTCTGTTTTTTCAGTAAACGTTTAAAACGTGTCGAAATAACACGCGGTCTCGAAGCGAACGCGAGTTTTTTCTGCCGACTTTGGACTGCAAAATCCGCGAGATTTGCGGGTTTTTTTTTAAAACTTTGGACGCGGCATTATAAAATATTGTTATTCAAATTTGCTCATCGCCTTGAAGTTGAGAATAATCGGTTCAGCAGACTGTGACGTAATTTTTTTCAAATTGCAGAGAGAAACTGCTGTTTTTCTGTTGAGATTGACGCTGAAATGACCCCCAAATTGTAGGCGTCAAAAATTTTCCATCAAACGGTCGTGGCCGTAAACAACGTGTTTTCTAGGCCATCTGCGCAAATTTCTTTTCGAATTGCGTCTTTCAAATCAAGACTCTCTAAATTGTAAGCTTTTGATTAATTTTCACTTTTTTCTCGCAAACTTTCAAAGTGTTTATTGAATTTATCGTCTTTTGCTCAGAATGGAGGAGGAAAGAGCGCCCGAACCAGTGTTCAAAGAGCCGGTTCTTAAAAAGAAGCGAGTCGAGCAGCCCGTAGAAGAAGAGGAGAAAATAGAAGAGAAAAAGGCAGAACTGAAGCATGAAACCGAGTTTCTCCGCTCGATTCCGTCCTCTTCGCAATACGAGAAATCGTTCATGCACCGGGACACCATTTCCCACGTCATCGCCACCAGAACCGACTTCATCGTGACCGCCAGCGTGGACGGACATCTCAAATTCTGGAAGAAGAAGCACTCGGAAGGCGTCGAGTTTGTCAAACATTTCCGATGCCATCTCAGCGAGTTCGCTCACGTTTGCGCCAATATTGACGGCACTTTTCTGGCCACAGTCTGCGAGGCCGACAAATCGGTCAAAGTGTTTGATATTGAGAATTTTGACATGATCAACATGATTAAATTGGACTTCCCGCCGAAGACCGCCCATTGGGTGCATCAGAGCAACGATCCGACCGCTCATTTGGCGATTGCCGCCGCTGATTCGGGCAAGGTATTCATTTTCCTTTTGCAAAACAAAATTAAAATTCTGAAATTTTGAAGGTGATCGTGGTGGACGGAAAAGCGTCAGCGACGCCAGTACACGTCAAGGATAAGCTTCATTCGTCGCCGGTCAAAATCATCCAGTACAGTCCGACTCTCGACCTGATCGTATCGATCGACGAGTCCGGAGTGATCGAATGTTGGCGTGGAGAGAGAGGCGATTTCCAGTTTCCGGAGAACAAACTCGCGTGGAATTTCAAGCTAGAAACTGATCTCTACGACTTTATGAAGGCGAAAACCGTGCCGGTTTGCGCCGTTTTCGATCCGGCCGGCCTGCGGCTGGCCACGTACGCGGAAGACCGGCGGATACGTGTCTTCGACATTGTGCACGGAAAAATTGTGCACCAAATCGACGAGACCGTCCAAAAGTATCATTCGGAGGCGAAGGAAAACAAGAATTACGGTCTACAGCACATGGAATGGAGCCGACGCCTGGCCGCCGAGAAGGAGATCGACAAGGATCGCAAGAGCTCGCTGAAGTACGTGCAAATCTGCTGGGACGCGTCCGGAAACTTCCTTCTCTACCCGACGCCGATCGGAATCAAGGTGTACAATCTGGTGACGCAGGAGGTTGCGAGGACTGTCGGAAGGGATGAAACCATCCGATTCGTGGCCGTTTCCCTCTGTAACGCCCTTCCGGACATTCGACAGAGACTCCAGGGCGCTGCGATCACTCTGGAGACCGCCGCCGCCGACAATCCGACGCTCAACCGAAAGACGGACCCGGATCCGCTGATGATCTGCTCTGCACTTCGCAAGAATCGTTTCTACATGTTTACGAACACTGAACCGTTCAACACGGAAGATGAGGAAGGAAATCAGTCGGTTTCCGGCAGAGATGTCTTCAATGAGCGACCGAAGAAGGAGGACTTGCTCACCGCGTTGGATGTAAGCCGGTTTTCGACCTAAACATTGAAATGTTCATAATTTGCAGACGGAAGGCGGCGACAAGGTGCTCAACAAAGAGGCGGTCATTCACACGTCGTTCGGCGACATCACAATCCGTCTGTTCGGCGACGAATGCCCGAAGACCGTCGAGAACTTCTGCACGCACTCGCGTCGTGGCTTCTACAACGGACTCACTTTCCACCGTGTCATCAAGTCGTTCATGATTCAGACGGGAGATCCGACCGGAAAGGGAACCGGTGGAGAGTCCATCTGGGGAGAGGACTTTGAGGACGAGTTTCATCCACGTTTGCGACACGACAAACCGTTCAAAGTGTCGATGGCGAACGCGGGCGGGGGCAATACCAACGGATCGCAGTTCTTCATCACTGTATGCCCGGCCGATTGGTTGGACGGAAAGAACACGTTGTTTGGAGAGGTTAGAACATCTAAATTTTAGGAATTGTTTCAAAAATTCAACTTTTCAGGTAACATCAGGAATGAGTGTGGTACAACGCATCAACCAGGTGTCCACTTTCGAGAGAAGTGGTCGTCCGCGGGAAACTATCCAAATCATGTCGATCAGTTTGAAATAATCTACTTTCCCTTGATCTCCTCTATTCTATTTAATAATCATTTATTTATCCATCAAAAATCGACTACAACTGATACGGCACCGCATAATTGTGTCGGTTGGGCGTGGCGTAGACGAGCATCGTCCGTCCGTCGCGCTCCATTTTACACACAAAATCCGAGTAGAAATGGATTTTCGACGCGAAATCTCCAACGCTGGTGAGCGCTTCGAACTCGGTGCCGAACGTTCTTTGACTGTTTGCCTGGAGCATCGTACTCACTTTTTGCAGGTTACACGCCTTGGCTCCTTTGAATTTGGCCACAGTGTCGTGCATCACTTTTTCCAGTTTCTGGTTACAGCACATGAAACCTAAACTGGTTCCTTGCAAATGTTCAATCTTGTTTTGTGACCTACCACTGCTCTCTGTGTAGCACTGTTTCAGCGGGTACTTCGGGTCAGATCGTCGGGTTTTGTGCTGAGTGTCCGGAGAAACGATCGCCTCGTCGACGTACGAACTTCTTTTTCGTTTCACCTCGAACAATTTCGAGAAGTTTATCTCAAATTTACTTAAATGTTTAAGTTTCATCGCAATTTTACCTGCTCCTCCTCCAAATTCCGTTGCGGCAGCACGAACGGCTCGCGAATATAAACGGGTTTTCCGAAAATGTACACTTTTGTGATTGGCGTGTTGTTGGGCGCCGCACTGAAAATCTGCAACGAGAGGGAAGTGCGCTCTAGCAAAATTAACCAATATCGCCTAAAATTACCTCTTCGGTTTCATTGAATCCATTAGGAGCCGCGTGAGATAGTGACGTGACAAAAAGTAGAAAAACGAGGAGAATCATCAGAAATTGTTTCTTTTTCTTCTTCTTCTTCGATGGAACAATAAAGACGGTCTTATAGACACAGCGGGGGCGGATTATCCGTCCATTATTCCGAAGTCGTCTGGTAAGAAAACTCGCTTTTTTCTTATTTTTCTATTCAAAATGGGCGGTGTTTATGTGGATGGCAGGAGATCAGTGATTTATTCGTCACAATGAGAGATCGGTTATATTGCAAAAAAAAAAACATGATATTATCCATTCGCAGAAATCGATTGGATTGCGGATAAATACAAATACAATGAGCAATTATTTTTCCGAAAATCAAACCAACAAAGATATGGGGGGTCTCGGTTCAATTCCTCTTGCGCGGAATGGTCCGCGTGCTCTGCGCCCGGGCGGTTCCGTTGCCGGCGTGGCTGCTCTTTTCGGTCAGATTGGCGCCGAACTTCCTCGGCTGCGGCTTCCCTTCCACCTTCTTAATCTTGGCTCGCTCCACCTTCGCCTCCTCTTTTTTCTCCGCCCGCACCCGCTTCTTCTCCTCCAATTCCATCGCTCGAATCTCTTTCCGGATGAATCGACGCTTTCGTTTCCCTTTGAACTGCGCCTTTTTCTCCTTTTCCTCTCGGTTTTCTGTTTTTGTCGGCGCGTCCGTGTTGTGCTGTTTCGGCGGGCGGAGCATTTGATAACAGATTATGAATACTGTCTGAAATTATGAAATTTTGAAATTTCGAACTTAACAGCAGAAAGTACGCTTTAATTTCAAAAAGTACTCACCGCTGCGCTTACTCCGAATATCACAAAAAGAGTCTGCGGAGAGATCGCATCGAACGGGTAGATATTATGCTGGTTCATATCACCTGAAATTGATTTCTCGGTTGTGAAAGTAAAGTTTCCTAAGCGAAAACGGTGTAGAAGAAGCTAAAAAAAGCGTAGCCTAAGAACATTTTTGCGTCAACGAGCTTTGCGCTCTGCGCTGCTCAAAGCACCTGCTTTTCGGAGGGGCTCTCGCTAATACCTAATCCCCCGAGGCACTGTCGTCATCATCATTAGCAAACGAAAAATATCATCGTGATTCTTTATTCTTGTAAATGATAACAAAACTAGAGAAAAAGAGAGAAAACGGCGGATTTTTGGTAGTCATGGAGGTCTCGTGAGAGCATAGAGCCGCCGCGCACGGCCATCTGTCACTCCCTTCGCGGCCCCATTTCTATCCTTTTTCGCCTCTTTTCTCTGTTCTCTTTCCTCTCTCCCTCCCCTTCTTTCACTTTCTCCGTCTTTTACGGCAAAGAGGACACATTTGGATGGATGTATATTGTGCTGTTCTCGCTCGTCGCGCTCCGACGAGGGAAGAGCAAAAAGCAAGGGGGGTAATTATGTGCACGGGTTGTGTGTTCATAGACATTTATTGAATGTATACATATATGGATGAAGAATTTAATTAAATCGAGATCAAGAGAGTGGGAAATGACATTTCAGAATCAAAAAATGGTTAGCCGAAGGATAGAAGAGCTCTTGATCGTCGGAGTTTTCGCAAACATTAACAAGGGCGTCTGAAGCCTTTTCTTCGACAACAACCTGTTGCGGCGAATGGCCAATGATCGGAACTGCAAAAAAATTGAGGTGTTATTTTAAAGATTTTCAGAGAAGTGTTCTAATTACACGGTCTCCAGAGCTGACAATGGGCGCAAGTGCGCCCCACCCAATAGAGCGATACATTGGCGCGAAATTCAAATTTTAACAGCAAATTTTGTGTTTTTTGCCAGATTAGCCACGAAAAACCGATAATTTCTCATTTTTCTCTCGATAGACCGATTGTATAGGCTATTACAAATTTTTTAAGCGCAAGAGCGTTAAATTTGGTCAAGTCGCAAATCACATTTATCCGTTTGAAGGTTTTTGGCTAAAACTGCGTGAATTTCAGTTGCTTTTCGGTAGTTTTCGCGGTTCGAGCGTTCAAAATGCTCGTATTTACGTGATTTATCATTCTCAATACCAATTATGTCTGAAAACGGTCAAGAAAGCGCAAAATGAGAAGTGCGGTTTTTGAGAATTAGTGTGTTTTCATGTCGAACAATCATTTTTCATCGCCTTTGACCACACAAATCAGAGAAAACCTGCTCAATTCATGAAAACGCCATTTGGCCGAGGCCACGCCCATATTGTCAGCTCTGGAGACCGTGTAATTGTCTTCTTAAATTCGAGTAATTCTGCTTACCTTCACAACATTCGAAGCATGTGCAGGCCGCCGCCTCCTCTTCCTCACCGTCGAGCAGCTCTTCAATCAGATCCTTCGCCTCTTCCAACGAATCCTCGTCTCCCTCCACCGCCGGAAATACGGTAATCCCGGCCAGCCGCTTCTGTCCGTCCGTGTTCAGGTAGCACGCTTCCACGCGGCTCCAAAGCATCTTGAAGGTGAAAAAAGAACCTTCTGGATTCCGGGTTTTTAAAACGAAGCAGCCAGGAGTCGCCACGTGGAAGTCTCGCATAGCGAAGAAGACTGCCACAGCGGAGACGGGGACAATCAAAGCGGACATTGTCAATTTCTGAACGACCGTCTCGATGTAGCTGATGTCCTCAATCTTAGGTTTCGCTTCGGTGGAGCACGTGAATCCAGCTTTTTTCGATTCTCGGTTGAACTGTAAACTGTCCGGGGGATACGGTAGAGACTTCGCTTCCTTCTTCTCATGATTCTGTGCAAACTTCGCTTTTTCTTCTTTTACTTCTTTTTCTTCTTCTTCTTCATCTTCATCTTTTTTTTGGCGCATCTCAGATTCCTTAATTTTCTCTCTCACTAGCTCCAAAGATGTCGTGAAGTCTGATAGAGTTCTACAGACATGATAAATCTCCAGAACCAGAATCTAAAAACGTTGAATGAATACAAGAGATTTCATTTGAAAAAAAAAACTTACCCCGACGCCGGACAGGACTAGTATTATAATTAGTGCAATAAGAAATGCGATCATCTTTAAATGAGGACCGTACACTCACTAGATGAGGGAATGAAAACTGCTCAGCGAACCCCCTTTTTATATCCGACACTGTCTTCACGTCGGCAGTCGATCGCATAGCGCATCGCATCGCATCGATCGCAAGAAAAAGGGTGACTGGTGGTTATTGTCCCAAATGTGGTGATGGCTGATGGGTAGACTCTTTGCGGATGACTATCTTTGCCTTTTTGTCACTATACTGTCAGTGTGATTGTCAAATGTCTGCTCAAATCGAATATTTTTAAGCGATTCCATCACTTCGAAGACGTTGACCCAAAACGTCTGGACAAATATAGCAGTACAAAGACTCAAAGACAAAGACTGTCTAGATAATGTTTTTCTGCGAGGAAATCAACTGCCACGAATACGGCATGGGATCAGGAGTGAATCTGTTATTCAGGTTAAACTTCGTCAAGCAGTTGACAACTTCACGGTGAATTCTCCTTGTTGAGCTCATGCGGATCGATCGAAGAGTGCAATTTCAGAACCGGTGATGCCGTGCTAAATTGTCAAGAGAGAAAGTTGGCTTCGCGTCATAAGAGGAATCATTTCCGACTTTGTTTGTCTTCTCTAAAAATTCTAACCCTGCGAAGCGAGACGGAAAGAGAAATTATCAGGAACCGTTAGGCGACGAATAATTTGAGAACTGCTTTTAAAGTAACAAATGATTTATTCAACAAGCAACATTTATTCCTCACTATCGACGTTGACGTTGGTGAGAGTGTGGAAGTTGGTGCATGGAACATAGGTGCAGAGGGTGTACAGCTTGTGAGCGGAGTCCTCATCCTCGTTACGACGGCGGGAGAGACGGACACGAACTCTGTATGGGACGTTCCTGGAAAAATGATTATTTATAAAGTGGAATCAAAATGAAAAATTAAACTCACTTGATTCCCTTGGACCAGATGAACTTGTTCAGCTTGGTGTCGACTCTGACATCCTCAGTCTTCATCTGGATCTTGGCGAACTTCTTGATCTCGTCAATGGCGCGTGGGGCACGCTTCTTGGCTCCACTGAAAAATATTTTAATCAATTTCAACCCTATGACAATGACAATGAATGTACCTCTAGTGAGATTTGACCAAAACACAGAAATTGGAGGATGCCCCTTGTGTCTCCACACAATTCTCGAGTGAGAAATGTGTGGCGTCTCAGGAGAGAGCCACTCACCCAAGACGAGGCCGAAAGCTCCGTTAGTCCAGCCACTACGGTCCGGGCTAGAACCTGCTCATAGAAGAGCTGCAGCGACTGGCGTGGGCCAACACACCGCTTCCAGGTGGAGCACGTGTTAGCATTGAAAGAAAGATAGAAAAAAAACTTACATGCCCTTGATGCGACGGTGGATATGGATGGTGTACTCACGGGTGACAACCTCGTTGATGGTGCTGCGCGACTTCTTCTCGGTCTTTGGAGCCATTTTACCTGTAAGAATATATAATTAGCACGATGAAAACGTTTATGGAGGAAAGAAAGTTCGGCCACGAGGTAAAAATTTAGAACAAAAATGAATACACAGAGATTTCCCTGAACTTTCAAGACAGATAATATTATTCCAGTTTAAAAAGAATTCTCTATTGAAAATCTAATTTTTCGGTCGAATTTTGAAGGCAGTCTAAAAATTGTACAAATCCTAGGGAAAAGCGAGTGAAAAATTTAGGACAGAAAAATAAAATCCACTGCAAATTTGGTCGCGGCGAGACCCGAAGCCTCAAAAAGTGTTTGCGCCTTTGAGTTCGGCGGAGCGCACTTACATATCAGCACCCAATTTCGGTTTTTCGGGGTGAATCACAATGGAATTTCGGCGATTTGTTGGGCAAGCGAAGACCAAATCCGCTAGTTTGCAGATGCGCAATTGAAACTGCCACAACTTTGTCATTTACTTCTAAAAACAGTCAAATTTAAACGAAAAGTGAGTAAAGCGGGATTTGAAAAATCAAGAAGGTTATTTGAAAAATGTGTTAAATACAGATGCTAATATACACAACACCCGAAGTTTTAATACTAGAAGAACAAGGAGAACGGCTGCATTTTAGTCGAAAAGACGGATCTGTGTACAAACCGGAAGAATCGTTAGCAGGTGAAAACATGAATGAATTCTGAAAGACCAACATTTTTTCCAGTTCTGAATGAAGAAGTTGCGGAGGCTGGCGAAGTAGAATTCCTTGTTGGAGCTTTTCAAATCGAAGAAAACACTTTTTTGTTCTTTGTCACTGATAGTTCGGTCGCCGCGCATTATAGAGGAACGTCTGGGAGTGTGAGCCTAAAACAATCATTTTTGAGTATAAGAATAACAAAAAAAAGTTTCAGACAAGTCATGCAATTCGAAAAATCGAACGAGTCATCGCCGTCAATGTGAAATCCGATTTGGGAACGATCAGATCACAAATACAGCCGCCGAGTACAAAATTGAAGCAGGGGACTGAGAAATTGATGAAATTTTTCACTGATAAAATTAGCAAAGGTACCAAGATTCCGTTTTTTTGTTTGTTTTTCTCAACAAGAATCTTCAGATTCCCGTCCGGCGCTTCTGGAAGACGTTCTGAAATTGTTCAATGATTCGAAAGATTTCTATTTCTGTCGGGACCGAAATGTGACCATTTCCTCGCAGAAATTCTTCTCAAAACAGTCCAACACGTCGGAAGACTCATTTTTCTGGAATAAAAAGATGTTGGTGGCACTCAATTACAAGGGAGACGTCGAAAAATTCACCTGTGCCGTCATGCAGGGATTTGTGGCGACGAGCCAGTTGGAAATCACTGACCAGGTTATTTTTCTGAGTTTCTGACTATAAAACAACTATTTTCCCAGATAAACGCATTCCTGACGATCACAATAATCTCTCGACGATCCACGAATCGAGCGGGCGCCCGGTACCTCCGACGCGGCATTGACGAGCTCTCAAACGTGGCGAACTTTGTGGAAACCGAACTGATTCTCAACATTTTCGAGCACGAGCTCAGTTTTGTGCAATGCCGCGGCTCGATTCCAGTGTTTTGGTCGCAACGCGGCTACAAATACCGACCGCCGCTGCTCATCAATCGATCGATCGACGAGACGCATCCGGTGTTCGAGGAGCACATTCGACGGCTCAAAGCGCACTACGACACTCCGTTGGTGGCTGTCAGTCTAGTGGATCAGCGGGGAAGAGAACTTCCGTTGGCTCAGCGCTTTTTGGAGCATTGTATCAAGGCGAACGACCCGGATTTCACATTCATCTCGTTTGATCTGCATCATCATTGCCGAGGACTAAACTTTCAGAAAGTAGGACAATTTTTTAAAGGATTTGAAAAAATGTCATTTTTCAGTTGCAAACCCTGATAACCGGAATGGAGAGCACGCTCAAATCGATCGGTTTCTGTTGGGTCGACAAGACGGGCGAAGTGGTGCAACGGCAGAAAGGAGTCATCCGAACGAACTGCATCGATTGTCTGGACCGCACGAATCTCGTACAGGGCCAGATTTCGCTGCACGTCGTTCTGCAACAAGCGCAGCGGCTTGGGATCTTCGGGCCGCTTTGCGAACCGCCCGAGGCGCTCGTCCAGACACTGCAGACGATGTGGGCGGACAACGGCGACGTCATTTCGACGCAGTACGCGGGAACGGCGGCGCTGAAAGGCGACGTGACACGGAACGGAGAGCGCAAACTGGCGGGAATCATGAAGGACGGCTACAACAGTGCGTCGAGATATTACCTGACGCACACGAAAGATGCTCAGAGACAGAAAGCGATCAATCTGGTAACCGGACAGGTGGAAGCGGAGCCAGGGCAGATGGAGGATGAGAATGAGAAGGAAGAAGAGGAGAATATCAGTCGGATGGTCACCGAAACCGTTCAGTTCCTGGTGCCCACTCAACAGACCGTCATCGGCGGATGGGGACTCATTAATGCGTGTCAGAATAGTGATGAGATTGATACTGTCGTAATTTTAACAAGGTACCATTCGCAGAACTGTCCTATTTTACCCTGATCGATTTCAGAAATAACCTGTACATTGTGACGTATGAAATAGACGGAGAAAAGATGAACGACGTGCAAATTGTCGCCCTGGAGGACATCATCTCGATTCAAGTCGGCTCCGTCGGCAACAATCGGCAGTGTGCCCGAATTGAAACGCTCGAAGGGCTCTTCATTTGGAGGCCGTCCACAGTTCGCCTGTTCAACAACGCAGCGCTGAGATTGAAATCTCTGGAAGAAGCTAACGAGTATATTGCATCGGTGGCCGAACAGATTCAGGTCGGAAGGAATATGCTCCTGGATGTCGAGGGATCCGTTGCTCAGGTGGCTAGGATCCAGATTCCACAAATTGGAGTTCATCGAAAGAGCCTGGCAGCGATGGGAGCCCTTCTCGGAAAAATCAAAAAGGTGAAAAAGACGGCTGCGAGTTTGCCAAAAAGTGCATCTTCTTCATCAGCTGCTAGTGCTCCGCCGCCTGAAACTGATGGAAATGAGTCGGACGCGTCCGAGAAGAGCGATCACCTGATGACCAAGATTCTGAAAATGCCACCATTCAAAAAGAACGATGAGCCACAACCGGAGCCCTTTGCACCCTTTGTATCTAGTATCGCCGAGTGTCAAACAAAAATTTCACTTTTATAAACCTAATCTGCCTGTGAGTAAAATAAAACGATGAATGCTTTAATTTAACGTTCACATTCAATCTATTTATTTAAGGCAGCCCATCTCTCAAGAAGCCAAACCACTTTGGGATAAGAAAGTCGCGAGATAAAATAAAAGACGAAAGAAGTGGTCAGTGAGTTCGACCGCTAAGAGAGATTCACAGCTCGTTTCTTGTCTACGAATAGGAAAATGTGGTGGGGTGTTGGAGGAGGGGTGGGATGGTGCTTGAATGTTGGACGAGTTTTCGAGGACGCCGAGCGAAACAACCAAAGAATGAAGACGGTATACAAACGAGCAGCTACTACGATGTCTTTATTCAGCGATTTACTTCCACTTCTGCTTCTCGTAGTCGTAGTGCGTTGGGGCTCCGAGGAAGTTGCCCTTCTCGAGAACGAGAGCTCTCTCGACTTGAGCCTCCTTGTATTCGTTTTGGAAGGTTGGTGGCAGTTCTGGGTAGACTGAAAAAGAAAAATTTGTTTAAAAAAATGTTCACGAAACAAGTGTAAGTCTTACCGTAAACATTCAGAAGAATAGCGTAATAGGTGGCCAGTCCCAGAACACTGAGGACGACGGCGGTGATCACCTTCCAGTATCCGGTCGGAGCCTCGAACTCGGAGAGGGTCTGACGGAAGCTGTAGCGGTACACTGAAATTTTTTTTTACACACACAGTGTTATAATGTACTTACAAAGCTTCTTTTCCTCAGCGGACAAGTTCTTCCAGTCAGCCTGCTCCTTGGTGCGGATCGGGGCGATCACGTTGTCCTCCTTGCGGAATCTGATGGCTGGATACCAGTAATCAAGGCGATCCTGATAGATCTGAAATCGGAAAAATTGTTTTTAACAAAAACATTTTTGAATAGTTTACGTTGTCTCCATTGCATCCGTATCCTACGAGCTCGCGTCCGGCGGCCTTCTCTGGTCCCCAATAGAATTCCTGGCCCCCAGAGAGGCGAGAAGTGGTGTGGACGGCACGGAGCGCCAGTCTTGGCAACATCATTTGACGGGCCAGCATACCTGAAAACATGGGCTTATATCAGATTTTAGTGTCGAAAAACGGATAATGACATGTCACATGTGAAACTGGCAACAGTGACGCGAAAAACAGAAATTTGAACGCGGTTTTCTGAAATTTCAACAACTCTGGCAATTCGATATTAATCTAATTAGAAAGATACTGATCTAAATGCGACCTAATTAGATTCGACTGTTTTTTCTTGGCGCAATCGAGATTTGAGCGAGCAGACGGTTGGCGTGAAACTTGATTTGAGCACTTATTAATCTAGCTAGAAGACAATTTATTAATCTAATTAGGTGTCATATCAATCTTATTGGCCGCCGTTAGATTAATGACGAAATGCCAGAGAAGGAAACAAAATTATCAGCTCAAAAGCTCAAAGTATCATTAAATCCAGTTTTCGGCGATATTTGACAAGGCAAATTGAACTTCAGCACATCAATCAAAAGGTATTGACGCAGCGAATACAATTTTGAGTATAAACATTTGAAAAATCGATAAATTCGCAGAGTTTTCAGTAAGGAAGTTGTTCTCCGAAGCGGGCTGTCCGCCGCGTAAACCTTGTTGACTGAGTATCCAACATTTAGCGTGGGATGAGATACGCAACTAATTTCACGCTAGAGCGCTTTTGCATACTTTGCCAGCTTTGCTGATTTTTTCGAAAAAAAAATCAGCATAAAATGCTTGGAAAAGACGTCGTAGCACGAGCTCCTGGAGGCCCACGAAAGCGCGAATTAATTCATGAACAATCGCCTCAGCCATCAAAAAGAAATTGCGTGGAAGCCTCGGTTACTGCGACGACAGCAGGTCGAGGGAATCTGGATCGAAAATTTAAATTCAAAAAGCGAAAATTGCAAGAAGTGCTCGACGAGCTTGTTATTCGCGTAGAGAACAATGATCGACAATTGTAGGCATACTTTAGAAGAAAAAATGCTGAAAAAATGCTGAAAATGTTTCAGAACAAACAATTTGATCCGGGAGCTAGATTACGAACATGTGCGCGTGGTTCCCGAGGCGGATTTCGACGAGAGCTGCACGATTATGATGAAAGCATGTATAGCAGCAAAAGTAACAAAAATAAATTTTCAGAGAGTAAAAAGAATACATTTTTAGGTGGAAACAGTGGCGAATAAGACGCTGAAATGTCTGATGGGATTGTTTGTACGTGGCTCCGTCCAGAATCGACGGAATTTTGTGTTGAAAATGGCAGAAGAGTCGATGTGCGAGGCGCTTTTCTCTAAAATGCATCTGGACAGCGGAGTTTTGCTCATTTACACAATGGTCTTGAACAGTCGGCAAGTTTGTGCAGAGGATATTCCGCAAAAGTGAGTAACCATTATTTTAATTTTCTAAATTTAAATTTCAGAGTAAAAATGACGGCACGACGGAGTCTGGGACATTCTGCGATTTCCTCTACCTCCAACCGAACGGCCGCCATTGACTTTATGGTTGCACTGGCCGTTTCCGATACTTCAGATGAGAAAAAGCGGAAAGATTGCGAGAAAATTCTGTGCCGACAAGCCCATGATCGAGATTATCGTGTCAGAAAATCCGCTTCTGAAGTTTGTTGCAGGCCACGTCGCAAAAACTTCATCGTTTTCAGGGTCTTCTACGTCTGGGTCTCGCAGGGACAATGCTCGCTAAATCCACGTATACAGCGTCGAAAAAGTTCATGAACGACTGTGATTCGGACGTCCGGATCACCGCCATCCGTCTGTTGATCTATTACGCGAATCGGAAAGCCAAAGAAACCGTGGGCGGGAAGGGAACGAAACCGATGAGCGACGACGCGTTCTCGGCCATTTGTGACGCGATGAACGACATCGAAATCGCGGTGAGAGCAGAAGCGGCGAAGACGCTTGGAGACTTTGAAACGGTCTCCGAAGACCTCATCTTCCAAACGCTCGACAAGAAAATGATGCGATCGAATGCGAACGCGCAGGTCGTCAAAGTGGAGCAGTCTCTGTTCGCGCTCTCCAAAAAAGCGTCGGCTCACAATGATCGGAGATGGAAGTTTGCAAAAAGGGCGTACAAACCGGAAGAATCGAAGAGTGGTGGTTGGTCCCGGGGAAAAGAACTGCATTCGGCGGCACCGGATGTTCCGAAAGAGCCGGAGAAACCGGAGGAGGAAGAGGAAAGTATAATTCCGCACGGAGCATGCGGTGCTTTCGTTTCCGCGTTGGAAGATGAGTTTATGGGTGAGAAAATATTTAAGTTTATTTACAAAACGTTTTTCCTTCAGAAGTGCGAAAAGCGGCCGTCTACTCGCTGGGCCGTCTGGCGTGTACCCGTCCGACGTTCGCAGTTTCCGCTCTCGAATATCTGGCCGACATGTTCAACGACGAAATTGCGGCGGTTCGGCTGGACGCCATCAATGCGCTGACGCCTTTGATTGCCCACGGACAACTGAACAGCGAGCAGTTGAATGTGATCCTCAAGTGTCTAGATGTGAGCAATCTCTTCGCCGCAAATGAAACATAATTTCTTGCAGGACGCAATGCCAGAATCCCGTCAAGCGATGCGAGAACTTCTAAAGCGTGCCCAGTTCGTCGACGTTTCGTGCATTGAGCTGTGCGTAAGAGCTCTGCTGGCTTGTCTGAAACGGTTCCCAAAAGACAAAGAGCAAGTGTACTCGTGCATGGCGGAAATCGGCCGGAATCACGCGATTCAAGTGCAATCCATCATGCGAAGTCTACTCGACATCCATTTGGTCTTCCACACCCGCGAGCCTTCGATTGAGGATCAGGAGTACGTCGGCAAGCTGATAATGGTGTTGAATGCGGCGGCGGTGCAGCCGTCGATGACCTACGTCTTACCGGAATTCGTTCATCGCCACTATCGATACCTGCGCGCCTCGTTTCCGAAGCTGGTCCGCGCAATTCAGGTCATCGATGAGCAGCAGCAAAGCGGAAAAGTGCAGAGGAACGAGGAGCGGACGAACGAGAAAGCCGAAGAAATAGTGCTCAAAACGTACACGCGGCTCTGCGAATCCTCGGCGCCCACGCTTTTCTCCGACAGAAACCTGAAAAGAAACGATATTTTTCATGACACCCAGGCGATTTCGGCGTATAACGAAAGTGTTTCGGGAGCCGCCCGTCTCATTTTTTGCCTAGGAGAGATCGAATCGTGCATCGACAACGCCACACATTCGGTGTTGCGATGTGGAGAAGTGATCAATCTGAAGCAGCTGATCGTCCAAAACAACGAGGATATGCAGTCGATCGAACATCAGTTCTCCGGAATTTCCGATGCGATTCACTCGTACCTCATCCACTGCCGCATGTATCTCTCGTTTTTGGAAATGCTCATGTGGCTGATGCAAGTGCTCGCGCCGCAGGAAGAGATTATTGCCACGGCGGAGAAGATTATGAACAGTGCAAGATTGTTCGTTTATTTTTTATTCTGAAAAATGTCACCGCAATTTCAGATTACTGCCCAATGATCGAGAAGTGTCTCCTTCGCTATCCGACTTTTTTGCCGCGTGCCAATCCATCTTCTATCCGCTTCAAATCGTCGAAAATGCCGAAGACAAACGGAAAATCATAACTCCGGGCTCTCTGGCGGAGATGCTCAACAAGTCGGCGCCTGTTCTACCACAAAAACTGCCACCGGTCACCTCGCTTCGGCTCAAATACGCCAAAATCACGTATCCGCACAAGGACACTGCGGTGGAGCAGACGCTCCGATTCTTTGCCACACTGCCGCACGGAATCGCAGTGGAGTTCAATCTGTACAATATGAGCGTCGAGGATGCGGGGGCGGTACGCATTAAAACTGTGATGCCGGACGGAAAGTTTGATTTGATGCGGCCGAGAAAAGAGGAGATTCGCAAGGAAGACGATTATTTAACCGTTTCGACTCAGGTAGTCACTTTTTTTTGCCAAAATTCTTTTAGAAACTTCAATATTTTAGTCCAAAATCACCTGCTTCTCCTCGTGGGCAGACGCCGCCGAAGTGGACATTTTTATCGGAATCCTCACCGAGTCCGGCCTTTTCGTTCCCTTGTTCGCCTCTCCACTGTGCTACACACCTTCACACATACGTGTCCGAATCCATCCGCATTCCCGTTAATCTTGTGCATATTTTTGACATTAGTAAAATCGAGGTTTGATAAAATTACACGTATTCAATGAGATTATGCGAGGAAAGTGAATAGGAAAATTAGAGAAGTTGGTTTCAAAGAAGACGAATCAGAGCGGAGTTGATTCGTGTTTGTTGCGAAGGAGAATGCTCATTTGCTTGCACGCGGAAAGGGTGGCGCGAGCAGAAGCCACTTCGATGGGCTGAACACCGTCCAGTTGAGCATGACACGTTCTGTTCTGAAAAATAGAAAATTTGGACAATTGTCCATACTTTTTTCTCAATACCTGTGAAAGGAAAGCGATGGCAGAGGTTCGCATTTTGGCGTCTCTCCGATCGTAAATGTCCTGAACGAGAGATTTGGCGGCTTCCACCTCGAAAATGTCGTCTTTGGCCTCCCGTACGAGCATGTGCGTGATTTCAAAGAAGAAACTGGGCAGCGGCGAGAGTCCCTGGCTCTCCGTCTCGGCCGCCAATATCTTTTTGAGCTCTTCCACTTCGAGCCACACGGGCGTCACAATCCGGCACTGATGCTTCCGTTTCATCTGAACGGCCACCCACACGGGCACCGGCGTTGGCACTCCCGCCTCGAACGGACCCAGTTCCGCGCTGATCAGAAGGAATTTCGCTGGGTCCGAGAACGCCGGAATCACGTCGATCATCTCGTTGCCGGCCACGAATTCACACTTTTCCGCGTCCATTTCTGAAGATTGTCGCATTTTTTTCCAGAAAATCAAACAGAAATAACCCAATAAAGTGTACTGTCGAGAACAGGGAAAAATATACTAAAACTTTTAAAAAATATATTTTATTGTCGCCATTTTTGTTCTTATCACTGCTAACTATTATCCTAAAGCGAAAGGGATTTTGTAGGGACAAAAATAACAGGGAGAAACGGACTAGACAGAACGGATGGTTGGGCCAGTTTCGGAGGCAAGCTAAATGTAATTGATTCGTGCCGTGTCGTTTTTTGTACGTGATTCTCAATCAGTCGGTCGCAATCTCCTCCTCCACTGTCACTTGAATGAGTCCGGTGTGAATTGCGAACACAATAGAAAGAGTTAGAGCGCCCAAAGTAAAAAGAATGGCGTCGCGCATGGGCGGCTCGTCGGGAATCGCTTCCGCAGACTCTTCCGCCGTCTTAGCCATCTCCTTGTCGGCTTTCGCCTTCGCAACTCTCGATTGCCACATCTTTCGATTTCCCTGTTGCCGCTTCAGCTCTTCTTCACTCAAAGGCAGATAAATCGACGAGACGGTCTCCACGAAACGGACGAGATTCGGACAAGCAGACAGCTGCACTTGAAGACGATCATTCGGGAGCGGGACACGGAGCAACGGCGCCAGGTATCCGAAGACGAGGGCGTCCAGTGAGGTCGGCTTGCTGCCGCAGAAGAATTTGTTGTCGCCGAGCTTGGTGGAGAGTGTGTTGAGCGCTAGGAACGCGTCCTTCAGAATCAGCGTGTCGTTCTTGGCGCCCAGCATTCGCAACGCTTTCTTCTTTCTTTTCTCCAGGTAATAGAGATTGTAGGGGAAGTGCAAGTGCGACGCGTACCAGTATTGTGTCACGGTGTTGTAGTTCAGGTCGTCCGCCCAGAATGTGTGAAGCTGAAAAATGTTGATTTTTATGAAAATGATTTTTTATTCGTGAAAACTCACTACTGCCGGGTACAAATTGTGATGAAGATAACAGGAAAACGCGTCCAGTTGAGCTCTTTCGATCGTCGTCAAATCCGCGTCAATAACCACGTCTTGTCCGCACTTTTTCAGAATATCTACGAATTTCTCAAAGTCCGTCACCGCTTTTCCTTCCTGCTGCGAGACCATCGGCAGTTCTCCGTTCGGAGATCGCCACGGACTCGCCGATTGCACCACTTTCACCGGCGAAGCGCACATTTTTGAGCAAGCCTGAAATTTTCAAATTTTAACAACAAATTTTTGCTTAATTATCGAATCAATTTTAGAGGTAAAATGTTTTTCAAATTTTTGACGCAATTTTGTACGGATATGAACAGCTTACCAAAAACTGAAGGGAGGATACATCGATAGTGGGCAGACCGAAATCTGAAGGCCAAATGTGGAGTTCCATCTGAAAATCGGCACAAAATGGCAATTTTTGCAGCGAAAAAACAATCAATTCGCGCGCGGTCCTATAGGACTATAGGCCACAGAGAAATCTCGGCCACGGCCATTAGTCCCCCGGCGTGGCAGCTGCTGCTGGGGTCCGTGCTCTTTTTTCTCGCCTTTCGCCGGTCGATAAACATCCTCCGTCGTGTTCCAAATGGCCAGTACAACTGAAGCGCCACCGCCCTATGACATGGAGGATGTCGAGCACAATGTAGGTCTTTCGATACAATCCGAAATATTACTTTTTGGCTGGAGAGTCGAAAAAAAAGTTCCTCACAAAAATACGTTTTCACGCGAAATTTCTGTAAAAAGCACATTTTAGGCGCCAGAAGCATCTCCACAAAACGATTCGAGATATGTCACGTCACGAGCGTCACCCTACAACACAATGCCCATTGAGATGGACTGTCCGCACTGTCAGGTGGGGAATTTTCCTCTTTTTCGTTTGAAGTCTTCCACCGTTGTCAAAAATTGAATAAAAACAAAAATAATGCAACGCACGCACTATTTTAAGCTTTTTTTTCATTTTTTGACAGCCCAATAACCCCTATTGCGGTTTTCGACAAGTTTCACTCAAAAAAAAATTCCAGAATCACATAGTATCGCACATTGAGCGAGTGGCCGGCGTGCTCCCGTGGATTCTGTTCGCCATTCTCGCCTTCCTCGGCCTCTTCCTATTCATCGTTCCCTGGTGCTTCTGCTGCGTTCCGTTCTTTCTGGAGCAGCTGCTCGACGTGAATCACTCGTGTCCGGCTTGCAAGAAATTCCTCGGCCGCTTCAGCCGTGTCTGATCCAACCGTTTTTTTTCAGTTTTCTTGCCCTTTTCCTTTTCCCGTGTATTGCTTTGATTTTGTGTACTTTTCTCCCATTTTTCCAACCTTCTTGTCTCGTAGTCCACTGGCTTTCAAAAATTCTGCAGCATAATACTTACTTACTTTTGAGCGGCTTTAAATAATTTTTTATCATTCTTGTCCTGATTTTAACTTCTTAGCGAGAAACTTGAACAAAAAACGTTTTAGGAAAATTTATTATCGAAAAAGAGTAACAAGAACTGAAAGATTGTCTGATAGCTGACGATAGCCGGTTAGTAGCAATAGTAGCGGAGAGGGGAACTAGGTGGATTTTCCGAGGCGTCTGTAGGTTCCGATCCAGGCGCGGCACGACGGACAATAGTGCTCGGCGTCCTTGAACGTCTCGACGCAGAACGGAACCCAGAGGAAGAAGAGCGGAAGAATGGCGAAACCGAAGATGAGGATGACGAAGAACGAGACGTAGGTGAAGAAGCCGTTCACGAAACGAAGCTCCGTTTCGCCATGATTCTGAAGTTTGTTGTTTTCAAAAATCATAATATAGTTGAAGAAAAAGGGTTACCTTGCATCGTGGACAATCGAGAAGCTGTGGCCGATCGGAAAGGTACTTCTTGGCGTTCACAAGCATCGACGGCGTGTGCGACGCCGATCTGCAAATGCGGGGGCGTTGTATTTAATGATCCATTAATAAGCTCAAAAGCTCAGAAAATAGTGACGCAACTCTGAAGTGCTTTGAAATTTTCGCGAAAACTTGATCGTTCTGCACCGACCGGCGGAACGCTCATTCATTTTGTATTTGAGCGATGCTCATTTGAAGCGACACATCTTTAATTCAATTCAGAACGTCCAGGTAGCCTTCTCTAATTCCCTGATCAATTTTTTGTTTGCATCAACCAGTAGCATCACCGCGACCTTTCGGGGTTGGCTCAATCGGAGCTCAAGTGGCCGAGGGCAGCATTGGGCGAGATGATGGCACAGTGCGTGTCCTTGAGAAAAGACACCTACATGTAGCGGATTGTCTCTTCTCTCTCTCTCTCAAGAGATTTTTCTCGCTCTGTGTTTGCCAACTACCTACGGGTAATTGGTGACTTCTAGAGTGCTAAACACTAATCATTTTTTCAGCACTGCTGTTCGCACAGAACTTTCGCGAACTTCTTTGTCGAAACGTTCACGATAGAAGCAGTATTGACCGGGAAACTGTGCGACGGGAGGGAATTAAAAAAAGAAAGGGGGGAGGGTAAAATCTAATGATAAACACTGCACTTTTTATATATTGACTCAGGGAATTCTCATAGTTCTCTTCTGATTTTTCACAAAACCGTATTTTGAATGAATTAACCTCAATATGACGAGCAAGCTAGATGCCAGGAAATTATTGCGACAACTCTATGCGCCTTTAATACCGTATCACTCGAAAGATGGATATTAAAGAAAAGGCGTTAAACTCGTGATAAGGAAAATGATTTGAAACCAACAACAAATACAAAAAACGATACAAACCTGTGAATAGGAATCGGATGAGATCGGTTGGGTGCCATCTTCTACTACTCGTTCTCTCTTCTCTGAATCTTTGATTGGAGCGGGGAGGAGTCAGCTCGGCTCTTCCCCCACAGAAATGTTTGCACTGTACCGCCCCAGAAAGATGGAGAAGAAGAAGAAGCACTTGAGATTTCCGAGACGCACAATACTACATGACGCACTTACCTCTACGCAGGGAGCTTCTTTTTTTGCTGGGAAAATGTGAGCAAAATGGCCACAGATTTGGTCAGGGCTCTCAGATTTTTCAGGATTTTTGCGTAATACCGACACCGACAAACGACATCAATTTGCAGAATTTTTCAGATTTTTCCGAGTTCTCCATTTTCAGAAACTTGATTTTCGGCTTCTGGTCTCCGAAAGATTTGTGAAGCTGCTCTCGTTGCCATGACAACGTAGCCAACAACCGCATTATGCATATGAAATTATTGAAACTCCGAAACCTTTTACGCCCTCTATTCCTTCAATTTTCGAGAATTCTGGTGAAAATCCAGTTTGCATTTGTGCAATTTCATCTATAAAAATTTTTTCAGTCAATTTGAGACTTGCTTGAACGCATCTTCTGATCATTTTGTTCGTTTTTGATCGTAAAAAGTGCACGAAAAGGTCAATTTGACTGCTGCCCGCGGGTCGATGATGCAAACGCGCTCCATTGCGAATAGGCCTAGAATGTTCAAGAAAAGTCTATCGAATTCTGTCATTTTTTTTTTGCCTTTTTCGTCTCTCTCAGCACAGTGCTCTCTCGCCGAATTTTCCAATAGTTTGTTTTCAAATAAATCCGATTTCGCCATCTATTTCCGCCCTGTAAAATCATCATTTCCCCTTGAAAATCGTTCGAAGGCAATTTTTTGAAAGCAGTTTTTCGCCTTTACAGATCTGGAGTAAAAATGGTGAAGGAAACCGCATACTACGACACGCTGGGCGTCCAGCCGGATGCTTCAGACAGCGAATTGAAGAAGGCATACAGGAAATTGGCGCTCAAGTTCCATCCAGACAAGAATCCGGACGGTGCCGAGCAGTTCAAGAAGATCTCCCAGGTAAATCATCGGAATTCCACGCGAAAATGTTAAAAAAAAGCGAAAGGGCAGCCTAATATAGTGCAAAACGTTTCTTTCAAGTTTTCGAAATTTTTCGTCAATTATTCGTCGAAATGGGAGACCTGGTGCTCTGTTAACCTGTTTCCTAACGTTTTCACAATGTATGTTGATTTTAGGCTTACGAAGTGCTGTCCGATGATAAGAAACGAAAGATCTACGATCAAGGAGGCGAGGAAGCCCTGCAGGGTGGCGGTGGCGAAGGAGGAGGCTTCCACAATCCGTTCGATGTCTTCGACATGTTCTTCGGTGGGGGTGGCGGAAGGCGTGGAGGTGAGCGCCGTGTCAAGGCGACCGTCCATCAGATGCGAATCTCCTTGGAGTCTCTTTACAAGGGAGTTACCAAGAAGATGAAAGTCGGACGCACTGTCACCTGCAAGCACTGCAAAGGACGCGGAGGAGCCGAAGGAGCCGGCAAGGACTGCGGCGACTGCAATGGCCGAGGTATCAAGGTCCGGGTGATTCGTATGGGTCCGATGGTTCAGCAGCTGCAATCCCACTGCGAGACGTGCAGTGGAGAGGGCACTGTGATCCCTGAGAAGGAAAAATGCACGAAATGCAAAGGACAGAAGCAGATGAGAGAGGACGAGATCATCGAGGTCGCCATTCCGCCCGGATCCTCCGACGGTCAGAAATTCGTGTTCGAAGGAAAAGGAGATGAAGTGATTGGAATTGAAAAGCCCGGAGACTTCATCGTCATTCTCGACGAGGCTGAGCATCCGAATTACGTTCGAAAAGGAGACAACCTCATCATCCAGCACAACATTGATGTAAGTAACGTTTCAGAGTTTCAGAGTCAATGTGGTGGCATTTCTTCTAATCCCTCAATTTCCAGCTCTCCGAAGCTCTCTGTGGATTCGTGCGCAACATAACCACGCTCGACGGCCGCAACATCTACTATCGTGTTCTGCCGGGAGAGGTGATCGCCCACGCCGCCGTCAAAGTGATCCACAACGAAGGAATGCCAATCGCTCATCGAGGCGGTGATAAGGGAGACCTTCTGGTTCAGTTCGACGTCAAATTCCCGGACAAGATCAATCCAGAGAGCGCCAAGAAACTTGTCGATTTGTTGCCAGGAAAGAGTGAGTTTTTAGGAGGCAGTTTTCATAAAATATTGCAATTTTTCAGAAGAAGAAATCATCGACGATAATGCGGAAATTGTGGAGCTCACAGACCTGGATCCACGGCAATCTCGCCGCCAACAGTCCGGATACAGTCAAGGAAGAGAAGAGTACGAAGAGCACGGCGGACACGGAGGACACCCCGGAGTCCAGTGCCAACAGTCTTAAATTTCTCTCATTTCACCTGGTTTCCCCCGTCAAATTCATCTCATTGTCTCGACACGCTCCTTTTTTTCACTATTTTAGGATTTCAAACTTGGCGAAACGCGAGGAGAGTCATCAATTTCTCCCATTTTTCACATCATTTTCCCCTTTTCCTACTACCTTCCCCCTCTAACCGTGCAGCCCTCAATTCGACAGAGCTCTGTGATCCAAAGTGTTTCAGATTGTTCTTGAGTTCCCCACCCCACCCAAAAATTCTTTAGTTCCCCCTCATGGTCTCGTCTTCCCTTCTTTTCCCCCACAAAACTTTTTGAATTTTTATACAAGTATCCCCCCTTCCTTGATTGGTTTTATTCTTCCCTCTCTCCCCCATTCAGTAGATTTTTTGAGTCCCAAGTGCACGCGATATTACATTTCTACAAAAAAATATGGTTTATTGCTGTGAGCCGGCGGACAGTTTTTGCACAATCACCCGAATAGCCAAAGAACATGGAACTGCCGAGAAAAAGAGCAAAAGGAGCCAGAAGTGCGATGGAGGATGCGAGTCGTAGATGAACAAAAGAATAAGCCACGTGGCGATTGCGTGGGAGATGGTCGAGCACAAGGATCGGGGAATACTGGGCAATTCGATGGCGATGCTCGCGAATTCGACGATAATTGAGCACATTGTGAGCACCAAACACACTGTGAAGCTGATTTTCGATTCTTCCGCCACCGGAACGTAATCGGGAACCACCGAAGCCTCGAGGTGCGCGGTCTGAACGGAAATTTCAATGAAACTATTGTTTTTGCAATAAAAAAAATACCTGATCAAAAATGACAATTGTGAGCATTGCGAAATGAGCCATCAAACATTGAAAATATTTAGTTAAAGTGTCGGTTTTTGTGAACATTTTGGCATAAAATCAATGAACGTGGGAAATGGCCGGGCTCCGAGAGCTTTTGGTTTCTATGGAAACGCAGGCTTTTCAAGGGTGAAAGTGTGGAATCTTTTGCTAGCTTACATTTTATTTTGTGGTTTTAGTGCTGTACATTGTTCTATTTTGCCCGAAATGAAGAATTTTTCACTTTTATATCCCAAAATAAAAAAAAAGGATATTTGAAGTTTTCATTGTCTATAGTACAATTAGAGTGGTTCTGCCACGAAATCTATAGTACAATTAGAGTGGTTCTGTCACGAAACATATAAAGATACTGAGGGTGCGAACAAAAAGGGATGAGATTATAGAGGAAGAAGAGGGTTTAGAGGTTACGGAGGCACAGACGACGGTACAACTGCATATCAGCGACCGTGATGGTGACACGCTTGGCGTGTCCAGCAAGCAGATTCGATCCTTCAAAACATTCGACAAGGAAAGCTTCAGCGACTTCTTGGAGGGCGAGGAGAGCATCCGCACGAATACGGAATTCTTCGCGGAACCAACTGGAAGAGCTCACAATTTCATGAACCAGTCGACAGAAGGGGGCCTGAAAGAGAGATTGAGAACTGCAAATAAGGACGAAAACTTGCCTTTTGAATGAGTAGGTCGGTTGATTTCTGGTACTTCCGGATCTCCATCATAGCCCTCTGTCCTGGCTTCCATTTCCGATTGTGAGATTTGGTCACGCGGCTCTTTCCGACACGCACACGAACGGGCTTTCTGGGCTGAACAGTCGAAGGACCGGCCGCACCGTCGCTTTCGACAATTATCCTGCTGGTGCCTTCGCGGCTCTGCTGAGAAGACTGATGATAGCTTTTCTGAGCACGGCTCTCGTCGCGACGATTCTGGCTCGAATTCGAATGATAACTCTGTTGGAAGTAGCTCTGATCACGGCGTTGATGGTTTGAGTTCGACAAATACGTTCCGTTTGGAGATCTGGAAGATGCGAACAATGGAACGCAACACGGAAAAAGAAACGTACGGAGAACGACGACGGTGAGGACGGCCTGCATTGTCATTTTCTTCGTCCGAGCTGTAATAGCGGTTGTGATGGTTGTATGATCCTTGCGAATTCGAATTGGGCAATCTTGTGCGACTAGCACGAAACTGAATACATATTTGCGATAAATTCACCGAAATAGGGGCGAAACCGCGATATTTCTCATGTCAGTCATTTCTGCACTTCTTCGAACTTGCTCTTTTCTTCCGCTGTCGTCCCTCTCGCTCTTTTGTTCATAATATCGTCTCAATGCCGCCTCTCTTTGTTGGGCGTATCTAAACGAAAAAAAAAACGGAATTCTAAGAAAAATATCTGATTACTCACCTTTCTCTTCTGCTCTTCCATTGCGAAACCGATTGGGAGCGGTTCTCTGAATAGCCGTACACCTCCTGATCATGTTCCCAATCGTTAATTTGCATGGTCAAAATATTGAGCATCTCCTGCATATAATTGGCATTTTCATTGAATCCCGGTTTAGCCAAAACTCTAAAAATTAATTCATGTCAAGCTTAAAAAATCAACTCACGCTTGCATTTGGGCCAAGTACTTTGGGTTAGGTTTCACGATATTTTGAAATCGATCGGCATTTCGAAGAACGGATGATTCTCTAGTCGGAGAGTCAACCACTTCTTCGATGTGAGGTCCGTCTCGGTCAGCCTCCATTTGAAGCATATTTTGCTGTAAAATCAAGTGAAATTGTGAAAGTAAAGTCAATGAAAGAGGGAAGAAAAAACGAACAGATTTTGAACTTTGGGTCATTCGCGGCGAGCGGTGTTGAGCCTCCGGTTTAACAGGTCGGAACGACGACCCCGAAAGACTCCGATAGTCTTGGGTCTGATGGACTGCTTGCGGAAGAGGCAAAGAAGACGTGTAAAATTGTACAAGATGAGCATAGCGAGACAAAACACAAGTTAATAAAGAATTCAAATTATTTAAATCGAAAATAACGAGCAGCAATTAGCTGGGAAAAAGTCGTTGTTAGGGATTGATTATCGAAAAGCTAGTAGGATTTGGGTCGCGGGTCTCGCCACGATTGCCGCGCGCGCGGACGAATGTCGCACAATCAGCTGTATCGATTATTTGGAGGGCGAATTCGCCGGAGGGAAGTGATAAAAGAATACAAAATTAGTAGGTTACTAACTGAGTTCGCTGCGAGTAACAACTGAATGGGGGTTCGTCCTCCGAAGGAGGGCGAAGGAGAATGATGACAAATAAGCGAGAATAACACATAACCTAGCGGGTAGATCACAGGTAGATCACTTAGCATCATACGTCTAGAACGACGTAACATCTCCCTCCGTCAAGTTGTGATGTCCTCGGTGTTGAGCCATTCCAATTCGTGTAGACTGAGCGTAGTCCCGAACCAGACGGTGAGCTTGTTGAAGCACGAAGGCGAGTCGACAGCAGCTGCCGATCAGTTGTTGACGACGATAGCAAAGGTTCATATTTGTTTCCAGGAAATCATAAAAACCATCCAAGACGACTATGACAAACAGCGGATTTCTAAGATGCTCATATTCACAAAAAACCTTCAACCTTAACCACTCATTTCCACAAAAAAGAATCAATAAAATACTGTTGACTGCATTGTACTCTAGACTACATCGTACCCGCCTGTTTTTGTATCATTTGTGGCCTCTTATCAAAGTAGATCAACAACGTTTTCCCACTGTCTTTTTTGTATCTTCTTGTCAACGGCAAAACTTCCACTTCAAAATATGTTGAGTTTCAGAATAAGTATGGATAAGATACCAGAAGACGTGAGAAACTATCTGATGGAAGCTCATCAACTGTCTTCTCAGGTAAAGAATACTTTAGTAAGCAAAGCAGCGTCTAAATTGTACAAATCAGCGATTAAATTCGGCGACGAAGCGATCAAATGAGTGCTTAAATTAATAGCAAATTATGAAAAAGAGCGACTAAATTGTACAAATCAGAGACTAAATTCGACCGAGCAGCGACGCAATAATGATATTTCCATCATTGAAATATGTCAATTTTCAGTGGTCCCTACCGAATAATCGTGGAAATTACACAAATTCCGAACCGAACCCCATCGAAACAGTTTCTGTAATCGGTGGCGGAACAATGGGAAGAGGAATTGCCATTTCGTTCTGTCTCGCAGGATTCCGTTCGATTTTGGTGGAAGTCAATGATCAGGTGTAGTAAATTTTTTGACAAAAAGTTAATATCAAACAACATTCGAGCTGCTTAGGCTGTTGAGTACTGCAGAAAAGAGTTGGAAATCACGTATGCTCGGGAGAAAACGTACAATCGACTCAACGATGAGAACATTGAAAAATTGCGTAAAAATTTGGAGATTACTACGGATTTTCAGAAGCTAAAAGATTGTGATTTGGTAAGAGGATTCATCTGAATATTATATCGATCTTTAAAATGACCAATTACAGATCGTTGAGGCGATATTCGAAGATATGAAGCTAAAAAAGGAGCTGTTCGCAAAACTTGATAACATTTGCAAAGACACGTGCATTTTTGGTACAAACACGTCTAGTTTGGATCTGAACGAGGTACAGTACCTAAAAAAAAGTTTTGAAAATCAATTTTTAAACATCTCCAGATGTCTTCAGTGCTCAGGGATCCGACTAAAGTAGTCGGAATTCATTTTTTCAATCCAGCGAATCTGATAAGAATGGTAGAAGTTATCTATGGATCTGAAACGTCTGCAAAAGCTGTTGCCACTGCTTTCGAAGCTTGTCGAGCCATCAAAAAGGTTCGAATGAAAGGCGGAAATATAAAAAAAGTCATTTTAAACTTTCAGCTGCCAGTGCTCGTCGGAAACTGTCCCGCGTTCGTTTTCAATCGTCTCCTGGTCGTTTATCTGGGCCAAAGTCAGAAATTAATGTACGAATACGGATATTATCCGCACCAAATTGACAAAATAATCACCAATCACGGATTTTTGATGGGTCCGTTGACAGTGGCCGACATGAACGGATTGGATGTGATGGAGAAGCTGAAGAAGGAACACGGATGGCCTTTGAACGAATTAGAGAGAGAAATGTGGGGAAGAAAGAGATATGGAAGGAAGAATAGTGAGCTATGATGATTTAGGACGGAAAACTGAATGTGGGGTTTATTTCAGACAAGGGCTTCTACAAATACGATCCGGTCACCCATAAAAAAGAAGTGGATATGGAGGTGGAGCAGTTGATTCGAGAAGTTTCACATAAAGCTCGGCCCAACATTCAGCTGCTCAATGATCAGGTTTCCAGAAGCTTCAGACCCTTTTTTTCTATAACCTACTCTTCAGGACGTCATCAACTTCTTGTTGTATCCAATGATGAACGAAGGATTCTTGTGCATTGAGGAGGGAATTATTGACCACGAGAACTTGATTGATATTATGTTGTAGGATACTTTTTTGTAGAAAACTGTCTGAAATTGCATCTTCCAGCATTCTTGGTTTCGGTTGGCCTCTCCCAACAGGCGGACCAATGAGATTCGGAAGAAATGAAGGAATTGAGAAGGTTGCAAACACAGTAATCCACTGGAACTCTCTGGAACCAAATGACAGAGCGTACGCAGTCGCCGAAACGTTGCAGAATGCTGATAAAAAGAATTTGTCATCGAAATTGTAATCGTTTCCGAGTGTAAATAAATGAGTGAGCAATAAAATAAATATAGGGGGCGCTTCTTCCGATCTCAAGGATAAATGGTTTCCGATGATGTCATCGAACTCTGACAAACGTTGTCAGTGATCATGTTAGTGCTGGAGGAAATGGAGTCGGAACAGATTTCTTCAAGCGATGACGTGACGGCGGTCGGAGCCATTTCACGAGTCGTGTAGCCAGAATTCGCATTTCTATAATAACAACTGTTTATCCAGAGAATTGCCACAAAAAACGCTAGCAAAAAACGTAAAATTGGCGCGAGACTCTTGTCGGTTGGTGCAGTGTGTGAATTCGAATTCAATCCGAATTTTTATTCGAATTCCCTTTTATGTCTAGGAAGAGAATGGCATCGATAACAACAACAAGAAACCGGTAACAACAGAAACAAACCAGTAACAACAAAATTCTTAGAAGATGAGATGACAAAAAAATAAAATAAATCGGTAACAGAAATGGAGTCGTAACGAAGAAAGAGATACAGAGAAGATGGAGAAATATATTTTCACATTTATTCCTCCTGGACGTCAGCGTAGTCCATGATGTCTTCGCTGTCGTGTTCCAAATCCGCGTCCGGAATGAGCTCTTCTTCGGCCATATCTTCCGGCGAGTTTTCGCTTTCCATGCGAACCATACGTGTGAGCATGTCTTCCTCGCAAAACTCTTCTTCTTCTCCTTCATCACTTTCCATCAACTCCTCAGTTTTCGCGTCGTTTTCCCTGAAAACGTTTCATCGGACGTAACTGGGGGTAGAGTGTAAACGTACTCCTTTTTGCAGTTTTCGGTGACTGTCAGCGTAGCGTTCATGGTGTCCAATGTCGCTCTGTTGCGCTTCGTTTGACGAATAAAATCGGTGCATCTGCTGCAAAGACCACATTTTTGATTAACTGCAGTAATGCCTGAATTGCTACCTGAATGTGCGCTCGGAGCAAGAAGACGATGCCGGACTGGCCAGGAGCTCCGCGGCGATGACCGGCAGCTTGGAGTAGTTGTCGATTTGGCTTCTCCAGAAGCTTACCTCCTCTTTTTCCTCCCCAAGTTTGTTCCAAATTTCGGCGTGCTTCGTTTCGCAGTGCGTTTTCAGTGCACTCGTCGTTCCTCCGTACGATAAACTCATGTTGCACCTGGGAATCGGACAGAGCAACCTTGTGGGAGGCTTCCCAGGTGGCTGCTCGAAAATGAGCCACACATCGGACGCATTCTTTCTCTTGGCTCGCGTTTTTGTAACTGATGATTTACGAGGCATACCTGCAATCATTTTTGATTCGTATTCATTATGTCACTTCGTAAATGACTGAAAATTCCACGAAATTAGGCAAAAAACCGAATAAAAACCGAATAAAAACAAAACATTAAAAAAAACAAAACAAATTTCCAACGACACTCCGCCCCCTGTTTAGCGCCTTCGGATTTAAATTCGAATTTTCTCCAAAATTCGAATTCACCAAATATTCGAATTTAAAAATTCGAATTTACACACTGGGTTGGTGTTGGACGTTCCGGGCCGTTCGATGTCTCCGCGGGTTGTGGTGGCCTTCGAAATGGGACGAGAATGAGAGTAAGAAGAAGGAGCTCCGGCGGTCGTACGAGAGAAAATTGGGACGTGCATGAAAGACGGAACACAGAAAATGTCTAGTCAGAAAGGGAGAAACATGAATAAATGGAGAAGAAAGGTGAGAAAACGAGAGAAAGAAGTGGGTAAGAATGAATGCAAATACGTTTTTTTTGGGTGGGAAAGTCAATAGAATTAATTATTCGTTTTTGCGCTCCACTCCACCGATCATCGCCTGCGTTTCGTCGATGTCTTCGACTCGGCGTCGGCATCGCAGATGACATATTCTGAAGAAAAAGTGTAAAATTGTAAAAGACATGAAAGGATGATGCAAATGTTGAAGCATTTAAAAGTTTCACTGAAAAATTGCAAAATTTCAAGAGAACCAAAATTTCAAGAGAACAATTGGCGCGAAAGATGGAAAATGTTTGAAATAAAATTATTCGTTTCGTTATCAATAGAGCGCACAATTGCTTCTGAGTCCATTGTCGGCGTCCTTATCACTAATCTCCGGTTGTAATTAAGTCGGTTGATTTGAAATTTGCCGCATTTCCGTTTGAAGCTGAAATTCCCACACCTGCAGTCTTAATTACCGGTGGAGATTAGTGATAAGGACGCCGACAAAGGACTCCGATGGGAAAGAACGATTGGGATTTCGAAACGTCATGGCACCGTGCCAAGAGGATTCCATCGACTCTGGAAACTTGATTGCAATCTAATTAGAAGAGTTTGCAATCTAATAAGAAAAAACCCTATTTCGCAATCTAATCAGATTTAATTGAAGTTCCAGTAAAATCGTATTAGATTACAAACTCTTCTAATTAGATTGCAATCGAGTTTCCAGAGAAGCTGATCGATCGGATCCTCTGGGAACTCGATCGCAATATAATTAGAAAACTTTGCAATCTAATACGAACTCGTTTGAAATAGAATTTGCTTCAATTAGATTGCAAAATCTTCTAATTAGATTGCAATCACTGCAATGTTTTCTAATTAGATTGCAATTTTTTCTAATTAGATTGCAATTTTTTCTTATTAGATTGCAATTCAGAAAAAATATATTGTAATCTAATACGATTTTACTGGAACTTCAATTAAATCTGATTAGATTGCGAAATAGGGTTTTTCTTATTAGATTGCAAAGTTTTCTAATTATATTGCGATCGAGTTCCCAGAGGATCCGATCGATCAGCTTCTCTGGAAACTCGATTGCAATCTAATTAGAAGAGTTTGCAATCTAATAAGAAAAAGCTCTATTTCGCAATCTAATTAGATTTAATTGAAGTTCCAGTAAAATCGTATTAGATTACAATATATTTTTCCTGAATTGCAATCTAATAAGAATAAATTGCAAACTAATTAGAAAACATTGCAATCTAATTAGAAAAATTGCAGTGATTGTAATCTAATTAGAAGATTTTGCAATCTAATTGAAGCAAATTCTATTTCAAACGAGTTCGTATTAGATTGCAAAGTTTTCTAATTAGATTGCGATTGAGTTCCCAGAGTTGAGAACTCCGTTGTAGCGACAGATACGGTCGGATTGCGGCGCCTCCAGCGATTGAAAAAACTGAAACTGACAATGAAGAGCTACGCGAGGAGGAGACCGACCAGTTGTAGACTTTGGCGACGAAATTCGGAGCAATCGGTGCGGGCGGGACGCGAGGTGCTCGACAAGGATCGCCTTGCTGAAGACGGTGTCCGAGGGAGCCATCGTGGCAGAAGAGGTGTTCTCGCTGGCGCTCATTTTCGCCCTTCACTTGTTCAGGTGTATTTTTTTCACAAACTATCACAATTTATCAATAAAGCATGTGTTAACCTGAAATTTTGCAATTTGCAGACCTTCCCCGTTTTTCCCCATTCCATTTTGTCATTCGGGTTCCCTACTGTAGCATATATATATAATTGATTCAATTCATTTCAACTATTACATTACAACTTTATTGTTTATCATCATCATCATCATTATCATCAAATACAAACATTTTTCACTGTGTTCTGGTGGAGTGTGGACGACCCATTTATGCACATTCAAGAAATATCTGAAATGTCGGGGAGAATTGGAAAAGAAGCGAAAGGTAAGTGAATGGAAAAGAGCAGCAGGGAGCAAGTAACCGTATCGAAGTGGGAAGTGAAGCGGAAGGAAACAATTAATAGAAAACCTGGTTAGTTATAATCGGAATAAGTTATGTGTGTAGTTTTCAAAAGAAACACGCTCATGCGACTAGAAAGAGCACTGCAACAAGTAGAATGACACGCCACGTGGCACTCGGCAACGTGCCTGAGACGGCCGTCGAATCCGACGGCGGCAGGGAGGGCGAGGCCGTCGGCCAGCAGTCGTCGCCGCACTTTTCCTGCAGAGAACGCGTCTGCTTTGCCGAATACGTCATCTTGAGCTGCTCCTCCGGGTCGTAGTAGTCGAGGAGACGGAAGTTTGCGGGCTTCTGATCGGCCACTTGGTAGGTGACGTCGGAATACAGCGACAGGCAGACGGGCTTTCCGCCGAGCTGCAAATAAAGGGAATTTTGAATGGCTTTGTAATTTCGCATAGTTTCCACACAAATACCCCATTGGGTTGAACATGGAGAGAGCTTTCTTGGAGTTTTGACAAAATTGACTATCATTGGAACTTTTGACCGCTTCAAACCCTTACTCGACACAGTTATCAGCCTAGGCTTGAAGGATCTATCTTGAAAATTGGCCGTAGTTCTAGCAATGTCTAGCAATGTCACAAAATGAGTTTGCCCTCAGACTCCTCAATGATTGCACGGAACCCCAGCATTCCAATGCGCAAGCGAGTTGTCAATGGGGCGCGCTTGCATCCACCGTCGACTCGGAGTTTCTTTTTTCAATTGAAAACCAGAATTCTTTCGTTTTTCTCTTAATACACACTCAAATTTTGTTCTTTGCGAGCCCTAGGGCGATTGTCTGAGTTAAAAGCATCGATTCCGTCGAACCGTCGAAAAATATACAGAATTGAGATAATTGAGGCAAATTTTCGATTCCAAAAGGAAAAAAATTCTGTAATTTTCATACAAACCTTTCGAAATTGATGACGAAGCAGTTAACATTTCATTTTTTATTCATTTCTAATCATTATCATAAGTTTTGACACTGATTGGTGCTGAAAAGATAGGGATAATGCGGAAAAAGTGAAAATTGAAATGAGAAACTCTGAAAAGACGCTCCGGAATTACGCGTTTCGCGCCTTGCTTAGCGCACGTGAATTGCGCCAAGGGAATTTTTTATTGGAAGGGGCTTATTTGTTCCGTTTATTTGTTTTCAATTTCGAAAAAGCCTCACCGGATTAAAGTAGACGTTCATCTTCGTATCATCCTTCTCAATTTCGACCCTTTGCAAGTCCTCGATACTCGTCAGAGTGTGCACTTGTTCCGCATCGAACCGATAGCCACTCAACGCGTCGATCTCGGCAAGCACCATGTTCGACTTTCCGGCGCGGGTGTAGCTGAAAAGCGTATTTGCGAACTGAACCGTCCGTGTAAGCTGTGTGTACTCACTTGCAGCACAAATCGAGCTGAAGTCTGTTTCCAGCTCTCATTTCCTTAATTTCCTGCGAGCAGAAGAACGGAGCGTCGTCGTTCAGCGAGTCTCTATAGTAAGAATAGGAAAGCTGTGCGAAGACGACTCCGTTTCCGGTGGCATTGATTGAAACTGCGTCGTTAAGAGCGGAAAGTTGATAAGACTGCAGGACGATCGAGTTCTTCGGATTGATCTCGAAAGTGTGCGAGTGTTTTCCGTTCACAATCGTCAGTTGACTCGCTTGACTGTCCGAGTAGGTGGCGGCGGCGTAGGCGGAGAGCGCCTGAAGAGCCATGACAGTGTCCTGCGTGGAGGTGAATCCTCCGAGTTCATTGCGCTGCGATACCAGCCACCGAATGATCGGCACCGCCTCCGACGTTTGATTCTGAGCGAGATAGGACAGCAGCGAGTAGGAAGTGGTCTCAATATCCACGGGTCTCGCCTGGAAGAGATACGCCGAGGAGTCTTTCGGCTTTTCGGTTTTGTGAACACTCGCGAACCGGACATCTCCGCCCTTCTCCAAAATCTTGTGCTTCTTGAGACTTTCAAATGCTTTTCCGGCGCTCTTGCTCTTGGCGAGCTGCAAAGCGTACGTCACCACGGCCATTGTGTACGCGTTCCCAGCGACTTCATCCAAATGCTTTTCAAGGTACGCGACGGCCTTCTGATTCTCCATCCCGTTCTCCAGAATCGAAATGAGCACAAAGGCGGTGAGAGCGACTCCTCCGTCCTGCGCACCGCCCTGCATGTCCTTGTGGTGCACTTCTCCGCGCTCGGCGAACGCTCCCGATTCCATTTGCTGAGAGTTGAGGAAGGCGACCGCCCGGGAGATTACATTCGGGTCGACGAATGCGTACTGTTTCGCGTGGTGGAAGGAGCGAACGACAAATGCGGTGAGCCACGTGGATCCGGCCTTGTCGCTGTCTCCGAACGCACTGAACGAGTTGTCGCTTCGCTTGTACGTCAACTCGCGCTGGATTCCCTCTTCGATGTATTTAATGGCCTTGGCTTCCAGCTTACTCTCATTCCGGTTCGTAGCACGGAGATACTTGACGACGAGGATGTTCGGCACCAGATTCAACATATTCTGTTCTCCACATCCGTACGGCATCTGCACAAGTTTGTGAGCATTATTGAGCACCGGACCCATCATATCTCCAATCACATCCAGCCGCGCTTTCTGTGATCCATCGACGACGTCGTTCGGCCAGATGAGCTCGAGGCTCTTGGTGAACTCGGTGGAGTTGTTGAGGTCGACTACGAACGGAATGTTTCTGTCGACGCGATATCCTTGCGGCTCCACCCTCAAATCCATCTCGACGGCGTCTCCTCCCTGACTGGCAATGGCACTCACGTGCACCGGAACTTCTCCTAATGCTGATGGAACGATCGGGAAGTAGACAGCCTTGGAGGTGCCTCCTCCGGCCACCGAGACCACTCGCACATTCTGCTGACCCACTTCGTCTCGCTTCACAACGGTTCCGTCCTTCTTCAGAAGGTCATATCCGGAATCCTGATCGTATTTCAGGGTGACGGTGACATCCTGCTCTTTCTCCATGTAATTGAAGACCAGGACGAGAAGGGCGAACTTTTCGCCGCGACGGACTGCGTACGGAAGGTTGAGTTGGATGAAGAATGGACGGAAAACGCGGAGTTTCGAGGTGGTTGGGCTCACGCCAAGGCCGTTTTCCTCGTTGATTGCGAACGTGGAGGCGACCCAAGAGGTGATGGTGTCGGGGGCTTGCACTTCCAGTTCCACTTCTCCGCTGAAAACAGGCAAGGATCCGTCCGTGTGAATGCGAAAAACCACCGATCCTACCTCGTCGAGTTCAAATCCGACCATATCCACGTGTGCGGGAAGAACTTTCTGACAGTCGGCGACGCGGCTTCTCTTCCGGCCGGCGCGAACGCGGCTTCGGCCATCATCGGCGATCCGTCCATCATCATAACTACAAGTGCACCAGGAGTATGAAACCTCTTATCTAAAGGTGCACACCTTTTGGACGCCTCATGAACGTACCTGGGAAGAACTCACGTTGCGGCTCGCGGTAGAGCAGCGCGTCTGTCAGCACGACGAGCCCCGCGTTCTGAAAACTACGTGTGGCACTCGAAACGGATCCAATGACTCACAGTAAAGATGGACTGAGCGTCGCTTCCTCCGATTCCCCACCACGGTCTCCAGATGGACCTCTTTTTTCTGTCGATGGCCTCCCACGACCGCCGTCCTCCTCCACCTCCTCCATATTCCACATTGTTCGAGTCATAGTTCTCGAGATCAGCTTCCACTTTCTCGCGCGTTATATCATTTCCGGTTTTCAGAAGCAGCACGCTCTGGTCGACGACAAGCAGTCCGACGAACGAATTCTTGTCGGACGTCACCTTGAACTTTACGTTCTGTCCCGGTTCGACGGCTTGCTTGTCAATCGACAATGCCACTTGATTCTGGAAAATACCCTCGACTTTGAAGTCAAGGGCGTCCACAAGCACTTCTTGGCTGTTCTCGATGATTGCGTACACGATGAGACGTGATTTTGGTGCCATCTGGAGACAAATGAAAAGAGAGTTCTCGTAGGCAAGTCCCTTTGCTACTCACGTTCGCAGTGGCTTGGAAGCTAATTGTGGCGTGCTCCGAGTTGACGGCCATCTGCTGGGAAACCACAATGTTCGAGCGAGACATGACCTACAAAGTTCCACTTCAACGGTTCTACTGCCCTAATTAGTTCCGCTTACCTGATACGTAATCGTGGACAGCGGCTGCGTGGCCTTCAGCGAGAAGCTCAGGCTCTTTCCCACGTCCACCGCTCCTTCGTTATCGGCGAGTAGCTGCAGAAAGCTCTTCGTCGGGCTCACCGCCGCCTCGACGTACAGCGAAGAGTAGATGGGAGTGGCGGTAAAGTTGTCCTTTCCGCCAATGTCATAGTGCGCCTCGATTCTGGCGCTGGTACAATTGATCGGTGGCTGGAGAGTCAGCACACTGGTTCCATGAGCGTCCACCTCCACGATCTTGGTCTCTTTTTCTTCTTGCAGCGAGGAAGTGTCATGGTTGTACGGATAGTTGTAGAAAGTTGAGACCTGGACCCGTTTGGGGAGAGTCGCCTTGACCGGAGTGTCGTCCATCTGCTTCAAAGCCACGACGACATTGTAGGTCAATCCTGGCTTGAACGTGTCTCCCTGCTTTTCCACATCCAACTTAACCTCTTCACGGAAAGTCGAGATTTGATGCGTGGCATTGCGCTCGATCTCGGTGATATCTTCAGTGACCGAGGCCACAATTCGAATAGAACCACCTCCCCATTCCTAGAAGACGTCGGAGCTTGTGAAAGTGCACAAAACGAAGGCGCTTACGTGCAACAACTTGTGTCTCTTGAGCTCATCGTTCGAGAAAACCACAGCCGCCTCTCCTTGCCTGTTCAGTTTAACCGTTCTCTCCACCATCAGCTCCTCCTCCTTCTGAATTCCGTTCTCGTCGACGACTTGCGGAATCGCATGCCAACGATGCCACGGAAGCTCCAGGGAGACCTTCGCCTTTCCGGCAACACCCTTACCGTAGGTGTACCTGATAAGAATATTGATTCGTTTCTGTGGACTGCTTTTAAGGTGAATCCGAAATTACCAGGCTCTACAGTACGCCTTCAAAGTTTTTTCCACTCACTTCGCATCCACAAAGACCGACAAATCGTCGTTGATGGTGATGAACGAGGACGTTTTTATGTTGACCTCGAACTTTGGCAGCACATAAGTGTCGACAGTAAACGAAGATTTGTCCGTCATTCCATTCGACGCCTCCACTTCAATGCTCCAGTCTCCGAGAAGAGTCTCTTCGGCCAGTTGAAGCTCCCCACTGTGGACACCTAAAATTGATCAAGGTTTTTCAAGTATATGTATTTTCGAACAAGTTACCTCGATCCAAAGGCACGTCGATCGTTTGAGAAATGAGATTTCTGCTGGGGTCATAGATCTTGATGGTGGCGTTGCCGACGTACGGCTTCAGATCGGATTTCACCACGATTGCTCGGTAGCGGACCAGAGAAGCGGGACGGTAAATGGCCCGATCGGTCTGGATGAACACGGACAGAGCCTTCTGATCGAATTTCAGCTCTTTTTCATTTTCAAAAAGCGTCTCCGAGTTGAGAGTCTCACCACGAATGTAGAGCTGTAAGGATACCGAATAAGAAGAGTTCACATCGAATTCTCACTTTATAAGACTGTCCACTGGTGAGCGACTGTGCGGGCATCTCGCTCAAACTGACAGTCTGAGCGACACCCGGCTTGAGATTGCTCATCACTCTCGCCGCGATCGTCTCATTCTGCTCGGTGCGCACTTCAATCCGCACGATCATCTCCTCGTCCGTCGGCGGCCTCAGCAGATTCATGCAAACCGAGTAGGGCTGATCGGGCCGGACCACTGCGGGCGCGACGAGCATGTATGTGGCTGGTCTACAACAAATGCAAATGCAATAGATCGTTCCGAGTTTCTGGCAAGTTTTTTTTTGTGAAAAGAAAAACAAACTTGAGCGGCGCCGTCGTCGTCGTCGTCGTCGTCGTCGACACAACCGCCGTACTTTCTCCATTGACCGGCGCCGGCCAGATCCAGACGACGAAGAAAAGGTTGAGAATCAGCAGACGCATGATCTGGAGTGCACACATTAATTATGAGCGCAGCAGCAGTCAGCTAGATTGCAAAGTGAAAAACGTGGCAAACTTTCTCCAATCCGAATTATGGGCATTGTGTTGAAAAACGCAAAACCTTGACCGTTTTGGGTGCGGTTGTGAGGTGATGATGTGCGCGGATGATGATGGGCGGCCGACAAACACAGAGGGAGAGAGAGAGAGAGAGGAAGACACGTGCAAAACGATTAGAGTCGTTTTGACCGACGACAATTACTCTTCGAAGGGGAGGGTTTTTTTTACAGCGGCACCACTTGAAACTTGTACTGGATGGTTAGAAGTAAGAATGGGAGAATGTCATTATATGTGTATGACCTGGCCAGGAACGTTAGGTTAACACTAATCGGATCTCATTTCTCTCAGAGACGCGCACACATACAAACACATATCGATAAAAGAGGAGATGAATTTTGCGGGGGGACACGCAAAGAATGAGATATCCTTCTTCTCGTCATCCCGAATACGGTAGAAAGATCGAGACGCAGAGACGCGAAGACGAAGGCCCCTGGGCCGATCCAAATGAATTCTCATTCCAATGTCAATCGGCCTCAGGGGGGGGGGGGCAAGAGGGGCGGTGCGACACGAACAGAAGTCGAGAGATCAGAGAGAAACTGAGAGAGAAAGAGAGAGAGTGATAAGAGGGATGTAATGTGTCGCATGAGGTCCTCGAGGAGTGGCGGCAAAAAGTTGAAAAATTGCTAGGGGACCCTGAGAGCGGTGATGACTCATTTCGTTTCGTTTTGTTTAGCCAACAACAGATGTGCGAGACGGAACGAAAGAGAATGATGAGGAAACTTGTTCGCGGAACTAGAGGGATGACACTTTTCGTCGAGAAACAATTATTTCTCGGCCAGCAACCAAAGCCCCCCCTCAGACTCTTTGAAAAGTTGAACAACTTTAGAGAAATGCGTATAGACTAGGAGCACTAGGGTATTTTCGAAAAAAGTGTTGTCATTGTGAGAGGGGTAGAACGCCAAAAGTTCAATAGAGCGAACAGTCATTGGTAGTGGAGACTAGGTAGAGACCAAAAGCATATTTGTTCATTTTCATTTTTTGTATAGTACCTACCTACCTACCCACCTCCCACTCGACTAGTTTTTCCGTAATCCTATCCTCCTCCCATGATGTATGTGTATTGCCACGTCATCAACCATCATCAACAACAACGATGTCGTCTCGCCATTGGTCCACCACCACCACATTTCACTGTGAAAAGGCGACGCGATTTATGAGCAGCCATTTTCATCCTCTGCAGCAACCGGTTCCGGTGGATGTATGTGATTTGCGTGGGAATAAGAGGTGAGAACTGAACTTGGATGGATGGCAAAAAAGGCGTCGACGCAGTATTAAGTGTACAAAATTACAACAAATAAAAGTTTGGGTCGAACGTGGAACGCCTACGCAAAAGTCGTCTTTCAAAAATGACAGTAAAGTTTGTGTGTCTGGCAAGTGTCGAACAATCGGAGGATTCCGAAAAGGCGTCCAAGTGTGTCCATGTCCATTTCTTTTCCGCCTCAATCCATTTTCGGAAACTTTTTTTTCCGCCTCTCCAATTCGGTGTACATATTTCGACAGTAAGAAGGAGGGAAGCGGTGGCGCAAAAGACAAACTTTATTGTATAAAACATAGAAGTGTACGTTTGTAGCGGACGGAAGGAAGTAATGGATATTGTGTAGCCTTCTGAAACAAACTAAAACTTGATCTGTACACATGTACACACATAATTATCCATCCAACCCGCTACTCCTCGCTTCTTTCCCTTGCTAATTTAATTTCGATTCCTTCAATTCAATTCAAAAGTTCTCACCTCCCCCCGTTTCTCAATTAATTCTCAGCGGGGCGCCGTCTTCTCAATTTGCTTCGTCTCATCTTTTTTGAACGCTTTCCTTCTCGCCGCTGGACCCGCCAACTCGTCCCAATCGGCGCGTCGTCGCACGTAGACCGCGTATCGCTGCGGTGTCTTCTGCAGCTCGAAGATCAGATCGGGCGCGTCGTTTTCCGTGTGCACACGATTCGGAGCCGGCGGTGCGGGAGTGTCCAAGTAGATGTCGTCGTAGAGAATCAGTTCCTCCCACATGGACATCTCCTGAAATAGGTTAACTTTTCATATAGTTTGAAATGTTCTTCAACTTTTAGTGTGTACACTGTACACGAAAGAATTTTTATCTTTTTTAGAAAATTTTTTCATGGAATGTGATCAACTGACGAAATGTATAGAAAAGTGAACTATGCGCATAAAAAAATAATTGTAAATTTAGCTTTTCATACAAAAAAGTTAAGGGCTAACGGAAGACGGAAAGACATTTTCATGGAATAACTCGAATAACTTTTTTGTATGAAAAGTTAAATTTACAATTATTTTTCTATGAGCACAGTTCACTTTGCTATACATTTCGTCAGTTGATCACATTCCATGAAAAAATTTTCTAAAAAAGATACAAATTCTTCCGTGTTCTTTCGTTGAGCTCTACCGCTCAACTGAAGAATACAGTAGAGATGGTCTGAACTGTACAAAAGTATCGGGTGTAGCCGTACAAAAAAGTTGCCTACCTTATAACCAAAGTATTAACGACGGATCACGGTCTCCAGAGTTGACAATATGGGCGTGGCCTCGGCGGCCAAACGGCGTTTTCAAGGATTGAGCAGGTTTTCTCTGATTTTTGTGGTCAAAAGCGATGAAAAATGATTGTTCGACATGAAAACACACTAATTCTTAGAATTAATGACGTTTTGGCGCATTTTTCGCATTTTTCGTGGACTTTGCTTTTTCGCCTTCGCCGCAGATCACCGCCTAAAAACCGCACTTCTCATTTTGCGCTTTCTTGACCGTTTTCACACAGTATTGGTTTTGAAAATGATAAATCACGTAAATACAAGCATTTTAAGCGCTCGAACAGCGAAAATTACCGAAAAGCAACTGAAATTCACGAAGTTTTAGCGAAAAACCTTCAAACGGATAAATGTGATTTGCGACTTGACCAAATTTAACGCTCTTGCGCTTAAAAAATTCGTAATAGCCTATACAATCGGTCTATCGAGAGACAAATGAGAAATTATTGGTTTTTCGTGGCTAATCTGGCAAAAAACACACATTTTGCTGTTAAAATTTGAATTTCGCGCCAATGTATCGCTTTATTGGGCGGGGCGCACATGCGCCCATTGTTAGCTCTGGAGACCGTGCGCGCGGATGTAATGTTTTTGAAGTAGACATGTCAGGATGTTCAGGACTGTATAATTTTAAACCACTCACTTTCGGCGCGTTCTCCGCATCCCCCTTGTCTTTCTTTTCCCGTTTTCTCGCCTGTTCCAGCTCCTGAGCCACTTGTTCTTGCTCCATGAAATCGATCCATCCGTCCGGAAATATCTCATCACACGCTTCCGTTTCCATCCGATCATCTTCGGTTAGTTCGAGCTCCATGAGCACTGGCTGCTCTTCGGCTTCTTCCAGCGTTAGCACTAGTCGGGCGGACTGAAAGAGTTTCGCTGATTGAAAAAATCAGCTCAAAAAAACTGCGTTACCTGACGATTTTCCATTGAAGACTTCAAAAAAAAAAGAACTGGTAGCAAGTGTAAGATGTTCGAAATAGGTATAGCCGTGTATAATGAGTATTAAACAAATCGGCCGGACAGTATCGGGAGGACAGGTGGGGAGAGCCGGCTTATCCGCCTAATTGACTCCGAGAATCGGAGGACTCCAACACCTTAGCTCTTCAATTAGCAACACGCCACAGCTAGCTATTATACGATTCAAATATTTTCGAATGTTTTTATTCAAATCTAATGCCTTGGCAACTAGTGATTTGGTTCGTTAATAGGCTGTGTCACAAAAAAGTTATTGGAAAGCCGACGAGACAAAAAAAGACAGACGTGACTGTTATTGTGCACCTCCTAGAATTGTATTGTCGGGAGCAGAAAAATGAGGGAAAAACAGGGAGCGATTCCAATTATAGATCTGTGCGGGTGTACGGTCAATTAGGTATTTGGACGCCACTCCGAAATTGCGTAAGACGAGCCCGACATCCAATATTCCAGACTTGCCAAATCCCGGGCCGGGCCAGCAAATTGTCGGCCCGGCCCGGCCCGGTCGGCCCGGAAATTAGACCTCAAAAAAAATATGCAAAAAAAATATGAAGGAAGAGGAAAACGCGTGCGGCAAAATTGCTAAAATGGCGTGCCAGAGTTGCAATCAATCGCTCCGCCCACTCTTGAGAAAATTTTCGTAATTTTTGTGAAAATTTTGCGACTTTAAACAGCAATTTCTATTTTTTAACAGGTTTTTATGCTATAACATTGCCTTTTTCGTCTTTTTTTCTATTTCTGCTCGTTTTTACAATGAATCTTCAATTTTAAGTCTATAAAATTATGTTCGTTTCGAAGTTCTAGTTCGCTTTGAATTTTTAGGTGCATCCTCCCGGGCCGACCGGGCCGGGCCGGGCTGGGCCGGGCCCGGCCCGTTGCAAGTCTGCAATATTCTGAATATCGAACTGTGTCCCTGGAAACTGTTGACGTTGACACAAAAAGTTATAAAGACATTTTTCCCTCCAATTTCCCGCTCCATACCCAACTTTTCTTCTGCAGAAAGTGCACTGTTCTCAAGAATTCATCGTTTCATCATCGATGAATAGGGGGGGAGCCGAAGACGGTATTAGAAATGCATGGTGAATCGGCAGTTGATGGGGACCGCCCGGCTCTTAGTCTTCTTCCTATACGGCGGAAAAGAGCTCATTTTCGGAATAATGCGTCTTCTTCTCACTTTATCCCTCATATTTAGCGCTTTTACGGTTGGAGTCCTCGCACGTTATTGTGTGCACAATCAAAAGGTTCGGATAATCGAAAATCCATAAGCGACACCATCAGAGATTCTGCGGAAGTGCGCTAAAATAACGAACAAATCAAATTTCTTCTAGAGCTGGTGTCAAGGCCACAACATCTGGGGCTGGTGCTTCCACAACAAGTCGTCCGGCGTGTTCGATTGCGACGACGACGGCTTCTGCGTCTCGCAGGAGCAGCTGAAGAACAAGAAGTCGTCGGGATGCTTCGTGCGCGGCAACTCTTCCGTCTGCTGCTGCAACGACGCCGACGGCTGTAACCTCGGCTTCATCGGAATCCAGCCGAGGTACGCGTACGGTCAGCCGTGCGCCAACTCGATGGAAGTGCCGAATGAGGACATCCGACTGTTCCGCGCGTGCGACGATCCGTTCTGCTACTCGCTGCTGACGGCCGAAGAGGACGGCGGACCGACGACCGCCGTCCGCGGCTGCTATTCGCGGAAGATGGTGATGCATCACATGGCGAAGCACGAGCACGACAAGTTCCAGAATAACACGAAATGGCAGGAGACGACGCAGATCGCCGAGATGCCCGCATGTGCGGAGATTCTGAAGGATCAGCCGAAGGTCAACGGAACCGCCAGTCTTTGCGTCGATTTCGCGTTCGAACAGGTAATTCCTATGAGATATTGGGCTACTTTTCTAGTACAGTTAAAGCAGACTTGCAACGGGCCGGGCCGGGCCAAAATTGGAAATTTTCCGGCCCGGGAGGATGCACCTAAAAATTCAAAGCGAACTAGTTTTGCTTCAATTTCGAAGATTCATTGTAAAAACCAGCAGAAATAGAAAAAAAGACGAAAAAGGCAATGTTATAGCATAAAAACCTGCTAAAAAATAGAAATTGCTGTTTAAAGTCGCAAAATTTTCACAAAAATTACGAAAATTTTCTCAAGAGTGGGCGGAGCGATTGATTGCAACTCTGGCACGCCATTTTAGCAATTTTGCCGCACGCGTTTTCCTCTTCCTTCATATTTTTTTTGAGGTCTAACTTCCGGCCCGAGCGGGCCGGGCCGGGCCAAAACCGGGCCGGGCCGGCCCGGGATTTGGCAAGTCTGAGTTAAAGTACGTTGAAGAGCTGCTGTTTGAAGTTTTAGAAGCCACAATTGAACTATTGTAGGAAGAGCAAGACGGCGAGGAGCCGGTGAAGATGAAAGCACGCTTGTGTTGTTGTGAAGGAACCGCAAAGTGCAACGAACAGGCGATGTGGGCCGATGAGGGAATCTCGTTGGCCGAGATGCTCGCGGATATTGAGAAAAGGAAAGCGCCCGTGAAAAGTGGCTATAAAATTTGTGTTCTCGCACTAGTTTTTCCATTGATTTTCACTGAAATGTTGTAGTAGTAATGCTTTAAACACATAAAGTAATTGAATAACTTTTATTCATCAAAATGTTATAATTTCTTCTTCTTCTTCTTATTTCACATTCGGTAACAACAAGAACGACCCGTGCTCTTCAAGTAAATAATTGTTCAGAATTCAAGTGGTGGGCGTGGAATGGTCGAACGAGGACTGCCGATTGAGGAGGATCGGAGGGAATCCCGACGGAGACGGGGGCGTCGAGAGCGAGAGAGACTGGAACGGAGAGGACACCGAGAGGTGGTTGCTTCCCGAAAAGATCGGTTTGAAGGCGGACAGCTCGCCGGATCCGATCTCGACAACTGTGGAGCCGATCTTCGGTGGGAGCGGCGAGGTACTGGCGCTTCGGATTGAAAGTTGCGAGATGGGTGTGGAGACGTCGTCGGTCATCGAGTGGGTGCGCATGTGACGGGAGATCATGTCACGACGGCTCTGAAAATGTTTCGATATTGTAGGTTTTTGTCAGTATTCGTTTAGAAGTCTTCTCTCTTCAACCCCTCGCGAAACTCACCGCCGAATAGGAGCACAACGGACACGCGTAGGGCTTCTCGCCGGTGTGCGTTCGCAAATGCGTCGACAAGTGATCGGAGCGCGAGAAAACTTGATTACACGTCGGACAGCTGTACGGCTTGGCGCCCGTGTGCAATCGCATGTGCCTAGTGAGCATGTCACTCCTTGAGAAGCTCTTCGAGCACATATTGCACTTGTGCACTTTCGACGCGTCGTCAAGTGTGCAACTGCGTTGACGATGCCTCGAGGCGATGTGTTTGGCGAGACGGTCGTGTACGGCGAACGCCTGGAATCGGCATTTTTGAGCGGACGATTAAATATGGGACAGTCCGAATACCTGTCCGCATAACGTGCACGTGTACTGCATCTGCTTCGACCGGCTCCCCTCCTCATCTTTCTTCGGCACAACTTTCACGGGCGCCGGGACGACGAGTGAGCAATCTTCCGTGGATCCGCACGGTTGGGGGCTCAGTGATTGCGAGTGAGAGTGAGAGTGAGATTGAGACTGAGCACTCAACAAAGTGCTCAACATGTTCGCATTTTGCATGGCGAAGATTTGATCGCGAGCCCAGTTGCTTACAATTGTGTTCGCCTACAATACAATTCTTCCTTTCGTTTTCTAGACCACCCTTCGCCCTTACAGCCTCCAAATCGTCTTTGTTCTCGAGCCCCGACGTGGGTCGCAGCTGCTGTTCAATCTCATCGCGTTCGTTCGTGGTCGGCGGCGGTGTACTACTGCTCCGCTTGATCTCCCCGCCGAACTTATGAATCGGCTTTTTCGTGTAGCACGGCACCGAGATGGTCGAGTTGGCGAGGAGGCGCGCATCGTCCTGCGCGGGCTGCATATCGCTCTCCGACCTACTTCGCTCCCTAAATCCACATCAGTTTGTGTTGATTCGTGTCGTGGCATTCACCTGGACAGCTCATACGCTCCGACGGCCAGCAGGTGATGCAGATTGCTCGTGCTCTGCCCTAAAGAGGACACACTTCGAGCATCGAATCTGGAAGTGAAACGATGTATTTGCGAGAGTTGAGACACCCACGTGCCGAGAAATTATAGGTATAAAGGAGCTATTTTTGAGGAAAAACTTCCCAGATAAAGTTCGCATAATAGGCAGTTTACGCTTTACACAATTAGAGAAAAACGTACGAGAAATGATTGAACGAGTTGGGCGACAAGGAGAATGCGGGCGAGACGGAACACGCAGTGTCACAGTCGAACGGCGAGATCAATTCTTTGCCGGCCTCCTCGAAATCGACGCTCCGATCGCGGTAGGCCATCCAGGAGGAGGTGGAGAAGCTCGAGCGGGCCGACGAGCCGAGATCCGACGTCGCGTAGTTGGGCGAGAGACGGGCGCCGTCGAATTGAGAGGAGAACTGCAATCAGTGGAGAGAGTTTTTCACGTAGTTGTCACGGTCCGGGCCGTAGGAAAATGTCCATCGGCCCGACCAGTTTTCGGTCTGTGTTTGACGCTTTTTTTTAACTCGATTGGTTATATTGACAGTCATTTTCTACCTAAAATAACATTAAAAATCGGTAAAACAAAGGAAAACTTTCCAACGGCCCTGGTTTCTTCGTGGTATTCTGTTATTTTGAGTTGTGTTTTGAGTGGAGTAAGGAACATGATCTAATTGTTTCTGATTCGGACTCGAAAATGTTGTCTTTGTCGAAAAGTTCATTACCGAATGAAATTCTAGGTTACAAATAACTTCAAGTCAGCTGACTCTTTTTCCTATTTTGCAAACAAGAGGAAAAAGTGGTTGCAAACCGTCCAATGTGTCAGTTGCAACTTGGAAACATGAAACTAGCAGAAAGGGCGAAATAAGTTAAGAACACGCCTCGACTTCGATCATTTCGAGATAACTAGAAGACATATCAAAAATCTGTGAATTCCAATCGATTGCAAAGTGTCCACTCACCATCTGAATCCTCTGCATAATATCCGCGTTCATCAGATCCTGCGCACTGGAGAGCACTGTCGGCGACGACGGAATCGACGGTCCTTGCTCGCATATCAATGGACACTGCAATAATGTCTCATTTTTTGGGCTTTTTCTCCCTCTCCCTCTTCTTCTTCTTCTTCTTCTTCTTCTTCTTCGTCTTTTTCCTCCCCCACCTTTTTCCCGTCTGATGAGCAATTCCATCAGTAATTCGATATTTTTGCGCGCTTTGGGAGCACACTCTAAGGGCGGCAATTATATAAAGTGAGGAGAGATTTTTGGAGAAGAATCTCAGATGATTATATTTGGAGCATCAAAGTTTAAGAGGGGTTTTGCGGAGCGGAGAGTCGCGACTGTCCGAGTGAGCTCATCTCGTGAATCGATGATCTATGCGCGCAAAGTCCGATGCGCTATACTTGCCTGGAACGAGATTCGCATCGGAGCAGTAGTAGTAATAGATATTGTCGGTTGTTTCGCTTTCTCATTTTCACCACCACCTTGTTCACTAGACGAATTCGAGTTCATAGCTACTAGACGTAGCGGTAGTTGTTTGTGAAAAATGATGAAAAAAACGGGGGGGGCGGCCACAACCAAATGATGAAGTGAGAAGGGGAGGGAGAGGGGGAGATGACCCAACTCTTCTTCTTCTTCTTCTTCTTCTTCTTCTGCTTCTGCTTCTTCTTTTTCTAATTATCATATACGGGGAAGTGGTGGGGAAATGAAGAAGAAGATAGATAGATGGATGGATGGATGGATGCGTAAATGAGCTGGCTTCGAGCACTGGCTCGAAACAGAAGCTTCGAAGCCGTGGCTTCTGGTCTCAACCGCCAACCCGCTCATTATCTGGCTCCCTTTCATTAAAAAACCAATTAAAATTGTTGCCATTTCCCCCCCATCATCATCATCATCATCATCATCGAAAAAGAGGCCAACAGTTAAGTTGGATTAGGGCCCTAAGCGCGTGTTGACGTCAATGCGGATTATATTATATGATTATAACAATATATGCAAAAAAGTGAGCAGTTCAACCACCTTCACCACCTTCCGTCAAAAGTATTCAGGCTGTTTTTTCGGTTTTCGTTTTGCATAAGTAAGCACGGGCGGCGTGGGCGACGAGCGGAAATTGAAAAGGAGCAGCGGAAAAAGTGGGATAACAATAATATATATATGAGTTACTGTTCCAAAAGGCTGTGCTGAAATAGATGGGCCACCCAATGCCGCGGTCCATTCAAAACGATGTATCTCAGTTGCCGCTGAAGATATCAGTAAGTGCTAAACTGATAAAGATGACACAATGTTTTAATAAACATTATATCAGTTGACAACTTTTTTTTTTTTTTTGGATATTTCTACCGGTAGCTGAGATAAATTGTCCTGTTTGAATAGCGTTCACGGCAACTTCTGCTTCGGAATCTAGGTTTTACTGAAATATCATTTTGATCGGAGTCTCGTACCACGGTCTCCAGAGCTGACAATGGGCGCGCAAGTGCGCCCCGCCCAATAGAGCGATACATTGGCGCGAAATTCAAATGTTAACAGCCAATTTTGTGTTTTTTTGCCAGATTAGCCACGAAAAACCGATAGCTTCTCATTTGTCTCTCGATAGACCGATTGTATAGGGCTATTACGAATTTTTTAAGCGCAAGAGCATTAAATTTGGTCAAGTCGCAAATCGCATTTATCCGTTTGAAGGTTTTTGGCTAAAACTGCGTGAATTTCAGTTGCTTTTCAGTAATTTTCGCTGTTCGAGAAAAAAAATGCTTGTATTTACGTGATTTCTCATTCTCAAAACCAATTCTGTCTTAAAAACGGTCAAGAAGGCGCGAAATGAGAAGTGCGGTTTTTAGGCGGCGATCGGCGGCGAAGGCGAAAAAGCAAAGTCGGCGAAAAATGCGCCAAAACGTCATTAATTCTCGAGAATTAGCGTGTTTTCATGTCGAACAATCGTCTTTTCATCGCCGTTGACCACAAAAATCAGAGAAAACCTGCTCAATTTATGTAAACGCCATTTGGCCGGGGCCACGCCCATATTGTCAGCTCTGGAGACCGTGCGTACGGAAAACGTGGCAAAGGTAACGGTTCCCTTTATTCCCGTTATTTTCTAAGCATTGCGGAACATCGGAGCGTCGTACCGAAAGTCCAAAGCCACGTCATCCATCTACCGTAGCTCCATCTTTTTCTTCTCCGCATCCATTCATCCATCATCATCTGTTTTAGTCGTGGTTTCCCCCCCAAAAACACACAACTACAAAACGATCATCCTCCTCCGCACCAGACTTTTTGGGACGGCGTCAAAAACATCATACATCATCTCCTTCTTCTTCTTCTTTTTCTTCCATCTCCGCCTTCCCCCATCAGTCCCAAAATAGTAGAAGTATTCTCTTTTTTGTGTGTGTGTGTGTGTGTGCACGCTTTTTTCTTTTTTCTTTTCCGGCGGCGGAGGCAAAAGGAGAGGGCGGCGGCATCGCGATGTACGACTATACGGAGCAAAAAGAGCAGCCAAATGGGGGAAGAGCCAAGAGGTCCCTGGAGAAATCGCAAAGAACGCGAGAACCTCATGAGCTGTACGGTTGTTTTTTTTTGAGGGCAGAATACATGAGCGAACTTTGACCTCCTACTGTATCTTGAGCAATTTTTCAAACGATAGATAATTTTATGCTCTACAACATTGCAGTTGCAGTTGAAAATTTCTCCAGCATTTTTTCCGCTAGATTAACTTTAACCTACTGTATATCAGGTGACGGAACACGACTGGAAAGAGTACGTGCTCTACAACTTAGCAGTTCACGATTTTCGGCTGCTCTTTCAGATATTTAGAAAACCCTTGACTACAAAGTTAAAGAGCATGAAACGGATCTTTCAAATGTTGTTTTGAACGTCATGATGACTCATAAAATCTTCAAAATTTGCAGACAAAGTTCATCTAGACAAAGTTCATCATTGAATTTGTTTGATGTAACCAGATTTTCACAAAAACGACAGTACTCACATTTGGTTTTGAGATGAGAAGAGCGGGCGGTTTCCGGGGTCCTCCGCCGATGTTCGATGATCCTTGTGGCTGGGCCGGTCCCTCTTTATTCAGGTTCATTCGACCTGGAAGTCCGGCGGTTAAACGAGGCGAGGAAAAGGTGGGAAAGGACGCAGGAAACGGGTGAAAACGGGGTTCTGAGAATGGAAAACGGTGGTGCCCGATGGCTACGTGACATATTTCGAGCTGAAAAAGACAGAATAAAGTGACGGGCCCCTATTATATAGATATCCGGAGGCCCTTTTCGAAGAGCATCGATCGGGGGAGCAGCTAGGGGAGAGAAGGCTTTCGAGACGACTCACTCCTCCTTGCTCACTCCCCCTCCCTCTCCCTCTCCCTCTTCTTCTTCTTCTTCTTCTTCGGGGTGGGGGTGGGCACGAGAGCGAGAAAGAGAGAGAGAGAGAGAGAGAGAGGGAGAGGCGCCGTGTCCCGCGACTACGGATGAGTGGATGGGGAGGGAAAAAAGAAGAAGAAGAAGAAGAAGAAGAAGAAGAAAAAAGTAGAAGGAAGGGTGGGGGGACACTTGAGGGACCGCACACGCACATTTTGAATGAATAATTGGGTCGACAAGGGAAAGAGAGAGAGAGAGAGAAAGAGAGAGAGAAAGTGCGCTTTTTTCTAGGAGGAAACAAGCGGCAAAGCTCATGTGAGAGCCAAACGAAAACGAAAGAGGAGGGCGGCGGCGGTTTCGTTGGCTCATGAATTTGATATGATGTGGTTGGAGATGGAGCAGAATGAGAAGAAGAAGAAGAAGAAGAAGAGAGAGAGAGAGAGAGAGAGGGTACGGTAGATTTGATCGGTGAGCTGAATGAGTAATAGCGGAAGCAATTCGAGGTAGCCTAACGGAAACTGACGCGGAGGATCTAACGCAGAAGGGTTTTCAAGTGAGAAAAGAGATGAGAAACTTTAAGATCTGAAGCTTTGCGTTTGTCTAATAAACTTGGCTAACTTTTCACTCACAAGGACTAGCAAAATCTTCGTCCGGCCCGAAATCTTGCGAGCCTGCTTTATAGATGCGTTCATGAGTACAAACTATTGTAATCCATGTCCCGGGCCGGCCTTTAATTAATGCCTTTTAATGTCTAAAACCCCTTTTTTCTTGATAGAAGAGCACAACTGAAAGTGAAAATGAAAGTGCATACCAAACATTTCTCCTCCTTCTTCATCCTACTTTATCCTCTTTTCTCCCAACCCCTGATCGAACACAACTCCGCCTCCATCTGTGCTCTTCTTCTTTTTCTTCAAGATGTGTCTGGTGAGGAGGAGAATGAGTGGATATTAAGCGAATAATGAATGATCCATATGATAATTCGGCCGATTGACGCACATTCGGGATAATCCCGTCTCCAAAGTGTGCTCCCCCTGCTGATGGGGCGGTGCTCTTTTATTGGCAAAGGGGGGAGCTTTGATCAAAAATCATCAACATTGGAATGCTCTTTTTAGATTTCAAGAGCGTACCGAAGCGTGTCTACATTTTTCTCATCAACTCTTCATTATGATGGGCAGCAGTAAAAGTCGCTGGGCTTAAAACCTCCAGACACCTTAGAAAAGCAAAAGGAACCAAAGCGATGAGACGAACATCAAAATCGGCTCAAATCGGCGGAGCTGATCACTCCGGCTGAGACTGATTATCCGCGACGTTACGGCGGATAAACCGTTGACGCGTCGAAATGATCAAAAGCGCGCGGGGACTCGCAAAAAAAATTCCAGTTCCAGAAGAAAAAAGAGAAAAACAAGAAGGCCACGGGGTTCCCCGATGGAAATTTTCACGTAAGTTTTCAGCAACAAAAAAAAAGAGAAATGAAATGCGCACATTTTGAGCAAAAAAATATTCAGAAATACCCGAATTCTACACGGTCTCCCACGGCGCGAATGAATTCAATGGAGCGCACTTGCAACAGGCGGGTTGTGTCGATTTACGCGGCGGCCGATTAATTAATTTTCAACGGGAGTTCGCGTTCTCGCCATGTTTTCTGTACAATACACCTCTTTTTTGTAGGCCTGGAACCTGGATTTGAATAATTAGAGCACTAGCTACGTTTTGGTAACAGAAATCTCGCATATCGTTGAGAATTAGCCGAGTTATTTCGATTTGAAGGTTTTGGCCTGGATTTTGATGTTTTTCGAATAGTTTTTGGAAACTGCTCAAGAAAACCAACCGCCGGAACCTGAATTTTGTGAAGAAAGATTCAGCGAACATTTTTATCGTTCGTTGGGCTCATGAAATGCAAAATGAGCTGAAATATAAAGGTTTGAAGTTTTGACGAAATTCGAAAAACATGAAAAACTCGAAATTCTGTTAAGAACGTTTCCAATCAGTAAAATATTAAAATTATGCACAACTACACTCAATTCAATTACTTTTTTTATCCGCAAGCGCATTGATAAAAACAAATAAACTATAATTTACATTATATGTTTTTATAAATAATATTTTTGGGCTTATAGAAAGAGAGAGAGAGAGAAATAAACATTTATTATCTATAAAAATTGGTAACAAGGTACATATAAGAGATTCTCAGATAAATGGTCTGAAGGCTTTATGACCTAAAAATGAAATTTTTCGAAAATGATGCATTTTCTGGTAATTAAGACACAAAATGGAGTTGTAAATGTTCAAAAATGATCAAAAACTGCAGAAAATCAAGTTTAGGCAAAAAGCTGTCACAGCGTCAACCTTTTATATACTACTAAGGTGTCACTCTCTTGTCTGATTACATTCCGATTGATAAAATCCCCTGGAATATCCGCGAAATTCCACTTTTCTAGCGGCGGCGTTCAACAATTTCGCAGAAAAAAACTATAGAACCCAATTACATATTTCTGAATATTTTTTGAAGATTCGATATTATTCTGAAACTCTCAAGACTCACAGTTAGATAAAAAGTTGGTCCAGAAAAAAGAGATGGACGTTTTGCAACTCTACTTTTGCTACCGAAACTCGGATGACTCAACGCTAAGGAAGACGTTTTGCATCGATTCTAACTAATTCTAGTTGCTGTTAGTTGCAAAATGTCCATGCGCGCCAGTTTGTTTCCAATACAATTGGATAACCAAAAGCTGGTAGTGTAATTTATTATTGTACAGGCTCATAAACTTTAAAAAACGAAAGATGAAACAAATTTATCAATCATCGCATTCCGGCTTGTAAATCTTGACTTCCATTGGCTAAAAAACACTCATTAACGGAACAAACTACCTTTTTTTATTCGCTACTTACATCATCGACAATAGTACCATTAACCGGCGAGTTGTCGATGAATCCATCCGCTTCGGATCCTTCTCCATCTCCCGCTTCTTCCTCTCCTTCCTTACTCGGCTCCGCGTTTTGCTCTGAATCATTTTCTGCTCATTTCTTAGCCGCTTCAGCTTTAGAAAAGCCAAAAACCGTTCCGGACTCACTGGGAACGCACGCCTTCTTCCTCTCCTCCTCCTCCTGCGAGTCGCCCACTTGTTTGTCGATTTGTGTGTGGTAGGTCTGGTCGCCGACGGCGTCCAAAAGCGTGTTTTGTGGCGGGAATAGGTACTGGATGTCTGGAAGTGAAGGATGATGACTCTCGTATTTTCAATTAGAAAAACGCTCATTTTATGATGTTTTCCTGTGCTCTTGCGCTGTTTTTCCCAGAAATTGTATCACCGATCACCATAGGTTAACCGCCAATATCACTTCCTTTGGATGGCCTTGAAAATAGAAAACGCACCTTTGATCTCGATCGGAAATGAAGCCACCAGGACGATAATGAACACGAAAAACGCGGCGATTGATCGGTAGAACCGCATTTGTAAGTGCGGGCAAACTTTTCTGACGAAATTCAATTAGAAAGGAATTAGTGATGGTCATGAGTCATTGGAAAAGTAAAGGATGGACGGAGAGAAGAAGAGAATGACCTAGATCGGACGGGTAGTCAGTTTTTTTAGAAAGAGAGAGAGAGGGATAATATTCGTTTTCATTTCACCCGAAAAAAAAGGAAGTTGGCTCTCTCATTCACGGGAATGTGAAAGATGAAGAGATGAGAGGCGTCAATCAAAAAAAAAAACAGAGAAAGTGAGAAAGAGAGTGAGGTGCCTAAATGTTTGTTGTTCGACTAGAGAAGAAAAGGAAGAAGAAGAAGAAGAAGAAGAGAAAAGACCACTCTCTCTCTCCCGGTTTTATCGTTTTTTTTCGCTTCTCTCGCCACTCCATCAGCTGCGTTCCTCTTCAATTTCAATCCAATTAAACTGGGCGAGAAAGAGATGGAAACTTGATAATTACGCAACATTTTGATGACGTGGCATGTTTCGTAACTTCAAAATCAATTGTTATTTCAAAAATTGTCAACGTCACGGTCTCCTCAGAGCAGACAATGGGCGCGCAAGTGCGCCCCGCCCAATAGAGCGATACATTGGCGCGAAATTCAAATTTTAACAGCAAAATTTGTGTTTTTTGCCAGATTAGCCATGAAAAACCGATAATTTCTTATTTTTCTTTCGATAGACCGATTGTATAGGCTATTACGAATTTTTTAAGCGCAAGAGCGTTGAATTTGGTCAAGTCGCAAATCACATTTATCCGTTTGAAGGTTTTTGGCTAAAACTGCGTGAATTTCAGTTGCTTTTCGGTAGTTTTCGCGGTTCGAGCGCTCAAAATGCTTGTATTTACGTGATTTATCATTCTCAAAACCAATTCTGTCGGAAAACGGTCAAGAAAGCGCAAAATGAGAAGTGCGGCACGGGGTCGTGACGAGTACATCGAAAACTAAAATTTGAACCTCCGCCGACGGTCGATTGCGTAGCGCCCCTATCTTCACGGTGATTTTTTCTCGGGGTGCAGTGGAGAGAGGAAGAAAGTTCGGCCGTCGTCCCGTGAACTGTCGGCTGCTGATTTCGCCGGCCGGTGGCACGCTCCCTAAGCATTTTTCCGCGCGCCAAAACTTCTGATGCGTGCTGTTCGAAGAATACTCATTCATTTTTCCTAATTTTTTGGGAACGAGTTCATTATGATTAAAACTCGCAAGCAGCAACGAGAAACCCGCAGGCAGCAACGAGAAACTCGCAGAAATGTCTAGGGGTGACTGCCAAAACTGTTTTTGTTCGAAATATGACTGCTCGTGCGTGCTTTTTGTGTCTCTTTGTTAGTTTACATCATAATGAACACGTTCTCAAAAAATCAAGTGAAATGAATCAGTATTCATCCGACGGCACGCATCTGAAGTCTCAGAACAGCCAAGGAGCGCGCGGGCGGCGGACGGCGGCGCGCTCTCCAATCCTTCTTCTGTGCGCCGCAACTTCAGATGCGTGCCGTCGGACGAATACTGGTTTATTTCACTTGATTTTTTGAGAACGTGTCCATTATGATGTAAACTAACAAAGAGACACAAAAAGCACGCACGAGCAGCCATTTTTCGAAAAAGCTATTTTCCCAGTGGCCTATAGACATTTTTGCGAGTTTCTTATTGCTCTTTGTTAGTTTTGATCATAATGAACGCATTCACTATGACAATGAATAAGATGAATAAGTATTTCTCCGGCGGCACGCATCTAAAGTCCCTGGAACGCTGCATCGGAGCCTTCGTGGACGACCTTCTGCCGTTCGGCCATGTTTTGGGACCAAAAGTAAACTGGTCGGGACCAACTTTTTTTTGCTGTTCTTTTTTTAAAAAAAAAGCTCTTTTAATTTAGAAGAAAAGTATGCGGATGATTAAGAATTGTACGGTCCAGTTTTTGAGAAAAATCTGGAAAACCTGTTTTGGCCTAGTAGAACGGCGTGACCCCGCGGCCAGGGTCGCGGGGTCGCGGACTAGAAACCTCCGCGAGACCCCAAAGAGAAATCACCGTGATCTTAAAGCATTAGGCCAAAGCAAAATTTTTGAAAATTTCAGTAGAGCGCACTTGCGCCAGTGTACCCCGCAACGACTCTGTGTGCGGTTTTTAGGGGGCGATCGGCGGCGAAAGCGAAAAAGCAAAGTCGGCGAAAAATGCGCCAAAACGTCATTAATTCTCGAGAATTAGCGTGTTTTCATGTCGAACAATCATTTTTCATCGCCGTTGACCACAAAAATCAGAGAAAACCTGCTCAATTCGCGAAAACGCCATTTGGCCGCCGAGGCCACGCCCATATTGTCAGCTGTGGAGACCGTGAACTGGAAAGTTGTTGCAAATTTTGTGCTCGATAACTTTGTAATTGATCATTTTGACCTTGAACTTTTCACTTTTGAGTTATGACGAGAAAATTGTACTTTATTGAATTGAAACATGCACACTCACACAAATACACAAAAATATGGTAGATCTCAGGATTTGAAACCCGCTTAGCGATCATCCTGAGACGCGAGAATCAATAGTTAAAGCTTGGACCGTTTTCATATATATATATATATCATAATACAACTAGAAATCAACGGGTTCACACTTCGATGCTCGAATCGTCCTGCTTCGAAGTGTCCGAATCTTCGGAAGTCGACGTGGAAGTCGGCGACGGTTTGGTCGAATACAAAAGGAATCGAAGTTTGGCGGCCTCCTGTTGCAGAATGGTTATTTGACCGCGAAGTTGGAGATTCTCTTGCTCCAACGCATGCGCTTTCGCCGCGATTGCCTCCTCTTTGTGACGTCGCGCGTCACGCGAACGCTTCGCCGCGTCGTTGTTTTTCCGGCGCCGTTCGAAGTAGGCGTCGTCCTGAAAAAAGTGTCATGTTCAGAAAGGTTTTATGTGAGAGTGTCGTTCTTAATTCAAGAAGATATCCATATAAAAATACGTTTAACAACCAAAACCAGTAGGCAAAGACTTCTCAAAGTGGTCAATCCCTAATGCCGCGTCCAAAGTCTCGGAAAACCGGCAAATCTCGCGGATTTTGCAGTCCAAAGTCGGCAGAAATTTGCGGGAAATCCGGGGTGCGCACAGCTAAACGAGTGTTACCGTACACCATAAAAACTACGGAATTTTTTTGAAAAATTTACCCAAGAAATTTGAAAAAAATTGCAAATATTGACGAGAAATTTAAATTTTTTTCAAAAAAATTCCGTTGAAAAATTAACCCAAGAAATTTGAAAAAAATTGCAAATATTGTCGAGAAATTTAAATTTTTTTTCAAAAAAATTCCGTTGAAAAATTTACCCAAGAAATTTAAAAAAATTGCAAATATTCTCGAGAAGTTTAAATTTTTTTCAAAAAAATACCGTTGAAAAATTTACCCAAGAAATTTGAAAAAAATTGCAAATATTCTCGAGAAATTTCAATTTAAAAAATACCGTTGAAAAATTTACCCAAGAAATTTAAAAAAATTTCAAATATTCTCTATAAATTTAAATTTTTTTCAAAAAAATACCGTTGAAAACAAATTTCTGCCGACTGTGTGGACTGCAAAATCCGCGACATTTGCGGGTTTTCCGAGACTTTGGACGCTGCCTAATCTCAGCTTCCCTTCTTCGACTCATCTTCTCACTATCATAAGATTACTCGGGGGAAAAGATATCGCACCACACACTTTTTACATCTTCTTCGTAACCCAACATTGGTCGCAGAGGTCGCGCATTTTACACAACATCGCCTAGAAGAGTGGTCGCGTAAAAAGTCTCCCGTTTACACTAGAAACACAACTGTTCGACGCTCTTTTACGCGTTGCGCGGCCGTGCTCGCCGACCGCTTTTTGACACTCGATATCAGAGTTTCTTTGGTGCAAATGCGCTCTACCGTAGTACACCCGGTGATGAATGAGAGAGAGAACATGAATAATGTAAATATAGGAACCTCTCTAGAGGGAACAGTAGGTGGATAGGGTTGCGCAACGCAATGTGTCCGGTCAACCCTCTCATCATTACGTCCGCCCACGCATATTCAAATTCTTACAGACACCCGAAGACGTTTCGCAACCAAATAGTCGATAGAACTGGTGTGATATGGTTGCAAAGCGTTCCGAATCAGTATAGGACGTCTTGCAACCGGACGGCTTTGGTAATTAGTGTTAAACATGTTGAATGGGCGTTGCAGAGTTTCATTTCACTATTGACAGACGATTCGCAACCGGCCATGGTATTGTGGGCTTATCGAAGCGTTAGAGAAACGCGGTTGCGAAACTGTTCGACGTTTTGCAACCGAGAACCTAGTCCTCGACCCAAAAAAACACCTCAGGGTCTCTCTGTCATCCATTCAAATTCCGACACGGTGGTCGTCGAATAGCACATCCCCTCCGGCAGACGCAATTATCGCTCGGAAACGAAGGCAACAGTTGGGTGGCGCGAAACAATGAGCAGCAGAAGAAGAGGAAGAAGAGCAGTAATTGGCGGTCCGGGACCAGAGGAGGAGGGGGGGGAGGTCAGCAGCTACCGCACGATAAAACCTCGGATGAGGCTTTTTTTTGAATGGATGAATGCCAACATCCGGCAGCAATTATTGTAGGTTAGCTGGCTAGGGCTAGGGGATTACGGTAACCGAGCAGTACGGTTTTTTGTTGAAGAGAGGCTCTGGCAAGAAACTCATTTTGCATTGCAGACTGCAATGATCTCAGAACCGAGTTTGAAGAAAAATGAATGACGATTCATAGTCAAAGTAGGTCACAACTAAAAAGAAAGTCAAAGCCCCCGAGCTGTGCGCCGTGTCTGGAGACGTGTGCTCGTGTTGCGCAAGTGACAGGAGTCAAGTTGCGTAACAGAACACTTTTGTGTAAACAATAAAGCACAAGAAGAAAAAGGAAACACACCTTTTTCTCCTCCGGAATCGGACAAGACGGCTTACGCGATGGAGAGCGTTGTGGACTGGAGAACTGCAAATATGGAAGAGTTTTGGTTTGGCACCAAAGCACCTCATCTTGAAATCAAGTGCCGAAAATGCTAAATAATAGGAAGGAATTCAAACCGACATCAAAAATTGTTCAACAGATAAAAAGTGCCGAATGTGTTTTTGAGAGCATTTTATCAGTTTACAACTTTTTGTTATCTTGTCTTGAATATCGAAAAAGACTCACGTGAGAACTGCTGACCGTGCTGGAACGACTCGAGACCGGACTGCACAGATCCTCCTCCAACTTTGCTTTTTTCGTGGGCGTCAACAACGAAGAGGTGGACGTCGGCAGACCGGCCGAATCGAACGGAACTATGCCGAGCGGCGCGTCCAATTTCGAGGCGAGCGCTCCGAATCCGCCGTCGGCGAACGGGAAGCCAAGTGAGCCGAGCAGAGGCTGAACGGCCGCCTGATTCGAGAAAAGCGCCGAGAGTGCTCTGTGGATGTCCATCGGAATCGGAGAAGGAGGAGGAGGGGCTGAAATTGAGGGGGTGGGGGGACTATGAGAGAAAGGGAACGGAAGAGAAGAGAAGAGAAGAGGAAGGGGTCAAATATTTACATAATCATAAAAACTGTGTAGAGATGGATTAGGTTGGAATGAGAGGAATGAGTGGGAGGGGGAGGCACGAGTTGATAACGATGCAAAGTGTCTATTTTTGTTTTGTTCACACCCAAAATAAGCTAGGTGCTTCGTTCGTAAAACTCAAAATGTTTGCAGAGGCAAGAAAAACGAGTGATAGAGTCAAACATCACATTTTTACACTAACTCAGACTTTCTGAAAGTTCTTGGAAGCTCAGAAGCTTTGGATGATGCTGAATTTGCAGTTGCAGAGATCTGGAAACGTTCAGAAGAACAACAAAAACACAAAAACACAAAAATGAATAGCTCGGAGCCTGTTGCACCACACGACACTCGTTCAGGAGACAGTCAGTGACAGGGGAGTGCGCGGAGCAAGAGTGATTGCGCAGCGGCTGTCCCGGGGCCTCTCCCGGGTGGCAGGAGAGACCGCCCATCGGTCGATCGGCACGCGGAAAGAGAGGAGGAGGTCACCACCGGTCATCAGGGTGCAACAGTGCGCGCAACGCGGAAATAGCGTTACGCAGAGAGGGGGACCGTATGCGATGGCATTTGAATATTCGGCCGTCCCGTAGAGGAAGGCGGCTCTCTCTCTCTCTCTTTCTCTCTTCTGAGAGCTCTTATGCAACTCTACGTAATCGCATCGGCTGTCTGCTAGGGACACACTTGGCACTTGGTTTTGATTGCGCAATTTGATCGGTTGATGGATGGAACGGTGAAAAGTTTGAATGATAAGGAGACGGTCGGACATAGATTGGAGCTAGCCACGGTCTTCAGAGCTGACAATTTGGGCGTGGCCTCGGCGGCCAAATGGCGTTTTCATGAATTAAGAGCACTTTTTCTCTGATTTTTGTGGTCAACGGCGATGAAAAATGATTGTTCGACATGAAAACACACTAATTCTCAGAATTAATGACGTTTTGGCGCATTTTTCGCTGGCTTTGCTTTTTCGCCTTGGCCGCACTTCTCATTTTGCGCTTTCTTGACCGTTTTCCGACAGAATTGGTTTTGAGAATGATAAATCACGTAAATACAAGCATTTTGAGCGCTTGAACCGCGAAAACCACCGAAAAGCAACTGAAATTCACGCAGTTTTAGCGAAAAACCTTCAAACGGATAAATGCGATTTGCGACTTGACCAAATTTAACGCTCTTGCGCTTAAAAAATTCGAAATGGCCAATACAATCGGTCTATCGAGAGACAAATCAGAAATTATCGGTTTTTCGTTTCTAATCTGGCAAAAAACACTAATTTTGCTGTTAAAATTTGAATTTCGCGCCAATGTATCGCTCTATTGGGCGGGGCGCACTTGCGCGCCGTGGCTAGGAGAAAGAAGAAACTGAAAAAGTGGAAAAGTATGGTTTTCTGTTTGTCTTTCCGGTCGGATTCGGCGTCGATTTCTGTAAAACATCAGTGTACTTTTGAAATTAGAGTCGACAATATATCCTTTTACCACATTAATTTTTCTGCGCTTACAGTGACTTTTTCGTGAAGTTTGTACCTGTAAAGAAACCGTTTTTTGGTTGCGAAACGTCCAGGTGTCTGGTTGCCAAGTGGACAAGTACAAGTCCACAGGTACTTGACCTTCTTTTGGTGTACTCTTCTCGGAATCGGGACCAACCGACTTTGTTCCCAGATTTTCGTCGATTCGTGCTCACTGACTGTTCGCAACGAGACGTTTCGCAACCCACACAAACTTTCACAGTGGAATTGTGTTTTGCAAAATGTCAGGCGAGCCTTCTAATCATCTCCAGGTGTCTCTCTGTGTTCGGGAAACGCAAAAAAAGGAGTGTTACCCAACACAACGCAATAATTTCGTAATTCGGTTCGAATCCACTCTCGTTCCCATTCCCATCATCCAAAAAAGAATCGAATGGGCGAGGGGAGGGGGTTATCATTTGAGAAAGCCGCCCGTCCGCCCGCCCGCCCGCCGCCCATGTGTTGCTCTTTTTTGTCGGGCGGTCCTGTGTCGGCTCTCCAGATTTTCGCGCACAAAAGGCCGTGAGCATTGAATTACCATTAGGCACGCTTGGACCATTCATATTAGTATTCGAGGAGGGGTACTGTAAAGCCGTCAATCATGCACAATTGCTCTGCAGGGAATCGTGGGCTTCACTTCTTTTTTTTCTAATGGTAATATGCAAATAAATGCCATCTCTGCAGAGCTCTGCCAGTCTTCCGCCCACACAAAAAGTTACAAAGAAGGATTGAGGGAGGAGCAAACAAATGTAATGGTCCCTTTCTGTCTTTGAGGTATCAAGGTGTTTGTGTGTGACGGACGGACGGACGGACCAGCGCATTACCGGGTCATATTTGTATGACCGAGGCGGACTGGAGGACCACGGATATCGGAATTGCTAATGGGTTCTCTCTCTCTCTTTTTTGAATGGAACAGGCAGAGACAGGGAGAGGGAGGAACAGTTCTTTTTGAATTGGGTGACACTTCTGTGATGGATGGATAATATCGGTTTGATGATGATTTGGTAATGTGCTAGACACAGGCTTTTCGCACTTGAATTGAAGGATGTTTTTTTTAAATTTAGCATCTGATGAACATCATCCAGAGTTGAGCGGAATTCCGTCTGCCGTCTTCCGTCTTCCGTCTTCCGTGGATTTTTTTGTTCCGTCTTCCGTCTGCCGTCTTCCGTGAGAAAAGTTTTCTTCCGTCTTCCGTTTTCCGTGTTCCGTAAAAAAACTTTTTTCCGTCTGCCGTCTGCCGTCTTCCGGATTTCAAAATTCCATTTCCGCTCAACTCTGACATCATCACGGATCCAACATTCACTTAAGCCCATTTGAAACTTTTTGATGGCCTGCCGAGGCCAAGGCTTTTCGCCCAGTCGCAATACTCCGATTGTAGCCAAGGTTTAGAGGATCCAAGAGGGCACCCGTTTCTCTGCGTTTTCTCCCCCCTCCTTTTGCTCTGTCGCGTCGCCCAATGCAAACGCGCTCCACGGAGACGCACCCTTCCATTATCGAGTATTGGCCGCTTTGCGCGATATCGACCCGTTGCGTTCAAATTGAATCGTTCCTTCTCAATTCGCGTTCAAATTTCCAGATGAGCTCCTCATATCTAGTGCTCAGTCTCAAGTTGGTGAGTGAAAGTGGAAAAGTATCGGAGCGGCGCCTGGTGGACACGAATTACATCAGTTACGAGCACGACGAGGACGGAAAACCGTGGAAGGCGATCATCAAAAACAGTTACGGGGATGTGGTACGTGTTTTTTTTTTGCAATTTTCGAGTTGAAAAGTAGTGGAAAAAACAATTTTTCAGAAATTTGAGCTCTACTACGATATGCTCATCGGTGACGGGTTCTACAGAGAAGGTATGCGAACATTTAGGAACGGGAACTTTCATATAATTCTTTGTTTTCAGAGAACGCAAAGAGACGGTTGATCCGAAACTTTGTTCGCATTCGAATCGATCCGGATCACCCGAAAAATGTGAGGAGGTGAGTATTATCTGTCCGTTACACAGTATTATCCATTTGAATAAATTTTGCAGAGCCGCTCTCGCAGTCATCGCCTTCCAAGAGCCTCTGGACGTGTGGAAGTGGGTGCTGCCGGCTCGAAGGGAACTGAACAGAATGATCAGAAGGGCCAGGAGAGGTATGTGTTAAAATTGCAAAGATCACAGTCTCCAGAGCTTACAATGGGCACGCAAGTGCGCCCCGCCCAATAGAGCGATACATTAGCGCGAAATTCAAATTTTAACAGCAAATTTTGTGTTTTTTGCCAGATTAGCCACGAAAAATCGATAATTTTTCATTTGTCTCACGATAGACTGATTGTATAGGCCATTACGAATTTCTTAAGCGCAAGAGCGTCAAATTTGGTCAAATCGCAAATCACATTTATCCGTTTGAAGGTTTTTGCCTAAAACTGCGTGAATTTCAGTTGCTTTTCGGTAATTTTCGCGGTTCGAGCGCTCAAAATGTTTGTATTTACGTGATTTATCGTTCTCAACACCAATTCTGTGTGAAAACGGTCAAGAAAGCGCAAAATGAGAAGTGCGGTTTTTAGGCGGCGATCGGCGGCGAAGGCGAAAAAGCAAAGACGGCGAAAAATGCGCAAAAACGTCATTAATTCTGAGAATTAGTGTGTTTTCATGTCGAACAATCATTTTTCATCGCCTTTGACCACAAAAATCAGAGAAAACCTGCTCAATCCATGCACCGGACAGAAAGGGCGCGCTGTTCGCAATCTGTCCGAATTTCTAGGCCGCGAAGTAATTTTCCACTGAAAACGTGGCCTAACTTTTCAAACTCGGCCCCGAGGTCGCTCAATTTGCACTGCAAAAAGAGTTTCTCAACAGAGCGCCATTTCTGTGCGGTGCCCCTATAATAATTCTGAGAACTAGTGTGTTTTCATGTCGAATAATCATTTTTCATCGCCGTTGACCCCCAAAAATCAGAGAAAACCCGCTCAATTCATGAGAACGCCATTTGGCCGCCGAGGCCACGCGCTCATAGTGTCAGCTCTGGAGACCGTGGCAAAGGGAAACATTTAAATACATTTCTCCGCGAGCCCTCCCCCAATATTCTCTAATTTCCAGAGCGCAGAGCTGCCGGACTGCCCGAAGTGCGGCCCCTCAAGCCGTACGCATTCGACAATCAGAATCCGTATGCGAAAGACCCGCGACGTCCGAGAGGATACGATCGGAAGACGTGGATGGACCACGTGCCGCCCGACTCGGAGTCGCCCGAAGAGGACAATACGACGGAGGAGGTGCGCGTGGCGAGTGTTACGCCGACGCCGGCCGACTCGGATTGGGCCGCACCGCCGGAACCGTCCGCGCGGATCGGAACTCCCAAACTGACGGACGACGTGGACGAGTCGCCGTGGGGCGAGATGGCCGATTGGCCCACGTATTACAAGAAACCGGAATCGCCACCGTTTGACGATGTGCTCGATTATTCTCTGGATCTGCTTGTCGCTGAAGTTGAGGAAGAGTCGAAGCGAGATCAGGAGGAGATGGAAAGGGAACGGGACAAGCTGGTTAACAGGTTCAAAAATGTGGAGCCGGAAAAGGAGCTGGAGATGGAGCTCGAACTGGCGCTACTCAACGGGCAAGACTATAAGCCAGAGCGCGAGACAATTCTTCGTGAGCCGGCGCCAGTAAAGCATGAGAAACCGATGGAGGAAATTGACGATATCCCAGAGGAAATGGAGGAGAAAGAGCAGGAATGGGAGATAATTCACGATGAGCCAATGGAAACGGGCACTCCTGAAGCGCCAAAATCTCCAGAACCTGAAATTGAACAGGTGGCAGCGGATGATGTGAATTTCGGAAACTTGATCGGAGAAGTGCAGCCGGCCGGGTACTTTTCCGACGAGGAAGACCTGGAGCAGTGGCTGAATCAGGAAGATGAGCAGAAGTTGGACGAGGATCAAGAGGAAGAGAAAGAAGAAGAGAAAGAACAGGAGCGAGAGCTAGAGGAGGACCAGGAAAAGGAGGAGGAAGAACAAGAGCAAGAGATTAATGACAGAGAGAAAGAAGAAGAGGAAGAAGAGCCGAAAGATCGGCGGTACAGTCTGAAACGGAAGTATGAGGTGGAAGAGGAGAAAGACGAAGAGGAGAAGAAGGAAGAGGCGAATCAAGAAGTGAAGGAGAACGGAAAAGTCGCCGGAAGAAACATGTGAGTCTTTAACAACAACTCGCGGTCTCCCACGGGGCGCTAATGCTAAACACAGTGCGCGCGTAAATTGCGGAGTGTCGTTGTAACTTTTTAAAATTTGCAGTTCAAACCTTTATATTTCAGTTTATTTTGCATTTCATGAGCCCAACGAGCGACAAAAATGTTCGCTAGATTTTTCTTTACAAAAACCCGGTTCCGGCGGTTGGGTTTCTTGACCAGTTTTCGAAAACTATTCGAAAAACATCAAAATCCACGCAAAGACCTTCAAATCGAAATAACTCGGCTATTTCTCAACGATGTGTGAGATTTCTGTTACCAAAACGCAGCTAATGCTCTAATTATTCGAATCGAGGTTCCGGGCGTTGAAAATTGAAGTTGAAAATGAAAACCGTTGAAAATTAATTAATCGGCCGCTGCGTAAATCGACACTGCCCGCCTGGTGCAAGTGCGCCCCATTGAAATCATTCGCGCCGTGGGAGACCGTGCAACTGAGATACATCGTCTTGAATAGACGGTATTGGGGCTCCTGTTCAGTTCAGTAATTACGGTACCTGTAATTCTTTCAGAGTGCTCGACAATCGTCGTATTATCGAATTGAAAGCGCCGATGCCGCCATGCAGAACCCGAGCTCGAGGCGCCATTCCAAACTCCATCAAAGTCTCGAAGCGCCAACTCATCCGCCAACGCACTCCGATAGTCGCCGCCACAGCCGCCACACGACTCCTCACCCGACGCGTCGAGGTTCCGAAATGCACTCGGGACAATGCGCACAGATGGTGAGTACTGTGTAAACATTCAAAATCCCAAAACGAATTCGAAGTTCAGCCTAAACAACGAGAGCAGCACGAATTGCTACATAAACGCGACACTGCAGGCGCTCTCGAGCTGCTTCCCGGCCGTCATTCGCATCCGATATTTGTGCAATCAGTACATGGGCGTCACAAATCGATTCGATCGTTTGACAAAATCGGAGAGACGTCTGATGTGAGTTTTTGTGCGACCGAGAAGTTGACACCATTCGTTTTGTTCAGGTTCATGTGCTTTGATATCGTCTACTGGCTCTCTCTGAGATCGACCGATTGGAAGGCAAATGATTGGTTCGAACCGAAGCATCAAAGATCGGAAGAAGCGCCGCTGGATCCGATTAATAAAGAGGTAAGTGTCATTCATAGTGTATTCACACTCTGACAATATGCGCTCTTTCAGTTCCTCGAAAGTTTCAAGCAGACATTCTGCAGGAAGCACAATTTTGCGCTCGACGAGCAACAGGACGCCTTCGAGTTCTTCATGTTCCTCCTCACCGACTTTGAAGATTCCATTGCGAAAGTGGACGCGAGTCCATTGACGAACGGAAACACCGCAAAATCGATTCCCCTGTTCCGAATGAACCCGAAAGAGCCGTTCAAAATGGACATTGAGGAGGTGCGCATTTGCAAAAATTGCCGCACCCGGACCCTTTCGACACGGATGGAGACCGAGCTGCGAGTGAATGTGGAGCCATATCGGAATGTGTTCGATTTGTTGCTGAAGAAGCAGAAACGGTGGACGGACATCAAGAGAAGATGCGAGCGGTGCAAGTGTCCGGAGGCGATCGAGTCGGAGAGGGTCGCCCGTTTTCCACAGTAAGTTCATCGTGTCCACGCCACGGTCTCCAGAGCTAACAATGGGCGCGCAAGTGCGCCCCGCCCAACAGAGCGCGATAAATTGGCGCGAAATTCAAATTTTAACAGCAAAATTTGTGTTTTTTGCCAGATTAACCACGAAAAACCGATAGCTTCTCATTTGTCTCTCGATAGACCGATTATATAGGCTATTACGAATTTTTTAAGCGCAAGAGCGTTAAATTTGGTCAAGTCGCAAATCAGATTTATCCGTTTGAAGGTTTTTGGCTAAAACTGCGTGAATTTCAGTTGCTTTTCGGTAGTTTTCGCGGTTCGAGCGCTCAAAATGATTGTATTTACGTGATTTATCATTCTCAAAATCAATTCTGTCTGAAAACGGTCAAGAAAGCGCAAAATGAGAAGTGCGGTTTTTAGACGGCGATCGGCGGCGAAAGCGAAAAAGCAAAGTCCGCGAAAAATGCGAAAAATGCGCCAAAACGTCATTAATTCTGAGAATTAGTGTGTTTTCATGCCGAACAATCATTTTTCATCGCCTTTGACCACAAAAATCAGAGAAAACGTGCTCAATTCATGAAAACGCCATTTGGCCGAGGTATATTATAGGGGCACCGCACAGAAATGGCGTTCTGTTGAGAAACTCTTTTTGCACTGCAAATTGAGCGACCTCGGGGCCGAGTTTCAAAAGTTAGGCCACGTTTTCAGTGGAAAATTACTTCGCGGCCTAGAAATTCGGTCAGATTGCGAACAGCGCGCCCTTTCTGTCCGGTGCCCCTATAATATATTGTCAGCTCTGGAGACCGTGCCACGTGGATCTTTTGACTAGTCTAAAGCGGGACTGGGCAAAAAGCTCTGAGCTGGACAAAACTTTTTTGAGCTGGACAAACAAAACTATTTTCAGAGTCCTGCTAGTGCACGTGAATCGGCTGGAACAAGACGACAAACGAGACGAAGAAGTGTACCCGAACATGGAGATCACCGCCGACGAACTGGGCACTTTTAAGGAAAGGCCTTCGGCGTACGGTCCGAACATTGCGTCGCTGAAAGAAGTGTCGCCAAACGACAGCTCTGTTGTTTCTTTAGAGCGGGTGCGTTAATGAAGTGCATAGCGGTTTTTCGAGAAATGCTTACTTTTTTGCAGTCCGACTCCGAGCACTGGTTCCAGCCGAATTTGGACCCAGAAACTCACGTGCAAATGCTCAAAAGTATGGGCATTTATCGGCAGCGAGTTGGAATCGACGGATACACGTGAGTTTATTAGGAGCAGAACAAACCGAAATGCTATTATTATTTTGTAATTTACAGAGCACACACGAAAGAATATCCGAAAAAGCCGGTGGCGCTGGGTAAATTCGCACCGCCCGGGAAGACGCGGTCGGTGTCCGGCGACGGGAATTGCTATTTTCGTGCGCTCTCGTGGATTCTGACAGGCCAGGAGAAGTCGCATAGTCTGATTCGGAAGCACGTGATGAACGAGGTGTATGAGCACAAAGAGCACTATAAGCGGTACACCGAGGAGAACATCACCGAGCACATCACGAAGATGCTGCGCGACGGCGAGTGGGCGACTCACGTCGAGATCATCGCCACCGCCGCACTCTTCAACGTCGACGTCTACACGTATTTGGAGGGCGTCTGGATTCGACACGCGCCGAGAACGCGGAAAGAGCAGCAGCAGCAGCAGCAGCAGACGGATCGCGACCCGAAGGCTGTCGGAGCGATTTATTTGAACAATCCGAACAACAACCACTACGATCCGGTGCTCACGATCGAGGGATTCGGCGATGCTGGTGGTCACGGTCCGGCCGTTCACGTCGCAAAGGTCGACACCGAAATTGTGATATATAAAAAACATAAATTTACAGAATAAGTACAAGCTTTGCGCGGTGATCTGCCACGAAGGAGATAAGCAAAGCGGTCATTACTTCACGTACAGCAAGGACTTGTACGATGACAAATGGTCGTACTGCTCCGATCAGACGATCGAAAAGATCGAGACGTCGCGGCTGAAAAGGAGCTGGAGAAACACGTGCTACATGCTCTTTTATAACCTTCAGCCTCCGCCAATCGAGCCATTTTGATTGGCTAATTTGTATTATATGTAATTAATTTTTTACTTTAAATTGGATACTCGTTCTCATGTTTTCGGCAATAGTTCATTTTCAAGCTTTATTCCCCTATTTATTTACAGTATTTATTGCTCATTCCACCCCATTCCCCCCTTCATTTCCGCGACTTACGATGTAAAAACTGTTCATATTTTTGCTCAATATCGTGCTGCGCCTTTGAATATCTACAGTTTCCCCCTAATGCAAATGCGCTCCACTATCAATTAATTGTAATTTTCCCCACTCAAGATTTTCTAATGCTTCTGCAATTTTTACCATTTTTTTAAAATCAAAGCTATCAAAAATAAAGTGTCACATTACTTTCTTTTCGATTTTTCCACTCTTTCACTTCAAAACTTCCCGAGAAACTTGCATTTTTCTTCACTGTTCCGCAAAAATTCCAACATTGGTCCTATTTTCAGATGGAAGACGAAGCAGTGCTCTTTATCATGAGCATGAGCGACACCATGTCGTTTCTGATGCCACCGCCCGTCGATATGGATCTGATGGACGAGTTTAAAGACGAAAATAATAATTGTGAGGCCGAAAAGTAATTCTGGCGTGAAATGCTTATGAAATTTCGTAAAATCTGAAGAGAAATTTGCAATTTTCCATCGTGATGACATTTCGCGCTGAAAATGAAAGAAAAATCAACAGAAATGTTATTTTTAGCGTACAAATCGCGGTGGGCCATGTGCACCGATATAATCCGTCAAATGATCGGCAAAATGGAAGGATGTCAAATCGACGTGGCGATTGCGAAGAACTCGGATCTCGGACTGAGCGTTACGCGCGGAAATTCCGACGAGAGGAGGGAGCCGCTTATGAATCTGCTCAACGCGATTTCGACGACGTTGACGTCGAACGGACGCGCGAATCCCGAGTTTGCGGTCCGTGAAATCGACAAATTTCTGAATTCGGACCAGAATAAAACCCGGAAAATCCACTGTCACTGGTTCATCGACGCTGAAACTTTTCTGGAATTCGTTAGTGATCTAGAACACACACCTTTCAATTTTCGCATTCAGAATCCTTCGTCGATCGATCGCAACTTCAAAAATCTGAAAATGTACGTCGTCGGCCAAATACGAACTCTTCACGATCGAATCGAAACGGCGAAGCACTTCACTGCCACGTGGCAACACAAAATTGGCACCGATTTGAAATTTATGCTGTGCGGGGCGGATTTCGACGATTTACGGGCGGAAATTAGCGAGGAAAAGCGGTTGGAATGGCGGGAGAAGACGGTGAAATTCGTTTTTGGACACAAGGAATTCGATGTGCAGGTTTGAAATTCAATTTATTTATTTGAAGCAAATCCTTTTCCAGCTCCTCCAAAAAGCCGTGTTCGGAAGTGCGGAATGTCCGCTCGAATTAATCTCGTTCGTCGGAATTCTGCCCGAAATCGAGCTGTGCCGTCTGAACGATTTCAACGAGAAGCGCCGAGAAATGCTCGACGTGAGTACAAAGTCAGAAGCCGGCAACGAGATTCTCTACTCGTTGGCCCAGTTTCTGCTCGGAGAATCCAAAAAATCGCCGTCAGCTCTTTGTAAATGCTTCGGAATCAAGAAACTCGAAGAGTACGCGATTCTAACCGCCCAGTCCGATGGTATTTAAAATGCCCGAAAATGCGGGGAAATTGACAATATTCGTTGCAGAAACCAATGAAATGAGTCTATCACTTGTACGCATTCCAAAACACGAAATCGATAAGCAGTTCGTGCTGAAAATGGTGGATCAGGTGCGAATTTCCAGCTCTTACTCTACAAATTACCTATTTTCAGACGAATGAGCCGTCGGAACCGCTTCCAGAAATTTCCTACACTCCGATCGCTCCGATCGATCACAAAATCATCAAGCGACGTCTTCGGCAAATCGGAAAAGAGCCGCTGGAAGTGAAACGGCTGAAATACGAGCAACTGAGCCAGGAGTACGATCTTCTGGACGTCAAGGAGGCCTTCCTGCAGTTCAGCAGCCAGTGGAAGCTCGATCATTTGGAGGAGCCGGAAATTTGAAGTATATTTTTGTTTTTTGTACATTTTACCGCCTGTTTTCGCATTTTCTTCTGTTGCTACCTCTGTTTTGTTCAATTTTAAAAATGGGTAAACCGTTTAAGATGCCTTTTTTGAGGTGAAGCCCCGCGTCTAAAGAGGAAAGAAACACGTGGAAATACTGTGTAACTTTTTCGCCCCGCTGCTGCACCATCACAACCTGTTATACGCGTGTTACAATCGCCCGACCGTCTCAGTTATAAGATTGATCGGCAAGATTAGAATGCGAATGTAAATGGGAGAGGAATAGAAACATTTGACAGGTTGAAATGGGAGACTCTTGTTATCACTCACACATCGGCGCCTGTTCTGTTTTTTTTTTTAACTTCTTTTGTTCCTCTTCCAACTTGCTGTTCTTTGGTTTATGGAGAGTCAGGCTAAGGCGTAGGATCCGACAAATTTCATTGAATCTCGGGCCGTGGTCCGAGTTGGCCTAAGATCCGACGCCTCGACGATGAATGCTGGATATCAGTAGTATCCGACACCACAAGATGGAATGAAGATTTCTCTTTTTTTTCTAGAATCCGCCACCTCCGTTCGAACCTTTAAATGATCGAAGAGACGAGACCTGCTTTCAAGGTCTCGTTTGCCTTATGCAAATCATCGAAACGACATCCATTTTCAAAAATGGGCAAAGGTTCAAGGCAAAGTCCTTCCTTCCGCCGCCTCCCTTTAATGTGTTCCATTTGGAAGAACAAGTTAGACACCCCTCGTCCCCTTAACAGAAAGGAAAGGAATTTCAGAATTGATTCCCTTGTCTTCTTTTACTTTTTCTGTTCACTTGTTCCAGAGAGAGAGAGGTCATTCAAGTGTGTGATATGCGTACCCTTTTCCACGTAAAATGTCAATAATTTGGTTCGATTCTGAAACATTCATGATTTGGGTTCGGCGCTTTATTTTGATCAACATCGACTCATAGTTACATGTTTCCCCTGCCCTCAATCACTGTTCAATCAAATCACAGATGATAGTATCTGACGACGATAGCCTTTTGATCTGTTTTTGTGGGCCTCGCCAATAATATGGTAGTGTACTGGATCATAGGATACTTGGCCGATGCACCATGTGCGCGCAGATCCTCAAGACACTACTACTGAATCCCAAATTCCAATCATTGTCTCAACGCGTCTCTCGAACACCAATCACGTCACATTACACACCTAAACACATCTCTTGACATCGGCTTCTGACAGTCTGATGGCGTGTCCTTGAAAAGCGAGAAGCCGAAAGCTTAGCTTAATAGCATTGTACGAGGGCTTCACCTCCCCATCGCTCTTCTCTCGAACAAGAAGTAGGAAAAGAAGAGGAAGAAGGAGACGATCGATACGAAACCATCATTACTACCTGTCTCCCCCCCTCTCTCCCTCTCTTCTTCCTCTAGTTTCGTCTTCTCTCTATTGAGATGCCATTCGCGTTGCGCAATCCTCCTCTTCTACATGTCTTTTTCGGTGAAGAGGTGACCTTCTCTATCTCTTTTTCCTTCTTGATCTCTCTTTTCTTCTTGTACTACTATCCGATTTTGCATAAATATTGGATCCGGCGAAAAGTTACACCCAATATCCATTTCATGATAGTAGTACACCCGCGTAAAGCCATAAAATCCCCCCCACCAGAAAAGTGTGACTTTGATCTACTTTACACACTTTCCCCCCTCCCCTTTTATCAGTTGACAACATGAACGACAGCGTTCGATTTCCATTTCGATTCACTCATTTTCGGTTGTAACTGTGAGCGATTGATCTAGAAGTTCAGTTCATGGCCTGAGATCCGATAAAACAGAGCTTCCGACAACCAAACTGAAAGCCTAGTTGCCCTAAATTCCGAGCCTGTGGGTCCACAGTACAGTCAAGTAATCTCTTGACCTAGAACCCGGCAAGAAACTGAAAGAGTCCAAAGTTTCAGTCAGATGTTCCTGTCCAAAAAGTTCCATAAAAACGTTATGGATTAGAATTTCTGAATTTCAACGTGCTCTAGGTTCTTCCAGTCGTCTGATTCATCACGGAATCTAGTGAGGGCCTAGAATTAGGACACTAGATCTTTCGAGATCTTCCCAGATCAAGAGAGCACAGAGCCTTCTCATAAAGATCTGATCTCTTTAGGTGTAAGATCCCAATCACTCCCCACCCCCACCCATTTTCTGATCTTTGAAAACATCTCGTCTCGGTCACGTCATCATCATCATCATCATCTTTCGCTCCTCGCCATACTTGAGAGTGCATTTCGGTGTTCAACGAACTCAACTTTCCGGATTATTGTGTCCAACACTTTCCGAATCCATGTTCGACCAACAAGCAACTTAATTAACTCCAACAAGAACTCTCTCTCTCTCTCTCTCTCTCTCTCTCTCTCTCTCTCTCTCTCTCTCTCTCTCTTGTGATCTCCATTTTTCGTATTCAAAAGAGAGAACACGGCGCGTCGTATGGTGTGGTTTTCCCTCTCGTTTGCCAATTAAGTGAAGTCAGTCACAGATTGTGATGAGAGAATGGAAAGTGACAAAGTTGAAAGTGTCGTTTCTAACGTATCTTGTTCGGTTTCAAATTTTCTTGAACAGTTTTGGATGGGAATCGATAGAACATTTTGTGGTCTATAACTTTCTAATAGGTCACTTTTTACGATTCTGTCTGTGCGTTGAAATCTTTGCAGTTTTCGTTTTGTACCGCCCGTCAACTTTGCTCCAACGTATTTCGTTCAACTTTCAAGATTATTTGACGATTAAACAGCGAATCGATGGAGAAAATCATGCTCTATAACATTCTACTTGACCACTTTGAGATATGCTAACTTTACTAAATCGATAGATTTTTTGCTTGCAGTAGTTCTTCAAATCTCAGCGCTATTTGAATTTTATACAAAGTGGTGATCAACTACAAAGTTTTAGACCAGGGACTTTTTTTTATCGATTCATGTTTTAACCGTCAGAGCCATCTTTCGAGGCGCATGATTGTTATTCGGACACGGCGATGGCCATCTCCTTCATCATTTTTGCACTAAAACACATCAACGACCTCTCCTTCCTGATTCTATTGTTTTGGCCGTCAAAATTGAATGACCACCCCGTGTTTGGGCGGCAGGTTCCTGTTTTAGGCCAAGAGGGAATAATACAAAGAAAGAGTTTCAAGTGTTTTCAGTTTTTCAATAGAACTTGTCATTGGGCGGACGAAACTAGAAGTAGTATCAAGAACAAGAGGAGACCTTTGCCCCTTTCCACTCTCAAACCAATCATATCTTGTTCGTTTCGATCATCATTGCCATCAGTAGTAGTAGTATTATCTATCAATTGCCGCCCTCATACTACTATTTCTGATTGCCCCCCTTCCCCGTTTCCTTCATTCAATCCCCCCAACCGATCATGATTTCTGTATATGAAAGCGTGTGTGTAAACATCTTTTTCTCTTTTACGCCTACCTCGAGACGTCTTGTACTTTTTTTTTGTAGTAATGTAACTCAAGACGATATATGTCAGTTTTCGGTGAAGATATCAAAGAGTTGTCGGCTAATAAAACGTACATTTTATCAGTTGACCACTTTTTGGTAGCTCTGCAGAAAGCTGAGATACGACAGTATTTCCTTTTCGTCCCATTATTGACAACGTCCGCAACACGTACACGATAACACCGTTTTCTTTTCAGAGCACATTGGCGCCGCCACCGACGACACCAACAGCTATGGAGGGCAGCATTGCCCGGCCGCGGCGACAATCGTTGCTCATCGGACAACGATCTCTCGACGTGTACAACGAGGTCGATCAGGGTAAGTAGGCCAGAAATAGTTGATGCCGTGTCCAATGTCTCGGAAAAACCGTAAAAACCGCAGGTTTTTCTGTCCACAGTCGGCCAAAATTTTCGTGAAAAACTCGGGTGCGCACAGCTCAATGAATGTAATCGTACCCCTAAAATTACGGTATTTTTTGAAAATTTGCGCAAGAAATTTGAAAATTTTCAAATATCCTCAAGAAATTAACAAATTTTCAAAAAATACCGTAGTTTTAGGGGTACGGTTACATTCATTGAGCTGTGCGCACCCCCGTTTTTCACGCAAATTTCGGCCGACTTTGAACAGAAAAACCTGCGGTTTTTTTCCGGTTTTTACGAGACTTTGGACGCGGCATGAAGGATTTCATTTATTGTTTTTTTGTGTTGTTTCAGGTCCCCGTTTCGTGCGCTGGATCATCGGCAAGTTCCGCAATTGGGGATTCACAATAGCGAAGCACGCGTGGCTCGCCATCGCCATCTGCATCCTCATCTCGGCGCTCTCGATGATCAAGATCCTTTTCACGAAGCAGGCGAACGACATCACCGGATACACGCCGTACGGAGCACGCGCCAAAGACGAGTACATCGAATACCAGCAGTTCTTCTCGAGTGCCGGACTGCCCATCGCCGCCTATCTGTTCATTGTGGCCAAGGACGACGGAAGTATGTCTCGGCCCGACTACCTCGACGAGACCATCCAAGTGCTGAACTTTGCACTCAACAACATCACCATGTACGACTCGATTTCCGGCAAAAACGAGACTTTCAATCAGTTTTGCCAAAGTTTCTGCCAGATCAACGAACCTGTCCGGCAATTCTATGTAAGTCCGTTTTGCGGAAGCCTATCTGGAGCTTTTTGAATGGTGCTTTAGAAAACTGCCCATTAATTTTTGCAAAAAGTGATCAATTACAAAGTTGTAGAACTTGATTATCTATCGATTATCTTGATAATCTAATTATCAAAACCGTCACCAAATATTCAAAATCATCCGAGATGTTAACCAATTCAGAACGGCTACCAAATCCTGAGCGATGGCGAAGAAAACAGTCGGATCAAGATCCAATACCCGGTTTCGGACATGTTCGGCCGTCAATTCTCCCTGCAGCCCAACTTTTTCGGAGTCGAAGTTTTTGATCAGCCGCCGGAGAAGGACGACGCCGCGAAGCTTCTCGATTCGGTGGATGGTGAGCCGATACTAGGTAGATTTACACAATCCGAACGGAATACCGTTCAACGAATGACTATTGCAGAACTAAATGCGACAAAACTGGTGGATCCGGTCTCGAAGATCACGAACGTCAAATCGGTGAAAATGATCACTTTGCAATTCCGCGCCGAGCACAAACCCGGATGGACTGAGGCGCAAGTGAAGAAGTGGGAAATGAGTTTGGTGGACATTTTCGAGAAGAGGTACAATTCGAAACGACTGAAGATCTACGCCTACTCGCAGTCGTACGTGGAAGAGGAAATGGTTCGAGGCGGCATCATCATGATCCCCTACCTCGTCGTCGGATTCTCCATCATGTGCGTCTGCTCGTGCGTTCTCGTCATGGTCCGCGCACTTTACATGCATCAGGAGAACGGCTACAAGATCATTCTGGCGATCATGGCGTGTCTGACGCCGTTGTTGGCGTGTGCCACCGCGTTGGCGCTGATGTTCCTGTGCGGCATCCGATTCGCGTCCATCCTCTGCGTCATTCCATTCTTGGTGCTGTCAATTGGTAGGTTTCCGATTTTCAAAACTGATAATTGAAAAGTTCATCATACCAAAGTTGACACCTCCCAATAGAACTGCGGCTCTTCAAAGTTAGGGTTGCTGTGTATCACTTGCAAGTTAGAATGGGTCAACTTCCAGAACCTACAGTAGTGTTAGAAATGGCGGTACAAGAAAGTGGTCAACTACAAACATATAGTACTCAATTGTATTGATATTTTTGCAACTGACAAGTATTTCGTAGCATCACTCCGAAGGGCACTGTAGCTCTTTGAAGTTAAGGTCAGTCTAGAGTTATCGTATTTTAACGCCAACTTCCAAGAGCTACAGCACTCTTAGGAGTGATCCTACAAAAAAGTTTTCAACTAAAAGTGGACAACTTTTGCCTCTACAGTACACCTCCTAACTGTTTATTTTCTCAGGTGTCGACTCCTCGTACCTGATGATCCATGAATGGCAGCGTGTGACGAAGCACATGCGAGAAACGCCGCGGAAGAAGGACAGCGTCGGGCACAGAATGTCGGAAGTGATGGCAGAAGTCGGGCCGGCCATCCTCATCTCGTGCCTGACGAACATGTTCGCCGATTTCGTCGGCTCGTTCACCTCCTCGCCCGAAATCACGCTTCTGTGTACCGGAAACATGCTCTCCATGTGGTTCGCGTTCATTTATCAAATGACATTCTACGCCGGTCTCATGTCGATCGTCGGCGGTTACGAGTTCGGCTCCGACGAGGTGGACAAGAATCGGATGGAGATCAACATTGCGGAGAATCGGGTGAACATCGCCAGACACCACCGTCCGCTGACGCGTCAGCCGTCAAAGTTCCACGAGGCGACGCAGCCGATCATCAGTGAGAGTCTCCAGAAGTACACGCATCTCATGACGACGCCCCTTGTCTTCGTCTCCATTTGTGTCGCCTACATTGCCTATTTGGCCTTCAGTGTGTACGGCATCACACAGATCAACATCAATTTGACGGCTCAAAAGCTGTTCGCGTTGGATTCGCCGTTGTTGGAGTTGGACGATTTGAGGATTCAGTACCAAGTGCCCCACTATTCAATGGCCACCGTCTTTGTGAACACGCCTGGAAAGTTGGAAGATCCGCAAAGGCTCAAACGGCTCAATCAGTACGTTTTTTTTCTTCGCAAACGTTGAAATGACGCCAAAATTCAAGCGAACCTTCAAAATTTACAGGTTTGTCCGAGAAATGGAGTCGATCAACGGGACATGGGGTCAAAGTTGGGGAGAGCTCGGCACCAAGTACTTTATCCGAGATTACGATGTATTCCAACAATGTAGGCTCGACTTTTCTCAACTAAAATCACTCGGAACCTTTCAGCTTTTGGAAGTGAAGACGAGGACGAAGAGTTTACGGATCCGGAAGACAAGCCAGTCACCGTGCACGCAGACGACAAGATGTCGTATCGGGAGGACGAGCTGAAGTATTTCCTGAAATGGCCAGAGTACGACTTCTGGCAGGGATTCGTCAAGTTGAGGAATGCCACCAATTCTACCGATCCAGAGTGAGTAAAAGTACTTGTACGCCTTCGAAACGACTTGAACTATTGTAGAGCCGAGGAACTGGATCGTTTCTTCTTCACCACCGGATACCACGGAGACAATTTGACAATTTGGACACAACGTGGAGCGATGCTCAGAGCTTGGAGAGAAGTCGTCGACAAGTATCCGTGAGTCTTTTCATCAAAATGTGCGCAATTGTACAGCGTCCCCCATCTATTCAGAGACTTTGGCGCGTCGGTGTTCCACGAGGACGGCGTCTACCTGGATCTCATCGACAACATGCCGACTGACACGTGGCAATCGGTGCTCGGAACTCTTGTCTGCATGGCGCTCGTCTGTTTCGTCTTTCTCAACAATCTGTTCACCGTCGCCATCGCCTCCCTTTCCGTTCTTTCCATTTGTGCAGGCATCCTAGGAATTCTGTCGTGGTGGCACGTGGATTTGGATCCAATTACCATGGCCGCCATGATCATCTCCATTGGATTCTCCGTCGACATTCCCGCCCACGTGTCCTATCATTATTATCAAGCCTGTAAGTTTGAGCTACAACTCTGAAGCAAAAAGTTGTCAACAGTTTCTCAATCGACAATTTCTTGATATCTCCACCGACCGCCGACTTACACATCATCTTGAACTTGCAGCCATCCAAGAGGGACCGATGTCGCCTCCGTCGTCCCGTCTGGCCAATTGTCTGTCGTCCGTGGCGTTTCCGGCTCTCCAGGCGGCTCTCTCCACAATTCTCTGTGTTTGCAGTCTACTCTTCGTCAATCTGTACATGGCCGAGGTGAGTGCCGATCGCAAACTTCCAAAACATCCCGCCATTTGCAGGTGTTTGTGAAAACGATGGTGTTGTGTGTTGTCCTGTGTAACCTGCACGGTCTTGTCTTTCTGCCCGCCATCCTCATCCTCCTCGACTCGATCCGATGGGCGTGCCGACCAAAGGGTAAGCAAGTGTGCCCCACCGAACACATTGTATTCTATTGAATGCGCAGGAGCCGCAGCCCAACGCCCCAAACCACCCGCACAGAACTCGCGTCAGAAGCAGAAGGCGTCGAAGGTGCAGCCGGAGAAGAGTTCGGTCACCGATCGGCCCGAAGTCTGAGTATTGTATTGTTCGCAGACATATCGTCACGTGTTTTGCATGTTTCACACCATGCAACGCACGGTATTATATAATGTTAAATTCGTCCACCACCAGAAAATCCGGGTCACCCTTTATGTCTCTCTTTTCCTTTTTCCTTGTTGTTCATTTTGTGTGTGTGTGTTTCTTTTCTTTTGAATGTCAGAGCTGTGTGTGTGTGTGAATATTGTAGTTTGTTTTCCAAAATATATCTGTACTAATAGTGAACGCTCTTCGACTACTGTATATTCCGGTGATAAATACTTTGTTTTTTCATTCAGTTGATTATCATTCAAAGTCAGTGGGGACTTTATTCAAGGCATTATATCTCAACTATCGTTTATTATCACGTTAACAAGATTATTGTACAGTTATTATAGATCATGACAAACTTCCATAGAACGATGAAATCTCGGATGGACAAGAAAAAAGCAGCGTGAGAACGATGTGGAACACAAATAGAAGGGAGCTCTGAAAAGTAAATCATGAATTTTCAGAATCTACAAAAAACCCGCCTACCTCACAGAATTCGAGTTTTGTACAATTCGGCGAGCTCCCTGTCAAACTCGAAATCGACCAACCAGAAGGTGTTCAACGTCTTTGCAAACTGTTCCGTTCTCCTCTCCTCGTTCCGCTTCTCCGACGCGCACCGCCTACGCACTTCCCTTGCAAGCTCCGCCTCCATATCCCACTGAACGTTCAGAAGTCTGTTTTTGCAGTACGTCTGCAGCAAATGTGCCTCTTTGAACCATTCGGATAGGTACGGACTGTTTAGAGCATCGAAATACAGAAACTGTTGCAGAAGGTAGTTTTGTTCTCTCTCCGATTGTTCGACAAGTCGTTCGAGAAGACTAATGCACAATTCGATGAGGAGCGGATCGATACGGGCGGGGAAGGTGGCTGGTTTGAGGCCGAGGTTGACGGAGAGACGATCGGAGAGGTAGTGAAAGAGGAAGACGTAGTAGGTGTTGGGTCGGAAGTTGGATTGGTAGAGCCTATTGAAGATGTGGTACGTGCACGTTTGCTCGAAGCACGAGGCGAAGCGGTGACACTGACACATGTCTGAAAGGAAACGGTCACGTGGCTTCAGAATACGGTAACGCCGCCTCCTTTATCCAAGTCAAAACGTTTGCGCGGGATCTCATTGAGTCAATCAATTTTGATAGGCAAAAGAAGAATGAGATGTAATAAAAAAAAATAATAAAAGACACCGACCAGTGAGGATGTCTGGAAAACAGTCGCAGAAATGTGTGCCTAATTGAGCACTAACATCGTATTTTCTATTTTTCCGGGCACGATTCATTCCTTTTTGTTGTTTTCGGCGACGTCGGCAGACTGTGCCGCAAATTTACTGTCCCTCCCCCCCCTTCCGCTTTCAATTACATGTTCGCTCTTTTTTCTTTTAGGGACGCGCTTGTCTATTCCGCTCTCTCTCTCTAATTCGTATATTTTTCGATACCACAGGTGCTAGAGCAAAAAGAGCAGAGGCGGCGCGGCGTAAGGTTACGCTTCTATCCTCTAATTATTTTGTTTTGAATGAAACGTATCCCAATCAGAAATGCTCACAAGCATCTGCCTCCTCTCCTCGCCTTTTTAATCCTCTTTCCGTCGGTTGCCTTCTCGTCCTCATGGTTACTAATAGTTAGACGCCTCTGTTTGTCCCAGCTTCTCACTCTTCCACTTCCCGGCTCATTTGTATATTTTGAACTGAGCTTCCATGGAGCGTCCCAACTCACAAAAAGCCTCGGAATCTCCTCTCCACGTCACGATCCCTGCTTCTGGTCGCAATTATCCGAATCAAGAAAGTAGGCGAGCTTATCATTTGCTTTCCCCTTCGAAAATGTATATTTTCAGCTTCTCTGTCGGATCTTCTAGCCCGAATGGCAATCTCGGACGACGCGGAGCCTTCGGATTCCGAGCTTCAAAGCTCTGACACGGAGGATGAGGTGGAGGACGAATCGGAAGGAGAAGAAGACGACGACGCCGACGACGAGCACACCGACGATGAAGACGAGGATCTTCTGGCGGACTACGAAGTGGTTAACATGAATTGATAGTGGATATTGTCATACTTCTCCTACTATTTCTCGGTTTTATATATCCCTCAGCACACGGTCTCCAGAGCTGACAATATGGGCGTGGCCTCGGCGGTCAAATGGCGTTTTCATGAATTGAGCAGGTTTTCTCTGATTTTTGTGGTCACAGGCGATGAAAAATGATTGTTCGGCATGAAAACACACTAATTCTCAAAATTAATGACGTTTTGGCACATTTTTCGCATTTTTCGCCGACTTTGCTTTTTCGCCTTCGCCGCCTAAAAACCGCACTTCTCATTTTGCGCTTTCTTGACCGTTTTCCGACAGAATTGGTTTTGAGAATGATGAATCACGTAAATACAAGCATTTTGAGCGCTCGAACCGTGAAATCTACCGAAAAGCAACTGAAATTCACGCAGTTTTAGCCAAAAACCTTCAAACGGATAAATGTGATTTGCGACTTGGCCAAATTTGACGCCCTTGCGCTTAAAAAATTCGTAATAGCCCTATACAATCGGTCTATCGAGAGACAAATGAGAAATTATCGGTTTTTCGTGGCTAATCTGGCAAAAAACACTAATTTCGCTGTTAAAATTTGAATTTCGCGCCAATGTATCGCTCTATTGGGCGGGGCGCACTTGCTCTGGAGACCGTGCGCCCAGTACTCACTATCAGAAACAATAAACATTTATATGGCAGGAAGTGTAAAATTGAAGAGAACAAAGTCGTGATAGAACATTTTGACGAGTAATTCCATGAGATACGGGCTGCTCCATAGACGCTTCTCGACGAATTCGCTCGCTTTCGAGGAGACGGTGCTGTGCGCGGTACGGCCCGAATCGAGGGCCGTCTGGATGTAGGCCAGCGAGGATTCCGGGACGTTGTGAGCGCGGAAGATCGGAAAGAGATGGGCGGTGATGGAGAAGTTGGGCGAGGAGGAGTAGGGGATGAATGTAAAGTTTGAGAAGTATTGGTGCAGGTTGCACCGCCTGCAAATTGACTAACATTTTCAGTGTCTCCTAGGCCACTCAGGCTTACCAATTCTGTGGGAAAAAGTGTCGATCCTCGTAGGTTCTCAAAAACTTATTCTCCTCCACTTGTTTCTTGATACGAGCATATTCAGTCTCCATGAAACATGTCAGATTTCTTTTGCAACCATTACAGAAATGTTGGACTACTGGTTTCCTGTAAATAGTACGGTACACGGAACCCCAGCATTCCAATGCGCAAGCGAGTTGTCAATGGGGCGCGCTTGCATCCACCGTCGACTCGGAGTTTCTTTTTTCAATTGAAAACCAGAATTCTTTCGTTTTTCTCTTAATAAACACTCAAATTTTGTTCTTTGCGAATCGTAGGGCGATTGTCTGCGTTAAAAGCATCGATTCAAGCGCGAAACTGAGCAGACTCGTTTAGAATTGACCAAATTGAGGGATTTTGTCGAAAACTACTGGAAAAAACGGAGTTTTAACGATTATTTGCCGAATCGAGTTCGGACACTGGCATTCGAACCATCCAGTCAAACAAGGAGTTTATTGCGCATCTTTTAAGCGCTCAACCGTCGAAAAATATACAGAATTGAGATAATTGAGGCAAATTTTCGATTCCAAAAGGAAAAAAATTCTGTAATTTTCACATAAAACGTTTCGAAATTGATGGCGAAGCAGTTAAAATTTCATTTTTATTTATTTCTAATCATTTTCATAAGTTTTGACACTGCTTGGTTCTGAAAAGATGGGGATAATGCGAAAAAAGGGAAAATTGAAATGAGAAACTCTACAACGACGCTCCGGAATTACGCGTTACACGCCTTGTTTAGCGCACGTGAATTGCGCCAAGGGAATTTTTTATTGGAAGGCTGGGGTTCCGTGCGGTAACTGTGGGAATACTTTTGAAAATACCTGTAGCACTTGTCCACGAAGCCCGAAACGAATCGTTCGAATGGATGTCTGACCATCATTAGATGAGTCCATTTTTGGTCGGATTCCTTTAGAAAATAGTACAAAACTCGGTTTGGAATCGGATATAAACCTTGAACTTTTTGCGAAGTGCTCCCAGATTTCGGAACTCATTCTTGAACATGCAAAAGCGAATAATTTTCCAGTCTTTGAGAAGATCTCGATTGTTCGCCACAAACTTTTGCTCGTCGCGCAAATAGCAAAACATTGACGTCATCACGGTGCTCATGCTCTTCTGGACGACACACGTGGATAGATTGTACCGCGGTGCCGCCTGAAATGATTTGAATACAGGCTACGGTAGGTCGGTACCGTACTTTAAAGGCGCATGATCGTTTCTATTATAAGTTACCCTGATCTCTCCTTCGAAAAACTTTAGCGGTGGGAGGCACGGAGACGGATTGGCGGAGCACATTTCTCGAGCCGACAGCTTTGAAGTTCGTTCGGGAAGAGTCTGGGGGTTACTGTATTTTAGGGTTACGGTACTAACACTTTTTTACATTCATATTGTCCCTGACCAAGTCATCGATATTATTCAGCCGCTTCTCCGATTCCCGCTTCTCCCAGTTGAGCATTTTGTAAAATTTTGGTGTTTTCGCACTTTTTGTTGTTGTTTCAGCAGGTACAGTGCCATTTGGAATATTGTAGTTTTCGCGAAAACTCGGAGAAAAAACTAGCAAGAATATAGCGGAACATGTGAAAATCGCAATAATTCGCAGTTGCAATCGTCGCGAGGGCAGCATGACAATAGACAGATTTACCAAACACTTTTTCGGCGGATTATATATAAAAGACTAATTCTCGAGTGCATTGACATCAGTTCTATTTGTTTTTTGATACTCTTCTTTAAAATGCGAGGAGATCTGCATATATATCATAGTTAGGAAAGTGTTCTTTCTTGCATTAAAAATTTCTATCCAAAATATCCAAAATAGTTCTGAAAAGTCTTGTTTTTCAGTAATTCTTCCTGCTGTTTGCGCTCATTCTTCATGTTTTTTGCACAATCTCACTCGAGATGCCCGCCAATCTGACGCAATATGACTGGCCAGTGTAAGTTGCGAAATTCGTGTTCTATTCAAGATACGCGCAGTTTTCACAAACGGATAAAATTTTCTTAATTTAATAATTTGATTATTTGACTTTTTCCAGGTGATTGACTGGTTTTGTGCTCTGTTTGAGCTCTTTCGCGCGCAGTCGATTGGCGGTTCTGTGTGAAATGGCGTGAAATGTGATGTCGGTTCACGGTCATGTCAAAATGCAGACTCTGCTTTCAGCTGCCATTTCTCGCAGGAAAATTTTGCTTTTCTTGATTTCTCGAGCGTTTTTTCAACATTTTCTGCATAAGTGTTACAAAACACACCTAAAACTTTGTTAGTTTGTGAGCTGCTCGTCTTTTTTCTCACCGGCAAGTGCACAAATTGAATATTTAGGTCGCCGTCTTCTCTTCTGATTTCTGTCGTTATTCCCTCAATTCTAACCATCTATTCTCGGTTTTCAGGTAATAAAAATGGTGGAGAGTACTCCGAACCGCCCAAAAACTGAAAAAGAGTTGAAAAAGGAAGCAGAGAAGGCTGCGAAGCTGGCAAAGTTCGAGGAGAAACAGAAGAAGCTGGCCGAACAGAAGGCCGCCGCCACGGCGAAGCCAGCCAAGGAGGTAAGCGCTGAAAATGAAGTTCTGTCGAGAATTGTAGTTAAAATATGAATTTTCCAGTTAAAAGCTAAGAAGGAGCCTGTTGCCAATGTCACGCCGGTCGACAATACTGTTGCAGGCGAGAAGAAAGGTTAGTTTTTGTTTCAGAGCGTTTTTTCAACTAAATTTTTTTGTTTTCAGATATTGCCGCCGAGCTCCCGTCTGCGTACTGCCCCAGCTACGTCGAGTCGGCGTGGTATTCGTGGTGGGAGAAGCAGGGGTTCTTCAAGCCCGAATACATCGACAAGCTTCACCCGAACTCGAACCCCAGGTCGTTCACCATCTGCATTCCGCCGCCGAACGTCACAGGAACCCTTCACGTCGGACATGCGCTCGCCACGACCGTCGAGGACACGATCACTCGTTTCAACAGAATGCACGGCAAGAGAACGCTTTTCAATCCCGGATGCGATCACGCCGGAATCGCCACGCAGGTCGTCGTTGAGAAGAGATTGAAAAGAGAGCGAGGACTTACGAGACACGATTTGGGCAGAGACCGCTTCAACCAAGAGGTGTGGCACTGGAAGAACGAGAAGGGAGACGTGATCTACGATCAATTCCGGAAACTCGGAGCCTCCGTCGACTGGGATCGTGCCGTGTTCACCATGGATCCGAAGATGTGCCGCGCGGTCACTGAAGCATTCATCAGAATGCACGAAACAGGGACCATCTACCGCTCGAACCGCCTCGTCAACTGGAGTTGCGCTCTTCGTTCTGCCATCTCCGATATCGAGGTCGATAAGAAGGAGCTGACCGGAAGCACGCTCATCGCCGTCCCCGGATACGATCAGAAGATCGAGTTCGGAGTGCTCAACTCGTTTGCCTACAAAATTCAGGGATCTGAGGAGGAGATCGTCGTTTCCACGACTCGTATTGAGACGATGCTCGGAGATTCCGGAATCGCCGTTCATCCGGACGATCAACGGTACAAGCATCTCGTCGGAAAGAAGTGTATTCATCCGTTTATTCCATCCCGCGAACTTCCGATCTTCGCGGATTCCTTTGTTGAAATGGAGTTTGGAACCGGAGCTGTGAAGATTACTCCAGCCCACGATCACAACGATTACGAGGTCGGAATCCGTCAGAACCTTCCGTTCCACAACTGCATAACCGACGATGGAGCCATCTCCGCCGGTTGCGGACAGTTCTCCGGAATGAAGCGATTTGAAGCGAGAGCCGCCGTCATCGAAGCGCTGAAAGAGAAGGGATTGTATCGCGGAAAGGAGGATAATCCGATGGTCGTGCCCACGTGCTCCCGTTCCAAGGACGTCATCGAGCCGATTCTGAAGCCGCAGTGGTACGTCAAGTGCACACATATGGCCGAGAAGGCAGTCGCGGCGGTGGCCAGCGGAGAGCTTCAAATCATTCCGGAATTCCACAAAGCTACCTGGAACCGATGGCTCGAGTCGAGCAGAGATTGGTGCATTTCCCGGCAGCTCTGGTGGGGACACCGCATTCCCGCCTATTTCGTCACTTTCTCCGATGGAAGGGCTCAACCGCTGTCCGAAGAAGAGTACTGGATTTCGGCCAGAACTGAGCAGGAGGCTCGTGAGAAGGCCGCCAAGAAGTTCGATGTTGCGCAGGAGATTGTCCAGCTGAAATGGGACGAGGACGTGCTCGACACGTGGTTCTCCTCTGGAATGTGGCCGTTCGCCGTGTTTGGATGGCCAGAGAAGACCAGAGACATGGATTTGTTCTTTCCGTCGGCCGTCCTGGAGACCGGTCACGATATTCTCTTCTTCTGGGTCGCCAGAATGGTCTTCATGGCCCAAGAGCTCACCGGAAAGCTTCCGTTCAAGGAGATCCTTCTGCACGCGATGATCCGCGACGCGCACGGACGCAAAATGTCGAAATCTCTCGGAAACGTCATTGATCCGCTGGATGTGATCAGAGGAGTCACACTGGAAGGACTTCAGGAGCAGCTTCTCTCTGGAAACCTCGACGAAAAGGAGATCGCGGTGGCGAAGGCCGGACAGGCCAGAGATTATCCGGACGGAATCCCAGAATGTGGAGTCGACGCACTTCGCTTCGCTCTTCTCGCCTACACCTCCCAGGGAAGGGATATCAATTTGGATGTGCTCAGAGTCCAGGGCTACCGATTCTTCTGCAACAAAATCTGGCAGGCGGTGCGATTCACGCTCAACCAGTTCAACGAGAAGGCCGACCAGAAGCCCGCTTTCAAGATCGACATTTCCAAGGCGTCGCCGACTGACAAATGGATTCTCTCGAAACTCGCCGGCGCTGTGAAGGAGACCAACGAAGGCCTGAAGGTCTACAACTTCACTCAGGCCACCACTGTCACCTACAACTTCTGGCTCTACGACTTCTGCGACGTATACATCGAGGCCATCAAGCCGGTTTTGTACGGAGGTGACGCCGCCGCCCGTCAAGTCGCTCTTTCGGTGCTCTATTTGTGCGTCGACACCGGACTCCGACTCATTTCTCCGCTGATGCCGTTCATCTCCGAAGAGCTCTGGCAACGTCTTCCGCGTCTCGCTGACGCCGACTACTCGGCTCCGTCGGTCACTGTTGCCCAGTACCCCATTGCGGAGAAGTATGCACAGTATTTGGACGAGAAGCTCGAGGCATCGTTCGAATTCGCCAAAGAAGTCGTCGGAAAGGTGCGATCGCTCAGAGCCGACTACGATTTGACAGCCAGAACCAAGATTAGCAGTAAGTTTTAGTTCTCTTGGCATAATTTTTTGCTTTTCTCCATTTCATTTCGTAAAATCGCTTTTTTCCAGTTCAAATTCTCGCTGAAACTGCTGAAGATCAGAAGATGCTCAATGATCTGTCAGATTTGATTGCCACGTTAACATGGAGCAAAAGTGTAAGACAAATTACATTCGTGTGAATTCAACTGCATCTTTATATTTTTCAGGTATCCATCCTCGAACAGAATGAGAAGAGCCAAGTGGAGAAGGGATCGGCCCATATTGCGTGTGGAGGCAGGTGTCAAGCCTACATCAATCTCACTGGGATCATCGACATTGCCAAAGAGGTATCCGACTTTTGGTTGTTTTTAAAACTCGACATATCAATTTCAGATCGAAAAGCTCGGAGCCAAGCTGGAAAAGAATGAAATTTCAGTGAAGAAGATCGCTGAATTGCAAGCCAGCGCCGACTACGAAACGAAAGTTCCTTCCGGAATTCGTGCTCGCGATCAGGAGAAGAAGACGTCGCTGGAGAAGGAGATTGACAATATCACCGCCGCGATTTCCCAGCTGAAGGCTCTCAATTAAATATGCCTTCCCTTTTTTCTGTCTAAATGTATTGTTTCCCTTCCCGTTTATCAGTGTTTCCTCGCCCCGTATTTATATATGATAAGTCTATCGATTCATTTTGTTTGTTCTGTTGTTTTTCGCCCCTCGCTCTCACACTTTATCAGCCAGAAAAAAGGCCTTGTAATAAACCGCATATCGCTTTTTATGTCCAAGGATGACGTGGCGCCCCCACCACATTTCACCCATTATTCTCTCGCCTTCTCTCCCGTTTTTCCTCAATTTCCCACCAGGTTTCCCCCCAATTTTCGTATAGCTCCGAGTCAAAACACCGCCGCATTTTCCATTTTTGCTCCGGCCGCGTGGCTAATGTTCTCGGCCTCTCGCCCCTATTTCGAATTTTTGCAATCCCGGAGAGCTCGGTGCCGTCGACGGCGACGACGACGACGCCCGAAATAAATTATTCCCTGGGATGGGAATTTTTTCGCGTTTTTTTTTTCGAAATTCCATTTTTCTCTCTTTTATGCTCTTTTTCTGCTCCCCGCTCCGTCCCGACTGGAAGGCGAGGAGGGAGAGCGGAGAAGTAGAGGCTGCTGCTAAATAATCAAGAAATGGAGGAGGAGAGTGAGCGAGTCTGACACACACGCACAACCAACACATTTTCGGACGAGAAGACGGAGGAAAAAGCGGCGAGCGGAGAGTAGAAGAAGGACGTGGGCGCGCCCCAGAAAAGGAGGAAAGGAATCGATAACGAAGAGGGAAAAAGAAGAAACGGCGGCGGCGCGGGGCGAGCAAGCGGCCCGAGCACCACACCACGCGGAGAAGCCCACGACTACAAGTGGGGAAAAAAACGAGTAGGAGCAGCAGCAACGAAACCTTTTTCGAGCTCATTAATAAATGTGTGGCCACCGGACGTTGTGTGCTCTTTTGTGCTCTTGCAATTAGTGAAAGCTGAAAACAAATAACGGACGGATTTTTTGTTGAAATTTAAAGTTCAAAAGGATCTGAAATTTGATGTCGTCACATTCTTTGGCCGAGCTTTTCTCAAAAACATTTCGGCATTTTCGGTACAATAGTGCAATCGGATTTCAATTTCACTTCCCCTTCCATTTCTGCTCTTTTCTTGCCCCTTTTCCGCTCGCTCTCTCCCTTCCTTTTCTTCGTTTTGCACTCTAAACTAATTGGGTTTTTCTTTCGTTTCCTTTCCCGTTTCCACCTCGCATGCCTCCGTGTTTCCACTTGTCCTCTTGTTTGAAAAGTTTCGAATACACCGAATCTTTTGAATTTCACGTCTTCATTGGCCTCTTCTGACTTCCATTCATCATCATCATCATCATCGTCAGAATTATTGTCGTCGTCGGCGTTATCGTCACCAAGACAACTCTTGTTTATCACAATCGCTCACTTGTGTACAATCTGAGCTCTTCTGATTATGGCTCAAGCCCCGCACACTTTTTGCTCGTTCGAATATCGAACGACTTTCTCCTTTTTCTCCGTTTCTCATCAATTTTTTTCCGCTCGTCCCCGCCCCCTCTTCTCAGAATTAGTCAGTCTGGAGAGCACATACACGAGCACAAATTAGATTGTTGGCTCCGTTTCGATCTTCACCCTTGCAGTTGATTTGCTCATTTTCTTCCGGCTTCTAAATGTTCAATTCAAACCGGAGATCTCCTGAGAACTTTCCTCGCAAACACTCTTTCGTTTGACTCTTTTCACTGAAAAATGAGATTCATTAGCAGAAGGCATGGGCGACTACGACTATCTGATCAAGTTCCTCGCGCTCGGCGATTCTGGCGTCGGAAAAACATCGTTTCTGGTGAGTGAGGCCGAAGTTTTGCGCTGCTAAGACTACAAACTATTCGTTTGGGTCTGTTGAATGGTGCGGATTTTCAGCATCGTTACACGGACAACACTTTCACCGGACAGTTCATCTCCACAGTGGGAATCGACTTTAAAGAGAAGAAAGTGGTATGTTCAACAGTGTTTCTTTGCTCATTGCACTTTGAAATTGGGTTTAGGTGTACAAAAGCACTAAAGGAGGATTTGGAGGGCGTGGCCAGAGAGTTCTGCTTCAGTTGTGGGACACTGCCGGACAGGAGAGGTTAGTTAGAAGCTCAAACATCAAAAGTTAAATCGGGTCGGGCTGAGCCGCCAGACATTCTTCTGACACATGACAATTCGTAGAGTCAGCACCTCCGGGAGCTCTATACACGCCACTGATTACACCGTCACAACTTCAGATTTCGGTCTCTGACGACGGCGTTCTTCCGCGACGCGATGGGCTTCATTCTCATCTTCGACATCACCAACGAGCAGTCGTTTCTGAATATTCGTGACTGGCTGTCGCAGCTCAAAGTGCACGCGTACTGCGAAACGCCGGACATTATCATTTGCGGCAACAAGGCGGATCTCGAGAATCGGCGCCAAGTCAGCACGGCGAGAGCCAAGCAGCTCGCCGATCAACTGGGGTATTGGGGGGAGATAGTGTGTGGAGCGATCAATTTATTCCGACATTGCAGACTTCCCTATTTTGAAACGTCGGCGTGTACTTCGACAAACGTGGAAAAGTCGGTGGATTGCCTACTCGACCTGGTAATGCACCGGATTCAACAGAGCGTGGAGACTTCCTCCCTTCCACTTTCAGGTAACAAAGACGTTTAAATGTTCACTTTACACCTCTTTCGAAATTCCAGAATGCCGTGGCGTGAGTCTGGACGGAGACCCGAACGCCACCTCTTCCTACTGTGCGAATTGCTAAACAAAAAACAATTTCATCTATAGTCCAGTACTTGCATAATAATACCCATTCACCTGAATATAAATTTTGAAAAACCATTTTCTCTGTCCTCATATCGTGCTTTTCCCTTTCTTTTTCTTTTTTTTTTGATAGATTCTTCTCACTTTTCACCCGTAAAAATCTATTTTAAACTTCCTCATATCGCCGATCTCGTTTGATCCGATAATAAATATTGTATTCTATTTAACAACAATAAATAATGATTACACATCGCTCTAAAATGCATTCTTATCAGTGAGAAAACGCAGAATTTGCACTGAGAACTGTGTCTGTTTACAGCAAAAAATTGCGGAGTCGTTGAACGATGCATGAAGTTTTTTATATACCCATTTCCAAGCGATAATTATGGTTTTCCGCGTCGTTTTCCGCGTTCGTCCGCACGCGAACGCGTCCGCAAACACAGAATGGTCGAGTCCTGCCCGCTTGCCATTCCCCCTCCAGTCCAGTCGCACACTCACGTGCCACACAACAACACTATTGATTTTCTGCGTCTAATTTTCGCATTTCATACTTCTGAAGCGATGAACGAGCTGAAACAAGGCATCGGAATGCTCGAATCGTCGCTGACTTCCGAGCCGCCGTTCTGCGACACTTTCGAGCGGATTTCCATCGACAACTTTCCGATCTTTGCGCTTGGAAAGGAGATTACGAAGCAAGATGGTGAGCGTTTAGTTTAAACGTCTTTAGAATCATTTGAAAGTGCTTCAGGCTTGGATGCCATGCGAAAATACGTCACTTCAAGGCTCTGGTTCACGTATCGTCGTAATTTCTCGCCAATTGGTTAGTTTCTGTCTAGTGTCAGTCAAAAATCAATAAATTCTGTCTCAGGAGGTGTCGGACCGACTTCTGATCAAGGCTGGGGATGTATGCTGAGGTGTGCTCAGGTAAGCTAGGCCTTTGAACTCAAATTCGTACATAAACACACCAATTTCGTTTTAGATGTTGCTCGGAGAAGTTCTTCTGCGCCGTCACATCGAGCGTCACTTCGAATGGGACATCGAGAAGACTTCGGAAGTTTACGAGCGCATTCTGCAAATGTTTTTCGATGAGAAGGACGCGCTCTACTCGATTCACCAAATCGGTACGTGAATCAATCGGTTTTTCCCTGTAAATTTCAAAAAAGACTTTTAGCGCAAATGGGAGTCGCGGAAGGAAAAGAGGTTTCCGAGTGGTTCGGACCGAATACCGCCGCTCAGGTCCTCAAGAAATTGGCAATTTTTGATGAATGGTCAAATGTCGCCGTCCATGTGGCACTGGATAACATTCTCGTGAAGGAGGACGCTCTGACGATGGCTCACACGTATCCGAGCGCCGACGCCGTCAAGCTGATTATGGGTTAGTTTGCTTTCCGAAAAAAGATTGTGAATTCTGATTTCGGTGCTCCTTGATAGTTTATCAGCGCAAAACTTATTAGTGCTGCTACACTCAAGAAAAACTCCATTTACTTAAAAAAAGCCCTGAAAATTTGAAAAATTGCTCAAAAATGCATAGCTTCAGAAAACGGCCACGTCGATAAGCCCCTCCAACAAGTTCATCCGCCGTCTGAAGCCTCGGAATGGCGTCCCCTCCTTCTGATGCTTCCTCTCCGGCTCGGACTAACCAGCATCAATCCGTGCTATCTGCCCGCCATTCAAGAGTTCTTCAAGCTTCCGCAATGCGTCGGAATCATCGGCGGACGACCGAATCATGCCCTGTACTTTGTCGGAATCTCCGGCACGAAGCTCTTCTACCTGGACCCGCATTACTGTCGTCCCAAGACGGAATCGACGGCCAAAGTGTTCGGAGAACGGGATCCGTCGCCAGAGAAAAAGGAAGCGAAAGAGAAAGATAAGGGCACTGACGAGGAGTTCAGTAAACTCGAAGAGCTCGAGCCGCTTCCGTCTCAAACCGCCGACGTTTACACCAAAATGGACGACTCCACCTACCACTGCCAAATGCTTTTGTGGATGGAGTACGAGAACGTGGATCCCTCGCTGGCGTTGGCGCTATTTTGTGAAACGCGCAACGATTTCGACGATTTGTGCGTGTCGCTGCGGGAGACAACTCTTCCGGCGTCCAACCCGCCAATGTTCGAGTTTCTGGAGAAACGGCCAAAGTACCTGCCCAAGTTTGAACCGTACACGGGTGTCAGCCTGAAAATCGAGATGAAAGGTAGGCGAATATTTGAGTAATATTGATGTGAACTCAATGAAAACATTCTAGAATTCGATGACATCGGCGCGGCGAACTCAAAAATCGACGATGACTTTGAAGTGCTCGATATCCAGGACGACGACAAGGAAACTGGAGAAGAGCCTGAAACGATTTGAAAAATTGAAAATGTTTATTACTATTAGGGCACCGGACAGAAAGGGCGCGCTGTTCGCAATCTGGCCGAATTTCTAGGCCGCGAAGTAATTTTCCACTGAAAATGTGGCCTAACTTTTCAAACTCGGCCCCGAGGTCGATCAATTTGCGCACTGCAAAAAGAGTTTCTCAACAGAGCGCCATTTCTGTGCGGTGCCCCTATAATATTATTATTTTGCGCACGCTGGTTGTGTACTTTGAACAGACAAACAAAGTATTAAAAGTCGACTGAAACGTCAAAAACATCGGAACCTTAATATGATAGTAAAGCAATAATCACTGAAAGGGAAAAACAGATCGTTTCCTCCCATTTTTGAGCGTCATTTTCAGATTCCGACCGAAAAGATGATGTTCTATTTTCTGCTCTCCACATTTTTTCTGGTTACTGTAGCTTCACTAAAATCTACTGATGTAGGTCAAACTTTTTTCAAACTTTTTGAAAATTGTGATGAAAATTCAAGCATCCGGGAATTATTGGCGACACGAATTTGGATTTGTTCAAAAAGTACAGATGCCGTGTTTGCGCAGATATTATGACGGACAACGTGAAATTTGCGGACGGAGAATTGGTAAATGCGCGTGGGCGTGGTGGACGTTTCGCAACCAAACTTTCAGGTGCTCAACGAGAAAGTGGCCGTCGAAATCTGCGAGACGTTCATCGCGAAAATACTGCATAATGCGTTGGGCGGCGTCATTTGTCGTACGGTCGTTCAGTCGAAGCTCGACGAGATTATCAAAAAAATTGTGTCGTCTGGGGTAGATGCGAAGATTGGCGAACAAATATGTAAGGGCATCCACTTTTGCGAATAAACCTTGAGGCTAAAAATTAATTCGTAACAATAACGATAACAAAAACAAGGAAAAACAAGGAAACATTAAAAAAAAAAAGAAGATAACAATTATGGTTTTTGAAGAGTGACGCCCACAACGATGCCCTCGCCGATAATCTGAATACTTTCCAGAATTTCGGGTTTGTTCATTGAAAATGTGGAGTTGGAGACTGATTTGTGGAGTGTACAACGTGAGATTTTCGCAGGAACTTCGGCGTCTTCGGGTTTGAACATCACTCCGATTTGGAGACCTCCGTACTTGTTGTGGAAGAACATGGCTACCTGAAACATTTCATTTTTGTTTTAAATTCCGATGTCAAGGCATTACCTGATGAAAATTGTTGTTCAACTGATAGACGAGTTCATCGATCGGATCCAGCTCGACAACTGGAAGCTTCTGAAACTTTGCCGGTCGTCTCTCCAGAATCGGCGTCTTTCGGACGACTGCCGAGGGATCCAACTCGATGACGGCGTCGTAATTGCCCACATATTGGCTGAGTAAACTCGCTTCCAGATCCAAACACTTCTCTCCGGTGGTCTGTGCCTCCAGAATGGCGAGTGCTCTTTGAGCCAAAGCCACAAGCCGATTGAGCACAACACCCTGCGGCTGTTCCCGCGTGAACTTGTTTCCCAGCTGATCCTGTTCGTGAATAATCACCATGGGTGGCAGAATCATTCGCTTTTTGATGAAATTCTCCTCGAGCTTGGCAATTTCCTCCTCATTCCACGTCTTGCCCGTGAAATCAACGATGAGCGGCCGGGCGGACCACGGATGAGTGGAAATGAGGTGAAGGACACGGGCGAACGCCGACCAGACCGATCTGAAAGATTACTGTAGATGGAAAGAATCTTGTGCTGATCTTACTGTGGCTCCACAGTTCCTTTCTTCTTAATAGCGGCGACCACGAGCAGCTCAATAATGTTATCGTTGAAGTGTCCGGAAAGCAGTTTCGAGCCGAGCCATCTGGAATTAGAAGCGGTTGCGGAATGTCCGGAAAATATTTGTCAATTTTGCTTACTTTTTGACAAGCTGAACAGTGCTTCCGAAGAACTTGTAGCTCGTCGAGAAGGACTGAAGCGTTCGCTGCAGGAACGGCTCGGCGATAAACTTCTTCTTCCACGCCGTCAGCCGGATTCCCTGAAGGGAGCTTTCGATGCGCGTAGCTCCAGAATCTTTCAACGTCTCCACCGCCTCTTCCAGAAGCGTCAGAATACGATCGTGCACGACGACGATCTTGAAAACGATTCCGGATTGAAGCACGAAGAGCTGATCGATGGTGGGGACGGCACAGAGTTTCTTTTCGCGAAGCTTTTCCGCAATTTTTACGTAGAACGAGGAAGTGAGCCTTCTGATGGCTTCCACGTCATTTCCCCACTTGGTGGAGTGCTCCAGCTTGATGTGGACTGTGACTGTCGGAGAGAAAGGTGGAATCTTTCCGACTTCTGGGAGCACAAAGTCTTCTTCCGATTTAGGACAAGCCGCCGCGAAGATCGATGGGTACGCAGGCTGAAATCGATCAATTTGGCACAGGTGCGGGATGATTGAGAAACGCCAAAACAATTTTCGGATTGAAATTTTGCGGTAATGTCGGAAATGTCCACAAACGTGTGGACTGTACAAATATGACCCATACAAGAAATTCAGACGGTTAGAACAACTTGAAAACTTTTAGAAACCTCAGTTCCTCTTAAATATCCGCTGATTCCATGCACACTCGTGATCATCAACGGCAATCCTTTGAGGGTCGTGAGCAATGCGCTGAGCTCCGCGAATGCCTTAGCCACTGTTTCCGTGCTTTTTTTCTCGCTTTCCACCTCTTTTCCATTCAGATCTCGCCACGATATGCAGCTGGAGGGGAGAGCGAACATTCTGGAAAAATAATCAATCAAGAAACTTTCAGATAATAGCAAAATGCGTACTTTTGAAGGACGTGCTGAAGAATGGCTCTCGGCACTTTCTCCGACGGCTCTTTGTCCCAAACGACGCATTCTCGGATAGTGGTGTCGGCAAACTTGCGCAAATCGGTAATGTCTCCCCACAGATCCTTAAACTCTTTCGCCTTTTCCTTGTCCGTTTTCGTGCACGGTCCGATCGTCAACGGACTCTTCCACGTGGATTTTTCACGGAATCCGATGACGAACGTCTTCTGACGACACTTTGGAGCGTACTTAGATGGGCTCCAGAAGAGCTCCGACATTTCCTGTTTCTCCTGAATGGCCACAAATTCGTAGCGTTCTTCCATGGTCTTTTGAATGCGTTTCTCCAGATTTCCGACAAACTGATTAATGACGTCTTCGGAAGTGACGGAATCGAGTGCGAGCTCAAGGAGCAAGTGTTTCAGCTGAGAATACTCGATGTGAAGCCGAGCGTAGTGGTCGAATTGAGCGAAAATCGGTAGTTTTTCAATGAAAGTTCCGTCGAATGAGTAGACTTGCCCGAGCAAAGGACGGCTGGTTGACAGCTCTTTTCTCATCTGATGATTAAACAATTCTTGTTGAAAATTGAGCATTTTCAAGCTTACCCTGACAATCTGATTCTTTGTAATCCGGCTGGCAAGATTCAGATGATCGTAGATCAAGTTCAGTTGGAAATTAGCCTTGTACTCTTCGGCAACCGCTTTTTCAAGCTCTTCGGCATCTGGATTAACGTATTCCACGTCATTGGTGACACTGGTCAAGTCGCCCACGTCTTCCGATGATTCGCTGTTCCACGAGACTGAAAAAACCGCGATTTTCCTTTATTTTCAAAGAAAAACGCACTGAAATCGTCGAAAATAAGGCGGAGGACGGTGAGAATTTCTTGTTTTTCTGTGATTTTTCCCTGGATGATAAGGCGAACGACACGGGCGGTCAGGATTACTGTGGAGAAGACGGCGAGGTGCCGAAGACGGAGCACATTTTGGATCAGTTGAATAGCTAGACGGGCGGTCTGGTTCTTCTGGAATGGTACAGTATGAGCTTTATAAATGGAGAATACGGTACCTTGAGATGCTTCTCGAACTCCTGAAGCAACTTATATTCGAGCAGCGACCAGAGCATTCGTTGGTTGTACTTTGGAGTGCTAGCTTCGACACCTAAAGCATTTTTTGTACTCGTCCGGTTTGGAAACTACTCAAATTCTCACCTTCGAACAATTTTTCACCAAAAAGTTTCGCCGGTCTTAAATTTCCAATTGTTGGTACAAATCTTTTGGATTTCGCTACTTCGGCGTTGAAAAATCCGATGCGAACGCCTGAATTCGTTTGATATACAGGAAAGTTTTGAAGAATCGTGCCTACCATCTACGAGCAAATCCGGGAAAATCACGTCCTTCCCGTCGATTCCACCGCCCACAAACTGGATGTTTTTGAACTTGTGCTCCAGATTTTTGACGACGGCGCACATATAATGGCCACGCTTTACCGGATAGATCAGATTGAGAAAATCGCGATTCCCGAACAGTTCATCTGCGATTTCGACAAAAATTCGGACCTTGCCCGAAGTCTCCAGAATTGTAATCTGAAGCGATTTTTACTGATGGAGTGTTTTCGATGGAAAATTTACGTTTTTCGGTTTGAGCCATTGAAACTCCGTAACGCTCGAAGAAGTGGTGCTCATAGCGGGGAGAAGAGCGTGTAGAGGATGTTTCACATCGAATTCTGTCCAGAAATCGAGATTTTTGTACTGAAATGTATACATTTACTTGGGTAAGTGGGAAAATGCAATGTTACATCGAATTTCAGCTTTCTTTTCGTCGAGTTCAGAGCAATTTTTAGTATTTCTGCAGTTTCCCGATTTGCTTTCAGCGCATTCTTGTCGACTTCTTGAGCAGCGTCCTCACACTTCAAAAGATATGTTTTTTAACGATTAAAATTACAGACTCACCAAAAGCTTGTAGGCATTGGACATGGGAATCTCATTATCTAGCAACTCATCTGGGACCATTTTCGAGAAAATCTGAAATGAAAAACAGCGTAAAAACAAACGTTTTGACGAAAAAATAGGTTTCTTTTGTAAATGTTGGGCTAAAGGAATTCATGTAGATTTACGATAAACCGCGCGCGTTGCCGTTATTTCGGAGTGTCGTTCGAGTTGAAAAATTGAAAACAAAACGAGTAAGAGAAGGAAAGTCAGAGCACAAAATACAATAAATTGATAGATAATAGATAGAGTACTACCTTAAAAATTAATTAAAAAATAGTTTGGCTTGGATAATCGCACGAATACAAAACAAATCAACTGATCCGTTCGAACGGCTGCTCAGCAGACGACGTCAGTCGATCTTTTGCACTTCCAATCGATTCGCAATCCCAATCGTATCAGCGTCCTTTTGTCGGCGTCCTTATCGTCCTTATCACTAATCTCCCCCCGGTAATCAAGACCACAGGTGTGGAAATTTCAGCTTCAAGCGGATTTGCGGCAAATTTCAAAGCAACCGACACGAAATTAAACAAAATTAGAAGTGTATACATTTCATAACTGTTTTAATATTTTAATATTCAAAATGTCAACCTCATTTTAGTACAATTTCTGCTTATATTATAATGTATAACAAAAGTTTATTGAAATAATGAAATTCAAATTTTACTCGGTTGCACTTTGTAAATCAGAGCTTCTTGTGAGGTCGACATGATCAGCCTGAAACGTGTTTTGTGCTTGAAATTCAAAAAAAAAAACAGTTCAAACTCACTTTCCATCTCTCGACCAGAGCCTTCCATGGATCAGACTGCGGTGGTTCGAGTTGGCGACGCATTCTTGCTCGTACAGAATCCAGTCATTGATATCGAACCTTTAATAGTAAATATTGACAAAACTTGCATTATGGTTTTCAGAGAACGTACTCATACTGATGAATCCAAGCGGAATGATCCATCGAGGTCTGCAGCTTGAACATTTTGTCGTCAAAGCAAAGGGCTCCGGTGGTGACGAGCTCCAAGTCGGAAAGGTAGACGATTGTGGCGTGACGGAGCATGTAATCGCTTTTCTCTAGAAAAAATGGCATGGTAATGATTGTAAATCTGATAGTAAGTGTAGCTCGTAGTCTAAGCAGCTTTGAGCAGCGCTGCAGTCTGCTTTCCAAACTCACCAACAGGAATCTTGTACCGAATCCACAGGTACTGTTTTTTATTAACTCCGCCGGTCCCATGCAGGAACATATCCAGATCGACCGGTCGGATCTCCAGCGACGGAGCCATTCTCTCGGTCACTTGTCCCCGAAGCTCACGGGCGTCACATCCTTCCGCCACTTTTTGATGTCTTCCCGAGATGTTACTCATGAGACCGTCAGGGCCGGGCACGTGGGCGGGAAACTCCGGAGTCAGGGAGAACGTGTCTTTCACACTTGCCAACTGAAAAGTCGGTGTTTTAAAGGACCAGGGAACCCAAACATTTTTTGATTTTTTTGTGACTGTTTGAATTGTCTCTTATTGCCTCATACACTGGTAAAATGCTGCCTCTCAAAAATGCCAATGAACGAAACGGCATGCAGTTGAAGTTGTGGCCGTGGCCTAGCGCCAATGGCCGAAAAATATATAAAAATATATGCGCTTCTCGGCCATTTTATTTTTTCCGCTTTTTTACCGGTTTTTCATCTAAAAATGCACGGTTTCTCCCATTTTTCAGTTGATTGACATTTGTTCGGCACTTACTTATTTTTTCACTGCTCAGTCGATAAGAAGTGCCAGATGAGTGGTTTCCGTGAAACAAGGGCGATTTTATCGCGAAAAAACCGGAAAAAAGCGGAAAAAATAAAATGGCCGAGAAGCGCATATTTCTAGGCCATTGGCGCTAGGCCACGGCCTCAACTTCAACTGCATGCCGTTTCGTTCATTGGCATTTTTGAGAGGCAGCATTTCACCAGTGTATGAGGCAATAAGAGACAATTCAAACAGTCGCAAAAAAATTTCACAAAAAAATCAAAAAATTTTTGGGTTCCCTGGTCCTTTAAGGCACTTTCTGAGTTCAGAACTGACCTTTTGAAGGGAAAACTCGGCGAGATGAATCACTTTTCCGTGCTGGACCGCTTCCACGTATCGAATTGCAAAGTTACGCCCGTCACGAATCTTTTTCACGTTATAGGTGATTGGAATGGATTCTTCGCCTGAAAAATTTCACATTCTGGGAGCATCCAAAGCTTTTGAACAAATTGACTCAATGCTCACCTCCTCTGATAAAATAACAATGAACGGCGTGCACGTAGAAGCCCTCTGGAGCAGTATAATAGGCGGCAGACATGGCTTGAGCGAGTACGTGTCCTCCGAAGACACGGGCGGCCGGATGTTCGGAATCGCATTCACCACTAAACATTTTAGTTTTCAAAATTTGACGATAACTGACTGGTTTCAGAACATACATATAAGTGATCTCATCGATTTTCTTCAGTCTTCTCCACTCACGAACCATTTTCAGTCGACAAAGATGCTAAAACAATGGATTGTTTGGTGATTCATGAAGAAATTTCATTCAAAATAAACGGAAAAACGAGTAGATGTTGTGAACCACAAAAGGCGCCAATTAATATAAGCGACTACATATAAGACGGTCGAAATCAGTGATAGACTATGGTGTAGCCAAGTGATGTTATCAGTGGAGAACAGGAGATGGAAAAGGGAAAAGGGGAAGACTTTGTACTGTAGCAGAGGAGCCTACAATCTGGGGAACACACTACAATCGGGAGACTGTTGTCTTGCGGATGCTGCTGATGCTCCAGACAATAGTCGTTAGTGATCCGAAATCCTTTCCGCTTCGAGACGATTCTCCAGTCGAAGACGCGGATGAACGCGGCGCAATGACAGTTCTGCTACTGCACACGGTCTCCCACGGCGCGAATGATTTCAATGGGGCGCACTTGCAACAGGCGGGCTGTGTCGATTTACGCGGCGGCCGATTAATTAATTTTCAACGGGAGGCCGCGTTCTTTCCATGTTTTCTGTACAATACGCCTATTTTTTGTACGTCTGGAACCTGGCGTCGAATAATTAGAGCACTAGCTACGTTTTGGTAACAGAAATCTCGCATATCGTTGAGAATTAGACGAGTTATTTCGATTTGAAGGTTTTGGCCTGGATTTAGATGTTTTTCGAATAGTTTTCGAAAACTGCTCAAGAAAACTAACCGCCGGAACCTGAATTTTGTGAAAAAAGATTCAGCGAAAATTTTTATCGTTCGTTGCGCTCATGAAATGCAAAATGAGCTGAAATATAAAGGTTTGAAGTTTTGACGAAATGCGAAAAAGACGCTAAAAACATGAAAAACTTTAAATTCTGTAAAGAACGGTTTCCAATCATTAAAATATTGTTTTCTAGACGTTTTTCAAGTCAAAAAGAGCGAAATAAAGGTCGTAAACTCGAATTGAACTGCATTTTTAGACCAGCAAATTTTCAAAAAAGTTACAACGACACTCCGCAATTTACGAGCGCACTGTGTTTAGCATTAGCGCCCCCTGGGAGACCGTGCTGCAATCGAGTCTTGGCGAGGCAAAAATAGTACATGTTCTCGTCGGCTAATCCCATCCGCTTCAGCTTGTGACGGCTCAGAAGATTGAGCTCGTGGAGATATTGCCGAGAATGGTTAGAAGTATTATTATGATTTTACAAGTTTTCGCAAATTTACATCGAAACGATTGACGGTTATTCCACTCCGTCTCCAGCACGTAGTCTTTGATTGTGTAGAGGAAACCGGCGAAAGCCAGTTGGCGTTGACATTTTTTGTTGAAGCACATAATCTGTTACGTCGTTCTAGACGTATGATAATTTGTAGGATAATGCTAAATGATCTACCTGTGATCTACCCGCTAGGTTAGGTATTATTCTCGCTTATTTGTCATAATTCGGGTCGCCCTCCCTCTGAGGACGAACCCTCTATTCATTCGATACATTCTATATTCTGCTCACCCAGCTAAGGTTTACTCTCGCTGAATAAACCTTTAGCAAAAAAAAAAACTCTTGTCTGGTTTGAATCTTCCCTACCAACGCGGTGGAAGATTCAAGAACTACAACAATGATTTCATTATTGACAAGTAAGTTTTCTAAAAGTTTTTAAAATAAATTCTAATTTTCTTAATTTCAGCATCAGTCGTAACGAGCTTCTGACACTTCGAGAGCTCGCCGACAACTTTTACAAAATATACAACGAGAAGAATCTGGACGCAACGTTCGGCAACTGGCTCTTCTACCGTTTTGTGCTCTCCATAGACCGAAGGAATCGACTACCGCCGCCGGCGCCTAGTGCGACAGTTCCGACCACGTTCAGCAACGAACAACTGATGTCCAACGACCCGGCGCTTGTGGAACACGAGAAAATGCAGAGAAAGATAATGGAACTGCGGGAGCATGTGCTCAAAGCGCACGCGTTTATAACCGAACTTGCCGAAGATCCGCGTGATGTGATTTCGCCCGGAATCCAGTGTTTTTTCAAAGAACTCGCGCCCAAGTAAGTCACTTTTACCTCAAAACAGCAAATTAGCAAAAAGCGCGCAATTCAAAACACCTATGAGATCAAAAAGAGTGTGCGTCCCTCTTATTGATCCCCCCCCCTTCACTGTGAATATTTCCTTTCTCGTGTTCCTAAACAAACAGCCCTTCTCCGCAACCATCCCCGTCCGTCCGTCCTGATCCATTCTGCGCACCTTTACACACAATACCGTTTTATTTGTGTTTTTCGCCCCCTCCGTCTCACTCGGACTCTTTCCACTAACTAAACTCTCTTTTCGGCCCAAAACGATCAAAGCTCTCTCTCTCTCTTTCTCCCTTTCTTTTTCTCCTTCTAGGTTTCATCACATATGATTTCATTGAAAACCTTCAAAACTTGGCCTTTTTGGAATGTTCTCTCATTTTTTAGTGAGCTCTTCTAGAAAAGCTGAAAATTGAAACAAGAAAACCAAATGCTTTGGGCTGCTTAACGAATTTCCGTTGCTTGTAGTCTGCTTGGCGCTGCTTAAATTGCATAGTACATCTCTAATTCTCACTCGTTTTGTCACTTCTCAACCAAATTTCTTTAAAACTTCAAATTCAGGTTAACTTGGACAACTGCTGACTCTTTCCGAATCTGATCTTCATCCGAATGGAACCCAATCCGAAGAAGCGTCGTGTTCTTGACGAAGAACAAGCCCAAGAGTGTACTTCTTCCATACTATCGCTCCCCACGTCACTGTCTTCAACTTCGGAGCCGTCTTCATCGTCTTCCAATGTCGTGGATATGGTCGATTTGTCGACTTCTCCGTTGTAAGCAAAAATTAAATTTGAAACATGTATTAAACGAGCCGCTTGAAAGTTCACGCGTTTATCTCTCAAGATCTCCGTCACAATAGGTTTTGTCAGAGATGAAAAAAAGTGAAGACGTACAAACTTTTATTGAATAAAAATGATGATTTTAAAACATTTTCGGAAATGCTTTGCAATTCTCAACGATTTCCAGACCAGAACCTCTTCAGCCGGCTGCCGCGCCCGCAAATCAAGTGGATAACCGTTTGAGAGTAAGTGTCGGATCCTAGGCCACCATATTCTCGACCGTGCTTCTTTCAGGAACTTCTTCTCTCCTCTCCAGCTCATCTCTTCGGTATCGGAACGCCCGGAGCTCCAAATCCACAAAATGTGACGACGAGTTGGGAGCAGTGGTTGTGCTTTTTGGCCACCAATTTGTCGCCGGCTCAGTGGCAGGTAACACACACTTATGTCGAACTTGTGGCGGAGCGATATTATAGGGTTACTGGCTGGCACATTGTGCCCTTTTTGGCGAACAAGCAGTCCCAGTCCACTTGCTCAGCTTCTTCCAGGGACAAAGCTCACCGGCACAACCGCCCAACACCGGACCCCATCCGAATGACCCCATCCACGCCAGATACGGTACGGCTTTTTTGAAATACGGTCATATTCATGCGGGATACAAGTTTAAGTAGTATTTTTTACTGAAGGAAGTCACGTTACGCGACCTTTAAATGCTTTTGCTTCTAGTTTGTACAGTAATCTTGTCATGAACTGATATGACAATCCACGTGGATAGTGAGTCACTATCAGTGACTATCATCTGCTTTCTACAGTCCGAACTTGTGATATAATAGCTCAAGTCGAATTCTTGAACTCTTTTTGAAGCCTATACTTTCCATCGGAACTTGACATTTTCGCTCTCTCTCTCTCTCTCTCTCTCTCTTCTATTTCTCAGCTGTCGCCGATAGCAAAAAGCCTACAATTAGGAGAGAGAAAGAGCTGAAAACTTCACTCGCTCGCTTCTTCATGCTCCTTTTCCACCGAAGACGGCGGCTGCCCGGGGCAACGATGGCTTTGGTGGCGCCACGAAAAGTGACGACGTCCAGAAGAAGTATATTATCGAGCTGTTATTTTATACACACACGCACACACACACACACCGCTTCTGATTTGAGTTCTCGGTTATTTGACGGTTATTTGATTTTCGTTTCCCTTTAAATGCCCCGAATTTTGAGCTATAGGAGATTGAGGATCAAAGTTCAACAACAGTAATTCTTACTTTCACCTCCAAAATCTGATCATCACAAAAATCATAAATCCTTTCTCTCATTTTTTTTTTCTTTCAAAATGAGCCACCAACACCTGCTTCTAATGCTCCGATGCTCGACGGAGCACAGAGAGAAACAAATTGAAGCGGGTTTGTCGGATCAATGAAAAATCCGACAATTGTCTCAATTTTTTTTAGAGACAAGATGAGCGTTGTTCTATTTTTCTTCTGAATTTTTATTTTGACCCTTGACTCGATGATCCAATAGACTTATGATAATTGAGAGCGTTTTTGCGTCTGCGTCTATTCCATTAGCCGACTCTCTCGTCCAATTTTTCGTTTTCCTCTTCGTCTTGGAACGAAAAAAGACAGCTGGCAAGCAACCGAAGGGAGCCCCCCAGACATACGAAGCTCTCCCGCCCGGGAAGCGGAGGAATGTTATGAGAGAGAGAGAGAGAGAGCAGATCTTCTTTTCCTTCTTCTTCTTCTTCTTGACTCTTGGCACCGGAAGACTCCTGTGGCTCGAGTATTGTGTGTGTGTGTGTGATATCACTCTCACGTTTTCCTCTTCTTTTCCAAAAGTTGTTTTCATTCACTCTCACTCATCATCTTTTTTGTCTCGCTTTCTGTAAAAAGTATATGATATTGAATGTCCGATGACTATACGATGACGTGGCATTCGACGGCTGAATCATCGTTCGCCGAACAATCGAGAGTTGCTTTGCCTTCCGTCCCCCGTCCCCGTTCTCATTTTCGATTCCGGCTGCTCTGCCACTCGTCCGTCGTCCGATAGTCAACAATTCTTGAAACAACACGGCTACAATCATCGAAGCAGCACCGAGTTTTTGGTCTGCTCGGATGTTGCTTGGAGCTGCTTAGACTGCGAACTACATTCTTTGTTAAGCAGCACGACAATTTTGGTCTGCTCGGACGTTGCTTGGAGCTGCTTAGACTGCGAACTACATTCTTTGTTAAGCAGCTCGACAATTTTTGTCTGCTCGGACGTTGCTTGGAGCTGCTTAGACTGCGAACTACATTCTTTGTTAAGGAGCACGACAATTTTGGTCTGCTCGGATGTTGCTTGGAGCTGCTTAGATTGCGAACAACATTCTTTGTTAAGGAGCACGACAATTTTGGTCTGCTCGGACGTTGCTTGGAGCTGCTTAGACTGCGAACTACATTCTTTGTTAAGGAGCACGACAATTTTGGTCTGCTCGGATGTTGCTTGGAGCTGCTTAGGCTGCGAACTACATTGTTTGTTAAGGAGCAGGACAATTTTGGTCTGCCGGGTCCGGATCGAAAAGAGTACTTCCCAAACAATAATAGAAAATGGAGATCCAGCTAACTTTAAGTTTCAACTGTAACCTTGGAAACTGGAAGCTTCTCACCTGCCTCTCACACTTCTTTCAGCAAAAAGGTTTCCCACGAACTTTATCTCTGTTCCGCTTCCCTTTTCTAATATTATTTCAGTTCACCTAACACTTTCCACTCCCCCCTCCTTCTTCTCCCAATCATCCGTTCCTTCGTTTTTGACTCATCTTCCTCCCCCCTCACTCACTCCATTTTCATTGTCAGACGTGATGGGAAACGCGGCGAGCGGCGGAGGCGGCTCTTCGGGACGTGGCGGACGCGGCGGTGCCGGCGATTTTGGCGCCAATTCGACGGTCTTCTCGAACGGACGACTTGCGGCCGCTGAAACAAGTGAGTTTTTTTGTTTGAGTGAATGTTGGTGTATGTGTTGGACGACGGAATCGAATGGAATCATCCATCATCGTGTCACTTGTGTATGTGATGTGGCAGAAAAATGAGCGGCTCGGAGCAGCATGCTCAACAAGAGCAAAATGGAATCGAGTGGTGGAAGCGAACTAAACTTCAAACTGCTTGACTCACTTCCTCTTATTTTCTGAAATTTGCGGCTGAAATCACTATTTCCTTTAAAAAAAGAAACTCTAGACACTTTTTACCCCTGAAATCAGTGTTGAAGGATACCGAAACACTTTCAATTATGGCTCACTTATCTGCATGAAAGCGTAATCCATACTTTAACAACTTTAGCATGATTCAAAGAACTGTACACATTTTTTCTTGTGTAGACGATCGTAGAACTATTCCTAACACCCATTTGATTCTATGACCCCGAATCACCAAAGTACCGTAATCCTGTGACTGACTTTTCGTCGCAAGACCCCAGCGTCACCTTCTCCTACTCCACCACCTTGATATAATCGGTTTATGTTGAAACGATGTATGCGGGAGCCTTTTTTCCGCCTTTTTCAACCCCAAACCTAACCACAAACGAATTTTGAGGACAAAAAGACGAAAGTGAAGTGCTTCTTCTTCTTCTTCTTCTTCTTCTTCTTCTTCTTCCGGCTATCTCTCTCTCTCTCTCTCAGTCCAATTTTCTCTGGTTTGAAACCAATTTTGTGGTACCAAAGAGCCAATTGAGTGCCCGTCCGCTCTCCGCCTCTTTCTGGTGACACTGGCAAAGAAAGAATCAAGAAAGAAGAAGCTCTGAGAAGAAGGGCAGCCTACACACATACTATTGAATTTCGTCCCCTTTTCCCCATTTTCGAATTGAGAATTGAGATATTGAATGGGCTCCGGCTGAGAGCTCAACCTCATTCTCGTTTCGGCCCCTTGAATCTCCTCAATTCCACATTCCATTTCCTCATTTTCCTTGCATTTCTTTTCGTTCTTGGACTAGAGCTGGTTTTCCATCGGGTTCCTAGTCGATCAAACTTTCAACTAGTCTCTTCCCATTGGGAGTTTCTAGTCCCTCACTTTTGTCTTCTAAAACTATGCAATACACTGTTGGCCTAAAAACGCTCATCTGGATTTCTCGTACATATCCTATAGTCTAGATTTGAGGCCGAACAACTTTGTGTGTGACTTTCCAGACCCCGAAAATTGTTTCGTAGTTTGTCTCATTAAAGTTCTGAAACGTATCGCTACGGTATTCTAGTCCCCCTGAACCCTGACCATTCATGACCTACAATTGCGATGTCGATGTCCTCAGAAACAAGAACAAGATCACTCGTAATCGATTTCACGTCACAAATTGTTGGAATTCCGGCGATTTTCAAAGAATTGGTCTCATTGCTACGACGAACCACTCCCTTTTTGTTCCCACCATCCGACTACTGATCCTAATTTCTAATCTGTCAAGTTAGAAAGAGAGAGAGAGAGAGAGAGAGAGAGAGAGAATGAGAAGCGAATTGTCGTATTCAATTAATTACAGCTAATCGCGCTAGTATTGAGAGTGAGACAGAGAGAGAGAAAATGCGAAAAACACTCTCCTCTTCCAATCTTTTCAAATTCTTTTCGAACAGAAGAACAGGAGATAATTCGATAAAAACGGGACCGTTGACCCCTCTTCGTTTTTTAGCACAAGAATTTCAGATGTAATGTGTGATTCAGGTTGAGGTTGACAAATTGCACTGTGATGTGTACTAAATTTTTGCCATATACTCTCTATTTTTATGCTATGCTATGCTATTGCACAAATCTTTCTTTTGCACACACACACAATTGTGCTGCCTACTCATTAGTATTCCTCCCCCTCGCCTTCAAGAGGGAGGGGTAGGCTTCCGCTAAAAATACGCGTTGGGCGATCTAAAAATAGATTGCTTTCTTCTTCTTCTTCTTCTTCTTCTACTTCTACTTCTACTTCTACTTCTACTTCTACTCTTTCCTCCTCGCTCTTCACATACGTTGCTCTGCTCCAATGACTTTTTCTCCACAGAGCATGAAGATTTCTCTCTCTCTCTCTCTCGTTTTTCTTCTTTATTGTGACATATGTTCTTGTGGTCCCTTGGCTTTTTACATAAAGGTCCTCCTAGAGCAGATTGTGGAGAGAAAGAGAGAGAGAGAGAGAAAAAGAGAGGAAGCATTTTGAAAATGAAATGGATGAGAAAAAGATAAGGTCAAGGGAAGAGGAGAGAAGAAGAAGGAAGTGATGGAGATCAGAAGATGACAAGGAACACAACTATTCTAGAAGCTTTTTTTTGTCAGACATTTCTAAAGTTTTACAAGTACACAGTTGCAAAGTGTCTGGTGAGGAAAGTCCCGTGACTTTCATGAAACCATTTTTCCCCATTTCCACATAGATTTTGCGCTTCAGTGCTTTCGGCTTTCTATTTCGAAGATCAAAGTTCCGGGGCGCTTAGATTTTTGGCCCCGGTTGCGAAACGTCTAATCCCCACACTAGTGTAGTACTATGTACAACTTCTACGGCTTCATGCCTTCCAAATCCTCTCTCTCTCTCTCTCTCTCTCTCTCTCTCTCTCTCATTCCCTTTCTCGGAGGCCGTCCAAATGCACTTTGCGGAGCTGTCCGGAGCGGATTTTCTAGCAACTTCTACCTCCCATATCATTTTGGCTTTATAAAATAATGTTGGTTATTTTTGTTCTCCTTCCTCTTTCTACGGCTTCTTTTGTCATTCTACAGGCGCCCAGATGATCTTTGCATCGTGTTTTATGCTCATTTTTCCTCAGTGAGCTCCATGAGCTTGTGGGCTTGTGCTCTTTTTGCCTCCGGGCATGATGTTGATGGTGGTGGGGGCAGAAAAGAGGAAGAGAGAGAGAGAGAGAGAGAGAGAGAGAAAGCTGAAGGACCCTTGGAGCAGAAAAGCGAAGAGGCTTCTTCTTCTTTTTCTTTTTTTTTCCGTCGTGTCAGTCAGCCTCGTCGTCGTCGTCTTCTTTTTTTCTGGTTGCGGAGCTCTGCGTTGACGTCTTCTGTCTTCCCAACATTGCCACGTCATCATTGTGTGAGAGCTCGGGAAGCCCTGAAAAGAGTAACTTGATCCGTTTTTCCCTCCCGTCTTTTTTGGCCCTCTTTCTTTTTCTCGTTTTCATCCCCCCCTTCCATTTTTATTCTTTCCCTAGAAGTTGCTGCTGACCATTTTGAAAAAAGAAGAACAAGTATTTGAATTTTCCCGAAAAACACTTTTTTTTTTCGCCGCCACCGCAGCAGCACGTCCGCGTCTTTCTTGCGCCATAAATATATAATATTCGATGGTGTGTCTGCGTGCCCGTCCCTCTCGTCCGCTTCTTTCTCCCCTTCCATCACTTTTGCCCCGTTTTGTGTATGTGTGGGGGCACGCCACCCCCCTCTTTTCCTCGAATCTTGCGAAGGAAGCCCCCCGGACACACGAGAATGTGCTCAAAGTTTTTGGTTTTGGTTTGCTTCTCGTTTTTTTCTTGGTTTTTCCAAGCCTCAAATGTTGTAAAAGACGGAATTTTGCGTCTAGGGATCGAATCGATCACATTTAGAGATACATAGTCGAAGCTCTGGTTGACTACGAGTCCAGAGCGGATTCTGTTGAGCCAGGTTCGATGCCAACCATGCCGGAACTGGTTTTGCACAACTTCCACACACTTTTGCCTATTCTCGCCAAAATCAGCGTCTTTTGTGTGTCAAGAATTTGCTTTGGTTTTCTAATCGTTTTCGAAAAACGTCACATTTCTCTTCCAGTGATGATGAACATTTGAAATTCCCACGCGCATTCTCTCATTGTGAAGGAAGGCCTAAAGTTGTGGAGTTGCACAATGATATAAACACAAACATTCATTCGGGCGCGGTGAAAAGATGATATACATATATACATGTACGCACGAAGTCTCTCTCTCTCTCTCTCTCTTCCTCTTTTTCCATTTTTGATTAATCCGCTCTCAAAGCGACACGATGATGGCTAGAATCGACGTGAGAATGAAGATTTGTCACTTCTCATTGGATTACTGTATCTAGAGACTTTTTCGATTGACGGACCCCCTAGACTTTTTGCCGCCACCACCCGAAACAAAAAATTTGAAAGACCCCCAACCCCTCCTCGCCCCTCGCGCCTTCAATTGTTGCGGTGGTTGAGGACGAGAAGAGAAAGTGGAAAGTTGTTGCTAAAAATAGAAACATACGGGCGCCCCACCTATTCAGAAGGAAAAGAAGAAGAAAGAGAAAGAGAGAGGGATGCCACGTCATTCGAATCAAAATCAAAAGAAGAAGGAAATGCGGGGCAAAAACTGTTTTGATGTGTGATTGTAGACGGGAGGGCGAGAAACGTTTCGTAATTGGATTAGTGGGCAAGCAAATCAAATGAAGTCTCTGTCGCTCTTTCTCTTTTCTCGCACAAATCTTACCTGTCCTCTTTTTTCCTCTTTCTCGACCGCCGCCAGACTCAACTCTAGGGACCAACGCCAAGTCCGAACCCCTCCCACCCTGTCAAAAAAGTGGCGACAGACAATAGTGGGAGCTAAGAAAGTTTTGGAAAAAAAACGAAGAAGGAGGCGATTACTTCTCCTTCTCTCCTCATTTTGTTCGAGAAAAAGTGGCACGGAAGAAAATGAAGACGTCTCTTCGGGACCGAGTGAAAAAGAGAGAGAGAGAGAGAGAGAGAGAGAGAGAGAGAGAGAGAAACGTGTTTTTTTTCGGGTGCCTGCAGTCGCCAGTTGATCACTCACTCTCTCTCTCTCTCTCTCTCTCTCTCTCTCTATCTTCGTGTCCCTCTTCCCCTCTCTTTTGCCCCCCTCCCGACGACGTCGTCTTTTTTTGCCCCTTTTTCCGACGTCTTCAGAACGTTTTTCTTACCTTTTTTTGACCCCACACGCAAGAAAAAAAGATTTCATCTTTTTGCTGTCCAATCTGTCCAACCCCTCCCCCCAAAACATCGGGGAATCTAGAAGAGGCTCGTCGGTGGTGAGAAGGGAATATATCATTGGAATAGAAAATAGAACCACATGACAACAAACAGACAACAAAAACATAATAATAATAATAATATAACAATAAAACACGTGTGATGTATGTCAAATTTCGACTTGTGATCCTATAACTTTGAATGTGAATTTGAGGTGCGTAAAGTTGGCAAAAAAAAGTTGTTGATATTGTAGAATTCGAACCTGTGACCTTTTTCTTGACACAGTCGAACCTCTTACCGATTGTTCGATGCCACAAGTTTGTCAGAGCGCACTTCCACCTCCGGAGCCTCTCTCTCTCTCTCTCTCTCTCTCTCTCTCTCTCTCTTTTCCCTTCATCTCCTTCATGCGGG